AAATTGAAAAAAGTAATCATCGTCTATCGGAAGAAAACTCCTTAATCGTTTTTCTCTTTTATCTTTACCTGAAGTATTGATTCCATTTTGTGCTTGTTTCTTTTCTATTGATACTAAACTCCAAAGAAGAAGTAATCCATTCAATCCGAACAATTACCTCCGAGATAATACATTCGTTAATCAAAGAACTGAATTATTTAGAATAAGAATACGTCATGAAATAGATTTTGAACAACATCTTAACCAACGTACATCTTCCCTATAATCTTGTCGGCAGTGTCTCGCGCTCCTGTTATTCTGTTTTTATATAGTGTAATTCGCAATTAGATCTAAAGATAGACCAAAGGTACCTCGCGACTATCATACGCGATACTCGTGATCCCAAGTCGAATATCGGAAGGGTGAAACTGAAGGGGACGATGGGTGTACGAGATGAAATAGATTTTACCTTTAATGCACGTTTTGATTGAATGTATGAAGTATTTGGTTGCTTCTTCGAGCAACCAGTGATGATTATTACTAGACACAGAGAAAAAGAAGTTGCTTTTTCATCTTTTTATAGCAATTATTGAGCCCTGCAGTACATTATAATTATTTTTAGTTATTGTATACCATATGCAGTCAAAATAGAATTCGTCTTTCAATTATCAATTATTTAAATGATTAGGAAAAGAAGGAGGCGTTCGCGCCCGCACACACACATATATATATATTATCTACTCCTTGGAAAACATATGGATGCTAGATCTTTCCCAACAAATAAAAACTACAGGAAAAACATTATTATTAGAAGTCTATAAAATTTGAATGAGCTGAAACAGTGCAAGCTCTCGTAAACAAAGGTAGTCAAATTGATGGTGTACGTCTCTCTTATTACTTATTTATCTATCGATGAAATTGAACTTCATATCAATTCTTCACTATGACTAATAGATATCGTTCCTTTTTTTTTGGAAAGTACAACCAATATTTTATCAATCATATCAGCAAAGAGAGTGCTTGAGATAATATCCATCTTAAACAGATGAGCAGAATACGCTGGTGTGAGTTTTTACCGGTTGGACTCTCTTTCATCTGTTGGTGAATAATTACGTTTTGTGCTCACGCGAAGGAGACGAATATTACTATGTTTTCCACAAATGTAATTCTAGTCGACTTGAAGCGATGCAAAACAACAATAACTCTTCATTTTCTGGTGTGATATCACAGTAGATAATTAAAATCAAATCAAATCTTACTACAAAAGGCAGATTCTGCTCCTCTCCGTTACTGGATTAGAATATAAACTGACGCAATTACAGTTCCTTCTTGGTTAAATTGATCCTCTTTGTATACTTTCCAATGTACCCGAACATATCGTTAGTTTCCATTTCAATTCTACTGGGAATATCATAATTTATATCGAATTTGTCTTCACGCGAGTGTAAGATGAAACCGATGATAGATGTCACTAGTTCACAAATTGCTAAAATCACAACAATTTCCATGGTGGATGTCGAAGGAATTTGCATAAACTAGTCTGAACAATCGATGTCTTGATGATAACGAGAGTCTCGTCAAGAAGGTATATTTGACACAAATGAAACAAAGACTCGTATTTTCATTGGTTCTCTCGGTCTTTGTCCGTTCTTTCTTTTAGTGGTTAAAGAAAAATGAAACCAACAAAATTGACTTGCACTTACTGACTCGTAAAAAACAAGCTAAATAGACCAATTTTCAATCCTCCTGGAGCGATCTGAGGTTTGTATCAACTACTCCAAATCTGACAGTTCTCGAATATCCTGCTTTCTCCGCCAATGTTTTGCAATTCTTTGCACGTCTTTGTTTTTCATTCTATCTTATCTCTTGGCATCTCTTCATACTCCTCTCTCATTCTTCCTGTAAGTCAGAATAGTTGACAAGTCGTTCAGTAGAATATGCAAATGAGTAATTTCACTCAAGTTGAGAAACATCAATAACGCAATATGTGATCGTTTATTCATAGGTGTTTAACAGCTAATGGACGAGAAAATTACAGATCGTATTCGAGCGTTTAATTTTAACTGCCTTCCCCTTTCTCCCTGTAAAACGTGTGATAATATTTGAAAAAGTACAAGTATATCGCATTAGATCCGTTTCGATACGCTTCTCAAATCACCTTGATCGCCGTCAATTTCAATCAAACTGTTCCGCTTTTTTCATTTGCTTGTTAGTATTTAATGTCATTAGTGAAGCCGCATGATGTCCTTCTGAAAACGAAGTGGAGTTCACATGTCTTACATTCTTTTCACCCATATAACGCTGCTTTTATCGTTCCATCCAATGATTTATTGTACATTATCATAAAATATTATTTACTACACGCCAAGGATGATTTGAAGTTTTCTATCTCAACAAAGATAATTAAGTTGACTTGATGATTTTGAATCGTTTCTTTCTTTTTTTTCTCTTTCTTTTTCCTTTCATTCTTCAGCTTAGTGTCTGCCTGTTCGTACGTATGTATGTCTGTTTATTCTCTTGCGAGCATTCTTTGGGTGACCAGTGATACATAGAAAGATGGTCATGTAGAAAAGAGAGTGATTTTCGTTCTTTTCCGTCTGCTTGTTCTCTGGCGTGTCGCGAGCATAGCGGTCGTTCTTTGTCTATAGCGTTCACCGATGCTAACACATTACTATGTATGTGAACAGAAAAAGGAAATGGCAGAGAAAGAAGTTCAATGTCAGACGTGAAATTTTTTGTTTTTTTTTAGATTTGTTTTTTTTTTTAAAAATTAAGTACAGTTAGAACTAATTCTATAATGACCGACACACTAATTGACGATGAAACTGTCGATGTTCGAACGTCTTCACAAAGACCAGGAACAACGACGACTAGTTCTCAAATAACAACGACTACACGTCGACCAATGTATATCGAAACTGAAGTACGTACTGATACGGTAACAACACGCCGAATGGCATCGGCTGCTGCTAATCGAAGTTCTCAAGATGTGCTTGAGAGTACCAAATCCCCTATTCCGTATGTATTTTTTTGCCAACTAAACTTCGTTTATTCAAGTGTTATTGTTTTAATTCCAGTGATCGACAATCGACAAACTATTCTTACGCTCAGAGGTGTGTATTTAATCCTATGTTTCGGTTTAGAAATATTGCCTTAAGACAGAGATGACCCCAGTTTTGCACCTAACGGTACGATAGTTATTGAAAGTGATGCGAATCTTAAAGAACAGCGTCTTAGCAATTAATTCGTAAACAATGAGCTTTAAATTGAATCTTTGCAAGCCATAAAAATAATAGCTCGAGGATAAATGTATGAAATCATTGAACTATCGTTTATCATCATATGTTCTTTAGCAATTCATATGCACCTGGGTCACGGTCTACTGCATATGACAATACTGTGACAGCTCGACGAAGTGTACATGGTGGCTATCAAAATGGTACGGAATCGAATGTTGCATCAGCGTTCTCGTCACCATCGCAATTCCTGTCAACGGTTCGAACGCAATTGGCGAACGGCTATGACGCTCTCCGTGATCGTATAACACAATTTACTGGTAATCACGGTTTAGGACCCAATTCACTGTCACGTTCGGGTGGTGGTTCACGAAGCACGCGTACGTCATCTCAATCATCGGCAACAGGTGGTCGATCGAAAGGTTACAATTTGCGTTCAAGACCGGTTCATTCAACTCCACGCGACAATGATAGCGATCAAGGAAGTCAACGTAAAACAACGATTAAGCATCGTAAAGATCAGCAAGGCGAAATTGACGAAGAAGAAGATGATGATGGTGATGAAGAACACAAAGAGCCCCAAGATTTTGTACGTAAAGTCATTCATTATGTGAAACGAGCTGTTCGTTCACCCCTTGACGTTTTCGATGCTGTTTGGAATAAGCTCAAAGCTTTACCATGGTGGGTGCTTATTCCAATTTTACTTCTTCTTGGTCTTTGGGCTCGTAAGTTCAGTTTTATCTTTAAATAGCTTCGAATATATCGTTCGTTCTCGTTATTTTAGTACCTCCTTTCGTTTGTAAACCGTTCCAACATCTTCTCCATCCAAAAGTCAATGAAATATGTCGAGATACCCACCGATATACTAAGGATATAAGTGGTAATGCTTATGATTTCACTCGCCGTCATACTTATGAACGTGGTGTTCGTAATCTGAAACAAGTTTACAACTCAGCTCAAGATGTTAAAAATTCAGTATTGAATTCGTTGAATGACGTTTATTATTCATTGAAACGGTCCTTACGTGGTTCAGTCGGTGGTGTCAAGAGTCGTGTTGCTGATGTAGTTGAAACCACTGCAGAGAATGCGAAAGAATATTATGACGCTGGTATTCAAAAAGTAAATAATCTTATCGAAGAACTCAAACAAGAACGAGAAAAAATTCTTGGAGCGTAAGTAATTCGGATGAGACAATTGATTTGTTCAATGAAGTTTTCTTCTAGTCGACATACGTTGAAACCTGATGAAGAAAAGGAATTATCAGCGGTACGTTGACTTCTAAGGAAGAATTGAATGAAGTTATTTAAAGTTTCGATCTTATAGATGATTCGTAAATTGATCGATGAATATGCAGCAGATGAAACAGGTCAAGCTGATTTTGCACTTGAAGCTAATGGTAAATAAAAATCAGTATGAACGACATGCCGAATAACTTCGTTGTATCGATTTGTAGGTGGCAAAGTTGTTGATACACGTTGCCAAGAATATACAGATGAACCGCGACAAAACGTTGTTAAATTTCTTGGTATTCCCATTGTTCACATGTCAAAACAACCTGATATTCTAATCAAAGTATGATTAGTACAACGAGTGAATTCTTTTCAAACAAATCTTGTTTAATTCTTTAGCATGGACGTATGCCGGGTCAATGTTTTCCATTCAAAGGTGATCACGGAAGCGTAGTCATTCGATTAGCTGTGCCCGTTGTACCAACTGAATTCGTACTTGAACATTTATCGAAAAGTATTTCCATTGTTGGACACATCAATAGTGCGCCGAATAATTTTACTGTTTATGTATGTGAAAATCAGTCGAAGTTCAATTCATATGAATACTGTATCTTTTTCTACATAGGCTTTAAAAGACAAACATGATAAAGAAGGTATTGTTCTTGGTCGATATTATTACGATGCTGAAAATGGTCCAGCTCTTCAAAGATTCAAACCTCAAGTATGCCTTCCTATATTAGAATATATGTGACCAGATTTATTCTCTTGAATATCTTTAGATTGCGAATGTGCCTCTTGTCGAATATATTGAAGTTCAAGTGACATCGAATTGGGGCAACCCGAATTACACTTGTTTATACCGATTTCGTGTACATGGCGACATGCAAACCGTCGCTCCAACAGCTGCGTAAAAATAACAGCACTATTGCGTTGTTTTTCTTAGAAAAAGACTTTATACCATCATCATGATCATTCATATTGAATCGATTATTTTGATGTTTATGTATTATTAATCTTTGTTCGTTTGTAAAACATTCAAAAAAGTACTTAGTTTGTTTCTTGTATGATTATGTACTTAGCACAATGCATTAACATTCAAACACGCATATGAAAATCTCTAATCTAGACATTCTTTTTTCTGCTTCTCATTTCGTATATGTGTGCGTCTTGTATTTGTTCAAATCTCGTGGTTTTCATTGTTTTTTTTTGTCTATAACTTGTGTTCATATGTGTGTAATTGTCGGTGTGCTTCCTCTCTATTTCTCCTCTCGTCGTCTAACATATATTTGAAAATAAAAATCTAGACGTTTTGCAACTAACAGCAAATATATCAATCTCTGGTGTCATTCAACTAGGAAGAGTTCTTATAATTAGACATCTTGCAAAGACATATTGAGTTTGTCGTCTTTGATGGTATTAGATTGCGTAGAGTGTAATAAATCTTGCTGTAATGTTATTACATATGGTTGAAATATTTGATTGATGTTCAGGTGGTAGGTAGATGGATGACAAGCGTGAAAAAGCCTTTGATGATGAATGAGTATTAGGCTGACAAATGAATCGTTGTCGGTGAGATTTCGATTGGGTTTGTACGTGTTCTCGTTGGATTTTAACATTTGATTTGTTGAAAACCATCGCAAGGATGAGTGGCGAATGAATAGATTTATTGCAGGACTTTGTCTCCATTGATGAAATTAGGTTGAGTTGCATCTTTTCTTGAAATTAAGGATATTTCACTAGGGGAATGCAAGTCGAGTTACTTACAGATTCGTAAAGATTTTCACCACTATATGTAGATAACGTGAAATAAAAACAATTGTGCAAGACTCTCACCGAGGGAGAGAGTAAAATGTAGATTATTTTGTCACAATTCTTTTCTTCCTTTCTCTCGTTCTCTATTTTTGCAACGGGGTAAACTTGCACAATGTTTTGAAAAAAACGATTTCACTATTCCAAATGCAATTCTTTTCTAAGATTGTCTACAGTTTATAAAAGCTCGTTGTTTTTTGTTCTACATAGATCATTACTGACATATTCACAGTAGTCATCGCGATGAGTAAAGCAACGAGTAGTACTGAAAACATAATTGGCGCTGGTCCAGTTTATCGTATTCCACCATATCATTATATCCATGTTTTGGATCAGAATACTAATGTCACACGATTAGAAATTGGTCCGAAAACATTTATTAAACAAGACAATGAAACGGTCATTCTCGGACCGGAAAAAATGATCACAGTTCCGTATGTATTGCTGTTAAAACATCGGTATGAATATGTTTGATGATGAAATTCGTTTAGACCACGTCACTATTGTGTTGTGGAATCACCAGTGGTACGTGATGATGCAGGAGAAGTTGTATTCGACGCAAACGGTCAAGCGAAATTGATTCACGCTGATTTGGACATTCGTCTTGCTCGACCTGATCAAGCTCCATTTCCTCTATATCCCGGTGAAGTTCTTCGACAAGTATAAATTTTGAAGGATGTAATCGATCAGAATAGAAAAACCTGTTTTCTGTTTTTCCTTGCAGCCTGTTACACCATTAAAAGTTGTTCCAGCTAATTCGGCACTACGACTAAAAGCGGTGCTCGATTTTCGAGACGAAACAACCGAAGAACAACGACGCGCCGGTGATGAATGGCTGTTTGAAGGTCCAGCCACTTATATTCCTCGCAAAGAGGTCAGCGTCGAAGAACAGATTCGTGCTACTGTTATCGGCTCTAATCAAGCTATTCGGCTTTGTGCGAAAAAAGAAATAACCGATCGAAATGGCGAACGACGTGTCACCGGGGAAGAATGGCTAGTCAAGAAAACCGGTGCCTATTTACCACTTGCCTATGTATGTTTGAAAACGAGTTTTCCTTGTTTCTTTTTATTCATGATTGGCCATTTTTTAGGAAACAGTTGTATCAGTAGAAAATGCTTATGTATTAACTGATAAGAAAGCACTTCATCTGCGTGCATTAAAAAGTTTCACCGATAATTTCGGTAAAGAACGTATGAATGGGGAAGAATGGCTTGTCACTCATGATGATACCGAAACGCATATTCTAAGTGTCTATGAACAGTTAGTTGCTGTTGTCGATGTGGTGACATTGAATTCTCGACAATATTGTGTTATCCTCGATCCAGTCGAAGATGGAAAACCGCAATTAGGAAAAAAAGTTCGTGAGAAAAGTTGGACTTCGTTAATCTATGAATTTGTTTCGTTTCAATTAGAAATTAGTCGTTGGTGAAAAATCATTCTTTCTTCAACCTGGTGAAAAACTCGAGAATGGCATTCAAGATGTGTACATTCTAGGTGAAGATGAAGGTATTATTCTTAAATGTATTGAAGCGTTCGAAGATGAACAAGCCAAAGCGTCCCGAAATCCAGGCGATCGATGGATGATTCGTGGCCCGACGTAAGACTTCGATTCCTTCTTTGTTCTCCAATCGATATCTATTTGCTTTCTTTTAGTGAATACATTCCACCTACACAGGTCGAAGTCGTTACACGTCGTAAAGCAATGCCATTAGATGAAAACGAAGGTATCTATGTTCGTGACATTAAAACTGGCCGCGTACGATCTGTTATTGGTGAAACTTATATGCTAACACAAGACGAAGAACTTTGGCAAAAAGAACTACCTAAACAAGTTGAGGATTTGTTAACGCGTGATGCACTAGCCGATCGAAATATTCCAACACGCAGTCAGACATCTGACAAAAATCAGTCTCAACAGACGACCGTATCGAAATCAACGAGTGCCAAACGCGATAAATCGAAAGTAGTCGTTTATCGTGTTGCACACAATGCCTGTGTTCAAATCTATGATTACAAAGCTAAAAAAGCACGAATCATCTTCGGTCCTGAACTCGTCATGCTCGGACCTGATGAACAATTTACATTGATTTCTTTGAGCGGTTGTGTTCCAAAGAAACCCAATCAAATTCAAACACTATGTTTACTCCTCGGACCTGACTTCTTCACCGACGTCATTGTCATTGAAACAGCAGATCATGCACGCTTATCATTACAGCTTTCATATAATTGGCATTTTCAAGTAGTTGACAGAGCCGATGCGAAAGAGTCGGACAAATTGTTCTCTGTGCCTGACTTCGTTGGCGATGCAGCTAAGGCAATTGCTTCTCGTATTCGTGGAGCTGTTGCAGGAACACAATTTGACGACTTTCACAAAAACTCTGCTCAAATTATTCGTGCCGCTGTCTTTGGTTTCGACGCGCACCAGCATGTCCGTGATCAATTCATTTTCCCACAAAATAATCTTGTTATCACATCCATTGATATCCAAAGTGTTGAACCTGTCGATCAACGAACACGAGATGCTCTTCAAAAGAGTGTTCAACTAGCCATCGAAGTAGGTAGCTTGAGTATGCTTTATTCGGTGCTCAATTTGAATGATTTAGATTACCACAAATTCACAAGAAGCTGCCGCCAAACATGAAGCTTCTCGCCGTGAACAAGAAGCGAAAGGTTTATTAGAACGTCAACGTATCAAAGACGAAGCTGACGCAGAAGAAGTTCGAAAACAACTCTTAGAGTTACAAGCTCTATCAGCTGCTGTCGAATCGACCGGTCAAGCTAAGGCAGAAGCTCAAAGTCGTGCGGAATCCGCGCGTATCGAAGGCGAAGCTGCCGTCGAACAAGGTAAAAAACGACGCAAATCTCTCATTGATGAATCTACAGTTTACTTTTTACAGCTCGCCTCAAAGCTGAAGCTACTCGAATTGAAGCTGAAGCTGAATTGTTACGTTTAAAACTGGCACGTGAAGCTGAAATCAAATTTTTGCACGATCAAAACGAATTAGAAATTACAAAGAAAAGTGAAATGTCAAGAATTGAAACTGAAAAATTCAAATTACAAGTGGAATCGATCGGTGCAGATACTATTCAATCGATTGCTACATCAGGCCCTGATACTCAGGTTAAACTTTTACAAGCACTCGGCCTTCAGTCAATGTTGGTCACTGATGGACATACACCGATTAATCTAATGGGCTTTGGGCAAGGCTTACTAGGTGGTTTAACGGGAAATACGAAGAACAAATCAAGAACGTCAACAAGCACCTCGAACAACTATTGCATTCGAGAAGATGATTAAATGTCCAATACGATTGCTGCTGAAGCCAAGACAGTATTGCAATCTGCCCCTTTCTTTGCTCTGTCTCGTTAATGAGTTCATCCTATTCTATGAAATGTAGTATGATTTTTTTGTAAAAGTATATATATAACTAAGTAATAAAACTGAAAGTACTTCGCCATAATCTGATGCTGCATGAGAAAATATGTACGAGTGTTTACGTTTACCACCACAAGCACAAACGTATCTTGTTAATGTAACAGATTTGCTTTCGTGCATTCTCTACGCACACTCTGAATTTCTAGGAAAGTTTACAGCATGCCTGACGTACAGAAAAGAATTGGTAAAACGATAGTTAGTAAAATCGTATGCAACTAATCCATCGACAGATGGACTGACTAGTGTAATAATTGAAAGATAAATTATTATTCCGAGGCTAAACTTATAAGTACAGTCAAACCTGCCGATAGTGAACACTAACGGGACTGTTCAAAATGTGTTCACTATCTAGAGGTCTATTTACAGCAAAATCGATCGGGTGGATTGAATCATGCATTCAGAGGGAAGGAATTCGCTGTGGAAAGTTTTACTCTAATTACATTTAGTTGTTTTTTAGATTATCTTGTTTACATATCGGTATTCTCGACTGTATGTAGTGCTCGAGAACAAAAGAATTAATGATTTAATTTGAACTCAGTTTCATAGAATGAGCCGATGGTCGTTTATTCTTCTGAATTGATAAAAGCAAATAGTACATATAGTTTTAAAAATTTGACAAATCTCAGTTCTACGCAGTTATATGAAAATTTCAACTCAAAAGATTTTTTCTATTTCCTAGGAATTGTTTGATGATCCGATTAGATCCACTGCCGTATTGAAAAGATTGATTGGACTTCGTCCATCTGTGATCAACGTTGATTTTATACCCAGAGCTTGCAGAAGTTTAACCTAAACGAAGAGCACAGGCATTAAACACTAAAAAAGTCAACTCTTTGTCAAAGTCTTACCTGATTATCTGGTCCGCTAGTGGCTATAGCTTGAATCGTTTTTGGTCCAATGGCAGTGACATGTTGTTTGAATTCGTCAATTTCAATCTCAGCTAATCGTTTTGTTTTCTCGATTTCTAAATCCGCTGTCTGTTTCGAATAGGATAATTCTAATTCACGTGCTTGAGTTAATCGTAAAAGTTCAATATCAGCTTCGATTTTTGCTGCTTGAGCACGAAGAGTTGCTAAAAAGACAAGAGATACATTCGATCAAATTCTAGATGGAAAGTGAACCAACCTTGTTCGACAGCAGCTTCGCCTTCAATCTTGGCTGCTTCAGCTCGTGATTGAGCTTCGGCACGTGATTGACCAGTAGATTCAACAGCCGAGGAGAGTGCTTGCAGTTGTAATAAATGTCGACGTGCTTTCTCAGCTATTTCAAACAAAAAAAAACTATCCATATATACGGAATAGAAAGAAGAACTTTATTTACCTTCGGCTTCGTCCGCGATTTTCTGCCGTTCCAAGTGACCTTTCGCTTCTTGTTCGGTTCGTGAGGCCATGTGTCTATAAAAGAAAAATGTCAACTGTTGCAGTTCCTATTCATATGATTCTGCCTACTTTGCTTGAGCTTCTTGCGAGTTTGTGGTAATCTAAATCATTCAAATTAAACACCAGAACACACTTACTCAAACTACTCACTTCAATAGCTAGTTGGACACTCTTCTGAAGAGCATCTCGTGTTCGTTGATCGACAGGTTCAACACTTTGGATATCAATGGAGGTAAGAACGAGATTGTTTTGTGGAAATACGAGATGATGGCTGATGCGTTTATCGTCTCCAAAACCAAAGACAGCTGTTCGGATAATCTTGGCAGAATTTTTATGAAAGTCGTCAAATGAAATACTGGCGACAGCGCCACGAATCTTTGCTGCAACTGCTTTACAAAAATCACCGACAAAGTCAGGTACAGAGAATAGTTTGGCAGTTTCTTTCTCATTTGCTCTGTCAGCCACTTGAAAATGCCAGTTGTAGGATAATCGAAGTGAAAGACGAGCATGATCACTGGATTCAATAGTTACAAAATCACTTGAGAATTCTGGTCCCAATAGTAAACAAATCGCACGAATTTTGTTGGGCACTTTCGGTTTATCGCCAGATAAATTTAATACTGTAAATTGTTCATCAGGTCCGAGCATGACGAGTTCAGGACCGAAGATGATTCGTGCTTTTTTAGCTTTGTAATCATAGATTTGAACACAGGCATTGTGTGCAACACGATAAACGACTACTTTCGATTTATCTCTTGCTGGTACATTTGTTGATGTAGATGATTTATCTTCGAGTGATCGAGGTTCTTGTAGTAGAAGTTGTTCAACTTGTTTGGGTAAATCTTTTTCCCACAGTTCTTCGTTTTCAGTTAAGAGATAAGTACTGCCTATAACCGAACGAATTTTACCAGTTTTGACATCTCGAACATAGATGCCTTCATTGACATCCAGTGGAATTGCTTTTCGACGAAGTACAACAGAAGCTTCAATCGCTGGAATATAATCTTTTGGGCCACGAATCATCCAGCGATCTCCAGGACTACGTAAGATTTTCTATTCAATAGAATTTTCCATATAGATTGGAGAAATATCAATGAGGATTGACTTACTTCATCCTCTTTAAATGTTTCAGTACAACGAAGAATTAAACCTTCATCTTCTTCCAGTACATAAACGTCTTGAATGCCATTTTCTAGTTTCTCACCAGGTTGAAGAAAAAATGATGTTTCTCCCTACAGACAAAATCCAATATAAATATTGAGCTGTACTCTACACTTTCGATTAATTTACTTTTATGAGTTTTCTTTTTCCTAGTTGTGGTTTGCCATCGGAGTCAACTGGATTTACAATGATACAATACTGACGTGAATTCAATACTGTAACAGAAACAATACCGACTACCTAAAAACCATCTCCTTAGATATTTTATTAAACTAAATTCATCTATCTGTACTTCTTCATAAACATCGGGGATGTGTGTTTCGGCATCGGTAACATAGATCAACCATTCTTCTCCGTGAAGACGTTTTCGTTTGAACGAATCAACGAATGTTCCCAACGCTCGAACATGCAATGCTTTCTACACAAGGATATCAATACATAGATGAACATGAAGTTGTGAATGAAAAATTACTTTATCGGTTAAGACGTAAGCCTGAACAATTGAAACAACTTCTTCGTAAGCTAACGGTAAGTAGGAACCATTTGTACGATTAAGCCACTCTTCACCTGTTCGTCGTTCAATACCATTACGATCAGTCATTTCTTTTTTTGCACGTAAACGAACAGCTTCATTTGGTTTGAGAATAACTGCTTTGATTTGTTCTTCAACACTGACCTCTTTACGTGGAAAGTAGGTTCCTGAAAAACGAATCGGTTTCGAACGATATAATGGTATGAGCTTATTTTCTCTCACCTGGCCCACAAAATAGAAATTCATCTCCAGCACGTATCTGTTGACCTAGTTCATCAACAAAATCCAATACAGCACGAAGACGTAGTGCACAGTTCGGTTCGATCACTTTTAACGGTGTTACATTTTGTTTCAGGATCTCACCTGGATAAAGTGGAAAAGGTTCTTGAGCGAAACGTATATCAACATCTGAATGTAATAATTTGATTTGACCATTGGCATCGGTCATCACTTGACCATCTTTATCACGAACAGCTGGATTTTCGACAACACAATAATGGCGAGGTCTGTCAAAATTCAACAAACGGATTGATTGCGAGAAAAGTAAAAGAAATTGTACAAAGATGAACATACGGTATGATTATCATTCGTTCTGGCCCATAGATAACTGTCTCATGATCTTGTTTTACGAATGTTTTCGGGCCAACTTCAATCCGCGTTACATTGGCGTTTTGATCCAAAACATGGATATAATAAAATGGTGGAATGCGATAGACTAAAATTCACAAAGCATTCATACGAATCAACTATGAACAAGTAGAATCTTGTTACCTCCGCCGGAATGTTTAGTGTTCGACATGACTATTCTTTGTGATTGAATCAAGTCCGTGAATGAAAGCAAATTTGCGGGGCTTTTTATTTAGGAGACGGAATGTCGACACAAGTGTGACATATTGGGGCCGAGTAGGAGAACATCAGTTTCAGGTCAATGATGAAATCTCAAAGGAGGAATTGCACGAGCATTTTAAGAAAACAAGAAATTCTTAGATAACAATCGCGGTTTGTTTTCTTTACTAAGCTTGAAGAACGAGTAAGAAGGGGTTGGCGAGAGAGTGAATAAGAGAAGAACGACAAAAAAAGAACTATTGTATTGCAACTGAATGGAGAAATATTTAGTTGTGAAACTTGTCTTTCATTGATAAAAGCAGTTTGACAGGAATATGATGCAATTTAAGGTCATATCACTGAAATCGATCTAAGACAGTATTTTCTTTATATTAAATAATGATTTTATTCAACAAATTGATTCACATAAATATAAAACAATTGTTTAACGATTAAAATATCAATGAAAGATTATTCGTTGTACACAAATACTCAAAAATTCTTCTTTGAAATTCAAATATCACGCCATGTAATCAGCTTGGTTGTGTCCGTTAGATAATTTCCACTTTTGCCCTCGTCATTCCGTCCTTCATTATATAAAATAACTCCAATGATAACCAATATTGTCCCAAAACCACTTAAGAATGTAATTGGATTGCCAAAGAGCAAGATCGACAACCAAATCAACAATCCACGTTTCACCGTATTGACCACACTGAAAAATCCCTCGAATATACGATCAAATCACACTCATCTATCATATCTACCTATGTGTTATCGGTGATATATACGCCATAAGAGCAAACGCGCATACGGATTGCATATGATAAAACAATCCATTGAAAGCATAGAGAATCATCAGATCATTTGACGTCGAATTGATTACGGACGGCAAATCGACGTAATAGTATAACAAAGGTAGTTGAAAAACGCATGCGACAAGACTAGTCCATAGTTGCAATTCAATGGCTGTGTAACGATATTTTTCGCCGCTGAGCAACAATTTCGAATAGACGTTTTGTAAACTATAGAAATCAAAATTACTTATAGTCATCGATGGAAGAAAGTCATACCAATCGAAAATGTTTGTACCTAGTGCGCATAAAAATCCGAACATGTCAAAACTCAGTTCGAATGAACTGCATAAACAGAGACCAGTTGTAATTGGAATCATCGACACCTTTGTTCCATAACCTAAGACAAATTTCAATGACTCGTATTGGAATTGGTCAAAAAAAGTCGTTCAAAACTACTTTCTCTCTCGATGCGAAACTTCGAAAAGGAATTTTAGAGATTAGTCGAAACCCGACGAATTTGTTTGTAACTTCAATGATTAAAAACTCATTTACTTGTTCTTTCTCCAAGTAAAATTCGGCTGATAACAACCGTAAATAATGGAGAAGACGATTTGATCGTGGCGAGAAATGATACTGCTATATATTTCATCGCAAACAATCCGAAAATGACAGTCGCAGATCGAAATGCACCAATAAACAACATATCACGATATAAATTCTTCATAACAGTTGAACTTTTTTGAGCTGGAACATGAAACTTATTCGTAAATCCCATTTGGATATAACTACTAATCACAGAAATTAAAAGTTGAGTTATGCCTAGATTAGAATTAAGTCAAAATCAATAAAAAATAAGCATCGATTATACTGTGATTAACATACCTAATATAAACGCGTCACCATGTAAATGACTTAAGATATATTTATTAAGAAACAATGTTGCACCTGATGCAACATACCAAATGACCAAAATTATTATTGCCATGGTATGGCGTAAACCTTGTGGAACATCGAGTAGAACTCGTTCCGGCGAAATATGTACATCTGTTCTATCCGAGACGACTTCTACTAAACTTGTTATTGGCATGAATAAATTTACAATAATAAAATAACTGCATAGATATTCCACAGAATATTATTCGGGATACAAAACTGTATCGCAAAGATTAGATATGGCAATAATGGCAACAATCAGTTTTGTTTGATGTTATTTTGTTGTATGTACAGACAGATGCAGACAGACATAGTTAGCATAGCATATTAAAAAGAACGGTTTCCATTGGCTCTTGAATATGAGCAGTGACTGTGAAATGGATAGATGGTGTGCTGTATTAATCTGCTCATTCGGTCGGTATGAACATGAAGAATGAAGCAAGATTTGTTACAATCTATTGCACACAAACATCAAATTGACAAAATGTCAATAGATTTCCGTTGTGAAATGTTTTTGAACGATAGTTGAGTTGACATTTATTCTAAATGCACACTTCATTAGTAAAACTAGTCCATTGCATTCTTTTTCTGATGAGGTCAAGTCTGTCCCGGAAATGTTTCGCTGTAATAGATCTGTTGATTTATAAAACATGTTAACATGGATGTTTCTGAGGATCTGATAATGACAAGCACTCTGCTATCAAAGAGCAGTTCAACTGAAAAGTAGAATTACGTTGTTTTTTTTTCATCTAACTTACGTAAATATACAGTGATGTATCCTAGAAATATCAAATAGAACGACATATTCGTGTCTTGGGTGAACAAGTACTGTTTCCCATTTCCGCTATAAGAAAGTTAATTCTAATTTATAAAAAGAAATTTTCTTAATCGTATATGGCGCAACCGTTTATTGACAAGGCGATTATATGGTAGACTTAGTTATTGACTGATGTCATACGAGAAATTAAACACCCATGCAATTTGCATGGAAGACATTGGCACAGATGTGCCTGAAGAATACAAATCACATAATAAAATGATTATCAGCTAGATTTTTCACTGTCAATGGCAATTGGTATACATATTTATTGGTAGATCAAGCAGGACAGGAAGTAAGCGAGGTCTAAATTTCCTTTGATGGAAAACTGTCGCTTTGAAAAATTAGTACTGACTGTTTACTTTAGTCAGAAGTTTTGGGTCATATTTTTCTGCTCGCGTGACGCGTACACATTGGTAAACGTTTGTTCAGAGTAAATCTTATTCGGAAAAAGATTTCTATTTATTTAAGAGATGAGTTCATGAGAGCAGTCTATATAATCGTGAATATTTGAATAAGAGGTCTGCTGATTTTTATGGAAATCTTTGTTGAGGACACGCTATTTCCGATAAAAATAGAACTTCGGCGCCCAGAATGTTAGAGAAATGGTGCCAATCATACCTTGTTCTTATCACATCCAGATTTTCCATTTTTAATTAGATAAAAAGTTTGTAGTTTGCCAGACGGAATTTGTTTATTCATTCCATTAGTTTTTTATGAATGACCGTATTTTTAGGCATTACAAAATTTTCCTTTTTCTGTCTTGTACTCGGATTTGGATCACAAATCTATACAAAAGATCTGAATCTTTATTAACAACTTCGGCGATAGTTAAGCGTGAATCTGCCATACGAGTAAATTCAAATAAAGCCCTACCGTACTTCCAGGCTCTCTAATTTCATGAACCGATGATCTAATCGAATAGTTATCTTCCCAGAATGCTATTTTCAGAATACAGAAGAAATCTTTTTCTTTTACGAGCATGAAAATTACAGAAGAGTACATTCAACCCACAATCCGCTTTTATTTAATGAAATACCGACGTCAATTCAAGGAAAATTAGTAATTCTAGAAAGTACCACATGATGTGTCGTCTGTTATGAGACTATGTGTTTCTTTCTAAATACGCATAGAAAAAAAAACTAAGTAGCTTGATAATTTTTCGAGTCGTGCTGCGATTAGCGTGTAATGGTTGTAACTCACGTAACAAGTAAGATGGTTGCTGATTTAAGTAATCTTTCTGAACGCTAAGTCCAATATAATGTTCGGAAAAGCAACCTTCTCTTGCATAAACTATTTAATTATTTTCAGAACTAATCTTCAGCACCTTTAGTATGCAGTTAATACTCTCATGAAATGACGACATAAAACTATTAGTGAAAATCAAGTGAACTTTATAAAACGCATATATGAACTATTCCAGATATAACTACGACTTGCTAAACAAAGGCTAGCAGTTCAAAGGTACTACTTCGTTATATAAGACCTTTTTTCATGTTGATCAAGATTCATTAGAATTATATGGAATGCTTTTAAGACCACCAGCGGGTTACAGAGTTCAAACATTTCCGAGGCTAATGAATGGCTTTGGTGTAGTTTTATTTGTCATAATCTCGCAGAACCCTGCTATTTGAATGGATCATTTTGTCTAGAATTACGAGAAGGTCTTAATTAACTAAATAATGCGAAGTTCTGCGTAGAGTTATTCAATGACTTGCAGATTTGCGTTTGCCTTCTAAATTTTGTCATAAATAATTGATGGAAGAAAATTTGTTATTCTCATCATTATAAAAACCAGAATTAAATGTGTTCATCTTCACATAGCCGAGCGACAAGATTTGAAAGTTTTTTAATAAGAAAGAAAATAGCACAAAAACAGAGCTAAATAATGTTCTCTTCAAACTATGGACGTTCTTTTTTCCTCTATTAATTACAAAGTGCCATTAGGTAGTATTCGTGTTGATTAGAAATATTCCAAGAACTTTAGCAAAATTGGCACAACATTCCATACGGCAAACTATCCAGGTATAGTTCCGTTCGGAGCGATTTACTGTAGAATATTTTGTCGTTTAGCACGCAATATGAAGAACTATTGTTACACAACTCACTTACGTCTTCGGACTCATTATAGTTAGAAATTCTAATGAACATGAAGTGTCAAAATAAAACATGGTCCTCAGATAGACATGGAGACGTGACAAAACGACGCTGTCGATCTACGTCTAATAAAATTTAGATATGTTTTTAATGATAAATTTTCTGAGAATTGTACTTCACGAGGAAAATGACATTGAAATTGTAGTCAACATATCCGGTTATGTTACAGGGGAGTTTATGCAGAAGATGCACTTTTACCAAAGACGAAACATTTTCTGATTTAATACCTCAATGTGCAATGCTATCGAGTGCGCGAGACGTTAGAAATTTGCATAGTATACATTCTATTCATTGGATGAGAGCAATCTTCAAGTGGAAGAAATCGTACTTTAAAACTATTTGAAACAACACGATGTTTGCCAATAAATTACTGAGCTGTTTTGTTTGATATTGCGCAGCATCGTTCTTCTAAATTTCTCGACGATTGTCAATGTTTTGTATCTAAGAATAGGCTGTAAAATTTTGCCAGATTTAGTTTCTGCTTTTTCTTTATTAGTAATCAAATAGTTCGTTTAAGAACGTTAAACTCAATTCTATCATTCTTTTACATGTTCTGTAAGGATGAAAACATCGTCGTTTCTCTCACTATAAATAGAGCACAGGAAGTAGCAGACTTTTGGAAAATCTTTAGGTAGAAAATTTCACATAAGCGCAGCGTATCTAATTAAAAAGTTTTCTTGGAAAATCTTTTAAATACATTGAGAAATTGTTAGTTTGTCCTGCAGTCAGGTTTGTAATTTAACAGATTTCTAACGATTAGCTTGTTAGCTTCTGTTAACAGGCAGTATAGATAGAAGATTGAATCAACTTGTTTGCATATGCAAAGTGCAGTTTTCTAAACATACCGACGACTTTATCTTTAGAACAGAATGTGAAGTGTGTTGGAATTCAATTCCGTCGTAGATTTGTCGGACGAACATTTGTTCTCGTTTTCAACTTTTTTAATAAGTCGTACGATTCAGATAAGGAAATGCAAAAGTTTTCTTTTCTTCGTTGTAAAAGCACAACATTAGTTGAATCGACGTCGAGATCTCTGCACTTGTCAGAAGTGAAATAGTGAGAGCAACTTCGTAGAAAACCGAACGTGTTGTACTTATCATTTAGTTCCTTGAACCTGCTAACATTTCCGAGGTATATTTCCTCTTCAAGAATGATTAGGCGGAATAGATATCATCCAATTAATTCACATGACTAGCTACACTCTATCAGCTAGGACGGAATAGACATTGTAATACACTTTAGTCCTCATTTTTGAAAGCAGAAAGCATGCCATTTGACGTTTAATAATAAGTTCAAGACAGTCCCATTAGTAATAATTATTATCATAAAGTAATCTGTCAGAGGTTAGCTCAGAGCTGTTAGCAATTGGAAACACCTTCGGTTTTACTGGAAGTGTAGTTCAGCGGATACGACTAGGAAAATATATGAATAGATTTTTTTCTTCGGCATTTAAAACGAGCCAGAAAAAAAAGAAAGAAAGGTTTAGTTTTTGTACTGATACTTTTGCGAAATATTGATGAAAGTATATCCGGATAGATTATGACGCTTATTTTAATTAGTTCAAGTCATTATTATCGTCTGCAGTAACTCTTGTGGGTTGTATTGATGAGGAAGAAAAAGAAAAAGAAATTCGCACCAACTTTTTTCTAGATTATTTTGATATTCTTCACCATGACTGAAGTCATCAATGGTTCATTGAATAATTCAACCAGTTTATCAACTCAACATTCTCCAGATACACTGAAATTTTTCTTCAAACATATTTATTTACTACTAGTTGTCATCATCGGTGGTATTGGCAATGTCTTCGTTATTATCATCTTCGGCCAACGCGCAGTTCGTACCACAGTTCGATATTCAGGATCGAGTATGTCGGTTTATCCCTTTCTCTTTTACATGGCGATATCAGATACAATCTATTTAATTATCATCTTTTGCTTATGGTTATCAAATTATATCAATGTTTTATATCGACCAGGTATTTGCCAAGTGACACTGTATTTGACATATGTATGTAACTTTATCAATGCTTATTATACGATTGCATTCACAGCTCAACGCTTATTTGCGGTGATCAATCCATTTCGTGTCTCGCATTTTCTCTCGTGGTACCGTTCACGATGTTTGGCTTTGTCAATAATCAGTTTTGCTTGTTTATTTTATTCGTATCTACTGGGGACAATTCACATAAAAAATAATACATGTTTCTCTCGCAAGAGTTGGCATTGGTTCAATAAATACATGGATGTGATTGATAGCATTATTGTTTTTCTTATTCCATATGTGGTTATAATTACAATGAATGCGATCATTGTCATCTCGTTACGCCGAATGAAACAAAATCAACACGAATTTCTCTTTCAAAATCATTCCCAATTGAATAAAATTCGCGAAGTTACCCGTCGAAGTGCATCAAGAAAAATGACGAAATTACTTTTAACTGTTTCAACATCCTATCTGATCATCTGTGCACCGTATGCATGTATTCACACATGGCGTTTATCGCTCATCGACGAGAAAACACATGTCAACTTGCAGCTAATTAAAAGTTTAGAATATTATTCACATCAGATTTATCATATCTCGTTTGCCATGAACTTCTACATATATATCGTGTTCGGTTCGAAGTTTCGCCGTGAATTGAAGCGATTTTTCACGAAATCCAAACAGAATCTTTATCACCTTGTTCATCAGCAACAAATCTTTGAAAATGATAACCACATCGAAGTGGAATTATCGGAAAAGAACTCGACCTTAACACACGAATATACTATACATGCGACTCTACATCCGATGAGTCAGAAACTTCATCTCCCAAGAAACTATTTTTGTTGTCAGTCTCAAGAGTAAATTGTATTTAAAAGAAAAAAAGAAAATGAAACTCATAGATGAATAAATTATATTCACACCAACGAGTAGTTATCTTTTACTTTCGATATCTTCAAACGAAGAGAAGTCTTATCATGTCGTATTTATTTTCTTTCATTTGCGAAAGGTGTGCATAAGATTTTAGCTCGGTGTTTTACAGTCTCTTCAATAGGCACATTTGTCTCTTTTTGTAACTAAAGAAAACGAGCTAAACAATGTCGGACGCGGCGGCAACAACAAATGGTTTGATTTCAGAGAAATTTACGAAAATCGTTTTTTGATTTTGTTGTTCATTTTTATAGGAGTAAAGAATAAGTTTGATGGCGATGGCGTGGTATTTAAAGGCAAACTCATCGGTAGGAAGAAGAATAGATTTCTAATGCAACAAATATATTGTTCTTTTTTTGCGTTTGCTTTGCTCAATCAAGGAATGGAAGATTTATCCATGGATCGTGACGAGAAAGTTTGTCTTGATTCAATGTTTAAGTTGAAAGCGGTAGTACGCGCTCGTGGAGAACATAAACAAAGAATTCAATTAAATCTAACGATGAATGGAGTGAAAGTTTATGATGACACGTCGAAAGTAGGTGAATAAGAACCATTCATTATTGATAGAGATATTTTGTTTCTGTCTCAGACTTTAATTGCGTCTCATGAAGTTGAACGAGTCTCGTTCGTGGTTTTAGATCCACGTGACCAACGAGCATTTGGATATGTCTACAATACCAGCGACGATCGACATCAATTCTGGGCAATTAAAACCGAACGACAAGCCGCTACAACTGTACTTGCCTTGAAAGAACTTTTTGAAACGGCATTTGAGGAATTTACTAAAGCAGAAAAAGAAAAAGTAAAAGCTACTTCAGAAGTAACACCTGCACCAACTCCAGTAGCAGAAGTAATTATATTCAGATGCATCTAAATTGATGAGATTCTTCAGTAACGCGCATAATATTATTGTTTCAGCAATCGACTTTGATATCTACGTCATCACCCACGACACCATCTCCTCAAGTAACAACACCACGAGTATGTATAGTCTTTCGTTATTTTTCCAATACGACCATGCGAATCTGTAGGCACCTGAAACCGATTCCATATGGGGAGATCTCACTTCGCCTGCAGCTCCAAGTGTAGCACCAGCACCTCAACAGGTACAACAACAACAACAATCAACACCTAATATCGATCTATGGGATGCAGGTGAACCCAATCTTATGGGAGGTCAGGCTGCTCAAAGTGTAAGTTCTTTTCAAATGTCATATTAGTATCATTGAGACGAAAATTTATTACATTGACAGTCTTCTGATGATATGTTTGGTTTACTTGGATCACCAACACCATCGATACCAGCAGTCAATCAATCAATCCCGGCTGCCACTTCTCCCGCAGACGATCTATTTTCCATGTTTGCACCTGCTGCACCTGCTGCACCAGCGCCTGTCATTAGTAATACTGCCATTGCTCGACCACCACCACCACCACAACCAGCTATTATTCCCCAACAACCAAATTTACCCTTTGCTACACCCTTCGCAGGCATTGTTCCTCAACAACAAAACTTACTCTTTTCCCAACCCGCACCTGCTGTTCCCCGACAACCGCCACCACCGCTACCACAACAGAACTTACTCTTTGCTGCACCTACGCCATTTGCCGCTCCTCAACAACTACCTCAGCAGAACTTACTCTTTTCCCAACCCGCACCTGTTGTTCCTCAACAACCATCACTACCACAACAACAACAACAACAGCAGCCGAGCTTACTCTTAGCTACACCCGCACCTGCTACCGTTCCACCACCAGCTACCAAAGCAGTTGATGAATTCGATTTACTCGGTGACTTTGCCTAATCGTCTTCACATAACTACCGAACATTTCCAATCTATATTAATTATTATTTCTAATATTCTATTTTTCATCTATGTTTGTACTTAAAATGCTATTCGTGTTATTCTTCTTGTGTCGAATAGTTCATATTCATGACTTCAATTCATATCAATAAATTTCAAACCATTTATTCTAGGCCAAACATGGCACACCAATACTAAAAACAGTTTGATTCCTAATTCAATTTATTCTTGTTGTCAATATACTTAATTTCTCCTGGCACTTTTCATTTCAACTTTGACAGATCTGTCATCTGTTCGTTTTTCGACCACAAGACATCAACATCTTTAGTAATACTTTTTCATGCAATGATAAGACTAGTCAACAGGTTCCTAAACTATTCCTATTTATCATATCTCGATTCTTATCTATCTATCTCAAATAGAATAACACAAGAATTTTACAAAATGAATTTCTGCTATGCGTATATTTCGTTCTATTATTACCGACCAATAATAAACTCGAATGGATGATTTATTCTGACTGGATAAATACGTCAATTATTATATGTGTCCTAGGATATACACATATTTGTGAGAGAACGCTTTCTGCATACAGAACACGCATAGGCGAAAGAACAGAACAATATGACGTATATTTGCCATGCCGATGTAATGCTTTCAGACAACCTCCGTATATTCGATCAATCATAAATATGTACAGAAAAAGAAGTACTAAAGGAAAGGAAATATACGCCCAACACAAACGTTTACTCAATAAAATGAGTAAGAAACCCTTTTTTTCTCACCAGTAAGTAATCCAAACGATGACCTAAACTTATGGTATTTCTACATGATAAGTTGAAAAACTAAAATAACGAACGATAGCATTGATTACTGATCAGTATTATGTGTAACAGAAAAAAACAGATTCACGCATGAATGCTCACTATGATATTGACATAAAATGTACAGAAAAATACAAATAGGTGATTGTATAGTTTTCTTTGCAGCAGCATCAAAGAAATGTTTTCGTTTAACTATTTTAGATGATATTTCGATGGATTTATTTATTTTTACTTATATTGTGGTTACAATCCGGAATTGTAGCTCGAAAATATTCGAAATACCATGAGCGAGCTGATAATTTCGAACATGAAATACTTGATATGCTCAACAAGCGATACTCTACAAATTTCCATTCAATTTCTGATATACTAGAACTCGACGAACGTGAAGAAGTTGATCCTAACGACCATGCCGATGTTGAACTTTGGAATAAATTAAATGATGAAGATATAGCGAATATGCCAAAGACCGATGATTATTCCAGCGAAAAGGATGCGTTACGTTGGCTTGAATGGTATTCGAAAATATCACTACGAAACTATCAAGTATGTAAGACGATGAATACGATTCTTTATTGAATGTTTTATTCTTCTAGGTCAGTGCGTTTCTTGGATGGAATCATCGAACTAATTTAACAAAAGAAAACCAAGCAGCCGTATCTGCACAGAGTGTTCGAACAGCGCCTTTCAATCGCATGGCTTTGCCCATTGCGAAAAAATTTAATGAATACATGAAAAACTCGAACAATGAAGACTTGAAACGTATTTACGGTCGTTTAGCTCAAGGTACAATTAGCCACAACGATGAAGATGTCAAGACACGTTCTAAACTACACTCGAAACTGGAAAAAATCTATTCCACAGCTGAAGTTTGTGAATTAAATGATACGAAGAAGTGTTATACACTTTCACCAACATTGGAACAGCTGATGCAAGTCGAAAAAGATTATGATCGTTTACTATGGGCATGGAAAGGTTGGCACAATCAATGTGGCAATAAGATTCGTCCAGTTTATCTACCTTTCATTCACCTATTGAATAAAAGTTCGAAAGAGAACGGATATAAAGACTTAGCGGTAAGTCAAAGATATCCGTGGGACACTTGTTCTCATTGTTCTTTTGTGTTTTACAGCAAGAATGGATTCAGGATTACGAAATGGGTGATGACATCGAATTTGAACGCATGTTTGACGACAATTTGAGAGCGATAATGCCACTCTACGAACAACTACATGCGTATGTGCGCGGCCGTTTGTGTCAACTCTATCCCAACCGTTTCGATTGCGATGGTCCCATTCCCGCTCATCTACTCGGTATGCGTCTGTTGTTCTCATTAATTTAAATACACAATTGCAATCTATGTATAGGTAACATGTGGGCACAACAATGGCAGGATCGCCTTGATGATTTTATGCCATATCCTGATGCTCCGCTTGTTGATATTACAGAAATGTTACACAAGAAAAAGTACACAATTCATCGAATGTACACAACTGCTGAAGAATTTTTCACTTCGATCAATCTTTATCCAATGACGCCAAAATTCTGGGCGCGTAGTTTGTTTTCCAAACCAAAAGATCGCGAAGTTGTATGCCATCCTTCAGCATCCGATTTCAAATATCACGATGATTATCGAGTTAAAATCTGTACAGTTATAAATGATGATTATTTTTATACTGCTCATCATGAAATGGGCCATGTAGAATACTATATGTCCTATGCGAAAATGCCGTTTGTTTACCAAGATGGCGCGAACTCCGGTTTTCACGAAGCCATTGGAGATACAATCGGCATGTATGCAAGTGAGTTTGTGATATGAAATGGTATTCATGTTCTATGAAATAATTGTGCTCTTAACATTTTTAGTCTCAATTCCACATTTAATCAAATTAGGTTTTGTCGATGAGAAGACCGTTACTTTGCATTACGAAATGAATTCTTTGATGCGTATGGCTTTACAAAAGGTAGCCTTCTTGCCTTTTGGTTACGTTATGGATAAATATCGTTTTCAACTATTTCGTGGCCAAATCAAAGAAGAGACAGAATTAAATGCAAGATGGTGGGAGTTACGTAAAAAGTACAGCGGACTTATGCCACCTGTGCCTCGAAGCGATCCCGAAAACTTTGATCCCGGTGCGAAATATCATATACCATCAAACACTCCATATGCAAGATATTTTATTGCTCATATCTTACAGTTTCAATTCTATCGTGCAATGTGTCGATTACAAGGTCAAACGGAACGCCTCCATATGTGTGACATCTATGGAAACAAGGATGTCGGAACCAGATTTCGGCAAATGTTGGCAATGGGAAGTTCCAAACCATGGTCAGAAGTCTTAGAAAGTTTAACGGGAGAAACTAAATTAGAGCCACAGGCAATGATGGACTATTTTGAGCCATTGTATAAATGGTTGAAAATGGAAAATCTTGCTCGAGGTTATCCTGTTGGTTGGATGTGATAGCAAGAAAGGAAGTACAGGCTTCGATTTTCGACAGTGTACATCTATGATATTTTTATCTAATAAATATCTGATGTTTACAAGCTATTTTGTAAACTTTATGACAGTATTATTTTTTTCTTCAAAGAAATATTTCTTAGATTTCATTTCGGATTTATTATTCGTTACTTGAGAGTACAAAAAATGGACGGATAGAATTGGAGAATACTTTTCAAATGAGATTTAAACTTTCATTTTATCTGTTGATTGTTGTTGAAGATCATGAATCATATAATTAACTGGGTCCGCAGGTCGAGTCAAAACAACTTTCGCTGTCAGTGTCTACAAAGCATACACAGATAAAAAATACTCTTCTATTGATCGAACATTTACTTTGAGATATTCGTACATTCCATGTCGCATCATATATTTATCAGCGAGAACATCTGGATTCTCATTCTGATAGGTTTTGTGTAGCATAACATCGATTTCTTCATCGGTAGCTTCTTGTTGTTCGCCATTGTCATTAATTTTGAGTAAACCAAGCATTTGCAAACGTCGTTGAGCTTCAGGATGTATACGTTCGAGTTCAAATTTCAATTTAGTTGCTACAACGAAACTGTCCACATCCAACGATTGTAAAGTCGACCATTCTGCTGGATGTTCATTCATCATGGTATAAATCTTAAACAAAAACAAAAGCTAAAATCTAACCGAATCAATAACTATGAAACAAAAATCACAATCAATTTCTTAAAATTAGAAAAATGAAAATGAGTTTCTTCGGTTAGTCAGGTGGCCATTCGAGTTGTCGTCCACCAAGAACATGAATATGTAGATGATAAACACTTTGACAAGCATTTCGACCATTGTTTATCACTAGACGATAGCCATCGTCAGCAAGACCTTGTTTTTTTGCCACTTGTGTCGCAACGATCATGAGATGGCCGAGTAGCTGTGCGACCGAAGCGAAGTTATTATAAAGATGAAGAACATTTTAACTTTACTTTTTCATGCGATGGTTTGCAGGCTGACAATTGTGGAATAGGTTCTTTAGGTATGACTAAGAAGTGTGTTGGTGCTTGTTTGCTGATATCATGAAACGCTACACACTAAATTTCCAAATGAATACAATGAGATTGCTCTATTTCTTTTTTTTCACGAGAATGAAGTCGAAAACCTGGTCATCTTCATGAAGTAAATCGACAGGGATTTCTTTTCTGGCGATTTTACCAAAAATCGTATCTTCTGTTGGTTTAGCTGTTTGCGCTTTTGCTACTTCATCAGATGTTTTCGCTGAGCAATCTGAAATAGTTTCAATTCATATGAATCGATCTAGTCTTTCAAACAACCACAACTCACAAGGGGCAGATGCTGAGAAATATGCATAAGAACTACAACGATGAGCAGTTGTCAGCGAAGCTAAACTCAATAGACCCCGTATGACGGCTGACATTGTTCGGTGAGATCTTGTCTACAATACAAACAGATTCAGTAAGTTAGAACATCAAGAAAAAACGAGACTTGTTTATTGACAGCGAAACAAAAAGACAATGTCACAAAAAAATGTTCTAAACAGCCGATTGACGATAATTTTTTGTTTGCAAAATCTTCACTCCACACATGCCACATATGCCCAATTTGTAGGCACAACCTAGACGAACTCAAATCGAAAAAACGCTAAACGCATCGGAAAAAAAACAAACCTTGACAATAAGAACTTCCCGGTTGATGAATAGTACCTTTGCACACTTTACATTTGCTAAATTTAGTCGTATACGGACTATACCTAGACATAGACTGATTATAGGCAATTTACACGGTTCGAGATGAAGAACAAACCGTGTTGATTTTCCGCTTAATAATTTATTCTCATTTAGTTTTCGACCACCACTTTCTAAGAACGATTTACACAAACGTGAACCAAGACAGTTTATTACAAATACATACCCACTGTATTACGAGAACCACCTAGAAGAGAGACGCGTGCAAAGCCTTCAACCATTTTTTAATATCAACAACAAACATACTTTTCCAAGTCTCTTGTGTTGCAACTGTGCCAACTTTCTTTTTACCTGACAAACAGACAATTTTTGATCTCCAAACGGAAAACTTCAATGAACTTACAATTGTCGCAAACCATGATAATCTATGTACACAGTTATTCTATATCTACAACAAATGAACTGTATATTTATCTAATCAGCTAGTGGATTGGCATGAATAGTAGCACGTTGTATTCGAATGTCTGTTTCTGGTCGATATGTTTTTTCGTTCACCGAGACTTTTTCTAATTCATCGAGAGTTTCAAATCCATCAATAACTTTGCCAAATACAGTGTATTTTCCGTCAAGATTCGCTTGTTTACTATAGGTTATAAAAAATTGCGAGCCATTCGTATCTGCACCTCGACTGGCCATCGAAACGATTCCTCGTTGACTATGCTAAACGAATCAATTAAGTTTAATTGATTGAAAAAAAGTGCAAGAGTACTTTCAAAAGAGGATCAATTTCATCCTAAATAAACGAAAAATACAAGTGAATAGTTTAATGAATAATGTAGATGTATTACTGGAAAATATTCACCCCAAATACTCTGTCCACCTTTGCCAGTTCCCGTTGGATCACCAGTTTGAATCATATAACCTTTTACATTTCGATGGAATAAACAATTATCGTAGTAATTACTTGCACACAAGGCCAAGAAATTCTAGATTTATTATATACTTTCTCGATGAAATATTCATCTCATCGTTGAATTCCTTACCTCACAAGCTTTCGGACATTGATCACAGTAGAGTTCGATTTTGATATCACCTAAATCCGTGTGTAGTGTAACAGACATCTAGAACGCAGAAGAATCAAGGAAATGAAAATAATCTCGTAGATTTTGTTTTTTTACACAATCAAAGGCAAAAAAAGTAAATAGATGTATAAAAAAGAAAAGTATTGTACAAGAATCGCAAACGTTCTTTTTCATTGTTTATGCTGACTCGCCTTCCGTGTTCACAACGACAGTATTGTGTTCGATCTCATCCTTTTTCTGTCGACGATATTCACAATGGAAAAAACAGATAAAACAAATGACTAGAACCACCGAAAACGCAGCCAGAATATATACAGGAACTAAACAACGAGACATGAAACATAGGAAAAGCAATTGTGCAGTGTTTTACTCGAATAATCACGAATATCATCGAGTTGTCCATCTTGAATGTCACATTTCTGAATACTCATTTGATGAGGTGAGGGTGACATTGTAAAATGTGGTAAGATGATAATCGCAAGTATACTTCCCACTTGACTAGAAACAGATTGGATGTAAACTTACATATGTTATTTGTAATTTTCTTACCTTGCCACCATGAAAATTCCCACTACAGTAGCTTCAGGAACTGGATGCGTACTAAATAAAAGTGTCAGTAAATGTTTAGATAAAGTCTGTCGCATCGAATTACATACGTTTCAATACTCAGATCTAAACTTAGTGGAAGTATAGGCGCATTTGATAATCCAGCGATAGCAAAGATCAGATAAAGCCAATACGATTTGACTTCGTTAACAATGAACTATTGATACATATGTATGAAATAGATAGTAATCAGAATGTTTACTTACTAATCCAATACACATCAATGAAATAACTCCAATGGAATACAGAATCTTTGTTAACTCTTCTAATTTTTTTGTTTTATCGGCAATGTAGCCCATGACAATACATCCGATCAAGCCAAATATAATAAAAGAACCGATACATAATCCCACTGCAATGTTGTCATAGCCAAATGGACACATAATCTGTTGTAACAATGTCGAAAGTGTATTGTTATTCGATAGACCAATACCAATCGTAGCGAAGAGAATTAAATACGATTTCGATGTAATAAGCTGAATAATAAACATTGTTAATCAATCGATTTATCAGAGTTAAATTTCATACTTTTTTGAAAACTAATCGATAAGGAGTTTTGACATCAAGTGCTGCTAAACACGATGGTGTTGGTGGTTGTGATGATCGAACAGTTAAGGACAAAGCAGCTGCAAGAATTGCTGGAATTAATGTGAGATAAAGCTAAATGAATGAATAAAACAATCAATAGAAAGAGATGTTTTCGTTTGCATTGCATAGCACATACTAATAGAGGTATTTTATGTTCATTAGGAACGATCAATGGTGGTGTCACAGTACCAATGAAAACACCGAGAAAGTTAGCTTGAAAGATACATATGTAAAGATACGTTCTGACAGTGTTTAAATCTTACTAGCAAAACAGAGACTATTTGCTAATGTTCGTTGGTGTTCTGGAAACCACGCAAAAGCAAATTTAGTTGGTAAAAACAGTGTAAATGTTTGAGCGAATGAGCAAATCAATTGACCTACAGAAATCAATCAAATAATTAATATGATTACTAAAAATATGTCTTACCGGTGAAAACAATTGGATAACGGCCATGCACCGAAACGAATCCCCATGTGCTAATCACTCGAAACGATCCACCGATTAGATTCAACCAAACACCTGTTAAAATCTGTCGAAAGAAATTCTATCCTTGCTGAATTTGATCATCTTTCGAGAACTTACTCCAAATCGAATACCGAAGCGATCAATGGCCCAGGTCGATGGTAATGTAAATATACCACAGACGACCATAAATATAAGTGAAAGCCAGTTGACAGCTGCATAGGAAACGTCGAAATATACTTTAGCATAATTAGCGATTGAAGCAAAATTTATCCATAACTATACGAACGCGTGTTATTATTTTCAATGAAGTAACAAAAAAAGTTTACTCACAATTGAATTTGACAAATTTGCCAGACAGATACAGAGTAGATAAAGCCATCGTCGTCTGTATACTTTGAATTCTAGTGGAGTCACCAAAGGTGTTGGTGACGATGGACGAGAATCATCATTATCGATAGAGCCGTACATCTAGAAATTACGCAATCACATGAAATAACATCGAATGACATGTTATGACTATCGAGTTGGTGTCATTCGCTAACTATGATCGACACCGACAAACTACTCTTGCCTCTATCCGATGCAAAAAAGAATATTGTCTTACTGTTAAATGGATGTTTCAATCCAATACACAACAATCACATTCGTCTCTTAGAAGTCGCACGCGAACATCTAAATACGTTGGATACATATCATATCGTTGGTGGATATGTTTCTCCAACTCATGATGCCGCTATTCAACGGAAAATATCGACTATTCATGCAACATGGCAAAATCGTCTCGAAATGTGTCGACTAGCTGTTCGAGATTCATCATGGATTATGGTAGATGGATGGTTAGTCTCGCAAGAGAGAAATATCGGTGCTCAACAATCTAAACAGCATTTAAAAGATTTCCTGTGTAAATCTTATCCTTCGATTGAAGTTGTATCGGTATGTGGTGGTGATGCTTTACCAAAATTGAAAGTAACATTTAAAAAAGAATTGGTAATATGCGTAAATAATCGACCGATTGAAGATTTCGACTTTGACGAATGGTTTCATTCACCAGCCATCGAACAATTTCATCATAATATCATTCTCATACATGATAATCAATGTAGTAAATACATAAGTAGTACGAATATTCGTCGACGAATCAGTGAAAATCGTTTTGATTTATTGATTGATGATCTTCATCCATCAGTGCTCGATTACCATCGTGAACAAGAAATCACTTATCGTTCGGCAGATGAAACTGTTCTTTGGTCTGAACTCGGCGGAAATGACGGTGTTGTACTTGGACAAGGTCGATGTGCGACGGTTTATCAGAAAGAATATAAACATCGACATGTTGCTGTAAAAGTTATACGGGAGCGTAGACAATTTGTGAACGAATTGAAAGTTTTAACACTATTGGCTAATGAAACATCATATCATGTAAATCTCATTGAAATATATGGCATAGGTGATCAGTTTTGTGTCATGGAAAAATGTGATATAGATCTTCTTTCATACATTGAGAAGAATCGAATGGTAAAAAGCCAGACAATAACAACAATTTTCCCAAATTCACAGTGGTTAAGTTTCATCAAACAAATGTTGACTGGATTTGTTCATTTGATTTCACTTGGCATTCTTCATCGTGATATAAAGACAGATAATATTCTCCTATCCAATATGATTGTTAAAATATCTGATTTCAGTGTGTCAGTCAATTTGAGTTCCATGACTAAAATGCCAGTGCGAGGTTCGATGCGTCATTACCCACCGGAATCTATCAATGATAAGCAAATTTACACCGAAAAATCGGATGTTTTCATGTTTGGATGCTTACTTTATGAAATTGTTCATGGTGGACAACGCGTTTGGCATGAAGTCGACACATCTGAAGTTGTCAAGCGACGATTAAACGGTGAAAAACCATTATTTTCCGTGCAATGTGAACCATGGTATTTGGACGCGGTGACACACGATTGTTGGGCATTCAATAGTGACCAACGACCAACATTTGAACAACTATTACAGAATACATTTATACGAAATAATTAAAAGAAAGAAATCAGCAGGTTAAGCTTATAATAAACTACCAATGACAGAATATGAAATAAGAAATGTAGAAACCAGCGACATCTGTGTGAATGATCGATTCGAAACAGGCGTTGTCAGTTGTAACTCAATACTTTGAAGATCGATACACTAATTGAGAACTTCTTCGAATAGAAGTATGTCGAGGTGAAATTTATTTCGAGAAATAGATGAATATGTATAAAATTGCAAGTCAGCTTTAGTTGACTCATTATGATTATTATTCATTGAATTACAATACAACAACGAAAAGAATTAAATCACAATATACATCGTTTGAAAGCTGAAGTGTGATGTAAAGCATACCAAGTTACCGAAAGAATGTCCTTCGATAATAAAACAACTTTTGTGCGGATAAATTGTGGATTGTCATAATTCGTATGTGCAACTAAAATGAAAATAGATGCAAAAATACTTCTTTTTTTATCAGTGCAATTTTCGTACTTTGTCCAATACCCTCGTAGGAAAGAGGAGAATCGGATTCCACTTCGATAGGACGTATAGCAGCAAACGATATTTTCCCATGTGGTACATTTCGATCACCGGAAATCTTGCGTGCTACTAAAGCATCCGAAATAGTTTCTTCATTTGTCGACGTATCATCACTAACAGAAGGACAAGTGAATTCGTGAAAGAATTCGAGATGAAGGAGTTCTAGACCATGACCACCATACGATCCAACCCAGAGTCCATTCAAACGCGACAATGGATGATCATGTTCACTGGTAGTTGGCTGAACAATCGACAATGGATAATAGTAGATAGTCTCATGTTCATAACAACATTTTATAAAATGAATATCACGTTCTCTGGGATGAGCATCGTCGCGATGATCATTTAAAATTAATGATGATCGTTCACTGATTGGCAGAGCTTCTTGTGATAAACCAAAGTATGGTTCGTTATTATCGAAAGTTTTGACCCATTTTAGTTCTGGGTGTGGCAAATTACAATCGTAGCAAAAGATTTGATTCGTTTGCGTATCAATATTGAATATTTTTGTTTGTATGTAAATGGGTTCAAAAGATGATTCATCGTCATCCATGTCGAATTGGTCATGTTCGGATTGTGCAGGATAAGGTGCGATTTTTTCTCCAATGATGTTCCCATCGGACAGATTTAGATGAACATTGATAAGACCACCGAAAAACATCTCATCCGATTTCCAATAGCCGAGATATCGACCGTAGGGCACAAGAATCTTTGTGAATATTCTATAAAAAAAATGTTGGAGCATACTTCTTCGTTTTTTCGAACATTTCAATCTTCTTACTCATAAAAACTTTGTTTTATCGTATTCACTGGCGGTTTAACATTGTACAATTGATAACATAGTCGTTTCCATAAGCGGTCATCGCGTGAAACAGTGGAGAACAGAGAACAAACACGAGAAAATGAACACAGATCTCTCGGTGAATCTATACGGCTAGCTACTTCAAAGAGAACTTCATATGGAAGTTGATCCATCTGAAAATAAACATAAACTAAAAAGATTTCATTTAAAAGATTCATCTAATGTTCGCAACGACGTCTGTATTTGCATTTGAAAGATCGAAAGTAAAAAATTGTGACAACAATCATGATAAATGCCATCGCGTAAAGTGATGCTGAAACAACAAGGATCTAGAACTTCAAACAGAAGATCTTAGATGTTTACTTGAATAATTTAGTATTGCCAGTCCATGTTTGACATCTTTCGAACAAGTCTCAATCGACATTTCATGCTCATTCAACGGACGAGCGAACTTTGGGAAAACCGTCACCATCAGGATTCCAATGACTTGACTACATAGTAAAAATTCATAAAAGTCGATTCGATTTGCTCGTCTCTACCTTGACATAACACTAACACCGATTGCTGTTGCCTCAGGTATTGGATAAACGCATTCAAGCGTCAAATCCATCGAGATAGGCGACAAAGACAACGATACAAGTCCAACCAAAGCAAATGCGAAATAGATCAAATACCTTTCCATTCGACAAACAATGAACTAAACGAAAGGTTCAGACTAGCAAACTTTATTTGATGATTCGGATCTATACTATGGCAAGAAGAACATACGCAATTGAACTTGCAATATATAAACCTTTCGAAATTTCGTTTAATTTTCCCGTTCGATCAGCAACATAACCAAATAATAACGAACCCAAACTACCCATTCCAATAAACCATCCTAGACAGAATCCAATTGTCCTATTATCGTAGCCATACGTACACATGATCTGTTCAATTAATGTTGACAATGCGTTAAAGCATCCAATAGCAAATCCACAAGCAAGAAATAAAACAACGAATGATTTCGATTGGAAAAGCTAAAGAAAATTCTCAGAAAAGATCAAATTTTCAAATGTCCGAACACGATTTCATACTCGTTTCAATGCACAAGTAAACGATTGTTGCACACGAACGACTGCTTTACACGATGGTGTCGGCGGTTCAGCTGATCGCATGGCCAAACAAAGTAAAGCAGCACAGGAAGCAGGCATAACATTGACATACAACTTAATGTGAGAAAGATTACGATAAAATGTCAACTCTTCAACTCACTAATAACGGAATTCTGTCGATAGTCGATGCAATCAGGGGCGAAAGAATACTGCCAAGTAAGATACCAAAGAATCCGCCTAAAAATGTGCAAAAGTAATCAATGACTATTGAGAAGAATGAACCTACTCCCAATAGCAATTGAATTAGCGAATGAGCGTTGTTTTTCCGAAAACCATAAAAAGCAAAATTTCGTGGGAATAAACAGAATAAAAGTTTGTGCTAGAGCACAAAAAGTTTGTCCTAAAACACAAGAATGTTCTGTTAAAAAAATACGTTTTCATTTCAAACTTTACCTATCATCAACACACCAAATTTTCGATTTCGATCAAATATTGACAACACACTCAAACACCGAATCAAACTTCCAATGGCATTCGTCCAGGTTCCAATCAGTAACTATAAACTGCACACGATCTACTTTTACACAACATTCTATCAATCAAACCCCGGAACGAACACCGAGCCTATCGATTAACCATGTCGATGGCAATGTAAACGGTACTGTTATAAGCATGTAAATTAAACTCAGCCAATTGATCGCATTGTAACCGACTTGATAGTATTCCGAAGCTAAATTAGCAATCGGTGAGAAATTTATCCAGATCTATATGGAAATATCTAATTAACCGTACGAAATCAATTTGATTTACCATTGCATTGGAAATTTGAGCTAAACAAACGATAAATAAATAAAACCACCGGCGTTTATATGTGATATATACATCGAGAGTAATCTCCTGTGTCTCCTCGTCTTCATTCTGACGGAGTCGTTGATAATCAGTCATCTAAAACAGTTTTGTTTTGATGTAAATCAATTGATCTTTCACAAAAATATGTTAGTTAAAACGGAGTTCTTGATATTCTCGTTCTTAAAAGTTTCAATCGCATCTTTGTACAAGAAACACTTTTCTCTGGGAAAATATTTGAAAATGTAAAGCAGCTGTCCACTCATGATCAATAATGTTCTTCAATCGGATTTCCATCATCGACAAGTCCATGTTCAACCATTGCCTTTTGTCGAAGTTTTTCAATTCGCTCTTTCTTTTCTAAATCTTCTTTTTGTAATTTCAGAATTTCTTCAATTGAAACTTCAAACAGCGGAACGCGTAATGGTTTACGATAATCTAATTCACCTATGAGTAACACATTCTCTCCTCGAATTACGAACAAACCACGGGGAATATCTGCGTATTGCTGACCAACACAAATGCGTTCGAATGCTTGATGAAGAACAAGATTCCCTTTGAAAAGAAAAAACAACAAGCATATTATGAATCATTCGATTTCTCAATGTAAATATTTAACAAATTTTCAATTATTTCAATTAAATACATGTTTAATCCATCGGTTAGAATTTCATTCGGTAAAAAGATCGTATCGAATGACATCGATCTAGATTGTGTCTCTTGATACCTACCAAACTGATCGAGACTTCGTAGGAAAGCAATTAAGGTTCGACCATCACGTAGAATAACCATTAATTGTTCTAAATATACATCGACTTCGGTTTTAGATCGGACTATTCTTTGATATTTTTCTTCTTACTGTCAATATCATCGACTAGCGTTGCGATACCGGATAAATAAAAGTCATTATTGACTATACTTATATCCATGATGTAGAAGAAAAGATCAAAATCTGAAAGAGAAGATTTTTAATGAACATTGTACTTTTTCTTTCGTGTGTACATTTCAAAGATTTCTTTTTCTCTTCTCGATACATCATTATTCAATCACGTCTATAACCCTCTCCTATAGTGTCAATTAGGTTAAACATAAAACGAAAAAAACGACGAAGAAAGAGACAGACGTTCTGTGTCTTCTTCGTTAGTGCGTCGAGTCTTTTTTTTTGTGTGTTATACGTAGGCGAAAGATGTACATATAAAAAAAAAGACGACGCAAAAAAAAGTGTTAATAATATAAATTTCAATCGACAATTTGCACTCATTCGATCATGGGCAATTCAAGAAGTAACTACGAACGACATGAAGATGACGAACAACAACAACGAATGGTTATCGGCAAAGAATTTCGTCTTCTTCTCGGCCAACTTCGCTTATCATCGGATTTAATTAAACGACATAAGATTTTGTTTCGCAACAAACAACAGTACCATCGAGATCCGTCGTTCTCGTCATCAAATTCAACCATAGCATCGTCGGCATCGTTTGATCAACCGAATTCAGCTGTATCATTCATTCAACTCGATATTCCGACATCGCCGCTCGATGCAAAAGAATTCGATACTCATGCATTCATGCAGTATCTTCTTCAACAAGAATCCTATGGTAAAGAACTTTCGCATGTCTTTCGAATTCCAATTAATATAACAAAAACTCATAAGATTCGCACGAAAACATTGCCAACAATGAAAATTGCCGCTGTTTATTATGAACAGTCATGTTCAACACATGACTTGAATATTGAAATGCTCTCATTAGATTATGAAACTGAACTGGAGCGAAAAATCGAACAGTTCAATGACAAAAATATCCTATCTATTTATATTTCAAGTAAGTTTTTAATAAACGAATTCTTTCACAATCTATTCTTCTGTCAATTCCATTCAGAATCATCAGCCTATGTAATTTATACGAAAAGTTCATCCCTACACAGTAAATATAAACTCATACGCTCGACAACAATGTCTAAAACAGCACTTGACAATTTTGAATGGCTTCATCCTTTTATCGACTACTCAAACTTAGGGTATCGCTTGTGCGGAATAATTCCCTTCGCGAATTGTCCAATGGAAAACTCTCTAACTATCTATTGGATATTCGAACAAGTGGATACCAATGAAACGATTCAGTATGACTATTCTCTTATCGAATGTCAATTGAAAGTATCTTCGACTCCTAATTGGTATTCGTTACTGAATCTAATGGTCAAACAAGAATGGAAATTGGTGGCAACGTTGGATTATAATCAAAAGAAAAAGACTAATGAACAAACCTATTTCTTATTGTTCTTTCAAAGATTGAAACATTTGCGAGGTTAGAAAAAAAAAGACTTCGTTTATTATTATTATTATTATTACTTTTTCTGGAATGGTATTCGTATCAATAAAAGAAAAGAAAACAGAAAGTCAACTCGATTTTGAAAGATGAATAGACTACGGTAGTTATGTTCTGTGTTACTCTTAATATCGACTAATATCTCGACCGAATATATGCGTACGAACCCAATCAAACGCGAGTAATGTTTTCGTGCGTCCAGTAAACATTTCCGTGAAATAGAATGATTTCCACAGGTAAACAGCACTACGACCTGATAATGGTTTCAAATCGAAATAATCAAGGAGCGGTTTCGAGCCAGTAAAATCGACTACAGCTTCATCACCGCCAACGTATGCTAATGAACCCATATGTTTATATTGAAATGGTGTTAAATTCTGTTGTTGAAAGTCGGTAGAATGAACATTAGAGGCTTGATTGAGAAGTTTTGCAACGTAACGACCTTCCTGAGATGCAACTTGAGCAGTTGCGGGTAATGCACGAATTTTCTGGTCAGCTTTTTCGAGAATGGAACGAAGAGTAGAAAGAGTTAAATAACCTGATTTGTTCTTATCAACTTCTGCAAAAGCATCTTCGATCTTTTTCGAAAATACTTCTAACTAGAAAGCAAACTTTCAACACTCATAAACGAGTTCTTCCTGAGAATCCTTTACCTGTGGATATTCGGCAACTTTTTTCTCCACTAAAGTTCGAAATTGTTGAATATCAAGCGCTCCTCGGTTTTGTGTATCCGCTTCTTCAAAGAGTGCTTCAATTCGATCAGCTAATTTAGCTGGCTGAATCGTAGCACAATCACCAATAGCAAATATTGATCCATCGTCGACACCTTTTACACGTAAATATCGATCAGTGAGAAGACCCATACGATTGCTTTGAATGTTTAAACCGATGATTTCTCGGATTCTGTTTGTCAATGGTCGTGCTTTGATACCAGTTGCCCAAACTACCATAGAACATGGTATAGATTTTAGTTCGGTTGAGCCTTTGTATTGAACAACAACTTCCCGTTGTTTGACTTCTTTGACGAATGTATTCATCAACACCTCGATGTTTTCACGACGAAAATGACGTTCGGTATAATCGCTAATTTTCTTATCCTGACAAAAAAAGCAGAAGTAGATTAATAGTAATGATACGATCACAACGTATGTACGAACCATCATGGATAAGACATGATCAAGTGCTTCGATTAATGTTATTTTAACATCATTTGCGACCAAACGTGGAAAATAATGTTGAAGATCTTCGCGAACAAGATCAGCAAGCTATCATTCAATAGAACGAAGAAATAGATTATTCAAAAGAAAACATTCCAATAGACATACTTCCGCTGCAAATTCAACGCCTGTTGGTCCACCTCCAACAACAACAAAATGTAGAAGACGTTTTTTCTCCTCGACTGTTTGTGTTGGCGTCATTGCTGATTCAAATGCATCGCTAATCGCAGAACGAATACGTCGAGCATCAAGAAGTTCTTTCAGAAAATGTGCGTGCTCTTCAACTCCAGGCGTGTTAAATGTGTTATTTTCTGAACCAATCGCAACGACAAGTATATCGTATTTCATATCAAATTGTGGCCGTGTTCGAGCTGAACAAATAACATCGATCGATCTTTGTCTTTACAAATTCAAGACCATTGTCATACCTGAATCCTTGATAATTCTTGATGAAGCACCACCTTCCCGTTTCGAAATTGGTAATATTGCTTTAACATCATCGCCACGAGATACGTTCGAATCGCCATCTGTATTGCATGTGATTACTTTTGCTTTTGGATCGATATTAACACAATGTGCTTCGATATATTTGACTCGGGGACCAATAAGTGAACGAACCGATTCAATCACTGTTCGAGTTTCGACTGTACCAACACTTACCGAAGGTAGTAATGGCGTCATTAGAAAATAATTTCGTGGAGACACGCAAATAACTTCGTATTTACTCGTATCGATATGTTTTAACAACGGTACAGCGCCCCAACCTAACAAAAGAAGATATTCACTCAAAATCAGATTAACAAATTCAATCGTAACCTGTTCCAAGAACAACAATACGTTGTTTAGTTCCAAGCGTCTTATCCGAATCGCTCATTTCATGGAACCATTTATATCGTTGATACGCACGGTAAGCATAAAACGTACCGAAACCAACAACAGTCACAATAAATACATTTTTTAAACGTCGTTTTAATCGTCCGCCTGAAAATGCACAAAGGTTTTATGTGAAACAACGCGTTTCTAGTGACACTGTTCAACATACCGAACGTTTCCTTCCCTGGTTGGTTGGAAAACCATGCCAGATTTCGTTTGATTATCGGCTTGATATCATGAAGTTGTTTTATAGATAAATTTCGTCGTGAATTAACTGTCGATAATTGTTGTACAAATAAAGCCGAACGTGAGAACATGTTGTTTCCCTGAAAAAATCAAAGTCTCTCACCTTAATCTATCAGATTCATTATTTTATATTTATATAACATAAAGGGAAGATAAAAAACACACACAATAATTAACCATTCTATTTGTCATGCTATACATCAATCAAATGAAAATTCGACTGACATCTTTCGAGAAGCTGTTTTTCCTTATGAATGGTCAATTATATCGATTCGTTTGCTTTAGTCGATGAACTTCGAACATTCGGAATGGCAAAATATAGTCAAGTCGGTTAGAGTACGGCACAGATAAATCGAAACTCGTTCGAAACTACCTGCTGGCACTTGTTACTCAATGATGATTTGATTCTATTTGAACAATTCATGAAATAATACCAAAAATCATCTGCCTTTCTTGGACTGAGAGTAACAGCAAAAAATATCGATTTATTTTTAATTTGTATTTATTCAGTTCAGTAACACCGTACATGTATTTGCTATGATTGAAGTTCAATGGTTATATTAGAAAANCTCTCCTTCAGTGGCACATAACTGTTCATGCTCTCGATATATTAAATATTCTCAACGGTTTTATACTTATACATTCGAAGGTATTCGTTCTTCAAATGATTGATATGAAATTGTTGTACAACAAAACCAATTACAAACGAATTTTTTATGTTTAATTGCTGAAACATATGATGGAAGACGAGCGCTTAAAAATGCTTTTCAATGGTGATGTCAAAATATTTCGCTGAAGGGCGCTTATTCTATCATTATTATTAATCTTTTGGTTTCTTTTGTTTCGATTATGCTTTTATTTTATCTAATTTTGTTCGTTTCCTCGAAATACACCGAAGCAATCGATAGTCTAACGCATCAGATAACAAAGCTCGAACATTTATATCCATTACCAACTAATGATAAAATCGAAGCTCTTGCTGCTCAGTTTGACCAAGAACCTAATTGGGAGTATGGAAATATGCGAATGAGGCTATCTGATATCGAAGAGTCAACTCCGAATGATCCAAGAGTGGCTGCACCTCCGAAAACTGGACCTGGTATTATCAAACAGGGCCATCTCCATTTCCCCGAAAGCTATCATGGATATCCGGTTGATAATGAAGGTGTTCATGCGGAGACAAAACATTATATCTTTGTTGTTCGACACGGTAAAACATCAATGAGATGATCATTTGTATGTGATCAAACTCTTTTTTTTGTAGGTTTGTATCTTAATACGGAACAAGATGCATCTTCTCATTTACTTCGTTATGGCAAATACCAAGCACGAATGGCAGGTGATAAAATCAATAAAACTATCCGAGATATCATTGCAAAATCAGGTCCTTTAACACGACCCATTAAATTAGTATCGAGTACTCAAACACGTGCATTTGAAACTCTCTATAACATTCGTCTGCAGCTTGGTAATGATTTCGAATATGAACCCGAAATTATTCAAGATACTGGTATCACTGAATGCGTGTACGTTTTCTTCTAGCGCTCTAAGATTTATCCGACGATTTACACAGAAAAAATATCGAGCTTTTTTTCCATCATAGTGATGTAAGGCGAGTACGTCTTCGTTGGATGTATTTCGTCAGTGAATACCTACAGCCAGTCAAATCTGATCGTCCTGAAACTACAATCACAATAGTTGCTAGTCATGGCAATCTCCTAACAAGTTTCGATTATATTATTCATAACTTTGTTCATGAAGGGCATCCGCCTCACACGTTTGGTCAATTCCAATTTCCAGTATCGACTGGACTAACACACGGAGAAACTTTACTCTATCTCATTACGGGCAATGAGCTAATTCAACGTATCGCTTTTTTTCAACAAAACGAAATTCCTATCACGATCAATCATGCTCAGCTAGGCAGAGATTACTATTATCAATGGGCTGCTTTGTTTCAATGTAAAGTAAGTTATTTCTGAAAAACAAAAACTATCGAGTCCTATTCGCTGGTTATTATTTACCTTTCTAGATCCAACATGCGATCGATAATATCAACGGATACGTACAAGTAGCAATATTAAAACATGTCTTTAGTATCGAACATTTTCCAAACACAATCAAAAATTATGTTAACATTGTTGGCCAGGAAATGGTAGACGAATATGAAACACATCTCTTACCTATGCTAATGAATACTTGTCGAACCTATCTTTATCATTTATCGATGATGCAAACCAATACTGACTTTGGATCGTTCAGTCGTTTAGTGCCGCCAGTAAAGATTCCTGAAAGTGCAGAAGAGTTACGTACACCCATCGATTTACCGACGGATCGATTCAGTGCATATGCATTACCATTTACAGTCGATAATACGATTCTGGCATTTAAGAAACGAGGTAAGATCGATCTCAGCTGGGTGTCACCTTCGATTATCAATCCAGAATCAAGAAAACTTATCTTTCTCATGCGAAATGATAAGTCAATTTCAAATAGTTTTATTCATAAACTTTCTTTTTCTATATTGTACGTCTGAATGTCGCTACTGGCGACGAAAAAACATCCTATCTCACACGTGTTGGCATCAATCAAATACGTGTTGTCATGAATCAAATACATCATATTATACATCGTCATATGTCAGATCTACGGAATGATGCGCGTGTTTTACCAATACGAATAATCAATGGTCCAGAAATGGCGTCCGCGGAGTCGTGCTTTCATGTTCGAAGTCTGCTGTTATCCGTGGATTACAACGTAACTGAACAAGTGACTGACATTGGTATTGAATTCAACTATTTTCAAAGAAGTATAAATATCTCGAATTCATAGAAAACAATGGATAAACTATTTTTATCAAAGGCGGAACATTCGATTTTTTTGAATACCAGCGCATGCAAGCTCATTATATGTTCGATCGATACTTTCGTGCTACTCGAGTCGAACCAGAACGGCCTTCGTTTGAAGTTTACATTTTTTGCGGAGATGGACGGTACTTTTCAGGATTTCGTCATGAATTAACAGACCAACGAATACTCAGTGTAGCCGCACTACACGTGCCAAGGTACACGGGAATTAATGATGCCGGATTAGAACACGCTAGTGCATTATTTTTCGAAGTACTCGGTTCTGATTCGATAACCTTACATGATATATTAACAGTACAGAAAGCAAGAGGTATTAGCGAACATCAGAGGATGGTCACAAAAGCATCTATAGGATTATCATTAAATGATGTCAATACTTGGGTAAATGATAAAAATGGACCCTGTTCACTAAAATATTTGATTGACAACATGGCTGACGTATCTCTACAATTGACGGCAGGATCTACTGTAGCTCAAGAGAGAGTTGCTGCTGTATTGCAAGACGAATGGAATCCATATCTTGCTGGTATTGAGATGAGATTCATTCATAGGGAACTTATTTTCTTGTTTCGTCTTGTAGGAATGCTCATTTATACATGTCGTCTTAAGCTCAATGTACTAGATATACCTGCATTACCATCAGCGTCGAATACAAATGATGAAAACGCGACAGCAAATCAATGTAAAAAGGAAGATGGTAATGGCGCAGCGGCAGGTCCTTCGGGTGATTGTGTTTGAATAAGGACAGACTTATTGATATGTATCGAGTTTTTCTTCTTAATGTTTAATCATATATATATATATCGAAAAATAAGCGATTAAAATTGAACACTTGGCATCTTTAGCATGGCTTTTCCTTTCTTGTAATATCAAATTTGCATGTCATTATTGTTCATAGTTCATTATCTTGTTGCGACCGGATGCATCGCTTTTCTCACGACACAAATGGCCTTCGACTATGACGACAAAAAAGCGTCTTGTTGTTGTTGTCATTGTCATATCCTATGATCAAAAAGGCAGTTCTGAGTTTGCCGATTTTCTTTCCAGAAGAAAGACGACCGACGATAATTCTCCACATGCAAGCAATCCTATCTTATTTCAACTCTATCGACTTCATGTTCATCATTAGACTTCTTTTCCTCGACCTCATCTGTCCGTCTGATAATATAAGAAATAAGACATGTTTAAGTATCTAACAGTCAACGTCCATGCAATTACTATCTAGTTAACATACATACACGCATTTTCTTTCATTCACTTGTGCAGCGCGCGCGCACACACACACAATCGACAATAGGAACAACAACAAAAAATGCAAATTTTTCTCAATGCAGATTAAAATACGGTCATCAAATGACGTAAAGAAGAAAAAGGACCTTTACTTGATTATTCTCATCAACATCATTCAGTGAACAGCGTACAGTAGTTTTCAAGTGACCTTTTCTTTTCTTCTACTTCTAATCTACCCTTTCACCTAATCAAGAGCAATCTGTCTGTGTATAAGTGAGATTGAAACTAATGAATTTCATATGATTTTAATTACTCTTTTTTTTTTCAATGAACTTTGACTAGACGACGAACATGCTTTGCTTTTAAAAGAGATTTGGATATCTGATAATAGACATCAAATCATGCAATTCGTTCACGTGAATGAGTTTCTTTCTTTCCTAATTAATGTTTTCGACAGTTATCTATTCATGCTTGATCAATTTGTCAACAAGCAGCTTGTTGAACTACTTGAAAATGACATCTCCTCTAATGTGTTTTCTTTGGAAAATCTTGCTGCGAATGCATCTGACAGCATATTCAGATTTACATATGAATACTGTTCAATAAATATCGTCTTTGTTTAATATTTAAAAACAAGGAAAAGATAAAAAACAAAAGTCCAAAACTGAATTAAAGTCATTTGTCGAGGAGAAGAATTTGCTAATAAAGCGCTAAAACGTTGATGTTTTAAAATATCTACATATACCAGAAGAAATAGAACAAGAACATTTCATAATGTATTTTACCTTTTTCTACAAGTATCTTTGCACTGAGACGTTGACGTCGATAGGCACATGTCCAAATACCTGAATGAGTTGTATGAGCAGAACTAATAATTAAAAACGATGAAAAAGTATTATTAATTGATTGTCTTCGAATATAAACATCATGCGGTTTCGTTTTATTAATTTGATTCGATAAAAAATGCCAAGTGATTGGTGATCTCTTGTTATTCTCATCCGAATCGTGATCATGTTCACTAAGTACGAGAGTACAATTCAAGAGAATGTTGCCACCTGGTTCGATATAAACATTCGTTGGAGAGAGTATCATTGGCGTTTGTATATGTAGATGCATAGAAACACTCACACTTGCTTTTCGATTCGCTATTTTACATATGTATGTGCCTTCATCCGATTGACGTAATTGATAAATTTCTAACGACCATAATGAATCTCTGGACGATATGGAGTAGAATGATATTGAATAACGCTCATCGGTAGTGAATAATTGTTTTCCGACGGCTAATGGGGATGATAAAGATGTTAATGGGTCGTATTTAAACCATGTCACGTGATGTTCACCTAAATCACGTATGTGACATGTTAAAATGGCTGTTGATGAGATATTTAGCGTCTGGTTGGTTGTTTCAGTAAGAATTTGTGGAAACGTATTATCAGCTATGGTTATTTGTATCATTAAGCGAGCTGAAGAAAAAAACGTATAAACAATATGGATATAAAAATGAGAATTTAATCAGTGACAATCCTAATGGAATGTTAATAACTTACTGAAACAAAACAACAAGAAGACGTGTCTAGTAGAACCGAAAATCTTGTGCATTATTGAAAATTTCGAAGTTGAACATGATGAAAGTATTTAATTCATTGATTGAGTATTATTAATTGAATAAAAGTAACTATCGGATAGTTTCTGTTCAATTACGAGTACATACTGGTACGATGTAGTAGGGACAATGTATATACAAAAAAAGAAGATGAATGAAGATTATGCTTATATTCTCTCTTGTGACGATAGGGGAAAGGCAAAAAGGAAAGCAATGAAGAAGAAGATGATGATGATGATGACGAGAGGAGAAGAGAAGAGAAACGAAGAGAGAAGAAAAATAAACTTCGACTAATGGAATTAAGACTAGAGAGAAAAGATATCGAACTTAGCCATGTTGATCGAAGATAGCGAGAAAGAAACGCGTACATATACAAAAACAAGCGACATGGAGTATTCATTGTCATAATCATCTTATTTCTCTTAATTTCTTAACACTATTCAGTTATATATCAGCAGGTGTCATTGTCATTGAATAGATCACACATGAGATATTGTACCCTTGATCCTTATGGCAATTAGTTTTCCTACTGTGCATGATGAAAGTGACAAATATACTTACTGTTTCTAATTCGACGTCGAAGGAAGAACGGAGAGACAACACTGTCGTGAATACGCAGCGATCTATCCGAATCAATTCGATTTTCATGCTTTCCCACTCGCCCGTTTACTTATACAATACGCACAAGTACTACTACACGCTGTCAACTAAGCTATTGAGAGTCATCAAATGACAGCAGCAAATTGCTTTTTCTCTTCTGAATGATTTTCTTTATCGTACTTGTTCAAGTAAAAAACAAATATGGTTGTGTCGTCTTTTTCTTCCTATTGAGAAATTGATCATCAACGAAGTGCGGCATGCTGAATAGAAAATCAAGGTTTTCCATTCAGTTCATTTCATCGACTGGAGAGTCGTTATTAATAATACATCAATATCTCCAAAGATTACGAAAAAAAAAAGAAAATAATTATCGAACGAGGATGATTAGTCTCCATTTGTTTTCGATCGGAATGCGATCTAAATCGGTCGATAATAATAACAAAACAGCAAGATTGAATGTCGTCTATGATGCACGTGCAAGACATTTGTGATGGTGATTAAACGGTACAGAAATTAATGTGAACAAGATGAGCACATCAACATCATTGTTCAGAAAGATTTAGACTATGATCATACGCCATTCTTATCGAAAGTGATAAGCGACATCGCATATTGTACTATGAAATCTCTAGAGAAGCTCGACGGTCTTGATTTTGTAAGAGGAATCTAAACAACAGGTTGACTTTAATTAGATTGAGAGACTTTCTATTGGTATATAGGACATGTCTCCAATGATAAGAAAAAAAAGGAGAAAACGAGGATGAGGGTGCGCCGTTCTGAATATGTAAAACGAATTATTCGCCATTGAAAAAAGAATGAAAATGAGGAAATAGGATGCGGATTGTTTTTGATTATCGAATAATGTATGCAATCATTACTATCTTATCGAATTTATATTGACCTTTTCGATCATTTAGATGAATATTCTCCTTCCTAATTCAAGACATATTGAAGTTGTCTAGTGACATTTAACTGATCAGTTATTTTGCGGAGAGATATTTGAATTAATCAGCAATAAATAAGTGATTTCATTTGTTTTTTTTCTCTCTTCCGAGAGGATTATTAGGTAATTATTACACAGGGATTCGTGTACAATGTAAGCAATTACATTCTCATCGAATATTACGATGGAGTCCGATCGCTAATACTGTCATAGGGGCTTTTTGTTTGGTAATTTATTAAATAAATAGAAGACAATATTTAATTTTAGAAATTATTTGCGAGAAGAACTACAATTTGCAGAGTAAACAACATCAAAGCATATTGTTTTTCGTCTTATAGTCACGCTATTCGTGTATCACCTTTTTTTCTAATGAAATGCTGTGCGAACTGCCACAGTTGCTGTTAAATCCAATGCATTTGCTCGTGCTCGCTTATCTCCCAGTAGATATCGAATTTGGGATTGAAATTCTTTACGGAATAATGTTGACGTCAAACAGTGACTATAGAAGTTCACCTAAAAATTAACTGAAGAATTTATCATCGAAGAGAAAAATAGAACTTACAGCATAATTGAGTGTTTGAAACCAGCCAAGTCCGACCCAAATACTTGCAACGGCAATTATTGAAGATGAAACGTTGCTTTGTCTCGGTGATAAGATCTTGTAAATAGCTACCGGAAGCGTAGTAAGCAGAAAAATGGTTATACTGGTTAACATAAGAACGAACATTTGTCGTTGAAGGGTTTTCTGTTGCCGACTTTTGTTAGTTTCATGAGAAATGTTGTTGGGTTGAATGACAGCTTTTTTACGTGCTTGAACATTGATGTAAATATCAATAAGAAGTAAGATCATCAACGTGGCCGGAATTAGACTGACCACAAGAATCTGAATAAAGAAACATACTGAATACTTCTAGAGATCTATCATACGAATTTATGCCTAACAAACCTGTACAATCGTCCAATAAAGGAGATAAAATACCAGATAACTTGTGTTAAATATATTCGGTCCACATGCAATTATTGAAAACCCCGGTAAGAGCATACCGAACAATGGTGTTAATACTTGTGCATAAAGACCAACATCGATGAGAAGTATAACACCCACAACTATTAAAGCCTTTTTTGGGGTACACAGCGAACCAGATTTATATGGAAATCGTGCACGTATCCATCGGTCGACTGATATGGTTACCAACGTCCACGATGATAAGAATTGCGATACACATGATATAAATGTCCGAAACCGGCACAACTCATTGTATGGCAGATGGCGATAGAAAGGAATCTAGAAAGAGCAAAGATTCGTATGAAAGTGGTCCGTTCGAAATATAAGAAGACTGACCTGTAGACCAAATTCAACAAAATCGAAGACACTTATCACTAAAAATAATGTGTCGGAAATGGCTAAGACAATAAATAAACAGCCCGTTGAAACTTTTCGTAATGTTAAACGTGAAAAGGTGACTAAGCTTAACATGTTACCCATGAAACCAAGCAAAAACGTGATAGGATAACCGATTTGATAAAACCGAACTACAACAAGTGGATTGACAAAAAATGAGTAATAATAATCCAAAGGAAACGTTGTAGTTGTATTTGATGCGATTGTAGTTGTTGTTATATTCGACATTTTATGCAGCAAAATCTACGCAGAAAGGGAAGATGAACCTAAACAGGGTTTCTCAATTGCGTCGCAACTATTTTGTCTACAACTACATTCTAGTCTGAGCTTGTGTGGTTCTCCATTATGTTGGAGACTGAGGTATGAATGAGGGTGTAGAGGAAAGAGCAAGTGAGATTATTGCAAGCTGTGGCTGAATCTGATTGAGCGTAGCTTTTATATCGGTATTCTCAGGCTTTCGTTACAAAAGAAATATTATGCAACGGAATTTTTCACAAAAACATCTGTCGGGGAAAGAATTGTCGACAAGGTACGTCCAACCCTTTTAGTTATGTTTTATCCGATCTTTGATACTAGGTGAAAGCAATTACTCGTTTTTTTACACTTCAAAAAATAGCTCCAAAGAAAACTGCTGGGGCGATCTAATTTAGAATACTTTATACTGATAATATTTTGAAGATAACAAATTCAATTTAATCTCATTATCAAACGCAGATCATCACTTTTTCTTCTGGAGCGTATGATGCAGAAGAGGAAGCTTTTCACGGCTACATTAGTAGGATTCTGCAAAGAAAACATTGTTACTTCCGGTCGTCGATAATTGTGAGGACATCAGGAACTACTTTCATTCTTTTTTGCAAATATCTTATAGTTGATTTTTCAATGCATGAGTTGTCCTAGGGAACAATACTGGAAACTGATGAAGGAGCTCTTTCTTGAGAAAGTCTTCTGCTACAGTCTAAAACCCGAGATGAAATGTAGATAAGATGTATACTGACGTTTATTGCTGAACGACGCAAAAAATGAGGGTAGACACACGCATACACCTTAACGAGTGATGGGTTCGATATTGCGTGAATTTTTTGAAAGTTCTTCCACTGTTGTCAGTTCTCGAGTTGATCAAGATGTCAGAGAATGTTGTTTTACAAATAGTAAAGAATTATTTACCTTGTCAAATACACGATAAGTACAATAATAGATGCGACTTTTGCACTATCGATTCTTTAACAGAGGTCTCAAGACACGGCGTAGTCTATATAGAACGTCTGAATGATATCAGAAAATGGCACGGAAACGACATTATGCGCAAATCTAGTTACATTGATAATGACATTTGAAATGTAGCCATTCAGAGCTCGTATAGAAATGATTTCATAATCAGCATACTGCAATTTTATATGCCTACCTATTCATCAATGAAAACAGTGACTACATGGTTACAGGAAGAACTCGTGAAGTCTCTGATGTTTTAGGTTTGCTCTCATAGTTCTGCTCACGACTGCACAGTTGAGCTTGATTATCGAATGAAATTACTCTGCAGATGATGATCATGCGACCTATGATAATATGATGTGCCCAGGTACTTACGAAGACTCCCTACAGAGTAGTACTCTATACTGCAGAGAAAGGACTTGTTAGAATAGAGTCGACTTTATTGTTGAAAAGGGTGACACAACAGTTGTAAATGTCTTCTTTTAAAGATTGATCTTAAACTGAAAAAGTGTCATACTTTAAAGGGCTATTTTCCAAGAAAATAGTTCAATCAAAAGCTAGCATACATCCGGATTTATTTCCCTCAATCTATAAATATCTTTTAGTACTCGCTCAAGCTCATTAAATATTCTATGATAAAAATATAATATCATTTTCTGACACAAATAAAAATGAATCTCTAGTGAACTCAATAACACGAGTAAAGGCCAGAGCAGATATACAAGTAGATCGTAGATTGGAATTCATACCTAGAGAGATGTATTATATTCTCTTACCTAGATTTGTAGAAGTTTGAATCTTTATTTTGTGTCGATCGATTGCGAAAGTTTCCAAATTATGTATTAAATATTCACCTGCACATTCGTTTCGTACTTATTTCTCTTTGAGCAAACGTTCATTCTATTGCTTGATTATAGGAGTTCTGACTAGTGTAGTTATTTGTTCAGTTATTTGAGCCGAGTTTGTAGAATAATTTGCAATGATGCGCTGTGTGCCATTCAAAAAATCGTGAGATACCGTTTTTTTCCTCTTCGGATGACACGCGTGACGCAGAAATCGACTAAACCAGATCATTGAAGACTTCTATACAAAGTGGATCTTTAGTCTTTAAAAAATATATTTGCCTAGTGTTGATCTCAAGAAACATTCAACACAAATTCATATTTACGATATTCATGTGTATTCCATTAAAACAGAAATGGAAATATTCGAGCTTGTTTTCACAATTCAAATTTGGCATAAAACTGTAATTAATTTGACAAAGACAAGACCAGTTGGTCGATGTGTCTCACAGTGTAATCTCTGTAACCGATGTTATTTGCTTCAAACTATTCACATCTTATCACGTTTTCTTTTGCAACTGAAGTATGATTGCAAAAACGTCTCCTAGAGATTCTAAATGATCATTTTAAGCATTACTAAAAGTTGATCCGATTAAGATTTCTTTATATATCCAATGTTATTGTCCCAGTGCGAACTCCTTCCAATTTTAATGAAATATATTTAGAAGCAGGATTTACGACAGTAAGTGACGCAAGACGATTAAAGAGTTTAGTGATGAGCTTAGAAAACGATACGAATAATGTCACACGGACACGTACTTAATCACACTCAGAGATGCCGCACGAATCATACAGTCAGCCACACATGTAAAATATCACATTCGTCAGAGTTAAAATTATACTTTCGAAAGAAAAATTAGCCGGTAATGAAGTTCAATCATCATGGCCTGATGGTCTAATGGTATGATTCTCGCTTTGGGTGCGAGAGGCTCCGGTTTCGATCACCGGTCGGGCCCTTTTTGCTTCAGCTTTTGAATCGTTTATCTATACTGAAAGTTCACCTTCTGTTGTTCGAACAAAGAGGTCATGGCCTGATGGTCTAATGGTATGATTCTCGCTTTGGGTGCGAGAGGCTCCGGTTTCGATCACCGGTCAGGCCCAACTTTTTTTCATCGTTTTTTTTATCAATTTCTATTCTATTAGGCGAACACTACGATTATCTTGTCATGCGAAACCATGACTCCTATTTTATGTTGTTTTCTGAATGAAAATAGCAAAGATCAACATTGTGGTATTACAACGAAGATTTTTAGAAATTAATTTTTATTAGACATGATCTTATGTGACGATGATACAAATCATCCTCAGAGTTTTCTTTTTTTTCCTTTCACAAAACAACATAATCTGTTTCGTCGGATCATGTGTTTAAGCTTTAACAGCATAAGTACGTTGAGGAAACGCCCATTGTTGTCGTTGAACTTTCTTCAAACGAATGGATTTTTCCTTTGGAGTTAGTAAACGTCGAATGGCTCGTGTTTTACGTTGTCGTAAGTCTTTGGGTTTGTATTTTTTACCATGATATAAGGAGCGCAAGTTCTCTTTTGTCGTTTGATGTGTAACGATCAGCACACGTGCGATTGATTTTCGTACATTACGGATTTTGCCTAATTTTTGTGCTCCACCGCTGCCGGTTACTTTGCCAACTCGAAGTGTGTTCAGTTCTTGACGTAATTCAGTAAGTTGTTTTTGTAGTTCATCTAAACATGATTAGACTAAATAAGAAAATACGATTGATTCCGAACGGGAAACCTGGTTTCTTTCCACGAAGTTTCGAGCACTTGATACGAGTCATTATTGAACTGCTGTATCTAAAATAGAGCGAAAAAATAAGTGTCATTCAGCGAGATGAATAGGAAGTTTTTGATAGCAAGGCAAAGTAAAAATATTTTAATAACTAAAAATTATTAGTTCTTCGATGCAATATGAATGGTTGATAGAGATTCCAATTCGAATGAGAAGTCTATGTATAGCTGTGACATAACTCGTTATTAATATGAGTGAGTTTTTCTTTTGAAGAAATATTTCGATCGACTTTGGTTCCATCTTTCCTCCGACAAAAGAAGTTCATACAAAATTTTCTACAACTATTTCTCAGAGCAAGTTATTCAAATAGATGTCGCATTTATCTAACTATCCCCATACATTATCCGCAACAATTTACATTTGGCTTCATTCTATATCAGTCGCTTGATTTATTCAGTACAAAATTCAATGAAATGCGGAAATATTAAACATAAAAGCGAGTAAAATGAGGTACATTGTTTCTAGAGAAGTAACTACCATGAAAGCCAGAATTCGTATACGTATAAATGAGTATTATGCAAATGCATTTTTCGCTGTTTCTTTTGCTGTTTGTTTCACAACCTTTTTTGCAATCTAAATAAACATGACATGTAACATAAACGTTGAATCTCATTATTCTAAGAAGAGACTTACAGATTTTGGACCGAGGCTTTGAACGTGGTATGCTGTTAACGCGGTATTTCCAACGGCATATGCTGCATTTTCTGTCAATATCGAAGCGTCTTCACCATATCTAGAATCAAATAAATATGGATTCGAAGGAAGAGGTACCGAAGTTTTGTATTTTACTTGTATTTCACAACACTTATACTTTCATCAGCCAGACTTTTTGCTAGATGTTTGGCCGCATTTTCGGAGCTTTCAAAAATGATACCGAAACCTAAAACATAATCATCAATTGAATATGAACGAAGTATTCGCTTCATCATCTACTAGCTAATCCAGCATGCCCAATGCCTTTGAGTCCACTTAATTTCTGTGTTTCAATAGTACCATCCGCCAGAACTTTCTTTTGGACTTTACCGAAATTGGGCGCAAATGTTCGCGCTAAACTAAGCGTCATATCACCGATTTTTGTTACTAAACTTAGTAAGAAATAAAAAGAATAACTGTACGAATTTGGAAAATCTATATGTACCGACAAAGCCACTTGCTTTAACAGCGACCTCAGATGTCGATCGAAGACCACGAGCTGTAACGTGTAAACCTCGAGGTACCTTCGTCGGTTGCGCATTAGGTGTGACTTTCTCGTGTACATTTTTTGAGACGTGTCCAATCAGATTTTCAGCCATACCAACGCCTGTAGCCAATTGTTTTGTTAGAAATCTCGTTCCTAAAACAAATCTTTATCAAAAGTTTGAAAAAGATTGCTCTCCGACCAGTCATCAGTGCTGCTGCAAGTTTGCCTGATTTTCTTGTTGTATCGTACGGCATGTCTTCTTGAGCGGCGGCTACATCTTCCCCAATTATATTTGCATTTGCACGTGCTTCTTCACTTGTTGCTGCTGTTATCGATTCACCATACTGATAATTTATGCAAACAGATACTCATTCAGAGACAAGAAGTGAAAAATCACGAACCGTTGGTGTTCCTTGTTGAGCCATGAAGACGGAATATCTCGAGAGAACAGCTTCGAAATAACTACGAATCTCTGTTGATATCGTTTCATCAAACATAAGACCAACAAATTCACCTGTGATCACACGTATAAACAGATATAAAATCATCGACATCCATATCTACTTACCAACTGAGGTATTATTCGGAAAAATATATGCATCATAACCAGTTTTAAATGCCGGCGAGACTTTTGGATGTAAAGGATAAATCCATGCGCCTAATTTCAACACTCCACAAGTTTCTCCATCTTCACTAAACGTCAATGTATAAAGGAAAAGAATTTCATAGCGTATTTGTAAACATACATGACTTGATAAACTGTTAACGGTAATGTTTCGGATGTTGTTTGAATTGCTCCATCTTTTGCCAGGTAGAACAATTTTGCACCAGCATCAAGTTGAAACAAAACATTTGCATTACTTTCTCGTTGAGCAGCATTGTCAGTGACAGTTTGAAAAGCTGATGGATCGCGAAATACTTGCTCAGATTCTTCATTTGAATTCGTCTTTGCTTGCGCTACTTGCGATGATAACTGACGAACCATATTTTGATAGCCATCATCCGCTGTTGTTGCATGGTTTTTATGTACAGATGATTGAAGTAATAGTTGATTTGCATTACGTTTCATTGATGCAAGTTCATCGTCAACTGCTGACGTACCTTCATGTGAACCAATCAATGAGACAACACGTCGATAGAGAACTGCAGCTTCATCATATCGCCGATTTTGTTCTAGCTTTTTTGCACGTTGTAGATAGTCATTTGCTTCTTGTTTAAGATCAGCTGATGTCGCTTCGGGTCTAGGACGGAGTTGTTCTAATGTAGCCATAATCGATCTGATTACAGTTCTTCGAAATCAAAACTGTGCGGGTTTTACTTCTGAATTACGCCAAATGGAATAAATATACGAAAATAATGATTATGCGAAAACACGAATACTTTGTCAATATGATTCATATTCCAAGAGTTTGCACAGAGAGAAATCAATCCTTTCTTTGCAAGTAACCATGGATAAATATTATAGACTTTGAAAATAAACTCCGTATATTTTGCATTTGAGTGCCAGAGATGTCGTTAGCCAACGAAAACTGGCCTCTTTACGTGTTTTTACGTATTGCTCGAGCTTTTCTGCAAGATGGATATTTCGAAAAAGGGAAGGTACAGTTGATTGTTGCTTTTACATAAATGATTTTTCATGGAAACATCAGACTTGTATTTTACAACCGCATTGTGTCTTTCTGTCACACTATTCATACTTCTGATAAAATGATGATGGTGTTTTGTTGCTGGTATATGGTGATTACGATCAAATGACCTTATCTACTGGGCAAAAAACTTTTAATTTCTCTAAGACGGAGCGCGATTACAAAATATAGTTTTTGGCAGAGATGTGATAAGGTATTCAACAATTCTCTCTCATACTACTCGTGATTTGAAATATTAGTCATATATTTACTACAGAAATATGTCTCTCAGAAGAATCTGGAGGACAGGTAAAAATTTTCTTCCTCGCAGACTAAACATTTTCGATTTGAATATTGAAAGAAAAATGACTACCATTGACTTTCAAATAGATCGAGGAGATTTCTTGAGAGTGTTGAAGTAATCACGTAAAATTGTTGACGATAGTAAAGAATGAATCATGTTATTATTCCGTCGCATTTTCGAAGAAAGGTATGACTTTAACAGCGTTGTTTTAAAGTAAACAAAATCGATTACTAACTTTACTTGGAAAAATCCTTCTTGTATATATGTATTCTTTAGATAGTATCATTTTTTTCTGCATTTACATTGAAAATGTCTTATTCAATCATATTATTAATAATTGGTTCTCAAAATCATCCCGATAACAAAACACTGAAAAGTATACCGATCCCTAGTGCAAATCTTCCAACTCCAACTGATTTTTCCAACTATTGTAAACAGATAACGAACCAAAATCTGATTGTTGTTTTCATACCTGATCCCAATGAACAAATTTTCCCATTAATTAGACAAGCAATTGAAGAGAAAAGAAGTCAATTCATCGGTGTTTTCATCTGTACTCCACTAGAAAATCTAGCAATACAAGACTTAGTTAAAGTCTATGATGTCTCTGAGACACTCATTCCGTACAAAATTATTTCTACCATATCCAAATTCCTTGGGTTTGAATCGATCAAACAGTTTGACGCAGAAAGACTGGAAACTGGTCTTGCTCTCGAAAAGCAATCGAATGATTTCTTCAAAAAGCTGGGAACAAATCACAAGGTAAAATCGAATCGTTTTCTCGAAATATTTCGAATGAGGCGATAAAATTATCATAAATTTTTATGTTTAGTACGAACCCTGCCATATATTGCTCATTCCATTCAACGCAACAGCAAGAGATCTGCATAGAGCTGAACAACGTTTAAGAAATATTTGTTCGTAATCAACTTTGATTATATTTATTGTAAATTTCCTTTCTGTTTTAGACTCTGATTTAGCTGGCTCTGGATCCGATTTCGTGGTTCACACGCTCGATAAATACATTCCTCGTGATGAATTGAATTACTATGATCCACGTCGCAACATTTATTTAAATAAACATTATGGAGGCGATGCTTGTCTTTCCATTATGGATTTATCTATGATGATCTTCTTTGTTGTTGGCAATCTGGACACCCTTAATCCTTGGAGTGAGCAGTTTCTGTGTAGTCTTAAAAATACTACCAGATATAATAGTGGTGGATATTTGAATGGAATTACATTCGTCGCTGATAGATTTGTGAGAGACGAATACCTACAGAATTTATTTCCAAGGTTTGGTACGCAATTTTGGGCAGTACAGCAAGCGACACCGAAAGCGTTAGATTATGTTAAAAACGATATCGATTTCCAAGCTGATTTGCTATCGATAGGCAATGCTCTTGAACATCACGGCCAAATTGCAAACATAAAGATAGAAAAACGGGCGTCAGACGCTTACAAAAGCACTACTGCCTTCAGTAGTAACGTATGTTGAAATACCACTGGTGATTCTTTTATGCACAATAGGCTTTTCTATGAATAGGATCAACTAATTCAACAAGCAGCATCTGGTCCTGCCGATAGATATATCACAGACATCGACAGAGCGGTAAATCCACAGTGATAGCCCAGCATTTCACTCAATGTTTATTTCAATCATAATCATTTTTTCAGTCGTTGTCAGACAGTGGTTGCTACTGTAGTCACGCCTTCATCTTTGTTTTTCTTTTCAAAATTTTCTAATTGATATACAAATTTCTCTTGGTGGCATGAGTCACCACTTGTTTTATGCTCACATGTAACGCTTGGTTTTTTCCAGCTATAAAAATGAAGAACAGTTAAAAACGTGTTTATCAACGCAGCCTAATAATTGGATGAAGTGAGGTTTTTTTCTTTCTTACCAAGTAAAAGAGGAAGAAAAACGTGTTTTGTTGCTACATGTCGATGCTGTTTTGCTGCTTAAGCACGAAAATAGCGTCCTCATTTTTATTTATTTCAGATTAAAGAAAAAGAACAGTTATGGCAGAAGCTACGATTAAAGTTTTTATTTGTGGTCCATCCCATATTATAGAATCATCTGATTATCAATTGCCTATTCCGATATCATTTATATTCAGCTTAGAAAAATTGATTAATGTGATAGCCCATCGATCTACATCTGATGATTTGAATTTGCAACACTACATTGTACTTTTTCCTGATTTGATTGAAAATGACGAAGATAGAATCTATACCATATTGGAAGAAAATCGCCATGTTTTTGCAGTCTTTCAAATTCGAACGGATCTGTCAGCACCGGATAATATATATACAAAGCTCAGATACATTAGAAGAGAATCAGCTACAATGGCGGTGTCTATGAAAGCAATTCAGTTTTTCAAACATGAAGCTGAAAAACAAAGAAACTTAAATCAACTAAATTTAACAGACATTTATTTAAGACGAGCAGAGAAAACCAAAGAATGGCTAATGTCAACCATACGAGTATGTTTTTTCATCAGAGTCATTCGTCTCCATTTTACGAATCTATCTTCTAGGCTGAACCATGCCACATACTTTTAATACCTCTCAACACGGACTATGAAAATCTATTCGATTGTATTGACGAATTAAGAAAACATTGTAACTATTTGAAATAATATCTTCGTTTGATATGTTTCTCGTTCGTTGTAGGCACCCGCTTAGGCTATTCATCAGTGATCATACGTTCATTGCATGAATATATCCCTAAAGATGAACTCTATGATAAACTACCTTACGGAAAAATTATATTTGAAAATGAACACCCGACCAATATATGTCGTTGGTTAAGGGAGTTGTCACCCATACGAATGTATTTGTATGGCAATGAAGAAAGTATCCAAAGTGAATGGAGTAAACAAATGATTGCAGATGAAACTGACCATGCTAGCAAGTACATTGTTGATGATGATAACTGGCATACATTTATCGAACACGAATCAATTCACGAGAATATTAAATGGAATTTTCATGTTAAATATGGTCAAACATGGAAAATAACTCAATACGTCCCGATTAAACTGAATAATATATCTCAAAATCTTCGCTTTCGATCATCTCTTCGACGTGCACATATGACATTCAGTACACGACAAACAACTGTGACAGCACAAGTATACAGATGGTTTGAGCAATGTAAACAGTATGGATATCTTCCGGATGAAGTACGTATCAATGACCGCGCAAAGCAACAGCTAAGTTCCTCAATTTTCTCTTCTAGTTTGAAATACGTCCACAATATGCATCGAAACCACTTGTGTTGCATCAAGCCAGAGAAGTGCAGCCTCTTGTACTAAAATCCGGTTCATATCAATACATGAATTTTTTCGACGATACTCTTCAAGAAAAAAGTGATTTTAATTATTCAACCTGTTTTAAGCAGTTTGCATGTGTACCAAATACTCTAAAATTGAGCAACATAACACTAGGAAGCGCGGCACATTCGAGAAAAACAAACTTTGATGTATTTAGTTGCTTTGATAAATCCTACGAAGTAAATACTGATTATCCAAAATCATCTGATCGAACATACATATGGCTTGAAGCTAATCCTTTTCATGTCGAAGAACGTTTCCGCAACTTGATTCATCCATATGAATGGCAATATTTTAAAGTAGTTGACGCATGTCAACATTACATTATGAATCAACAGTTACAATACGATTCAAAGATCTTTTTAATAGCAAGAAGTTCCCTTGCTGAAGAGCTGTTTAGATTTGAACATGTCGCAAAAATATGTAATACTTATCTATATTCAAGTCAGGATGAGCTATTCACTCCATGGATTCAATGTTTTCCAGTAATACGAGGAAATTATCACAATTTGGATGCACTTTACGAACAATTCAGTTCAGATTTAGAATGCAGTGTTGAATTGAGTTCGTACGTTCATCAGATACAGGTATGTTCATAAAAACTGCAGAACAGCAAGATAAGCGTTTGTTCAGAATGTTACCCAAAGGCACAGGTTAACGTGAAACTAAGCAAGAAACCGGAAAAAGGAATGAGAACTTCCAACATATATGCATATATATCAAAGTATTCAGGGATAGAGATTTACACTCACTGGCCACTGCCTTTCCTCATACAGACTGAAAACAGTAGATCTCACATTCTATTAAAGCCGGCTATCGTCGTTGAAGATTGTATATATATATACATATATTTTACTTTGTACCAACTCGATCGTGCTTGACATTTCGCTAGGAACTCTTTCTTTTGATGATTCTTTTTAGGACAACGAGAGTTCATCACCGATTGGAGTTTTTCAATCAAACTCTAAATTTCTATGGCATCGAATGTTTGTCGATATCTTACTACAAATGAAACCACCTACAGATGCTAAAAGTGACTTAATTGAAACATTGCGTCGAACATCATATAAGATCGATGTCAATCCCGCCCAAATAGATGAATTCAAGCGAGACTATCAATCAAATGCAGCCATTCAATGGTATACACGAGATACTTTCCTATACCGTCTTATTAATCAAGCACTACGTTGTGAAGATACTGAGACACTCTTCGCCTGTCGATTATTTATTACGGACTTGCAGAATCAATTATCTGAACTTCACGAAGAGACAATTCGTTCAAACAGTCCTTCAGACAACACAATAATAACATCTTATCGTGGACAATTCATGTCCTCGTCCGCAATTGAACAATTCAGAGAGAACATTGGAAATCTTATATCAACAAATGCGTTTCTTTCAACTTCACTAGCATTTGATATTGCAGTAATGTTTGCTGGAGGATCTGGATCGAAAAGTACAACATCATTACAAACAGTTTTATTCTGTGTAGAAATCGATCCTAAAATTGAAAACACTCGGCCATATGCACAAATCAAACATTTTTCGAACTTCCAAGAAGAAGATGAAGTTCTCTTTGCGGTTGGTACCGTATTTCGCATAGAAAAATTTGATACGTTATCTGTTACTAACGATGTATTGGTTATACATCTGCAAATGGTAGATGAAAATGAAGTACCGTCAATCTCATTCGATTTTTCACAATTGCAACCCTTTGAGCAAATCCAGGGTACGTTGACAACAATTTTTCTTCCTTGACGTTCGTATTTAATTTTGTTGTATTTAGATCGAATCTATGCATTTATCAGTTTAGCAGCCTTATTCGAAAGAGATAATCAATCAAAACATGTCAAAACAATACTCGAGAAAACTAAAGTTCTGTTCTTTGATACGACAGATGAATTTGAAGCGTACGCAAGATCGTTACCGTACACTCAACAATTCGTTGCTTTTGTTAATTCGGAAGCGCATGTTCCTCATCAATACCAACCAACAAAAGTTCTGTCCTACGTCGAAAATGAAACACATTTTAACGATCTGATCTACCAACTGATGATTGAAATGAAAAATGATGAACAAGTTCCAGAATATGTCACACATTTGTACACCGATTTAGCGAATGTGTACTGTCCTTCAGGTGAGTTAACTATTTGCCGAGAATCTGTTTGCATAAAAACGAAATAATGGTTGGTTTTAGATGAAAATACTTTCTATGTTTATCTTTTACGTTCTTCGACTTGCAAGAAGGATTCAGAAAGGAAGTTGACAACGAATTTTTCTGTCTCATCTATTGTAACCTTTTATCAACTTGATCCATGCCTTGATTTTTTGCAATCATTATCTCAACCCTCCGAACTTGGCAATGTAATTCTAATATTTCAATGTGATGATGAAGATCTTGATAGTCCTTGTGATCAATTCGAAAAAGTGAATTCGATTCGAAATATTTATTTATGTTCGAAAAACGCTTTCAATATAAAGTCGCGAAGAATTCTTCTTGGAAAGTTTTTAAATGAGCATGATCTTCATGCACAGTTGTATTCAGACCATTTATGCAACGCATTTGCACAAACAAGCGAACAATTGCAGGTGCATGGAAACAAGACAAAGGCACTTGATCATTTAAAACAATCTGAACACTTTTCTGAAATATTGAAATCATATAACAACGAAACACAAACGTTTTTTGAATAAACCATAACCACTAAAATTCTTTTCATTGTTTTGTTTATTGAAAAACTAGTAACTTTTTGTTATTTCAGACTTGACCATATACTTACCAATGGAATTTAAACACCATGTACTCATTGACAGTGACTTGGAATCTCAAGCAGCAATCATTCAAAACATCCCTGTCTTTAAAGGATGGTTGCGCGCGTACAATGATATTAAGCAAGCTTTAGACTTTATCTTAGAAATTGAAGCACCGTATAGTATAGAAATATATCTTGCAAGGAATGATGTGTTCAACGATGGTCTGCCCTCCGAAACAAATTCTAGAATGCGGAATCTACTTCAAACGCTCAGTGACCTACAAACAGTTCATCATATTAATGTTTACAGTCCAAATGTCGATATTGAACTCAGAGCGCAACTCACTAGTATATTAGACGATAAACGCGTATTAAGGAATACTCTGGCTGTGATGGATTTATATGTTTATATGTGTAATGAGGGTATATCGTATTTCAAGGGTTTAATTTCATATTGCAAATTGAAAAATGAATTACATCTTATAGCGATTTTTCAACGAAGTGTAGACGATTTACATAGTCACCTGGATAAAGTATGTACTGATCAAAGACGACGAAATCAATCTTTGATAGCAGACTATGGTGATAAATTGGGTCTAGAAGCATTCTGATAAACAAATCATTCTCAGCAATTACACAAAATATTAAGCCAACTACGATATGATTTACAACATTTCTTCTGCTCAGATAATGAGTCGAGATGTACATATATGTTTTCATCAGTTATCTGTTTCGGAGCGTGTGGAACTCACCTAAAAAGAATGAAATCTAATGCTTTTCTCTTTAAATATGAATATTTCTGTGAGATTTTTTTGTTATCATAAATCCGTCCTAGTGAGAATTACTTGAATAATTGTTATAATAGTATACTTGTGAAATAGTTAACTTATCTCTGACACATGTGAAGCTGAACCTTACGTTTGAACGATCGCATTGACCTAGAAAATCCCTCATGCTCGTAGTATAACAATGGTACTAGAGTTTATCGCACTAGTACTTCCGGTGATGCTCAGCTACTAAATTAATAACAATTTCAGATGATCATGTAATTTCTCGGAGTCAAATGTAATCACATTGCTATAAGTTACTATGCGTGACGATAACTGCTTTTTTATATTGTTTTCTTAATGTTTGAATTTCTATTGTTAAACATTGCATTCGTTTTCTGGTGTTTTCTCCTGCTGTTTTATCGACGCAAACTCCGTGTGATTTTTAGTAGATGTTTTTAATATTAAAACTCATGTCTGAAAGACGAGGACAACGAAGTATTTTTTCTAATCAAACGAATAATGGAAATCGACATCTAGCGACTCCCTGGAACGGTTTTCATCACTGATTCATTGAATCACCAATAGTAAATGTTATTATGTAATCAGCTTGAATGAATCTTCTTCTCCAAAGAACTTTTCAGTATCATCATTTGAAAACTGTGAATGTCCACTTTAAGGAAATCATCACGATTGCGAAAACCCGTGACAACAATCGACCAAAATCTCGACGACGATGATGATAACGACTTTGAAGACATATCTATGACATCCAAACCAAGAAAATCATCTGCACGTACCTCTGTCAAACGCCCGTCGACCGACGATCCAGAAGCGGCCACCTCGACGAAAAGACAAAAGAGAAAAACATCGACAACAGCCAGAAAAACCTCACCGTATTTCAAACCCAAACCTGCTGAAAAGACAACTGACACACCGAAGCCGAAAGCAAAACGTAAACCTGCGAATAACACGACAAATGTAATAACTGATGAAAACGAGACAGTATCACATCAGACCGCCAGTGTGACAAAGAAGAGTAATTGAGTAATTACGAGCATTTGTTCATCGATTACAGAATTTTCCTTTTTAGAAACAAAGGCAAGTGATGACGAGGACGGATCCGACGATTCTGATGACGATGACGACGGATGGGAAGATGTTCAGTCGAAACCCAGTGAAGAAGTTGTTATTCAAAAAGTAATCGACTCGTCCGTATTGAAAAGATTAGAGTAAATAAATGTGTTACCATATAGTTGCTTAAAGAACGTGAAGAAAGACAATCAGATGTAGTCAATGGTGAAGTTGCAGTTAGTTTAACTAGCGACGAAGTTGCTGCAGCCCAAGGTCGCCGAAAGAAGAATATAAACTCGAAAGAGCATCAATTAGAACTACAATTAAAGCGTGTTTTGAAGAAAACCTATCTCCGAAAACATAAACATCACATCGTTTGCAGTCTTGGTCATGGTTTTCATTTGATTAAAACTTATATTCACAATCAAGAACTTTGCTCAATCATGTTTTCTTTACTCGATGACTCTATAACAAAAACATTTGTCTATAATCCTAAAACAACGAACATGAACGACGTTTATCGATTAGTTAAATATTTCAATGAAGTTTTCATCGTCGACGATAATTCCGAAGATGATGTACAAAAGCAACCGATCATAATGGAAAAATTACGTCAAGCTATGAGCGAAGGTTCAACAAAAGCTTCTTCATCTGTGCGAGTGATCCTTTTTGCAATTTACGTTCGACTTCTTCAATATGAATGTCGATTAGTTTTTGCTGCTGATTTACCGCCGATTCGACCGCTGACTCAAAAACAAGAAAAACTTCGCATTCCACATGGAAGTCTCGTGAAAAACATCCGGAAAAGCATGAAATCGACCACATCCGAAGATGAAAACAGTAACAGCATGAGTAATGATGACACATCACGTCTACATTCTCATGATCATTCGTCTGATTTATCTCGTGTTGTCGCTTCGACTTCGACACCATCTGTTAAAGATAACCGAGCTATTTCGCCTCCGACTACAACTACTTCCACGGCAAAACCAAAGTTTCAATCGCGTCGTCTCATGCCGCGATATTACTGGATCGAACTTTACATCGAAACAAGTGATGATGGTTATATTCCAATTGATCTTTATACATCGAAAATTCATTCGATCACAGATTATGAAGTGAACATTGAATTTCCCATGCTCTACGTTTGGGCATTTGACACCGATCAATCGAGTTCATATGCGAAAGACGTTACCAAAAGATATTCGCAAAAATGGTTAACTACACCATATCGTACATCCCATATTGAACACAAAACCAATGGTGATCCCAGCTGGTATGAAAAGTTAATGAAAAAATATCAAGCGAAAGACAAGCATAAATCCAGACACTCTCAACATGAAAATAAACAAATTGAGAGTATGTGTATTTCGTTGGGAAAATGATTTCATATGTATTTCCAATATTCGATAGATAAATTAGCTCAACAACCAATTCCTCAGTCAAAAGCAGAACTAATCGGTCACCCGTTGTATGTCTTAAAATCGAAATTACTTAAATTTGAAGGAATATATCCGAATGATACGCCACCAATTGGATGGTTCAAAGTGAGTTGCTCTTAAATGGAATACACACAAGTATTCATGTTGTATTTTAGGAAGAACCGATCTATCCTCGAGATAATATTCATATTCTACGTTCTAAACAAACATGGCTTAAAGAAGCTCGTCAAGTCAACCACGGTGAAGAACCATATAAAATCGTTGATGGTCGAATAAAGAACGTCAGTGTTATTCAGACAATCTGTTCATATCTAATCGTCGACACTTTATCTTTTCGATATCTAGATGGATCGGAAAATGGGTGTGACGACCAGACCTGAATTAGAACTGTTTGGTAAATGGCAAACTTCAGATTATGTTCCGCCAGTTGCAAAAGATGGCATCGTACCGTGCAATGAGTATGGCAACGTCGATTTGTTCAAACCAGAAATGTTACCAGTTGGCTGCGTGCACATTGTTGAGCCGAATGCAGCTCGACTTTGCAAGAAATTAGGAATAAACTATGCTGAAGCTATCACAGGTAAATTATTGAGATATGATCTCTAGAGTGTCGCATTTCATTCGCACAGGCTTCGATGCGCATGGTGGAGGTTCACATCCGGTTATTGAAGGTATTGTTATTTGTCAAGAATACGAACAAACTTTACGTGAAGCGATTGAACAACAAAAGCAGATCGCACTTGAGAAAGAAATTAAGAAAAAAGAAGAACGAATCTATAAAAACTGGAGAAAACTTATCCGTGGTTTAATCATTAAACAAAATCTCGCCCGAAAGTATGCCGATGATGCTCATGATGGCGGAGAATTAGCAACCGATGCCAAATATCAATGGCCTGTGTTACCAAAAGAAGCCACCAGCAATGAAGATGACTTCATGTAATTATATAGTACAATTTTCAATTCAGTATAAACAGATCGAAGATCCCTCTTGTTTATTTATTCACGCAACAAATGTGCAGTTGTCTTTACTTTATTAAATAAATGACTAATATTTTTTCGATGAATACTTGCTTATTTCTCTGCGCAAAATGCAACCAATTCATCGTTTCTTCACTCAGAGTCTGCAAAGATCGATCTCAAGAGTATTTTGCAGCTATTCACAGCCTCATAGTGAAAATTATCCTTGAATTTTTCAAATAAACAACCGTAGCAACCGTGTACTGTTCATTAACACAGCTACATCCTTAGATACCATATATCCTATGACAATATTTATACATATGACTATTTACTCACTATCATACATGAACAATGCCAAAGACGAATATGTTTGTTTCGTTTTTCGTTAGTATTGTAATAATATGTTATTAGAAGCCATTGGTAGGTCAAAAGAACTCACATTTTCTATTAATCAACATACTACTCAATTCAAGAAAATATCGACACACTGTAATAAAAAAAAGAATGGCATATTTCCGTCATTTAATCTCATAATTAAGTAAATCGTACACTAACCTTCGCAATGAATACATAGACAATTGTTCTATTCAAATTTTATTCTTATGTCTAAGAAGTCAAGTGAATTGAGAAAAAAAAGGCGTAAGGTATACATTTATTATTTAGAGTTATTTCTTATTCCCAACCTGAAATAACATATCTCGGTTTTCCGGATGATATTTTATAATTGTATAGTCGAAGTAAAGTATCGAATTTTTTGCTTTCAAGTTGAAGAAATACCAACAAATGATGTACATGTTAAAAGATGACATAAGTGAACGTATGCGATAACTTCAGCTGTATTTTAATCATTTTTCAGCTAACTTTTAAAGTAAATTTGTAGTCTCAAAAGAAATATTCGTGTAATCAAATTGTATGAAGAAAAGAGAAATGATCTAAATGTGTCATGGAAGAGTATTAGATGGTTTAAGTCGAAGCATTAAAGTCACTATTGGACAGGAGAAGAAAAGAAAGAATGATCAGGTTAGACTTTCTTTCTCTTTTGTTTGCTACTTATACTTTTAGTGAAATAAATTTAGTTAGAAAAGAAAACGAAGAGAAAGGGTATGATGCATGACCTGAGTTCCTCGTCAGTTTCCATTATGTGTTAAGATTTTTTCAAAGTAAATTTTTCATTACATCTCCTTATCTGCATCAACGAAGAAATTCTATGTATTTCCATTCTAGAAGTTCATTGGTTTGTTTGTATATAAATTCGATGTTTCTGTTGTTACGTTCGACGTGATGAGTCATACTTGTTGTATAATTCAATTCAATTTGTCGAAACAAAGTAACGAGAACACACGCTTTGCGTTAGTTAATCAAAATTTCCATGGCTTTGCGACTGGGCATGTGTACATTTTGTCGAAAAGTTCGTCTATTTTTGTACATACTGAACTATTTCCGTAAGTCGTATCTTCTATTTGTAAAATGTATTCTGTTCTCCAGGTGAAAGTCAGCGTGTAGCCATTGTACAAAAAACGGAAAGAACACATGTTATTTTGACATTCTTATCGCTTATGATTACAAACCTCAGCCGTATTATTAAATATCGGACGGAAAATTTATTTAATAGACTAGAATAAATTACCTCGCAAAAAAGCACGCATGTACTTCTATTTTCCTTTCTCAATTTTATCGACTACGGAGTCTTTGACTTTCATACTGTCAACTTGACATTTTTTGGACAAGTAATTTTTGAAACTTCCTGTCAGATCGTGCGCTTTTTCTTCCTCGAACAACTCTATAAATAGTCATTTTTAAACATTAGATTTGTTCTGAACTCTCATGATCAGTCAAGCACATGTACCGTGAAGATATAGCTCATTTATCCAATGCAGATGGAGGAATAGATACACGATTAAACATGATCGATGACTATTAGAGCAGACATTGTTGAACATAGGATGAGAGAGATGCGCATACGGGTTGCTTTAGGTGAAGAATGTTTCTTTTGACGCACACGTATTCGCATCTGATGTTATGTTCTACTTGCTCACATGTTCGATTCTTCGAAGACGCGAAACAAAATGCTATGACAGTGCTTCTACTTTTTTTCTTTTTCGTTCTTTTTGCGTGTGCAAACAAGGTCACTTCGCTCTGTATTTTTTCCTCGGTTTTTATGACATATATACAGATTCGTACGTTTTCTATATAAAGTATTACTTTACATACTTCAGATACTCTAGTAATATGGCTTTGAAACACTGTCGGGACGATGAGAAGAAACTATCCGATGAGTATTTATCACCGACAATTTCATCCTCAACGTTGGAAATTGTTCTCGATGATCAATTATCAAATAATTCGGATGATGATGACGATGATTCGCACGAACATGTTGGGTATGTAAAATTCTTGTGAGTAAAAAGACTTATTACAGAGAATTTCGTTTCATTCAACAGACAATCAGAAGCGGGTACGACAAACCGTGAGCGATTGAGTTATCGACGAAACAAGTCGATGCCAATGCGGGTATGAATAATCGAGAAGATCGAAAGTTGCGATCGAGTTACTTTTTCTTAGAATCCTAAATCTCATCGATTAATCGAAAAACGTCGTCGTGATCGTATGAACGGATTTCTCAGTGATTTATTGAAACTAGTGCCTCATGATGACAACCATGGCCAACGACGGATCGAGAAAACTGAAATTATTGAAATGGCTATTAAACATATACGATATTTAATTTCAACATTAGAAAATAAATGTACGAAAGAAACGTGTTTTGTTTGAACTAATTCTTCTATATCCGAAGTCTCTTTTAGCGAAAGTTGATTTAACCAACATCGGTGCATATCAGATTGGTTATCAAAATGCATGGACTGATTTCTATGATTTTCTCAATGATTATACCAACAACGATCAACTACTCATGGATATAAACAACTTTTTTAAAGAAAGAGACATCGAATTAAAAAATCTCACTGGTTAGTTGAAGCAAATCTTTCGAATTTATACAGCACTTTTTTCTTTTAGATGTTGTACCAGATAGAAAACGAGGAAAATACACGACAATACCAAGTAAACGAATCAAATCATCTCAATCGGTATCGAGTTCATCGAATGATCAAATTCGCAAGGCAAATTTATCAGATAAAGATGATGATCGACTATGTGTTATATCCGAAGTCACAGAATATAAACACACCGAATCATCGTACGGCGAACAACATCGCTCCAACGAACAGACAGACTCTCGTGTTAAAGTTCCGATCTTTGTTCTTCATCCGTCCGGTACACATTACATTCCAATGTGTATCGATGCATCTGTTGTATCACATGCATTCGAGAAACGATCCAATGTGGCACATTCGTCGATGACAACCGATCAACTGCAATGTCATCCTGTTTCAATACCTGTAAATTTTAACCCTCCCATGACTCTTTCTGATCCATATGAACTCGATATTCAAAATATCAATGTTATTGGTACACGTCATCAGACCAGTGTAAGACCAGACTAACTATTAAACAAAATGTTGTTTTGTCATTTTGAAATGCATTTATACGTATAAAAGTCTATTCTCAGCTGTCGTTTTTTTCCTTTCATTTTCTATAGAAAACAAATTCAAGTAAAAAGAGCAACCTCATAACACATGAATATTTCATGTATTACAAGCACGGAAACATACGAAACAGCCTGATACACATATCAGATCAGACCGTTCTGACATTTGACTTCAAATAGTATGTAAATATGTTACCATTGGTAAAATAACCTTGTCAAGCACATGTTACATACATGACGTGTTCTGGCATAATCAACTTCATATCGCATCCGAAAGAGAAAAAAACGCCCATATGCATATTCCTTGTCTGGCACTAAAAGAAACTTTTTTCGTGCATACATACCGGAATCCAAATATCTTTCATTTGAAAATATCGATAAACATGTTTTCAGTTTCCGGCTTTTACAGGTCATTGTGCACCATTTACATTACTAAATGGTGTTCTGACCTGATTGACAGATCTATATTATACTCATATTTAATATTTGGAGATCGTAGTATTCATAGGTTGTGTGACAAATGACGACTTTAAAATGAAAGAACGGCTAGGCACATTTGTGACAGTCAATTTTGTAATTACAAAAGTATACACCGACATCCTACGTTTGAAGGTTTTCAAGATGGTTATCGTTTATTTACTCTGAAAATAGTCTTGCTTTCCTGACTATCAATATATTTAATATGATCATTAGAGTCGCACTTCTTCATAATCGTACTCGATGTTTTCGTTCGAAATGACATTTTGTTAATATAGAGTAGTACTATGTCGGTTACGCTTTCTCCTTTACTTATTTTCCACACATATGAAAGGACGAATACGCATGAAATTGTTTCTTTTCAAGTTGATCAATGTGGAAACGAAATTGATGCAAAACTTAGTTACATAATCGACTGACTTTTGAAATCTCGTGAATCAATAGTTTTCTTATTTCTTCTCAACACTCTCACTCTTGTATGATAGATAGATTGCACAATCAATCAATACGAATCTCAACTATCTGATAAAATCTCGAATGTAACCTACAAACATTTATTTCTATATCCAAGTTGATTTTGATTGCTTAAGAAGTTTCGTTTAGTATCAGAAATGAATTTGTCTATGAATGTACCTTATAAAAACAATAAGATCACAACCCATGATCCCAATCTTGACTGTTATGTGCCGATTCGTCAAAATTTTTGCATTTAATTATCGACGAAAGAAAATGGTGATAGATAGAATTACATATTTATCTGTTTGGAATACTTCAATCGATCTTTTCGAAATGTAATCTCTATGTGAGAAAAATGAGTGGAAATGAATGTGTCTATAATTGAGATCGTTCGCTATTACACAATGATTTGATTCGATTTCCCTAAAAGAAAAATTCCTAACAGAATGACAATTATCTCCGATTAAGTGTTCACACATGCGATTGACCATACATCTCGACTCATTCTCATAGTTGCCCGTTTATGTATACATTGACATGAGACTCTTTGCATAATTATAGGCGACAACAATTAGTTAAGCCTTCTTGTCTTATTTTGTTTGTCCGTGATTTCTATTTTCGTTCATTCGTTCTCTTTGTCTCATCGTTCGTAATTAAACAAATAAAAACTCAGTCGAACCTTATCATCATTTCACTATTTTCTATTATTCAACGTGTGAGGCAACATCTTGTTTTGTCACTCCTACACATAATGTCCAATTTCAATTGAGATGTCAAGTCTTCCTTACTATTCGTTTTCTCATTTTTATGCATTTCTTCTTTTGTCCATATATATGTACATATATTCTTAATATGTGTATGAATGAGCGTGTATGTGCGAGTATGCAATGATGACGCAGTTCATTGTATGATTGAAGTGGATAAGGGGACCCTCGGACCGGTAGTCACCTGCATTGACCAGAAGTTTTGTTATATTGTTCAAGAGAGTGGAAGAGTTTTGGCCAAATTGATCTATGCACATCATTTATAAAACAATTGAAGAATTGCCGAAGATGATACGAATAAAGAGCAAGTATAGGTATGTTGTCTGACATCACATCTGGTGAGCAGGAGTGAACGTGATAGGCAGAGTGCGAACTTCATCAATTTGTCATTAATAATAGAACGCGAAAGACAAATTGTAACACACGTGCATGTGTTTCGAATCAAGGTGTAGGAGATAAGTTGTTGATCTTTTATCGATGAGAAATATTTGAATAAGTGCGATCGATGGATTTCCCATCATCGGCATCGTCAGTTTCAAGTGAGATATTTTTTATTGAATTTTCCATTTGATGCTCTCGTTCCCGGTCTATAACGTGGCTTGCATCGTAAGAGTATTGTCGCCAGCGGCGATCTCTAATGTTGAATCGATGTCGTAAGAAGAGACCAAGGACAGTGTGATGAAGCCGGAAAAAAACGAACTCTTGCTTCTTCGTCTCTCTCTCTCTCACTTTATTCGAGAAATCAAGTCAAGGCTAATTGTTTTCATATTGCTTTCTAACTGTTCGAATAGTCGTGTTTTCCATTCTATTGATTGAGATGAAAAATGTCATTTCATAACTCAATCGAAGTGATTTCTGTCATGAGTTCCGAAGATAAAAGGAATCGGGTGATACAACCGTAGATCTGAATTGTTTACTTCTTAAGAGCGCGTGTATTGATCATCAAGTGTGACAAAAGAGCGTGTGTTCTCATTAGAGTTTCATGATGCCGACCTCCTCTCTATTCTTTCATATTGTGTGAAGTGTACTTTTACTTTTTTTTTTCTTCTTCTTCTTTTGCAAAGAAAAAAAATCAATCGCTACTGTTCTCTATTCAAAATGAACTCTCTACCATCACCACTGATCATTAACACACGAAATCATAACAAACGAACGTCGCTTACAATGCTTGCACAATCGAATAGGTAAGCAAATATTTCTCAATTATCATAGTCTTTTCTTACAAAACGTTGATTTTGAAACCAAATAAGAAACTTTCAGCCGATGTTTAACGATCGAATATCTTCATCTCTTAGTGTTATCAAATCATCATCAGTTGGCAATGATTATTTTGTCAAATATTATACATCAAATCATTGTTCAATGTTCGATGAACAAATAAATTCAAACAATCAAAGAAAAGATGATGATAATCATCATCAAGTAAGTATGCGTGTCCAATTTATTTTCGTAAAAATAGACAAAGATAAAAAGAAAAGACAATTTGATATGCCTAAAAGCAAAACTTGCCGTTTTTCTCTTCCCATAATGGTTATCGATGTCTCTCTCTCTCTCTCTTTCGCTTTTCTTCTTGCTCTATAACCTTGCACACTCAAATATTTGTCTCGTCTTCTTTATTGCATGAGTTGTTATTATAGTATTGCCGTTCTGTTGTCATCACTGACACTTCATCGAATTTTCGACCGACCGTTCTTGCAAATAATCATCGACATCATCATTATACAAAACGATATCGACGTTGCGAATACATATCAAGGTAAGACTATCTCGAAGTTTTGCAGAGACGATGAAATATGTTTTGTTGTTATCACCTGACGATTACTTTTTCTATCAATAATGAAAGCGGACTTGTTCTGTGATCTGATAGACTGAGAATCAGTAAAGAACATATGTATATAAACATAAATCATCGCTGAAGACAGTTAATATGCTATCTATTGAAAAGTCCAATGATGAACATCGTCAATTCCGTCTCGACGTGTTGAAAAGACAAGATTGAGTAAAGTAATCATGCAAGGTCAGCTGTTCTACTGTCCGCTCAACGTGTGTAGACATCGATTATAAGACAGTCTTCTTCGTTTGAACTTTTCCGCTGTCAGTAATCGTCGTTCATCTAACTGTTCGTATCATTAACACTTCTTAGCAAGTACAATGTCTGATCTTAAAGTTCTCATTCGACGAAGTCAAATAAGGCGGAGTGGGCTTATTCATTGAATTAATCGGATTAATTTCTGTCAGATATCTTCATACACGTTAGAAAGGTTATTCACATCAAGTGGTCATAGATAGACCATAATTATCTTTTGCGCGCTCGGCATGTTACGCATTCCATTGTTGCTTGAGAAGTTCTTTCTTCATCTATTTTGCTTTTCTTTCTTTCTTTTATAAATGCACATGCCGATTAATGAAGCGATTAATCATAAGATTCGATAGGGGAAACTAAAATTTGACTCGTATTTGTCTATGTGTACGATTTACACATCCGTTGGTTGGTGACATTGTTGCCTGTGTGAAGGACATATCGTGATCTGAATTTACTTCATCATTTTATTATCAGCAACAAAAACGCGGAAATGATAATTCGTCTTCATTCATAACGAGCGGCAGCTAAGAGCAATTCCGTTGCGTATTTGTTCTACTGACCATCATCGCTCTCACCGTATTAAAAACGTAGTTCCTATTCGCTATTCAATAAGTAAGTAGACAAGAAGGGACAGGAAGGGAAAATATAAGCGTATATGTCGTTTATTAGTTAAGCAATCGGTTCTTTGTATAGCACCTCTCTTGTTCTCTGTTAAACGTGCATTCTTTTCCTTTTCTCTTTCATTCTTCATTAAATGAAAAGATGGTTTTGAACTCGGATGTATGTACTGTGCTCGACCAACTACTTCGCTTGATTACATCATTTCCATTGACTTACTATATATCCTAGATATTTGTTGACTTAAAGGTAGATTGTTACATGAAGAATGTCCTCCGCGGAGAAGGAACGTACGTTTTTCCATTTCTTTTCTTCTTAACTGATTTATTTGACTTAATCAAGGTTGAGACCTCCTTTTCTCTTTCTGATACACAGAAATCCTTGATACTTGTTTCACAGAAGTTGTTTTCAGAAGAGAAATCAATTACTTTCTCTTATCGATTTTGATAACAGGAGATTTATTCTTCGGTTTGAAAAAAAGCAGATTCTTCTCGTATGTCATTTTTGATAAACACGAGACGAAATAGCTTTTCATCAGTTTTTTTTCTTCGTCGTTGACAACCTCGACTACGAAGAGAAGAAAAACACTTGCTAGTTACTTTAGATTTCATTAACCATGAATACGAAGTAAACATAACCTAGCCGAACAGATCTACTCGTGCGTATGTAACCAAGGCCCAAGTGACAAATTAAAATAACAGCATGTGTTCGTTTTTAATTAATATTAAGAAACAAAAAAATAAATCATTCCGTTTTCCATCTAACACCAAGGTTAGATAAATAGGTTTTTTTTCGAGGAAGGATATGGACAGATAGATTTTGTCCAACAACAACTAATTTTCATGTGAGATTATTTCAATCGAGCGTATACGTCAAGATTGTCTTGGATTTTTATCAAGACTTGTCATCTCGTATCTTCGCGGATGTGCCAATTGACTTGTCAACATGTATGAGAGAAAAAAGAACCGCTGCCTGCTTTTCCAATCGAGATAAATTGTTTGGGGGGGAAGATCGACTCATCATAATTTCATCTATAAACAATGTCGAGAGTATCTTATGCCCATCAAATATGAGACGAACATCATCACGTAGTTTTTCTTCGTAGAAACCATCTTGACATCAAGTTTCCGAGTTTTTTTTCTGTATCTTTCTATGTACATATCCTTCATCGTTAACAAATTATGAGATGCACTGTCATCTGATCTACTGATTGATCGATGATGGTTATGGTTGTTCGTCTGTATTGTTGTTTTTGTTGTTGTTGTTGCTTTCTCTTTCGACGTGCTCTTTGTCGGCAGCGAAATTGAGTTAATCTGACTAAACACTAAAAACAAGAAACTTCATTAATATGTATATGAGATGGATATATCTTGAAATCAGCAGTATATCGTACAAGAGTGCTGCTTGCATAAATATATATATGAGAAAGAACGACATATTTACATAGCAGAGTACAGTGATGAAGTCATCTTTATATATGTATGTATATCATCGAGTGAAATTCAATACTTGTCGAAGAATGTCAGTAGAGATCGTGTACAACCTTGCGTATACGTGTTCCATACGTATAGTTGTGATGTATATTTGCTTTTATATTACTTCTGTACTTGCGTCATTCCGTATAACAAAAGAGATGACACATTTCTTTCTTTTTCCTTCTCTCTTCCCGTTCTTGGTTTAATCAAGTAGAAATTAGAGCTATGTCTTCTTTCATCATTTCATTTGTAGTTTGCTTTCATCGAAACAACGAATAATGATCGGCGCTGACCAAAAGCATACGATCGGACTTATGCAACAACAGGAACAGACGTCTTTGTCTTCATCATTTGTCCATCAGCTTCCAGTATCCACTTCTACCGATTTGAATTCAAGTGTTTATGATAATGCTTATCATCAGAAAAAGTTTAATCCGTCATCATCATCACGAGTAAGAAAAAGAAAACTACAACTCTCTAGTTAATCCAATCCATAAACTTAGCGCAGAGGAAAAAGAAAAAGAAGGAATGTCAGCTTCTCTTCCTTTTCTCTTCTCGATTGACCGATGCAATTGGTTTCCATTCATTGAATTTTTATCTCTATTAAATAAGTTTTACATTAGCAAGGAAAAGCGACGTGTCCCAACCGAATTACCAATGAGTTTTGAGACACGATAAAAGAATTTTCTTTTTGTATTCTTTGGTTTAGATTAGACTTGCTGTACGTTGTTCGTGTCCATTAAATGACAAGCAACAGCAATTCTTCGATGAGATCTTCTCTTCTCATGAACAGACGACGAACATTAGTGAACGGATATTAGATGAATGCATACCACGTTTAACACAAAATTCCTCAAATACATTGATTGTCTTATCTGGTCAATATAGAGATCGTAAGAGAATAATTTCAGATGACCATGGAATGTGAAGATGTGTTTTTCTTAAGTTTATCAACTTCAAGCAGTACTTTTATCATCGACATTAACACGCTTATGTAAATTTATTGATGCAAATCCTGAAAAAGATTTAGCTGTTCGTTTGAATGTACAAGAATTCTTGTGTAATAAAGGTAAACGAACGTTTTTTTTGAAAATATTTACTTTGCAAATCGATAATTTGTCTTCTTAGTGAAATGTTTACTGTCCACGGATGAAGTGTCTGGTGCATGTGCAAGTGAAACATACCAATATTTAAACAATCTCTGTTGTGATCATCGTATTAATCCATTATTAATCACTTTTCATGTTTTAAGTCGTTCATCAAATACGAATTATGGCTCGTTACGTATTCTTCTAACGAATCATAGTGACAGTGAAATTGGAAAACAACAGTTCTTGGATTTATTTATGTCATTAGCATTAACATTCTCATCGAATCGACCAAAACAAACGTTTTATACATCAACGTAAGCTATACTAATTATCTTATTTTCCTTCCCCATGTATGTGTTTACCAAATGTTTATTTGATGATTATTTATATAATAGGAAACGGAATCTAACGACTGGACTGTCATTATCATTGATACTAAGCGAATATATCTCGAGTTATTGTGAGCAATCATCGAAGAACTTTTTGTATGTATTAGCCAATGTTAAAAATGATAAACAATTGAAATACTGGTCGAAGATTCAACGGCTATTTCGAGTGAAGAAGAATCGATTGAAAGTACGTTGAAGAGAGTGTGAAAATCAAGTTTTCTACCTTGATCTTTCAGATGTCATGTGATTGTTATGATTCCTATGCGGATTCCTCATCTGCAGAAACGATTACGAATCGAAACACTGAAGAAATTTGGATTGATGGCCCATTAAGTTCAACGAATTCCAAAAGTGAAGTTTGGATCGATGGTCCACCTGAATTTTGTTCTCACTCAACAAAACTTCAACCTGTGAAATTCTCTTTAAAACATCGTTCGAACTCATCTCGTCAAAGTAAATCTCGCTCGAAACCTTCAATCCTATCTCCTAAACATCCTTTACTCTCCTCGACAATATTATCACAAGATGATCAAGCGATGTCTTCGCGACATTTCGATACCGAATCAGTTGTCAGCTCACACTGTCATTTACCTGTTTTACCCGTATTCAAAGATCATTCATTACTTCCATTTCGTTCCCATCAAACCTTACCACGAACAAAACCATTGATAGCACCTACGGAATCGAGTAAACTCGACCTTCGGCTGAGTACGAACAAATTAAATGATGACATGGAAGCATTGGAAAAAACATTAGAGACATTATTGATTCCGTCAACGAGTGATCCGACTGGAAACAAAAAGGATCATCATGATTCAGCAAGTATTACTCAGTCATTGAATCGAATTGATCAATTGTCATCGTCAATGTCAACTAATGAGAAAACGAAACGTCTGTCTCGTATTGTTTCACCAACACGATTCGAGAAAATACTCTCGTAAGAAACTTCTGTTTTCATTCCATATTCTTCTAACTTCTCTCTAATCTTTTAGTAATAATCCATCGATAGATGATTTCAGTTGGTTTCATCCCTTTTCGTCATCTTCAGCCGGTTCATCAGTTCCCAATTCTCCTGCAACTAAACCGAAAAATCGTCAAGTACGAACACCCTTGATTACCACACCTGAAACACCCCGCCGTTCGATGTTACCGACGAAAAAAACCAAGATTCTCCCTGATTCCAATCGTCGAACTAATCCAACTCATTCTCGTCCTTCCATTTTCCAACGTTTATTCGGTTTACGTTCCTCATCTAATTCTCAACAACAGTCACAGCAACAACCCATCTCCATTATCATTGAATCTCCACCAGCCTCACCATTAATATCCCCACTTCGCGTTACTCTCGACTCGCGAGATGATCTCATGCCTTTGACAACCAGTAGTACAACGTCGTCCGCATCTGGACGTGCCAGTTCAAGTGGCTATGAATCAATGAGTAATACAGTATTCGAAGAAATCGTCTCATCCATACCAGTTATCATTGCAAATGAAAATAATTCGATCAAATTACGCAACAAATCAATACGAAAAGGTAGGAGCATAGTCAAATCACAGATGTTTCTTAACTCAATCATACATCCGCCGGCTCCTTGCAATCGAGATCATAATGTCAATGACAGCAGGCTCAACTTACTGTCCGGACTAATTTGATAAATCCTTTTGATATAGGAAATTGTATTCAGACGGCTGAATTCTATTTACTTAGTGTATACAATATATATCTGAGAAGGTCATTGGAGTCAGATGTTTCTTGCCTTGCTTAAGTCGAACGATAAATATTTAATTTTATGTAAAAGATCTCTTAGACATACAATCTGAACGTCTTTTATTCAATTTAACCAGACGATCTTCTCCATTTCTTTAGATGAGCGACGTTCGAACATAAATGCATTATGGAATAGTCCAATAGTAAGTTTTCATATGAGAAAAATGAATAGCATACATTATACATTTGATAATCCAATAGCTTCGTGAGAAATCGAATCGCCAGCAACGTATTTCTCAACTAAAACACCGGCAAAATGAACTGAAACTTGAATTAGCCATGACAAAGACATTCTTACTCATGGATAAAAGCAAACATTTCGATTACAACGAATGTAAATATGCAAAGGTTATACTATTCTTCAGCGAAAACTTTTGTTTTCATTGTAGCTCTCAATTCGACGATACATAATAGTCCAATGCATACGAATTCATCAACTATGAATGAAGAAGATGAACTTGAGAGTGAAATCGAACATTTGGAACGACGTCTAGCATCCGCTAAATCTCAATTACTCTATGTTACATATCAAAAAAACAGACAACTCAAATCTTAGAATGAAATGTCGACATTTACATGTACCATTGTTTTTTTTTCTTCCTTTTTTATAATTCTTCTGTTTGATTTACCACAAAGAAAATATACTTATTTATAATTATATGTGCATGTGCAAAAAACATGATAACCAGTTGTATATATCAATAGATTATTTGCATAGGTTTTCATTCTAGAGAGAACAAAGTGAGGGTGATCGAGTAGGTTGCAAATGCGACACACAACTGGCTTGATATTTTCTCTTAAAGCTGCTCTTCTTGATTTTTTTCTCATTCTTTACCTTTTACACGTGTGTAATTTTATGAGCATGTGTGCTTAGATTGGCAGACACCCACATGTAAGAAAAATATACTTGCTTCTTGATGACTTTCCGCGAACATAATACTTTTGAAAGTAAGCTTGAAGGAAATGGCGTCGGTACTCACGCTATTGTTGTATGCTGTTGTTGGACCTTTTGCAATTCTGAAGCTTTATGCGAAAAATCTGATGCGGCAAGCGTATGGAAATCAAGTTCCATTGAAGATAGCTGCATCGATTATTAGTTTGGCCGTAGGTTCTCAGATTACCTATGTATATCGTTCTAAACATAGTCTCATATGTTTAGCAAGTGGCTTGTTTACATTGCTGATTAATTATTGGTATGTAATTCCAATTCTTCTTATTTACATTCTCCCTAAGATAACTTCTCTGATCAAATCTTGGCTTTCACTGATCGAATTATTCGCTAATCAAATTATTCGTCCGACTAGTACAAGACTTCGTCAACTGTTACCCTCAACATGGACATTTGATCCAAATGAAACATTTTGGCCGATTGAAACTATTCATTTTCTATTAACATACGGTTCAATTGGTCCAGCACTTTATTGCGGTTATGAGATCTACTCTCGTCTATGCTTTGGTATCGTTTTCAATCTCTGCATTGCTATTAGTATAACAATAGTTCTTACCACAACGTTGTGGCAATTGCTTGACGCGATCGATCGTGTTCTTTATCCATTCATATTCGCAATAATTATACAATATTATATCATACCCGTTCGATCAACATGGAATATTCCAATGACACTTTTGTTAACAACATTTCTATTTCCACGCATAAACACCCTTGTAACAAATAATTCAATCGAAGATTTCATACAGATGATCAAATTTTGGAATTATGAAACACTTTCGGAAGAGAATCAAGATTATAAACAATTCTTTAGCGAATTTGTGAATTTATTTCTAACTATCTATTTAACATGCAGAATTCTCATTATATCGATCAATAGTCAAGTACCTTGGCTATTGATTATATCCATGATGATCTTTTTACCTGCTTATTTCTATATCAAATTCATTCGTTTCGTATATCTCGAACCCAGCACAACTATGTTCTTATTGTCTTCATGTCTTCTAGGTGAATATATTTTAAATTATCGACCAAATGATCATTTCATCTATAAATACTTTCTTGTTATCATGATTTTGGCATTCTATTATGCTCTCATTTATCCAATTATCTATCACACTATACGCTGGTTGACCCAGGGATCTGCACATCGAGTTCATATGCAACTAAAATCATTTCGAGAATACATTCATCGACTAGCACGTGAATTCAACGAACAATACCTGCATATAACATACACACATGATACCTCGCGGTATTTCATTCTGCATTTAAGTAATGTTTTTATCGCAGCTTATTTCCTCTTCTTCTTGCCAATCAATGTTTTATTGCGAATAATCCTATCTCTACTCAGTTATTTACTCTTGGGTCGTTTATTACTAACACGTGGAATCGAACTTCTGGCAATCTTGATAGCATTATCGACAAGTGTGACAGCCGGTGCTGACGTTTATGCTCGTTATGATAATTCCATTCTAATCACAATGTCGATTGCTTTGATCACATATGTTTCGACGGTAGTCATTGTATTCCCGATCATTTATCGTTTAATTCAACATTTTATTATTCAATTACCTCTGTTAAACTACTTCGATAAATTTTTACAAATGACCTTCGTGCGTGCATGGTCATGCTTTGATATTTTCTGGCCACGTCTTGTATCGAGTTTTCATGAAGTTAAAACAAAGATTGAACAATCCAAATTAAACATATTTAGACAGAAAAGATATAGACGATAAAATATAAAACGATGAATCTATTTTCATTTTGAATAAATATACAAAAAATGACTTCCGACGATTCGTCATGTCTTCCATTTACTGAACCATGACTGTTAGAAATATACAAGGTTACTTTTGAGTTCTTTTGCACTGAGATCGAAATCTATCATATTCCAGACGAGAGCATTCGTCGGATGAGATTTATTTGAGCGCTATTCAATAGATTGACTTTGACTTTCATTGAGTATTGATTAATCGATGTTCAGATGCATTCTCGTTTATTTTCTCATCTTTAATTCATTTTCCCAACAGGTCGGAATTTTGATTACTCGCAAAAATCATTTTTCTTCTTATGGCCTCTCAGTGCCTATAAGCTATAAACATAGATTCCCTGCTGTTATCACAATTTGTTTATTCGGATACGGGTCAAAGATGAACGCCGAGACGAGTAGTTAAATGCCATTTAATTAGTTCTCTTCATATTCACACAAAGACAATAATGTACGTCAAAAAAGGGATTTGGACACATATGTAGTAGTGCTGTTCATTGTGTCGCGTGTCTACCATAGATGTCTGAGTGTCATTATTCGTAATTGGAGAAGCGCTATATCTTCTTACTAGAGAGTAACTTTTCTTGTCGCTCGTTTGCTTGCGTTCATGACCTTCTTTTCTTCTTTTCTCTCGCTTTTTTTCTTTCTTGCACAAAAGTTCATCCTGACGTTGCTGAACGTTCACTGTTCATTTATATACATTGGCGAAGGATGGAATTCACTCTCTTCCATTCAATGTAGAAAAAGTTTTTCTCTCATTTTTTTTTGTTCTTTATCTTCTTCGCCTTATTGTCGCTCGAATAACCGAGAATTATCGACGAGCTACTTTTTTCTTCTGCTAGAAATGTGCTCACCAAACAATCCCTCACATACATTCGCGTAAGAAAGAAAAAAAAGAGAAGAGAGAGAAAAGGAGTTTGATATATGGTCATCGTCTCTTGTTTGTGTTTGACGCCCGAATGCTTTTTGATATGATGAGGTGAGGACAATAGAATAATATAAATGATTGAATGAGGTGTGATAGTCGGAACTGTATACTTCAAACACTCGGCACTAAAGGGCAGCAGACATACACAGCATAAGTAAAACCAAACGAAAAAAAAATCGATTTACATTCGAAAAATAAATATTTTTTTATTATTATTCAAAAGGTCTTTGCCTTGTCCCTTCCGGCCATGATTAGATGTTTTTTAATTAAATGTTTTGCCTTATAAAACAAATTGCTAGTAATAGTTATCGTGTAAAATCATGTCATAGGTATTGTCTGCACGACTTTTTTTCCTCCGTCTTGTCATTATAAACAAATGTTTTGTCTATTTATACAGAAGACAAGGAAATGTTCAATTCTGATCGAGAGAGAAAGAGAGAATCTGAGTAATATTGCATGTATATCTTCGCTGTCATCTGTTCCTTTTTATATCTCATGTTTTCTAGCTTTTTATTTGCTAACGCATACATCCTCATACTATGAAGACAAATCTAACATTGAGTTGACCATCTGGCGATGCTTTCTCGTTTCTTCTCGTCTGTTCATTTGACTCTTGAGGGTCGGACACAAATGTATATATATATATATATATGTATGCGCGTACGTTCGTGCTGCCGTCCTTGTCTCTTCCTTTCTCTTGTGCCCTACCATTCGTTCGTTCACCCACACTCGTTCGGACAATAAAAATCGATCATTTTACGGCGGCTGCAGTAACTATATACACATATATGTATGTATATCTCTCTTCTCCCTCTTTTTTTTTCTTCTCCTCATGACCGGCTCAATTTGTGGATGGCGAATGAGGCTAAGCGTACGGACAGAACTGGTTCATCATCATTGAACAGAACAGACACACATCCTTCTTTTCTCTTCTCAACATACTCTACAAGTGTTCGATAGTCTATCGTCAGTGAACTCGACTACATGCTTTCATTTTCTCTTGTTTTGGATATTTTCAGAAAATAAATGTATTATCATCATCTAAATAATTTGATAGCTTTATTTTTCGTCCTTCCAACATTAGTACAATTATTATCAGTTAACACAGATATTTTAATTATACCACGCAATGCTCCCTCTGGTTTTGTTCTACTCGAAGAAACGAAGCCAACTCGAATATACGAGTTTCGACAGTGTATTAATCAAAGCGAACAATTACATCTCGATATCGATGAAAAATATGGTGATTTAATATTAAAGAAACCAATTGATAATGTTCAATCTAATCAACAACGACTTCTCTGTACAATTCATCGAAATCAAGTAAGGAAAAACGATTTTTTCCACTGTTGATATGTGTGTGTGTGTGTGTGTGTCTTGACAATGATCTAATCAAATTGTCAGATGTCACATTAGTAGAGTCTACACGCAAAGTTGTTCATACCAGGTAGACTATTATTTGTACAGTGAGGAAAAATCTATCGAAGAGGTTAATTTGTCTGATTGATGTTTATGTAAAATAACACAGATGGAAATACGTATGGGTTTTTTTTTCTTTTTATTTTCTAGTCAACGATATTGAAACTTTACTATACAATTGTTCATTTAACGAATGATATCAGTTTTACATCACCAATTTATCATGCCGATCCAATGTCTTTTGTTGTACATCGATTCCGTGGAATTGAATGTCGACCGGCTTCATCGTCGATTCATTATGAATTTGTTGATCCGTCAGTTCCATTGAGTATAAATGAAAGAACAGGCGAACTTTCGACAAAGGATATGTGTCCAAATATCGATGACGTTCTCGTGAAGTGCTACGATACATCCAATCGAATGAAGAATGCCTACGCAAAAATCATCTTCGATCAAATTTGTCAAATCAGTTCTATCAAACAATCAGACAACAATTGGGTTAATCGACTAGGTGAAGAACGAAGAAAACGAAATCAGTTTCAAGAATTCGGTACAGTGCTGGTAAGTTAATCAAATGATGATTTGATGAGAAAGAAGCAAATCTCGTGTGAGCCATTGATTAGATACAGAGAAAGCGTTCTTTTTCTCGCAGATCGAAATCAAGCTAAGAGATGACTTTAATTTCCGGTTGGAAAAGAACAAGAGATGTTTGATTGTAGTTATGTTGATTTTAGTCGGTAGTTGAAAAGATATTATTCTAAAATGTCAATTCATATACAACGTAAAACAGAAATGAATCAGTTTTCTTTCTATTCGAAAAGCTTTTCAAAGTATTCATACTTTTAACTACGAGAGAATAACAAAAATTACATCATCGATCAGTCTGTTTAAAAAAAAAGGGAGGACTACGAACATAAATGACAGCGCTAGTTCATGTCCATTGACACGTTTCATCCGTCCACTTTACATGCAATCTTCATAGAAGTACCTAGGAGCGGATTGTACGAACAATCAATCTATTGTTAATCTTAAAAACAAAAGATACATAGAAGCATTTCCTCCTTTTCTTTTCAAGACGCATTCAATTCGTTCTCGTCGACAGCAATCAGCTCAACCACCAACACGTTTAACACTTCGATTTAACGAGTCTTACATCGGTGCTATAACCCAAATAAAATATTGTCGAAAACAAACATCAAAAGATCATCTCGAACAGACATTTACATTTCCATCGAAGTACGAAGCATTTCTACGCGAACGTTTACAAATGAATGATCAAGGACAATTATATATCTTACGTCCATTCGATTATGAAACATTTCAAACGGTTACATTTCAATTCCATTGTTTAATCTTAGAACAACAAAACGGTGGACTGAACTTAACACGTGTGAATAAAACCGAAGATATTCAAATCGTAGTCGATGATATCAATGATGAAGTACCACGATGGACTATGGATGAACCGTTTCAATATGGAACATATTTCGCCTATGTGGAAAAAACTGCTCGACCGGAAACGCCAGTATTTCGTTTTAAAGCATCGGATCCGGATACCACATCGAAATTAACGTATGAAATCGTTCAAGGAGATAAGAATCTTTTCTATCTATCATCCGACGGAACATTAACAACACATTCGAATCAACAATTAGTATCTCCAATGTACAATCTAACTGTTCGAGCAGTTGATTTGAATTCTCAAGTTTCATCGATGTCTCGTTCTACCGAGGCTCATCTCTTAATTCGCACTGATCGTTTCGAACCGAAATTTTTCCTACAGAAGTACATATTCAATGTCAGCGAATACACACAGCCATCGACAGTTATCGGAACCATTCGAGCGAAGTCTTATTCGACAACGAGTGATAACTTACGGTATTTTTTACAACAACCCATCACTGGCGGTACGCAAACAATGCTTCAATCGGGAACTATCATTGGCGGTGGGGGTGATATGTATGAATTCAAAATTGACGAAACAGAAGGATCAATAAAAATCTTGAAGATGTTAAGATATTCTGATCAACACAATAATAATACGAAATATTTTACAGGTAAGCGAAACGAAAACAAAGCGAGCGTAACATGATTGATGATAAATCTTATCTTTCTATAAGTTTATCAATCTTGAGATACATTGATTTGTATTCAAAAGAAAATGACCTGTCAATCTCGATTGAAAAGAATCACATTCGAGATGCAGAATTATTCATTATACATGATTAGAGGCACGAAAGTGTCTTGACTATCAAGTACATATATGCGTTAATAATGAATGTTTTATTGACTTTTCAATACATCTCTACTCAATTCGATCAAAACTGACCATAACATTTTCTTTTCGCATCTCTTAGGCGTCGTCAAAGAACTAAGTGGTTGGCAATTACAATCTCATGTTGAAATTGAAATTCATGTCATCGATATCAACGATAAAATTCCGACATTCAAACAGACTTACTACACACCACAGATATCGGAAGATTATCCATTGAATACTCCGATTATAAATTTCACTGTTACTGATGACGATGCACGAAATACTCCGAATTCGAACATTACGCTGGATTTGATTGATCCCTATGGAAAATTTGCCATATTCAATGATACTCGTGTGTCAACATCGAATAATATTCAAGCATATCTCATTGCAAAAGAACGTTTGGATTACGAATCTTTGTCACCATTAGATCGACAGTATAAATTGAAGATCATCGCACGTGATAATGGACATCCGCAGCCATTGCAATCCGAAGCGCAGATTTACATCACAGTTACGGATGTGAACGATGAGGTAGAGACTCGATATTTTGGAAGTTTGTATTTATTTGTTTGGTTTTAGCCACCGGTTTTCAAAGAAAATCCTGTACAGAAAACAATTGCAGAAAATACTCAACGAGGAACATTCGGTAAAACAATTTAGTATATTTTCTTTTCAAATCTACTTTCTTCTATCAAATCTTTTCAGTGGTATTTGTCGATGTTGTTGATCCCGAATACAATGACTCGGTCACTGTACACTTTTTACCAACATCAGAGTACAACCCATTTCGAATTATCACAAGTCCTGGCGGCGGTCGAGTTATTCTCGAACAAGCGCTTCTACCTGACAAAGAACTCTACAATTTAACTATCCAAGCATCTGATCGACTCGGACATACATCTCAGGCACAACTTCTAATTACTATCTACGATGTCAATGATCATACGGTAAGGAGAATAGCTTCGGAATATATTGATGGGATTGCCATTTGTGTTTAGCCACATATTGACCAATGCGAAAATGGAATAATTACAGCTGCGATTCGTGAAAATGCAACAGTGAACACTCAGATCATCAAAATCAATGCGACCGATGACGATCGCGGATTGAACGGTGAAATCCAATTTTCTTTGCGAGGAACCAATGATCCTCAACAAGATTCTGATATGTTCTCTATTGATCCTGATACCGGAATGGTTTCGAATAAGAAGAAACTAAAACATCTCAAATCAGGATTTAGCGAATATACAATGACTATATTTGCACAGGATAAAGATCCTTCAAATCCACGTTCAACACATTGTATTCTCAAGATCACTGTTGAAGATATCAATGATCAGTGAGTTTATACTATTGGCGAGAGAGAAATCAAACTCATATCTGTTTTAGCTATCCTGTGATCACGTCGCCGGCTCGTGATAATGATTTGATTTCCATCAAAATGGAAAAACGCGTTAATTTCAACTATCCCGTGCTAGTCGTTCGCGCTAAAGATGAAGATAGTGGAAGGAATGCTCTTCTACATTTTTCACTCAAATCTCGTGATGACTGTTCAAATGGCAATGAATTCTTTACGATTGATCCTCAATCAGGTGTCATATCAACACGCGCATCAAATGTCAACAATCCAATTAATTTACAATTAAAATATTGTCTTGTTGTACAAGTATGCGATTCGCCAGATGATGGCCCACCGAAATGTTCGGAACGTAAAGTTCAATTTCAATTGTCTCAAGATGGTTTTGAGCCACCTGTTTGGGCACCAGAAACTGCATTGACCTTTCAACGTGTTATGAAAGTCGTTGAATTAGCACAGCAGAACATCGTGATCGATACTTTTAAAGCATCTATTGCCAATGATTCAACGAAAAAAGTGATCTTCGAAATGGAACCGTTCAATTGGACGTGTTCAAATGCAGCATCGGCTAGTGAAAAACCACGTATCCCATTCTTATTAACTCCGGATGAGAATGGACGTAACATTGCCCGACTAGTTATTTACCAACCGATTGACGCTGATCCGCCAACTGGTTGTACACGATATCAGTTCAAAATTCGAGCAAAAAATGCAGCCATGGAAGCCTTATCGTTGGAAAGCATCTATGAAATCGAAATCGTCGATTCGAATGATAATATTCCGATGTTCAATGTTAGCTCCTATCGTGCACAAATCTATGAAAATGAAGTAAAAGATAATTTACTCCGTGTTCAAGCTGAAGACAAAGATATCGATCCGAAAAATCGTAATACAACTTACTTTATTCGATGTCCAAATGATGGTATGAACAGTGTTTCGCAATGGATCAACAATTTTCATGTTATTTCCTTTTTTCTCCTGTAGGTAATCAACAAAATCTTCAATATCATTACAACAGTCCACTGTCGAATTCTTTATCATGTCAAGGAATCGTTTCGATCGATCCTGAAACCGGTTGGATTAGTGTTCAACGACAATTTGATTATGACAATCCAGCTGATCGTCGTTTCGTATTTGATGTTTTTGCTAAAAATATTCTTCCGTCGGATCGATGCAGCGGACAAAACACCAAAGAATCTCAAGCACAATCATCTTCTCTTTCCTCAGGAGCAGATGCCAACCCAACCATTCAAATCTGTGTTACTGAACATCGTGTACCAGTAATTATCGAAGTTCTCGATAGAAATGACAATGCGGTAAGACAACTTTCTTCTAGGAACTCCAATCTATGTATATCTTTCTCTCTCTCTCTAGCCACAATTCAATAATTTACCGTATTTTACAAAAGTGATGGAAGATGCCGAACCTGGAACGACCATATTCCATTTGAATGTGAGCGATGTTGACACAGATGATACTCTAACATTCTCGATCGTTAATGAACAAGAAGCGAGTGCATTTGCAGTGAAAGAAAATACCGGCGAAGTTTATCTTGCTTCTGCACTTGATTATGAACGTGTTCAACAGCATAGTGTTGAAGTTCAAGTCAGTGATTCCAACAATGAACATCGCGCTCGAACGATTCTAACTGTGATTGTCGAAGATGCTAATGATAATCCACCACGTTTTTTGAATCTACCCAAGGAAATCGTTGTCGAGGAAGGTCGGCAAACACTTGATTATGATCAATTGGTATTCCGACAATCAGGACGCTCGAAACGTGATGCACAAATGGGCCGAAAACAAAAAGATCATAATAAAAAACGCATATCAACATCGACTAGATATCCCGATGAAGATGACAATACAGACAGTTTCTCATCTCCACAACCCTATACATCCCGTGTTATCTATCGTGTTGAAGCCATCGATCCTGATTTCGGTCGTCCATTGAAGCTACCCATTCGATATACATTAACTTCATCCAATCCTTTGTACACTCAATTCTTCGAAATTCATCCATTGAACGGAACGATTCATTTGAAAAAAGAATTAGACCGTGATCCACCGAACGGCTTCGACGAATGGTTGCTAACGATCATTGCCGCAGATGAAGATGGTCGCGAAGATATGGGCTCCAAGAAAAATGCATCATGGTTAAAGATTATTGTCAAAGATATCAATGATTTAGCTCGTAAGATTCGTTTTACTTTTCAAATATCTTTCTCAAAAGCCAATTTCCTTTTTAGCTATGTTTATTGATGTTGATCCAATCGGACATATACCAGAAGATGCTCCTGTTGGCACACGTGTTGAAGGTTTGAGAATAAAAGCGACTGATTACGATAAACTATCTGAAAATACTACACGATATGCACTGACATTGAACACAAAATCAATCGATGGCTCTGATGTCTTTCGTATCGATGAAATTACTGCAGATATCTATCTGAATGTTCCGAATTATCTCGACCGAGAAAAAACACCACATCATAATTTATCGATTATTGCCAGAGATTCAGGTGATCAATCGGGAAATTTACAATCCAAAGAATTGAAAATCATGATTATTATTGACGATGTCAATGACATGCCAGTAAGTCCTGTTGCCACTACTTTCAATTGAATTCTATGGTTTGTTTGTATAGCCACGATTTAAGCCACCAAATCAACAAGCACAGATCTCTGAAACCGCACAACGAGGTGATTTCGTGACTGAGGTTCGAGCAGAAGATGATGATGTCGGTGTGAATACCCATTCGTTGTATGAAATCATCGAAGAATGTCAACTAACTAATGATCAAATGACACAATGTTCACGTCCAAGACATTTCATTTTCAAAGAAACCTCATTAGCTGAAAAGGGTACAATTATTCTTCTCGAACCAGTCAATTATGATCCACCCGATAATCAAGTGAAATTTCTCTTGAAAATCAAAGCAACAAATGGTGGAAGATCTGATAATGCTACTGTGACAGTGTTTATTACCGATGCCAATGACAATGCTCCAGGTTAGTATTGAAATCGATAACTTCAGCTTAACCTATATCTTCTCTCTGTTTTTTCTAGTCTTTTCCCAATCGGTTTACTTTGCCAATATCAGCGAAAATACCCCATTGGAACAAGAAATCCTCCGTGTACAAGCTACGGACAATGACGTTAGTCCAATAAATAAAGAATTCATCTATCGCATTCCACCTGACCGTTCACAATATGAAAATCGTCAGCATTTACGTATCGATGCTATCAACGGTCGAATTTATTTAAAGAAAAATTTTGATCGCGAGAAATCGTCAACAATCAGTTTGCCTATTGAAGCTGTCAACAATCAAAGTTCCAATCCATTAGTTGGTCGCGCTGTCCTTGTCATCAACGTTCTTGATGTTAACGATAATCCACCTCGATTTGCTGAAAACTATACACCGCGTATACGTGAACACAAAGCTGGCGGTAGAATCATGGAATTTGAAATCAATGATCCTGACGATCCAAATAGCGGAAAGAACAAATTTCAAATGAAACTTGGTGAGTCTTTGCCGAAGCCACGATAAGAATAAACATTTTCATATGATGAATTTAAGGTAAAAATAACGTTTGGCCTGAACAAGGTGATCCGAAATTCCGACTTGATATTCAATACACTGGTGACGGTCGACCACGTGGTACTCTCAGCAGTTTGCGCGAACTTGATCGTGAGGAGCTTTGTCCAAAAGATGACAAACATAAAAATCAACGTTATTGTGGCAAATACTACGATTTACCAATTTGGATGTCTGACGGTGAACAGACCGGCGTTAATGATCTTCGAGTTCTTGTCGAAGATATCAATGACAATCCTTTCAGTAGTGGATATAAATCGATTGATATTTATGATTACAAATATACATTGAGCAAATTATTATCAACGTCGAACATCTATCTGGGTACTGTTTTTACGGATGATGAAGATGATTGGGATTTACATAATAAAGTTTTTGAACTTCAACCATCTGACGATAACAATTTTCTACGCGTAGACAAAGACTTACAAACATCCCGAACACCAGGTGCCATTTACTTAACTACACAAAACAATAATGCTACTATTAAATATAGTAAGTTAATGTTTCTCTTTTCATCTCTCTTTTGCATATTCATCGTTGTGTATAGATAATCCATACAAATACGATGTTATTGTTCGTGATACACATCCCCAATGGTTAAATCGTGAACCTCAAACATCTTATATTGAATTTCGTTTACATGAATTACCTTCGGATGCATTGGACAATGCCGCGTCAATTCGTCTTCAAGATATAACTGCCGAAGAATTTATTGAAACACGGTTTCGTACGGAGTCACTCCTATCTATCTTCAAACGTTTAATCTTGGAAATCAATTCCCAAGCGCGTCAAGTCGAAGTCTTTTCAATCCAAAATCATGAAAATCTACCTCGCACAATCGATATCTATTACGCGTTACATGGCAGTGACTATCTATCGAAGATCAAAGTCAACGGTCTCGTGGAAATCTCTCGTTCGAAACTAGAAAAATCTTTCAATATAAGTCAAATAGGCATCAATGAGTGTTTAAATGCTGATCAGCAGTGTTTCCTTATTGGTTGCTTGAATAAAGTCGAAATTCAATCCAAACAACCATATCTAATCAATGCCAATCAAACAGCATTTATCGGTCTAAATCTGAAAACAATCGCACAATGTGCTTGTGATGCAGACATCTCTGTACAACAAGAAAAGCAAAAAGAATTATTGAAAGCTCAAAAATATTGTCTCAATGGCGGATATCCAACACGGGATAATCATCATATCAAATGCGTCTGTCCTGATCATTCGCTGTACAACGGTGGTGATCGTTGCCAATTGACAAGCATTTCATTCGATGGTAGGTTCAATGAAATTCAATGAAAAGCATTAAAACTGAGAGTTTCTTTCTTTAGGAAATGGTTATGGTTGGTACAAACCGTTAACAACATGTGACACGTGGATGTTATCAATTGAATTTTTGACTCAAACACCCAATGGTACTATCTTATACAACGGGCCGTTGAATAAACGAGCACCATCGGAGGATTTCTTTGCATTACAATTATTAAACGGTCGTCTTCTAATTGACTTGAATTTCGGTAGTGCTGCAAGCGTCCGTCGACATTTGAAAACCAGTGCAAATCTTGCTGATGGTAAATGGCATACGATCGAAATACGACAAATTAGCACAATTGATCATATTCTGGAAATTCTAATCGACTATTGTCCATTGGCAAACACACCGAGACAACTTGGTGAATGTCGATTTATGATCGAATTCAATGAAGATGACGTCTTCAGTACAAATCAACCTTTACAATTAGGTGGCCTTGCTTTGCAAGAACGACAAGATCATCCACAAATCTTACCCATGGAATATATGGGTAACTTCAAAGGTAGATACTCATTGACTAAGAACTTCTTTGATATGAATATCTTCAATGACTGTTTAGGTTGTATTCGTAATCTTCGTTTTGCTGATGAATTGTATGATCTACACGTTGATTTACACAGTGGTCAGTCAGTTAATCTTCATGAAGGTTGTCTTCTAACTGATCTGAAATGTCAAAAACTATCGTGTCAATCGAATAATGGCGTGTGCGATGCTGATCTCTATCAAGCTCAATGTGTTTGTAAATCTGGTCGTACAGGTGCAACATGCTCTCAAGAAACAACTGCATACGATTTTACGTATGATAAACAAACATGGACAGGTGATCGTGCATCATATGCAACATTCCGTCATCAGCATAAACCTGACAATGAGTTATCCTATTCATCACAGATCTTGAAATTCCAAATTATGTTTCGTACACGAGAAACATCGGAGAATATTTTAACATTAATTGATTTTCACAATGATGATACGTTCATGTTTTTGGAAATCAAATCTGGACACTTACAAGCACGATTTGGCTCGAAATCGGATACACAATCGATCGATTTAAAACATGTTCTTGTTAACGATGGACGCTGGCATACAGCATATCTTGATCGTTATGGACAAAGATTGTTTCTACGAGTCGACGATGGAGAATACTATCGATCGAATATGAGCTATGGAAAATCAATGTGGAAACATTTTCCAAACACACTACTAAATGTTGGTGCTCGAATCGATTCCGTAAGTTTCATCATGAAGTTTCTATGAGAATACAATCGGAACGTATGTTTTTCTTCCAGGCTGTTCATAAAATTGTCACTGCTGATTTCAACGATGGTTGTATCATGGATGTTCGATTTAATGGTCAAGTACTCGACTTATTAAACGGTTCATCATCTTCCGATATGAAATGGACATTTCAATCCAATATTAAAGAAGGTTGTGACAATCTCGACAATTGGTGTCGCGGTGTACAATGTCGTTCTCCAGCATTCTGTGTCAACACATGGAGATATGGTCAATGTCAATGTACAGATGCATATAAATATAATCCAACGAATGAAACTTGTATTCTAAACGATTGGTGTTCGGATATAACAAATCCATGTCACATGCCAGGTACAAAGAATTGTCTATACGAAGCGCGAGAAGATTCAATCAAGTGCGAATGCAAATCACGCTGGCAAGGTGAACGTTGTACAATAAAAGCAATGCCATTAGCAGGAACATTCAACTGGCATATCATTGCATCGACTATTTTCTGTCTTATAGTTATTTTACTACTCGTTTTATTACTCGTTTTATTTACACGACAACGACAATCGAAAAAAGCTTACATACTTGGTATGGATGATGAAATCCGAGATAATATTATCAATTACGATGAAGAAGGTTGTCCTGATGAAGATCCAGTTACCTATGACATTTCAACATTGAAGAAACCCGTTTTCGCAGCCAATGGAACTGGTAATGCAAATCGAAATGGACGACACAACTCGGAATCGGAAAGTAAACCATTATTAAAAAATGCTCCTGATGGAAATAACCAAACTGACTCGTCAAAGAAGAGTGTCATCAGAAAAGACATGCCACCTGTACCAGCACCAAAACCTGTTCTCAATAAAAACCAAATGAATGGTTTAAGTAATGGTATAAACGTTGGAGAATTCATCAAAGGTCGAATACGCGACATTGACGATGATCCATCTCAACCACCATATGATAGCCTTCAAGAATATGCTTACGAAGGCGAACCATTGGCAAGAAATGATGAATGCTCGTTATCAACATTGACGATTACTTCGAAAGATCAGAGTGAGATTGATAAAGAACTTGAACTTGAATATCTAAAAAGCATGGGACCCAAATTTCAAAACATCGCTAAACTCTATGCAGGCAATGGAGAAAAAGAATCTTAATTAAAAGAAAAAACTTTTTTGTAACATACTGATAAAAGCACAGTATTCGAACAGGTCCCATGTTTTCTTTTCTATTTTTCTATTTCATTGTCATGTGTATAGTCAATTTGTCATCATTCATTATTTGTTTGTTTGTTTGTTTTGTCAAAGTTTTTCTCGCCTCTTTTTCCCGTTTAATGTCAGATACATATTAGATGTAGTCTGTGCTTTTTTAATTCTAATCTTGTTGTTGTTGGTTTTTCTTTTCCTTCTTTTTCGACTCTATTCGCATTCATAATAAATTTTGACTGAACACACAATTTAAGTACAAACGAAAAGATCATTTCACTCAATAACTAAACGCGGGTGTCATTAGCAGCATAGTGTCACAGATAAGGATATCCTCGCTAACGATAACTGAAAATTAAGATCAGCGCGACTTGATCTTCAGATGTGTTATGTCATCGTCAAAAACTTACAGTAATCATGACTTGAAGGTCTTAGTTGTTTGCGGATAGAGAAAGTAACGTGATATGATAGATTAGAATCATGTAATAAAGAACATCGAACTTTGATTACATTTAAAACAATGACGAACGAAATTTCATTGGAAAACATTCTTCGTCGATGTAATGATTTAGGCCGTTTTCAAATCTTACATTATGTTTTCTTGAATTTAATCACACTTGGCAGTGGAATAACAACCTATTACTATATCTTCGGTGTTGCGGAACCATCCTATCGGTGTCGATTGCCATCGAGCGTTTGGCCTGGTAATGACCAATATCAGGCATGGGATGCGACACATCAATATTTGATTAATCAATCGCAGCAAATATCAAAATGTCAGGATATGAATGGAACGAGTTGTAAGAATTTTGTTTATGATCGAAGTATATTTGGTTGGACATTTACGGAAGAAGGCAACTTTGTGTGTGAAAATGCATTGAGAAAAACTTGGCTTTCGACGATGTATCAATTTGGCGGGTGAGAACGAGCAGATATCTCGTTTAGCTTCACTATTACGATCTTTTTCTTTTATATAGATTTGTTGTTCTACTAAGCGGATATATTTGCGATCGAATTGGTCGACAGAAAATGATTCGAATATTAACTCTGTTTTTATTTATCATTCCGTTTTTAATTCAATTAATACTTTCAAGTTTTCACATGAATATAAACACCAAGTAATCATTTGACATTTTTAAAGCAGAATGAGTCCTATTCTTTTGTACAGATTTATTCTTCTATCGATCAATCAGCTGTTTTCAAGTATTGATGCATATCCAATGGTTTTTCTTCTTCTCATGGAATTAACATCTTCTTCTCATACAAGTCTTGCTGGTAATTCAGCTCTCATTGGATTTATTATCGGTGAAATCATTGTCACTATCTTTGCTTATATGACCCGTGACTGGTTACGATTGAAATGGGTGATAACCGGCTATTTTGCACTTATTCTTCCATATCTTTACTATGTACCTGAATCACCCTATTGGCTATATACGAAAAAGAAGTATAATCAACTGGAAGTATGTTTGAGAAAAATTGCTCGAATCAATGGTCATTCTGACGACGATTGGTATCCGTATTATAAGCAATTAATTTGCGATCCACGTCTTGCTATTTTAAGTACAAAACGTGCATCACGAAAAAGTAAAGAAATTATTCTTCAGCATTTACCACGACTATGTCTCTGCGCTTACATTGGCTTTGTTACTATGCTTTTATATATTAAAATTTCTTATGGACTTGCTGCCATGTCTGATGTTGTTAGTCCGTATTGGAATATTGTTATTGGTGCCATTGTTGAAGGCATTGGTTATGTGTCTGCAAGTATTTTAATAACGACAGACTTAGGTCGAAAGAAATCTTTGATCATTTACTCGCTGTTAACCTGTCTATGTGTGTTTATTATTCCATTTCTGATGGAATCCTATCCAATTGCCACGATTATTGTATCACAAATGGGTAAACTTACAATCAGTGGCGCTGTTTCGATAACATGGATCTTTGTTCCCGAAATATTTTCTACGTCCATGCGTGGAATTGCTAATGGAGTATTCGTATTTGCTGGGCGTATAGGTGCAATCCTAGCGCCGATAGTTGATGTGGCGCTTGGTCAACACTACATCAAAATCACGTTTTATATGTATTCATTTTTGACAATTATTCAAGTTTTTCTCATTCATTTCTTACCAGAAACTCGCAATCATTCATTTCATACCGATGAAGATGAAGAGAAGGAGATCGACGATCAAATTGCCATCTCGAATGCAACTATCGAACGATCGATCGTAAATGGTACAATTCATACGAAATTCTGAATAATTATCAAAAACTTCATGATCCAATTGATTTTCCATTAGTTTCTTTTATTTTCAACTTGTAATTCTTAGAGAATAGATAAACTACGCAAAATAGCTGCCCGGTTTGACTGAAATAATTTAGAAAAAAACAAAGATTCAACTACATGAGAAGTAGTTTTGTTTGTTGCACTCTTGTAGCCTTGACATTCATCGAAAAAGTAGTAATTGTCATCAACAATTCAATTTCTCGATAAATGAGACGCGTCAATTGATGATGAAAGAGAACTCCTAGATACATGGGAGGTATGTACATTGATACATATGAAAGCATACAGCGAGGACAAGGTGATGATACAGTCTTTTTTCTATATTGATCATATCTATTCTTTTTCTTTCGTTATTTCACTTGTATAAACGATAGAATATGATTCTGTATGGTATTTTATACAATTTTTTTGTGCGTCAACGTTTTTCTTTTCTCGTCGTATCATTATATACATGCTTCGTCATTTTCTATTCTTTCTTTATTGATCACAGGTAAATGGTATATTCTGATTGCAATACATAGTAGTAGCTTACCTATTGAGATATATTTTATCGATTGCGTCATTGCATTTATGATTAAAAGAAGTTAAAATCATGCCTTTCTTGTATCCACCACAAGCAACGCCATTCCCAGTTTTAGTTATTGCCAGTCAATCTCATGCTGACGAGGAGGAGGACGAGGATGAAGATTTCGAAGATGATTATTTATCACCGCCATCAGCAGCTATTTTCTCAAGTACTATGCCAATTCCAATGAGAGCTGTATCCCATACAGTCCATGATGATGAACATCTACCTTTACCAATGATTAATACTGACGATGATCCTCGAATCTATCGTTTACGTATGCATGTCGATGGTTTTCAACCAAACGAATTAAATGTTTCTATTCGACATAGTCGGCTCATCGTTCGAGGTAAACACGTTGTTTGTGTTCCACCTCATTCATCAATTTCATTAACCGATTCGACCATCGATGGAAATGACGATATCGAACCTGACTTTGTTGCAAAAGAGTTCAAACGTACATTTACTGTGCCACCAAATGCAGATGTACGAAAAGCTCATGCGCAGTTTTATCCACAACAACAATTACTTGTGATTGAAATTCCATTTCAGAATTGTACAAACGCATCGGCACCACGATCTCAACGATCACGTATTCGTCCGATTGATGTCTTTCTGATGATAGTAACTATTTTATTCATGGAACGAGCATTACGTATAACGTATGAACAATTTATGCTTAACGAGCCACACTTTTCAGTTGGATCTAGTCAACTACCAAGCTGAAAGCTATCAAAAATTTTCACAAAGAAAACTTTTAATCTCTTCTCTTCGAATTATATTTGAATATACATACAAATACAATGTAGCTTGTTCTTTTTCACTAAAACGAACACGATCTTTTTTAGTCATTATTGTTCAAGACATTCTTTAATTAAAAAAATCCAATATCTTTATTGTTCGAGACAATAAATGACTGGTTATTTCATCAAATTTCATGTGTCAGACTAGTCAAATTGTGTTTGCTTCTTTATGCATATAAAATACGTTGTCATGTTTGTCGAGAAGACATGATCATTGGGGATAGGATTGCTTGTTCGTTCGAACAATAAAATGAACGAGAGAGAGAACTTGTGATTAGTAATTTGATTCATATGAGCACGAAAAAATGAAGAAAGAAAGAAAGAAATCTCATTCCAATGAAATCAAGAAAAAAAGAAAGAAACTGCTCGTCTTATTGTCATCTGAACGGAAGTTTGTAGTAGTTCAGAACAACACTCGATAATTACTAGTCGCTGATGCATCATGTTCCGATTGTTCATCGTTCAACGAACCAAACACTCGCCCGTTTCTTCTGCTCTCTTTTATCTAAATGGTAATTTTCTGTAGCAGAGCAATCGTCAACAACAGGCCGACCACGATCTAATCTTAACGACAACGACGACATCAATCGATTTCTGACAAGACAAGCATTATTGAGTGTGCTACTATCAGGCTAGTTTCTGATGCCGATGATGNAACTATTGGCATATGCAATGTTTGCGTTGTCAATGTTGTGATGCCGTTCTAGCTGACATATCTTCAACATTTTATACTAAAGATAATGCCCTACTTTGCAAGTCTGATTATATTAAGTAAGAAAGAAGACAGTTTGCGACGTTTTTCCATTTCGTTATGTTATTGTTGTGATGAGTATCGAACAAAGAATGATCTTCGTGGATAGGAGACATGTTCAATAAGTTTACATTAAAAAAAAAAGAATTCTCTGTTTTGTTTGAAATGATGAATACATTCGAACGTGCTCCTCCTTCACTTTCTTAGAGACAGACCGCATTTGAAATAGTCTTCTTCATTAAGAACAACAAAGAAGAACTTTCTTTTCAATTAAAAGAAGTCTTATTATCTTGACTATGTCTGTTTTGAAATACTATCAATTTACTCACACATATGATCCTAATTAATAATAAATTATTTCTCTGTGTTTTCTAGACGATATGGTAGTCGTCCCTGTTCATTATGTAGTCAAGTTATTGGACCGAATGAACAAGTTATGCGTGTTAGTCCAAATTATGTTTACCATCTTCATTGTTTTACTTGTGTTAAATGCCATGCACGTTTAGTTAAAGGTGATCGTTACGTTTTTTTCAATGGACAATTATATTGCGAAAAAGATAATCCACTGAAATCGTCTACAAATACGAGTAATAGTCCAGTATCGAAACGTGGAACTACGAGTAAACGTGGCGCTAAAGCGGCCACGGCTGCAGCATCACGTGCCGCTGCAGCGGCGGCAGCAGCAGCTGCTGCTCAAGCACAACAACAGCAAACATTCGTACCATCCTCGACACCTTTGTATCATCAATATCACTCTTCCACGCCACACACAGGACATTTATCTTTGATGAACAATCATCATATGCATTCGTCAACATCACCACCAAGTACAATCACGCACTCGTTGCTGAACAATTCGACCAGCAATGGTTTATCGTCGCTAGCGACGGCAAGCGGTGATGAATTGTGCTGAAATCTTTTCTCCTCTTTTCTTTCTCTCTCTCTCTCTGTTTATTTTTTGTTTTCATTCGTTCGTGTCGTGGGTATAGAGAATGAATCCTTGTCTTTTTCTATGCACAATTGTTGCCTATTTGTTTATTACGACTCTCTTTCTCCCGTGTTTATATCTTTTCTAATTGTTGGAAGAAAGAAAATGCAAAAACCGACGAGAAAAATACTGAAAAGAAGAAAACTTCAGTTCTCTTAATAAGATTAATCAAACTGACAGCATATCTCTAATAAAACTAATGAAAAAGATGAAAAATTTGTTCTTTCATCTGAATGTAATATCTATATAATCAGATAATTCTAATTACATACATAAAAGTAATTCCATTCATTATTCGAAAAACTGTCATCTTGACGCTTTGTCCTTTCTTTTACATTTCTGTTTGTCCTTATTATTTATTCCACAATCGGTCATAAATGTAATTCTGTCTCTTTCTCGCGCTCATTCTTTTTTCAAACGACGAGATCAAAGGATTAGTTTCATCATATTGATAATGATGATGGACAACTGTTCATCTAGTGATTTTTCTATTGTTTTGTTGAATCGATTCGCTAAGCAGACGAGAGACACCACATGCTTTAATGAAATTTCTCGTTGCTATTATGAAAATACAATTAACTTTGTTTTAATAAAGAGAAAATCTTTCAAATAAAGTTACACAATCTGAAAGAAAATCAAGGGACAACGTTGTTTCCATATGGTAATCATAAACACACATTTGCATAGTGTCATTTCCGACGTTTTTCTCTCGTCATTTGCATAGAGAAATCAATTAACTTTACCTGCAAGAAATTATGCAAAAGCTGAATTCTCGTTTAAACGATTAGTGGAATTTATATGTTGATATAAAAGACAGAAAGAGAAGAATCATTAACTGTTTTTTCAATAAAAATGCCATTCTTATGCTTGTGCAGCTCGATCTTCTTCTTGAGCTTTGCTCAATTCATCATACATTTTTTGCGCTTCTTCGTATTCTTTCGACTGTTTCAATGTATCATCGTTTCCCGCAGCATTCTAAAGAGAATTTATCCCGAATTCCAATCAGCATTCAAACAAGTGCTTACATAAACATCTTGAAAATCTTTCCAGGCTTTAAGGAAACTACTCTTGGTATGCGATATCATTGATTCCGTTTCTTTTAATACTTCTTGCTAAAACAAACAATTCAATCAGGTTTCTTGGCTAATGAGTGCATGTTCTTCTAACCGCTTTCTTTAGATCGTACTCATCACGACCTTCGCTTGTCATCTTTTCGACTTTGCGTTTTTCATTGTCATATTCCTTCTTGTATGATAAATGTTCTTTCCATGTGCTTGAAAAATAAGGAAACGATGGCTTTTTGAAAAGTAGAAAGTTTTCGTTTTCTTACCGTTTGGCGACACCAGTTTTGATTTTCAGATCTTTTAATTTATCAGCCATAATTTATTGACTCGAGATAATCTAAAATCGAATTAATATTGAAATTACATTAAGAAAACTGATTGCACAAAAACAACGATCAATGAAAATCAAATATAGAACAGATTTGACGACAACAGATAAGTTATGATATGGTAGAAATAGCTTGTTGAATTTCTTTGAGTAGCATTGTTGCAAGGATAATGCGGTCGGAATTCAACGTTAAATTTATTGTCGATCGAGACATGTTCAATTGAATTGCAATAAGAACTAATGCTTTACTTGATACCGTTTGACCAGAAAATCTAAATGAAAACAGAGAATAAGTAGACAATTGCATGTACTCGTTGCTAAGACCTTTCACGGACAGAGACTTGCATATCGGAAAAGAAAGTGTAAACGAGTTTGTGAGATTTCTTTTAGAGACATTTATCAGAGATTAGTCTATGAAATAGAGATCTAATTCTTTCTCGTGTCTCTACTCAACGAACGAATACTTTATTTTCTATCAAGAATGAAACGGATCTGATTTTACCTGTATACTGTTGAATCTCCGGAACTCGATGGAACTGATGAAACATTGGCACATTGGACTACTTTAGTTTGAATAGTTGTAAAGTTAAATTTCGATATTTGTGTTTCGTTAACATTGAGAGTTCCTGTGATTTCATGCATACCACGAAGACTACCTAAAGTGTGCATTCATTGCAAGTTTTATCAATCGAATGTCCATTCGTTTCGAACGTACTTAGACTTTTATTGAAGTCTTTTTCATTGATAAATTTTGGTTGGAAAAGTTCGCCGACATGACATGGTATTGAGATCGATGTTGCTAATTGTCTGCCACCGATTGAAATATCAAACGATGCAGCTTGAGTGGTATCATTAAAATCAATACCAATAGATGTAATTATCGATGCACCGCCTGGTAATTGATCAATATCACTGAATCCTTGGATATTCACACCCGATTTCTTTGAAATGATAGATTTTTCGATAGATGAGATTACTAGGAATAGAACAACATACGGATTTAATGAATTTAATCGATCGAATATCGTTGTTTGGTATTGTATTGGTGAAAGTCAATTCGATATGAACCATATTGGTTGCCCGTTGAAATGGTGTACGTGGGAAACGATATTGTATTTGCAAACCTTGACCGGTCATGCGATTTAAACATTCATACTGTCGAATGTAAGTCAATGTTGATGGTGTCTAAAGAAAAGCTTGCGTTAACAGAAACGAATATCGAAGTAGAGTCGATTTACCGATAAAGATTCTAAATTTTGTAGATCATCTCGAACGCTTGCCTTGGTTGTTGATTGTTGATTACTAGCTGATGTTGTTGTTATACCAAGAAATGCTTCCACTAAAGGAAAATTAGAAGATACGTTTCGTTTTGCCAACAGTGATGCACATACAATCATCTTCAGCAATTGATTTTTCTGTTGTTGTAGCCATAGAAAAACCACTAATGGCGATATTAGATGGTGATTTGTTAAAAGACAACGTATGTTTTTCGATAATCTAAAATTCTCAAAAGTCGGTTAGCGATGGAAAATGAAAGTATACAGTTTTTACTTTTTCTTCACCCTCACCATCCGTTGTGTCTTCGGATGCACTAGTTTCTTCTTCATCCTCCGATTCTGTATCGTTCTCTTCACTACTTTCATGATTGTCAACAACAGTCGGTGATCGTGCATCCAATTGTTCGTATTCGTCTGTTTGATTGATAGTTTTTGCTGGTTTTTCACCATCTTCGTCTTCATCTTCGTCGCTTTTTTCCTCTTCCTCATTTTCACTCTCTTCATCGTCATCACCCTCTTCATCTTCTTCGTCCTCATCATCAGGCCCTTCCGTTGAGGTACCTTCGTTTTCATCGTTCTCTTCTTCGTCCGAATAAAATTTTTCATCTGTTGTACTCTTTTTCTTTCCACTTGAGCTCGGTTTTCTCGGCGATTCATCTTGTGACGGCGACGGACGTATGACTTCAACATTACGAATACTTGAGTCTGACGGCTCAAGTGGATAATCCGGTAAATCTGTATAACCGGGTACTGTCTGGCCGATTACATACGATAATGTGCCTAATGTATATTGATCATGATCTACGAAGAAGACAAATTACTTTAAAAATAGTCTTTTTCGAGGATGAGACAATCTTACTTCGAACAATTGATTCGAGCAGTGGCGCCGGTTTAGATGCAAGTAAAATCTTTTTCGCGTGTTTACTCAATGCTGGACATTTGTCGGCTTGGAATAGTAAAGCACTAAGCAAGAAACCAATCGTTTAGATTATCAACGAAAAAGCTGAATTTACCGAAGAAGTCGTGCTTTATCACGTGTATCATAATTTGTGTCATACTTAGCTAAATTGAATACGTATTGCACGAGAAGATGTGTTTGTTTCGCATTCATGACATAGAGTTTAGCAGCTAAATTCAAAATCTGATGCTTGACGATTGCTTCCTACAAATAGAAAGATTTTGTTTAGTTAAAAACAGAGTTAATTGAAGAACGAACTTCATCCGGAAAAGTTTTCGCCATTTTCCTCAAAACGTCTGGTGCTAATTTACTAATTCGTTCGGAATATTCACCAATGAGCCAGAGTATTGATGCACGTGCTTGCGGAACCGTAATTTTATCAACTTTTCGAACGATATGTTTGATAATATCGCCGTACTGGACCGGCTGAACAATGATAAGAACACGTTTTTAAATAAAATTTCATAAAAAACTGAATATTTTCTTCTTACATTAATTTGCAACAGTTTTTTCACAACGACCACACTTTCAGCAACAATCGTTTCATCTTTCTTCGACATGTACCCGACAAGACCGTTTAGACAAGCTTCAGTTACTTCAGGAATCGTACTAGCACATCTTCCAATAGCATGAATAGTCTGCGCGGCGAATTCTTTGTCTGGACTCAAAACGTAAGTCTACAATCAATCGTTCAGACGCTTAAATTATTCATTCTCTCTTTTCTTACTTGAAGTTCCCGTAAAACTGTTGAGATATTTGTAGCACAGGCCAATGTTGTTAAAATTTCAAGTTTATACCGTTTCACATGACTGCTATCACTCGAACGTACATAGAATGCCTTTAGAAATGGTCCAAAAATATCTTTATTTTTCTCCGCCATCGACGCAATGCATTTGAGCACAATCGTTTGAATTTCACTGAATAAAACAAATGAGAATGTTCGATACGCAACGTAAACTAAACGTATCTACCGATGATGACGAAGTAGACGAATAAGTGCATTAGCAATCACATGAATTTCACTACGAGGTGCAACATAGTGGTACAATTGCGCAACTGCCATAACAACCTTTTTGAAAAGAAAATAACAAAGACAAATGAACATTAAAACCTATTTGATCCTGTCTAAATAGTTAAATAACTGCAATGCATGCACTAACTGTTACTTAGCTACCGATGACTTAACTGTATAATCTGCTGGTAGTTTTTATCGACGCTATAGAAAACAAATGAATTAGCTATTTTGAGTGAATTGTACTTACAGCTGAATTTCGACTTTGTAATAACGGTTTTGTGCATCTTAATAACAACCGATGATCACTATCCATAGTATATGTGCGTTTCTCCAAGGAATCTTCATCATCATTTTCACTTTTTTCTTTCGAGTTGTTTTCATCGCCATAAAAATTATTTTTATCATCTTCGACAGTCTAGACAGAAAATATTACCAAATATTCAGCGTCAAAACGAGTGACTATGAACACATTATACCTTATTTGGATCAACAAATTGAGTTCGTGCATAGCGTGTTAACATATTTAACACAGTCACTTGGCTCCACTCATCAATGTCGACGAGCAGATTACATAAACGTCGATAGTTTTTATGGATTAAATCGATTCTTTCTGGACACACTTGTTCGAACGCTTGCACGGCACTACCATTGACTAACTACACAAATTAAAAGATTATTTACAATGATAATTGTGTTCATTCACTCACGATTGTTTTGTCTGCTAACAATTTGACGATAACCGCAATCAATTCTTCTTTCAATTCCGGATCCAAACTAAACACGTTAACAGTTCGCCACCGACGATGTAAAACTCGAAATATCGATTTAACTTACGCGTATAGTTTGGCAATAGCGTTAGCAGCTGTCTTTCGCACATAGGGTGACATGTCGTACACAGCCTCTCGAATAGCAAGCATCATGATAGTGACTATAGTTGGCACGCGAATACTTGACAAAACACGGAGTGCACTTGCGCGAATTAATTGATTGGGATCCTAAAATGATTCAAGTGAATTTGTAGGCTTCTTTCAATGGGATTTACTTTTAATGCTCGTTGAAATGTTGCAATAGAAAGTAGAGCAAGGTCTTGTTGTTCTTCTGCATAGCGCATTAGATAAACGTACACGAGTTTTTTGACTTCCATATTCTTTGAAACGACATTTTTTACAACAGCAGGAAATAGATCAGCTGCATCTTTTCCTTTGGCAATCATCTAAATTATTGCACACCCTCACGTTGTTTTTCTTTTCATAGACAACACAAATCTTACTCCAATTACTCGTCGCATAGCTTCCAATTTTAAATTATCTTTGTTACTGTCCAACATGTGTTTGATATCTTCGTGTCTTCAATGAAAGAAAAGGACGTCAGGAGTTGAGCGTCGAGAAAATATCGGCCATTTTACTTTTTGTAATCAAGTGCAAAAATGCTTAATGTTGATGCTGGTTCAGTCTGTTCATCCGCTGGATTGGGCCCTCCTCCTGGCGTTCCAGAAGAGAATCCACTTGCACTTTGCATACTCATCGATGATGACATTGACAAAGATCGTTCGGCAGAGCTCATATTCGACTTCGAACAACACGCTAGTCTGTCGATAACGCGAGACTGATAGAAGAGGAAAAAGTGAGAATTTAAAAAAAAACTGGTGAATCATGTAATAAATAGGCACACACAGAAACCAAATCCACCAATGAAAAGTAAAGAGTAAAAGATGTCGATCCTGAACACGTTTTCTAGTCCTTGTTTCCTTTCTTTTTATTGTTCAGTCGCAGTGGTGGAATGTTAATCCGCGAAGTACTTCATTGAAATATTCAGTTTTCAATTTGCTTGAAATTATCATATTCATTCTCTCCGTGTGCTACCAGTATTATGATGTTTTAAAAAAGCCCGATTTGATCGGTATACATCAGCAAAAGAAGGCCAGGCTCATGCATAGTAACGAAATCGACGACGGTTCCGCTTCAAAGGATCGTTATTTCGTTCTTTCTTTATTTCTCATTACAAAAGCTAAGAACAAGGCAAGCATCTATATCTATTGAATGATTCAATCGTATAAATGAATTATTAACAAAAGACTAACACCTTTTGCTTGAATAGATCGAAGTCAAAAATACAGCTTTTTCCCTTCGTGCGAACAAAATGACAAATCGAGGACATGAGAGGAAGAATGCCGATCGAAGGCAATAATGATTGTTGAGAAAAATGATAATAAAGCAAATATACGTGTATGTGTACAGGTATTTCGGCAACCTTCACGGTCCTGTTTCTTCCTTTTTTTTCCCTATACTCACATACGCTTCTCTTGTCATGCTCATTTGCGTCTCTCTTTTTCTCTCAATTTCTTTTTTCGTGTATCTTTTTTTGCTCGCATCGTCGTTCTTGTCGCTTCTTTTGGCCGCCACGATCATGATGGTAATCGGTGGGACAAATAAGACGAAAACGAAAGGCGCGACCACCATCATCAGACTAGTCCCAATATACTGAGGTCGGCGGCAGTTAATTTTAATACTCAAATAAAGAAAACGAAAAAAACGATGGAGCGCCGAAAGAAGAAACAACAACCAAATGATACTCTTCGTCGATCTCGTTCTCCCAAGCTCACCGTTTCTCTTGACATTGTTAAGAAATCAACTCCTTCTCCCCCACGTGTTGACGGTATCCGTAGTCTACTTTCTCGTAAGGATATTAATGATGCAGTTTCCATTTCTCTCCATATTTCATTTTCTTTTCTCTTCTTTACTAGGTGAAATCTACTCTCTACATGAACACATCGCTCAATCCTCTCCGTCAGTTGGTAGTGTTCCGCCAGTTGATCGGAAATTCTCTGATCCCGAATTTTTACCCGTACCCGAAAGTATTGCACGAGGTGATGAAGGAACAGCTTTTCTCGGTGTTAAATATCAAGGACGTGTCGCACGGTGGTAAATTAATATTTTATTTGATTCAAATTTAACTTTATTTCTTCTATTTTAATATAATTTGTCTTAAGGCTACGTCCTGAACGTATTCGATGGTCTAGCGATGATAAACAATATTCATTAGCTGTATTCAATCAACCACATCCGAAAGATATTATTCAAGGTCGTCTTGGTAATTGTTGGCTTATTGCTGCATTATCATTAATTGCAGAAGTACCACAAATTCTGTATAAAGTTATGATTACAAAACAATACAATCCAGCTGGTAATTAGAGAGACACTATTTACGAGAAAATGGCGATGAAAAAACGAAGACTAATGCTTGTGATGACATTTTAGGACTTTATCGAGTACGTTTATGCAATCAAGGCATCTGGCAAGTCGTGACTATCGATGATATGTTACCCGTCTCAGCATCGAATTCTCTTGTCTTCTCACGAAGTAAGAAAAAACAATTATTTGCACCATTAATCGAGAAGGCACTGGCAAAAATGCATGGTAGTTATATGGCTCTTAAATCTGGTATGAAAACGTATTTTTCCCTCATGTTCATGATAAAAATCGTATGTAAATTTCTAGGAAGATGTGATGAAGGTTTACAAACATTAACAGGTGAACCATGTGAGGTACGCAGAGGAAAAAGATCAACAAAAAAAGAACTCCTAACTTACAAAAATCACTGATTCATTTATTGATTAGGTACTCTTTCTACGGTCATCAGATCCTGAGAAAAAACCAGATCTTAATCAGATATGGGCTAGTATATTAGAATCAAGAGCGAAAGGTAATGTTGTCGAATCGAATGCCTCATTTCATCTGAGTTTGCTCTAGGTTATCTGATGACATGTCCCTGTTCGAATAAACGGTTCAGTGAACAAATCTTCAGTCGAATGGGTAAAAATGAAATGTTAGAGGACTTCGAAGAAACGAACCAAGATCTTCTTGTCCGCCATAGGTTTGGAGTCAGATCACGCCTATAGTATCCTTGATGCTCGTCAGGTTAATTCGCAAAGGCTTGTCCGTCTACGCAATCCTTGGGGTGAAAAAGAATGGAAAGGGGCATTAACCGAAAATTGGACTAAATGGCCAAAAACGATTAAACATAAGTTTATTCCATCTTCAGCTAACGATGGCGTCTTTTGGATGCGTATGTGTTTCTTTTTGTTTCGAAGAACATTCGTTGACATTTCGTTCGTTTTTCTACAACTAGCTTGGGAACAAATGCCTTCGTTCTTTAGTAGTGTTACAATCTGTAAAGTGAATGCTAATTGGCATGAAGTTAGTTGAAAGATTTTGTAAGATAAGAAGAAGTTATTCATTGGTGTGTATTTCTGTAGGCTCGTAAACGAGGACAATTTAGTGATTTCTCCTCGACGATCACATCCGCATATGGACTTGATTGTCCATATGGTGCTGAATTAGAAATCGAAGTGTTCAATGCTGGTGACGGAAACTACTACAATCGTTTGAAAGATCCCGATGTCGATCTCTTTCTGATTCTTCTCAGTTCAAATGGCTACTGTCGTGCATATAAACACGATGTAGATTACTACATAACATTATCAACAGCTGTCCCTCCTGGTCGTTACATTATCCTAGCGGGTTCTATGTCTGTAGTAAATTACTTAGTTTATCCAGCATTCAATTTGGTGGTGCATGGTAGTCAACCTTTTGTTGTACATGATCAACCATCATCGTATGAGTTAGTCGCTGATGCTTTTCATGCAGTGGCATTCCGGGCAAACAATCGACAAGATATGGGCGGCGGTGTTTCGATTTTAACATTTGATGATAATGGGTAAATGATAGTTTGTCTTTTGTCACTGTTTTATGAAAGATGATGTTTCCTTTAGAAATTTTGGTCTTGTTTGTGAGAACAAATCCAACCGAACTGTTCGACTTAGTAGTAATTTTCAAGGTTCGAAAAACGTACTCTCATCGCGGCATGCTTTTCAAATGATTGATACTATTCCTGCTAAGACTCAACAACTGATTGCCATCTTCACACGCAAAATGTTTTCTAATGACGTACAGATCGGTATGAATCATATTTGGATGTTTCACAAAATGTCATATTTATTATTTTTCTGTTTTTCTCTCGTTTAGCGTATCAGGTAAGTTTCCATTTTTCGTTGATTTCAGTGTTTGAACCAAGTTCAATTGAACATAGGCGTCTGGTGAACTACTTGATCCTGATCATTATATTCGTGCGAGAAATAATCCGCTCGTTCCCCCTCAAGCTCTGGGTAAATGATTTCTTTTTGATACATTTTTCTCTTTGATTGGCTTGTTTTCGACTTTTTCAGGTCTTCATATCCTACGACCTGTTTATTGAAATTCCACATAGTTCGTCTTTCTTTGTGTTTAATTCCTTCGGTCTCAACCGGTCATTGTGATTATTTTCTACCAAGATTATGTCAATAGTTTAATTTATTTACGAATAAAAAAAATATTTTTTCAACTGATATGATTTGTGCTGAAAACGAATTTTTAGTTCATTTCTCATTTTAAATAAAGGTACTTTTTTGCTTATGTGTAATAAAATCCCGAACCTCAAATAAAGAAAACATAATCCACTTTATCTTCTGCATCGCATAAAGAACAGCCTTGCCTGCCAACCCGATCATTAGTCGATTACTAATAGTTCGCGACTAGTTATTGAGAAAAATCAGTCAACTAAATCCACATTGTCTACCATACGACAGACTGACTAAATGGTACGGATATTTTCTATTTATTTCAAAGGAAAACAAATCGATCATTTTCTTTTTAATACAGCAATAATTGCATCACGCGGCACTTGAATATTAGCGATGGATCTCATGCGTTCCTTGCCTTCTTCTTGCCGCTTCAAAAGCTTCATCAAACGTGTTTTATCACCTCCGTATAACTTCGCGCCTACATCTTTTTTATATGGCGGAATGTTTTGTCGAGCAAGTACAGTCGCATGAACTTTCGCTTCGATTTTAACGGCGTATTGCTGTCGGTCGATGTTTTCTTTTAATTTCGTCACGATTTCTTTGCCAACGACTTGCGCACGTTTAGCATGGCAAAGCACGGATAATTCATCGATTTCTTCTTGATTAATGCAAATTCGCATCTTGACGATGTTCGATTTTTCATAACCACCATCTTCGTAATCGAATGTTCCATAGCCAGATGTAATTTGTTTGAGCTGGTCGAAGAAATCGTACACTATTTCAGCTAGTGGTAATTTGTATTTTAATAATGTTCGTTTTTCATCAATACAATATTCTTCGATTAAATCTCCACGTCGTTCATCACAGATTATTTTCACGAGCGACGCGAATTGTGTCGGAGTTAATATTTGACCAAAAACGATCGGCTCAAGTGTTTCGCGTATGATGTTTGTGTCGGGCCATTTCAATGGATCGGAAATGGTCAAAAGATCAGAGCCGTAGTCTTTGATGTTGTCCTTTCCGACAATACGACATTGATACGCAACACCAGGAAATGTTGTAATCACTTGTTGAGCGAATTCGGATTGTAGCCGTTGATTGAAGATCTCCATGTGAAGTAGACCCTGTGGAAAAAACGAAAGACTACACAGAAAAATGATATAGAAGGGATATTCCTACGAGAAATCCAATTCGCATGCCTTTCCCAAATGCTGAAATGCGAAAATAATTGAAGAATATAAGCATTTGAAGATATTTGCTTGATTTACCTGGATTTGAAGTTGGAATGATTCGAACTCCGGTATCATTCAATGCTAGTCGTTCAATGGATTGTTCAAAAACATTGTATTGTGCTTCTTCAAATGGAAAGAAACCCGCAAACTAAATAAGAATGTTACAATCCATCGAAACAGCATGTAGGTCACTTACGACCATCGGTTTTGGTACTTTAAATGTCTGCAATGGTTCTACATTTACACCTACAAAGAAGAATGAATAGTTAAAGCACTTTTTAGCCATCTTGTTCGTTTCTTTTCGATGATACAACACTCACCAACCTTGATGATGAAACGTATCTCCGACAACTGCGTCTTGAACATGTTTCGTATCGCAAATAATGTATCCTACATGGCCAGCATACAATGCATCGGTTTTCACTCGATCCGGGTACGTAAATATACCTGAAATACAATTCCACCTATCGAATCTTCGAGCAGAAACCAATCTGAACTTTACCTGTTTCTAAAACAGTATAATTCTTTCCAGATAATTTACTAGCAATTTTATCTCCTGCGCGAACGATTCCATCGGTGACTGCAACGTTGATAACCGTTGAATTAATATTCGATGCGAACGCCGAATCAAAAACAAACAATCGAAGAGGTTTTGTTCGAGAATAATTCGGTGAGGGAAGTTGTTTGACAATCTCTTCTAATATCTTGTCACAATTAGTTCCATGCTTCGCAGATACTTGAATAATATTCTTTGCTGGAAGTCCAAATTCTGATTCAATTTGACGTATAGTTCGTTCGACTTTCGCTTCTTTCAAATCGATTTTATTTATGACAGCAATGACTTCCATGAATGAATCGCAGGCAAGTAGAAAATTCGCCACTGTTTGTGCTTGAATGCCTTGCGCAGCATCGACGAGAAGGATGGCCGATTGACAAGCAGATAATGATCGAGCAACTTCTGTGGAGAAATCTACATGCCCAGGTGTGTCAATAAGATTGAGTAGATATGTTTGATTTTGATATGGATAGAACATAGAGACTGCAGCTGCTTTCACAGTTATGCCACGTTCGCGTTCAACTTCGAGTTTATCAAGAACTTGACGATTCTCTTTGGATTTCGGTATTGTACCTGTTAATTCTAACAGACGATCAGCAAGTGTTGATTTTCCTGAAAAGTACGAGGTCTGTCGAATGTTTTCTTATGAATAACAGATTCAATACCATGGTCGACATGAGCAATGATACAGAAATTTCGTATTAAAGATGTTTCATATGCGTCCATTCTAATCGAACGTAGTGCTCGTTCAACGACTAACGTAGATTGATCTTGCGCATGTTGGAAGCGACATGGAACATAGATTCGATGTAAAGAACGTATAGTTCTTTGACAAAACGATGAAACAAAGTTAAACGATTGCATTTATTCAGACATCTATAACGAAAAAGTAAGACTCGTTCTAATAGAAATGCGAGCGTGAGGTTTTTCGATCATTCTTTTATTCTTTTTCTATCATTTTGTTTCAATAAATGAGATAACCGCTGCGCTTCTTCCAAATTTGAACATTTTCTATGCATGTCAATCAAAGCCTTCTGTATCGAAAGATTCTTTTCAATAATATATGAAGGAATCGACCGATGAATGAATTCAGCTTGTTCCGGTTGTTGCAGTTCTTTACCAGCACTGATGACATGCAGGTAGAGGCTAACATCTGGCGAAATCGACGTCGACTGTAATTGTTTGAATAGATCCAGCACTTGATTAGGTTGATTGGCCGCCAAATAAGCCTTCATCATAGTCGAATATGCAATACAATCGAGTTCTGGAAGGTATTGATCGAACAATTCTCTGGCGCGATCAATTGAACCACACTTACAATACATGTCCATAAGCTGCAGTCAAAATACAAACTTATTTGATAGCGTTGCTATTCAATGAAAAGCTTACTGCAGTTACTAGCCGAACATTTGACGAATCGAGTAGTTTCAAGCGAATCACTTCATTGTGGATATGTTTACCGATATTTAATCGATGGCAATCACTACATGCATTCAATACACATGTAGCCGTGATAGCGTCTAATTCAATTGTTTTGTTATTCAATAGTTCATTTTCATAGACGTCGATCGTTTTATTTGCTTGTCCATTCATGTTGTAACCTGAATGTTCAATAAACTATGAGGGTTTCTATTGAATTTCATCATACTTTTGAACAGAGTGCCGAATAGAGAGATGTGTTTTGTTTGATTGTTCGTATTTGTTGTTAGTGACTGAAAGATTTGCTCGGCAAAGTCAAGTCGGTTGATTTTCGCGTACATATAAATCAGTTTGGTTTGAAGTTGATAATATTCATTTTGATCCAATGTTCGATCGTTTTTAATGAAGTCGTGTACTTTCTGACAGAAGTTGAAATGATTGACTTCACCACATGCTCGAATTATTTGTAGGTAACATGGAAAATCAGGTTTGGTGTCGGAGATATTGACCATCCATTCGAAGAGAGCTAAGGTACGTATCGATTCATGAGAATTATTATAATTTCTCATCAATTTCTGAATTTCCGATAGTTCTTTTTGCTTCGTTGATGGACTAACATTCGTTTTGATGGATGATAGATAACGAATTTGTGAGAAACGACGAAGAAATTGCATGACATCAAACGAATTACAGATTACGAGAAACGAATGAGTCATGATGCAATTCTGATTGGTCATCAATTGACATTCATTTCAAATAGAAGACTCGATGCCTTTATTATTCGATTTTTTTTCCGAAAATATATATTTGAAAAATTCGCTAGAATATTTTCTGGAAATTCTTTTCTTCTGTGCATTGATATCATACATCACCTACACTTCATCCACTGTCCAGTATTCTTTTGTTCGAACGCGCCAATAATGCTTGTGTCTTGTCTACACTGTACTCGTTCTTTAACCAGCCAGCTGATAGAAATATTTCAGATTAAGAGTAAGATCTTCAGTTGAATATCATGAACGTTTGTACACCTAATATCTCATGGCATGGATGTGATCCCGTATATTCATGTGCGATCAATCCAGTCGATTCGAAACGTCTAGCTACAGCTGGCATGCGAGGTATGCGATTGAGTTAGCGTCTTTTCTTCTTCGAATATCTGTTTTTCATTGCAGGCTCGATCTATCTTTGGGATATCGATTGTCCGTCAGCGCAACAACCGCTAATTACGTTTATTTCATCACTTGCCGGGGCACATTTAGAATCGGTGAACTGTATTCGATGGAATTCGAAAGGAACACATTTAGCTAGTGGAAGTGACGATAGTAATATTTTTATTTGGACTAAAGCTCCTGTAGCGACGACAGCAACTTCCTCGGACTCGAATGTAACCGTTGTGACAAAAACAAATCAAGCAACGACAACAGCCACGACTACCGCCAATGATAATGACAATGTACTTGGCTGGGATAAAGATATACCTGAATCGAAAGAACGATGGTTGAAAAGTTTACCATATAAAAGTCATTTAGAACCGGTATTAGATCTCGCATGGTCAAGAGATGATCAATTACTGATTAGTGGTTCAGTCGATAAAAAAGTCGTTGTCGTAAGTTTAGATTGTGTCTTTCAGCAACGAAGAAATATCTTCTATGAATTTAGTGGAATGTGAATAAACGTGAAAAAATCTCTATTCTCGATGATCCAAAAGGTTTCGTTCAAGGTGTAGCTATTCATCCCTGGCGTAAACACATTGCTGTAATGAGCACTGATCGTTCATTACGCATCTATGCGATGAAAGCAGAAACCGGTTCAGTTTCTCGATGCGTATACAATATTCGAAAGATTAAACCAGCCAATATCAAACAAGAAAACGGTGCTCTCATGTTTATTGATGAAACGTCAATGACATTTTTTCGACGTTGTGCTTATTTACCCGACGGTAGTCAATTGATAGTTTCAGGTGGATGTTTGGACAAGGCTTTTTTGGATGCATACAATAATGAAGAAAATGTTGAACAAAAAGAAGAAGAAACGACTAAGCCAACAAACGAATTCGACGAACCCGAAACTCAACTTATTCAAGAAAACGGAAATACGGAAGAAAAACCTAGTACAGCACCGTGTAAGAACGGTTGATTGTATTAACTATAGCTCTATTGGCGTATTTTAGTACCTGCTAAATTGATCGATGTCAATTGTGCATATACATTTGCAACATCTGGTCCAAAGTTCGATCGACCTTTATCGATTTTACCCATTATGAATGATCAAGAGGTCATTGCGATTTCAGTTTGCCCTTCGTTATTTCCATCGACATCATCTGCTGCCCCATATCGAATGCTATTTGCCTTGATTACAAAGACATCTCTATTCTTCTACGATCAAGTATCCTTAGAACCATTTGCTTACGCACGTCGTATCCATCTCTTATCACTTACTGATGGATGTTGGTCACATGATGGTCGTCTATTTGTGGCATCATCAGAAGATGGTTATGTAACATTCGTCACTTTTACTGATCAATGTCTTGGTGGACCTTGTTTACCTGACTCGGATAAAATCTTAGATGAGATGATGATTAATGCATTAACACCACCAACATCCACAGCATCACCAGCAACGACGGCGACAGTTTCATCGGTGACATCATCTTCTTCCTCCTCTGTAACACCATCATTAACAACACCAAATTTAATAACAATGGCAATGCAGCAAAAGAAAAAATGATGCGCAATCAGAAAATAGTTTTCTCTTTTTGTTATTGTTCCTTTCTGTCTCATTTGAACATTGTGATCTTGATTATTATTATTATTATTACTAGTTCTAATAAAAACATTATATGTATATAGACTCAAGAAGATAAAACCCACGTCGTAAGCACAGCGCTATCATTCTGTGCGTATAGACTAATGATAACAGTAGCAGAGTGATGTTTTTATCTATCTTGAATCGACTCTTTTGTATTGATTTACAAAATCAAAAGAGAGAATGAATACGTACAAGAACAAAGTATACATAACTATTTTTCTTCGTGGTCTCTTTGTTTCTCTCTTTGTCATTTGTGTACGTTTAGTGTCTATGTATTTGGCTCGAGCACATACAATACAATCCGTCGCCCACTTTCTCTCCTTCTTCTTCTTCGCTTTTCTTTCTTTTCCTTTGCAACTGATGATTTTTTGATTATGATGAACCGATACTAAGCAAGCAAGCTACGTGCTTACTCTGCTGTTCAAATATATGTGCGTTGGTGTTTACCCTGCTCATAGTTCGCCTCATCTTGGAGGTCATTCAGCCTACCCTCGTTTATATGTAGTCATTTTCTTGTCTTTTTGAGATTAACGATCAAATAGCGTCGAATATGAATTTTATCAAACGTCCCTTTCATCATACGAATTCGACAGCATCAGCAACAACATCTTCAACTACCATACGAGATCCACATTCAGCACCAACGTCTACACCGTTATCAGCTGATAAAACCAGTGGATCATTGTCTGGTTCTGTACGTTTCAATGATTTAATATCTGCTCAACCGAAATTTAACGACCGTGAGAAATATTTAACTGCGTAAGTTCTCCATTATCTTCCGGAAAAAAGAGAAACCTTATGTTCATATTAGCAAGTATCCTCAACAGCAAATGCAATTGATACGCAAACGATTAAAAGTGGAGTTTTGGGTAGATGATCAATTACGATCATTGTACGACATAAAAGTAATAACAAATTTGTAATTTGTCCGACAAAGAGAGTCGAATGGATTGATTTTCTAGGATGATAACTCAGAAGATGATCATGATCATTGCCCCGGAGATTTGATTGATTCATTATTAGATATGGATGACGAATCCGAGCGACGTTTATTTCTTCTCGTGAGTTCATGTTTTGTTTTTCTTCATCAATCATCATCATTCTTATCTATGACATCTTCGATAGGATAAGTTAAGAAATACCAAACAATGTCGTTCTAAAACAATGGTAAATATGATTGCATCGCTTTATCACTTGTACTTTTTTTTAAACATCTATTCTAGGAATTCATTGATGAATTACTAAATCGTGTGAAAATGTTGTAATTATACAAGATTTCTTTTCCTTTTCGTTTTATTGTTCAACTGATTTCTCCACTTTCTTTTTTTTCTAAAGTCACACAAAAATACATTATCGAAAAAGAGAGAATCTAAAAGACAGAATTCGGCGCAAAACACGTTGTTTTCAGTCGTTTAGTTTGGCGAGAATTATGCGCTTCTGAATCCGAAGAGAAAGAGCAATTCGATACGACTTCTCCTTCTTCGTTTTCAGACGAGCTAGATTGCGATTGTAGTTCATTGAGAATATAATGTTGAAGCTTTTTATACGTTTTACTTTGACTTCGAAGAAATCTATCAAGTTGATAGGTTATTTCGTCAAGATCTTGCCGAATGATCACCTCGTATTCATCTTCGTAACCTTTCAATTGTTGTTGACTAAAACAAAAAGATATTTTCATCCATCAAGTATCGATTTGAACATGTCAGAATGAACCAGATACTATGTTTTCTAGTAGCACTTTTATATTGTCGCTATTCAGGGTGAAACAAATACTCAAATAAGGTTTTGTCTCATATCATTGAGCTGTCAGTTTTCACACATGGAGTGATGCACAAGGATGTCTCAAAAGGATCGATTACATGTCGATATTAACTTGCCCACCGATGATTTATGATGCAATTTTAGAGTGCACATTCGACTTTTGTGGAGACTTCTTTCGCATACCTGCATGAAGACGATGACTCATGGTTTGTTTCCGCTGACGTGTGACTATTATTAGATAATCTTTGCTGTGAGCGGAGTGTTTCTCCTTGGTGAACAAAGGCTGATGAATATTGCGCAGTATCTACATGGGAACTTCGGTTTTGATATTGTTCTCGCGGTGGTCGATCATCTCTTGATACACATTCGAGTTTAACTTCTACTTGAGATGGTTTTAACGGTTGTTTAACCGCTAAAGCCGTTCGTCCAACAACGTGATGTTGTTTTGATAAAACTGATCGAATAGAATTGATAGATTCAAATTCAATGTAAACATATTCAACACCATTTCCAGATGATACACAAGTACAGTTTAATATGCGACCATACTTTGCAAATGCTTTTTTGATCACATTTCGGTTCAGTTTCGAATCAGTATGGGCTATGCAGATTTTCCTATCCGAAGTCAAACGGGTTTCATCGGAAAATGGCGCTTGATAAGGATGAATATCCAAACGTATTCGACAGATGAGATGATCAATCTTATTTGTTAGGAATACACTCATGTCGGTATCGGATGTGAATCTTATGAAGCGATAATCAATTAACCATTCATCAGCGGCACGAGTACAATTATGATAGAATGCTTCGATCCGTCCAAAACGTTGGAAATACTCGCGTAATTGATCATCTTTGATCGATTGAACGTTTCCGACATAGATAGTGTGTGCCGATGAGGAGTTCATGTGTATATCTGAAAAACACGAATAAATACAAAATAATGAGGAGTATTTACAACGAGAGATTAGATTTATGGGATCATTTTTATGATTTCTTCATAATGTCGACGTTTTTCTTCGAGGAAGTCCGATATCTGATTTTCGATAGAATTGAATTCTTGACGAATCTCTAAACTGTATTCATGTTCCAAATAGATCAATGTACTTGGATCATCAATTTCCATCCTAAATATCAACAAATTGCGGTGAATAGCAGAAATAGACAAAGGAGATCCTACTTTTGTTCATCTTGTTCTTTTTCCATTTTATGAAGATCAACATCCGTTGGTCTTAAAAGCGCTGAAATATTCAAAACATGGCCACCTATCCTGTGCTGTCGAATTTTGCCTTTTAACAGTTTGTTTCTCGTTGCTGCAGAATCGAATTCAACATAAATATGTTTTTCTTCATTTGCATTCGTTTCTGAGTTCACGTGTTTGATTGTTCCGAATGTACGAAGATACTTTTTAATTTCATTTAATGATACATTACTTGCACGATGAGAAATGCAAATTTTTCGATCGACGTGCAAAGGAACGCTAGGATGAAGAATTTCATTGAAAGGTCGAACATCGAGAGCAACTCCATTATCGAGAATATGTGACGACGTGCCGAGAAATGCCGAATATGCCTGAGCATTTAAAAAGCGAACGAATGTAAAATCAACGAGATGACTTTGTTCAGCAGATAACAATCGACGTGAACAATCGAGAATTAGACCAAACTTTGAGCAATAATCACGTAAAGAATTATCCGAAATCGTACGTGTATTACCTAGGTACACTGTCGTTGATTGCAGTTTTTCATTTGAACTAAGCATTGCTATTCTACGATTTGTCAATATGAGAAAAATTTGGGAAATATTTGAACAGCTGATTGTCAAGGTGTTATTGTTTGGATGGACATTAAAAGGATGATGTACATTTGATTACAACAGATGTCTCTCGTTAACAATATCGTAATAACATATTCTTATTCAATTTCATACGCTAGCTGTACGAAATGGAAAATGCTTTTAGATCAAATTTATGATTATTATTTGTATGAAAAATATAAATTATAGTTTAAAATCGCGTGGTAGCTGTGCGTAATTCTGGATCGTCTTTGTTATTCATGAATCGATACCGGGATTCCATCAAGATTTTGAATGTTCCATTTGCATACGGTTTCCAACTGAATACCCAGTGATGAGCTATTGAAAAGAAGAATATTTCCACACAGATCAGGACATTTTCTAGTAGAATTTTTTCTTGTTCAACTGTAAATCCAGTTGTGGAGCCGTTACAATAATGATTAGCCGTTGGATCACAAGATGAATTTCGTAAAATGTGAATCGCTGCTAGTCCGCTCATTAAAACTGATTGCCAAAAAATAAAAAATACAATTAATTTAATCACAATAAATTTCGGTAAAGGTTGAAACGGTCGTAATTCTCCTTTTGCATTTGTATAAAAGGTTACTAAACTATACAAAGCAAGCGTTTGACTAATATTGATAATAATCGTGATATAAGGGTAGCCTCGGTTAAATTTCCATTCCCCGTTTGCATATACATCGGCGAGATTCAAAACAACAGCAATGCCGGAACACAGAGGAGCAATCCATGAGTATTGAAGAAGACCGATTTTAAAATACCAAACCCACCGAACATTCGGACGTACTTTAAGACAACAACATGGAAATGGTAGGATGATTCGCTCATGATTCAGAATAACTTCTTCGACGCCACGATGACCGCCAAGATATTTTGTTAATAATAGAAGAAAACAATAAATAATATAAGCTTCAAAACAAGCTTTGATGAAATCCATATAGATAGCTGATTGAAAAAATAGAATCGAGATCCACGATGTTGCACCGTACACAGGCACCATTGCTAAAATTCTCATGATTCGCTTTTGAGATGGATGATGTGTTTGATGGAAAAAATGTTGAGCAATTTGAACGAAAGACATACATGTTGCTACAATAGCGAAAATACCACCGATAATGGCAATTAAACCTTGTTCATGGACAGGATCTTTATACATTTGCCATTGGACAGGACTGTTTACTACCCATATGATGATGAGAGAAATAGCACAGGAGAGTACGACAAATATTCCCCACGTAACCTCGTTTTTGATGATTGAGAGAAGTCTTTGAGAGCACGAAAGCGGTTGTCGCACTTCTGCTTTGACGATATGGGGAAATGAGGCTTGTCTTTGATTATACGCGTTGTTTGCATATTCACTTAGCATTTTCAGAATTAAGACGAGTAAGAAGTAGGAGCGCTTTAACTGTGTCTAACTCTACTTCCTCAATTTGACTGATGGATAATTTTATGAGTAATGCTGGTAGAAAATGCCTATCTAACGTACGACAAAGGTTGACGTGAGTATGAAGGTTTGGATTGTCAATTGCTTGCTCGTTCTCTGTTTTCCTCCGACTGCTACCACTCTACCTTCGTCAGCTTCGCCTTGATTCTCTTACTCATTTGTGCAAGTTTTTTCATGACAAAAACATTGAAGAAAAAATGGGTGGGTTGTGGTTGCGTAGTGAAGAAAAGAGGAAGGAAAGAGACTGTCTTCGATAGAACAAAAAATTTATTAGCTCTTGCAAGTGGAGGTTGTTGTTGCTATTTGAAATTGTTTATTCACGAAGTAGTGCCGTGAATAACCTTGAAATTATTACTTATAGTGTTGTATGAATAATTTCAAACACATAGCATGCTAAATTTCATATTTTTAAGCATACAAGAAAGGACATACTACTTCTCTGACGCAACATCTGATAGGAAAATTAACTGGATGCTCATTAACGAATAATTTGCGCGTCTTGATGATTGATATTTAGTATTTATTGATTTCATAGTTCTGGAACAGCGCGTGTCAACACATTACTACGTATAAATAAATCGAATAAGGAAAGTTATCAACTATCTGAGTCTCTCAATGATTTATGTAAAGCAGCGTCTCAGATTTATTCATCTTTAATAGCAGATCAATCACCTAAAATGAGTGTTTCCACTTAATTATATTATCCGCTATGATTTCATATTAACGAAATTGCGACTGTTTGCATGAATATTGCCTGGTCATGGCGATGGCTTTGAGAAGAAATCGAATACGCCTTCGATCGTTTGTGCAGTTGTGAAAGTTGAATCGTTCGTACATTTGTGGAGTACAATCTAAAGCGTCTAGTTAACGTTTACAATATAGGCATTGAAAAAGTGATTCAGAAAACTTCGTCTCAGCATGATTAATAATTCGAATAATCAAAGAACTAGAAACAAAAACAAGTAGAGAAACATTTAACCGGCTTGTCCAAGTGAAGCGGTGTGACGTTTTGACACATTATTTTTTCAATATCTCAAAAAACTACAAACGTTCGAGAGTTCATTCAAACAACATTGGACGCAGTTTGACATACACTATGTTGTGTGAAAAAATAAATAGTATTCATCAATCACTTGATTCTCTAAAGAAAGATTTTCAGATCGTGTAACCGTGTGACACGAAAGGATCCTCAAGCTCGAGTGTTCATGGTTAATCCTTGATTTCCTGCGAAACTTGAATTATAAATACAGCTCGGTAATGACCCGTTTTATAGAGCTTCTCATGTGCTTCACGATGACGGGAAGAAAATTCTTTCATCTTTTTCTGTTAGGTAACAAATTCTAAAATACAAACGCAACAGTGTGGCCCAAGTTTTTTGCTGATCCCTTTTTAGATCCTTCGGATACTTACAATGAAGTGATCTAAATATGTCGTTTTGTAGAGAATAAAATTTTGCATCGAATGTTGCATAGTGACAAGATTTGAAGAGTTTTCTTGCTGAGACCATTCAAAGTATGATTCTGTCATGTCAAAGACAAAAGTTGGTCTTGTACAAAATGAATATCAGATTCGTGATCAGCGTTAAAAACTACAAATAGGATAGTGTTTTGAAGTTTTGTTATCGAAAATACAATTTTCAAAACTTATTCAGTGAAGTGTCGCTTTACGTGGACAAGCCGTCATCTTAATAAAATTGCTCATATAAGGAAAAACATAGCCGAAGACGTAGGTCAATGACGATAAAATGCAACTATATCAACAAAATCGTACATAGAAGGTCATTCGAGGTCAGTTTTTGGACTGTAATTGACTTATTGCTTTGTTTCTATTATAGCATAAAAATCGTTGTTTGGAACAAATAGATTTACACCATGGGTTAGTCGCAGTTTGCAATCGGCTATTGCGTAGTTCTTCAGAATATCCAATCCGGCGCTACCACAAGATAACTTCGATTTTTCGAGTAAAATTTATTTTGTCATAAATTAAAGCCTGATAAGAAATACGAATGAAGATGAATATAGATCTATTTGCCTATTTTTTCATCTAGATCAAATAATACGAATACGACAAAAAAATCATTTTAGGCTGATTAGATTAAGAAAACATAACCTTGAAAATTTTAGAATATACAACAATATAGAAATGTATGTGAAAATAAAACACATGCATTTCTCTTCTACTTTGCCAGTTTGCTGTTGTTTCTCTTGTATCATCGTTGTCAATATTAGGATGTATACAGGTGCAGCATGTCTCATATGCATGTAGGCGTTTACTAAAATTTCGACTATAAAAGGGGACCTATTTTCAATTACTCCACATTGACTATCAATAATCTTCTTATCCTCACTTAACAAGCTCAAAAAGCGTAAAAATGAAAGCTGCTCTTGCTATCATCTTCTTCGCCTGCGTTGCTGGCTCAATGGCTGCTGATGCTCGCCTCCAAATCGTCGACCAACTCCTTGCTCAAGGTCAAGGTATTGCTCAACAAATCTTCAGCCAACTTCAAGCTACCATCCTCGCTACAATCCAATCCGCTGTTGGTCAAATTTCAGCCCTCATTGGTGGACGATTCGACTTCAGCGAAATTTTCAACCAATTCAAACCCATGCTTGAACAACTCGCCAATCAAGCCCTCTCACAAGTTCTCGGTAGCCTCTCAGGCATCTTCGGTATGTTCTCCTTCTATCAATCACCTAAATTGATTTTCTCTTTCACGTTCAGGTGGATCCCGTATCGATCTTGCTTCAATCTTCGGAGACTTCTGGTCCGGAATCTCCACCCAAGTTACCGAACTCGGTCAACACTTCCTCAACCAAGGTTTAGCTGCTGTTCTCGGTGGACTCGGTAGCCTCGGATCACGTGGAATCAGCGACATCTTTGCCTGTAAGTTCAAGCGGATGTTGTGAAATAAGAACAGGAGAATGTGAATCGATATTCGTATTTTAGCAATCTCACAAAGCATCGGAACCGCTGTCACAGCTGCCCAAGGTGCCCTCACTGGTGCTCTCGGTGGATTACAACAACTCGGATCACAAATCCTTGATGCCTCAAAACCACACTGGGAACAACTCCAAGAACAACTTGTCGGTCATGGCCTCAACGTTCTCGGTTCACTCTCTGAAACCATCAACAACGTTCATGGATCAATCGTCGGTGGTCGTTAAGTGTTGGATCGGAAGGAATGATTTTTCTCTTTTAATCTAATTAGTTCTTTTTTTCGGTTGTAAGCGATGATTTTGCTTGAACTTCAATAAAAAGTTCGAGAATCATTGTTGGCGCTAGAAAAAAGCGAAATTTCGATGTTTATCGATGTTACGATAATATTTTTTGCGGCTCTATCTATTCTATTCGGACAGATTTCCTGTAGAAGCATTGATTTGATTCGATATCATGCACATCTATACCGATGTGGAGATATAGTGATTGATGAAGATCTTATACGACCATTATATCACTATTTTGTTCTCATGCAAGCAGAAGAACACCAAAATACAAATACCATGGCGTCATCATTAAATTCAATTCGACGTATTGAAGTTGCATGTGACAGAGCTTATCTAATTTCTTATGAAGAGATGAAGAGCCCATCTGTGCTACTTAATACATTCCAATGGATGAAGTCATTGTTTGAAACTTAGGTGTTTTTGGAGAACACAAGTGTAAGGATTGTCCAACGGATCCATTACGACTGCATTTTATAAACACGAACTTTTTATCAGTATCGACATAAAAGAATAATTGACTGATAAATCGGCGAACCATTGGCGTCTTAAAATATTTCTCAAGAAAAAATGTTTTAATCATGTTCTTCTCTAATAAAACAGATATTCATGCTTGTACAGATTTATCCATCTGGTTCTATTTTTTACAAAGTTTTAAACGCGTTTTGCTTTTATATGATCGAATAAAACACCGACTACTCTCTTGAACCTTATAGGTTATGTCTGACTTAAGTTATAATATAATTAAGAGAATAGGATAGATTTTAAGATGGAGTGAAAAAGTGCTTTTTCTTCGTAAATCTGATATAAGTTATTCAGATGTTACTGAATAAATGAATAGGTTCACTTTTATACAAGTCGACAGATCATCCAATCCTCTTTCAAACAATATATTTTTAATTTAACTGGTTCTTCAGTCACTTGAAAATACCGAAAAATTCCTACAAGCTTTTCGGAAAACATTACCAATTCTTGTTCATTCAAATAGATTATAGTTCTTTATTTCTTTGACTCTTTTCAATTAAACTGTCATTCGATAGAGATACAATTACTCCATGAATTGAAATGCTTACAGTGCGCTTCACTTCACATTTTCTGGAGAAATTTAGGGCTATGCCTATAAAACGAAAATACATCGTTAATCTGCAATGTTGAAATTTTCAACGGTGAAATCAAATTTTCGATTGAAAATCAAAACCAGTTTTCTTGATATTTCCATGATTTTCAGTTTGACTTATATCTTCAATTTGAAAGCACTTGCAGAACAGAGTAAATCAAGTAAAGAACACATAACTTGATGCAGCAGTAAATACACTATCTGAACATATAAACAACTATGATCGAAGTTCTGCTCAATTTTAGGAAGCTGAAGAAAATGACCGAAAATACATGAATCAACCTGTAATTTGAATCCATAATTCAATGTAATTTGATGGTCATATCGTATTTATACAAATATTGAATGAATCCATATCGTTTCATTCTTGAACAGTCACTCTTATTATTTCCGATCTATAGCAAAGAAAAGCTCTGATCACTTAACACTCAACAGTGTTCTTCTCATTGAGTACTGATGAAGCCTATTTGCGAGTCTACCCATTTCAGTCCTGGTATATTCCACTTCATACTAAAAGAACTATTTTAACTTTCATACCACAGCTAAATAAAACCCAGTATCGTTAGTCTTACTCTCCTTATCAACAGACTAGAATTAAAAAAGCATTTCAGTACCGTCTGTTACTGTTCTCAGCAAAATACACCGTTCGTTTTTGTTAATCAATGTTTATTGCCCTTCTGCAGTACCCAGAAATAAACGCGTAGGTGAGCAACGAGACATCACTAGAAAATTTCAACATTTATCAGCTAACGAAAGTATTATTATTGTGCACTAACAGATGATCATACTCTCATCAGGGGTGCGCTGTGTATAGTATTAAGAGTATAGGTATATCCTTCGAATTCGTATATAAGGTCGCGCATATTCGTTATTTTCTTCACTCATCTTCACATTTCGATTACTTATTCGAAACAATTTCCACTACAATGAAAGCTGCTCTTGCTATCATCTTCTTCGCCTGCGTTGCTGGCTCAATGGCTGCTGATGCTCGCCTCCAAATCGTCGACCAACTCCTTGCTCAAGGTCAAGGTATTGCTCAACAAATCTTCAGCCAACTTCAAGCTACCATCCTCGCTACAATCCAATCCGCTGTTGGTCAAATTTCAGCCGCCATTGGTGGACGATTCGACTTCAACGAAATTGTCAACCAATTCAAACCCATCCTTGAACAACTCGCCGGTCAAGCTCTCTCACAAGTTCTCGGTAGCCTCTCAGGCATCTTCGGTATGTTCTCCTTCTGTCGATCACCTAAATTGATTTTCTCTTTCACGTTCAGGTGGATCCCGTATCGATCTTGCTTCAATCTTCGGAGACTTCTGGTCCGGAATCTCCACCCAAGTTACCGAACTCGGTCAACACTTCCTCAACCAAGGTTTAGCTGCTGTTCTCGGTGGACTCGGTGGTCTCGGATCACGTGGATTCAGCGACATCTTTGCCTGTAAGTTCATGTGGATGTTGCGAAATAAGAACAGGAGAATGTGAATCGATATTTATATTTTAGCACTCTCACAAAGCATCGGAACCGCTGTCACAGCTGCCCAAGGTGCCCTCACTGGTGCTCTCGGTGGATTACAACAACTCGGATCACAAATCCTTGATGCCTCAAAACCACACTGGGAACAACTCCAAGAACAACTTGTCGGTCATGGCCTCAACGTTCTCGGTTCACTCTCTGAAACCATCAACAACGTTCATGGATCAATCGTCGGTGGTCGCTAAAAAGCTTTACCCCAATTGAGATCCTTATGGAGTATTAATTAAATAAAAAGTTTTGTGTGAAAACACAAAAACAAAATCAGTCTTAAAATCGATAAAAAGGAATAGTCCTTCACGCTAATAACATGCATGAAACTTTTTGCAGGATCTGGAATATGACTTACTACCACTAAAACAGTTTGAGTGCCATTGAAAGGAACTTCTAAAGTATGATTTAGTATAATCTAATATCGTGAATGTTTGAGAACATGGCTGACACTGCATCAGAATAATATGGGTGTGATTTCTGGTGGAGCAATATGTGTCTATGCAGCTCTAGTTATGAGAATTATGTGCTATCAAAGTTCTCTTTTCATAAATCGCATTGATGCTAATTGATTTAACGTTCGGCACTCTCCAGCACGTGGACAAAGAGATATTTATAGTAGTTGAATGCTCAGAAAATTCTTTTTACATCAACGGTTCTTTTTTTGAAAATTGTCGACCTATGAACAGGAGAATTTTGTTTGAATATGATTTCTTTCATATTCCCAATGACATCGCTCAGAAGTAAAGGAAGGTATCACTGACTAGTAGTCTAAATTTCGTCATTCGAAATGCCGGCCAAAAGTTAATAAAGGAAAAATATCATTCATTGAAAATTTTGAGCGATTGCGTTATTTTGAAAACAAAATACTGATGGACCAAAAGAATAATAACACATTCATAAGTATTTACTGATCTAAATCACACTAAATAAACAACAGATTTAGACCATTTTTGTCTTGCTCGAAATAGAATCAAACAAGCCTACATTTTGATATACTGTTTCATAATAATACAGTTTAGAAGAAAATACTATGCCCTTCATTGACCTAACCAAAATTCGAGAACTATATTTTATTTTCTCATAGACTTCGTACTAATCAACAGTATTTTGCCAGCATTTGTCCTTGTTCTCAGTAACAAAAACGAAAAAAAATTCTGTATACCGGTAGATTTTCTTCTTTTTTTCATTAGTTGGTAGAGTAAATACGTAGGTGTCTCTGATTAGCGCTTGCTGCCAGGCAAAACAATCGTTTTGATCGACAAATATTAACAAATGGCAATATTCTCATCACGTGATTTCTCTCTTCTCCCTTACATCAACAACATATCACACATCCTCTATATAAACCTTAGCGGATTCACAGTTTTCTCCATTCATACTCATCCTTCTATTTCGACCACATACTCGAAACAGTTTCAACTACAATGAAAGCTGCTCTTGCTATCATCTTCTTCGCCTGCGTTGCTGGCTCAATGGCTGCTGATGCTCGCCTCCAAATTGTCGACCAACTCCTTGCTCAAGGTCAAGGTATTGCTCAACAAATCTTCAGCCAACTTCAAGCTACCATCCTCGCTACAATCCAATCCGCTGTTGGTCAAATTTCAGCCGCCATTGGTGGACGATTCGACTTCAGCGAAATTGTCAACCAATTCAAACCCATCCTTGAACAACTCGCCGGTCAAGCTCTCTCACAAGTTCTCGGTAGCCTCTCAGGCATCTTCGGTATGTTCTCCTTCTATCAATCACCTAAATTGATTTTCTCATTCACGTTCAGGTGGATCCCGTATCGATCTTGCTTCAATCTTCGGAGACTTCTGGAGCGGAATCTCCACCCAAGTTACCGAACTCGGTCAACACTTCCTCAACCAAGGTTTAGCTGCTGTTCTCGGTGGACTCGGTGGTCTCGGATCACGTGGATTCAGCGACATCTTTGCCTGTAAGTTCAAGCGGATGTTGTGAAATAAGAACAGGAGAATGTGAATCGATATTCGTATTTTAGCAATCTCACAAAGCATCGGAACCGCTGTCACAGCTGCCCAAGGTGCCCTCACTGGTGCTCTCGGTGGATTACAACAACTCGGATCACAAATCCTTGATGCCTCAAAACCACACTGGGAACAACTCCAAGAACAACTTGTCGGTCATGGCCTCAACGTTCTCGGTTCACTCTCTGAAACCATCAACAACGTTCATGGATCAATCGTCGGTGGTCGTTAAATATTGATGAGTTTGAAACCATCAATTTTCTAATTGAAATAAAATATCATGTTTGAAAAAACGTGACAAAAAAAAAACGTTCATTCTTGCATAATTATTGAAGGGAAGGAATCCCTTGCAAAGTATAGCATTGTTCGTGACTAAATTGCAATCTTACTATTCCTGAACATTTCGAATCAATCCATAACCGCTTATGTATAAGTTTACTGTAAGATGTACGAAACTAATGTATGCACATATTGAATATTCGTAAAACGGCCGAGAATATGCGGATATGCATCGATACAAATTGTATGGTAATATCTGTGAAGATAGATCACCTGTTATAGAATGATAGGAGATTAATAGATGTACGTGCTTTCTGTATTTCTTTTTGTCTGATTTTTGAAGGTAAAGAGAGAGAAACAAGGAAATATTGTGCTCATCGTAATTGCGCGTTTTTTTTTCAAAAGACGTTGGCTGCCTTTTTCATACTTTTCAATATACGAGAAATAATGCTCGTGCCCGATGGAAATCCCAGGTCGAACAATTCTATACTCGGATCCAGCATCGGATTTGTTGACCTGGGATGATGCAAATAAAAGCGATGACTAAAAGATCTATCTTGAAGTCATGTCGATAACATATGTGATAAATATCTATATCCTTGATTTAGTCTACAATACTTCTTCTTTATTCCTCAAAGGGTTTCTATTTTTTTTTTAGATTCCAAAACAAACAGATTCATGTTTCTGGTTGTACACACGGCGTTTCCTGACCGCTGTATGGATCAGTTTTAAACATTAACGTACATTGTTCAGCTCGAAGACGTTTAGCTTCTCGGGTTAAATATTGTGCCAATTCCTCAAAAGCACGTTTCTTGCTTTCATGTTCTGAAGCTTTCGAAGTAGCATAGTCTGCCATATCTTGTGTCAATCTTGTTAAAAGATCTGCTTCAGGATCGAGAATACCGCCCTTCAATATACAGTCGTGTTCTTCAGCCCAACTTTTGTGTTCGAGGACGTTCATACAAAAAATGTAAACCACCGGGTCACTTGTATGCTGTTCCAAACAAGGAACGATGTCTCGTGCATATTTACCTTGTATAATAGCGAAAACTTTTTTGTTTTTAACGGTTTCGACAAATTGGACACATGATTCCACTTCATAAAATAAACATAGTTTCTCACTGGATGGAAATTGCTTTTTCAGTTCTTGACAATTTTCAGGCCGTCCAATGTGATCATCAAGCCAAAGTAAAATTACATTGCTTCCAATTACCTGTTCGAGGGCTTGCATTCTAATAGTAGGAAAAAAATTAATACATGACAATAGAAGTAATGTAAATAAAAAAAAGAGCCTTCTATTCGCAGACAATTGGTTTGTTTCCTTATACACATGTATTGCAATTGCATCCGTGTTGGTTGTTTAAAAACCGTTTAAAATAAGGCATGTATTTGCCATTTGTTTCGTGGTAGACACGTGATAAACTGAAAAACATTTAACATTTAGTTTCTTTACTTCTCATAAGATCAAACATTATATTATCGAGCTCCATCTATAGGTAAAAGCCCGCTAGTGCGTTGCAAAAATGGTAGAAGCAGCTGCTATCAGTACATAACTGTAAAAACATATCTGGTGTACCGAATTTCGACTGGGAATAGATTGTATCTGGTGCCGTTTTCTTTGAAGTATCTAACGAATAGATACAAACATATTTCTGAAATACTAATAATTTCAACATCGACAGATGAACTCCTATCTATGGATACGAGGACCCATTGAGATTTGAAAAAGAGAAAATGACCATAGATAGGTACTTGATTTTACAAATATGACTTTACCTGATGATAAATCCAAACTTTTGACTTTTCTTAAGATTCGCGATGATGTATCTGTGAGATCAACAGTTCAGAACGATCACAGAGTTACAATTGCTAGGAACTACGTCTCACCTCATAACAAGTGATCGATAGATGGAGTTGATCACCAGTGGAAATGTTTTCATACAGTATGAAAATCGCTATCCAATAGAAATCAAGTGAGAGTTTATTATTATTTTATTTATATATATATACTACAGACATACAAAAGCTCAGACCGACGCCGACAATTGAATCATTTGACAAACAACGATTGGAAAATTGTACGACCCGACAGTATTCACATTCATTTTAGATTATCAATGGCTAATTCAGCAACAACAATCGATGCACGATTGAAAGAAGCGATACCATTGTATGAGAAATTGAAAAGCGAATGGAATCGCAAACCACCCAATGTTGCCAAAACTGATGAAATCGTCGCTTCATTAAAAGTAACATTCCACATTCTTTTCTCCTTCTAAAACAGCTATCCATGTTTTGTTTACTTAGAATTTATTTGCGGAAGGCGGATTCTATCCATCTGATTCCAGTGAAGATACACGTGGTTTACATATTGCACGTATGTTTTCATTTTCTTTCTTGTACAATATAGAATTATTGGTTATTTCAGGTGATACTCTTGAAATAGCTGCTCAATGTGCAATTGAAAAAGGTGATATTTCCGCATTCGAACGGGCCTTGGCGCAACTCAAACCATTTTATTTCGATCTCGAGTAAATCAAATTCTTTCTTCTTTATTTGTTTATTCAAACTAACCTGATTTTCTTCCATCTAGGAATCGCATTCCGGAATCGCCCTACCGTTATTTATTGCTTGGTTTGAACTTGCTTTGTTTACTTTCTCAAAATCGCCTTGCTGATTTTCATACGGTAGTAGTTCGAAGTTGATTGCAATGCGAATAGATATATTTGAAAAATGCCTTTTTCAGGAGTTAGAACTTCTTCCACCAAAAGATATTCAAACAAATCCGTACATTAAACATCCTGTTTCACTCGAACAATATTTGATGGAAGGAAGTTACAACAAGGTAAGATCATCGTTAAAGATTGTAAAAAACTTCATTGTTGTTTTTTTTTCGCCCAGGTTTTCCTGGCCAAAGGAAATGTTCCATCACCTCTTTTTACTTTCTTCATGGATATTCTTCTCAATACGATTCGGTACGACTGATATTCTCACTCTCCTATTAAATATTTTTCGAATTTTAGCGATGAAATTGCATACTGTATGGAAAAATCCTACAAACAGGTGTCATTAAAAGAAGCCGCACGAATTCTTTATTTAACAAAACAAGAAGAATTAAATGAAATAGCTAAAACAGTAATAACCATACATTCACTTCTTCTCGCCTCTGTAATCCTTTCTTTTTCTAGCATGGATGGAAACTAGAACCGGACCAATCATTTCATTTCGTGAATAATCAAAGCAAGCCGGAAAACGAACATGTACCTGCTGATGAAATTGCCACGCAAATGATTCAATATGCACGCGAAATGGAAATTATTATCTAATGCCTAGAGACTTTCATTTTTATTATCAAATAAACTCGAAAGAGACTAACACATTAGGCAGTTTTTCTTTTTCTTTTCTCTGCTCCTTTGTTATCTTGAATTTGATTCTTCTCTCTTTCAGATTCTTTTCGGTAACAGTAAAGATTTATTTAGTGAAATATTATCACATAGACGAAAAAAATCAACGGTAAGCTGATCAAGAGTGTGGTAACTGGGTAAGACGTTTAGCCGTTTAAAGGCAAAACATGGAATTCATGGCGCATGTACGAAATCTATTTGTTAAAAATAAAACGTGTTGAAGTTATTCGTTTTAATTTTGAGCATTATATTTATTTATAAGCAGAAAAAGCTTATCGAGTTAGTGAAGAGCGGTCAAATGAAAATAAATCTCGATTAATTCAAGACATAAATAGCACGAGAAAAAGCCAGTTATGTGACAGGACAAGTGGCCTGTCTCATTCACGCATGAGTCTTCATCTTTGCATGATACAAGTAATACGTAAGCGAAGTATCTTAGAGAAGAATATCTGAGATTTTATGGTCCCTGCGTTTTTCAATAAATTTGCTATTGGACATTCTTCCATGCACTAAATTTACTTGAATTATCGCAAAAACCAATGATTTCTATACGTTTTATTTTGAATCATTAAATTTCCTGTATTTATGCCTCCATCATAAATTCTATGTTTATCCTTAATCGGATACCACGCAAGAGAAAAAAGGCCCATGACTTATGTCTTTTGTTCTGAAAGAGCATGGTAAAATCGGAGAAAGAACATGTTCGTCTATAGCAGTGGTGTCAGTCTGTGAACAAAGAGCAAAATTTACGGAAAGGTAAGGAAATGAATTATACCAGTTTGAATAGTTTCGATTTTATCAGCAGGTAGGTTGATTCGTTATCGTATTGAACACAAGAACGAACGAAACAGCTGACTAGTAGTGAATGGATCAGACAACACATTGACTTAACTCGATATTATATGCATAAAGTCATAGCGAATAAAAGAACGATCGAAATAATAGTCAGATGTACCCAGTCCACCGTGTATTATATGTTGTTATATATCAAACTTTTCGTACGCCAATATGATATAGGCGCTGCTGATTTTTAAGTGTGATGTTACTAATTGAATTGCTTATATGAATAATCCTAACGCGTAATCCTTGATGGATGTATTTGACCAATGGGTACATCTGATACAGCGCTGATTACGTTGTTCTGCATAATTTGTAAGCAATCACATATTGTTTGATCGGCTGTGAGAAGGACAGGATAACTGTATCTGATGACTGTACGTACAATTGATTTGAAAGCATTTGTCTTTTTTAGATAGAATAACAATGTTTAATATCAATGTTTCGAGTAAGATCAAAGAAGCTGAAGATCATGTTAAGCAAGCCGAGAAGCATTTGAAAACATCCATTACCAAATGGAAGCCGGATATTGATTCAGCAGTAGAAGAATTTGATAAAGCGTGTACATGCTATCGAATCGCAGAAAAGTATGAATTGTGTCGCAATTTATCTATCCGATTAGCTGATTTGCAAATACAAAAGGGAAGTACGTTTTTCGCCGCGAAATCGTACGAACAAGCAGCGCAAATGACACAGCAGTTACAAGATTTACCTACAGCAGCGAAATATTACGACAAAGCGGGACAACTGTATATCGAAGGAGGTAAAGTGAGAAATGAAATCACATTTAAAAGTTAGCTTTGTCGTTCGAATAGGCCAACGAGATTCGGCTGCCGTGCTTTACGACCGTTGTGCAACACAATTTCAGCAATTTGATCGTACCATAGCGATTGATTTTTACATGAAAGGAGCTCAGCTAGCTGAACAAGAAGATAAAGCATACCAAGCAGCTGATTTGTATGAAAAAGCCGCCATGCAGATTCTCCGAACAGGCGACTATCCTAAAACAGGTGAACTACTCGAAAAAGTAACAAATGTCTTAACAAACTTAGAACGCTATGATCGTCTCAATCGTATTATACTCTATCGAATATTATTGAAATTATTCAATGATGATAGTGTTGCAGGAAGAAATGTCTTTGATCAAGCATGTCGAGATTATCCGACATTTGATCAATGGGAAGAACATGATCATATTGCAGGATTACTCGATGCTTTCGATCAAGATGATAAGGAATTAATCAGTAAACGTTGTCGAGTAAGTTGTACTTTTCTGAAACAAGGTAACTGAATGGCTTTGTTATTCTATTCTAGAAACCATATTTTATGGCAATTGAGCCCGAATTTGTTCGTTTAATCAAACGTTGGATTCTTCCGGATACCAATAAAGAAGAAAATCAACAGTCAACGACAACAAACACAACTTCGGGAGTCAAGCCTATGCAGTTTGATGATGACGAAGATGATCTACGTTAAAACTAAACACATTCCTGTATTGTCTTGTCGGCTTCTGTCAAATAGTTTTTTTTATATCGAATATTTACTAGATATTTTTTGATGTTGTTTTGTGCAATAATCTGTGTACGGAATATTTATTTTATATGTACACACCTCAAAATAGACGCCAACTTTTTATGCATACCGCACTTATTCTGTCGGTACATTCGAATCTGCTTCTGCTGTATTTTCGCTTATCAACAATTTCAATTTTGAGTGGTCAAATGCCAATGCCTTTATTTTTACCAATTAAACTAGTTTTCTTCTTAAAGGGCAGCAATGGATAACCATCCAGCTAAGAGTAGAAATCCACCGTAAGGTGTTACTCGTCGAAACCGTGGATCATCTCGAATGGCATGATAATAAATCGGCCCACAGAAAAGTGACATTCCACCGAGAAATAACAATCCAGTCACCTTTGGTCGAGATACCAATGGAACTGCCAGTAACGCCGCGGAATGTAGAATGTGATATGTCTGAGCCAATTGAAACAACTACAAAATGATGATTGAAACTAATTGAAAGTCAATTGTGATTATTTATCTACCCGTCGAAGTTCGTCCGGAGTGTTGTCTTTCATAATATGAGCACCGTAAACACCTAAACATATCGCTAAGGTACCTGATACACCCGCACAACGGATCAAATTTCTCATTGTCGACGAAAGAGCTAGTCTGGAAGACATGACTTGATCAGATGGTATAGAGGATGACAAAGAATAAATTCTAGAATAAGATTCAATTTGCATTGTTTCATCGAATGAAAGTGATTATACAAGAAACACACCCAAAATATTTCAAGAATTTCTTTACCCAACGAGCAATATCTCGAATAAATATGATATACATGTTCTCAATGCAAACAAAGATATCTGTAAAACGAAAGAAGTTTTTCTTTTCGATAAAAAAAGTCACAGCTTTCTTTGATTATTTAAAAAATACAACAATTAAATTGGAAATTATTGACGTTTTGAGGCTTTCCATCGTTCAATTTCACGTTTCAGTTCGGGCTGTGCTATTACATCGTGCATACGAAGCGGACTTCGATTGAATGGATCTAACTGATCACTAAAAAAACGACAGATATCATCTCTATTCTTTCGTTAAACTCAAACCTCAGAAGATGACGAGATATTGTCGTATAGTTTACAATTTGCCCCGAAGTTGGTAATTTTACAGGATTATCCATTATTTCAGCAGTAATCGGATCCAAATATTCATCTGGTGCATCTTCCATCGCATCTGGTACGCTTTCGACTACGTTCGTCTAGAAAAAAGAGAGTATCTCATAGCACTGAGATCACTTTGAATATGAATTTTACTTTGATATGTTCACCGAGTTGAATAAATCTAGTGATCCGTTCACGCGGATGTCCAATACGTTCGAGAACTTCAACTGCTTGTGAGAAAAGTTCATCCTTATACGACCTATTAAAGAATAGGCTTGTTTTTGTTTGTAGATAAGGTTTCCTCTTACATTCCATCGTTACGGACATCTGCACAAAATTGATCGACTTTTGCAAAATTCAGGTAGATATCGCTGACTTTCGAAACGAGTTTCTGAGGTTCAAATTGATAATCTTTCATATCCCGAACTTTTAAATTTCGCCGTTCTGGTCCCACCTATCGATTAGAAAACAAAATTATTTCACAAAGATCCTGATTAGTACACACTAAACGTTGCAGAAAATAGTTTAGCATCGCAGCAAGTCGACTGCAGATTGTCCGATGGCAAAATATTGACTGAATTTCTTCGGTTATCATAGCGAGAATCGTAAGCTACAAAATAAAGTTTTTGAATATTGAAAAATGAGAAAAGACTAATTGAATTAACTGTTTTCATCCCCATTATATTCATAAACCGGGCTGTTTGACCTGTTCGTCGAAGACCAGTTTCTTTCTCTTCGCGTTGTTGTTCCGGAAGATTATTCCAATTACCAGATTCCTTCTCTTCTTGAATTGTTCTCAGTTGTGCCATGTGCTGAAGAAAATAGAGGATTTAAAAGGACAACTCAGTGTTTTATTTTTACCGATATAGCTTCGTCTAACAAGAAATTTGCATCATTTATCAACAAATTGATGAAACGCAAGAACAATGGAGCTTCCGCATCATCCATATGCCGTTCAGCATATGCAGCTAGTTTCTAGAGAAGAATTTCATTAATTTTACTTTCTTTACAAGATCCTGCACACTTGTAATTGCTCTCGTTGGTTTTCGTATGCCCAAAGGCATTCAAGAATTGCATACATTGGACGACGGTAATTAAATTTTTGATAAAATTCGACGGATTGGCCAGTTAATTCGATCGATACAAATACCTCGAGGCTAACACGCGGTATGTGTTCGATGAAGGGATGTTGTCTAAAGATCATCTCTGCCAGTGGACTAACCGATAAGAGAAACCGCGATTTTTCAGAGTAGATTTAATTGAATTTTGAGATTTACCCCGGTCGATCATCCAATTTACCAAACGATAAAATGGTTTCGAACATGTTCGCTAGCGAACCCCGTAAATGAGGACTAAGTAAACGGCTAGAATCGCCCATGAAAACCAAAATAAAATTAACGTATTCATTCACCGATGGTATTATCGACTTTATGAAAATACACGTAAAAAGATTGTCGTTCCATTAAAGAAAAAGCTTACTTGTATATATCGCGAATTGTATATTTCGAGAAATTTGAAATAACTAATAACATTTTCGACGAGAAACTCGGGAATATAGCTTAACTGTCGATTGGGTGGAAACTTTAACGGTAATTTCTCAATCACATTTAGCTTTTCATCTTCGCTCGAAGCCTGATTTGATGTAGGTAATAACGCTAGATGCACGAGCCATGTACATGTCGCTGTGAACAGAGCATTGGATAATTCTAAAAGACGTGGTTCGTTAAGAACACATCGAATATTGAAGAAGGCAGTCAGCGCTATTGAGAAACAAATCAGACTGGGTTTTATTTAGAAAGGGTAGTTTACTTTTGTCCATTGCATTGGCCAATCGTGTGGTGTACTCATTCTCTCCGAAGGATTGAACAGTATTTTGATAGGCTTCTTTGATACGTGAATAATTTTCACTCGTCTAGAGAAATGTCATGTTTCGCGATGGTTTTTTCAGAAGAAAAATGTACCTTTCCCAATATTCGACGAAGTCGATTGACTGAATATGAACAACTTAAATGTGCCATGAAAAAACTTTCGGTTATGAAATTGAAAGTTAGGTCCGAGATATTCGAATCCCGTTCTATTCCTTCCTGTCGGGGAATCATCGGCTTCGCATTGTACAATTCTACACACCCGAAAGCAAGAAATCGACCTTTTTTTTATAATCAAAATAATTACCTTTTAAATGCACGTGCGCACTTTGACTAATACAATAGATCGGGTTGATTTTTAGTAATTTTGGCGAATACGCTTCTGCGAACGGTCTTGCAAGTTGAAGTAGAACGATATTCAAGTTTAAGAAAAATCCATCGCTAACAAATGCGAAACCTAACAGTGGGTCTTCGGGTGAATATTCTTTATTTTTTTCTATTTTCAAAAGAATCTAATTAGTTGTACCAAATCAATATTTACTACCTTGATTTTCATGAAAACAATCGCCAATCCACTGTAACACGTCATTTCGTACATCTGCATTTCGAACAAATGCTTTGAATAATTGTGTAAGGTGCTCTTGATAGTTTCTCAATGGCTAACCAATGAAAGCAAGCATCAAATACATCTTCATCGATTCTTTTCAGTTACCTGATAAATTGTATTTTCAGTCATTTCTATCATACGCTCGCTCAATGATCTTGGATTCTCGAAGAATGGGTAAGGTTTGACAGGTACTGATGGCAAACTTGATTTACACAGAAAAGTACCAACTAGTGTGTCTTCGAACTTTTTGCCTGGAGGCAATTGGATTTGATCGGATCTCGAAAAGCGGTCCCATGAGCTTCTAGGATGCGAAATTTCAAAAATAATCTGAAGTAAACGAATGATTAGTGTTTAAAAATCAAAAACTTCTCATACGAACTTTAACCAATGCTGAGTGCTGTGATAAATCGATCAATATTGATATGTAAGTTATCAACTCATCAGAAAAATAATCCAACGGTTGAATCGCTTGATACATCGAACGAAAAACATGTCGATAAAATCTTTTCACTTCATGCGTTGCTGATGCTAACAGCTCCTTATTCACTTTACCGATATATTCACGTACGCTTGATTTATCTTAAAAACATAATCTTCGATAAAAATGACTATCAAGCGCATGTTTTCTTACCACGAGACTCGAGCAACAATTCGAACCATTGTTTAGCTAAATCTTGCGAACGGTACATATCTGGCGTGGTAATCGCCGTTTTACTATGGTTGATGAACAATGTTTGAAGATCATCAAATATCGATTCGAACGCATCCTATACAAATAAATGTGGCCTATGAGAAGAAGGGCCTAACGGAAATTTTACTCGTTCGCGTGACAATCGTTGGTAACATTCGGATAAGTAATGCAAGCAGCGATTTTCGATAACATTTTTGCGTTCTTCCGAAGATTCACTCGCGTTTGTTGGTGCTACCAACTGACTTAATAAGTCAGAGATTTGAAGACGTTCCACTAACGCTTCGTCAATTTGACTTATCACCTTTTTACGAGGATTGATTGACCCTAGTTCAGCTAAATATATTCTTGAAACTGATGTGGCTTCAACGTCTGTTGTACATAGGAGAATAATCTCTAGAATGTCTTTACATAGAAGACTATCGTTTGTTGCTATTATGCTTGACTTGGGCATTGTTTTTCAATTAAAATTTTTTTGGAAAACTAAAAGTGATTTGTTCGGAAGTAGAAAAAAAACAGAAGGGAGACTGTCATTTTCACTCATTCGTTTGCAGTTCTTCTACTACTGCAATTGACTGAAAAGATGTCACTAGACAGTTAGGTTTCTTCATGTGTTTAATGTATACATATATTATGCATAATAGTTTCGGTTCACGGCTTTGCACAGTCGGTATTTTGAAGTAGCAGAGATGAAAATCTACGATGCGAGAATGTCTCGTTCACGTATATTCAAAATAAAATTGTAACTTAGATGTACAAAAAAACTCAAAGAATCTCCTATTTATTTTTTAAAATAAAACATTCACTTAATCAGGTAAACGGTGCACACCGAAGACCCTCCATCCTGATGATGAAGCATCGATAGTTGACGATTGTTGCTGTTGTTGTGGTGAGCGACGCCAATGATTAGTTGGCTTGAGCAATGATGGAAATGTATACAGTGAGGTTAAGGGTGGAGGTTGTGATGATGGTGCTAAAAGATTCGGCCGTGAATTATTTATCGTTGATGATTGATAATCTTTATATGTGTAGGTTTGGGGTGGGAGCTGTTTGTTGGTAGAAATACCTGCATTGGTATTATAACGCTGGAGACTTGGAAAAGGACTGAAATGGAGGAAGTGAAGATGAGAGACGCGAATGTTAAGTTTTCTTACTTATTTTCATTGAATAAGTTAGGATACCTGCGGGAATTATGCGATGCTGAATGACTGGTTACATCTGTTCATGTACAGGAGCATTATTAATAAAAACATGAAAAAATTTGCATGCTTACTAGTCCGAATCGGTTCATTCAGTGAAGGTTTTTCATTGTGAGGATAGGTGTGAGTTGCTGGATAAGCAGACAACAGTTTTCGTTCATTATTCACTGATGAAGCGCTAATGAAAACAAATCATTCTCAGCAAACCTAGTATTTGGAATTTTTCATACCTGATCGCTGCAGCTTGCCGTCGGCTGTGATCCAGCTCGCCCTCATCCGATAATTTTTGTACTCTGTTGCCGGCATATCCATCGATTTGTTCGGAATATGGCCGGCGATTTGCTTGCTGCTTTTCTGACGGTAACAACCAAGATGTTAATTCTGGACGTCGAAAATTATCAACAGGAACGCTGTTATCATGAACTCGTCTGGATGCTGATGACTTCCGACTAGGTAAATCTGAAACGGAACGGGGATGTCATAAATGATCGGTATTGCTAAAGTTATCTTACTGAATGGTCGATTGAAGAATGCATTGTAAACAACAAAATTATTGACTTGGTGAATTGGAGCTAATAACTGATAATGTTTTTGAAGAAATCCCAAACATTTGTTCGACGGTCGATCGATGGCTAATTCATATGCATTACATTTCTCAAACTAGAATTCAAGATGCAACATTTACACGATCAATCATCTGATAAAATGCATTGGTTACTTCTAGCATTGCCTCGAACAGTTTCTTTCCATAGCCGGACCTTTGTTTACTTTCATGAACATAGAAATCTAGCAAACACAACGGAGTTCGTTCATGAACTTGACCATGCGAATCATAAACATATAAATGCTTTGCACCGACTTTCAATAAACCCACGACAGAGCCCAAATTACTAAACGGAATAAAAACTAGTTGCTCAGCCACATCCGAATAGCCGTATTAGTATTCTTATACTTATGGTCATGAACATTTTTAATCAGATACAAGCGATGATCAGATATACGAAATTTCCGTGCAGTTGTAACTGGACAAGGCAAACTTTGTGCCTAAATAATATTGCATCAACACATTTTCGCGGGTGAAATCAAAATGCTTTACCTTGTAAGAAGCCTCGCCAAGCGTATCAATAATGGTTGTCAGTCTTTCTGAAGCTCTAAAATATATAAGACTAAATTTAAATTTAAAAAAATATCTCTCTAATACGTACGATATTCTTGCTGTTTGACCATGATTGAGAACTCGAAAATCTCCATTTAAAATCGTGATTTCTTGAGGCAAAACAGCATTAATATCAAACGGAAATTCCATTATGATATCTTTTTTCCTTTCTACTTCACTTGAAAAGGATTTGAGACAATCAAATGAATGTAGCCATTACGGTTGTTATTGCTCTGAGCAACAACCTCTCTCATTCTCTTCCCTATTTTATGAAAGAAATCATAAAGAGTTAAGCAAACAGATACAGTTTTTATTGATTTAATCAAACAATCACGACGCACTTGATGAAATTTTCTCTTGCTTTATCTGGAGATGTGAAAGAAACCACATCTAGTTCGTATTTTCTTTTCGAAAATAAATCAAAATGATTTGCTGATTCTCACACTGAAGCATGATGAGATATCATAATTCTTATATCAGACGAAAACTTAATCTTATTTGGAAGACGATAAATAATTTAATATTAAACATTAAAAAAAATATAAAATAGTCGAAGATAGTCATTCGGAGCACGAAGTAGATATCCGTCTCACAATGCACGTAATCAAAATAATACAACAACAAAAAAGTAACGCTTAATTATTTCGCTGAATTATCATCGATATATCTGACTTGTTTGCCTAAAATGAGTGAACAATCGTCGTTAATTTTATGTCACTGACTTTCGAGCGGTGACGTTATTAGAAACATTCGACGTCTTCTTTTCGATTACTAATGAGTTCTTATCAATGGGCATCACGTTCACATCTACTTGCAAATGAACGACTGTAGATGTTTGACGTATATTCATGATTCGCGTTAATGGTTCAATTTGTGCATAACCATCTTGAGGAAAACGAACTGTTGCCCACGTTAGTAGACTATAACGAGCATCGTTTCGTTTGCCACGAGGATGAGGTAATCCTAGAAGATAATGAGTAGAAAGTGAATTGATGTCTCAAACTTCTATTTACCAATATAAATCGCTAATTCGTAACTTGGTCGAACGACACACATTTGTCGTTGAATGAGTCTCAACGCTAAATCATCATCTTCACCGCCCCATCCCCAATACAAATTTGAAAAGCCATTTAATTTTTTATACATATCAAACGATAGCAAGAGAACGCCACCAACCAAAAACTCGTAGTATCTCATATAACCAGCGTTAGTGCCAAGTAGTCGGACACGTGATGTTGTATGTTTAGGATGTTTCGATTCACATGTGTAAAAGTTTCCATCGTCCTCTGGTAATAAATCGACGTCATGCAAGATCAGACACGTGATGTTTAAATTTTTCTGTTGAATGTAACGAACAGCGGTGTTAAATAAACGGCCTTTATTGAATTGTGGACTACCCGGTAAAATCTAAAGGTAGACCATTATGGTATCGTTTTGTTTAAAAGTATCTCTTCTACATCATTCAGCAGTACACGATATACAACATTGAAAATCAATATTGATATATCACGTTTCTCATAAACGCATGACATCATACGAAATATTGAATTTGTGCTCTCGGTAACTTTATGCTGAATGAATAATCTGTAGGGAACATAAAACTCTACTTGAGTTACACTTCAGACTCACCTTCGTTTCAAAGGACAGTACGCTAAAGTGTTTTTATGGGCGTATTTTAATAGAAATTTCATCTACAGATATCTTGATCTATTCATGATTTACCTGTTCTACCAGGAGTATTATATAGGTAAGCTGCTGTCTTCGCAGAAATGCATGCATATTCAATAAAAATGCTTTGGCGTTGTATGCTCGTCCTTGTAATGGTACGATGATTGCTGTACGCTGAGCGGATGTCACACCTACTGGAAACCACATTTCATTCTCATATTGATATGGAATATTCTCGAAAGTGATATTTTTCGCAAATGGTGTATCGATCGGTGCACTGTTGACTTTTTTCTTCACTAAGGTTTTTGTGTAAAATTGTTCAATATCATCGAATGTGATATTTGCATCTGGTACGACATGTGGGAATCGACCGCGTAAATATTTCGAATATTTCGGATGAAAATTATTCGGATGTTTTGGCAGATGATCGAGTTTGAATGTTCGACAAGAAATAGATGTACGCAAGACGAATTCTCGATACGGCACAACAAGATAACTTGGTGGAATCGTTGACATTCGTATGGAAGAATTTGAACAATTTGATTGTACATCAGGCATAAATGGGATTATATACTTTTGTTTGTTTTGATATATAGTAGTTAATACGAAGAATGACATTGGAATAATGGATAGAATTAGTGAAGAAATAAACAATTGACGCCAACAGGATAGACGCATATCTGCAAACAAAAGGAGAAATACATTTTCGACAAAGTATGCATTATATATGACGAACACTTCTTAGGTGTTCTGTGCTTTGCATCGATAAGACATCATCAATATGTCAAAATATTCCTGCTACAGTACCTGACCTTGTTGTTGATCAAACGGACATTCGGTATTTACTATGAAAATTTAATGTATTCGACATCGTTGTTTTATATTGAAAGCAATGATTATTGTGGTATCAAAGAGAGGCACTGGGCGTATGATTAACAACTATAATCTCTGATGTTTGTGCATGACAAAGAATCGATAAATGTCATAAAGAAATCAGAGGGAAAGATATTGTTCTTTTTCTATGTATAACCCTATTTTCTCTTTTCTTTTTCTGTGCATTGCATTTGTATATATTCTCATGCTGAATCCACATATAACGTTGGACATGCTATGCATTTATACATGATCAATTGAGTCTGATTTCGTACAACAAAATTTTTCTCCTTTGCGTTCTGTCATCGATGAAAAACGTATATGCACTTGCAACTACTTATTCATCAATCACCAGAGACGAAAATAAAATAAACATATGTGATTGGATGTCACTGCCAGGCGATCAGCAGTAATTTTAAAAGGACGCTGTAACCATAGTAACGACAAATTCAAGTAAAAGAAAAAGAGGAGAACAGAAAAAATCTTTTCTACTCGCATCTGATTTTTTAAAGTTCTGTTTGTATGAAACGGTGTATTGTAGATAGGGTTTCATAAAGCAAACGAAAGAAAAATACAGGAAAGTGACAGCGAACAAACAGTAGGTAGTGAAATTAACATTTCTGTTACGAACAATGAATCAATACGAAAAAATCTTTTTCGTACAAAAATAAAAAACGATAATTGAATACAAACGATTAATAACTAAGAATAAATATCTTTTTCGTTATAGAAAGATGTTATCCGATGAGACAATCACAAATTTCCGTTTACATCGTGATACACGTCTCGAATCTACTGCGACGCCATTTGTTGTACCTACGAATGGACATCGTCATGTCCCAGCTCCTAAACAGCAACAGCCACAACAGCGTACTGCAGTAGCTGAACAAGCTTCAGCATCGCGTACATCAAAATCGATTATAGATGCTAAAAATCGAGCTGTTAGTGATAGTTGTATGGCTGCGGCTATTGGTGATTTACAATGGTTAAAGCAGAGTATTCGAGATGGTCCGCTTGGAAGTGGTGAAGTTATTAGTGTCGAGCAAACTTATGGAAAAGATGTATGAAATGGGATGTTCATTTTACAGTTGGATTAATTCTCTGTATTGTAGGGACTTGCTCCAATTCATCTTGCTGCTTTACATGGTCGATTGAATTGCTTATCGTATTTGATCGAAACTATTCATCTTGATATTGACTTGCCCAGTGCTACAGGTTGGCGTCCAATTCATTTGTGTATATCGAAGGAAACCGGTTCACGTGCACTTCAATGTTTACAATACCTGATTGAACATGGAGCAAGCTTCAATATGTTCGTAATGAGAGAAAAATGTCATCGGAAATATTTTTTGGAATTCGGCTTTGTTTAGAAAAAATGATGATCAATTAACTCCACTTCATCAAGCAGCCTCCGAAGGTCATATTCAATGTCTCGAGCTTTTACTTGCACACAATGCTGATGTTTACGCTGAAGACAGTCGTAAACAATCTCCTTTGGATCTTGCCAAATTGTGGGGACACAAACGTTGCGCTAAATTACTTGCAGCTGCAATGTGGCATCAAAATAAACATTTATCGGAAAAAGAACGCCGTTTAACGAGGAATGCAAAAATGGCCGATCTTTTATTAGAGATTAAACAAGAACATGCCACTTTATTCGAAGAAAGGGGTGAAGTAAGTCATATATGGCATTCATTTTTTTGTAAAATTCAACAGTAATTGTTTAGGAAATGTTTGATCAATGGTTAATTACTGCAGGTACAGGAAATGCAATACCACTCAGTTTAAGAGACAGTAAGTGATATTCATCTGTCTATGGCAAGTTTATTCACTTCATTTTCTTTTGGGAAACAAATCAACGAGTCCAACTACTCAACCGAAACAACAGTCACCAACTCATCAAACACTTCCATCAATTACGCCTGAACATGCCATCAATCAACAATCATTATCCAAATCCGACAAACGAACAATACCAAAACGTGTTCGACCACCAAGATTTGTGAATACGAACAATTGGAATATTTCCACCCGTTGCAAACCAAATCCATACATAACCGACTTAACTGATGCTTATCCACGTGATCCTTTTACTAAAATGCCACCCAAGCAAGACGCTGTAGATATTTATCGTCTACTTCAAAGTAACTGTTCATTCGCAAATGATCATTTCAAAAGGGTATCTATGATATGTTGTTATTTAGATATGACATTGACTGATGTCAAGAAATTTCTTGAACGTCGAAAAGAACGATCGATCGAGCCACAGGATGTTGAAGAACGAGCACAGAAACAACGGCCTGTTGTCTATGCTCCATGCCACGTTGACGATATTCAAACGCTACACAAAGCAACCCCGGGTGAAGAATCCTATCAACCGTTACGATACTTCGATGAAGGTGGTTTACACCATACTAACGATGCTCAGGGAAGTGTGTTTTACCATCAATTATCAGAAGCAATGGGTGGAAAAGAAAATACATTCCTCTCCCGATATCATGCAAATGAAGATCGGACGAAATGGGATCTATTTCAACAATACGGATCGGAATTAATTGACTTCTTAACAGATCATCGCGGTCGTTTTAAACGACAATATGATAAAGTTTTTATTACTTGAAATAAATTCCTTCCTAGAAACAGAAATTTCTGTATGGTATACTAATTAGTTTCTCGGAGACAAAGACATCAACCGGATCTCTATCATTCTCTTCAATCTGCACAACATACTCGATTACTCGATGAACAATAACATCATTGTCATATAATACGATTATCCAAGATAGCTCATGCATATACATAAAGGCAACTCGGATTGATTTTACTGAATAGTATCGTATGACATGCAGACATATGTATAAAGTCAATGTTTATACTTATTGATACTGTTTTTGACAAGAAGCATCAGACATAGACGTTATATGGTATCGATGTCTTCATTGAATAAGCTAACGTTACATATGCATGTTCGTGTGAGAGATGGAAGCAATTCGCTTGATTAATTTTTTATCATTTCAAGTAATGTTTTCTTTTTTGAGAAAATGCCAGAATAAAGATACGGAGAAATAGAAGGCGAAAGTCTACTATAATTGATAAGCTAATAGAAGTTATTCGTTTGTTTTTTGTTCACGCATCATTTACTTCTATAAATCAGCACGGTTGATGAATATGTGGGTATATTTCACCCTGGATTACATCGATATTGGCAATAAAAGTTCAATAGACGGTATTCTATTTTAAACAAAACTTCTGTTAGCTACTGAATAGAATATAAATCAACTGGACGTTGTTTTACAATAGAGTTCGATAACAGTGCACCGCTGTTTCTTTCTGTAAAAACACGTTTTCGAAGATCTCAGTTGATAGACGGAAAAATTCAATGGTTTTATCAGAAATTCTCAGCGAAGATAAGGATAAATGTCTTTCTGTTTTTACATAATACCCTTGAGTTTGTCAAGAGAATGAAAAGATAGTCAAATATTTAGAAAGTAAAGTTTATTTATTCATCGTAACATATTTCTTGTAGTTTAACTTCGATACTTAATCAAATATTCATTTCCTTTTTAGTTAGAGGAAGAAAAGATTGAATGATTAAGGTCTTGTTTTGTTTCCACACATTCTCGGTCGTAAAAGAAAGATCTTCGCCAAAAAATTTTCTCGTGTGTTTCTATTGACTCAAGTCATTTCCTATACATTAAAGCGTGATAACAAAACGGAAATGATTTTAGTTCCATCCTCCCTCGACTTTCTCTCTTTGTTTGTCAGTCTCGAGAAAGAAATGCCCTCTCACATTTCTGCTGTGTGAAAAGTTCCGATAGAATTAGAATAGTTCTGTCAAACGTTAGTATAAACGCAGGGATCATTTAATCAGAACAGCAGCGAACTTCAGATACATGACAAAATTGTCTCTTTCTTATCAAGATAATAAGCTTGACGTGCATAGGTTTCCAATTTTTTTTTGTTATTGTCATTCATTACAATCGATATGGTGTTAGTATCTCTCGTTCTCTGTCCTTGGCTTTTAATCTTTTGCCAGTCAACACTGTGTATGTGTGTGCATTCTTTTCTTCTTCGTTCGTACATGTATTATGGGTATTTATAGTTCTATTAGCGAGTGGATGTCGAGAAGGAAGAGAGAGAAAAAGGCAAGTAAGACAGAGTGGAAGATATGTGAAAACGAATCTTTTTTTTCTCTTTTTCGATTCTTTACTATTTAGTAGTTGATAACAGATGAGAGTGTCGAAGGAGAAGAGAAAACAAATCTCTTCGTAGTTCTAACATGTGATACAGGTACAGCTGGTAAAGATGATCAACTGCGGACGAAATTTATTTTCTTCGCATGTGTGCTTTTTTCTTCATTGTTCTATATCATTTATTTAATAGATAGGTCAGGATTTGAGAGCTTTGAGGGCATCTTGTCAATCAAGATCATAATTAGTCATACGCACAAATAAACAAAGAATAAATTACCGAGAATTGAATTTCTCCTAAGAATATTTATTAGTTTAATGATGAGAAACTAAAATCTCTACGGAAGATTTCTCCATTGAGATTTGTTTTGTTTCGACGACGATCCATGAATTAGTATTCTCTGTAGAATATTTTCTTACATGATTGTTGGAGAACAGAAAAATAGAATGACAAATAGATGGAATTACCCGGAAGGATTTCTTAGTCTTTGCTTTCTGCCTGTGTACAAACGTTCGTTTTGTCTTCTCATTTTAGACCTCATATGGATACGGATCACATCAACTATCAACAGCAAATAGCCCAATCACAAAATGAAGAGAAAAATCACGAATTAATCGAAAGAATCGAAGATGTCCCAAAACAAGACGTTCTTTCCATTGGTATTCATCAACATCCCGATGACTACCAAACAATTCAACAGAATACTGACAATACAATCAATGCCTTGACTCCTACTCAACAGCAACAACGATTATTCACATTATTAGTCATTGCTTTTATTGCTCTTTTAACAGGTACCCGAGTGATCCAATGTTCAAAACGTGATTTCTGACATATTTGTTTTAGGAATTGATTATGCGATTATTCTACCGACAGCATGGGGTTATATCAATAAGTTCATGCAATTTCATTACGGTGGTTTTGTCATGGGCGCACTTTTGTCCGTATTTGCTTTGTCAGGTGCAATCGCCGGCATCGTTCTCGGTTATTTAAATGACTCAGGAATGCCATTGAAACGATTAATATTCTTCGGTGTTATGTTTAAAATCATCGGAAATATTCTCTATTTTGTCGGTATTAATATTTATATTGTTGTCATATCAAGATTGATTGCTGGAATTGGAATGGGATTGGTGGTATGTGAGATTTAGAATAGTCGAACATTAACATTGAATTTCATCATTTGTAGCCACCTTTACTCGCGGAAATTTCCAGACGATCAACACCAAAAACACGTACACAACTATTAGCAAAAATTCTTGGTATGTACATATTACAATGAAAAATGAGACGAAGCATTTGAATTGAATTTAGCTTGTCGACAAATCGGTCTTCTTCTCGGACCGTGTTTTACAATCCTACTAAAACAAATGAAATTTACATTTCTTGGTATTGAAGTAACAATGTACAATTCACCCGGGCTAATAATGGCACTTCTTTGGATCGTATTGATGTTTTTAACATTCTTCTTCTTTTATGATTTACCTCTATCGGCGGTGAGTTTCAATTACGAAATACACGATAGGATGAAAATATTCTTTTTTTTTTGATAGACTGATCGAAAATCATTAACAAATTCAATGAATGATTATTCGATTCAACAGGCGTTCAAGCGTCTTTTCTCAATGTGCAAAAAACCTGTGATTTTAGTATGTCCGATCATATTTCACAATTAAATGTCTAGATGACGTATTTCAGGTCCTACTCATAACCTCATTTATTGCCTACTTCAACCAAACAGCATTAGAAACGACATTAACACCATTCACAAATGAACAATTCAATTGGCATGAACTACAAGTATCAATTCTATTCGCTGTTGCTGGAATTGAAATCACTCTCGTATATGTTGTCTTGCATTACATAACAAAAAAGTTTCCAGATCAATCAATTCTTCTCTTTGGTTATGTTCTTCTTAGTATAGCTTGTTTAATTGCTGTGATTATCTTGCCGTTTTCGGAACCGGGCTCGCAGAAATATTTACCCATCTTTCTAGTCTTTGTCGCGTTAGATATTCTCGCTTTACCTCTCGTTGTTGTGACAAGTACGAGTCTGTTCACTCAACAAATCGAGAACGATGAACAAGGAATCGGCCAAGGTATTCAACGCTTTGTTATTAACGTTGCCACCGTTGTTGGTCCTCTGTATGCTGGAGGTCTCTTGCAATCAACTTGGATTATGCTTTGTTCGATGTTGTTTATCGTGTTATTTGGAGCATTTCTCATCATAACAATCTATCGTTCATTTAAAAGCAAACATGATGAAGAATTGTCGTCGTTGATAAGACCGGTTAATGAAAATCGATAGAAAATCGAAGTTAAGTCAATCATTGTTCTGTCGTGAATTTTAATGTAATTATTTATACGGAAAATCAAAGCAAACAAATTCTATCTTTTCTCTCTCTCTTGTTACAAATTCTTGTGTTCTTGTGTTTTTGTGTTTTTCTTCTTTTATGTCACGTAATAAGAAATCAAAGATTTCAAATGCTGACTCATATGCAATTTGAAAAGTATATATTTTGTCACTACTCAAGACTAACAAATCATATTCTGTTTATTCAAAATGGAGACTTCTTTGTGCTCTATCATATCAAACATCACATTCTGTAGCAGTGAGACAGGAATCAGGTATCGCGAAGACACTTGGATCAGGCTTTTCGACGATGTAATTATCAAAGAATTGACTAGCGAAACCGGTCGTAGCGCGGAAAAAGAACTGTGATGGTGTACATGTCTTGTCGTTGGCTGCTGCTGACGACGATCGGCATGTATCTTCGAAGAACGAATAGCCAAATGGACCAGCAGGATCTTGAGGATCATCTAACACCCACCAGAGAACAGGTCGGTCATAGAAAACACCTGTGCCATTGTATTTAACTCCGGCAGCGGTTCTGATGAAATCTGGAGCTGGTGGACTCCATGGCTTACCAAAAATGCAACATGGTGGTCGACCAGTTGCACGTGGATCAGTCACCACAAGATAAGCTGTACCGTTTGTGTTCAGAAAATTACATGTGAAATTATTAGTTGTGGCTTCAAAGATTGGAATGCAAATATCATAATAGTATTCAATCATTGATCGAATTGACCAGTCGTAGTAGGTTCGACCGCGACCTGTGGTTGTATTGGCGGTTGGAATGGTACTATATGGAGGTAATTGGATATCATCGTAGACATGTGCCATTGTCCACTGATATGTAAAATAGTTTGGCCATACGGGAGGCGTAGGCTGACTACTTGCAAGAGTGAAACCAATGAACAACACAATAGTTAAGTATAGCATGCTATATGGTCTTTTAACAACAAAATGAAATGTAATCGATAGCTACACAGTGTGAGCATTTAAAAGCTATCTCATTTTGGTGGTTTATCCTGAAAGTACGCAATAACAGTCATATGCTTCAGTTCTCATAATACTGACAATGCATTTTTTGCCTCAATGATGGATAGTCAACAATAATGACAAATGAGAATATCTTGTATCATCGGTATTTATTCAAAACTAAAAAAGTATCATTTAGCATCATTTTCGACAATGTTAAATCCTTCGAAAATGATTTCAAAACCTTCTGTTTCTTTGCTTGGCGATGCGCACATAACGCCAACCAATAAGTTCTGCTCTTTATCAATCTCCGGAAAATAAGATAATCTCATCATCCTAAATTCACCTTGTTCGCCTTCAGCATAATTAATATAGATTGCTTCTTTTTCACGTTTGACGCTTAGTTTTAAAACATCCGGCGAGTTTATTGGAACAACGCTCCAATCGGACCACCCGTTGACGGTTGTGACAACACTGGCGAACTGTTTGCCATCAACATATTCAACACCGCATTTAATCCAATTCTTTTCATCAATACGTATCATTAAACCACCTTGGTCATAGCGTGTATGATATTTCCCTCGGATATTCACAGTTGCCGTGAAGTCTCGCTCGCCCGGAAGTGAACGATAATAGAAATGACCATTGTCGCGTTCACAACCATTATGTGTCTTGCGCCAAAAATCAGTTTCTCGATCAGTATGAACGTTGATGGCCGAAGCATTGCTTGACCACTTTTTCGGTTCGTTGAACCACACAAAACTCATCTTAAAAAACACAAATTATCTTATTCGAAAAACGAAAATCTTCCAAATAAAAGAGATCCAAGTATCTATTCTATATTTTGACCTACACATAAGACTGATAAAAAGAATGCCAAAATTTTGTTAAAATAGCCTCCTACTGCTATGTTTTCATCGTTAGACGAGCGAGGATATCTATACGAGAGAATCTTTCGCTCTCAGCTTTTCTTATTCGTGTTTGAATGTTTTCATCGATTCATTTATTGGTAAAAACTTTCACAAGAAAACCAGTTCGAGATTTGAGATAAGGAAATGAACACGTTAATCAATGGAATCGAACAAATGAGATGCAGCAAAACAGGTGAAAGACACACGCCCACTGATTCACCTATATATCTACGACTAACAAGAAAGTCTTTCATTCATGACTCTGAAGGAGAATGACGATCATTATTTGCATTGGGATTTGATTGAAAGAGTTTGACATTAGAAAATATCATTTGACTTGTCGCCCGGTTGAGTCTCTCCAATCGATCCTACGGAAATAAATTAAGAATTCTAATCATGAATTGCAATAAACTTCATTACTCGTATCGTTTGAATGTCATTTTGAATGCCGTCGTTATCAACGCAGAACCGATTAATCCATTGATTAACACTATTCATATGTGAAACAAGTACATCGACGATTGGCGGTGATGCTGCTGCTGCTGTTGTTGTTGATGTTTCGTTCGTTTCTGCAATTGATTGCATTGAATCAATCAGTGGGAGAGGTGGCAGTAATAAGATTTGTTCGGATGTTTGATCAGAGCCGCCATCAGCTCTATCAGCAGTTGGTGTAACAAATATACTCGATTTAATAGTCTAAAAACAGTAATAAATTATTTTTAACCGACCTTCGTATAAACCAAGGTTTTCTGATTGACGGCAAAACTGGAAGGTATTTACCGTTGATTTTTCATCTTCATTTTCGTCGTAAAAAGATTCAACGATTGGACTCGACATCTTTGGTAATTCGGGTTGTGGTAACAACTAAAATAATGTTCATTGTTTCTGGAGATGAACAAGTCAGAACGAAACGAATTACTTTCAGTTCATCGCAGTGTCGCGCAAGTTTCTCACACTGTTTAATCAATTTATCATTTGACCCATTATTTTCATCAATCGATAATTGACATGAACGAAAGACAAACAGTTTGTCGTTTTTTGTTTGCGAAGTTTGAGATAAAATCATCGCCTCACTAGAAGATAAACATACGTTCATAATTCTTTGATGAATATCTTTCATACTGATTCTTATTGATAGCTTTCGCTGTTTGAAGATACTGGATCGCGTATTGTTCATATGAAGATGCCGAGTGATTGGAGTGCTGTTCGTAGGCAGTCTGAGCCTAAATTTCGAAAGTTATCCAAAGAAAACAACATTATAGAAACCAATTTACTGCTTTGAAAAGATATTTCGCGGTTTGAAGCAAAATACTTTTTGGTGGGTATTGCAAACATTTTTCTTCATCGAGCCGAATCGTAGCCAGATGATCGATGAATTTTGACGAAGATCTAAAGTTTCATATATGGATAAGAATGATTCGATTGGAAATATTAGTTGTTACATTCGTTGCAATGCTGCTTGCCACCACGTTTTCTGCTGTTGTGTGCACAGACAGGAGGAACAGTAGAGCAAATATGGATGCAATAATGAGTTTTCGGTATGATTGTGATGATTTTGTTGAGCACATAGTAAAAGGAAAACCTAGGAGAAGAATTCATTGTTTGAGTTTGAAAAAAATGCAATTTCTTTCAGTTACAATGATATCGCGTTCATTTAATGATTCTATTGTAATAGGTTTTTGTTCGAAATCAATCGGTTCAACGGGAAAATGTTCACCAATGATACAATTACTGAAAACTAATGAAAGAAACAAAGCATAAATGCTTGGAAACGAAATCTTTTTATCTACCTCCTAACGATAAGCGATCAACTTCGATCATACAACATAAAATCCAAACACAATAAACCAGTTTTTCAGTAGGATCTTTGTTTACTAAATAGAAATACTTGTCATATGGCAAAATTCAGAAAATACGAAAGCTACATTTTCTATGAGTATAATCTCTACGCTATTCTATCATCTGTCTGAACTGTTTTCATTAGTATCACTTTCTCTTACATTGATTTAACGTATGAACAAAGGCCAAATGCATTAGATCATTGTATTTTTCAATCGTTTTTTCGTTGTATTTTGGAAAACGTCGAATAATTACGAAACCGTTCGCATCTTGTAAATCATCTTCATCATTGTCACTTTTTAATAAAACATCATCGATAAATTCATTGATTTTATCTCGTAAAGACACAGATGTGAATAGATTTTCGGTTATTGTTTCAATCTAAAAGTTTCCATAAGCAAACAATTTTCCAATCAAGGCGACTTACATATCGTTCGTGATTTAATTGTATTCCATTCAATTGAGACTGGGACAACGTTGGTAACCAATGACCTGAAATATCGCTTTAGTCTTCCCAGAGATAGATAAGGGAATATTTTCCTACCGATCATCAATGTTCTTCGGAAATAGCGAAGACGCATTGATCGCATACATGAAGAATATTGATTTTTGATCGATGGTGGTTCGTAAGGTTGACTTTGTTCGAGTAATAATAAAGACATGGCCGCACAAGCCATTCGAGCTTCATTTATTGAACGTCGTCTCTGAAAAAAGGCATAATGAAACATGAGAAAAATATCTAAACAAGATTGATCTTTACGATTGTATGTAATTTGATAATCGCTATCGATGCATATAGGAGTAATTGACATTTGGCTTCGTATAAATATGAATTGATATCATCGGTTGATAGAATATGAAATAGAAATTGACTTAAACTAAAAATGAATCGGAGAAATTGTTTGAATTTTTCTATGAAAGAAACTCTGATCTTAGTCTTACTCGTTTAAAGCATCTATTGTCACATCCCAATATGCTTCGTATAAGCTGCTCTCCAGACGTCGAAGACCAACATCGATGGCATAGTAATAAACTGTTGTCATCGGCAAATTTGATGTCTAATAAATCGAAAACGAGAATTCTTTCCCTTCATTATTTATCATTTTTATTTACAAAACCTACGAGTAGTGTTTGAAAAGCATTTTTGTTCCAGTCAATATTATCTGAATTCAGTTCATTGTCGATTTCATTTAACAATGGAAAATTTTCCGTCATTGTGATCATCTAAAACTCGTTGATAAAATGAACACAAGTACTCCACTATAGTCATATGTATGTTACATCACGTGTAATCTAACATCGCTGAAAGCATTTCGTAGGTACCTGTGTCGCCATCTAACCTGTGCTCTCATCCGTTCATGACATTAACCAATGAAAATACACTCGATTAGCTGAGCTGAGATATATAGGTACTTACCAAATATTCGACAATCAGTTTGTATTGACCTTCGAACGAGAGTAGATCACGATATGGATGACGAGAGTTTAGCGTATAATTTTTGGCGCATGCGACGAACTGCTTTACACGTAAGACCAATGGAAATTCTTGACAGTATTCACTGATCTTTTGTACAGATGTGTCATGATCGTGGCTATATTGTCGGTCAAGATGAACTCGATCAAACATTTGAGCAATTCAAAGATACGTTTGGTGATAAGCCCAGGTAGAGAGTTGCTCCCTCTATGGCAACAGTTCGTCTTAAACATAGACTTTTTCAGTGAATCCAAACCAGCTCGATCACATTTAACTATTATGGTTGCACACAATGATGATCCGACGAATTTATTAGCCGTACGTTTCACTGATAGCAGTAAAAAAGTTGGTGTTGCTGAGGTGAAAGAATATTTGCATCGAATGGAGGATGAAAATCTAACCAATACAATACTCGTTGTTCAAATAGGTTTATCTCCAGCTGCTCGTGATGTACACTGTTTTATACGTATTTCCAAAAAAAGAAAATTGATATCTGTTTTTCTCTTCAGCTTATACAAAACGGTCTCGAAAATCAAAAGATTCACATTCAAGTCTTTCTTGAAGATGAATTATTAGTGAACATCACCGAACACAATGTAAGACTTATTTCTTTTGTGAAGCATCTGTTTTGAGAATTTATCTGAAACAGCTCGTTCCAAAGCATGTGATATTAACTCCGGATGAAAAGCAAGAACTATTGCAAAGATAGTAAGTTCAATGATCAGTCTGTGCTTTGTTTTTTTTACTATATGAACGTTTAGTCGACTCAAGGAAAGTCAACTACCTCGTATTCAATCTGGAGATCCTGTTGCGCGCTATTTTGGTTTAGCCCGTGGTCAAGTTAGTTGCTTTGTTCATAAGTCTGTATATTGATTTCGGGCATTTTATAGGTTGTTCGAATTACACGAGCATCCGAAACAGCCGGCCGTTACATAACATACCGTTTGGTGACGTAAATTCGACGAAGTCTTTCATTTAAAGAATAATCTATTTTTAATTTTCGAATAATCCGGAATTCGTTTTCAAATGAAGAAATCATATACATTTATACGTATATGTGTGATAATTTCCAAATAAATATCAACTAATTTCCCATTGATAATAGCCTTTTTACAATAAAATGAGCTATTTTCTTTTAGATCTTGCTCATTTGCTATGACGAAACAATTAGAAGATTTGCCGAACGAGCTTATATGGCTCATTGTAGAATACGTCTCCCCTATTGATGGATTCGTTGCATTTTTCAATCTTAATCAACGCTTCAACCAAATTCTTCGTTCGATACATTTTCGCTTTAATTTACAGTACGTCTCCCAAACGCAATATAATTATTACCTTCGTACACTTCTTCCGAACATCAAACTCACCTGGATTGAATCATTGTCTGTCGATGATATCACCAATCGTCTTGACTCCATTAGACTTTCGTGTTGTCTACGATCATTAACTCTTCATCATTTACGAACGGAGAGTATAAACCATTTCGCAAAGCACATTCTGCCTGATTTACAACAATTGGAACGTTTGTATTTACATTCGGAATATGTATTACAGGATGAAGATGTCAATTGTTTATCAGCTGTGATTTTCAGTGAACAGATTGCTTCATTGACGCATTGTCAGTTAGCATTTCAAGATTTTGGTTGTATGAATTTCAATCATTTGGCTGCTACGAATAGAAACGTCACATTGAAAACTTTGATTATTGATCAATGGTGTCGATTAAATGATTTCACTAAACTACTTCTTCTCACACCCAACATTCGTCGACTAACAGTTCGATTGTTCGATATTAATCCAAAAGCGTATAGATTTTACCGACTGAAACCATAGAAAAACTGATCTTTTGCCTTTCTCTTTCAGAACTGTTGATTCATCGTCGCTGACAGTCGATGATTTCGCTACTCTTGCACCAAATCTAGTTTATCTGCGTGTAAAGCTCTCTCGGATATCATTTTCCAATGCCACAAAAGTTCTCTTTTATCGATTGCCAACTCAACTTCGTGAATTGTCGCTTTCAACCTGGTCGATCGAGTACGCGAACGGTGAACATTGGGAAACGATCCTTTCCTCTCGATACCCAAATTTGAAACAATTTCGTTTAATTATTTCTCTCGATCGCATTCCCCTCAACCTTACAATAACGATCAATAAGGATCTCGACAATATCGTCAAATCATTTAATCAATCGAAATATTTCCTTGATCATCATTGGAATGTTTTGATTAACATCAACGAACGTGATCGACTGAAATTCGTTCTACATACAACCCCTTATCCCATCGAAAATTTCCAAACGACATTGTATAATATTCGTCGTTGCACAGCATCACCAGCGGTAATTCAATCGGCGTACTCTCACGTAACAAAATTAACTTTAACATTGCATGATGATATTCCACATAGAACAGATCACTACAAAGAATATCGCAGTTTCTCTCGCGTTGAAGAACTGATTTTTCTGTCGAATTTAACAAATGACCGTCAAGAATTCTCTACGGATAACTATTTTCGAGATTTACAAACAACAGTCAATCTATCTACTGTCAAATCATTAAGCTTCCTCGAAGAAGTACATCAATATCCAATCCAATTAATAAGGTTACTTTTGGAAAATTTGCCGAAGCTTTGCTCGTTAACTCTTTCTCATCGACTTTATGTTTGTCTGAAACCACGCTTGCTCAGTTCTTTGAAACAATTAACATTAATCTTCGTTACGTATTCATCTGTTTCACTACCTGCTGTACAGATGCAACAGTTATTACCACCAAGCCTCACTTTGACCAATAAGTTAATCCTTGACCTTGTACAACATGCGTCAACAACCAATTTACAAACGTTATCATTGCTTGTAAGAGGCGTCGATGTATTCGACGAGCAGCTTTCTCAATATTTAGAAGAGCATTTCACCATTGCACAGAATGTTGCATATGATTTGCTGCCTGTCGATAAAATAGTTCGCTTTCATTTTTAGAACTGTTTCTATTAGATTTGTTAATACATAATCTCAGTAAAAACGCATGGATTGTTTGACTGTTTTTCAGATGTCATTCGAAAACAGCTTTCCCGATGAAATCATCCTTGAAATATGTCGGTATTTGCATCCAATCGATATTCTGTTATCATTTGCTGGTCTCAATCAACGATTGAATGGAACGATTAGTGATTTTATTCGTCATGTTCATTTATCGTCGACAATTTCCTATGAAAAATATTTTTATCTTCTTCGAACAATACTTCCATCGATTTGGTCGTCAATCGAATCGTTAACAATCAATAATTATCAAATACCCTGCTTAACCACATCATTTTTAGATTATACGGATCGGATTTTACCGTCGAATTTGAAACGATTGTGTCTTCTACATTTAAACATAAATGAAACTTACCATTTTATCAGTCGATTGATGCATCAATGTGTTGTCGAAGAACTCGTTATCGAATGTATGGACAGTGATTTCGTTAATCAGCAAGAATTGTATGGATATCGCATCGCTCAAATGCTCTTCTATTGTCATCCGACATTGAAATCGATAGAATTACGTGGTGAAATTCTATTTGATCTCAACCATCTCTCATTTCTATCGTTGTCATCGAGTGACGACGCAAATGTAAGTGAATCGTTTTTCAAACGAGAATTTTGTTCATCAGACAATGAAACATTCGATTTTAGCTCGGCCTAGATGCTTGTCGTTTATCCGCCCTTCGTCGTTTAACAATTCCACTTCGATCACTGAGTAGTTTACATTTACTTCTCATTTATCAGCCATGTCTGGAATATTTGAATGTACATGTCGGTGATGGTAAATGTACTTATGATTATAAAATTCGGCCATTTCCTCCATTATTCAATCTTCGTGAATTTCATTTTCGTTCAGAAGATTTAGTTATAAAATTCAATGATCTTGTCGAACTTCTGGTTTATTTTCCCAATTTGAAATCTTTATCACTCGATTTAACCACAGAATGTCTCGCATTCTTTGATGGTGATCTTCTTCAAACAATGGTTCAATCCCTTGATTCATTTCAATTTTCTATTGCACGGTTTTCTCCTCCTACATCCGAAGAACAAACTTTATCGACATTCTACACTCCGTTTTGGTTGCAGACAAAACAATGGTATACTCAATGCTATTGGCACAATGATGAAGAGAATAACGATGCGGATTATTTTCATATTTATTCTGCACCATTTCCATTTACTGAATTCGATGTTTATAAATGTACAAATGAAAATCTCGTACCGAAAGATCAAATTCCATCATTTTCACAAGTCAAACGACTGGAACTAAGTGAAACAAGCGATGTCAATGCCATACTGTTCTTACGGCGATGTCCAAATATTCGTACGATTTGTCTCAACGATGTCTATGACGACGATGAGAACTATGGCACTGACGAAGAAGAAGATATTATGGATCAAATTGCTGAAAGTAAGAAAGAATCTATGATTTCGTATCGTTCAGTTAGCAAATGAAATCATCTTTTAGATGTGACAAGCAGTGACCTACAAACAAATAATTCTTCGCAGTCGACACTACCTGTATTACCCTACATCCGTGATATAAGCATCCTCGCACTACCCGATCATGATCTTGGCTTTTTTCAACGTTTGTTGCATGCCTCACCAAATGCCAGTCAATTGAGCGTCTATTTCGATGATTTGATTGAAATAATTCAAACTGCACAACAAAATCTGTTGCAAATCCTTCAACAACATATTTATCAATTAAAAATTAATTTCGATTATCTTTGGCTGATATCAGATATTCGTCGTGACATTCCGAAAATTCTCCGTGTTTTTTCTCGTATTAACGTCTTAACCATATCACTTCATGAGGGACAAAGACGCACATTACTTACCGTGAAGGAACTTCTGACTTATGTTTTCAAACATCCGTCTGATCTTCGTTGTATAAATGTCAAAAGTCATTCACCAACGGGATTTGACGCAATGAGAAAACAAGGTGATATTGATTTGATCAAGATATGGTTGAGGAATACGAGTGACTCTCGATTTAAATATGAGAATTATTTAAAAGATTCCGTTCGTATTGAACTGAATTCTTCTTCACTTGTTGTTTGGTTGTAAATGTATTTTCTTCTCAAGTAAATCATCGCCGTTTGTTAGATGACGATCAATCTCTGGACCTTGTCATGTTTGATGTTTCCCAATGGTCTATATAAATGCGATCAGTTGTTTATTTTTCAGATGAGAGACAATCAGAAAGTTAAAATTAAAAATTATTCCCAACGTATTCCACAATGGAAGAAAATCGATCAAGAAATCCAACAACTAACTCGACAATATGATCAGGTACGCTTGTCAAACTATTTCTTCGATTATTTTAACTATTTCCTATATGCAGATCGATCCTGGATCCATTCAAACATTCAATGATTTACCATTGAGTCGAAACACTCTTGAAGGTATTTCCAATTCTCGAGTTTTTCTTTTGAAACTTATTCGAATGTTTACATGCAGGTCTTACCAAAGCTGGTTTCACTAAACCGACGGATATACAACGAGAAGCAATTGGAGTCGCACTGCAAGGACGTGATATTCTTGGAGCAGCTATGACTGGCTCCGGTAAAACACTTGCATTTCTTATTCCAGTAAGTCGGATCAATGGTAACTTGTGAAGATAACATGGAAATCGATATGTAGGTTCTTGAATGTCTCTATCGAGCTCGATGGACAATGAATGATGGACTTGGGATATTAATCTTATCACCTACTCGAGAACTGGCCTATCAAACATTTGAAGTTTTGAGAAAGATTGGCCAATTTCATGACTTTTCGGCTGGATTGATCATCGGTGGAAAGGTACCGATTGTATTGAATGATTATCATTGTTAATCGCTTTTTCTCTGTTTGAATTCTAGGATTTAAAAGGTGAACAAGATCGTATCAGTCGAACCAATATTGTTGTCTCCACACCCGGACGTTTATTACAACATTTTGATGAAACATGGAACTTTACGTGCGAAAAGTTGAAAATGTTTAGTGAGAAAACTTTCGATGATATTTCTTTCTTAGAATTGCAAAAATGTTTTTCTCCAAATAGTTATTGATGAAGCTGATCGTACATTAGACATGGGATTTGCCGAAACAATCCGTTCTATCGTCTCCAACTTACCAAATGAGCGACAAACATTACTCTTTTCTGCTACACAAACAAGGTTTGTTTCGCAATTGAAACAAAAGTATGAACTCGGTGATTGATTCTTGTAGATCCATTCGGGAACTATCGTTAGTCAGTTTGAAAAATCCAGTGTACGTATCTGCTCATGAAAAAGCAAAAACGAGTACGCCCGCAAATCTGACTCAAGTAAATCAAACAATGTTTGTTGAGGGGAATACAAGTATGTCATCCATATTCTAGAGTTACATCATTTGTGAAGTACCACAAAAGATTAGCCTCATCTGGTCATTTATCAAAAATCATCTCAAATCGAAAATGATCATTTTCATTCAAAGTTGTAAACAGGTACATATCTCTTCACGAACAACTTCATAACAGAGAAGACACATTTCTTTCTCGTAGGTGAAATTTATCTATAATGTAGTATGTAAACTTCGTCCTGGTTTGCCCGTTCTTGCTCTCTATGGTACCATGGGTCAAATGAAGCGAATGTCTGTTTATGATACATTCTGTCGGAAACAGTATGCATGTTTGTTTGCGACCGACATTGCTGCACGAGGCTTAGGTAGGCTTTGTTATCCGCCGACGATTTGTATCTGAATGAAGTTCTGTAGATTTTCCGGCGATTAATTGGGTTCTTCAGTTCGACTGTCCACCAGATGCAAATACTTACATACATCGAGTCGGACGAACAGCACGGTAAACTAATGTTCGATAATCACTGTTTGTATTTTGAAAGGTATCTACAGGTTTCAACAAGGTGGAGAAGCTTTATTGATTCTCACTAATCGTGAAGAACAAGGAATGATTAAGCAACTAGAAGATAAAAAGGTCCCATTGCATAAGATTGAGTATGTTTTTTTTCATCAAGAAGAGAATCTGTTGAAGTATATTCATTTGTGGCTGTAGAGTAAATCCAAATTATATTCATGATTTAACACCCAAACTTCAAGCACTTTGTGCACAATTTCCTGAGCTCAAAGAACAAGCTAAGCGAGTGAGTAAACTTCGTACTGATCTCGCATATTGCAGACTCTCTTCTATTTTTAGGCTTTCACATCTTATCTTCGTTCACTCATTCTGATGGGAAATCGAAAAGTATTCGACGTAAAATCAATTGATACAGATGCCTTTGCAACGTAGGTGATCTTCACTATTTCAAATTACTCTATAAGATTTGCCATTGTAGATCCTTGGGATTAGAGATTGCTCCGAAAGTTCGTTTCATGAAGAAAGGGCAAAAACAAGAAGAAGAACAACAACCATCCACAACAGACGGTGAAATAAAAGCAGCCGGTGAAAACAGTGACAGATTTTCGCATGAAATCATCGGTGAAGACGAAGATGATGACGAGGAGGGCTGGTTTACTGTCAAAGAGAAGCCAGAAGCACTCGAAGAAATTTCGATCGATTTACCTGCAAAACAGGATAAAAATAAAAAATTAACCAAAGCACAACTAGCTCGAAAATTAAGAAAGAAACAACTTCAGATCAATAAACGTGTTGAATATGACGATGAAGGAAAGGTTAGTTCAATCGTGGTACATGTACAAAAGTATAGTCACTTGATATTTAGGTCATTGTGCACTCGGATGACGAAGATCAATCGGCCACGTACAATATCGAAGAAGCTAAAGCTCGTCTTCAAGAAATGGATAGAAAAGACAAAGAAGCTTATCGAGCATTGATCAAGCAAAAGCACAAAGTACGATGTTGTAGTTCGTTTAGTTTATGAACTTCAATTACTTTTTTTTAGGAGCGACGTAGGAAGAACAACAAAAAAGAAGAGCCCGTCGAGGAGACCACTGAGTAAGCGCATCCGATATTTGTTTCGAATGCGCTTTTATTACTGCGAAGTTCATGTGTATCACTGGTTGTTGTTATATGAATAAAAAGATTTCATAGTCATGTTGGTATATTTAAATTTATTTCAATCTCACGTCTACAAAACTAACATTCAAAATATTGAAATCATGAAATAGGAAGCGAGGATCTCAATTCGATCATTTCACAACACGATGAACAGTACATCTGCCCTTTAGTAACACTTCCCTTTCACCCTCATAATTCGACCACTATTTAACAATGAGAAAGAAAAGAAAGAAGACAGCGCGCTTGACTAATCTTGCTGCTATACGGGCATGTTGGTAGTGTCTATCGACCATTTATGTTCATGTCGAATTGATTTGAACACCCAATTTTCAGCATAAAAATGATATATACTTAGTTTACTGACTTAACGAATGAAATTGTTTCGATCAGATGGAAATATTTGACTCATATAGAAACGATTTGTAGTTTTCCTACGATGAAATGTCAACGATACAATCGATTATTACAAACACATTGCTATAAAATGATCGACTTTCATCTAAATTTGTTCTTTTGTTATTAGTGAAATAAATGTTTATACTCGAGAAATCTGTGAGCGCTAAATAATGTTGAACACGATTCAACAGTCAATTCGGATGAAAGTAAAGTTTTAAATATGTTAGAGATGAAAACTTTATCAATCAAATGTGTCTTAAATGATATTTCTTATAAGTGTACTTTGAGACCTGGATCACTTTTTTGTTATTCATATAAGAAGAAGAATTTAAAAAATAGACAAAAAAATCAAGATTGTGGAACTCTCTCAATAACAATATATTTGAGTAAAATAAGAAGAACAAACGATTTCCATCAGCAGTATATACTGATATCGATTTCTCTACAGAATGCATAGGCTTCAGTACCATTTCTTATGGAAAGAACTTTTTTCTTGTACCTTTCCACTATTATCAATCGCTGGGAAAAACAAATACTTGAAATAATATTCGTCTTAGTTATTAAAGTACACGATAAATTGTATATACTGACGAAAAACAGCTATCGTCAGTATTCACACACTTCCTAATTGATAAGACAATGCATGACGCGAAAATAATAGCTCGAATAAGTCTTCATAGAACTGTCTCTTGTATCTCCATAATCTTGAAACTATATTCATCCAACAGCAAGTTCTTGATGACACTCACGTTTGTTTGGCTGGTTTTCATTATTACGATCAAAATCCAAGAATAAATTGAATAGATTTTTCACATTCATTTGTGATAAAATGGAATATTTCAAGTTTGTTTTTCGACATATGATGGATTAAATAGACATGCACGAAACTCGAGCTGTAGGACCAAACTCCAATTTGAATCCAAGTTCGTACTATGAGACTTAGTCCAAACTTCGAATTGAAGTTCCGCGACATACCTACCGATGTGACGACCGGTTATATTCAATATACTAGTGGTACAATACATAAGGCTGTGAGTTGCATTGCAGGTAACCTGGATGAACAGCGAGATCAGAATTATCAGAAGTCAAGATAGAGCTATAGAAGCCAAATTGTATGAGACAGCTGCTCCCGATCATCATCAAAACTTTGCGACAGGCACATGATCCATACTATTAATATACCTGTCGCTATAAACTTATTATTGATAAAAATGCTAGTGCGCGTTACATTTCGTCAAATAAAATATCACTATTACCACTACTACCGGATGAATTGTTGGTGATATCGGTTGCAGGGTTCTCACAGACAAGGTGTTTCCCACCCATTGTCATCAGTTTACTTCAAAATCAGATCTTCCATTAATTCTATGCAGCGAAAGTGCATACTGTCTTTTGAACATGCGTTGCTTGAACATCAACTGTTTGTTATGTTACTGTTACTGCGCGCAAAATGTCTTCTAATTGGGCGATCGTATGTACCAATGGTTGGTCTTGTTTCAAATCATTACACTTACACTCATGTCCATTCAGTTGTCAAGCCGGTAATCATTTTCTGACGTACTTCTACAACTAACATCTGGAATTTTATCAGTGCCGTTCGATGTGGCACTTATATAAATATTGATCTTTCTGGTCGTTTAAATGCCGGCTTTGTGTTTCTGCGCTCGAATCGCTTGTTTACGAGTTTTCCTCTATACTGAATCGGCATTGCTACTACTGTCGTTGTAAGTTGTTTTCTCTAATAATAATAATAATTAAGGCGCAGCGAATGATATTCGTTGCTTTCCTTTGTTACTCAGGAATGTACAACAAGCTCAAGTTACGATCTATATGAGTTGATCGATTGTCAATAACTGAAAGTTGTGCAGCACTGACAAAATTCGTCTTTTTCTTTTCAAACTTTCTCTATGCTAATTCCATTAACATACGCTTGAGACATTTCAAATTACAGAAATATGAAATGAAAAAACAGAGAGTAAATAAACAAGCTTGTCGTGCATTTTCTTTTAAAATTTATTAAAGTACATCGTGCTGATGTTTTTTATGCTTATGCAATAACTCACGTTTAATCATTTGTTTTAATGAAAAAGTTTGCCTTGTAGGTATATGAATTCTTTTTATTGAATTGCCTTTCGGATCTCACCAGATATGTATTCAATACGTCCTTATAGTTCGGAAAAACTTGAAATCGATTTACCCATGACAATGTACTCGGTTAAATCAGCCATTCAAAAAACAAAAGTAAGTCAGTATTTTTCTTCCGATTGAAGTGTGTTTATGGGCGCGGTTACTTTAATAAATCGAAGCGATTTGATACAGGTATATTGAACTCATATTTCGCCTTTCGTTTTCGTAGTTGTTTCGCTGTTGGACACAGAGATTGACTGGAATTGGAACTCAAGTATTCATCGTAATAATCAACGAATTGATCAATTAATTGATCTTTTCTATCGATGAAATCTAGATAACGTTCATAAAAATGGCATTGTCGCTGTTTTAAATTGAACATATCACGTTCGATTTCACGCATTTCGAGTAGACATGCATCCAGCTCTCGAGCGAGATTCTCTTGTCGTTGAAGATCTTGATGAAGTTCTTCGTCGAAATCCGCTAAATGATCATCTGAAAGAATGTTATTCAGAACAGGTCCAAGTAGAATATCACGTTCTGGATCAGTAGTAGTCGAAATCGAATCGGTTGACGTCGGTTCGACAACTTTCGCCGACGAAATTAATACAGTTGAATGCGCTGGCGACGTATAAAGAAAATGGAAACGATTTAATAAACGACGAACATTGGTTAGATGTTCGAAGACAGTGAGTAGCGCAAGCATCAGATCTTCTCGTCAATGTCTGATTTCTCATATAGTTTCTCTATACCATCTGTTGCTTTTTCTTCTTCCAATATAATTACCATTTGATGACAATAACATAAAGCTTATTTTATCGCTTCATCGCTTATTTGTCTTGTTCTATTTTAATACTATAGCACTCCTCTTCTTTTTTTTTCTCTTTCAGTCATTATCACCGTCATCGATTAGTGATTCGTGAGTGAAAGAAATTGAACATCGACAAGATATTTTATTAGACAAACTCAATCATCTGTGTAATGAAATATGTTATTATCACAAATTGCAAGACAAAGCGCCACCACAACAAGTGATAGGACCCACTCGTGAAGAATTAGTTGCGCATGCATCACCGAAACAACTCTCAAAGAAAATTTGAAATCTCATTGAACAATTTCGTGATCGACTTTCAATTCGAACGTATAGCCGGCCATTCGCCATTACGTGAGTTTTCAATAATCAATCAACATCTCAACACATCGGCGTCGGCCAACAATCGATTCTTAACTATTATCTGGGCCGACAATGATCATTTAGTTTTATTAACCCTTTCTACAACTGCTATTGACGGTTACTCCGCAAGTTTGATATTTGTAGCGGAGAAAGGAATAGAATGACATTTAGTGGAAGTTCAATCGTTATTTTTTGTTGTTCAAATACTCCCTCGCATTAAGTCTCCTTCGATTGTTTTTCTCGTCGATTTCACTTCAAAATCGTAGTGAAAAGAAAACAACAAAAAGTAACGAAAGAAGAAAAAAACGAGTAGTAATGAGAATCTAAGAGTGAAACACAAATAACTTATTGTCATATTCAAGACGCGCAAGCATGCGTGTACGTGTATGTGCTGACGACATTACTAACGAGTATGTTTACATAGATTGTGATACTACTGCATCAAAGACGAGAGACGTAAGAAAAAAAGGACGAAAAGAATAGAAAAAAATACATCGATCCTCACAGACTTTTCTATCGCTATTTGTTGCATAGTAAGCTTCGTTCTGTTCTTTTTCTTTCTCAGTACCAGGATAGACCAGAAGCGTAAAAAACGAGGAAAGAAAACTTGCCGTATATTCCAGAGGTCTCGGTACTCTTTCTTTTTCTTCCTAAGAAACCGAGATCATGGGAAAATAAACTTGAAATCTTTTCTTCTGTCTAATGATCTATTTTTTGTTTGTCATGTGTCTATGATTGGCATACGAGTTTATGAAATGGTTTTTTTGCGTTTTACAACTGTCAAATATCAGCAGACGTACTAACCAACTTTATACTTCGTTTTGCTTTTGTAGATGTCGGATTCAACAACAACGACAAGTGAGAGCCAAAAAATTTCCACGATATCGGATTTAACTAATGTCACGCAAACCAACACGACTGAACAACAGCAAGCAACAAGAAGTGCTCGTTCGTCGATTTTGCTAAATGGACCTAGTATGAAAGATCAATCTTCATCATCATTCATCGTATCTCTCGATGATCGTTCAAAATATCGCTCACCATTAGTTTCGCGCTATGCATCCGTCGAGATGAGCTATAATTTCAGTGAAATGAAGAAGTTCTCGACATGGCGTCGACTTTGGTTTTGGCTAGCAAAGTGCCAAAAGGTATTTCACTGATAGATATATTTTTTCGTGTTTACCTTCATCCCATTTGACATTTTCGCAGCAACTCGGCTTGGATATTACTGATGAACAATTAGATGAAATGGAAAGAAACTTAAACAATATTGATTTTGATGTAGCAGAAGCAGAAGAACGTCGACGACGACATGATGTCATGGCACATGTACACACATTTGCTCGTTGTTGTCCAAAAGCATCACCAATCATTCATCTTGGCGCAACATCAGCTTTCGTTGGAGACAATGCTGTATGATTGTTTGCTCCTGAATTCTTCTTGTTTCATCGTTTCAATCTAGGATTTAATCGTCATGAGAGATGCATTTGACATTCTGATTGTCAAAGTAAGGGACAAATATTTACTATCGTTCGGCACTTTCCATTGATCTAGCTTGTACGGTGTATAAACCGTCTATCCCAATTTGCACAAGAATACGCCTGTTTGCCAACGCTTGGTTATACACATATGCAGTATGTTATTCATCTAGTTCTCTTTTTTTTTCTTCTAAAGTTCTTGTCGACTAATGACTGGTCCTCTTGTGAGAAAGAGATCGATGTACTTGAGAAATTATTAGAAAAGAACTGTCATGGCAGTTGTGACACTCCAGATTGATTCAAGTATTGTAGACACGAAAGCTTGATGCATATCTAAGATTTTCATTTAGTCAGCGGTTCTTTTTTTTCCAGAATATTTTATCAGGACGGAGAAAAAAAACAACGATCATAAATTAGCTTGGTTAGAGCTCCGAATGTTTTCGATGTAGAATATCACGTTTCATCAAATAAACAATCGTTTTTTTTTTATATGAGAAACCTTGTTACTATTCACTGACTGAATACCGTTCGATGTTTTTATCCATGAAGGAAGGAAAAGAACCGATGGTATCACGTTTTCTCTTTGTTTTGCGTGATAAGGCCTGCACAATTAACAACGGTTGGAAAACGAGCATGTATTTGGATACAAGATCTACTGATGGATTTGAAGAATTTCGATCGAGTAAAGAGACAACTGAAATTTCGCGGTGTGAAAGGTACGACTGGTACACAAGCATCGTTTCTTCAATTATTCAATGGTGATCATTCGAAAGTAAGGAAGAATGTTGCTCACAAAGCAATTTTCATATCGATTTTGCACAATAGGTGGAAGATCTCGATCGAATGGTCACTGAAATGGCTGGCTTTGCGAAGTTAGTTTTTTTTAGCTTGTATTGAATCGCTCATTTAACTCGATCTGGATCTAGAGCATTTATTATTTGTGGTCAGACATATACTCGTAAACTCGATGCTGAAGTTGTCAGTGTTCTCGCCGGTTTTGGCGGTTCTATTCATAAGGTTTATTGATTGCAATCTAATTGTTCGTATGAACTCTGCCGATTTATTCTTTAGATGTGCACTGATATTCGTTTATTAGCTAGTTTGAAAGAAATAGAAGAACCATTCGAAATTGAACAAATCGGTACGCAGATGTCGGATTCTCACCAAAACTTTACGTCGTTTGCTTTGTTATCAATAGGATCCAGTGCTATGCCTTATAAACGTAATCCAATGAGATGCGAACGATGCTGTTCACTTGCACGTCATTTAATGACATTAATTAATGATCCACTTGGTACACATTCTGTTCAATGGATGGAACGAACATTGGACGACAGCGCTAACAAGTAAGGAGAAAAAACGAAATGAATATGGAATGCATCAGTGAAGATATTCGTACTATTTAGACGTATTTGCATTCCGGAGGCTTTTCTAACTGCTGATATTATTCTATTCACATTACAAAATATTTCCGAAGGTCTTGTTGTTTATCCTAAAGTAATTCGAAAGTAGACTAAGAAAGAATTCTACCTGATCCTTTCTTTGCAAAATTAGGTTATTGACAAGCATATAAGACAAGAATTACCATTCATGGCTACAGAGAATATTATTATGGCTATGGTAATAATTGAATTTGGTCTTTGCATATTGAATACAATAACTTATCTTAGGTTTCTGCGGGTGGTAATCGACAAGAATGCCACGAAAAGATTCGTACTCTATCACAAAAGGCAGCGGAACGTGTAAAAATCGACGGTTTAGACAATGATCTCGTCGAACGTGTGAAAAACGATGCGTATTTCGCCCCTATTGTCAACAAACTCGATGTTCTTCTCGATGCGAAAACATTCATTGGTCGAGCACCCGAACAAGTATAACAAAAAAGAACTTTTTCCAAACCAATCTCATTCACTTTCTTCTACTTCGATTAGGTTTATGAATTCATTTCACGTGAAGTCGAACCAACATTAAAGAACTTTTCAAGTATTATCCCACACAAACCAGCTGACCTAGCCGTTTGAATTCAACGCATTTATCATCGACAAACAAACTATTGTTTTACCTCAATATCTTACTATATCGTTTTTTGTTTACTCTTCAACATTTTGTTGTATATGTCGAAAAAGTGTTGCATTTTTCTTTTCATAGGACTAGTCGTTTTAGTTGAACAAAAAATAACACGCACATGTGAGGAAAAAAACAAAAGAATAGTGGAGAGAAACGAGTCTTTATGTGTATACATAGTATTTTTTATATAGTGTCCCTGGTTACTTTAACTATACGAAACAAAATTACGTTTTTCTGTTCTTCGATTCTAATCTATGTATGGCTTTTTTGCTACAAAGCATTTTGTATTTATATTGATTGAAATCAATAGATAAAAATGTATGAAAACATTGTCTTTATTTCGATCTATTTCACCTAACAAGAAAATTTACATAGGACATCTGAGTTTAGGCATGAATAAGCTCTTTTTCATGAAGAATATTATCACAACCAGAGTATGGACATTTAACTGGACGTTTGGATTTACTTTTCTCAGCAATGTATTTCAACACCGCTGTCTTCTCGTATTTGTGTTTGCATTTCTTATTTTGCACAGGTTCAACAAACTCTGTTTGTGTCAATGGACATTTGTTCGAGGTAACTTGATCGACGATATCAACATCATCATTTCCATCTAGATGAATGTGTATCTTTTGGTATTAAACAATGTCTCTGCCCTTACTTTCCATCTTAGAAATACAATCGGCAAAGTCAGCATAGCGATTGTCAGAGTCAAGATTGAATGTGTTGAGATCTGGTTGTTTGATTAAGACTTTGTGAATTTGATTTTGTAATTTTTCTAAACTTTCGCTTGTCAATGCAGATATTTCGATTTGTTCATCAACTTGTGATTCGTCAATTTCCATCTCGTCTTCACTATCATCTTCTTCATCGTCCGAGTTCGAATGACGAACTTTCTTTTGCTTTTCATTCTGTTTATCGACTAATTTCGTCTAAACATTAGCGAAGGAAAATAGCAACATTTTGCGATAAAATCTAAGTTTGTCGTGTCTCGAGGGAAAAACGACAGGAAATTGGTTAATTCGGCATCAATTCTGCAGGCATTAACAATAAAAAAACAACTCCGTCCCGGTTTTTTTTACCTTTTTTAATTGAGTTCGAGCTTCTTTTATACATTTTGTCGCCTTTTCTTCCACGTCGTTAACACGCACAGCAATCTTCATCAGAGCATCGACATACTTCTGACTTTCTAAACTCGAAAATCAAACAGCAAGCAATGTTTCTATTGAAACTAACCAGGACATTCTTGCATTTCTTGAGCAACACTTGTCAAAGTGGCAATCTGTTTTTCAATCATAGGAAATATGTCAGACCAGAGATTAATAGCTTGATCGATTTCTGTGTAATCAATCGCGGAAGCATCTGTTGTTGGAAGGATAAACGATGAGGAATTAGTTGTCATTGTTCCTGACATATTGTTTCTCAATGAAAGAATCAAACGGAAAAATAATATTAAGTTTCAATTTCCTGTTCGAATACATCAACAGCAAATCGTAGAATATGATAGAGGTCGCTGCATGAGAAACGCTACTTGTCGCGAAGAAATGTTCGTTGATAGTGGCGTCATTTTTACTATTCAACATTTCGATTATGTTTTCTATTTGACTTCGGCTTATGAGGTCTTCTCTTTTCGTCGCCAGTGAAAATCATTCAACGCCTATTAGATTGAGATTTTACCTTTCTATCTGTCGAGTATGATGCTGTACTGTCAGTTGTAACACTATGGTGAAGAATTGGGAGGTTCGTGAGAGTCATATTTTTGACAGTTGGATAAAATTGATGTTATAATTTGTCAAATAGATCATCGAAAGTAAAAATCGGTTCTATTGCGATGGACGATGTTTAACTGGTCGTGATATTGGCATTTTTATATTTGCACTTATCTTGATCAGTATTACATCAGGGCTGTTCTTTGGTTTCGAGTAAAGATTTTCTTCTCACTTACAGTTCAATAATTCTTCTCTTTTTAGTTGTCCATATCTGACCTATCGACTAGGTCCATTTGTACCAGTTATTGCTGCTATTTTATATCTTAGTACGATCTGTTTTATTTTTCGTACTGCCTGCTCTGATCCAGGTATCCTTCCACGTGCTACATCTGATGAAGTTCAATACCTCGAACGATCAAGTATGAAAAACTTCGCTTCGGACTGCTCACTCCCTCTCGTGTTTAACAGATATCTCCAACAGTCCACAGAGTGTTGCCTTGCCCGGCCGCACTATCGAAGTTCAAATGCATACTGGCCATGTGATTCAATTAAAATTTTGCTCAACATGTAAAATCTTTCGACCACCACGTGTTTCGCATTGTTCCCTATGTGATGCGTGCATTGGTAAGTGAAAAATACATTTTAATCAAGTAATGACAAGTCTTGAAGCGAAAGAAGAACATGTGTTGTTAAAATTTCTTTCTGCTTTCTGGTCTGTCGGTGTTTATAGTAATAATAACAACAATAACAACATACCAGACAGAGGCCAATGAGTACGATGATGAAACTCATGTAGAAAAGTAAAGAATATTTGCGAGACTTATGTTCACAGATGACATAATGCTTTTCTTGACAGTTCCGTTGGATTAGACAAAACTTCTTTTCTAATTGCTGATACATTAAAATCCAGCATTGACTTTTGTCGCTATCAAACTGTGAACATCGGATTTGATTATTGACGTCTGTGTCGTCGACATGAATCCATATCTGTCGACTAGTTTTATTCTCTTTCGATAATAATATTAGAATTAAATCAAATCGAATTCGATTTGTAAATGAAATCAATTGAAAATGATTCGATTGTCGAGAGCATTCTTGGATCGCTTTGGACTAATCAGAAAGTTTTAGTCTATCAGCATAGTAAAATATTCAATGTACTTGAGTAATTGCATTAGTATTTGATAAAAAATACGATTGAGCAGTCGGAGATGATGAATAACTTGAAATTAGACAAACGAAAAGAATAATTAGGAAATACATACTAAAATGCGCTTTTTTTTCCTATTTTTAGCAAATTTTGATCATCATTGGTATGTAGAAGATCGTTTTCTATTGACAATTTGAATGTATAATCACCGTTTTAGTCCATGGGTTGGAAATTGCGTTGGTTTACGAAATTACCGTTATTTTTATTTATTCCTATTTTCATTATCAATTCTATGTGTTTATATATTAGCTTTTAATATTATCAATATTGTTTTACGTAAGTTTAATCTACTCTCCCTGTCAAAACGAGGTTCGACATGAGTTGAAATGAACGATCTAGAAGGTTTTCATGGGCACCTGACAGAGCAAATGTATGTCTGTATTTTTAATTCATGATGAATAGTTCTCACCGTTTTATCGCTTCGCTCGATCGACTTAAAAGACAGGCTTTAGATAAGCTCTTTATTCTAAGTAATCCGATCATTGTCTAACAATGATATTTCATTCGGAAAACGAAAGGAGATTTGTTATTAGTATGTTGTCGAATACAATTCGACGAAGTTTCTGCCATAAAACATCAATAAAGCTAGACATACTAAGATCTATAGAGTAAATGTATATGAGTTTTTGCTTGATGAAGATAGAAGAATTGCGTGTTGTGCACGCTTCGATTGACCGACAAATTCATAAGGTATTTTTGGATGATGAACATCAGCGAATTGAAATAAACTTTCGATTGATAATTAGGTGCACAAGATAAACCATCATTTGCTGATGCTATTCGTGACACGCCAGCAACAGTAGTGCAGGCATTAATTTGTTTCTTTTCCATCTGGTCCGTTGTCGGTCTTTGGGGATATCATACATATTTAATCTGTCGCAGTGTAACAACTAATGAGGATGTAAGTTTCATCAGGAACGAAACAGAACCATTTGTAGGAGAATAAGGTTGTTCGTTTTCTGTAGATAAAAGACACATGGGGTTCAACTCATCGTGGAGTAACAATGAAAAACCCTTTTTCAAGAGGAAATCCATGTCTGAATTGTTTTGCTGCATTATGTGGACCATTACCACCAAGTTTTCTCAATCTTCGAATGGTCGCTACACCTGATAATCACAATTTTATGTCCATGAATATGGTTTCCAGTCGAGCATTCAATCCTGATAATGCTGATGACATCTTACGATACCAAATTGACGAACCTGGGCACATGAACAATTACGTAAGAAAATCATTCTTATTTGCCAACAATTGAATGTCGTTTGATCTCTTCTAGCAAGTCTATTCCGCTGTAGAATATCCATATTCTGAACGTCGACAACAACAACAACAATCACAAGCACAATATCCACCGTGTGATTATGTATAACGTGTCATATGTTCGGTTTTTTTCTTCTTCTTATTTTTCTCTCTGTGTGAATATTTCTATTTCCTACTAAAATGATAAACATGCTTGGCTGTTTCTTGCAAATCAAAGAAGAAAGAAACGATAGTTTCAAACATTGCGACATTTTCCTCGAATATGCATTATTCTTAGTCACGCACACTAATTAGTATGTGTAATGAAACGTACGGTGACGTATAAAAGCATGTGCGAGCAATATGATGAAGGTGTTTTATGTCAAATTCGTCTCATTAAATGTAGATCAAATGAATACGATTGGGTAGATTTGCAAACGAGCAGTTTCGAATAGATTGAAGTTTATTTTTTAACGAGACGAAACGAGAACAGTAACACAATGGTTTGTCTTCATTTGTGCATTGAGGAAGTACTCGAAAGTAGAATATTGAAGTGACTAAAACTAAATCAATTTAGAGATTCGCAAAAGAAATCGATACGTAACTTGAGTGTGTTCAATCATACTCAAATATCACAATGAACGAAGAGAAAAATCCTCTATAAATACATTTGCACAACAAGAAAATCTTTCTTACAACCGGTTTTCTATTTGACAAACACTTTATTCGTCGCCAGTATGACTATCTTTCCAATGTCTATTTGTATTTTTCTCTTTCTCTCAATCGGCCATGTCGCGAGTTATCCATTAGTATCAATACCCAATCGCCGGATGAATAATGAACATGGTCTTAAAGATTTACACTCTCAACAGTTGTTCGACAATGAAAATACTTATCAATTATTCAATATGAGGAATGAGAAAGCAGCATTTTCATCGCCATATATTTATTACGTTCACAAACGATTAATCGATTTTTGAGAAACGATTCTGTTTTATTTTCTGTATCTCTTTCCGAACTGATGTATTGATAAAGAGCATTTCAACAATAAATTTCAATGAAATAATACGCAATCGACAAGATAATCTTCTCTAGAACGTGCACAGGAGGCTCGTTTGCAAGAGCATCACCTCGTTTTCTTTTCTGCTTTTCCTTCTTTTAGAAAAAAAATAAAAATAAAAGAAACAAGAAAAATCAAACAGGAAATTACATTCTTTTCCCTTATCGTCTCGTCTGCCTCTCTTCTCGTATTCGTTTCAAATTAGTCGTTAAATTTAGTTTTAATAAATAAAATCGCTTAGCGTATCCCTCAGAAGAAAAAACATACTTAAATCTAATTAAATATCGACGACGTCAATCTTATTGTTTTATTACGCGATTGTTACGAGTTTTCCGACATGTCAAAATACAAAAAGTGTATAAATATGCTTCTCTGATTTTTTTCTCGAGAGACATGCGTGTTAATTCTACACTCACGCATTTTAGTTCGACAAGTCATGTTATTTTGGCTTTCAGCATCTTATTTCCCTTTTTCTGTCTGCTACTTATTATCATCATTTTCTTTTCTCTCGGCTTTTTTCTCTCCCATTGACAACTAATTCTTTTCTATTCGTTTTATTCTTTTAATCCACCACCCAGTATTATGTCACATCAGGTTTTGTTACTAATTTAACTTTAATTTCTCCTTTTCTCGTTCTAGCACTCGAGAATCGTTTTCTTCAATGTACTCCGTCGATTTTATAAGAAATTTCCTATTCTTCTTTACAATTTGAATCAATTAGTTCATGCAATCATCAAAGAGCAGCACGAATCTCGAAAGTCTCTCTTACAAATTGAATGTATTTCTATTCGAACATGATCAAACAGGCAAAGACACCCAATGTCAAGAATACGATCCAGATCTCAACGAAAGTCCATTTGACATTGATGATGACGACGATGATCACTTTATTCTTTCAGGTAAAACATAAATTCTTCCGTTTCTGTAAACTTTTATTAATAACTATCGCACCTTTTACTGTTTTTGTTAGTTGTCCGTTTATGAAACTCATTGACAGATCATTTCTATACTTTCACACTTCAGTTTGTGACACTCGACATCCATTATATGTGTATCTTTTGGGCGTAAACTTGAAGATCTTTTCCGTTCGCTACACTTATGTATTTGTGTAAGCATCCTATAATCGTTGAGTGCTGGATTCTTGCAGTATAAGTGGAGAGAGAAACCGGCAACAACTATAATTTACTTTTCCACAACGATCGGAAAAAATATTGACGAGATCGAAAATAATAATAGTAATAAAACAGATGATGATAGTGTACATCAAAATATTAATAATAATGATTACAAAGCAACGGAGAAGTATTCTTTGCGAAGGAGTAGGAACGATAGTTGTAAGAAAATTCCTGGCAATAAATTACACAATGAATTTTTCTTCGCTATCGAAACGAGAGCGTGACTATTTAATCAAGTTAAAGTCGTTGACAAATCTAGTCTAATCATATCAACAAGAATCTCCTTTCTTCCTTTTTCTCTCGTTTGTACGTATACACATACATCAAATGATAGACAAATTTGACAAACATCAGACAAGTGGACATGATTGTAAAGTTCGTCATCGACATAATAAACGATGGATCATCATTAGTCTCGAGATAGATATACGATACAGATCATTTCCTGTCGACGAAAAAAGAAAGAAAAACGAGAAGAGAAACAAAAAAGTAATAACTGATAACGTATTGATCGATAAGTGTACATTGATTAAATCTAGGAGAGACAGAGAGCAAGCAAGAGAAAAAGAGCTCTCGAGAGAAGATTGACTTGTACAATGACATGAATAATGTCTATGGAATAACCGAAAACTATCTCATTCATGTACTTCTGTTTGTCATTAACAACTAATGAGTTTTTGGCGAACTAGTAGGTGATGATCATATTTGTGCATTTGTAAAGTCTGTTATCTGCAATTTTAGACCGTCCATTAAATTTACGTCAAAATTCACATGTTAAATATATTCAAGAAGAAACATCCGATGATCTCTCTCCACCAACAACAGCAGCATCGACTGAAACAACGACGACACCGCTACTTAATCAACGTCAGCCTGACGAGTAAGACTGAAAGCTTATTTGCATTCAAATAGGAAGTAAAACTTACTTTTTTTCTTAGTGAAAAGCTTTTATATTTTAAGTAGTAGTGACATATTAAAGTGTTGAATGTTAGTTTACTTCTTTTTCTCCCTACATTCAATCATCGTTATTTAACAGAGCCTTGTGCTGTTTGTTCGCAAATTATTCTGATTACCATCCTCATTTCTTGCACGAAGAGTGATATTTAAAGATCAGCATCATCAACTCGAAAAGGATTGATCTTATGTTTCTTTTGTTATGTATCTTCTTTATTAATATAACATCAAAAATAGAAAAACGAAGAGAATATAATCATCAGAATCGTGTCTCGTGTACGGAAATCATGCCATATTATTTAGATTTATTGTTCTTTACATTACACTTACTTTCTTCATCAACACGACTATTTCTCTTCATAATTTCAGAGAAATAGAAAGGAGCAACTTTGACAGATTCGCACGTATTTAGACATGCGTTAAATTTTACTTGATTATTCACACAAAACAATTATTCATTTGTTTGAAAAGCATATAGTATGTCTCTTGCATCGTTGTTGTTCTTTTTTCCTCTATCGAGTAATAAATCATGATCGATTTCCAAACTCGCCCACCCCCACAAAATATGTCAGACAAGATCTTTCGCCGAACGCTCTATTCATTCGTCTCTCGAATTCAACGAACGACTCCGTCGTATCTATTTGAATTGAAATCATAACAAACTTTGTATTAATTTACATGATAAACTATCGACATGCGCAACTAGGAGACATCGCTTAAAGAAGAGAACAACAGAAATCTAGATTATTTTCTTTCTGTCATCATCAATTGACTAATAGGATTTGTTTTGATAATTTTGTTTAATAATTTCAAAAGAGATCTTCATCAAAAGAAAGAAATTTGATTTAGTGTCAAACGTTATTTCATTAACAAGGAAAAAAGTATCAGTTGTAAGTATGCCTGTGGTGTTAAAACGTGAGATTATTGTGTCTATGTTAGAGTAAATTGACCTAATTGAAAAGTTCGCGTCTATTTTCTTTCTCTTCTTCACTTCTATCTATCCATATTTCGCGCTAGCAAATGACAATGACATGTCACTCTCGGTTTCCGATTCATCCACGCACCCTGGTGATTTCAGAGCGGATATGATCGAATTAGACGAGAAAAATGAGAAGAAAAGGAAAAAAATAAAAGATATTTCCTAACGAACTGTTCTCCTCAATACATACGCATATTCGAGCACATTAAAACTCAGCTATATTTGGTTGTCATCAACATTATCATCGTCTTTTTTGTTATTGATTTTAGCAATCACAACATTGGTACAAATAGTACTACAGCTGTTGTTCCTCTCATTGTTGTCACAGATGACGAGACTGATACAACACCATCAAAACGTTTCGTCCATTATTCATCTAGGTTTGTCAAAGCAAAAAATTCCTATTCATCCATTACGCCTATCAATATGGATCACTTAAATTTCAAAGGTAGAAGAACTACGCTTCTTCTCTCTAAGACAGAACGCCTCTTTTCTTTCATCTTTTACAGATTATTTCAACAATAGTTCTTGTCCTGGTTCACCACTTCTCGCCGGGAAAGTTTCAGCCTCATCAACAACAAACGCACCAAATCTATCGGCACCTGGAGTGTCATCTTCTCCAGTTGCCGTAACGATAACTGCCGCTGGCACAGGAACTGGGAAACGCCGTGGATTCAGTCATCGTGCTAGTTACAAACGTGCACATACAGGACGATTAGTATGCATCTCTTTCCCTTTTTCATTCGAATCCATTAGTATCGATATTTTCCTATCTGCGCAGTCTATTGATCACACACCCAATGAATTATTTATTGAATTACAAGAACTAGAAACAGATGATCATATCGAATACTACTGGAATGAATGTGCTAGGTATGAAAGTAATCTTGAGTGAAATTGAAAACGTGGAACAAATTTTTCATTTCATCAAATAGGTGGATTCGATATGAAGAAGATTTTGATGTTGAGATGCTCCGTTGGCAAGGTTCGTATTACTATAAATAATGCACTCATGATGAACTAGGTTCATCTCTCTTTAGCACCGAGAGTTGGTTGCTTAAATTATCATAGCCTGTTGGAGCTACGACGTGGTTTACAATATGGTTCGTAGATAAAGACGAAACATAATAGTCTTTATTCTTTAATCACTCTTCTTCTGCTTAGGTATTGTTCTACTAGATCTTGATGAACAGACCCTCGACGGCATCTATGAAGCAATTATTAATGATGCGATTGCCAATGGGCAAATGAATAAAGATGCCAAAGATGAAATATTACGTATTCTAACAAGCAATCATAAGTAGATGCTGACTGCTTTTCACCATTGAAAGTCGCTCATTGAAACCAATTTGTTTAGACACCCGGAGCCTCGTTCATCATTTCGCCGCCGTTCGTCCGCTGTGGACTTTCCACCCGTGAGTACGCGACGCTCGAGTTTAGCCTTTAAAAAGAACGAACAAGTTAACACCGATGATTCAAGACGGATGAGTTTACTTGATCCAAAGGTCAATGGTGAACTGACTAAGAACTTGAAAAATCTTGTCGTTCGAGTACGTCTATTTCTCTACGGAATTGACTTGTTGATCTGTAAGTTTATTAGTATGATCATATCGGCGATTCGGTTATGACCGATTTACAAGCAAAACAGTCGTCATCTGAACAACTGAGCAATACGAAAGGCAGTGATGAGAGTGTAAATCAATTACGACCTGCAAATATCAGTCATCGGCCATCGCAGAGTCAACCGAAGAGATCACGAGATTCGGGTCAACCTCGGGTAAGATAGATGTTCTACATACACATCAAAAGTCAGTCATTTTGGTTTTCTCCCAGTTATTTTGCGCTCTGCATGGGAAATCGAGGTTGACGTTGCAATTAGACGGTTTCTGTGAATATAATCATATGCAGTCACTTTTAATAGAATCATTATCTCAACAGAAACCACCCTATCCTAGTTATTAACGTGAAATGTTTCAAACAAAGTTGATCTTTGAGATATGTAAAATTATACGGAGATCAAGTTCGTTTCAGACGTCTGGAACTCCGGATGCACTTTCCAGTACGAAATTGTTCATCTGTAAGCAAAACCCTCCATCTTCGCTCGACTAAATACCAATATCTATTTCCGTAGCATCATCACGGAAAATACTTGTCCATGAACGATTAACTATAAATAAGACTCTCAGGATAAATAACTATATATGTAACTTGTATCTAACTAACGAGTTTGATCATCCCTGGATGTGCATTGGATAGAGTGAATTTATTTTTAGTCTGATTTAATGCGACGAATACCAGATGATGCTGAGTGTGCGGAAGTACTTATTGGCGGAGTCAAAATTTTAACTAGACCCGTAATGGCATTTGTTCGTTTGTCAGAAGGTCAACATATGGGTAAAAGAAAAATCTCTATATACATACGTTGACAAAACAAGTCTCGTTTTTTCTTTCTGTTATAGTCAGTATGACTGAAGTTCCACTACCTGTGAAATTCATCTTTGTATTGATCGGTCCGGTGCTGGAAGAATATTTTGAAATTGGCCGTTCACTCAGTACTCTATTTAGTACGCCAGTAAGAATTACGTTTTAATCAATGTTCAAATGAAAATTGTTGTGATGGTATGTAGGATTTCCGTGCAGTTGCCTATCAAGCAATGGATCGTCGAGATTTGTTGGGTGGCATCAATGATTTTTTGACAGACACAATTGTCTTACCGCCGGGCGATTTTGATAAAGAACTCTTGTTGCCGGTGATCGAAACAGCGAAGATGAAAAATAACAATGCGAAACGGCGATCAACAAGGCGACGAAAACAGACCAAAGGTCGATCCACTGATGGCCAACAGCAACAAAGTTCCAGTCAAGGTAAATATTCGATTTATTGTAGAACTCCCATCAATGAACTAAATTCCTTTCGATTTTTCTCAGCATCGCGAGTGCTATTAGGTAAATTTCATTTCTTCTCATGATCTGATATAATTATGATATATTTAGCTCAAATATCTTCTCTGTCACATGAGAAACAAGAAGATGATCCATTTCTACGAAGTGGTTTCGTATTCGGTGGTGTTTATCGTGAAATGCAACGCCGTTACGCTTATTTCAAATCTGATTTTTTGGACGCATACTCGCTTCATTGTCTTGTCAGTCTCGTCTTCATGTTCATTGCTTGCCTGGCACCAGCTCTGACCTTTGGTGGTATCATAGGTAAATGAATATAACTTGAAATGAAATGTCTGATCGTATTATGTTTTGTTTTCATTAGCTGACAAAACCAACAATCTATTGGGTGTAAATGAAATGATGATTGCCTCGTCGATGAATGGATTCATATTCGGACTTTTCAGTGGACAACCATTGATGATTCTTGGACCGACAGGACCGTTCCTTGTCTTCGAAGAAATGGTCTATGATGTAAATTTTGCCTCATAGAATCGATTCGTTATGCGAAATCTTCTTTCTTGCTTTAGTTATGTCAATTATTAAATTCAGATTTTTGGACAGTGCGCTGCTGTGTTAGTCTTTGGACAACTTTTTTTATAATTATCCTTGTGGCTTTCGAAGGTAGCTTTATGATTCGGCATGTAACTCGATTTACCGAAGAAATTTTTGCTCTGATCATTGCTCTTGTGTATCTTTACGAACCATTTAAAAAGCTTTATAAAGTAAGAAGATTTTTCATTGATTTCACTTTTATTGTGCTCGTTGATATTTCAGATATTTCGTTCAAATCCAGTTCAATCTATCTACAATTATGATTATCCATTAACATGTGTTTGTAATCTGTCGTCTATAGTCAATATCACATTAGACTACGATACTGTGAATTCTTCATCCAATGATATGTTACTGTCTACTCCATCGAAATATTCGTGCTATAATTGTATATCAGCAAAACAATCTTCGTCCTCATCTTTATTTGTTTCAAATAATAATTCAACATCAATGCCCAGTGATGATAGTCCATTACCAAATAAAGCACTTCTGTCATTTATCATACTTATTGGAACATGTTTCATTTCCGTTGCATTAAAACGTTTTCGGCGAAGTAATTTTTTCGGCCGAACGGTAAGTTCTACTGTCGAGAGTTTATCCTTCATCATACACACTTTAGACAAGACAAACATTGAGTGATTTTGGTATGACAATTGCGCTCATTTTTATGGTGCTGTTCGATATGTTAGTCACAAAAAGTGCCGGTGGTCATAGTCTTACGCAGGTAGATTAATTTGATAAAGAAAACTAACTTTGTCTTTTGAAAACTTTAGAAAATAACCGTACCTGATTCAATCCGACCAAGTGATCGTGAACGTGGTGATACATGGTTTATATCGCCTACACAAAAGAGTCTACCGTTTTGGCTTTACTTCGCTTCATCTTTTCCTGCTATTTTGATATCTGTGGTGCTGTTCTTTGAAGTTGAATTGACTAGGTAAGAGTTACAATCGTGTCAAGTGTATCTTTGATTCTTTGCACATAGTATTATGATTCAATCAAAACTTCGATGTGTTCAATCATCGAAAGTTGTCAAAGGAACTGGTTACCATCTCGATATATTAATAGCAGGTATGACAACGATATCCTTTGTTTTATTCTTGGAAAGATCGTTCTTTTGTCTGAAGGTATATTGGTGTCTGTCAGTGGATTATTTGGTCTTCCATGGATGTGTGCCGCACCTGTACGAAGCATTGCTCATGTTGCTAGTTTATCCAAATACAGCAATACTCATGCTCCCGGAGAAAAAGCTCGTCTGATTGAAATTAAAGATCAGCGTTTGACCAATATCGGTGTACATTTGTTTATTGGTTGTACCATATTCGCTGCGCCGATCATTCGCAAAATTCCTGTGGCTGCTTTATTTGGTATATTTTTATATTTTGGTATTGTCTCCATATCCGGTACACAATTATTCAGTCGACTGAAAATGACATTTATTCCAACGAAATACCATCCAAACTTTGGCTATTTAAGACGAGTAGATTCCAGTGCTTTTCTTTCGATTTCACACTGAACATATCTGTTCTTTTCATACAGGTCCGTCAAATGAAACGGAATACATATACATTTATACAATTGATGGCAGCTGCATTATTGATTACCATAAAAATTACGAGATTTGCGTTTTTATTCCCATTTATCCTTGTCTTACTAGTCCCGTTTAGAAAATGGTGTCTTCCATTTTTCTTCACAGAACGCGAACTCAATGAGGTAAAAGTTCTCAAAAGAACAATTCGCTTTTTTCTAAAGTATCGATTTCGATTATTTAGCTCGATGGTGATGAAGAACAGGATCGTTTCTTTGACGATGAACTGGATTTCTACGGTCAAGTTCATCTACCAATTTAGTGGTGTAAATATATTCTCGCATCATTCACCGGTGTTTGTTTTTTCCTCTAATATTTATTCTTGTATATCCCGACCGAACAAAATCGAATGTTGCAGATCGATTACACAGTAGTTTAGAATTCTTTTTTTACAATGGAAGAAAAAAAGAAGACAAAGGAAAGATTTACTAACATATCCTGTCTGTTTGTTTTGTTGAATATTAACTTTTTTTGTTTCATTTTCCTTTTTGATTACCATTGTGAATAGACATCCGATTGAGACATATTTTGAAACTCAGTTTTGTTTACAATCCAATAAAGAAGTTCAGCAACAATCGCTTCATTTTTCTCGGCAAAATCACTCCATACACTGTCTCTAGCCATGATTTCTTTTGCATGATCAAGAAAATATTCAATACATTTTTGACGAACATGTTTGTTCTTGTATCGATAGGCACCTTCTAATAACGCTAGAACGTTGTTCGTATTGACAAGACTTGACACAACTGTAAAAGATATCAGATATGCAATGAATAGAGAAGAAAGTGACTCACATTGACCCGTATATACTTTCAAACTTTTGATATCATATCGACCAGCGGCATCCAGAAGACCATATGCTTAGAAATAGAAAAAAAAAGTATCATAGTGCTTCGGTATCAAGAAATCTTCTGCTACCATTGCGTTCATTTAGTTCACATTTAGCTGTGTAGAGAAATATGATCACTTGTTTCATTATATCGGGATCGGTCTTCTCAATTGTGATAACTAATTTATTGTTTTCAGTAACTGTTTGCAGTTGATCTCTTGTCTTCGTATCCAATCGATTGAGGTTTCCAGTTATCACAGCTATAAATCGATAGAAAACAGCAGAAGAATCTTATTATTCGCTTACCCGCAAACGTATTCGATCGAGCAGCAAGAACGCATCGATGAACAGCCATATAAGTGCCTAGAGAAATGAGAATGCGATGACAGAATATATTCGGTTGAACCGATTAACCTCTGACATTGAGAAGACAATCGCTAATATCCGTTCGATTTAATAATTGAGCAAAATCATCGGATAGATGTCTAAGTAATTGAGCATCATTATTAGTTGCATTGCTTCGTTGATTATAGTCATTCGAATAACGTTGTTCATCGTTTCGATTAGATTGGCCAAAACGATTTCCAAGGACAAAGGTGTCCGAAGGTTTACTCGTCGTATGCTGTTGTTGTTGTTGTGCTGGTGAATATGTTTGTGATCTTAATGGTGGAAGTTGAGAAGTCGAACTTTCATTATCGTTAGTAGTTGAAAGCATTGCGTCGAATTTAGTTGTCTGATATTGAAAATAAAAGAAAACTAAGATTGTCTATGTTAATCTAACATTGTTTCATCATATTGTTGTGGTAACTATCAGTAAAACAGTGTTACATGTCATTGTGAAGGACTGAGAAACAAGAGATGTTTGTTTGATGTGATGTTTTTTTGCTTTTCGTTTCATTTGTAAATATATAACGAAATTATGTGAAGATAAGAAATGATAACGTCGCAAAAATCATTCTTAGCATGATTTTTCACTTTCATAGAAGAAAAATACGATTGTTTTTCCATCATTAGTTCGTAGGCAAATATAAATATTTAACAGGTACTTCAAGTAAATTGAAAATACATTAAGAACTATGTAGATCATAGTTAATTAATTGACAAATCATTAAGAAAATGTTGCTGCTTCAACAATTGATAGAAAACAGAGTGTTAAATAGACGGAAAAATCATTCACTATCCAAAACATGGCAAGACAGTTACTGCGCTACTTAGTAGTTTTTCAATTCATATTCGCGATAGATTCGCTCGATTTCAATCCGACTGACTATGAGCTCTATGGGCCGACCATGGCAGCCAACGATAAAGTGATTATTTCTATTCAAAGTCGAGCTGGCGTTACTTTTTCGGGAGCACTTAATTATGCGTCAAACGTAACGTATTGCACTTTTAATTATACAGGAAGCGGTGGTCGAGATTCTTACGCAACAATGGTCGCTATCGGACGAAACAGTTTAGTTTCTGGTAGCACTCATAAATTTGTATTTATTGATTATTCACAAAACCGTACCACGATTTACATGGTCATTGCAAGCATAGATTTCAGTTCATGCCAATTAGTCGGTAACGAAACAAAAATAAAAAATACAACAAATTCGATACATCCTTCGTATGCAGTTCTGGGAGTTAACGCTAATTCAACCTTGGCATTTTACATATCAGATACTAAGGCGTTTGTTCAGCACTTAATTTCCCCTCTCCCATCTCTGTTGACAACATATGTAGCATGGCGCGGATTCTCAGCCGGTGTCAACTTTATTCCAGTAGGTATTGATTTAAAAAGTTCTTGGGGCATTGTGGCGGCTTACACACGAAGTACAACTGGTTCAGGCACTATTACGAAATTTCGGCCAACGATACATCGAATTGACTTTTCAGTTTGTTTTATATATCAAAACTCGACGTGTTTTAATATGAGTGCAATACGAACAATAAGTTATCCGCTTACCTGGCAATCAACAAGAGCTCCGCAAACGGATGTTACCGATAACGAATATGATTCCTTATATGATATATCTGTGTCAATCAATGATTTCGATTACGTTCTAATCGGTATTCAATCCATCAATACTGTGTATTGTTTTTCAGCTGCTTCATCAGCACTTAACGATTCGGGAAGTCGTCTACCAAGTACGTTGGCAAGTATCGGTTTTGGAAAAGGTGTCGGCTGGATTGACAATACAACAGCTGCTATTCTACTGAATAATTTCACACTCGATTATGCACAATGGCGTTCATCATATATCGAATTATATCCAATTACCAGTTCAACTGCATTATCCAATTCGATTTCGGCTTATTCATCGTATCCAAATGCACATCAGCAATTATGGTCCCAATTGAATGATCGTTTAATTGATATGCTCGCTATGCCAGGCGCGGGCTGCGTCATCTATATGGATTACAACGGTATTGTCCATGTTGTTCGGCCAAGTCCTATTGCGAGCTATGCGAATACAAATGAAGGCACTGGAGTAGCAAATAATAATATCTACATAGCACCAACCCGTCGATGTCCATCGGGCACATTGAAGAATCAATCAGCATATGGAAAAGATATATTTCGTTATTGTGTTCTATGTCCAGAAGGTACGTTTTACTCTGCCAATCGTTCAAACGCAACAGATCGATGTGCACCGTGCGATACAAGTATATATTTTTGTCCATGGGGTGCTGTGACAGAAATGCCGGTGAGCGTTTTAGAAACCATAAGTCAAGCTTATGTTTATCCTCAAACACCTGAAAATGACAATTTCGAAGATATTCTATTATTGAACATGTTTAAATTCGACTTTCAATCGGACTGTTTAGCTCAGCAACCATTTCTCTATGGGCTAATCATTATGGGTATTGGATGTTTGTTTTTATTATTTATGGGCATACTTAAGTTAACGGGTAAATTAAAGAAACAACGTCGAATGCTAAAAGGCATCTTCAAACAAACCGATCTCATTGGTGAAGGAGAAGTGAGTTTTTGACATGAAAATAATTCAGTTATGTTTCAAACTAATGAACTTTTTTCTTCAAGATGTGGATTGGTGGTGTTGCTTCATTTACAATTGTAGTTGTATCGATATTTGCTTATCGATTCTCGAGTAAATTCATGTACCAATATCCGATCGAAACCTCTCCCGATGCAACATTTGCCTGTGATCCAACCTTAAGAAATGCAAAGTTCGCCACCAGTATGCAATCGTTAGGTACACCTTTGTTAGACAGCGAACAACCTTTATTCGATATGCTTGATAGTCAACCATTCACACTGCATGTCGCATTTATCAGTACAGATTTTACTGAAGACGATCTCACAGTTACACAGGTTTTAGGTTCGATTCGCATCAATTTGCCTTATGTAGCTAATCAATTGGATGGAATACTCTATATTTCCACCAACTTAACATCACATTTCACAACAGTTCAATTTACAGTTTCAAGTGGTTCCGCAGTTGGCGCACTTCGAGTTGGATTAAGCGGTCCAAGTATGGAAGAAAATAACTATAATGTCAAAGCATTGAACTTTTCTTATGCATTCAATCATACGAATCGAACAGTTACTCAAGATCCGGCAATAACCATTGAATTAATCAAATTAATGAACGAAACAGCACCATTATCAAATGATGACGACACGCTGTATAGTGGAATTTGGGTTCCAACATTTATCAAAAGTGACGAACAACTATTCTACACAGAAAGTGATTTTCAATTGTATCATACAGGCGGTGAAACTGTTTTCACTGTTCAACTTTCTGAAGCCACCTATTATATTTACAATCAACAAGAACCCATAACTATGCTGACGGAAATTATTTTCACGGACATACTTTTTACGACCATGTGCATCGAACTTTTCGCATTAACTTTTCTCTTCTTCAAATTGGCTATTTTACCTCTCATTCGAGTACTCCGCGGATTGTGCTCTAAATCGAACAAAGTTATTCCCAAAGGTAAAAGTAAAAGTTATTGTCCACATTGCCGATCAGTTAATGGAGAAACACTACAAGAACATAAGGCCCCTGTGAAACGAGCAGGAAACGCAACACCAGCGTTTGGAATCCGACGACCAATACCCGACATGGGAAAAATTTATGTCATGTAAACATTGATATGTCTAAAAAAAACATTATCCTTCTTTTGTCAGTGTTGTGTTTCTTTTGAACATTCACATAAATCTTAAATAAATATATATATTTATTCCGAACACGTTTTCTGATTAGAATTTCATATTGATTCTGCTGCTACAAATTAAGATTTCAAGTAGAAGATAGTACATGATCATACGAATAAATTTTGCTCTATTTAGAATTGTCAAGTTCCATGATTTTCTGAATAAGTACTTGAAGTTCAGAAAAAGCAGAAGCCAATTATGCATTTTACTGTTTACTTTCGCTTGACAGGAAATATTTTTCATTAAACAGATAAACAAAACACTTGAACAAATAATCATTAGTTAATCATTCAAACTTCAACAATATTTTTGAATTGTTTGTATATCATTGAACACTCCTCACTTTCAAATTTGCTTCATTTCTGAAAAGCTAAGGGCGACAATGACGTTTCTACTAATCAGTATATTTCTGCTATGTTTTGCACAGTACGGTTATTCATATGACCATCAATTAACCGATTTCGATTTGTATGGTCCTATGCTAGTGGCTAATAAATATCTGGTTGTTTCAGTTGTCAATCGAACTTATCCATCATTTGCTGTTTATCGTCCGAACAGTTCCAATGAATTTTGTATATTCAATATCAGTATCAATGGTTTAAATCAAACATATGTTATGCATATCGCTATTCCCAGTGGAGTGACGCCCGTACCAAATATATTCACTTATCAAGGTATAGTAATAGGAAATGGAACTAATGAAGCTTCATTTGTTGTTCAAATTACCATTACTTCAATGTCACCTTGTAGTTATTCATCGAAATTCTATAAAGTACGAAATGATACACCCAGTGACTATTCCACACTTGGTATTAATTCATTCGGTAGAGTGAGCGTTTATCTAGATGGACCCTCGACATGTATGTATGACTTCAACACGAATATTGGCCGATTTGTACATGGACAACCAGGATCCGTCAACTCCAGTTTCGTATACTATGCAATGGAAATCAGTGATAAAGGCTGGGGTATCGCGGCAGGCTCTTTACCTTATAGTGGCTATTATATTCCCACTTTATTCTTATTTACTTTGAACGGATCGATCAATCCTGGAATCAATAACTACGCTGTACAAAGCATTATGAAAGTATCTATGGAATTTCCCTGGCAAACGAAGAAAGCACGTCCTGTGAGCAATACAACTGATTATGAACCTGTGTATGGTATGTCTCTATCAATTAACGAAAATGGTGACGTCTTATTCGGGGTGCAATCGATGAATACAGTGTTTCATTTATATGTCGATCCGACAAATATGACATCAATAGTGTTTAAAGGCAGTCGAGCAGCAAGTACAACAACAGCAGGGATTGGTTTTGGTAAAAGCGTCTCTTGGTTGGATGATACGACAGCTGTTATCTTGGCAAATGATGTTTCTCTCGATTACACTGAATGGTATGCAAGCAGAATTGAAATCTATGATTTAAGCGGCGGAAAACAACTGAATAACACTCAAGAGGCGTATTCGTCATTTCCAACAGCTATACAATCGCGATATTCCTTGTTAACAAATCGTATTGTTGCAATGGTTGCTTCCTATGCTGGTTCCATCATTTTTGCCGACTCCGATGGTTCAATCTACATAATCTTGCCATCGCCAACCGGTTATTACTCTGCAACACATATTGGAAATGTTCGTGGACATGGTGTTTATTTTTCTTCTCCAGCAATTTGTCCAGCAGGGTATATTAAACAAGGTCCAGCACAAGGCAAGTATCTTTTTGATACCTGTCAGATATGTCCTGTAGGAACATATTACAATCCTAATACTATTAACTCAAGCAATACATGTGTCGCATGTAACGCTACGAATACTTATTGTTCATTTGGATCTGTTGCTGATATTCCATTAGATTATACTAAAAGCATCAGTCAAGCGATTCCATTCCCAAAATCACCTGATCTGACAGGATTTGAAGATATTCTTTTATTGAATATGTTCAATACAGACTTTGAGACAAACTGTTTGGTAACAACACCATTCTTTTGGACATTGATCATAATGGGAGTCGGTATTGTTTTTCTCATCACTATGGGTATATTGACATTAAGTGGTAAATGTAAAAATTTTCGAGCGAAAATTGAAATGATTTTCACACATTTCGATATCATCAACGATGGAGAGGTAAAAGCTTTGTTTTGATAAACTTCATCGCGAAGATGTGATTTTTCTTCTAGCGTTGGATTGGTGGTGTATTATCAATAACTATTCTTGTTATGATCATATTCACTGGACTATTCACCAGTTCATTTCTAAAGCAGTATCCTAAAGAAACGTCCGAAGCACCAGATTTTACTTGCGATGAAACATTACGAAATTCACAATTCTCTTCGCGCATGCAATCATTAGGTGCAGCGATTCCTGCTGATACCGCAACAATCTTCAATTTACTTTCGCAACAATCATTCGTTGCAACCGTTACATTGTTGAATACAGTGGTTAATCTAACTGTTACTGTGGAGAAAACAATTGGTACAATAACCGAACAACTCCAACGAGATTTATACGTACCAACAGACGGATGTATAGTTATCTCGTTTAATTTAACAACAAATATGGCAACGATTACTGTTAATATAACGGGTTCTACAGCGATCGGTGGTGTTCGAATTGGTCTATATGGTCCTGAGATTGTTGATATTAACAATAAGGTACAAGAACTCAATTTTTCTTATGCATTTATAATACAAAATCAAACTCTGTCACAAGAACCTTATTTTGAGATGGATTTAATTCAGGTAATCAATGAAACGAAAGGTTTATCTACGGGTGCACCATCGCAATTCAGTGGCCTTTGGATTCCAAAATTTAGTAAAGATGATGATCGAAACTTCCAAACGCTAGCTGAATATGAAAAATACCATGCCGAATCACAAACAACGTTAACAATCGATCTTACTCAATCGATGTACTATATCTACAATATAGAACAGCCGATTATTAAAACGGCAAATGTTGTTTTTAAGAATATTCTCTTTGTATCAATGTGCATGGAATTATTTGGATTTGGTTTTCTATTTTTTAAACTAGCGATTTCACCATTGTGTCGATTGGTTAGTCGACTCATTTGTCAAAAGAACGATGAATCGAAGGAAGAAAATAATGAAGGTGAAAGTGAAAGCGAAAAGGAAGAAGAAGAAGAAGATAGTGACGACGAAAGTGATGGAAACGAAGAAGATGTACACGAAATACCGAAACAAATCGAACTTCCACCAGAGAAAACAAAATGGTACAAACCTAATCCGAAATATTAACTTTACGTCCATTATCTCCTTATAAAAGCACTCACATGTTTACGTACTTCTTGTCTATTCAGTGCTCGTCTTGTCAAAAAATGTATTGCGTACAAGAAATAAAAACTCGTAATCGAGAAAATCCACACGAAACTTGTTCTGTAAACGACACGCTCACCTTAAAACATAGTTCGATGAGACTGATTTCAATGTGTTTGTTATGACATCATTGAAATGAAAGTCTATGTAACATGTACCCTATATTAACAGATTAAAAGATCAGTGAATAATCAAGTAAGTCATCAAGCTTCTAAAGAATTTTATCAAAATCATTAATCTTTACATGTAATAAATATCAAGAATAATCACTGACATATATGGATATTTTAATTCTTTCTATTCTTTTCAATATAATAAAAATAAACTTGTTGATCGAACGCATAAGTACAAAACATTTTGTGCGGAGTAGAATCAACAGGAGATAAACATTTTTGTTCTTAAATAACGTGATACTTAAGAGTTGGTGTTTCATTTCCGTATCAAACACAAAAAAATGGGCGATGATCTATTCAAAACGCCACCAGCGAGTTCATCAGTTCGTGAGAAAATTCAACAATTTAATAAGCTTGGAAAGATAAACAATGGTTTCATATCCTTTCCAAATCGGCCACGTTCATCAGTAAGTTCAACTAGTAAATCAACAGTGACTGGATGTATGACAAATTCCAAAGAAATCGATGATCAACATGTTCGGTCCAACCATGCATCGCCAAGCGCAGTAGATTTTCCATCTGATGCACATCAGAAGAGATCACCAACTGCATCAGAATGTGACGTAGATATTTCATCGGAAGAATCCATACCAAGTGTAGTCTATACTGCATCAGTTCAGATGCACAAGGTGAAGCCATTTTCGACAGAGAGCATTAATTTGGAAATTGCTGATAATGTTGAAAATCTTGAAAGTACCCATTGTTCAGTCGTGTCTAACAATGAACATGAACAAAATGATCTACAACGTAAATCAGAAGATTTCAGTTCAATCAATTCGCTACCACCTCTACCTCCACCTTTACCTATGATTCCTACAGTGGTATCTCTTCATCAAGAATCCAAACGAACACTTCCAGTTTCAAATTTTCTGTTGGAATTGGGCGCACTATGTGTGATTTTTATTGTATCGATGATCCTGGTCTTAGCATTGCGTGATAGTGAAGTGAATCTTCGCATGACAATGGAGGTATTCTATTGCTAGAGACTGATTTGACAAATCTTTGTGCGTTAAGATTGTTTTAACAGGTATTTATCTCGTTTCCATCATCTGGATGATTTGGTGTACATTTGACATTATCAAATTTCGTCGACAATGGGTACAGATGACAGCAATGGTATGCGATCAAGAAGAATACATGGACATTGTCGAACGTTCCTCGCGTCATATATCGTATTTTCCTGATATTCATAATACTGGTGGTTTATTTATGAGAATCGGAGCAGGATGTGAGTATTTCATTTCTCTTGCATATTAGAATAAAATAAATTATGTTTAGTACTGTGTATGGGTGGTCTCTTGTTAACTGTGATTGAATTGGCCAGAACTATTGAAACAATACGTGTGGGGAATGCACATCATAAAGAGAGTTTGAACACCTATTCTCGATCACCATTTATTGCTAAAGCAATCACATTTACATTCCGTTTTCTCTTCCATTCAGTTCAATTTACATTCTTATTTCGATATGGAAATGTAAGTTACCAGATTCACTTATTTTCAATTCTCCGTGTTGATTTTTACTGGTAGATAATCATCGATCGATATCATTTTATTGCCAGAGTTGGTCTTATTCATATAATTATGGCTAATTTCTGTACTTGGTTCGAAGGTTGAAATAGAAAAGTTATCCAAATATTGATTGTATTTGTTCTTCTTCTAGCTATTGTTATTGAAACATTAGAACAAATACATAAACATGTGGATACAAAATTAACCACTGCTTCAGTGCGCCTCGAATTAATTGAGAGAATAACATCAGAATCAGGTATGTCCATAGAATGAAACACCGATGATAACATCATGGACAGCCTATTCTTTGCTTTCCTTCTATCAAAAATTAAACAATTATATAACTCATATTATCATGATTCGAATCTCTCTGTAAGATTTATTAACTATTAAAAAGATTTTCTTGCGTTAAGAATGCCACTGATGTGCTTGTTTCCTGTCGACTCTTCTAAACATCTACTTGTACCTTTTTATAGTTAATATTACTGCTCTCAATGGCAGTTCGCTGACTGATTATGCTGCTGAATCTACTTTGAGTAATGGTACAACGTCACTGTTGCATTATATCGAACAAATGGAATCAACCATGGGAACTTATTTATATCCGTGTTTAATTGAATACAGTCTTATTTGTGTAACTGTATTCTACATTATGTGGCGAAATGTTGGTAAAACAGAAAATCAACCATTCCTTCATTTCGCTGATCGACATACATTTACTGTAAATTGCTCTCGCGTATCTCACGGTTTACTTACTGGTGGTTTTATTCTTCTATTAACCATCTTTACCTTAATACCTGCATATTTACTTGAGTTATCAACAGCAATTCTTATCTCACATCTGACTGGACTTATTCTATTGATAATTTCATTATCAATTGTTTGTGTATCATTCTTCTACACAACAAAGTTGTATTATGACCGACAAGCGCATGTTGACACATTCGATCAAATATTAATTTTGATTACAACCGTCGGCGATTTTGCTTACTCATTCTTTTGTCTATTCGCCGCGATCTTTGTTGAAAACTCAACAAGTGAAAATCTACAAGAGATTGGAATAGCCACTAGTTTATTATCCATACTTCAAACTTTCCTTCAGTCCGCGTTCATCCTGGACACCTTAAAGCGACGTACAATAACAAGAAGCGAAATTCGGCGAAAACCCGGCCGAGAATTAATAACCGCTCTCCTCCTAATCAATCTTGGTAAGAAACCATTATTGTATCACAGATCATCGAGAATTGTCTAGTAACACTATCGCTTGTTTATCTGATACATCCACATACCTCGATAGTGTCAATGGTTCGAACTTTGTAATCAGCGTTGTTATTCTCCAATGAGCATGATAGTTTATGTTGAATTGGCCCGAGATGAAAACTAGGTTATATTCTCACGCAAGATCAGTTTGTCCCATATTTCTTTCTTTGACATGTTTCATGCATCAACATAAATAATACCGATCTTTTATGGTACATTTATACGCGTCAAGAGAATACATATGACTAAGTAATATTTTCGTTCGTTTGAAAGAAACGATTTTTCTTCCTGTTTTAGCCATTTGGATGCATGATTCGTTATCCGCGAAAAAAGTGAAAACAAATCCATTACAAACTGAGTACTATGACGAAACAACCTGGTCAATTATTCAAGCATTTACGTCGCCATTAGCGATATTTTATCGATTTCATTCCAGTGTATGTCTTGCTGATATATGGCACGAAGTTTATCACGATCAACACCATTCGCAAGATAAAATTCGATCTAATCGACACTAAACATTCTTATTTGTCACAGTTCGCAATACCGAGAAAAGAAACAACTATATTCTTTTTTTGCCTTATTTCTAGTAATTATATTATATTTTCCTCTTTTTTTTCCTTTCGCTTTATCGTTCTCTACGAAGATATATTGTATCTGAAGGATAGACAGTATTTTGTTTGTTCTTATTCGATAATAGATATCTGATGATGAGCTGTCTTTACTAAACGCTCTCTCCGAAGAAAAATGAGCTGTTGAGGATGATGACAATGATTACTGCAGGTATGTTTACTATTAACGTGCAATATAAATTATGTCGAGATTCTGAAATTTCATCTATGATTATATGATTCGAATGAATTCCCTCGTTTTGTCTGTGAATACATTCATCGCCAATGAATTAGATAAGAAGTGTTATTAAAATATGACAAAATGTATCAGCTGTGTTGATAAGTAATTGTTTATCTAATTTTTGCACTGTAGTCGTTTAACTACTTTCGACGCGTTAAGGTAGAAGTTTAAGGTCAATGATATGTATATTTGAATGACTAGGAGAAAAACATGCGAGTGCTGCTTTTCGACACACTAAGTAATCCGATGAAATAATCTTTCGTCAGTCTAATTTTTCTTCTTTTATGGTATCTTGAAGAACCTATCAGTAAGTCGAATCCAGTTTAAGCACGTGCCTTTTTTTCGTATATAATTCAGAATCTGCGAGAAACTTTATTAAATTCGGACAACGGACGATATGCGATGTCTTTTTCATTAGTTGATGAATAGCGACATCACTTACTTGATTTGTCGTCTCTAATGATCAATAAAGAACATTGCCATTTTCATTGTCATTATTTATTTATATCTGTTCGTCTCCGCCTTCGCTTCATTCTTTTCATTACTTAAACAGTTTTCTCATTTTTTCGAGTCAAGAAATTCTACTCAATAGATTAACCCATGTAACACAAGTACATTTTTTTTTCGTTAAAACGTGCGTATCATATTCTCTCAGGTAATCGACGCATACGAAAGAATTGATCGATCAAATGGTCTTTTCCTCTCTCTCTCTCTTTTGATTTAGGCATAATGGCAACTTCGAATAAAAAATGCTCAATATCTCATGATGTCAGTACAGATACGGATGATTCGGATTGTGAAAAAGATTGTTCAGATGCAAATAATAATAATATATCATCATCGAAGAGTCGAGGGTAATGATTAAGAAAATTACAACTTGATAATAATTTTCTTTCACTTTTCTAGATTGAAACGATTAAATGATAAGATGAAACCATGTCTTGTGAATAAAACATCTACAAGTGACGAAGAATTACAATTAAATGAAACTGGTACACATCCAGGACGTTCAAACGAACAGCCAACACATGGAATTCTCAAAGTTCCTAGTGGTAAGAATTCAGTTGAGCATAAAACTACATCATATTCGCATATTTCAGGCTCGACAAGTCCGGAACTACATTTGCCGAATCCTCCAAAAACAAAAACGAAATCAAAATCATCATCGCCTACTTCAAATCATGATAATTCATCTGTTAATATCGGTGCTCCAAGTCAGCAGCATTTTCGCACGCGTACAAACCCAAGTAAAAAACTTCAAGAACAAACGATTGTGCCAACAACTACAGCAAACAATCCAGATCGTGTGATACTCGTTGTAGACGAAACAAGATTTGTCATCGATCCACAACTATTTCGTGCACATCCAAATACAATGCTGGGTAGAATGTTTAGCACATCATGGGAAACATCAGTTGTGGCAAACGAGCGAGAAGAATACGAAATTGCTAATGGCATATCGGCAACAATATTTCGAGCGTTATTGGTAAAAAGAAAAGAAATTAAAAATTTTGATTCGAAAGAGCTTTTGATTTTTGCAATTGACAGGATTTTTATAGTGTGGGAATGATACGTTGTCCACCTTCAGTCAGTATACAAGATTTACGTGAAGCTTGTGATTATTTTCTAATCCCATTTGATCAATTAACAATTCAATGTCAAGATTTATGTGGTTTGTTACATGAATTGTCCAATGATGGCGCAAAAAAACAATTTGAAATGTTTCTTGAAAATGATATTTATCCTGTGCTTGTTGAATCTGCTCAAGTAAGAGATTTTATTGTTTTTCTTTCTCCATGTATATATATATATATGCTTGTTTGCTCTTTGTTCGTTTATTCAAGCGTGGTGATCGTGAATGTCAAATAGTGATTTTATGTGATGATGATCTTATCGAATGGGATGATGATTATCCGCCACAACTCGGTCAAGAAGAGGATAAAGCTCGGAGTAACATAGATTCCAGTTTGCAGGACTCATAGATCGACTGATTTGTATTTTAGTTATACGTTCAACTGCAATGTATAGATTTTTCAAATATATCGAAAATCGTGAAGTAGCGAAATTGGTGCTAAAAGATCGTGGCTTGAAAAAAATTCGCATGGGTATCGAAGGTTATCCGACGCATAAAGAAAAAGTTCGCTGCCGTCCACGTGCCAGGCCAGAAGGTAATACGTCTCGATTGTCCACGCAGATCTAATCACTCTTTCTCATTGTAGCTATCTATAGTTACATTCAACGGCCATTTCTGCGCTTGTCTTGGGAGAAAGAAGAAGCGAAATCTCGTCATGTTGACTTTCAGTGCGTACGCAGCCGATCGGTAAACAGTCTAATCGATGCAAACGATGGTAAATTGACCAAGAAATTCTAGAAACAAAATTTGAACTCGATTTTCTTGTTTAGATCAAAATTCTGGCAATGCATTACTATTTCAATTTGTTGAGCCTACTCAGAATCAAATAATCCCACCGCCACCATCACCAAGAGAGCTCTTTCCAGCACTGGGACCATTTCCTTCATCAGGACTTCCGGGTGATACATCATTTACAGACTAAACTATAATGGGAGAATGTTTAACCTTTTTTCTTTCTTTTTCAATTGTATACTGCGCGTTTCTTTTTCAATCACAAACATTGTCTCTTGTGTGTGTGCTCTCGAATTGAAGGTAATGAAGCAAAACTTGTGTATTATGTACATATTAGGATATATTTAATTTAATTTTTAACATATATTAAAATATCAAACACGACTTGACTTTATTTCTTATTTGCAAATGAAGAATTGAGAAGAATGTATACTATATATGTCATTGAAAATATATTTACTGCTGTACGTGCATCCTTGATGTGTCGCTACAATCGTTTGCATGAATCCAACTGGTTGTTCTTTTCGGTCCGCATTTTATTGACGCGTTTAACGTGTTCGCTTAATCATCAGCATATTTTTGTCATGGAGCCGAAAAAGAAAACACGTATCAAAAAAATTTGTCATACATATCTCACATGATTGGTTTCTCGATAGTCTTTCTTTTCGTCTTGTAGATGTTTACTATCAATAAATATTTTCATGTATAAACATCAAAGAAATGCTAATTTTCATTTATCTTTTTTCATTCGACAACATCTCTGGCCCATAATTATCCCATCGATAGCTATTCTATTCCTTACGTTTTGCCCACAAATCTCTCAATCAATTCAAATCAATACTAATGATTATAATCAACAAGCACAAAATCCTGATCGAACTGTAGCGAAACTTGGTGCACGCGAAGTTCAACTAAAATCAACTGTATCATCTCTACCACTTTCCATACCACCATCATCGACACCTACGACGGTATCGTTCGATGACTCGATGTAAGTACAATGAAATCTGCAGAAGTTGAGTCATTTGTGTTCTCGTTTCAGTCATGCGCTGTACGTAATATCTTTGGACGGTAAAATAACTGCCATTGATGCTCGTGCTAATGGACGACAAATGTGGACAGCTGATACAGGTGCCCCATTGATTGATTCAAGTTTAAGTAAAATCGAAATATCTCGTGATTCTCGATCTGTTCGTCTTATTCCATCGTTAATCGGTGGTCTTTTTGAAAAATATGAAGAAGATGGACATGTCGAGCCATTACCATTCGATGCTGATAGTTTACTTGATGCAACATTTAAGCTTCATGATGAGCTCGTGATTAACGGTGGAAAACATATTGATACACTTGGTCTTGATTTACACACTGGACAAGTATGTAATACGAACGAGAACTTGTTTTGATTGCCTTCTTCTTTCGTGTAGATTCTTTATTCATTTTCAAAAGATAATCGCGTACAATCGGGTACATGGGATAATAATCGAACTACTACAACAAGTAATACGGATCATGGTGAGTCTAAGCCAACCTTAATTGTGAAACGAACAACACAAACTGTTAGAGCACGAAGTGCACGAAATGGTTATGAGAAATGGAATTTTAGGTAAAACTATTGTTTTGCTCTAATAATAAACATGCAGCTATTGATCTTTAGTGTCTCTAATAATGAACTACTTCATTTACGTGCTCATTCAGCGGCGGCGGTTGTTCTCGATCAAGTTAATAGTCTTAGCAATAGTGAACAAGGATTTTCTGGTAAAGATTCGTCCGAATGTAAATCTTTCTGATAAAGATCTGCTTTCTTTTTCAAGGTTACTTCCAATATCAGCTGCAAACAGGTGTAGTTTTGGCATATGATAAAACTGGTCAAAGCGTTTGGTCATCAGCCATCAATGCACCCATTGCAGCTGTGTGGGAGTTAAAAGGTGGTCAATTGATGGAAAAATCTCTTTTTGAAACAACGACCAATTATGTGCCATCTGATGATTTAAGTAAGAAAACAATCATTCTGATCTATTCAGTTCTATTGTGATTCTTTTTAGTACACGACGACGATGATGACGACAATGATTTTCCGCCCCCACCTAAATCACATCGTTTGGCATTCATTGGTGAATTTAATTCTACACCATATGTTATCGTATCACCTCAAGTTCAAAAGGAATTAATTTATGATGCAAGAAAAAACAGTGGTGAATATTTTCATTCTTTCAAATCAAATAACATCCTACCTTCATTTTTGCTGTAATTGCAGGATCCATCGGAGGTACACGACCAGTCTTGTCTCCATGGCATAAAGTTTATCAAAAGCGCACGCTATCTATCGGTTCAGAAGTATCTGAGAATAATCAACAACGTGCAATTACAGCTGGAGTGTCCGAACATAATTATCCGCTAGCTTTACGACCTGATTCCACTGGATCATACCAAGCAAACTCACCATCATCAGTCGTAGAAACATGTGATACTGCTGGTTATCTACAACTAATTTTGAGTCCAAGTGACATTCGCCTTAGAGAAGCAGAAAAGAAAGATTCCAACAAGAATTTGAACACCAATTCTGAAGTAAATCTACCAGCTAATGCACTGGCAGTTTCAAGCGTTGTACTCGGTGCTTTGATGATATTTGCATTCTATTACAAACACAAACAAAATCTGAAACTGTCAAAAGAATTAACAACTACAGAAAGTACGAGCAGTGTGTCAATCACACCGCCATCGACTCCAATCTATCATGAATTAGAAGCAGTGGTTCCTACTCCACCGTTTCAATCACGATATGCCTCGGAATATGAACACGTGCGCTTTCTTGGACGTGGCGGTTTTGGAGTTGTTTTCGAAGCAATTAATAAATTGGATGAACGACGTGTGGCAATTAAGCGTGTTTCATTGAAAAAGTAAGTTTGATTAGGCATTTCTCGAAGCTTTTGATACAGCTGCCTTTTTAACTTTTGTAGATCATCGGGAAAAGAACGTGCATTGAAAGAAATTCGATCTTTAGCTGTTCTCAATCATCCGAATCTGATTCAGTATTATTATGCTTGGAATGAATGTCCACCTTTTGGATGGCAAGAAGAAGAGGACAAAACCTTACTCATTCGAACCAATATGCATAGCAGGTATATTTCGTTTGAATTTCTTTTATTTGTCAATTGTTTGTTTCTAGAGATTCAATAAGTACTTTTCCAACTTCAGCAGCGTCTGGAAACGATAGTGAATCTGTCAATCAAGTGAAATCGATGAACTTTTCATGTTCGTCTGTTGTACATGCGGTAAAAACGCCCCCAACCTTCGAGTTCACTTTTGATCGTTCTTCAAATCCACTTCGTATTGACGAAGAATTTTCTTCAAACAGTGTTGCTAATAATGATAAATCGAACGAATTTTCATCTTCAACATCGTCATCATCAGCTAGCGGCAACCATAATCGATTAGATGCAAATAATAATACCAACTCTAGAAAACGTGGTCGTTTGTCGACGACGAAAAGTTCACTGTCATCTTCTTCACCTTTCTTTGATCATTCTATTGATTCATCCGATCTATCGGATGAAGAACGACCACCGGCAAACGATCGAACAGAAAGCGATGATGGAATTATATTTCTACACGATGAGAAGCATTCGTCATCACCGTCACCATTACCAAGTCAATCGTCCAGGTCGATCAGTGAAGCGAAAAAATCAGTCTCTAGCGAAAAAGATATGCCACCAATATATTTTTATTTTGTAATGGAGCTATGCCAACCGGAATCCTTACGTGATCGATTGACACACCGAAGTATTGATCGACATCAAGCTTGGTCAATTTTTGATCAAATTATCAAAGGTATTGAATACATACATTCGCAAAAACTGGTGAGTTCATTTGAAATGACGTTTCGCTGGTGACAAGCACACTTTGTTGGATTTCTTCTTAGATTCATCGTGATTTAAAACCAAACAATATACTATTTTCTATGGAGAATACTGTGAAAATCGGCGACTTTGGACTTGTTTCAGCGTTTGGTAAGGATAAATCAGCGAAGAAGAAGAAACGAGTAGACGAGAAAATTTATCGGGCATGTGAAGTCGAAACAATATCATCCACCACCGATGGCGAAGGTAATAACGAACTCGGTGGTACTTTACTCTACATGAGCCCAGAACAGGTATGTTCTTGAAACAAGCCTTTGTTTCTTTTCCAGTTGAATGAATCATATTTCTTTGCTTATAGATGCATCAGCAACCATACAATCAAAAAGTTGATATTTATGCTATCGGTATTATTCTCTTCGAACTCCTCTACCCATTTTCCACTCAAATGGAACGTATGCAAGCTATAACCAATCTTCGTTTATCAAAACCAGTATTTCCCGCAGATTTCGAGCATGATGGGAGCAATCAAAGTCGACGGATCGTAAGTATTCTTTAGCTAAAGCTCAACCTTGTTTGAGATCTTGAATTTTCAATTTACAGCATAATTTGATACATTGGTTATTATCCGAATCATCAAGTGATCGTCCACGAGCAAGCGATTTACGTCAGAGTGTTTTGTATCGACGCATATTACACGTAGAGGCACCCGATTTGTTTCCAGTTGATAATCGGCAGAAAAGCCAAACAATAGTAAGTGAAAAGGATGAAACGCCTATGTGCCATTCGCCACGCGGTCGAATATCATCGTCACCGTTCCGTCGAACATTATCGTCCTCGGCACTTGATTCGCGCAAAGAATCTGAATCAGGAGATGTAGAATGCACATCGTCAGCCGCTCAGTGAAAAACATTGCATCTGATGTGATGAAAATCTTTTATGAATTTTGTTCTTTTTCTTTGCTTTTTGTCTGAACTGTATATATGGATTAAAAAAAGATCATTAATCGTTGGCTTTTCGTTGATATTTTCTTATGATTTCATTTTATTGATTGGGAATGGATTTCGACTATTTTTGTTTGTTTGTTTGTTTATTATCCACAAAAAAAGAGAGAAAGAAAGGCAAATGAGAAATCAAACTCCTGTTGTTTGTCTTGGTATGTACAGAAATAAGAGATAATTATTTTGTAAGACTATCACGTAGATGAACCACCAACCTAAACGGAGAAGCAAAATTCACTTGCAGAAAAATTCAGAAGACGAAGATTTACTTGTTCTTGATAAACTTCGATTGTATCGTTATCTTCCATTTCAAGCTGTTTGGGAGTTTCATCGTCGTTGATACGTTTTCCATCGAAAAGAAATCTTCGAAAGACAAACAAAATAGGATTTAGTCTAATCATTCCAGTATTTAATCTACCTTAATGTCGCTACACCGACGCCTTGTCGTTCTGCATATGATTTTTTCAATTTACCCATGCTAGTGGTCATTTTAACTTTAAAATGAACTTCACCTGGAAAAAGAAAATGCTTGGAAAGAGTTACGACTTCGAGAGAAATCTTTACTATTATCTTGTCCGACAACGCGAAGTTTGATATATTCTTCTTGCTTATTTTCGGCTGTCATGATGAGCAAAATTTGGAATAAGTATAATCAATTCTTCTCGTTTGAATTGAACAATAGAACATCCATAGTTTATTTTCGTCGAATGTTTTTTCGCCTCTCATAAATCACTGAAAAATATCAAACCTAATTTTTTTCATTAAAATTCACTCGGCAAACTTTTCGATTTGATTTTTCTTCGCAGTTCGTTCGTATAGATGTCGCTTCGAATATTTCGCAAATCAATTCTAGTTCTTCGATTAAATATCCAAATAAAAAATCTCGATTTTTTGGTAATTTTAGAAAAAAATTATTTTGTCCAAACTTGTTTCCGATTTGTCAAAAGTTGACACATATTTAGAGGTTTGAAATAAAGAGAGTACTATATAGGCAGTATGGTGGCTATGTTAAAAATATTAAGCACGACAGATTTCTTTTCTTTTTCTCTTTCAGTAATCTGAAAGAAAGTATGCAATGATAAGAAGCTAAATGTTCAAGATTAAAATTCGATTTCAGTATGGATTAGCAACAAGACAGACGTATTCGACAAAGTTTTTCTTTTCTTTTGTTAAGTAAACAGTAAGTGAAATTAAATAATCTAAGCTATTTTCTGATCTTTTCGTTTGTATGAATGTTAGTAAAACAAGAATTCGACCTTTTTCCTAAAAGTGCAAATGTCCGAAAGAATAGAAACCTAATCAGATCATTCATCTAGATTGATCTAAACGATATGATGACATATTTTATGCGTGTAAAACGTCGTATGGCTTTCTTTTTATCAATGTGATTCTTTATCTATTTTAGATGGGACATACTAATAGAAAGATTTGTCCTTAACTTGAACTAAACAGAGAAAAGTCATCTTTTAAACTCGTTGTATCATCTTAAACTTCGAACAGTGATTATTCTACTAGATAATACAAGAAATGAATCCACGCATCATCGAGAAAACGACTATTATCAATGATTCACTCTCAACAACACAACCAGCTAAACCATATATCATCCGTATTCCACATATTCAAACGAAATCTTCATTGACTTCAGAAGGTGGAAAAGTTGTTATTGTTAAAACTGCTCCAACTTCGACAACGCCGAATCCATCGATTACCTTACAAACTACTCCGCAACAACCTAATAGATCCTTTTCTGTTGTTAAACTAGCTGATGGACAAATCGTTCTTGTTCCCAATAATACTCAGTCACAACCACAACCACAACAGCCACAGCAGCAGCAACAACAACAACCACGACCACAATTGATTCTGAATAATGAAAATGGCATATCAAGAATAATCAAAGCATCGTCTACAAGTCCGCCAAATCCAACTGGAATCATATCAACGATAAAACGAGTTACGAAAGAGCAAAACACATCTCGAGTGAGCACAATTCAAATAACTAATTTAACATCTCCGTCGAACAATTTCAAATCATCTCCGACACAAAGTTTAACAACATCTCCACAAGAACGTCGTTTACGTCCGATTGCACCCGCACCAGTATTCTCGACCTCAACAGCTAACGATCTTTTGAATTCACTTTTAGCTCAACAACAACAATTGAATGCTGTTGTGTCCGCAGAGAATCTACTACGCTTCGATCCAACCGAAAGTGTTCTGCTCGGAGGCGGAGATGACGCATTGCCGCTCATATCCGAAACAGTCACACTTGATAGTAATGGCTCATCTCTAGCAAATAATAATAATAATAATAAACGTAAAATTGAGACTTCATTACCAGTTCAACATCAAACGTCACTGCCAGTCGTTTCATCGCCGTCGATACAGCAGAAACCTAAACCGATACGTAAAACTACTCCGCCTGACGAGAAGACAACAACGAAAGCACGATTAGAAAATAAAGCCACATCCATCATAAAAGATTCTCGGAAAAAGATGACACCGAAACAGACCGTTCCAGCTCCCGTAGTCACATCTGAAACACGAATTCAAAAGACACCGGTTAAACGACCAGCGCCAACAGCTCCACCGCCAAAAATTGATCCCGAAGAAGGTATTCGAATGAAGATTTGTGAAACGATTCTACGTTCACTCATCGGCCGAATCGAACGTGAACAAAATCAAGAATCCATTAAAACCCGTTTAGAGAAACATAGCACGACAATTCCGAAGTCGGAACATCGTCAAATCATTTTGACACGTTTATTAAATGAACGCGTTGATATTCTCCGACAAGAATTCATCAAAAATCGTTCCGAACGTAAAACAGCATTAGTTAAAGAACAATTTCAAATACAACGTCTCAAACAGCAACAGCAAATCATTCTCAAACAACAACAACAAGCAAGTCACATGAAACACGAATCGATTATATCCGATGATGAACATAACAAAGATTTACAACCACCCACGAAAAAAGTGAAGAAAATCAATGGCAATGAAATCAAACACAAACGACAAACAATACCGAAATCATCTGAACACGGCATCAAAAGGTTTGCTTCGAATATTTTCATCGATGTCGTAACCTTGCAAATTCTCTTTCAGTACAATATCCAAGCGAATGCGTCCACTTTCGTCAACAAAAAGTTCCGAAGACGAGCAAACCCCACCAGCCAAGAAAGCTCGTCGTCAACGTAATCACATTCATGAGCAGTCGGATGTATTTGATAATGACGAAAACTTTCTCACAAGTCGTAAATCATCTTCAACATCATCCAAACTCAAACCACAATTGTTCACCACATTTCACAACTCGATTCAACGAAAAGGCAATAAGTTATCCTCTGACTTTAAACCCGAAAATATCGATTGTAGTTGTAAACGTAATAATGATACACAAGAGAAGTTTTTCATTCAATGTGAATTATGTTCGCGATGGTTACACGGCAAATGCGTGGGTTTAACAGCGCGACTTGCTGAGAAAATGAACGAATTCATCTGTGAAGATTGTGCAATATTAACACAGAGAGCAAAAGAACGTTTGTATTGTATTTGTCAAAGACCGTATGATGATTCGAGGTAGATTAATTGCAAGTCACTTCTCTCGTCAATTGAAGATTTTTTGTTTTCAATTAGATTCTATATCGGTTGTGACGTCTGTGCTGATTGGCTACATGGTTCTTGTGTAAATATAACACCTGAAGATGCTGAAAAATTTGAAGTTTACGTTTGTCCACGATGTTCGACAGAGAAGAAACAAGAGTTTTTAAATAAACCAATCACTGGTGAAACAAGAAAGAAATTACTGGATCTGATCGATCAACTTCTGGTAATAGAGTAGTACCTTCGTTTGGAAATCGAAAGACTTACCATTTGTTAATAGGCACATCAAATGTCATGGCCATTTCAAAAACCTGTCGATGTGAAAGATGTACCGAATTACTATAAGATCATCAAAGATCCCATGGGTACAAACAAGCACTTTGTTGATCATCGAACCATTCATTTGTCTTTCTCTTTAGACTTAACAACATTGAAAACGAAAGTCCTCAGTAATAAATTCAAGACTATATGTGATTTTATTCGTGATGTTAATAAAATCTTCAACAATTGTCGTCAATTCAACGCCATTGACTCGACATTTTCTCAATGTGCTAATGTAGTGGATAATTTCTTTCGTCAACTATTAGAAAATCTTATGGTAAAAGAACAAAATTAATGCATAACAAGAGCATGAAAATACAATTCTCTCGTCATTTGTCGATTTGATTTTTCTTTTCTAATCATCGGTATTCGTGTTTTTCTTTTGTTTTATTCATGTTCATCTCGTTCCTTTCGTCTTTATACATGTCGTTTTTCGCATTCTAAGCGAAACTTCTATTCAATGTCTTGGTTTCTATGTACCTATAGAAAACAAAATCTATCTGTGTAATGTCTTTGGTCTTGTTACATTTTGTATATTAGATTGAGCAAAAAAAAAGGAAAGATATGGCGTGCTTGTTTGTTTGTTTGTTTTGTTTTGTTTTATCACTCATTATTTTTTTTCTCGTGTTCGCGTCGGAAAACTTGACTACCTGTTCTGTTTCATCCTTCTTCCTTCTATTAAATATGCATATAAAGACAGCTGGTTATTTAACTGAATGAATTTGTCGATCGGTATATTAAAAATCTACACATCATTGCATAGAAACTACGAATCTATGCTTTTGTCTTTTTTCGTTTTGAAATGAATAGTTCAATTGGTTTCCTGCGGATCTCGTATGTCAATTAGAATACAATAATTATGTTGTCTATGTGGTTAAGTTATACGACATCGTACTAGTTGAGAAAGATACGAACTAACGTTGATCTGTTATCTATTGCCATCTATATCGTAAACAACTGATCCTATTGGCTTCTATAATTGTTGCTGATAAAAACATCATTTCTGCCGAATCGGCCATCTTTCTCTTGTTCTGTTTTGTTGTTTATCTTGTTGAGTTGAGTTCTTCTCATCAACTTGCGAGTAGCAAGTTATTTGTAAATTATCGGCACGGAAGAAAATTGATCTGATTTTGTATTAACTAAATATGAGTACAGACGAAAGAATCTCACCTTCTACAGAAACTGAACTTCATCATCGTTATGTTGGATCAGAAGAAAATACAAATGTATCCCCATCATTGAGACCAGCACCGACGAACGTTGCTTCGCCGGTGACGGAAGATGATGACATGGAACCGTTACCATCGCAACCAAGCGGAGCGAATATGATTTCGGAAGAGTCAGTTATTCAAACCTTCATGCAATATTTCGATCGATTGCTTGTTGGTCTTGATCCACGCTGGCGTAATTGGATTATTCGTGGAATATTTTCGTGGGTTATGATTCTCGGCTTTGCTAAATTAGTATCCATGGGCCCACTTGTCGTATCTTTAGTCGTTTTGCTTATACAAATCAAATGTTTTCAAGAAATCATTAATATTGGTTATATTGTCTATAAATCTCATAATTTGCCATGGTTTCGTACGTTGTCCTGGTATTTCTTGTTCACATCTAACTATTGGCTTTATGGAGAAAGCTTAATTCATCATTTTGGTTCTATGATGAATAAAAACAACTTTCTTCAACCACTAGTCACCTATCATCGTATGATCGCATTTCTTCTATACACGAGTGGATTTGTTGGATTTGTATTAAGTTTAAAAAAGACTTATTATCTCAAACAATTCACTCTCTTCGGTTACACGCACATCACTCTGATGATTCTAGTCACATCAAGTCATCAAATGATACAGAATATCTGCGAAGGTAAATATTCAATCGAATCGCAACATAGGAAAGAATCGATTCTGTTTGTTCGCTGTTGATACACACACTGTTATCCTAAGCCGACTGTTTTGACCTTCATACTTGTGTAAACATGTACCCATCTATTAATATGCGAAAAGAGCTGATTTTTTTGCCTCGAACTCGACTAGGTAATTATCTTTGATTCAGTCAACATCGAGAACAAGTTATATTCTTCAACAGAGATCTGATTTCCGTGATATTTCTCATTTTAATCCCCTGGAGATTTCCTGAAAGCTTTTTTTATGACAAGCGTATGCAAGAGATAATGAATCAAACTTACTCTCTAATTAGATTTCTGTATAATATTTCCGAGGAAATTTAGGTATGATATGGTTTCTCTTTCCTGTTTCATTGATTATTTGTAATGATATCATGGCTTACATGTTTGGTTTCTTCTACGGTCGTACACCATTAACGAAATTGTCACCAAAGAAAACCTGGGAAGGTTTCATTGGCGGTGGAGTATCAACATTGGTCTTTGGCTTTATCCTAGCTGGCATACTGAGTCGTTACCAATTTCTTGTCTGTCCATTGGAATATGATGATGAACATAGTCGACTGGCAACATCATGTATTCCGAGTCCGTTATTTCAAAAGACGGTTTATTCAATGCCGAAGCCATTTTCACTATTTAAACGTTCGCTAGAATTGTATCCATTTCAATTACATTCGTTGGTTCTGTCCTTATTCGCGTCGAGTATTGGACCGTTTGGAGGATTCTTCGCTAGTGGATTCAAACGAGCATTTCGCATTAAAGATTTCGCAGCCACAATTCCTGGCCATGGTGGATTTGTCGTAAGATAGACCATTCAACATTTTCGTACATATGCTCATACATATTTCTCTTTCCATAGGATCGATTCGATTGTCAAATTATCATGGCATTATTTACAAATGTTTATATCTCAACATTTGCACGTGTTGCATCTCCAACGAAACTCTTGCAACAAGTATTAGCATTAACACCTGAAAATCGCGAAGAATTTCTTCGACTCCTCCGTAATCATATCAAATGATAAGACACATTTCAGCAGAATTCACATTCATTTTAACCGGTTGTTGTCGTTGTTGTTAGTGCATTTCTAATTCAATAGTCGGATCGATCTGTGTTGTTCTCGTGTGCATTTGACAAGACTTTCTAGTGTTTTATTTCTCCCTGTATATAGATAATCAAACAGTTAGCTTCCCTTTCACCCGATATTGTCAAACGTATGTATTTCGTATTCCTATGCATCAATATTTATTAAGACTTTCATCATTAAATTTCGAAAATCAATCCCATCGATTAGATTAGTCCTCGTCGTTTTCGCTAACCAATAATTCAAATGAAGTTGTAAACTTATCTCGTAAAAATCTGTCGTCAGTTTTTTGTCAATTATTTCGATGATATGCGTACGTGGTAAACACCAAACTATATGCGAGAGGATGTTCGTTGGCATACCTATAATAATACGTGCTTGTTGAAATAAATCTCGTATTTGTGTTAAATTATAGGAACTTTCATGATAATTTTCTATACGTAAATAGGAGAAGTCGTCGGGGAATTCGAATTGATTGATTATTTGAACAATTTCGTTGAAACTGTAATCGTCGAGATTGTTTCGAATGATTAAAATCAATTCACGTCGAATGGATGATTTATTAGCAATGAGAACTTTGTTTAGTAGAAGCAAATCTGAACGTGGAAATGATGTTGAATAGAGAGTATTCGTATGATAAATTTGATTGGGATTATATTCGATAAAACGGTTTCTATCGGCCACAATTCTTCGTTCAATCAAAACGTCAATATATTGAGAGATGTAGATTTTCTTGTTCAGCTGAGGTAATACGATTACTGCTGTCTGAGGCACAAGTGCTAATAAACGAATTAAACATGGTAAAATTTGTCGAACAAAAACAGTTTCATTCGTTAATTGTTGTGGACTATTAAATAAATAAATCATTTCATCATAATGGACTTGATTAGATGCAGAAGGAACAGTTTCAATAGTTACATCATATAGAGCATATGTAACTGGATATGATGGTGTCGAGGAGAGTATCATCTCGGATCTTGTGTGACAAGGATACCAATGTTTCAAACGTTGATCCTGTTGACATAGTTGTTCGAGTGATGAGCTTGTTTGAGGTAATGGAGGAAATAGCGGTGGAATTGGATCGGGTGCCGTATCGAGAATGAGTCCGTATTCGGGATGAGATTGTAAATACTCGAAAATATTGATTAAATGAAAATCTTGTCGAATGATCTGTTGAAATAATCTCTTTGGATTGTTGTATTCTTGTTTGAAATCCATCGAACGTTGTAAATGCCATAAATATCCTTCATTTTTTAGCCAATAAAAATTGAAAAAATGCGTGACATCATACCGATTTAACCATGTGGGGATATCGACACTTGCTACACTATGACTAATATTGAATGTGAACTTTTGATCGAGTATAGCTATGCTTCGTATGCGGTCAATAAATGAGTGTACATTCGTTTGTGTTTGGAATTGGTGTAAATCAGGTCGAGCGTTTCGAAATCGTTGATGTATTAATAGATATAATATTATGAGTAAAATACCGAACAGAAGGCAAGAACTTGACCGCGAAAAAATTCCTTTTCGAGTTCTCCACATTTGCCCTTAACCGGATTGAATAAGGCTCGTAATCACGCTGAAAACTGTTACACATGCTCTGAAAAGTATCAATATTTACTCAGAACAGAACAAGGTTTATCATTCTGTTCTGTGCGTTATTTTTATAATAAAGTATGTAACTTATGAATAAGCGCTAGCATATATTCTGACAGACGACAAATCAGTTGCATTAGAAAAAGTTTCATATAATCATGTGCATGTCAAATTAAGCGAAATAGACATTTTCTTTTTTTAAAGTACTTACTCAATGCCCACAATGTATGAGATTTGTTCTCTCTCTTTCTCCTTCCCGCATGTTGTTAAACATAAAGTGTGATGAAAAACGACAAACTGATGTATTGCATTTACATACGGTCTTACATTTCATAAGAAACGAATGCAACAACGGGTGATGACGCCTGCATATGTCCGTGTCATACAGATTTAACTGTTCGACATATAATGCCATGCTGTCGATCATGTTCAATATGCAAACAAAAGATAATCAATACAAATTTTGAAGAACATCAAAAGAACTGTCAAACACAACAACAAAAATGAACTGATGTCATTTATTTTTATTAATAAACCAGCACGTTTGATATAATTTCAGAGAAAAAACAAATAATGATTGTTTATGTCAAATCAGTAGAAACAATCTTCGAGAAAAGATCAAGATGCCTCAGCCAAAAAGTGTTCGTTTAACTGAGTGCGTTATGTCTATATACATAATCATCGGAGAATACTAATTTTGATTTTTCAACTGATGTTAATTAGCAGCAGTAGGTTAACTTATCATACAATTTTTCAGGTTGAGGATCTAGAGGTAAAGGCGGTGTTGGTCGTCTTCTTTCGACTAGCTTTTCCGCTATATAATAAAACAATCGAGAAATGCTTTCCTGTGGATCTGATTTGACACTTGTCTCGAAGTAGTCAACATGATATTGGTTGGCTAGTCGTCTTCCATGTTCATTCGAGACTGCCAAAGAATCATGAAGATCACATTTATTGGCTACGAGGACACGAAAGACGTCATCGGGAGCATTTTCCTCAATAGTTTTCATCCAGCGCGCAACATTTTGAAACGAACTCGCATTGGTACGATCATAAACGAGAATAACAGCGTCCGCGTTATGCTAAAATCAATTGATAGTTATTCGAAACGAGACGATCAACACAACTTACGTAGTACGCTCGAACAATACTGAAAAACTTTTCCTGACCGGCTGTGTCCCAGAGTTGAAGATCGACTGGTTTATCTCTTACATAAATCGTTTTCAATTTGAAATCAATGCCGATCGTAGGTGTGAATGATTGAGTGAATTTATTGTCTATTCGAAAAGAAACATTGTCGAAGAGCAAACTTATCGAAATTCATTTTATTCGCGTGAACATGAAAAAGGTGAAGTGTGTCATTTGGCCTTTTTCAATGTGATAAACGCCTTGTAATAGCATTCGCAAATAAAAAGATTGTGGCTTACCTGCAAATCGAAACATTAAACTTGTTTTGCCAACAGCACTATCACCGAGTAGTAAAATCTTGAATGGTCGATCTGAACGCCAGTCTTTTCTACTCATGTTGAACTATCTGAAATTACAGTGAAATAAATTTATTAGAACATACGAAGTTTGTCTATGTCTATATGAATATGTATATGTTTGACAAAAAGGACACTTATTGAAAGGAGAAGAAGAAACGCAGCAACGTTTAGAAAATATTTGCATTGCGAACTGGTCGGTAGAAGTGGAGAATATACAATGATGAATGAAAGAGAGGAAGAAAACGGTCGCTCTGGTTGTCTCTGTGCGTGTATAGTTCGATAGCATCAAGAGGCAACAACAAAAACAGCAGCAGTATACGATAATAATAACAACAAAGCAATGTTTTTCCAGATGATTTCGTCCAGTACGTGAAAATACCATGTATGTTGTTTTAATGGATATGATAAAATAAAAATTCGTATGTCTATACTCAAATATATGTATTATTTTCACCTCTTGGTGGGAAAGTTCTATAAAAAAAACTTCTGACTAATACCGATGACAAAGACAACATTTTCTCTTTCTTTATATAGACTGAAATTTGATTCTGCTTATCTCACATCAATAAATAGTACTAAACAAGAGGAAAAATACAGAGGAAAAATACATTTCAACAAAATCGTGACGTGTACTTTCTATCTGTATTTTTATTAACAAAATACTTCCTTAGTATTTTTCCATTCAAAATGTATGCATTCTGTATTTACAAGACGTCATCTGAGATGTCTACGTTGCGAAACAACAAGTTTATTTGCATACATACGAAATTATGAATAATATCTGATTCATGCGGTCGAGCAGTTCTTCCATATGGTAGTTTCGACAACGACATGATGAATCATCCATGAAGAAATGTATCTCATCGAGCTAATATTTGTCAACGGAAGTCAGAACAGATCTTTTGCAAAGAAAGTTAACCACAGAACTAATTACGGCAATCGGACGACGTATTACTGATGTCAACAAATCTGTCGACATGAACATTTGTTCGTGTATTTATATAAATACCTTGAAGATTTTCAACACCAACAGAAACATTGACGTCAAGGCCGTACATAATCAATAACATCGAAATTTTATTCAGAAAAAGAAAAATACTTATAACAAAACAAATTCATTGGGATTTTATTTTATTCCACGTTCAAATATTTCTTTTGCTTCATTTATCTTCGCAGCGATATACGGTGACCCCCCTAAAATAACACAAGCATAAAAACGTCATCGTCACTTCAATATGGTCACCTCGATCGGGATGATTGAGAATAATCAATCGTTTATAAGCATCACGTAATCGTGTCCTACTTGCTGTTGGACTTTCAAAAGTAAAGAACAATAAGATAAGTGCACCATTATATGCTTAATCCTCAACGTACCTAACGCCTAATATCAATGCAGCTTCACGTCGATTCATTTTTGCATCTATTGCATGCAAAAGTATAATTTTATTGTCATCGAAAACAGTTCTTACCGAATCCACCTTTGTAATATTTTGACTAGAGAAAACGTACTTGATTTATTCTATGAAAACTAAATCGATTGTACTCACTGAGAGTCCTTCAGAAATAATTGTGCTGGCCTTAGCCCAATTCTGCGAGAAGATTTTACCATAACGAGCGAGATATCGTCCTTCAAATTGATTCACCTCATTCTCTTTATTGATAATCAATTATTCGTTTACCGGTATATCCAGCTACAGCTAAGCTCAAACCAACGACGACTGTCATGGTCTGTTATAACACAATCGATCAGTTTCAAAAACAATCCTAACAATAAAACTCACCATCTTTATCTAGAACAAAGAGATAATTATACACGCGATATAAATTCTATTTAACTTTCATCTGACAGTTTGTACAAAAACAGAACAAGAATAAGCAAAAACGATTTAATGCTGTCCCTTTGGAGGGACAAATGTTAAGAAATCAGCGACCGGACCGATCTTTGTCCGTAATAATTGAAACGTGATATTCTACGCAACAATGATTACTACCCAAACTATGATACTAATTGCACTGCGAATCACGTCTACAGTAAATTCACTTATTTGAATGTCTGAAGAATAGCTTTCACTTACACTGACGTATTTGTGCTTGTTGAGTAGAAAAATCGTATAAAATCTAAGTTTTGTTTCGTACCATGATAGTATTGACGACAAATATTCAAACGTTCTTCGGGAGATCTCTTAGTTAATGTTACCATCGTTTATTCTGATGCAATGGATTTCATCAGCATATACGTAATTTGACAATCAGATAGTTTTCTCAATGGAGATTGGTTGTTTATTTGGTATATTCAAAGCGGCCTCTTCTCATTTATGTCATCATTGGACTTAATCATAATGAAATGGTGGACGGATTGACCGTCGGTCAATAGATAGATATCAGTCAGCAGCTCATGACCAACGGTTGCGATTAATAAGGATCATACGAACATCGAATTGAATACAATAACGAATCCTCTTGATTTTGACTCATGAAAACTATCGAGTTTTGTACACATACGTGATAATAAGATCGAAAAATCGACTCCTAGATTTTGATGTTAACTGTTATCATCGTGCATTAAAAATAGTAATACAGATTCGCTGATATTTAGGATGAAATCGCATGTTGCATCTCATATTCAGCCTGCACTGACGATATATACCAAATTGTTTTCGCGTAAATCATTATTCACAGCTGTCGTTAGTAGTCGGATGTAGATGCATACAGAAACAAAAGAAAGTATTTCAAAGTACTGTCAGGAATGATATTTTTCATAGAATCCTAAAGAAGCACGCCCGTGTGGCTCAGTGGCTAGAGCACTGGTCTAGTAAACCAGGGGTCGACAGTTCAATTCTGTCCTCGGGCATAGAAATTTCATTTTTTTAACTTTATTTCTAACTTTATTTCTCTGAAAAAGTCACATGCATAGATTAGAAATCTTGACACTCAATTATTTTATTGATTTTATCTTCTATGACAGGCGAATATACGCGTGTTCGTTAAGACTCTTAATGAAGTCTCAACTTCGAAGTTATATATATCCAAAATTTCACTGAAAATAAGCTTGGATAGATCTAATTTTATGGCTACCAATTCCAGTTCATCGTTTGTTGCTGATCTTTCCTCACAGGTCACATTCTATTCCCCGATCATAATAATTATCATGGGAAACATTGGATGCATACTGAATTTCATGACATTCACATCGCGAAAATTAATAAAAACGTCATATTCATTGTATTGTCTTAGTTCAACTGTATTTGACCTTTTAACACTTGATTTCGGAGCACTAACCCGACTTCTTATCGGTCATTTTGAATATACTATTCAAAACTATTCACAACTCTATTGTAAAATCCGTTTTTATCTTATTAATACATTTCCTGCGATTTCAACATGTTTCATCGTCTTAGCAGCCATGGATCGGTACTTATCCACTTCATCGAAACTCAAATATCGTTCGTTTGCAACAAGAAAACGCGCTATTTATTTGATCGTCTTATCCTTATTCATTTGTATTTTACTCTACACCCATTATCTGGTCTTTGCCGATCTAAGACCAACATGTAGTATTCAACCAGGAATATACAGTCTCTTTACAGTCATCTACAGTCTGGTGGTAACCTCCTTTATTCCGCATTTTCTTATGCTTTATTTTGGTTTTGGTACATTGTGTCATATTCGTACAGCTCGCCACCGTTCTGTGGCTGTTTTCAATGCTCCACAAAACCGACGGCAACGGACAGAGATACAACTTGTCACTGTAAAGCTATCTCAATTGCATTCACTTTCAAATCATTTCCCTCTTCAATTTTAGATGACTTTAGTTCAAGTAACCATATCAACAATATTGATCGGTGCTCGAATGGCTTATTATTCCTACAATGTTATAACTACTAATGCTGTTAAAACATCCGATCAAAAAATACTGGATACATTTTTTTCTGAGCTAACAACCCAATTATTTTATTTAAATTACGCCAAATCGTTCTATATTTACACACTATCCAGTCGAATTTTTCGACGAATATTAATCGCACGAGTGACGCAATTGTCTCAACGATGCTTTTGTCGACAATCACGTCATCACGTCACCCGCACCTGATTAAAGAAATTCACATTTCAATACACGTGAATCATTATCCTGTGAGAATACTTAATCCAGATTGTCGAGAATATCAATAAAAACTTAATTGCACGAGATTGAAGAACACTTTAATTGACAATTAATGAACACTCCGAGTATTAATTGTTTCTTTGCGCTAATAATTATTAAGACAATATATGAAAACATTCCTATTTCGAAAGAGAATTTGGTGTCGTTCGTAAGCTAGACGTTGTTTTGAACCCAGACGAATGAACTTTTCCCCATTCGCATGTTTTCTTCGACATTGAATACATGTGAGTTCAAGTTTTATCGTAATGAAACCGAAGAATCAAATTGTAATAATCGCGTGTTTCTTTTGTGTTTTTCTTTACCTTGAAAATCAATCTTTTATTGCGCTCGTGATTTACACGTAAGTATAAATTCCGAATAGATTTATAGAATGGATAGTTATCATTAAAGATGAATTCATCGTTACCGATCAAAAACATCACACGAGAAGTACCAAATGAATTGTTTTTCGTTACGATGTTTTCGTTAGTTTCTATCTTCATTCTAAGTGGAATATTGATATCATCGCTCTTTATTGTATTGATCATTAGAAAACGCCTCTTTCGCTCTGTTTCGACTCTTCTCTCGTGCAATTCATGTGCTTTAGGATTGTTTTATTTTACCTTCCATATATTTTACGTCATTCTCGCTTTCCATCCATTACCAAATTATCGACATAATTCTCTCACTTGTCAAATTATTGGTTATATGTATTCAGTTACATGCTGCGGCATCAGCTGGTCTCATGCAGTTCTCGCAACGAATCGTCTATGCTTTTCAATATTCCCTCAATATCGATGTTTGCTTACCTATAAATTCGCCTGGTGTCTGATAGCCGTTCATTGGACACTTACCTTTCTTCTCCCGTTTCCATTGACATTCTTCGATGCATATCAGTACCAACACGAATCACGTATATGCATTCTTACAACACGAAATACTAGTACTGCATTAACGGGTGTCATTCTTTTCTACAATATACCATTCAGCAGTATCATCATAATCTATATTCTTGTTTGGCGTCATGCACGTCGGTCATCTAATGCAACAGCGTCTCGTCCCTCGCGTGATATGGCAGTCATGCGACATATTCTTACGTTAGTGACTATCGATACCATCTGTGGACATCCATATATGACACTCATTCTCCTTGATTATCTGGGTGTCGCAACAAAAGAATGGTATTTATCTGTTACCGTTTTTATAACCTTCAGCGTGACAGCTAACATGTGCGCAATATTTATATTTAATCATAAGCTGAGAAAATACCTTTGTTCGAAATGGCCCTATTGGCGAGCTTCACAATCGAACACGAGTGCAACAACACCGGCCTTGAAGCCGATGCGTACTGCAACGTATATTGTCATGAGTGGCAATATTATCGCAAGTATTACACCGCATATAATTAACGCCGAAACTTCGACGACTGACAAAAAAGTATCCGTATTTATTAATTGTTGATAAATACCGGATTCTCTAGAACAAATCAGAGCATTAATCGTCTTTGCTCAAATCAATCACAATCGGTGGATGAGCTGTGCGAAAATAACTATCACATATAGAAGCATTAATAAATACAGTTCTGCCGAATTCATCTTCATTTTCCATCTGTCCATATGACGCATGCACATGACCAAACACGTGAAGTTTAGGTTTAACTGAGGTAGTGACCGATTGAAATAATTCTTTGCACCCTATACTGGTTCCACGCATGGATTTATCTAGAATTCCATTAGGTGGACCATGAGTAAGAAGAATATCCGTATCAGTTGGCATACTAAACCAATGTTGATGAATTTCTTTCAAATCTTTACAATGTTCAGATAACCAACCACTATTTAATAGATGAAAATATAGTCTTAGAATGAAAGATTTCAATAATCAATACCTTCCGTAGAATTTCCATCCGGTGACTGGATCTTGAAAGAAACTTTCTTGAAGATAGACAATGCCGTAATCGGATATCAAGGATTTGTCTGTTTTTAGCTGTTCGATGGCTGGTGGCAGTTTTTTGTATCGTTTCTTTGTATAGAATCGTTTCCATTCATGATTGCCAACAATAACGATCTTCAAACGGTATTGTGTAAGAGTTTTCAACCAGTTTAAAAATGTTAAAACTTCTTTTTCGGTTCCATTGTGAGTGAAGTCACCCGAATGAAGTAGAATATCACCCGGTGGGAGAACAAAATCATAGTTATCATGGTTATCACTAATACATACGAATCTCGTGATGGACAAGGATGGTTTATCTTGAATTTCAACGACTGCCTCAGCCATTTCAGGCAAAAAATGTATGTGTCACAATATATAGAAACACAACATTGACATGTGAAGAAGTAATTGCGCAACTTCACGTAATGAATCATCGGTGAAACATGACGAAACTCTTTTTGCAATCCGATGAAGATTTGCAAATTACAAAATGTCGACGTTGCAAGTTAGTTCGCTGACAGATGACTTCTTATATCACGATGATTGTATGTCTTCCTTTCCGAAATATTCAATAGAAAGCAAATCATTGCTCTCAAGATTGATTACATTCATACGAGAATCAATGATATCTTATTATACATTTTCATTTCGTACTATGTTACCCGACGACCTCTAATCATCCATTTGGCAATGATGCGTTTTTCATTTGTTTCGTTAATGAATTTACCTGACGTGTGTAATTCCGCTCTATTGAATGTATCGTAATATTAATGATCCATGGTAACTAAGCGTAATTAACGAAACATTCATTGAAGAAAAGATAGTTTTGCAACGTTATTGAAAAGACAATTTCTTTACAGAATACACAGACATTTATTTCATATGCAAAACAATCCGGATGACTAAGATTGAAAACAAATACAGACTTCATGGAAATGAGAACGAAAGAGAAAAAAAACTATATGTAAAGAAAATGTTTATCAAACAGTTTCAGACGTGATTGAAGATCACTTTTCTTTTCATTTACGAATGACAATCAAAATTGGCATTGTAGTCAGTTTTGGATGAGGATCTAACGGATCGATCCATTGAGTTACATTCCATGGCGCATCGGTAGTTGTGAATGAACCTACAGAAAAAATGCAGTAATTAACAAAGAGAAATAGGGTGTCATTGCATAAATACTGCGTGAGTGCGCGCCGTAGTCGGACGGACCGTGTCTTGGAACACTAAACACAAATCAAACCATAGTTTTGAACGAAACAGTTGAACAAAAAGGTATCACATACGAGCTTGAGTGTAAAAGTTCATGAGGATGTTTGACTTTGTATGCAACATTACCCATACTTAAATCGAGAAGGAAATGTTTGAAAAATATCTTCTTTCGATGAGAAACAACTAACCTTCAGAAAAGATATCACGTGTACGCGCAGATACGAATAAATAGTAAATAGTTTTCGATAGGAAGTCACTAAAAGAAAATCAAAGGAGAGGCAAGAACATATTGCGAATATCGAAATAGCGACGAGCAAAACACAGTGCGAGTCTTGAAAAAAACTAATTAATATCGAATTAGATAAAAACGAGAGGAAAATGTGTTTGAATTGTTGAATGTAGAAGGAAAAAATCGATGATAGTATCTACTTACTATTACTGTTTTACACAGGTATGTATAGGATGCACACATTGCAGCCAACCGTGAAAATAGTCAATATTTTTTTGTCAATGTCTACGAAAGAAAAAACGCATACGCCATTTTGTTTCTTTCGCATTCAATAAGGAGAAAATTGAGTTGGGAAGAAAGAACTGGAACATTCAAGACAAGGAAACACACCGCATAGATGAAATCTAATTTCACAAATTATGCCTATACTTTAGAGAATCAATGATGTTTCAATTGATCATAGGAATGAAATTTGACGCAGTTTAATTGCGAGAGATAGATAGTAATATAAGTAAAAGTCGAAAAAAACATTTAGCGATTAATATCTGCTTGATCGCTGAATGATTGCATCGAATGAAATGAAAGAGAAATCAAATTGTTTTAATTGTCATCAGTTTTGTACCTCTATATTTCACAGAAATCTTATCTGATTAATTAGAGTCACAAATATGTTTACATGGTAATTCATCAAAAGAAGAGGATGAATTGAGCTTTATCCGGATCAATCTTCATGGTCAGATTGTTTTAAGCTCTATCACATGATCAACGCTTTTCTTGGTTTCATAACTCGTAGATTAAAAAGTTGAATTGTATAATAGTGAAAAGATTTCCATATGTTTCGATGATGTGGATAAAATTGATGTCGATCGTAGAAACTTATTTTGAATTTTTTACACTTCATAGTAAACGCCCTGTATCTCTGATTGTTAGAGAACAAATATATGATCTACTTCATATATAATTTTATAACCTATTTTCAAGAAGAAAACAAAAGCCATGTATAGTTGTCATGTTGACAAGGTTTTTCTTTCTGTTCTCACTGGTTGCCAACAACAGCATTATGAAGTATTTTTCTTCTTCTTCTTCTGCCGCATTTCAGCTCTACATGTCGTTTTAGTCATGTCAGATCCATCTAGACAGCTGCGACGTTATTCATCGCGAGTACCGGTGCGTATTTCACGAAACTACACGAAATTGCCACCTATTTCACAAACAGCTCGTTCAACAGATACAAATAATGATTCGAGCAGGTCTGCTGACATAATCCATCCAGCAGAAAACGCACTACCACCGACCAGACTGACTCCACTAGCACATTCGCCAAAAGACGGAGAAGATCATTCGTTGAAACCGACATTAACGAGTACCACTAATGATACTAATCATCATTCATCTATACCGATAGATGCCAGTAAATTTTGGGTTAAGCTAGGAGAACATGTTGCTAAAGAACCTTTACCAAATTCTAATGATCGTGGGCATCAGCGAACGCCAAATAAAGTTGTGCGAATATTCGTCTCGTCGACATTTACTGATTTTTTTAACGAACGTGAAGTCTTAATTAAACAAGTATTTCAGAATTTTTCAAATAGAATTCGGCACTGATCTTCTCCTTTTGAAGGTATTTCCAGAATTGCGCGATGAACTAGAACCAGCGGGTATTCAAATCATTGATTGTGATCTTCGATGGGGTGTAAGTGTTTATCTTTTCCTCAAACAGAATCGATGGCACACATACAAAATATAATCCACATTCAGGTACCAAAGGATTCAACAACTGAACAGACTATTCTAGCATGTATGGAAGAACTTGATCGATGTTTCGAAGATAATGGTCAACCATTCTTTATCGGTCTTGTTAGTGACAAGTAAGTTTCATTTCATCATTCATTTTCTCACTCATTATTCAAGTATCATTCCTTTCACAAAAGGAAAAACTGCTAACTATAGAGAAGAACGCGTAAACACGCTGCTCATCAATCGTTTTTTCTCAATTTCTAGTCACTATCGAGTTCTTTCATTTAGATATGGTTGGGTACCGAAAATCACTGAACTGCCTGGCTGTATAACAGACCGTTATCGATGGATTGACGGAGCGTCGATCACTTTGATGGAATTCATTCATGGTGCATTTCGTACACACAATCCCAATGCTTTTTTCTTAATGCGCAATTCGGAGAACATCCTGAAAAATCTACCGGAGAAATATACTGATAAGTTTCGTGATAAGGATGAACAGAGTCAACGTCAAATTCAAGAATTAAAAGTTCAGCTATCACATTTCGTTCCAGAGGAACATATTTTCCACTATGATTGCTTTTATAATGGACTGGATTCGACTACGGGACGTGAACGAGTACTGAACATGACTTTTTCGATCGATTTTTAGTAAATTAGTTGTCTTTTTAGGTGAAAATCGACGGTTTACACGATTTTGCAGTAAAAGCGAAAGAATTTCTATCGAATGCGATCAAAAATTGGTATCCCGAAAATTTTCATACAGATGCTTCATTCAGTACAGGTATGATCTTCGCAAACCTTCTCTTCCACAAAATGTTCGCTTTGATATTTCAGACGATAAGCAAATGAATACGTTTCTTTTGAATAAAACTCAGTTTTTTGTTGATCGACACGAAGAATTCTCGATTTTACTCAAATACGTAACAGGTGAACAAATGGATCTCAACTTGCTTACTGGTAAGCTCCTGAATAGTATACTTTGCCAATGAATTTCTCTCCAATTTCCACTTATTGAAGGAATGGCAGGAGCAGAAGAGAAAAACATTCCGATGATGGCTATCAAAGGGCGGCCTGGTGACGGAAAAACGATGTTACTTGGAAAATTTGCTCTACACCTTGAAGTAAAACGATGAGAAAACATCTTAAATTTCTATTCACTTGAAATTTTGGTTTTATAGGAAACAATGAAAGATAAATTCTTTCTATTCTATCATTTTCTCGATGGAGCATTCCATCCCAATGTGTCTACCTACATCAATAGCCATCTAAAACAAAAACTCGACAGATATATCGGTAAGAAATGATTATAAACACAATGAAAACTAATTCAAATGGTTTAGAACAAAATAAACTTATCTCTCCACATACCGGAGAACGACCAGCCATTACCAGTGACAATTTCATATCACAAGCCATATCATTACTTCCCGTTCCATTTGTTATCATCATCGATGGGTTAGATAAAGTCAGATAGTGTTTATCAAAGCAATTTCTCCTACTTGCAGTGTTTGTTCTTAGGGCGATATTCATCATCAACGAAAATATCGTGAAGAATTCATATTTTATAACTATGAAATGTTGGCAAGTGATCATACATACATTATACTCAGCTGTGAGCCAGGCTTCGCACTGTATAATGAGATAACTAGATATAATCGCTATGAAATCGAACTCAAACCATTGACAATAGAACAACGTTCAGCGTATATCGAAAGATTCTTTCGACAATTTAATAAAGTAAGTTTAAAGAAAAATGAACGAGAAGAAAAAATTGCTTAGAAATGTCTTAAATTCGAACCCAAATCATTCCTTGAACTTCATAGACAGTAAAGCCAGTTATTCGTTTAATCGAGGAAATTTTCACGAGTTTTCGCTGTGATGATGGAATTAGATTAACAAGTAAACATCGATATGTATCGATTTCCGATGTGAGATGAGTAGTGTTACTGCGAGAGTATTGAACATGAGATTCTAATTCCAAGAGTTGAGTTTGTAATTGATGGTATGTAGCATTTAAACCTTCGTTTTCCCGTTGATTGTACTCGCGAAGTTGCCTGAGATCTACTTGTAAATGTTCTTTAAAGAGAAAAAGAGAGTTCGATTGTGGAAAAGGGAAATTTCACTTACTGAATTGCTTCTCGAGTAATTGGTTTTGTTCGATTAAGTTGTTTGAAGAAGATAGTTTGTCTTCATCTTGATGAACTTCTTGCCGGAATGATTCGACTTTTAGTTGATAGAACATTTCTAATTCAGTAATCTGAGTCTGATTATACTTTTGATAATCTTCACTAGAAAATCAAAGCTTCTCGTTAGAAAAGAGAGAGAGAGAGATCTTCGAATTTCATACCGAATTTTCTCTAAAGTTTTGTCCAATTCAGTTTTAGTAAAATAATTATTTGAATCACTTTGAATTTTCTCCAGAGATTCGAATTCTTGTTGACATCGTCGATTATATTCTTGTTCGAATAGGATCTGTTCTTTCAAAGTGAATAGATAATTCTCGATTTTCATCCGATCAAAAATGACATTCGTATAATCATGTGTGTAGACGTTCAATTTAGTTACATATTCATCGTATAGCTTTTTATTCAACTACAAACAAACAAGCATTTCTGTCAATGTGAAGATAAACTTGTGTACAGAATTACCTGTATGTCTTGTTGTTGTTTTTCGTAGTGTTCTTTCAGAAAACCTAGTTCGAACTGATCGGCTTCGAGTTTCTGTTGCAAGGTTTGAAGTTGTTGCGTTGAAGAAAACAATTGTAGTTTATTTCGGTAGTACTTTCGATCGTATTCAGCACGTTCTAAACGCAACTGTGAGGCCAAGTATTGGCGCAATTCTTGATTTAATTGCCGACGAAGTTTCTGAAGTTCGGTTTGAAACGAAAGTTGAGTTGGTTTGTACGTTTGATGAAAATTGTCGATTTGAGTGCGTAAAATAATGTTAAGATCAGCTAGCTCTTTGATTTTCTCCAGATAACTTGCGAAGCGATTGTTTAAGACATTTAATCCTTCTTGTTCATCTTCAATATCAATTGCACTCAACCGTTTAGTTGTACATCGACGTTCGAATGTCCGAACAGTCGTTTCACTTCTCGTGGACATGTATTCTGGAAGATTTTCTATTTCACTCGAATCTTGCATTTGATGTCTGTTATAAAGTTACTTCAAAAGATGTTGTTATTCATTTGTATAACGACATATACTTGATAAGAAATTTGTCATTTGTTTTTCATCAACCTTGATCAATTTAAAGATAAATTTATTTTATGCAAATGAAGACAATAACAAGTCTGCGGTTTTTTTTCTCTCTTTACGATAGATGATTGGATGATTGGAGTCGTCGTTTTGAGGTTTGATGTCAAAATTTTTGTTGAATAATATCAATCGAATGCGATGAATATTTGTCTGACGAGTCGAAGCAAAACCGATTGGTCTAGAACTCTCACTTTCGTTCGCAATCAGATCGAATTTCATTATTTGGAATATTTACAGACCTTCATATTGGGCTTTTTTCGTCACTGTTCTCTTCCTATTTTTCGTTTATATACAAATGTATACTTGAATTCTTAAACTGTAGATGTATTTACGAGTCAATAACAACTATATTGAAGTACTCGTGTCGATGAAATGAGAAATTATATAGTAGAAAGATTTGCATCAAGTATCAGTGAAGAGAATTGGAAGAAACATATCGTAAAAGTAATGACAATTTATTTACTTTATTAGACACTTGAGCCTGAACAGAAAAGTTTGATACTAAACAACAAAGGCGGTGAACATCCTCTGTATTTATCTTATCTATGTGAAAATCTTCGTCAATTCGGTGATTATTCGCTCGTAACGAAACGTCTGAAAGCATATCCACAAACTACTGATGAACTACTTGATGTTTTACTCAATGAAATCAGTGCAACGATTGATAATCAAACGCTTGTTGATGCGGTAAGTTGAGTTTAACAAAACAAAGGCAACCATCAGTTGCTTTTTGTAGTTTTTCAAGTTATTAATTATTTCAAATGTTGGAATACTGGAATCCGATGTTGTGACAATGTTGGATAAATTCTTAAATAAAAACACGGATGAAAACAACGGAATTAATGTCGATCGAATGACATGGTCGACGATACGTAGATATTTGAAAATCTTTCTGGATACAACATGGATCGATGGACATCATTTGATTACCTTTCGACATTCGTCACTTCTTCAAGTAAATATTTAGTCTCGACATTAATGTTTTCAATCAAATTTTCGTCTTTAGAAATTACATAAACGATACTTCAATGAAAATGATTCTGAATTGCGGTCTATTCATGGTTTCTTCGCACAATTTTACTTATCGTTTACAACTATCAAAGAATATTCTCGTCGTCGTGTGCCGTATCATTATGAACAAGCACATATGATTAAAGAATTAATCGCATTTCTCCGCTCATTAGAATCACGAGCAGTTAGTCAAATAGATCGACAAGCATACCTTCGAGTAAGTCAATTCTCTCCAACCGAAATCAGTTAACATCGTCTATGTAGAATCATCGCTGTAAAAGACAACTTCCACCTCAAGACGGCGTTTCGAATCAACGTGCCTATGTGTGCAATGTATGTGCAACACTATTCAAACTCGGTCCGTTCACAATGACGAAGAATTCATGCGTTCTCTGTACTACACCAATCTTGAGTTCCTCTCTGGCACAAAATGACCACCAGAAACGTGAAGCGCGGATTTGTATGAGTCATGGTACTCCAGGATATCCACGTACAATTAAATGTGTTACCTGTAAGGGTCTTCGATCGAGAAATGTAGGAACGCCGACACCACAAATAGAACCTGTAGCAATGAATGTATGTCTTCAGTGCTGGATGATGGGCGGGGCAGGAACACGTTGTTGTGACTTTGAAACTGATTGAGTTTTCTTTTTATTGTTCTAAATAAAATTTTTTTAAAGGATGCTTTATAAATGTGTGTCGATGACTGATTCATAAGCGCTGCCATTCGTATTCATGAAGTACAACTTCGTCTATGAAAATTGGACGAGAACCGAGAATATTCTTTTGATAATTTTTATTATCTACATTATTATCAAACAAACAGCTTCTAGAATAAATATTCAACTTGTGAGAAGAGAATTTGATGTATGCTAGTCGATAGTCTCTATAAAGACAGATATCGTCGATGTTATTTTAGTTATCAGTAAGTAAAAGACAAAGAGATACGATGAGTGATACAAAAGTTGAAAGGCGACAGTTGCCATCCATTATCGGACTACCAGCAAATGGACAAACGAGCACATTTCTGGGTCGTATAACTCGTGCTCATTTGATTATCGGCGGATTGATACTTCTTGGAATACTTTCATTGTCACTTCTCATTACCGTTATTGTTCAAGCAGCAACACATCGCAAAGAGACGACGGATACCACGTCAAATAGTGAATTTTGTTTAACTCGAGGATGCTTAGCGGCTGCAAGTCATCAGATGCGTTCAATGGATAAAACAGCATGGAATGATCGGTGTACGAATTTTTATCAGTATGCCTGTGGTACTTGGGAACAAACTCACCCTATACAATCATTTGAAGTGGAACGGACAATCCTTGGTGATCTTATCGAACGACGAGATGAAGATATTGAACGTCTTCTCGATGCACCAGTTTCTCGTTCGACTAAACGAAGTTGGGAATGGAAAGTTAAAGTCTGTATTATCCTGTTTGATTTTTATACAGAGAAAAACAAGATTTTCGAATGATTCATGTAGACCTATTATACGGAATGTTTGGATGATTATGCACGTGTACCTGCAAGTGGAAAAGCAATGATCGATCTAATACAAGATAATGATACAATTCAAGGTTGGTTTTTAATTGATAATGGTGCTGAAGGTGCTAGTCAAGAATATCTTCTGAAAAATCAAACCGTTTTGAAGCAAATGTCACACATTCATGGCGATCTTGGTAAAGATCAAACGTTTGCCATACAAATGAAAACCATTATTTTCTTGTCCTAGGTGCAACTGTTGTATTTGATCTACGTGCTGGATTCGATGATTCGAATTCGAAAACTAAACGTCTAGAAGTATACTTTCGAGAAATATTTTGCTTGTCAAAATCTTCCATTGATAGTTTTCTCCTGCTGGCCTATCGATGGACGTGAACGATTACTTGAACAGTGACACAGTATCAGAAGGAGTAAGACATCGAAAATCGTTCGTCGGATGTCATTCTCTTGTTTCGCTTTAGCATCGTTCAGCATATCGACTATACATATTGGAAATTTTAACTTTGCTTAGTCAAGATGCGGTTATAAGTGACGGAAATTTAGGTGATCGAATGTTCACTATTGCAGAAGATATCATATTTATAGAGACAGACATAGCACAGGTATATTTCAAACGAAAAATTTTCAATTTGCTCTCATCCTGTCTGTTCAATTATTCATTCAGGCCATGAAATTCAGTAAAGATAATGGTGACAAAGGAAAAACAATAACATTAGGAGAGATGTTTAATATGTATTCAGTAAGATAGACTTGCTAATTTTTCAGCTAATCAATGTTTTTCCATAGTTCGATTTTCTTGAATATCTATCACATGTGTTAGAAGATGCAAGTATTGTGTCATCTACAACACCAGTTTATGTCACAAGTCCATTATATTTTGAAAAAGTTTTTTCAATCCTATCGATGAATAACAAGTAACTATGATTGCACTTTTTCTCTTCGTCTGTATTTGTCTGGATGGAAATATTTAGTCAAACGTACGCTCGACGTATTCATAACTACATGCGCTGGAGATTGGTTCGAACATATATTGAAGATTTATCCTATAATTATCTTCATGCACATCGAATCTTTCTCGATAATTATTATGGAGTAAAACTTCACTCGACGAATGAAGCATATTGTACACGAGAAGTTATACGACGATTTCCGCTTGCTATTCAACGTTTGTATACGATGAATTCTACGACGCACTCAAGTGCAGTTGCAACTGTAACAAAGGTGTTCGATGCATTAAAAGACGGATTTCGACAATATATCGATGAACAAGCAACATGGATGGATGAATCAACCAAAGCAGTAGCTAGAGAGAAAATAGCCGCAATGACATCAGCGATTGGTTATGCTTCTATCGCATCCGACGATGGTCGTCTTGATGATTATTACGAGAGAGTAGGTGTCAATGGAATAATGTCGATTTATTTCGTGTGTAAATAATTCATTTAGTTTGCAGTCGTCGATCGATCTCATTTTGAAAATGCATATGGTTATCATCGATTTCATTCGTGGACAATCTCGAATTCACTGACAAATCCTGATCTACTTGAACATTGGGATACTTTCGAGAGACGAACCAGTCAATTCTATGATTATATTGCTATGTTCAATCGACTTTTCGTTATTGCTAGTGCTATGCATGTTCCACTTGTTGATAGTGATTGGCCATGGTAAGTTTAACTGAAATCGAGATTTGTTATCAAGATTTTCACGAGAGAAATTTTCCGTCTGATTACTTTCGATTTATACGAATCAATTTCATTTTGTAGGCCCGTGAACATGGGTTCAGTTGGTGTTTTACTTGCTCAGAAACTCTTTTCCAGTATTGACAGTCAAGAAGGTACGTCACACAAGTTAAAGTTAATTGTAAAAATCGAACATGCATTTTATTCACACATAGGTCGTATACATGCTGCTGATGGAACTCTCATTCCCGATTGGTGGTCATCACAAACAGCGAATGCGTATAATACCAGTCGTCAATGTATAACAAATTATTATGTGAATGAAGTCAAGTCGCTTTCCTACAATGTTAATGGTGCTCAAATAGTCGTTCGACTCGCTGGTGAACCATTTTCTCCCACGACTCTACGACAGATTGGTGCTTTGCGTTTTGCTTATGCAGCAATGAAGAAAACTGATCAATTGAAATCATTAGCTATGCCCGGCACAAATTTAACCAGTGATCAAAGTTTCTTTCTTGCTTACGCTCAAACGCAATGTTACAAACGGCAAGAATTACTTCAATTAGTTCGAACACAAATCGGTATTTACGATGAAGGAACAGCATTAAATGCTGCACTTATCCATATGCCGGAATTTTCTAAAGCATTCCAATGTCCATCAAAAGATGCAACATGCTTTTAGCTGGATGGAAGTTGTATGTTTGTGTTTTGCGGCGTAAGACCAGAAAGCTCGAATAAAAATTTACCTTTTCTTCTCTTATCGTAGTCTATATCGAAGAATTCGAGTTGCCGATGAATGAAATATCCCACCGATCAGTTTTAACTATCAACGAGATCGTGGTGCGGATATGTCGTTCATGAGCAGATGCCTCAGACGAATGTGTTCAAATGTCTTGATGGTTAATTTCTCTAATCGAATACAAGAGACGAACGAATGACGAATAAAAGAGCAAGACAGCCATTCAAATTTGTCGTCATATGTAAGGAGAAGAAAAGAAGAGAGAAAAGAGAAATAGAGAACACGAACAAGTTAGTGTGGGTGTCAGATGGATAAGTCATATCATTAGCAGGCTAGAAAAAAGAACTGTCATTATCTGATTTTAATAACAAACACATTTGTCACCACTAGAATAGATATGTATTTGATCGAAAGTACTAACAATTATCAAATTCGATTTCTTTTTTCTTCATCTGTTGGAGGAATAATAGCAACCATCGATATCGAAATGAGTTAAAGATATATATCTCTTTGACTTATAAATATAATAAGTCAATGTTGATGATTAGCCATCAATGATGTCTTTACCATCATTTTTGTATTCACCATTGGACGCAGCACTATATGCCTAGAGATCAAACGAAGAATATCACAAAATATGTGTTGTGTCTATCGTAGAATTACTTTGACGCTCGATAAAAGTTGATTTCGTGCTAGTTCGATATTTCCTGGTTTTCCAGCCCAGATGCGAAGAACACTCGTTTGCATTGCTTGTCCATAACTGAATGTTAATATCCATGGTTTCTTATCTGGAATCTGATTGATTGTATTCAAGCTAACCAACAATTCTTCTTCCAATTGATTACCTACAAAACGCACGGCATTTTAGTGTCCGTCAATCCTTGACTAGATGACAACTATTCTACCAGATGAGAAGAAAACGCCTGGAACAGCAGGTGGAACAGTTCGTCGTAACACTACTATCATTGTTTGAGCAATATCTTTCGGCGTGTATCTTTTTTTACAATTGACACCTACAGTTTTGAATCACAAAGGTATTCTATTTGACACAAACAAATCCTTTGCATATACCTGCTGTGATCATATTTAGTTGAAGGAGTGTACCTTCCAAGAAAACATGATGTTCACTCAGTGCGCGATAGATTGCAACTAGAATTTTCTCTATGACGTGTTCACATCTGTCTAAATCATCGTCACCATTTACTACAACCTTCATTATACGAAGTTAAGCTCTTCTAGTTCAGAGAAAATTCATCATACTTCGAGTTCAATGATCGGAACCATCCTGTTCTGAATTCAAAACACATTTTCGTCTTATTTATTATCAAACAAGAATACTTGTTGACAGATGGATGCATAACGTGCTGCTACCTGTGTCGTTTCACGAATAGCTAATGACGACGGTAAACCATCACCGACTTTCAATGCACAACCTAAATCAATCGATCTTTCCCAACAATATTCATCAAATTTCAACTACAAACGCCATTTAGCAAAGCTAACACCTTCTTTATAGTACTGAGTACATCGTTCTCCGAGGCCATCTAAGCCTTGTGTTGTTTTCTCATCCCTTGTTCCTGCCAATGATACAAGGCCTTTATCAACCCTGATCCCACATAGAATATCATTTTCTTTCAATGTATCACGAAATAATTTGTCATTGTCATCATCTTGATACAATGCTTCATGGAGGAAAACTACACCGGACACATAAGTCGAAAGATTTTTGGCATCTCGAAATAAAACTTGGCGATACAGACGACGATTCTCTTCTGTATTTTCTAAGTCAATCAATTGCAGATATTTCGACATCGAACCTAGGAAATGTCTTCTCCAATGACGCCAATATTTCGTTGATCATACCTACTTATCGATTCATCAGCAGCTAATAAACCTTTGCCTTTCGTAAGAAGAACAGACACAGTTTCAATCAATTCTTTTTCTTTGTCAACAGATAAATATTGAGATTTACTAAAGCATTCATCTTCGAATCAAATATTCAAATTCAATAGTGATTCGATTTTACTTTGATGAGTAGTTAATGAAATTCTGAATCAGTTTTTTAGGTATTTCTTTATTCTTGTTGATGTCAACCGGTTGATTTGACACACAATGGAATCTGGAATTAAAACGAATAAGATGATTTAGGTGTCTCGCAAAGATCACACACTTTCTCGTACAAGAATGAGAAGTTTCTTCACACATAATTACGAAACATAAAATGTTCAAAACTAGATCATTTATACAAGTTGCTTAGACTACATACAATGGAATTTTCATTTCACGAAAGCTTTTTGGTAATTGACAATCGAATAGATGACGACACATTAGCACTCTCAAATTCTGTCACATGTAAGCGATGGCAAATCATTTTTATTTTTTCTGATTTTCTCAATTAGTTCTCGAAAATATTTTCAACTGATAAAATACCGTAACCAAACACGCCAATTACACGCCAAAGCGACATCTATCCATATTTCTTGTTTTACTCAGCTGATCTAACCTATCAAGGTCGTCGTTTTCTTTTCCTTGTCTACTCTCGTCATTTCATTTTCTTCATGAATCATTAACATCAGTTTCGTCTTACTTTATATCTAAATAGTATTAGTAAATTATTTTCACTGTTTTTCTTTATCTTCTGTTTTCTTGCATCAAACTTTGATTATGGTGTTTCCGTATGATTATTCTGAATTGCCACAAATAGTTCTGGCCGAGATCTTTTCTTATCTATCACACAATGATCTTTTATCCGCATCGTCGACTTGTTCATCATGGCGAAATGTTTTATACCATCCAAAATTATGGTCTTCGGTTCCATATCGACCACTTCGTTTGCATTTGATTCATCGTCCTAATGACATTCAATGTTTTCGTTATTTAACAACGAATTTTCTCGGTTTAACACGCTATGTGGAAATACGTTTCGATCCAACAGATTTCAATGTAGTCAAAGATATTTTGCAAGTTTTGGATACAATAGCATGTACAAATAGACAAATCAAAGTACTTATTTTTCGTCCCACAAGTACACGGTGCGCCTTAGCTGAAAATGAACAACCATTCATACCACTTTGTGATAAGTAAATCTTTCGACGTTTCGGTCGATTTCCATCTGAATCGATGTGTCTTTTTGTTTTAGAATATTTCATTTATTGAAACAGATTATTGAATGTAATCAAGCTCTGGAAATCCTTTCATTTGGTTGTTGGTTTGAAAGTTTATTTCGTATCGAAGAATTGGTTCATGTTCTCGCCCAACGGCAATCTCAATCAATCCAACAGCTGCACTTGGCGTCAATCAAAAATAGTGAAACACATTCGATTGCTGGTTCGATCAAATTGTTGTCTTCTTTATTTCCTACACCAAAATGTTCTTCTCTATTTAGATATCTATTTAACAAGCCAATCATTTCTTCCATTTGTTTCATTACATACATTAAGTATCGATTCCACTTATTTAACAGACGAACTCTTACAATGCTTTGCCCAACAACCAACACAATTGAAACAGTACATGACATTTCAGGACGAAGAGGAAATTCCAACTTGTTTTTGTCGTTTAGATTAATCGTACATGTTAGTGAATTTCGTTCGGACACCCAACCAGTTGATGAAACAGTTTGGCAATCAGTATCGAGCATTATGCCTGATTTACGAGTCACAGTTCATATGCTTAATGCTCACGAGACTTTTCGAAAATATTCTCGCGTACTTCGTCCTGGTATGCCTCTATCTCATTTGCGGTAGGTCAATTCGAACTCCTTGTCAACAATCATATTTCGTTTGATTGTTTGTTTTCAGAATGTATTTTTGTTCTTCATTGAATGTCGATTTGTTATGTTATCTATCGGTTCATTATCGTTCAACATTAGAATGTCTGGATGTTATTGATAGTGTCACAGAACCAGCACTTCGGTATCATAATTTATTTCGGGCTGAACCCGATCCACTCGTTTTGTTGGCTTGGCAATGTAAAAAATTAACGTCGCTGACCATACTCGGTAATGAGATTCATTTCCACTTCACATTCGATTTGGTTGGTTTTGTTTAGGTTATGAAGTTTTGGAAGTCAATCTACTCGCTATTGCAAAACTTCGACCGCAATTACGCACATTGAATGTTTGTGCTGATTGTGTTATGACATTGCAATACGGACATTTACAAATGAATCATCAATTTGTTGAAGATGATGATGGAAATGACGCATTTATACAATACGGAATTTGTACAAACAGTATCCAAACAATTGTAAGGCTTTGTCGAGTAGCAATTTTGTATGTTTATGCTTTCGAATTCTAGATTGGACAAGTCCTTGGCTGGCCATGGCATCCATTAAGTAAACATGAAATCCCCATAGGTGTATATGAATATACGGTTCCACTTGAACTTTCATTTATCGAACAGATTCATAATGTCTTCGAATCATCGAGCTGAGTTTGAAATTGTCTGCAACATATTTTTGTCACATCTTGAAATTATCTGTCGATATTTATTTTGTATATAGAAGTCTGTAGATATCAAGTTTTTTGTTATCTTGTACATAGATCTTTCTCTTTTCTGTCGGTTTCAAATGAATTTAATGTCATCCGCGCTTGCGCAAATAGTTTGTGATCCTTTTCTTTTCGAACTAGAACGTACAGATTCGTGATACAAGAATAATATTGAAAAGAAATTTCGAAAAACCATGTCATCCTGGTGAGCTTCTGTGTTTCTAACTTCTTTTCTTTTTCGCTATGTTTTCAAATAATAGTATTTTGTAAGAACACGCTCGTCAGATCCCACCGTATGATCGAGCTCGTTTGTTTTCTCTTTCTCGAAAGCAACAAAGTCTAATGACATTCTTCTCCATCTCTCTCTCTATTTTTTGACACCATCTTAAAGATCTTTCAAACATATTTTTTGTGTAATAATTGTTTTCACTCTTTTATGTAACATCGAAGAGTCAGATAAGTTTAATATGATCATGATTATTTATTTGTTTTCTTTTGTCTCATTCGGAAATGTCGAACAATTTGCTCACGAAGGAATTTTCTGTCACTGAAAAAGAATTTTTTGTCGATCAATTCTCGAAGGATAATAAATATGTAGTAGATTGCATAGAAATATATCTCTTCTTTATTTCTTCTCAGATGAGTCACAATGAACTTGAATTAATGCGTGAGCGTTACTTGAAACTAGTCGATGTTCACGGGCAACTACAAATACAAAATAGTTTATTAGAAGAACGCGTTTTGGCACTTGTTGAAACCTACGCAGATGAGAAGAAACAATTGGAACAATCATTATCGGACGCGAAGCAACAAATTACGTACTTACAAGATACAGTCAATGAATTACAAATTGATAAACAACGATATAAGGATGATTGTAATCTAGCTGTGAGACTTTTGCATCAGCATCCACAAGAATTCATGTCGATAACAACAGCAGGACAAATGCAAGAACACCTGAAGAACAGACACGAATCGGTATGATAAACATCAGGTATTTTTTTATTTGTGTGTTTATTGATATTTTTTCTAGACATCGACGAATCAGTCAGTTACTTCGCAGCGTAGTATGATTTTACCGACATTTCCCCCAACATTCGTGCCATTGTTACCTCCAACATCGACTGTAACTACTCCATTGATAAACACACCGACTGTACCTCCGATGACGACAACTAATGACAATCTTCGTATGGCTGCTGAAACACTCTTCAAATCAAATAGTGTTCATCGTTCTCCATCAACTCAATACATTTGTTCGGAATGTCATCGAACAGTGAGACTTTGTGATGTCAGCGTTCAAGCATCTCTTGACGATAGATCAAATCAAAATGATCCATCTCGACTACGTCTCGTCTCGCTTCCAGCATCGGATGATGGGGCATGGTTGGCACTTGATTCGCCACCTGCATTCAGTATCGTTCAAGAAACGTCATTAGCGAATGCAAAACAAACATTTGAACAACGAAATTATAATGGTCCTTCAGTCCGTCCACTGCCAAGAATGCATCATGTTTGATTGCATCGATCTTTTGTTTTCTCCTCAGCGGGCTTTTTGTTGATGGGTTTTATTCTGTTGAATATTGTGAAAAACAGTATTTATAGATATGATCTTTTATTTATTTTATCAAACATGTTATCGTTAATAAATGATATCTAACAGAGTATGGCGATCGTACACATTTGAAGTAAAAATATCAGTTGACTGAACAGTTTCCAGTTGATTAAATTTCACTTGTGAATAAGTCTTCATTCAATTAACATCATTTCTTTTCAAACGAACTCATTCTCCCATCACATGAAACAAAGAACGTCTACTAACTTTATCTTTCACGTTTTATTCACTCATTCACCGATGTCAGTGCAGTAGACATTGATAAATTTCTTCGCTATTCAAAGATAAGCATGAGAAGCACAATCGTTCACTCGCTGATCGTTATTCACACTCAGTCATATAACTGTTGCAAGGCTATACGAATGACTGTCATTCTCGATAGGGGCAGGTATGGAGCTTTCTTTATTAATCGACTATCGTGTCGAGTAGAACTGCATTTAATAGACCATGAATGAACAAGTTTCCTACTTCATATCAAATAACAGAAACGGAAATGAGTTTGCACTTGAACTCGTCTGATGATGACACATGCAGTTGAAGAAGCGAATGAATGAACATGGAATCCATAATCAACCCATAAATATAAATTTGACAGTTAATTCTCGAATAAATCTTTTCTAATATAACTCATATAAAATTCAAGACCAGATGGAAAGCAGTTAGTCTCACAAAACCAGGCTTTTTTTCCTATCAATGATTAAAATGTTTTCCACCACTAAGGACGAATTACCCGACCAATTTGCTAATTATCATATTATTATTCCTTTTTCTATGGCCGGTGTTCTAATTGCTATCATCATCGCTTGTATCATATTACTTTTAGTTCTTTTAACTAAAAGATTACATACGATAACACATCTTTTGATGTGTAACACATCTCTAGCATCGATATTGTACTGTATTGTTCAATGTATAAATTACATATATTTGGCATTGATTCCATGGGAAACACACGATACTGCCTGCCGATGGCGAGGATATTTTGGCTATATGGCAATTGCAGCGGTAGTTTATTCCTATCTAGCTCAAGCGGTCTCACGATTTTTGAATTGCATCATATCAGCAAAGTATCACTGGGCTGTACTCTATAAGACTCATCTGATTCTCATTTGTATACAATGGTTAACCGTTTTAATAATTCCTCTACCGACGGTTCTTACCAAAGACATCTACTATCGGCCATATTCTCTCTGTTGGGTACCTATCGAATACACTCTACATGTAGGCTATAGTGTGGTTGCCTATTATCTTATACCAGCGATCTTAATATTTATTATTTATATTTACATTTATTTTCGTATAAAATATCTTCACCTCAATGTCTCGACAACGACAATACGTGGACGATTGAATCGTGATCTGGAAATTTTATACAATATCATTATTTTATTTGTAATCTACACCGTCGGTGCCATACCAACTCTACTCTACTTAATAACTGGAATTCATGTCTTGTATGAAATCGGCATAGTCTCCTTAACATTTACGGTGGCAGTCGAGAAAGTAGTGACACTTCTACTTGATCACGATATGAGAAGTATAATTATACTCTATTTTCGTCGATCGATGGTACAGATTCAAACGGCGACTTGACTTGGCTTTATTCCTTTTAATTTTTATCTACAAATATGGTCAAAGAGAAAGAATTACATCTGCGATCGCGCGCTGATTTTAAAAAAGAAAGAGAAAAAATAGAATCAACATTTTTTTTTCAAAAAAAAAGGAAGAAAACGCGATGATCATAACTGAAGAGTAATAAAAAAAAGAGGACAAAAGAATTTCTTTGTGCTTGTGACTGATTAGTTAGAAAAAAAAGAACGAATTCAATTTCACATACAATTAATACAACTTGATTGATTCGTTGGTCTATTTCCTTGCGAAACACCAATAGCTCCGCCAGATGTTGGCTCAGATACATTTGACGGCGTCTTTTTCAATACAAGTCGTGCCATTTCGAAAAAAGCTTTCTCAATATTAATATTATTCTTTGCAGATGTTTCAAGAAATGGAATCATATGTTCTCGGGCTAGAGCTTCACCTCGAGCACGCGCTATACAACGTTTGTCTTCCATGTCACATTTATTACCAATCAACATTTTGACAACATCGTCAGATGCATGATCATCAATATTACGCAGCCATTTATCGATGTTTTCAAAAGATCGTGCTTGAGTCACATCATAAACGAGCATGATACCGGTGGCTCCGCGATAATACGATGCTAAAAATCAAACATGAAAGTAAATCTGCATATTCAAACTCGAATTTACTGGTTATAGTGTGAAAACGCTCTTGACCAGCAGTATCCCTAGAGATCGAAATAGTTAGGGAAAGTCTAAGCGAAAGAGATTATTGACTTACCATATCTGCAGTTTGATCTTTTTACCATCAAGTTCAATTGTTTTTATTTTGAAATCAATTCCAATGGTGGAAATAAAAGATGAATTGAATGAATCATCAGAAAAACGAAATAAAACACACGTCTAAAATCAATTGTTTGAATCAATTATGCGTACGATATAATCTCTTCTTGACTTACTTTTCCAACGCCACTATCACCGATCAGCAGTAATTTAAATAGAAGATCATAGTTTTTTTTGGCCATTCTGTGGCCGATGTTCTACAAGTAAAACAAGACGAACATCGTATTGAAAAAAATCTTCGAAAGGTTAATGCGTATCGTCAATATCGATTATTCATCAATCACAGAAGAAAGAATAACATCAACAACAATAATAACAAACTACCTTCTGACTTATGTCGATAGTTGATGAAGTATCACGTTTGAGAGATTGATGTCGACGTGATAAGGATGACGTACGTTCATGAAACCAATGTTGTGCATATTCACTCGTTCGTTTTAATGAGAAACATCGACGGCGATAATGGTAGTGACCAGGCATAGTCGAAGTGCTACTGCAGCTGACGACACTAACTCAATCTCGACGACAACTGACTAACAATCATTATCAATAGCCATCAGGTGTTGAACAGAAACGAGAGAATGAGAGAAAGGAAATCGAATATTATACTTAACCCCGAAGGTAATGACAGACAGGCCAAAGAATAGAGGAGATGATCGGTTTTCTTTTCTCTTTTTCTTTCTTTCTCCGATTATTTTACTCGTACATACATCACCATCGATGTTCATCCAATAAAAATGATTAAAAAAAACACGAACGAGAACGATAGGAAAAGATATAATCACATCACTTGAATATATGTACATACATGTATGTACTTTACTTCACGCTTCAAGACAATTGTACGAATGTCTGCTCACACGTGAAGCCTAATCAACGACTACCATCACTATCATTCTCAAATTACATTCTCTTCTCATTTTCTCACGTTCATTCATTTATTGCCATCTCAATACTTTCAGTTAATCACGAATAAAATGAAAAATAAAACAAAGACAAAGGAGATTTGTTATGTTCTTTTGTATTCAGACATAGGAATTGAATAGACAAGAAAATATTTAGACGTATAGAATATCGTATGACACATAAAACAACACAAAAATTGGACCTGAAAAAGATGTTCGTCAGTTTCGAAAAGACAATAAGATAGATGAATTCAGGAATAAAATAGGCCGATCGAGATGGATGTACAAAAAAGGGATCGATGCTTATAAATCGAGAAATATACTACGGGAATCTTCAACATATTGTTTGATTTTTCGGAGAAATAGGACAGCGTCACGTCCATCTAAAATTCGATGATCATATGTTAGTGCTACATACATCATTGGACGAATTTCAATCTAACCAAAGAGAAAAAAGATTAGTGAAAGGCATACGAAAAAAAATACGACATACTTTGCCATTGATAGCAACTGGTCGGTCGAAGATTCCATGCATGCCAAGAATGGCTGATTGGGGAGGATTGATAATCGGGGTGCCAAATAAAGAACCAAAGACTCCTCCATTACTAGAACATATCGCTGATGTATTTTTTTCTCTATTGGACTAGGAAGAGAGATATTACCTTATCGTGAAAGTTCCACCATCCATGTCTTCAATTGCGAGTGTTCCAGTTTTTGCCTAATAGATTTACATATGAATAGAAAGAACGTGAGAAAAGACTTACTTTTTCTCCAAATTCACTGATGGAACGTTCGATATCGGTGTAACTCATTTGTTCGACATTTCGCAGCACAGGTACGACTAGACCCTAAAATTCGAAAGCGAATTCTTTCGCTCGAAACAACGTTTCTAGGACAAGCGAATAACCTTCGGTGAAGCAACTGCTACACTGATATCGACATAATCACGATAAACGATTTCATTTCCATCAATAACTATGCAAAGGGAATTTCAGTTTTTCATTCAGAAAAAAGACTAGTAAAAGGAATTATTTACCTGCATTGACTGTAGGGTTATCCATTAGAGCGCATGCAGATGCTTTTACAAAAGCAGACATAAATCCTAGCTTTAGTTTATGTTGTTTCTGAAACTGATCAGCAAATTTCTTACGAAATTCTACGATATTGCTAAAATGAAATCAACAATCGTTTTTCAACACAAGAAGATTTTTTCCATTGATACCTCATATCGATTTCGTTGAATGTAGTTAGCATTGCGCAACTATTTTGGGCTTCTTTGAGACGTTCGGCTATTTTCAAGCGCATTCTGGACATTTTGACGCGTGTTTCGGAGCGCATGCCAGTGATTTTATTGGGGTCATTATTGCCAACATTTTGTGTTGGTAATCCAGTGCGTTTTGCCGGTGTAGAAGTCTCACGTTTAGGATCTTCTGCTGGTTTCTGAGCAGTAGAAGGTTTTGGTTTGGTCAGCTGAGAATCGGTCTTCTCAGTCGATTTGTCTGACTCTTCTTTTGTTCTCTTCACGTCTATCCCGGTAGTTTGCACTGGTTTAACATCGGCATCACCGCCACTAGTATCAAGTTTAGCTATTTGAGTGCCTGCAGTAACACTGTCTCCATCGACAACAAGCAGTTCGGTGATTGTACCTGATTGTGGCGCATTAACAGACAGATTAACTTTGTCAGTTTCAATTTCAGCTACTGTTTCATCAACTGAAACTTTGTCTCCAACTTTTTTCAAGAGACGAATTGTACCATCTTTAACAGATTCGGGAAATGACGGTGTTGTAATACTGACCGAGTCAACTAAACAAAATGAGAAGAACGTGACATAGTACGTGCAAGCTTTTTCAAGTAAACATACGAAGAATTGAACTAGTATGTAAATGTCGAACAAGTCCATAGATTGAACTAGAAGACGAATCGGTTGCGAGCGTTTGGTCAGAAAGAGTCTACAGAAGAGGACAAACAAAAGAAAGCATTTTATTGCTTTTCAAGCTGATAATGTACGTACTCGTTGGCTGGATTTACTATTTTCAGTAGTTAAAGTTCTATTTGACGACGGTGACAGAGTAGAATAAGAAAATTGCTGCTGCTGTTGTTGTTGACATGATCGATTGGTACCTGATGCTGATGTATACTTCGATGCAACAGCCACATTCGAAGTCGTGCGCAATGCACGCAAAGATGCATTACGTAGCGAGGAGATATGAGACATACCAATCTGAAATGAAAATAATCTAAGTACTAACGAACGTGTCTAATATATTTTCTGTTCTGCATCGTCGAACTTCAACTATTAATATCATCAATGTATCTTTTCACCTGCATAATAGTTATATAAAGTAAAATATGTTATTATGATTGTATGATTGACTATTTTAATAAGAAATACAATGTTCATCTTTGCGTTATGTGTTTTTTCCTAAATAATTTCAAAGTCGCAACTGAGCTTAATATTTGTATGCCTTACTTTTCCTGCTGACTCATTATTATTTGTGGAAAATACCTTTGAATACTTTTTTCGAAATTACGACTTCCTCTATGGCAGAAGATTCTTTACACTGAAAACAAGTCGTCAAAGCTGATATTCGACGTTGAATCTGTTCTAAAATAATAACTCTCATATGATAAATCTTCAAATCAATGATCAAGACAATCAGCTCGGGTCTAATCATCGAGCTCTATCAAATTGATATTGCTCATTATAAATCACTTTGCATCGAAAAGTGATTTATGTACGATTGATCTGTATACTATCAACTACTTGCAATTAATTATATATAGAACTACAGCGATGGTAAATCAAAGCCGTACTCCCGAGAGTACTAAATACAAAGTTCGCTTCATCATCTGTTCCTTTCCTTTCTTGCTACATATCCATATGATTGTCTCTTTCCGACCAATCCATCAGAACCGATAGCGAGAGGTCGCTATTTATCATACATTTACTTCACAGACCAGGCAAAGGCCGTTTTTGCTTGAATAGAATATTGTTTGAAGTATCCTGTCAAATGTGAATTAGCATATAAATGAAGCGACCACTGAGCCGGTTAACGTTGCATATCAGTACTATTACGTCTTTTACTTTTTTCATATTCGAGGCGATGATGTGATGATCACAGGTGTTTTCTTTTGTAACTGCATACAACAAATCAGGCATGACAATTATTAGCTCGTATTCACGAGTAAAACCGTTTATTTATGTCAAGCGCGAAAGGGAATCCATACACACACACACACGGATTAATAAAGAAAAACTAAGAGCAATATACTAAACATACATACCACGGTCGAATACGATTATGGTAGTCGTGCCAACAAATACCTCTTTGAATGTAACTCACGCTGAACATGTATCTTCTTTCGATACAAATGGTTCGATAATATATATCATTGGTGTTATGATATGGTACGCATTTGGTTTTGGTCTGATACTAATTGACGATATCAATCCTCAGCCAGGTCGTATTGAATCACGACGACATGTTAGTGTTTATCAAACAGTGAGTGATTTACATGAACAGCAAGATCGGAATGATATCTTGGTTGAACTAAAAGACAAAGAGAGACGTGCAAAACTATGGCAAATCTACTACGGTGTGCACGCGAATCATCCAACTACAATTGCCAAAGATAACGAAGCTGTTGAATTAATAATCAAACAATTAAATGATTTAAACGAACGACGTCGTGTACTGCGAGATACTTTAACTGAAATCAGCCTCGATCATCCCGATGAAGACTTTAAAGTTGATGATAGTGATTCAGAAAGTTTCTATGGTGTGACAGTGACTCGAAAAAGGCAGTCCAGCTGGATGTGAGAAAGCTTATTTTAAATAAAGATCGTTTCTCTTTATCAATACTTACGAATTCCATACTGACTAATCCGAGTGGTACTTGCATAGTGCGTTATACAAGGAAATTCTCTACACGAGACAACGTGTCTATCCTTGCAAGAACGCCTACGCAAAATACGACACAACGGTTTGATTTCGTATGGATTTGTGCACTGAGAAGTCTCGTAAACGAAATCGTATATATAAGTACAACTCCCTCCGTCCCTCTCTCTCTCTCTCTTTCATACTTGAATTTGTTCATTGGAATATATTTGTAGATTAAGACTTATTCGAGCGATACTAATAATAGGTTTACTCGAATTATTTCGCTTGCTCTCTTTGCATATTGATCTGATTGCGTCGGTTTGCATGACGGGGAGAAAGAGGGACAGGAACGGTGGAAAGAAAGAAATCGAGAGATTTGAGAGCATACAATGGCAACGAATTAAAAATGCTGCCACTTGTAAAATCAGTCGACGAACGTATGCAAAGCAAGAAAAATGCAAACGGCACTGTTTAGATAAGAATATTAACAATTATAGGTTGTGAGGAAAGAATGCACGCGAAAGAACATGCTCCCTGTGGCTGCTGATGGCCGTCGTATCAACTACCTGACTGCTAGAATGTTTGTTCAAGTCGGATGGTGATTGAAAGCAATGTTTGTTCACATTTCTTTCTCGTTTTGAATGAGACAATAAAATAGCGAAGGGAAGTAAAGGAAACACAGCTCAATCAGCATTCGCCATTGATCAACAAGGAATAGAATTATGATTGCCGCGAGAAGAAACGGGTTTTATTATATCATGTGAAAAAAGAAAGTTATGATGGATTTCTCGTTTCGAAAAATGAATGATTACAGAAGAGCAGTTGATTAAATATTGAAGTTGTCGAATATTTACTTTTCGCTGCAGAAAATACAAGCAGAAGAGAAAAAAAAAGAAACGATTGATTGTCAATGAAAATTTAGTCACGTTGAACTTGATACACATCAAGTTTGTAGCGATTCCAGATAGTTTGGAGCCACTGGAATGTTGTTCCAGCATGTTTGCCATGAAAGGGCTCTTCAAATGCGTGATCAAGATCTAGATGAAATCCAAATTGTTCAGATAGTGTGAAAGTATACTTTTGTTGTTTCAAATGAATAAGATCAGTTCGACAAGTACTTGGAAGGACAATAAACACTTGTGTGTTACTTGTAGAATGTCTGTTGAATATATCTTTGATTGTCATGTCAAGTTTTTCACGTTTTGCACCTTGAAGATCAACAATACTCATATCGAACTTTTTCACAACGTCTGAATTGGACATTTGCGTAACTAAATAACCCGGTGGCATGTATGTATGATAAGTAACAAGAATTCTTTTATTTAAATTCTCTTGTATTGGTGCACCTCCTGATGTCAACATGGGAAAATCATGAACGTGTTGAAGAGCAGGTAAGACACCACCTTGGTGCAAATGACCATAGAGTATTGCTACAGAAATGTTGAATGCAAGCCATAAACGAAAGACTAATCGGTGAAAACCATGTGTAATTAAAAGAGGAACAATGAAAAGTGTCAGTGGGAATAGAAGTGGAAGTAGAAATCGCGGTTCTTGATGAGGAAATGTCGACAAGAAAACGAACGGTACTGAGTAGAGGTATAGTAGAAGTGGTGAACTTGATTGATCTAAAAATTTAAACGAATACTCTAAAGAAATGTACTGTATCGACTATTACGTGATTGTTCAGTTGGCGTCGATCTTCGTTGAAAAATCTGCGCGATTCGACCAGTGATTTTCTGTCCATATTGGCTAAGATTTGCCAAATGAGATAAACCCCATAGGACTACACAAAGATGAAGTGGTCCATACAGAATCGTTGCATTGACAATAAAATGAAGCCATGGTGGATGTAGGCCATGCTTGTCCAAATTCGACGCATCGGTATTGTAAACAATAAAATTGAATGGACATACGACCAAACTTTTCTTCCAATCAATCATCAACGAAAATCCGTCATTGTAATAATACGAATCGAAAAGAATCAAAAGAGTACATGTCGCGACAAATGTTCCCACAATGAAGGATATCGTTCGACCTAATAGTAATTGAAAGTGAAATGAATGGTTTATCACCGGAAGAATATTTGTAAACCAGTAAATAAGTGGAACAATCGCAAACGCGGGAAATGTTGCGCGATTGAAAATTCCTAATGCACAGATAAAACCGATGAACGATGAACTCAACAGTAGATATCGATCTGAACGAGTAGTTGATTTCGTATCATTAACCGTACTACTAACGAATGATGATAACGATGAGACATTGTGATCAATCAGATAGATGAGAGCAAGAAAGAGAAAAGCTTCGAATGAATTGGATAATGTGCGTGTGTAAAATACAAGTGTGACGTGAGCAATACCATAGTAATTCAGAATGATTGCATGCTGTTTTGACGAAAGTTTTGGATAGAGAGTTTTGATTAAACGGCTAAAAAGTATATCTGTACAGAGCGAAAGACAAAGTATCACAGCACGTGGAAAAACCAGTTTTAAATGAAATGGAATGGTAGACCAGTGGAATGTCGACGAAAGCCATGAGAGAATCGATACAGGTAAGCCGTAAAGTAAATAGAGAATGGCTACTGAACGTAATGGTGCTGTCGGATTGAACTCATGTGTTCGCGTTAAATTCGTTCGAAAGAAATCATCTAGTAGACAAACAAACGTTAGATGAAACATGCTATTTGAAATATTACATACCAAATACAACTTCGGATCCTTGAAAAAATTCATCCTATCACCAAGAAGTCCTTTGAAACATACATTGTACAATGAATACTTTCTTACCGGATGGATATATCCACGCTGTGGATAAATTAATGTCCATACTAATCGAATAACTACACCAATCAAGTACCATTTACACTCCGTTCGGCATGATAAAATCTGAATGGATGTGTTCACTTTTTGTGAATTGTTATTATCACCTGATTGTTGAGATACAGTTGTCGATTTCATTGAGTATTAGATCAACAATTCAAGTGTTTTTTTGTTACTAAAACAAAAGGCGCTTAGGTAAAATTCTCATAACAGGGAGATTTTTATTGATATGTTTTGTTTTTATTGAAGGAAATCAAAACTAAACTCCATTGTTCCTATTTCTTTAAACGTGTCCATCGTTCGCTAATCAACCATAGACGCTTTGCATCTTTATCATTCTTCGCATTGGCTCCGACGGGTTCTTCTTTCATATCACTAAAATATTTTCCACATTGTCCTTCTAATTTCGGGTCAAGAGCACATTGTAATACGGCCTGAGCACCCTGCATTGGGGTTTTCATGAATGCTTTCAACAGAGGGCCAATAATAACTCGACTGAAGAAGGATTTGTCAATGGTATGACGTGCAATATCTGTTCGAGTTATTCCTGGATTGACACAAGTCGCCGTGACACCCGAATCTAATCAATGATTAAACGAAAGAGAGAAATCTACCAACGAGTTCGATTCAGAACACTAACTTGGATATTGCCGACAGAATTCTTGAGTGGCAATGACTATCGCAAGTGCGGCTTGTTCATAGGCGATTTTGGCATTGAAAGTCTTTTTTGAATTATTCAAATCATCAAAATCGATCTGCCCACGTTTGTACATCGATGATGTTAAATTAACAATACGACTTGGTGAACATTTGCTTAGTTTTTCAACCAAGAGATTCGTCAGAAGAAAATGACCTGAAAATAATCGAAGTGTTCTTGCTTTTTTCTCTCGGTTCAACTCACACCGAGATAGTTAACACCTAAATGTTGTTCAAATCCATCCTTTGTCAATTTCGATGGATGCCACATCACTCCCGCATTGTTAATTAACAAATGAAGATACTTTTCATCTTTGTTAATCTGTTCAGCAAAGTTTTGAATCGATTCAATCGACGCTAAATCACATTCTCGACAAACAACATTCGTATTAAATGAATCAGCAACGATCTTCTCTCGTGCTTCTTCACATTTCTTCATATCACGACAAGCCATGATAACACGTGCACCTGAACAATTCAATGTCATTCATTTCGTTGATTTCATACTTATTCGTCATACCTCGTCGCGCAAGGTCATGCGCAACTTCTCTTCCAATTCCTGTATTAGCACCGGTCACGATTGCTGTCTTACCAAATAATTGTTCATTGCCTGTATATTGTGCTTTGACAAAATATTCTCTTTCAACCAAAATGAAACTGTCGATGAATGCATGAAAAACGACAAAAAGCACACGTACCGATAAAGCACTAAACCACCGTAGATCCCTGCGGCACCCGTGAGTGCCACGGTAACTGTTCGCATGAACGACATGATCTGAAACGCGAGACTCCGATCGCTTAGTTTGGGGAAAAAACGCTTCGAACTTTCCTTGTTAATTTCATCATCGTTTCGTTTATATACTTTCTATAAAAATTCTTACAAGATTTGCTTTTTTTTTGTTTTGATGCGTGTAAGCAGTATGCGATCGCACAAGAAACAAAGTTGACAACAACATGAACAGCAACAAAATACACGCAAGAAAACATCGACTGTTGTCTCTTATTCAATCTTTACATACGTACAGAAAAGAAGAAAAATGAATCTGAACTGACAAATCTCTTTTCCTAAAACCCGAGATTGACAGACGAAAACAAAAATTCAACACACAACTGACAATGAGACGTACACATAATACATAAATAGATAGATTGAATAAAGAAGAACAAGGAAACAAAATGCACAAAACAAACGAAAGAAGAAGAAGGAAAAGGGGAAGGAAAGCATCGTGCTTGAATATTCATCAACAAACGGTTGGTTTAATTCCTCGGATAATTAAAACGAATTGATTTTGTATTTTTATCTTCTGTATATTCAAGATTGTGCAACGACACCTGAGTGAACGACGAAATCAGGATATTCATGTTGTAGATTGCTCATTACTACGCTTAAAAACTTTTATTTGTTCCAGATTCGTATCATTGGGTGCAGATGTGCTTTCACTATTGGATGCCAATGCAGATAATTGGTCATCATCACTATTATCTTCACTCATTTTACGTTTACGTGTTGATGAACATGAATCACTGTTATTACTATTTTCATTTAATTGAATTGATTTCATATTCACGTCGTTTTCGATTTCTTCTTCGTTGTCATCGTCTTCTTTCTGATCTTCATCGTCAGTGTATTGATCAGCTATACTTGTTAAACCAGGACTCTACAAAAGATACAAATATTTATCTCACGAATAACTTCTCGTTTGTCTTACCATCGCAAATGTAGATGTAGATTCTGTCGGTGTGATTGGTCGAGGTATCAACGATGACGTGGGAGATCCATTCGTTGTTGATGGAATATCAACATGAAGTGTCGTTGATTCATTATCGTTATTCATCGATGTTGTGGATGACGATGGTGATAATTGTCCCACAGATGATATAGGGGAGCGTCGAATATGAATACTGATTACAGGTTTGTTGTAGTGAGAGCGTATGGGTAGCGATGGCGTTTCTGCAGATGCGCTGGGCAATTCATCATCATCGTTATCTAACGGACGACGATGTAAACGAGTGGGTTCAGTTGTTGAAATTGCACTCGCTGTTCCATTAGTTTCTGATTGACTATCTTCATCATCCGAACCGCTATTAAACAATGCGCCATGATTCAAAGATGAGATGCGATTTTCATCAACGTCATCATTGAACCAATTTTCTTCATCATCATCAAGATCTCGATCATCTTTTCGATGACGTTGGGACTGATGAACAGGTAGACTGTTCGTCACATTGTCATGTAAACGTGAATTAGTTGATGATGAACTAAATAAAAACAAACAATTTCCGATAGTTGAGTGTCGTCGTTTGTCATATTCATGTTGAACTCACTTGTCGTTGAGCATTCGTTCTTTTCTATCTCGGTGAGCATCATACCGTAATTTCAAATCACGAAATGTTTTTACATAAGTTACTGATTCAAAATCTGAGTAGAATTTTTCCACAAAAAAATGAACTAAAGTTTTGATATCTTCCTGCAAAGAAAAATAAACTAATTAAACGTACAAGACATTTCCAATCTGTATCCTACCTGTCGAATGTATTCGAACAATTCGATAATAGCTGAATTCAATAAATTGTATCGTCGTTTATTCTTTTTAAATGCATCGACAATCGGTGCAAATAAATTATTGACAACTATGGTTAGATTATACTGTTCATCTCTCAATCCGATAATCTTTCGAAAGAATCGTAGTGCACCTGAAATATCCGAGAGATTCTTTCTTTGTTATAACAAAACTTTTCTTTCTTCCAACTTACTCAATTGAAGATATTGATGTTTAGATTTCAGCAGAACTAACACACGTCGTAAGAGATCTTTTTTGCACAAAAAATTTCTCATATGATACGTATGATGTTCGATACAGAATGTGACGAAATCCAGAATTAAGTTTTGTAACTGAGCAATATGAAAATCATCGCGAACTAATTTCAGATCCGATGTATTTGCCATCAATGGAGCGAGCATTACCGACATGCAACGATGATAGAAGAACAATAGAAATTCCGTTTTTTCACTTATGGATACGGCTATCATATTCTCTGGATGAATTAACTTGTTTAAACAATCCATTAAACTTAATGCACCACTCAATTCTAAGGAAAATTCATATGAAAATTTATCTTCAAAAGCAACGAAACAATACCTGGATCGGGATCATTTTGAATTTCATTGATAACGAGATTGAGCAGTAGTTCATCATCATCTTGGATGGATTGAGTTTCTTGTAGCATATACTCACGTACTGTTGATGGATTACATTCAACTATCGAAGCAAAGACATCCAACGCTGCTTGTTTGGTTGTTGTATCATCAAGATTCTACGATTTTCGACAAAAAAATGGTCTATTTTCTTCTGGCTTTTTAATCTTCACTTACGAGCATTACTTGGATTACATTTAGAATCCCATGAGTTGCAAGTGCCTAGAATGAACAGTTCGATTTACAGTTAGTTCACACGATGAAATTTACTTGAAAGAAATTATCTCGACTTTGTTGTTGTAATGTCTGTGAAAAGACACAGAATTCTTTTAAGAATAACATAAGATCTTTGCGTTTGTCATCTGATAAATTTTCGTCCTTCAATGTTGAAAATAACTGACTGAGAAACTTGGCATCTTCCTAAAAAAAACATCGAAACAAATGCACGTCGCTTTTACTTGAAATGAGTGTTTGTTCTCACGTATAAGAATGTGACGATATCGACTTTATTAAAAAATAGAAAGCTATTCATGGTTGATAGTAAGTTCTCTTCGAATAAACTCGGCGCTGGAAGAATTGCATCTTGAATGTACTGTACGCGATATGTCTGATGGATTTTTGATAGTAATTCTTGATTTCCGATCGGGATCACTTCTTTGAACGTTGCTTTTCTATCCAGAAATTCTCGATGATTTCGTTTTTCATTACATCTTAACTGCGAATCATATTCCAAACAACCGATCACGTCGAGAATATATTCTTCACTGAATAAAATTTCAAATAAACTTGACTTGTTCAAATAGAATATCGCACGAATAATATCATAGATCTGATGTAATGAATCGATATTTTCCAAATCTTCGCACATGTGAAAGAGATCGATCAATTTACGAATGTAGTTTCCAGACTCGATTGCACGTGCTAAGAGATCACGTCGTGATGCATCACGAACTTTCTCTGGACTGAAGAGATCACAAATATCACGTAAATGTGTTAGATCTACGGGTGGAAGGTTGATTGTTGAGGAAAGATAACTCTCAGTCGATTCCCCAGCACAGTCATCGTCAGATTCGTATATTGATGAACCATTGGAATCTGATGGTACTGTGGTATTATTTAGAAACGATGACGAATCCTTGCCTTGTACCTGAAAACGAGCGATGGATATGGAGAAAATGATTGAGTGGAACTTACATCACAAATGCTTTCCCAAACATCATCACAACCGGCTTTTTCTTGAAAACTCAATGCTAAGTCGTATTTGTCTTCTTCGGACCAGACGATCAATGTTTCCTAAAGAGAAAATAAACATGAATGTGTCTGATTCAATGAAAAAAACAACTTGTTGCTTTTGATATTTTGTATTTTGTAGAACTTTCGAATCTAACAAGGTCGAATCATCGACTTCTGACTTGACAACAATCGAATGATTCGTATTGGGTTCAGTGGGTGGTACACACGTCACAAAACCTGTACCCCGATCATCCCATTGTCGTTCTTCGTTTAGAATGTAAAGTTTAACGCGTGATCGATTATTAGATGGTGGTGGTGTTGTTGTCGTCGAAGGACTTATCATCGATTTCGGGTTGTCGAGAATTGGGAATAGGAATTGTCTAAAAAACGTCCAAGAAACATATGTTGTTTTGAAGAATAGTTGCACAATCTCAACTGATGTGACTGGCATCTGTCACAAAAAGTTTGAAAAGAGAGAGATAGAAAAAGAACGAGAACGAACAAACAATAATAATAACAACAAGCATATTTTTACAAATTAGCCAATCGATGAGAAAGATTTGATCGTTTTTCGATCTGATTTTCTTCGATAGTACTTCCAACTAGCGATTCAGTCGAACATTAGAAGAAAATAGAAATAAATTTAGATGTGTTCGAGATATTTAAGAATAGGGGGCGCTATGAACAGCTGTTATATGGTGAGATAAACTTGCATTTCTCCTTCTCTTCTTTCTTGCGTTCTATCTAATCAGCAGAAAGCGTATCGAAAACAAACCATTGCAACCAAAAGATGAAATTTTCGCAGTTTTTGCGCAAATCTATTTGATTATTTGCATATAGATGTTACTCATCGAAGTGTTACATACGTAGGATTAGATTAGTCATGACAACTATCTATGCATAATGACCTATGTCTGTGTGATGTCCTGAACGGCGATGACAAATACTGCAAGAAATGTTCTGTCATTGAGGAAAAATCTTATCTCACAAGCGTACTTTTGTTCTTAGAATATCACTCTTATCTTTTGATAATTTCTAACGTTGATATCAAACTGATGGAATAACAGGAGTCGCTAGATCCTAACTGTTTATCAAGAATAGTTTCGGTATGGTAAAGGTTCGCATATTCAATACGTGTAATGTAGGCCATCATCATAAATAACTTGTCAGCATCTTTCGAAATACGATAACAATGATTTGAAGTGACGTAAAATGTGCGACTCATCTTCCGTGCTTGATACTTCTATCACACCGGGAATATATGATCGATGTATAGAAAAAATCAGAATACATTTGTTCGAATTTAAAAAGCTAATTAGAACCCTATCCGTATCGCTTTTGTCGTGTCGTGTACTCGTGTATTTGACATTTTCTTTCATGATTGATCCGAAGAATACACCAATCATGTTTCTGTCGCTATTACTCATTGCCACAACCTTGTTGTTGTCCATTTAGTAAAAAACCATTACAGAAATGGGTAATACAGATTCAAAAGTCGATTTTCGCGTAGCTGTAGTTCAATTAACATCTCACAGTCAGGTACAAATCTACAGAGATAGACTGCTAATTAAAATTTCGTTTCATTAAATAGCAAATCGAGCCAAACGATGAATCTTTTTGGGATCAATTCTGGTCGGATAAGATCTCTAGCGCTCAAGATATCTTTGCATTAGTGCCAGCTGCAGAAATCCGAGCGTTAAGGGAAGAATTACCGTCAAATTTAGCTACTTTGTGCAATAAGCTGGTTGATCGTTTACAATTAGCTGCCGAGAATTCATGCCATACACACCGAGAGCAAACAGCGGGTGAGTCACTTTCCAGTTCAGAAAAAATGCAAGCTATTTTTCGAAATTCATAGCGATTAACTGTGTTCGATTATTAACACGTTTATTGCCATACATCTTCGAAGAACCTGAATGGCGAGGATTCTTTTGGTCCGATATTCCGACTGGTCAACAACAGATGACATCGAACGGAGTATGTAGAAAACTTCTTATTCACAGGGAATTTCATTTATATCTGTATAGGAGTATGTTAGTAAACCGCCGTTAGCCGAACGGCTTCTTCAGACTTTAGCCGTAAGTCGATAGTCATCCATTGGATTCATATTGTGTTTGTCTGCGTTTTCAAGGATCTTCTGTTCTGTCCTGATTTTACCGTTGCATCGAAGAAGAAGAAAGGACCCGTATGAGAAACTCCTCGTAGATTCTTTGAGTGTAATTCTGGGTCGACATGTTTTGTAGGAAAATCCGGAAGATATTCATACAATTGATAGTTGTGAATATATCTGGGAATCTGGTGTTGGATTCTCTCAACCAACTATTCATGTACCAAGCAATGATCGGAATCGGACAGAAATTCTTAAACTTCTGCTCACATGCTTTTCAGAAACAATCTATATGGCACCAACAGGTAAAGATTGCACTTAACAGCGAACTTGTCGTCATGTATTCAAGCATTGAGTAAACATATCGATAGGAATCAAAGAATGAATGAATGTTTGCGATGTATACGCTTCATTGCACTTGACTGGAGATTCTTTTGTAGCCTAATGATCATGTGTAATATGTTCTTTTTTAAAAAACACTTTAGTTGATCAACATTCTCGTCCAAATAAATGGTTGGCTTATTTTACGTCTGGCCAAAATCGGTAACAATCAACGAAATATTCGTTTTGTCATCTCAATTCGCTTTTCTTTAGACAAACTCTTCCATTATTCACTTCGTTAATCAATATTGTCTTTTCCTATGATCCCATTGGTTATTTACCTTATAATTACCTTTTATTTACTGATACACGTGAACCTCTAGTCGAAGTCGCTGCTCAATTGTTATGTATAACATTAGATAATAGTTCAATTTCTTCAACTGATCAACCAAACACAAGTGGGGAGGATTCTCCGAATTTATTTCTCAATTATTTATCGCGTATTCATCGAGATGATGTAAGAAATGGAGTTCAAAAAAAAGAATAAATGGTTTTCTCTGTGTTTAGGATTTTAATATTTTATTGAAAGGTATTTGTCGTCTTTTAAACAATCCACTTATTCAAACGTATTTACCTGGCTCGTGTAAAAAAATTGGCTTTTATCAAGAATTACTTATGTTATTTTGGAAATTTTGTGATCGTAACAAGGTTTGATCAATAATTCTATTGTTTCACTCATTTTCTGGTATTTTATTGCAGAAATTTCTATTTTACGTCTTGAAATCCAGTGAAATTCTTGATCTACTAGTACCTATTCTCTATTTCCTGAATGACGCACGTTCTGATGCATGTAAATACGCAAAAACGAACTTTTCCTTTGCTATTCAAATTCTTCGTGTTCTAGCGAGAATTGGTTTAATGCATATCGGCATTTTTATTTTACTTCTACTGAGTGGTGAAAGAAATTTCGGCGTTCGATTGAATAAACCATATACCACACGTATACCAATGGACATATCTGTATTTACTGGAACTCATGCAGATTTACTGATCATTGTATGTAAAAAAAAAAGCAAATACATGGATAGAAAAAAACCGTGTTTTATTTCTGTAGGTTTTTCATAAGATTATTGTTTCAGCTCATCAACGTTTACAACCACTGTACGATTGTTTATTAACTATTATTGTGAATATATCACCTTATCTGAAAACTTTATCAATGGTTTCAAGCAATAAATTACTTCATTTGTTAGAGGTAATCAAAGTTAGAATTCGACACGATTTACTAATTTGCCATTCTGTTCGTATTTAGGCTTTTAGCTCACCATGGTTTCTTCTGGCTGCACCTGATAACCATCATCTAGTTTTCTTTCTCCTCGAAGCTTTCAATAATCTGATTCAATATCAATTCGATGGTACGAACTTTCCAAAATATCCTTCTCGATTCATCTTACTAGTTACATTCTAGGCAACGCTAATCTTGTCTATACAATAATACGTAAAAGACAAGTTTTCTTCGCACTAAGTAATTTGGCAACTGATGCTTCAACTATAACTAAACTAAGCACGAGAAATACTAGTATAACATCTACAACAACAGCAACCATACCTAAGAAAAATAATGAAGTTTTAGTGAATAAGCAAACGGTTTTTCAGGCCAATTCGAAATCAAATTCGGATAGTGAACCTCAATTGAATCGAGATTTTATTCCTCAGCCGAATACAAATGCGCCAGGTGTAATTAGTAATGCAATGATAACAACGCTTGCAGAAACACCTTGTAAGTATTCAAAATGCCATCATCAATTGACTTTTTCGTTCAACCTTGACCACATACATGCACTGTGTATTTGCTTTTCAGCTATTCATACGATGACTGAACGTACATTAGCCGCATCGTCGAGCCTAGATGATAATAATCTCCGTACACGTTCGAACACAACAAATGAATCATCACCATCATCAACTCGAGTAAAGATTTGGAATAGAAAAGCAAATTTGAATAGTTATCTATTGATTATTGATCTATTTAGCCCGCTTCACCTCCATTATCAACAACAACCGCCTCGAATCTTTTTCCACAAAACGATAACGGGCTTTGGTCGGCAACATCAGAATGGGTACAATCATGGAAGGGAAAATTACCATTACAGACAGTCATGCGTCTTCTTCAAGTTCTCGTACCACAAGTGGAGAAAATTTGTATGGATCGTGGATTAACGGATGAAAGTGAAATCATTAAATTTCTTCAACATGGAACGTTGGTTGGCTTATTACCTGTACCTCATCCAATCTTAATTCGAAAGTATCAACCAAATTCAGGTACAGTCATGTGGTTTCGAACGTACACATGGGGCGTAATTTACCTCAGGTAAGAAGAATGCGATCAATTGATTGTCTCTAAGTTGATTTGTTGTTTTAGGAATGTTGATCCACCAATATGGTACGATACAGATGTGAAATTATTCGAGATTCAACGCGTTTAAGAACAAGGATTTCACCCATGTATTTTCATTTTTTGAATTGATTAGTATTCTTTCGTTTTATTCATTTCTTCAATTCGGACAAGTTAACGATCGGAGATGAAAAGTCTATTATGATTTATTTCGAGTAAAACAGCTTCATTGTTTTTCTTGCTGTTAAAAGTGACTCCTTCATTCTTTATTTATTTACTGTTGTTATTATTTTTTCTGGTGGATGTTTTCAAAAGGAATAAATATACATCTTATATGTTCATTTGACTGTACTCCCAGTATAAGGCTAATCAAATCTGATGACGATGTCATTTTGCTTCAATCGAACTACTTGAAAATCGATAAAAGAAAACAAACCAGTGTCATTGATCATTTATACATTATTATTCGAAGCAATTCCACTCTCATTTATTTCTCCATCTTTACTCACTCTTCGGCATACATCATCAAACGAAAATTACCTCGACTAACGATGTGATATTGTTTTATTTTTTCTTCATCTTTACTCTCGTTGGAGATAGAAAAAGAGAAGTACGCATGTTCGATAGACTAATTATCGTGTACAATCACAACCATCGATCTTACTATTGACAATACAAAGGTAAAAAGAAAGAAATGTGTCAACTCTAAATATATCCTGTCAAATTCGCTTTTCTTCATATGTATTCAATCACAGAAATACTTTGCTTTCCATCGATCACCTAGAGAATATCGATTTTCAAATTAAATCCGATCTTTTCTTTCCCCTTCTTCTTCTTCGTCGTCTTTTCATTCCACGGAGAAATTATTTGTATTACGAGAGTTGAGATATTGTGAACATTTATTGTTTTGTTATTCTCTCCTGACGAGTTAAATGAACAGTGTTGTGTAATCTGTCGAATAACAAAGAGAAATAAAGCCAAACGTACCTCAACTACACAAGGCACACTCAGGAGGATTGCCAGTCGTCGCCATATATCAACACCTTAATACCAACAGAGACAAAAGAGAACAATGCATTCTATTCAGCAACTAGGTCGAGAATAAAACATTCAGGAGCGATTTTTTTCTCTTCTTCTTCTTCTTATGTCCCTTCATGATTAATAGGGAGAAATTACTAATGCAAATGTTCGTTTTTCTCACACGAGCCACTTGATACATCTAAATGACGTTGTTCATGCCTGAGCACAATGTACCGTATGTATATACATATATCTGTCTGAATTTCGAGATTGAATTTCCATTTGAACAGCGCTCAAATCCAATATCATTGTCATATCGAGTGAATTGAGGGTGTCCAAGAAATGAAAAAGTCGAATCAGATAGAAGGGAATAAAAAAAATCTCATCCTTTTCATGGAAAAGGTCATAAACATTCATTCGCGTCGAATAGTGAAACTGACAAGAATATCAGCGTGTGATTTACAATCTTCATACTGAAAGTTTATCACTCGTTCTTCGTTCTTCTCCGACGAAAAAAAAAAGCGCGACTTGTCAGGTTTTAATTTCATTTCAATTGAATTGTTGATGACCTTCTCCTCTTTCTCCATTCCTCTTGTCAATTTACCCATTTTAGCTTATATGCCACTCGTTTAAACATTCATCTCGACACACACAATGTGTTTGTATTGAACAGAAATACGTATGCATACAACAACGTCGGGTAAATATCAGAGAGAAAAAAAGAATGTTGTTATGTTTTGTACGAGGAACAAGAGAACAGAGAGGATTGTATGTTTGCGCCCACACTCGTGCACTAGTCTAATGACCGAACGAAACGAGCGAGAGAGCTAATACGATTTTTTCTTCTTCTTCTTCTTGTCTATCTTGCTGTCTGTACGTGCTTACTCTCGTCCAAACAACATCAGCAGTTTAACTTGTATTTCCTTTCGAAAAAGAAAATGGGAGAGGAAAATTGATCATTCATCCACATCGATAACGTACGTATAGTGTCCTTCAGTTTCAATAGACATTCATCAATTTCTTTCTTTCTCTTTTATTTCTTCTGTTTGCCGTTTTTTTTAATAAATAGAAAGAAAAAACCCTTGTCTTGACCTTGTCGGAGTATAACACTAATCGAATGTCTCCCGTCTTTTTTTCAGTATTTTCTTTGAATGACTTGGTGTGCTAAAATCTATGATATTTTTAATGGATGGACTGATGATGAACATGAATTACCATCAACACCAGCTGCGAAATCGATTAATGGTCTGCCGGAGACATCATTATCATCGCGGATTGCACGATTTAATGCACTCAATGATAGTCCATATTTAGAAAGATCTCATTCCATTTCGAGCATCACTAATCCAACAAATTATAAGCGACAAAAGTAGACACGACAACATTCCTCGTCTTTCTTGCGAAAAACAACCGATTCTTTACTTTTAGTCATAATCGCTATTTTACCTATGAAAATAATTTCTATTCTCAAGACCAAACACCATATGGAATCGCAACAATGTATGCATATTATCTCTATGCTTGTAATGATTCAATTCGTTTCTTCATCTTCTAGTTCAAATATGTCACTCAACCTTCCGTCATATTCAAAGTATGTTTAACATTTTCTCCATCTGTTCATCATCATACGTTATCTTAATTGAAGGAGAATGTGAGATTGATTTCGAAATTTTTTTATCTTATATATCGATTATGTCAATATTTTCAAAGATTTACGTATCACCCCCGCCAACTGGCATCCTTTTCTCTGTTTTGTTTTATTCTCGTCTGAAGATATAATCATATCGTATCTAATGTTTCATTTTATTCATTCACTCTTTTATCTGTAGGTATATGGGAAGCACAAACAGCTATTCTCAAGAACAACAACAAATGGCGAGAAGTTATTCTTTTGAATTACGACGCAATAACTGCACAATACCATCGACGGAGACCACATCGTCCGCTGTCAGATATCCTTCCGTTCAACCGCGAACAGATCTCGTCGAAAAACCTCTACGATCTTCATCCGTAAATGTTTTGATGAATAGTTCAATGATTGGAAGTCGAGCTTCATTGCCAAATCGAAAGGTATTGAAAAATGTTTTAATGAGATCATATCGAGTAATCTGTCATCGTTATGGTCATAAAAGAAATTCTTTTTGAAAACGTTCAAGGCTACGACTGTAATCGAAAGTTATTCGCAACTTTTCATACGACATGTGCAAGGGGAAGAGGAAAAAAAGCTTTAGAAGTCTAATCATCAGTGTATCTTTTCGTCATGCTTGAATTAAGATGTTCATATCACGTTGATAAGTATCTCGCATCGAGTGCAATAAAATTCATTTTTCGTCTAACACGTTAAGTGAAGTAATGATTTCTTTAATCATGAGCGAGTCGTGTGAGAATAGTGGAGAAGTCAAGTAGGTTACTTTTAAAAATTACCATTTTGTACAACATTTATTCAAATAAATAACTTGATCAAATATTTTCGAAGACATAATTGCATTTTTCTCTTCGGTTATGTGAAAGTATTCTGTTGTTTCGTTCGAAACAGTCGAATCTTTTTTCTTCTTGTAGGAAGTGCTGGGTCCACGTTTATCCACGCGCTCGTCATATTCAGTTCCCGAATATGAAAACAACGACGTTCCATCTCGAAATAATGAGCAAATTGAACAAGCAGTTCAATATTATATAAAAGAGGTACGTTCAATGATTTTCTCCAGTGACTTTTGTTCATTTGTCACTTTGACTCTTAATTGTCAATGGGCAGAAATACTCATTCTCCAATGCCGTTCTCCTGAGAATCGAACCGATATATATTTTTTTCTTTTATATTTATTAGATGTTGACATCATCACCTACCTGTGTGTTTCCAATGGTCTATAGTTTTCCTTCAAATGAAATGTTACAGTATAGTGACTGTCATCGCATCGAAGGTGGTTATGATGATCCATCACAATGGATTATCCAAACGAAAATTCCCCCAGTTGATTGTCGAGTTATGTCGGACAATGTTGCAGCGATCTATTCGAATTATTTCTACGATCAAGTAAGAAACTGTTTGTTTCTCATCCAATGGAAACGTTTTGTTTCCTTTAGTATCATTATAATCTATTTGCAATCGATGAAAATTCCAATCCAGTTATCATGTCAATCAAGCCCAATGATAATAAATTAACAATCATTGTTCGAACGAAGGAAAGTTCGCAATGTATGGACATTGTTGAGAATACTTCCGATTCAATTGATTATGTTTATCTATCGAAACAATTGTATCCTGACCTACAAGTGTCACAGTTTGAGAATTGCACTAATTTGAAAGTGAGAGAGACCCTTTTTCGAGGAGGGAAGAGTATTGATGAGATATTTTAGGCACAGCAATTTATTAAAAATTATGATGAGAAGCTTGAGACTCATAAATTTAAATTCGGAGTGATTTATCAAAAACGTGGCCAAGTATGTTTCTGCATTGATTGTGTCTTCATGATTTTGAAAGATTTTATTTCTAGACAACCGAGGAAGAGTTTTTCAATAACGAACGACACGGCAGATCATTGGATGAATTTCTCGATATCATTGCCACGAGAGTTTCACTAAAAAATTTCAAAGGGTAAACTCAAATCTTCCAACACGCGAAATCCCTGATTCATTCAGATTGTATTTAGCTATCGTGCTGGTCTTGATGTAAGCGAACAAACGGATTCCCCTATATCCTACTATGAGCTATACGATCAAAAAGAAATCATGTTTCACGTCAGTACATTGTTACCATTTACACATACTGATACATCACAAATTCAACGTAAACGTCACATTGGCAATGATATTGTCACCATTGTTTTTCAAGAAGAAAACACACCATTTCATCCCAGTATGATCAAATCGAATTTTCTACACGTTTTCCTTGTTGTACAACCTGTGCAAGTCCTTTCACGAACGTGCTATAAAGTAAGGATGATTTAAAATGTCCAAAACATGTTGTTCGCGATATTTTGATAACATTTCCCTTGAAAACAAGGCTATAAACAAATTACCGATCAGACATGTGTCGTTTCGGTCGAAAATAATGATCAATCACTGATAAGTTGCAGAGTACAATATCAATTTTCGATCGTTTATTTAGATGACGTTGGTCACTCGTGATGATATTGAACTATTTCCACCAATTCTTCAGCGAAACGTCGTTTATGTTCGTACTGCGGAAAATTTGAAACCATTTATTCTATCGAAGTTAATCAACGCAGAATACGCAGCTTATCGTTGTCGAACATTTTCTCTGTTGCAAGAACGGACACGATGTTCGTACCTGAAGACATTGTGCGAAAATTTAACGGAGAAATCATATGATTTATTATGTGATGAACAAAAGCGTGCGAGTAACCGTCGTTTATCTATCTTGTCGAATTCGTCAAAGAAACGCTATTTTTCCAATGTGAAGAAAATGTTTACGAGAAGTAATAGTACACCCGATGGACCTCAACCTCAGTCAAGTAAATCTGAACAAATAACGAATGAAAAAGTATGCGAAAATGAAATGAAATCGCAGATGGAAAAATTGAGAGATTTGTGTTGTAGGAACGACGAAAAAATGGAAAGAAATTGTTACGATTAGGCAAATCAGTTGACAATGATGATAATGTTGTCAATCAACGTTCGTCAGTTGCAATATCCTTGCCCGAGTATGTTTGATTGAAAACTTGCGCAACACAAAACTATCTATTCTGATGATTTTCTAGTCAAGATTTACCGCGTGAACGTGACTTAATCAATCGGTGAGTAGAACAATACTCTATCCAAATGTTATTCTAGAGTTTATTTCTTCAGACGCGGCACTCGACAAAGTAACGAAAGTCTAGAAAGTAGTGGTGATATGCCATCATCTGAACAACGTTCTGCAATTGCACATTATCCCACACGTTCAGTTCATACTTACTACGGAGATGAATCTGACGAAGGCTTGGTAAATCGTTTCATCTGAGAATATATCGATAGATGTGTGCATTGAATTTCTAGGATAGTATGTCATCAGCAGATACAGCATTCTCACATAATCAAACGCGTGTGCCATATGACAGTGATGATCAAGATGGTAAATAATTTAACTCACAGTTCGTTTTCTTTCGAAGATTATCTTTTCTAGCCTATCGGCAGCAACTTCGTGAGAAATCTCAACCAACTCATATTGTACGTGCTAGATTGTGAAATTTTTCTTCTCTTTGATGAAATTATTTGGTTTTAGTCTCATCCATGGCACCGTCTATCTGGTCCACGGCAAGGAAATGTTCAAATCTACACTCCTCAAACAGCTGGTATTCACATCAGTGAGGCAGCTACTGTTTAAAACTCAACTTTGATTTGTTTTTCATCTACGGTCATTTTTATAAAAAATGTACAATTTACCCTCACATTCATATACATATATTTGTTTTATTTGGTTTTTCGTTTTTTTCCTCTTTCTTGTTGTCGTCGTTATACTATTATGCATTATTCTACAGAGATTATTTTTCTTCTGGCGTGCATTACTAATATAGACCTTTGATTCCTTTTCAAAATAGACGATTGTATAAATATAGAGATTGCAATGGAAGGATGATTTGAAAAATAAAATATCGTGGATGCTTATTGTTTGAATTGCATGTCATTGAGGATTAGCGAAACAAAAGATATCTGTGACGTTTTTCAATTATCAGATGTTCAATTCGACTTAAGACATGAAAATTGAAACTAATCTACCGGATTAGTCCGACGTGAAGAAGGAAAAACAATTGAGAACGAGAGGATCGTTGTCTTTTTCCAGTTAATTACCAAGCGAACATAACAAAAGAATGTATGTCGATTTAAATGTGAAGTACTACAGAAAAAAAAGATTTTCTTTTCATCGGAATTTATTGACTATGCAATTTTTATTCGAGGTCATGGATTGAATTACCTTTCGACTCAAACATGTTATACTCGTCTCGTCGTTGTCGACTAAGTTCTATTTGTATTCAATTCAGTCAACTTGAAAAAGCCTGTTATGAGTCGTGCTGATCGGTTCGATTCGAGATTTGTTCCATGTTGATAGGGATCTGACACGTTTTTTCTCGCTTATCGATTGTCGTCTTTGGTTAGCTAACGAACGACTCCGTTCAATAAGAGTTTCGATGCGTCAATACTCACGTTCTGCATATACATGAATCTATATTTTGATCTCGCCGTGAAAAAATGTCGATATTATATGTTTTGTCGACTTAAGGCTTCATTTTACTTTGCTTATTTTCATTAGCGAAATTTTTTTTACTACTCGTCGAAGAAAAAACCTTCACGTCCAAGGTTAACGGCGCTTTAATATGAATATTATAAACCAGAATAAACTATTGTCTTATTTGATGTATTCTATTTAGCGAACGTCATATGTTTTTTTCTTGGAGAAGAAGGTCGCGAATTTGACTACATATGTAAGCGAGAGGAGACAAAACGACGAGAACTACCTAGTAATGTAATTCAAGTAGGAGAATATCAAACAAGCAAGTGTTAGGAGATATTAATCGTTCTTCAATCACTGCGATCGAACAGTCTAATCCAGACGCATTTTGACCTTTTGATCCAACTTATTAATGTGAACAGTTTCGGAAGATGATGAAAAGAACATCGATCGTAATAAACGCATCAAATTTCTTTTCTATATAAGCAGACTTCGTTGATTTCTGATCTTGATCTAAATATAAACGATCTCGTCGACATTGTCCTTGATTTCATTGGTGCCATCGGACACGAACATCGTACATTAAGAACTAAACAGGTAGGTTACATCATTTCAATCGTTCGTTTCTTTTTTTTTTATTAAATGAGGATGCATGTTCGATGTGTTTCGCGCTTCCCCTCTCTCTCTTTTTCATCGTCATGCAAATATTACACACACACATACGTATATGCGTATTCTCGCAAGCACACTCTCGCTACTATTTGTTAAAAAATGTTTTTGTTATGTTACTTAACTGAAAGAAAACGAAGTCAAATATATACCGTAACACTTTCAACAATATTTTGCAAACTCAATTATCATTCTCATCAACAAATTATTCTTTACCTTATCATAAGAGAAAGTTTTCAGGTAAGAACAACTATGTTGGGGTAGAAACTATGAAAGTAAAGACTAGAAAGAGAGAGATAATGCATTCATATATGAAAGTGTTATCGCATGTTTTTTGCTTTTCGTTAAGTCAAGACGTCAGAAGGTAATTCGATATTTTCTTCTTTTGAAAGATAACTTTATTTCGTCGACAGATGTTTGATGTTGATTAAACGTAGGATGAATAATCAAACAAGTAAGCAATCATAGGTTTTTTTTGTAGAGAGAAGCTTGGCTATTGTCGAGAGGAATAACCTTGACATACCCAAGTACGATAGGTATATGTGAATGAGAGCAAATATGTTCATTTGACATATGTTGAATAGTGAGACGAATGAACGGATGTACATAAACATATTTGAATTATTATAACGTTTGATAATTGATTGATTGTGAAGCGTAAGAAAGTCGTTATCATCAACCAAGAGATTAGTTCATCTGAATATGTTTTCAAACCATCTTCCTCCTTGGCATTTCTCGAATAATCACCAGTTCTATTCTATCTGATGTAGTCAGAGTACAGCTTGAACATATGCGTCCAATTTATTTTGGCATTTCTTTACTTTTTTTTCGGAGTGATTGTTTGATCTAGTTCTGTTTGTATATCTAACATGAAGAATGAGAGAAAGTTTAGATTTTCTACCAGCATGAGAGAAAAGATCATTGTTAGTACAATCGTATATTTGTATGCTTGTCATCAGTTATCTTCGGAGCATAGTCAAGTGTTATACCTATCTCACGTTCATAGCAATGATTAGTTTCATGGCAATTATTGCCGAATATTGGCGACGATGGAGAGTGAATGAACAAGTCTACAATCGTATGTATTGAGACATAATTTTAAATGATGCATATGTATATGAGAGATTATTATCGATTAGAAATCGAATAGAATGTGTGAATATAAAGATGGTGTCAGCTATTGTTCTTTAATTTTCAATCAATATATTCTTCGTCTTGCGTCATCTGTCTCTCGATTTTGATTGTCCTGTAATTATAGAGTAGAAGGTGTGATCTACTACTATGTACTTGTGTGTGTCTCTTTCTCTTCCTTCTTTGTTCGTTTTAATTTGAAGATACAAGTTTAAATTACTCATAAGCACGCACGTAGATCTAGTTATTCAAACGCCTTCTGTCCATCGCACTAATGAAAATGCAAAGAGAAGAAGAAGGAGAAAAGGACTAGATACCTTAATCTATCCTTTATTTTTTTCATGGGAGGTCGTGGAGCATGAGCAATGCTGATGGAGCGTATAAAAGAAACTAAAATGAAGTTTGAATTGATGTGTGAGAAAAAAAAGGACGCGAGAGAGACAGAGAAAGGACATAGTGTGGAGGGGAAAAGAGAAGCGCGAGAACGAAAGACAATGACCGAAAGAGTGCAATATGTTCTATAATAAAAAAAAGCCATTCATTCATGCATCAACCAGCAATGAAGACCGAGAATTGAAGAGAGAAGAAAAAAAAATGAGAAGAGTATAGTTACTCATTCTAACTAATCATAATCATATGAAAGTTAGAAAGTGAAAAAAGAGAGAGAGAGAGAGAGACAGACACACAGATAGACAATGCGTTGTAAGTAAACAAATCATCCTAGTCGTTATTAACTAATTATATTTTAGTAAAACATATGCAGAAAATGGTTACGGGCGTTGAACAGCTGATGCTGGATCCTCAGTCACGTTTTCTCGAAATGAAATCTCTTCAGCCATATTCAACAACGGATGAATACTTATATGCAATGAAAGAAGATCTCGCAGATTGGCTTTCAACGATGTATCCTGAATGGCGTCCGATCACTGCCGATAACTTTGTTGAATGTTTAGGTAAGATATTTAATCTAGACGTATCTTTGTTGATGTTCGGATTCGATTATCAGACAATGATGACAAACATTGAAAACATAGACTAGAAATGAAAATAATCATTTATTATTTTAACATTCTTTCTTCTTCTTCAATTGATTATTTGTCTGTTGACTTTTCTTTCTTTTTCTTGCCTTTGGCATCACACAGTAATATCAACTTCAAGTATTCGATTAAGAAAAAACCGATCTTACATCCACTTCATACATCATATAACCGTATATCTCAACTTTAGAGAATATTAATTTAGAAAACCTTGAGTCAACTTGTCATTTGAAAGTTTAGACCTTCTCGTGTTCTCTGCTCCGGGCTATGCATTTCCTTCTCGCATATTACAAATTTAAAGGCGGAAAAAAATCTCCGAGGATGACTAAGAACAAATGATGCAAATATAAAAACACAGACAGACACCCAGACAGACAATCGATTGATGATGACCGGAAGCCATACCATGTAAATGGATTATGCACGAACATTACACTCATCAATAGATGTTAATTCCATCACTAGTCGAAACGAGAAATTAGATAAAAACGGCAGATGCACTTCATTTTCTTAGCAATAGAAATCAAACTCAATTTGTTTAATCTGTAGAAAATGGTGTACTACTTTGTCAACATGCTAACAATGTCAATAGTGCAGCACGTAAAAGCTATTCTTCGAAATTATCACCGCCGTCGATGTCATTTATATTGGAGAATTGTAAATACCGATCGGATGCGCGTCCACAAACATTTAATGCTCGTGATAATGTTTCGCAATTCATCAAATGGGCTCGTCGTGTCGGTGGCGTACGTGAAGTGTTAATGTTCGAATCAGACGATTTGATTCTACGAAAAAATGAGAAAAATTTCCTATTGTGCCTCTTGGAAATTGCTCGCTATGGAGCTCAATTCGGTGTTAGTGTACCGGCTATCATTAAATTAGAAGATGAAATCGAACGAGAAATCGAACGCGATAAACAATCCGAAATTATGTCATTTACTGAATTGAGACGTTTGCAACGAGAAGAAAATCAAAAGAATAATTCGTTGTCGTCCTCACATCTTGGAAAATATAGTAAATTGCTGAAATTCGTTCGACATGATATTTCCGATTCGAATCATCATCAGGAAACAACGAAAAACATCTATAATACATTTTCTTTGTCGCATTCGAATGGTGCAAGTTGGCTACGGCAACGAATATCGCGCATACCAAAATTTACCACTCATAATAATAAAAAACGACATAACAGTGGGGAAAGTAATGACAGTACAACATGTAGTGAAGCGACAACAACAATCGTCTCGACTAAGGAACAGTACGTTCCACAGATTAGTCGAACTTTAGGTGAAGGAGAAATGAAAATTGAAACACCGACGATCTCATCACAGTTGCACAAAACAGTAAGTCGTAGAGTGAAATTATGAGAGAAAACATCAATTTGTGGTTCTAGGTCGAACAGATGACAAATTCTTGTTGCTGTGCGCAACGTTTTCCTGTCAAACGTATTGGCGAAGGCAAATATCGAATCGGTGAAAGTGGAACAGTAATTTTCATTCGAGTATGGCACACTAATCCTACAAAGAATAAACGGAATCGTTTGCTTTTGTTCATAGATCCTCAGGTATCATGTTATGGTTCGTGTCGGCGGCGGTTGGGATACACTTGAGAATTATCTTAACAAACATGATCCATGTCGGCGCATGGGTGGTAAGTCCCTGAACGTCAACATTGTTTCAATTAATTATTTTTATTGAAAAGGTCATCGACGATTAGAACATCATGATCACCATACAGATATTCCCATCCGTGCTGTATCAAATCAGACGAATTCTTCTGCTTTTTCAAAAACTATTTCTCATGGAAGATCAGTAACACTGAAAACAGAAGACTTTCCATTGACCAAACCAATCTTTCACGATGCAAATCTGGCCAATGCTCAATTGGTTATCACACGAGATCCTGACGGACGTCATCACATCGGGCAAATCACATACAAAAGTGAGGAAAACCTCCACCTGCAACAATCCTGCCGTCATCATCATCATCCTCATCAGAATCCACAATCTCCCGTACCGAAAATTCGAAGTGCCCGTGGTACTGGACATTCAACACTCTCGCCAACATCGTATAAACAGTCTTCACCAAGTACAGATCAAGATTATTCTTCTTATTTACAAACGTTTTCAACCGAAACAAAACCATCAAGTATACTTCCGAATGAAAATCAATCAAATGGATATTGTCGGACGGACTTCGTTCTTCGACAACCGCCGACATCCAAAATGCTCAATGATAATCACAAAGAAAATCAACACAATTCAAGAGCAACAATCAAAAGTTATAGATCCGGATTTGTTGAATCAATTATCGATAATATCGATGGTTATATTACACCAAATCTCGGCGAATCCGAACAAGATTTCGACATCAGTGATATAGATGATGCCATGCGAAGTCATAATCACGATCACGATACGACGCAAATGGATGAAGATAGTTTAGAAAGTGCCGAAGGTGTGTTAGAAACAACGAAGCATCCAGCATTTGTACCGCCACCCACTTATTCAGCAAAAACACCGTCGACGCCAAAAGCCAAGTCAGGTGGAATATGTACAGCACTTTATTTAGCTCAAAAACAAAAGCAAATAGCAGCTTTTCGAAAAACGCCGACGATGACTGCATATTCACGTTCCAATACTCTACCGAATGTGAATCAAGTAGTTAAAAATGAAGAGAAACCTATCATTAAAACTCATCGTAAACCGACTGTTGCGTCACAACGATCACAATCAACGGATCTATTCGAAAAGACTCCATACAACGATATATCAAAGCTTGATCGAGATTCTGGCTTCGATGAACAAGATTTTCGTTGTGAACGGCTACATTCTAGTTATGATGATAATTCGAGTATTTCATCTTTAAAAAGTGCTCGTAATTCCATCGGTCGTTCATTGTCATCCGATCTCAATGGTCAAACCTATCGAGAAAATAAAGCCTATGAATTACGTTTGAAGGCTCTTGATCATACTCGATTCATGAATGAGCAATCAGCACAAGATCCAAGATTACAGATTCGACGAAACTTTAATTACTTAGCAATACGAGCTAAAGATACGAATTGCGCAGCTACTCATATATATAAGAAAAATGCACATTTGAATCTATATTTTAAATGTTAATATTTAGAATTATTATCTGTTTCGTTTTTTATTGTGCACAGTGATTTTCTTATACTTCTTTTTCACAACAACTTCATTCCCAAAATATATACGAATAAGAAACGTGTAATTGATACTGTTATCAATGGTTTCGCTCTGGCAGATCGGTAAACGTATCCAATGGATTCGAATCTTTAGATAAACAAAACATAGAGTAATAGTAGAAATGCCGAATGAGAACGAAAAGATCTCTCTGATTAAGTTACTAAAGAACTATGAATGATTGTATCCTCAATAGATATGCTCAATGGCAGAATTACTGATAGAAGAACGAATGCAAAGCGAGTGTATATGACCTACCTACACTCTCACGTTAGAGAGTACGACAGTTTCACAATCAGTTCAAAATGTGAATAAAATGAGTATGAACAGTCGATATTCGGATTCCAAACAAGGACATTGCTTAAATTCTAAACTAAAATTGATAAGTTTTTCTTGAAAATAATCGGATTATTTTCTTATTTCAAATTAACAAAGTTAACACAAACAAATAATTTAACAATATGTATTGATTATACTGTTTCTGTTCGAATGCCTGTCCATTTACCCCATCGATCGGATTCTTTGCGACCTAGCCGTGGTCGAGTAAACCGCTCGACAACTTGACGATCTCTTGAAAAAAGAAAATCAGTTCTCTCGAAATACAAGAAAAACATTTTCTAATCATACGGAATCGCTTCAAAAGCTTCTGCCCATGATTTGCCATGTTTCAATGCCATTAAGATATTATAAATTTTATCTAATGACAATGTCCGCGAAGCATTACCGCCAAATCTAAATCCAAACTAATTTTCATCATCGTTCTCCAATATTTTGCTCATCGTACTTTAAATATCGCTCTAATGGTAATCTTTGATGTTTAATATTATCCCGTTTTGCTTTGGCTAATGTCAATGGTCGTCCACCCACACCTATAAAAATCAATCCGATAGAACTTCCTTCACAAACAAATCATTCTATTCACTCGTATCAACAACAGCACCAATAATATACACAGCATCATGATCATATTCTGACATTTCATATGGACTATGCGGTGAGAGATAAATCAATTTTTGTCTATCAACTAGATCTGAATAACTTGCTTCAGTTGTTTCGAAACATGCTACACTACGTCGTTGTGCATGACGTCGAGCGAACTCGTGTTGAATTTGTCCATCAATTGCAAAATTACATAAAGTTATAAACGATGGAGAGTGATATTCGTGTATATTGGCAAAGAAAAATTCAATTTGATCAACTAATTTCGTAATGTATTTCGCGCGTGCATGTTCAACTTCAAAACCGCAATCGATAAGCACTTGTTCACCTAAACGCGCTTGAACTATCAGTTTACTATCCCGAATCGAACGTTCGGTATGACCGCCAGCTAGTTGACGAAACATAGACTTATAACCTGGATAATTTGTTAATGGAAGACCAGCAGCTGCTAATTCAGCATGACGAACCGTCGCTTGTGAACGACGCTCTTGAACTGTTGCCCTTTCCGCGGCTCGTTTTCGTTTGGTTACTTCACGAATAAACAGATAATTATACAACGATCGACGATTGTTTAATAGTGGAGATGAGATTAGTTCAGGCCAATATTCTTCTGGAATATGATCAGGAATACGTTCACCGCCTTCACGCAATGTCTGCATTCTAAAGTTAAACAGAAGACTTTAGTTTAATGAAATAAACACTACTTACTCAAGTGTAATAACTTGGCGTTTTTGTTCATCATTTAATGATTGAAATTTTTGCCGATGTCGCAAATAATCCCATAGCCATTCATTATTATCTTTGGATGCTGACGTTGTATCTTGAACTAATTTAGCAGAAGTCAGATTAGCTAAACATCGACGATGAGATAACAATATATTGTGATGAAAAATAACGTTTACAACAGAATGAACTGTCCGAAACATAGTATAATTTGCTTAGAACTATTCTCAATTCTTCAAAAGATGTAAATGGAACAATTCCATTGATTACCATTTTGGCTTATAAGAGACCTGTACGATACTGTAATGATAGATGGCTTTTTCCATTAACACGATCTGAAACACTTTTGGAGTAACTGTCGAATTCGCGTTCGAATATGATTGAAGATGTCAAAGATAGATCTTAGCATCTGATATTCACGTTGGAGGTCGACGTAGTTTTAATTATTGATACCTATAGTTTATGCATAGACCTATCTAGCTATACTTCTTTGTGTGAGTCGTAAGTAATTAAGTGAGACCAACAAATGAATCTGTATTCCTGTACTACAGTTTTAGTCAAGTATTTGAATGTTCTTGAAACAACTCTTAACATTATCTATGCAGATCACTAATCATGTATGTCCTTCGTATTCAAACATATTCAATGAATAGGACTCAATCGATTTTAGTTCAAATGGCATTGAAACAACTCAATATAATCCATTTATTTAATAGTACTTGATCATCATATAAAGAAATATTGAGTAATATGATAATTTGATATGAAAGAGATTTGCTGCAATATTAAGTTGTCAGAACGAGTTCAAGTGGGTCGATAACAAGATCGTTGTTGACAGAATGAATATGTTTTATTAAATGGTTTGTTTGAAATCACGCTTCTTTGTGATGTTGCTTGATGTGTCTGTTCGAATGATCAGTCATTCCATGCGTAAACAAACTTGTCTAATATAAGCAGCTGCTAACAGTGCTTTTCCTCTTTTGATTTGATTGCATTCGATTTCGAGACAAAAAGAGAAGAAATACTTTGATATCATTTTTCTATGAATTATTTCGAAAAGGAGATAAAATCGTTGCAGACATATTGTCTTCGAGCAATGTCGAACGACATTTTGTTCTATTCACTGATCTTTTCTTTCTTCATCGCTATGCGAAAAGAAATTCTTCGTCGTTAAAAGTTTATCTTCTCCATAAAAACAATACGGCTAACGTTTTATGTAAAAATCAAAGACGATTGTGTCAGATGGATGATTGACCTCTTTTTTATTCTTTTCTTTGTCTTATAATCGTAGATATACACGAGGAGAACAAAGCTCGTTCAAGGCATCAGCTGAATTTGCATCGGATATTTCACAAGAAGAAAAATTCGTCTAGTGTGAACATGACAAACGTTTTGTTGCAACACTCTGCTTCTATAATCGTTTACATAATGTTCTGCATACATGAATACATGAATGTCCCGTTCGTGCGAGACCATTATCGTTCATTGAACTAATTTTACAATGGTGAACAAGCATAAACATACCGCCATCATGACCAATTGAAATACATTAACATTCTGCTTTCTTCTCTCCTTTCTCTCTCTTTTTTTCACTTCACTTCAAACGATCTTTCAAAGAATATTTCAGATTTGTATTCTTTTCATGTCAGTGTACAACATATTAACACTTTGTAAAACATCACGCAATAGATTGAAACAATACAACGTAAGTATAATGATGATAATAATCAAATAGACTTAGTTGAAATGAACAGACATACTTCGGCTTTCTTCTCAACAGGAAATGCATTTATTCACTTAGTTTAAGATGTTACATCGCTTTTAAATTTTATGCTATTCTCTAGATGATGTCGATGGATGAGAGCTTCACACCACCTTTAGACATTCACACACCCGATGTAATCGTATACATAAGACACTCGAGTTCGCTTGATTAAGATAAGCTTGTTTAGGCGACGACAAGAAATGTAGACTAGAGTTGCTCATTAATATTCTGACTCATTGTATATGCTACTACGTTATAACTTGTCTTCATAGTGTAAAATCGGTTCGTTCACTTGTTTTCCGCCCTTTTCTATCGTGGCCGATTGAAAGTTTCATGTGCATAGGAGGTGACATGGTCAATAAGTACACGTACACTCATATCCGTGTATGTATATCTTCATTGTGTTTTAATTGAGATTTTGAAAATGAAATCATTGTTATGTTTTCAACTTTTTGACAGTTGATTTTTCATATCAAATCTATTTGATGATTTCATGGTATAGATCTAGCGTCAGTGTGTCTCGTATTCTTTGACATTTTTGATAGACAGTTGTGTATATTGTCGGTATGATTGATCATTTTAATCCATTAACCAAACTATTAGAGAAGAAATCCCGAACAAAACAGCTTGACTGATTCTTTATGCAATCAGTGGACTTCAATCAATTGTATTGACATTCGACGAACAAAAAAAACGAGCTTTAAGAATAAATGGTATTTTTCATTGATGGTAAATTTCAGTGTGAAATGAAGGTTTCCTTTCGTGATTAAATTGATTGATTCAACTAAGTTTAATACGTTCATTCAAGCGTAGAGAATACAAAGAAAAGCAACTTAATTCTAATAACTTAAGTGTATGAAACGTGTAGAGAGAGAGAGAGAAAAAAACAGCTCACCTTTCTTTTGTGTTCAGTGATAGATGGGAGGAGAACAGAGAAAGCAAAACGAACAGTTGACTGTATGTTTTAGGTCGTGAACGAAACATATCTATCATGAAATACACATTGTTTGTGTTCTTAATCATCGTCCATTCTTCCCATGGTAAGGAAAACAAACTTCTTTCAAAACTTCTTATCTCTTATGTATTTCTACAAGGTGCCTGTCCGAAAGCAACATTCGAGTTCAGAAATAAAACGAAAACAGCTGTGTATAACTTTATCGATTCATCAATTGGAAATATCGGCTCATTAGAAACATGTCCATGTAAGTTACGACATTTTCCATTGAGGTTCTCTTCAATGCACATTTGCAGACACGGGTCGACCTTATGTTTACTTACCGTGTTATCCAAATTCCTCATGGGGACGTGATCCGTACTTCAGTAACTGTATACAACCAATAGAAATCAAACAGGAAGCAAAGTCAATCGTACCAAAAGACAATCCCTATGGAAGATTATCGTTCGACGAAGTAGTTCGAGTAAGTTTCAATATCAAATTTTCGAAACTTATTCTGACTATTTCTAGCTGCCATTGACAACTTCCAACGATATTTCGAACATTCTATCTTATGTGAACAACAAACAAACAACTGTCAAATCATCATCTGACATAACATCGATTGTGAATTTAATTGATCGTATAGTAACGAATAATCAATACACGGATGACATCCAAACGAATCTATACTCAACTGCTAATAAACTTCTCTCATATTCACTAAAATCACAAATGCGAGAAGCTCAGAAGATGAATGGAAGTGTTGTCAAGTAAAGTGATCGTTTTGTTTCGATTCCAATTCAAATTTGGATTTCTTAACTTAGATTACTATCATTAATGGAAGCGTATTCCCAAAATGTCATCTTTGAAGAACCTGAACGTTCTTTTAACGAAAACAATCTTGCTGTATCCATTGTCAACAGGCCAAACAGTCGTTCCGAACCAATTATTGGTTTTGCTTTCGGTAGGTAAACATCTGATATGACAGTTATGCTTATTTGTCATACGACGACGACGTCCACATCATCATTATCATCATCTTGCTTTGATAGAAAGTTATATCATCGACTGACAAGAGAAAATGAAGTAATTGTTCGGTAGGATGACCCATCAAAAATTTATTTTTATCCTTTACCTATTCATTTTCGCGAGCACATTGACGCTTGCAAGAAAAGTGAAAGAAGTGAATGAATTATACAATTGAATAATAAGATCTATATACGTATAATGAACACTTACAATGTATGTGCAACAAGTAGACCTATGTGACGTTCTTTGTAACATGGGAGGATAGAAATGATGATTGATCGAAGGGTTGACTAGAATGAAAAATGAAGGAAGGAGTGGAGAAGAGAGATTGAAAATGGTTATTATTCATTTTTTTTAAAAATATCAAATTGATTTAGATTCGAATAACAATGTGACAAAAGCAATTAGTTCAGAAGATTATGATCGGAATTTCACGTCGATTATTTTGAATACTCAAGCTTTGATGAAACAGAATCGTTTAGCATTCTCTGTCTACGATGAAAAGACAGGTTTATTTAATGATAATCAACACCAAGTGTTAACACGAGTGATTTCATTGACTGTTGATAAACCTGAAGCAGTGAAGCATAGCGGGTCATTTGTGAAAATTTCCTTTCAATTGGATAGCGATTTTCAACAGCGAAATCAGAGTTTACGGTGTGCATTTTGGAATATATTTGATAATATGACAGCGAAATGGTCAACGGAAGGTTGTCAAATAGAAAGCATCAAGCAACAACGTGTTACATGTATTTGTAATCATTTAACACATTTCGCTGTTTTAATGGTTTGATAAAAGTCAAGTATTTGCTGTTTTTCTCATTAAAAATTTTTTGTTTGAAGGATATCGAACAAACACCAACACCGAGATTGGTTGAACAACTTCTTTCAGTAATCACATTGATTGGTTTATTACTCTCATCAACTGGCCTGTGTTTGACGATTCTAACATTTATATTTTTCAAGTAAATTCATCTCGAAAAGAAATTCGACAAAAAAAAAACGATCTGCTCTTCACTCTCTATCTAGAAAACTACGTCGTCATTTCAGTCAAAAATCTCTTCTACTCTTATCGATAAACCTTCTATGCGTGAATATTCTATTTTCGATTATTTGTCTGTTCACGTTAAAACACTTACTATGCGTTATTATTGCAAGTTTATTACATTATTTTATCTTGGCAACATTTAGTTGGATGTTTATCATGGCATTGATACAATATTTACTATTTGTCAAAGTTTTTCCATCTTCAATCTCTGCTTTTACGAGGAAAGCAGCAGCGTTCTCGCAATGTAAGTCGATATCTCTGTCTTGCTCTCCAAGAAATTCTCGACTTTTAGTGATTCCATTGATTCCTGTTTTAATCGTCCTCTTGATTGATCCATGGAATTATACAAAGCGAGCCGATCATATGTAAGATTCAGTTTTATTTCATCGAACTTCATTCAGTGCTCGTTGATTTGTTTAGATGTTGGTTATCCAATTTACCATTTTATTTGTCATTCATTCTACCGATTGTTTTGTATATCTTTATCAACAGTATTCTGTTCGTTACCGTTGCTTACTCACTTCTATGTGGTAAAACAGCACAACGATTGCAAAGCACACATTCTTTGGAATCTCAACGAGTCTCACGTTTTACAGTTGCATTGAGTTGTTTCATTGTACTTGGGCTAACTTGGACATTTGGTCTGTTTACTATTGGACCAGTTCGTCTATTGTTCCAAATCTTATTTTGTATATTTGCTTCATCGACAGGGTTTTTAATATTTATTCTTTATATAATAACATCGAAAACGAAACGAACATGCTGGAATAGTAAGTTCGATCGTTTCTCCATTCTTAATACACACAGTGACTCATTTTAGATACGTTTAAATCGTTTGGAATATCTTCAATCTATTCTCCGACATCCTCGTCATCGTCCGGCTTTCTAGGCAGTAAAGAGTTTTCTTCCACATCAGTCAGTGATCATCAAAAACTACCTACTCGTCATACGCAATATCCTTCACAACCTCAACATTTTATTGATGCGTATATGCCATCATCACCTCCACCGCCAGCTCCGCCCATCGTACCACCATCTCAATCAACGTTAGTCATCGAAGGTGATGATTCAATTTATCCAACAGATATGGCCAATCATTTGTACGAACCACGGCATGTTTGGGCACCACATACAAACTATATTTATGAAACGAACCAACCGACGACATCGCTCGATGATTATTCTCTATTCTACAGTTCAAATCATGATGCAACAAAACTATGAGAAAACTTTCTTGAATTGTTATACTGCAGTCAGATGCGTATGCGTTTTGTAATCCGGTTGTCTGTTCCACTCAATTTTCTTTTTCTTACAATGTGTATGTATAGAGTGTTGTGCGTCGTTTCCCTTTCCCATTGATCAGTTCTTTTTTTTCTCATGAATATTTCACTTTTCACACTAAATAAATGACACGATATTGAAATGGCATTTTAGATCTAATAAATGTTAATTGTTTCTTGAAAAAAAGAAAAGTAGGAAGTAATAAGCCTTTCTATTTATACATTACTTAGCCGCGCAAATATAGTTCTCAATGCTCTCCTGATGAACCCTACGTTTCATCGGCAGTGATGTTTTTCGCTATGCACTCATCCTGGATCAAGTTGTTATGTTACTATTCACGACATAGAGACAATTAAGCTAAACATCTACTTTTCTTTCCCCTTATTAGTATTGTTTTTCATTTTGCCAGATCTGCTGTTTATTAGAACATGAAATGAGTGTAAATATTAAAAATCTAATTTACCCCACAATGGAGTTCCATCGACATCAGACAACGTTAATGTGTTTTTTGCTTGTTCGACTACGTCATCGACGAGCTGTTGATGATAAATATTTTCCGTGTAAATATCTGATGATAGTATGATCAAATCTAACATATGTTTAACAAGACCAGCAAACCGAAGCGCAGCTTCCATATGCGAATATCGATACAACATATATGTCCATAGAATTTCTACATACATATTTTGACTGCCAAGTAGACGAAATTCTCCATAGAGCAGTGCATCTTGTTGGAGATCTTTGTCGAAATCCACAGTAAAGCAATTGGTTGAGAAAGCAAATACGGCTATCATAGCTTTCGCTAGAGTCGAATCGTAACCGAGCCGTTTGATGATTGATCTAGCTTTTCGAACAGCCTCGTAACCATATAAAGGCACAATAATTGTCTCATTTTTATAACTCTCAAATATCCCTCCGTCGCGTAACATAAGTGTTCCAGCAAAATTGAATAGACCATGTAAATTCCGTTGAAACAGTGAACGTTGTTCAGCAGTGGTTAACACACGAAAATCAGCAGTCGAAGTAACGAACGATTGGACAAATGTATAGAAGGAACTGAACAAGTCGAATGTTTCCGAAATGTCGACTATTTTCATCGGTTCTATACTGTCCAACTGACCGACAATATATTGAATTGCTGGAACAACACTGAATCTTTCGAAGGCATGCACTACATTGGAGAATAATCGCCATTCGAATGCTGTCAGCGATGATCGATCGTTGCGAAGTAGATTTAATGGGAAAATTTCCGGCAGAGGCTAAATATACAAAAGAACCTAAAGAAACTCATTTACTAAATGAAATTTATTCTAAATAAAGTCATCGTATTAGTGCATCACACCCTCCTAAGATGTTAATAGACTATAAGATTCAAACAAGTAGTTATTTTTAACGCGTAATTTCGACAAATCACATTTTTCAAATTATAGTTTTAGTGCGAAAAGACTTGTAGTTTACATAACAGATTCCGCACGTTCTATATTTAGAAAGTCAACAGTCATCTGGTAATTATTCACAGAAAAAGTTAACCTCCCTAGTGACAAATGTCGAGGTCTTTTGCGTATTTCATCTTGACATACCTTATGAAATTTTTCCAATTGAACAATTTCTTTCGAATTCAATTTCGCTGTTAGTCGAGCTTTTTTGTATTGAAAATCCTTACGAATGAAATCGATACTCATTCCGACGGCAAAACATTTCATTAATCGACATGGAATACACAACTTGCGTGTTTCGACATCGATCTCACAGCATCCGTCATAACGGCACGAATTGAGCAGCTAAAACGAGAAAAACCAGGCATGAAGATAAGATCTCACAAGAAAATACATACTCTAGCGCGATGTGCATGACGACGGAAGAATGTCTTGCAAGAATAACAAGAAAGAGCTCCATAATTAATGATAAATGCTTCAGCATTACAGATTAAACAACAATTAGGACGAACTGATTGTTTAATATTTGTCATGATCTGAAGACGATTCAAACGAATAAGGAATGTTTACAGATGCGTCGAAAGAAATCCTTATGTAACAAAACAGCGAGAAACGTTATACCTCACGATCTGCAAATGTCATGTCGCCTAATATTTAGTTGGAATAATCATTATCCAGCTTACAGTTTACTGACTATATTTACGTCTAAGAATACATCAATGAAAAGAATAGTAAAAGCTGCTGAATGCATTTTGACGGATTTTAACAGCTGACTAGATGTGAATAACTCGCTATTTGCAGACCTTCTAAACTCTTGACAAATTCTTGAACTCACAGCGACTCTTATCAGTATCCTACGATTCCATTTAAGTAAATTGACATGTTTGTTGTCTGCGTTATATAAAGAAAGTGTGGGTGCAGAGCAGAACTAATGTCACAACGTAGTATTCGTGCACTCGATACATCCATCCATGTCGATTAGTCTAAACTATTGCTTTCTGTTTGAAATGGATGTAAAACAGACGAGAGGTGAGAGGTGTTACTTCTAAAAAATCTTCTAAAGACTTTTCATATTAAAGTTAAATGCGCAATTATGTTCGAAGAATTTTCCATGTGATATAAAAAGTAATCCTACTGTCAAGTTGATTCTCACGTTTGCAGAGAAATACTTAAATCGATAGACGTATTTGTAGACATACTTTGTTTCAATAATCTTCTATAGGAGAGTTAAATCAAAATCTTTCACAAATATAACTTCACTGTTTTACTTCAAAGCACTTCTTTGTTCACCTTGGATCTCCTTCTCTTTATTTATTGTAAATAAAAACAAGTCAAATCTCGATACTGTTATCATACAATTACAGAGAAGAGAAAAATGAAAGCATAGAAAAACAAACGACCATCAATATGCATACTTAAAACGAAACATAATTTCAACGTCTAAAAATATAAAATGTATCACCGTCGTCAGACTTTTTTTTACACAGGAAAACATGTAAGAACACTGTTCAATTAGCTCGACGAAAGCCTTTTAAGATAGGATATATTAAGTCGAAAGCTTCGTCGATTTCACTGCGTTGTTTAGCGCCTAAATAACAAAACGGAAAAAGATGATAATCTTTTTTCTCAATTAATGAAACTTTGTTTACCTGTTAATACTACTTTACCGGAATTGAAAATTAATAAAACAATTTTTGGCTTAATAATTCTATAGATCAGACCAGGAAACAGCTCAGGTTCGTAACTAGAACAAAACACATAGGATCTTCTCTTGAGAGATAATATCAACTATAAATTTCACCTGCAATACGTGTCATGTTTCAATTGTAATGCTTCAAGTCGTATTTTAAAATGCACGTCTGCACTACCGACCATATTTTGAATTTTAAAATCGAGAAATTTTGCCTGGAAGAGTTATGAGTAAAAAAATGGGCTATTCTGTTACAGTGAATCCCTACTGGAAAGCCAAGTTTTTGAATTACACGAGCATAACGTCTTGCGGCTTGAATCGAATGTTCTTCACTTTTAGCGCCCGTACAAACCATTTTGCCTGAACTAAAGATCAATGCTGTTGTTCTTGGAGTACGAATACGCATGATGACAGCAGCAAAACGTTTAGGATTATATTCGGCGTTACGTGCTTGTAGAGCAATACGTTTTAAATCCAATGGACAGCCAAGATTAACAGTCGATACAATATTTCTAAAAGCACAGCATAAGTGTTCTTTATCATCTTTCAATTGAAATAGAGATGTATTCGATTACTGTAGATTTGGTTGAACACCTGATGCATCTACAGTACGTGGTGTAAATGGCACTGTAGCTGCCGATAGAGGAGTAGCTGGCGCAATTGAACCAGGATGATATGATGGTACAGCTGAAGGTGGACCCATTTCTGGTATGCTCTTTTTCGAAGCAATGGATGGTCGATGATAGAATCGATTTTCGTTCGTTGTTGTAGCGTGTGCATCATCTCGTGTTGCAACACTTCGTGGTGTTGCTGATGGCGGTAGTGACATTGGGGATTCATACTGGTCGTTCTAAATAGATGATTATGCGGAATGGAAGTAGAATTTAAAGACGACGAACTTGATGAGAATTTGGAGCATTGAAAGGTGAAAAATCCATTGTATGAGTATCGATGAAAATTCTATGCCGAATCTAAAACGATGTCATACGTAAATATCTTCACTCAAGGAAGCTAAAGAAAAAGGCGAATAACAGTGCTATTGATTTGTCAGCTGAAGAGAAGTATAAATGAAATAAAATGATGTTTTTCGTAGATGCCGCCACAAACTGAAGGTTTCTTGTCTATACTAAACGGTTCTTTCCTTCTTTTTTCAAGTTATTATTTTCTTCATTTTCACTAGGTAGTTTTGTCGTTTTTTTTCATTTGATTTCTACTAACACGTGACACGTGGACAGGTATGAAAACTAACTTTGAGATATTATTTCATTTTTTACTTTGATTTCGAGAGATCACCATCTAGAACACAAAACTACTAGGTACAGTGTCTGAATTATCACTACTAACGATCGATTATAAGGTTACATCAGCTCTATAATTTTCCTAGCGTCTGATGAATTTCCGTAATTCAGAATGTCATCAGTAATTTCCGACGAGCTGCAGCATAGCACTCAGATATGGTAAACGATTCTTCTGCTTTTCTCTTCAAATAGTACTATTTAATTCATATCTGATGACTTCAACAATCACGTTTCAGATAGATTCGGTTGTATAGTTATCAACAGGAACATGATCATCAATGTTACACTTTCTGTCCCTTTTGCATTTCCTTTCTGATAACCAAGAATAGAGTGCGCTAGTACACAGTGAGAAAAAAATCGTTCTCTTTCTGCTGGCCAGAACATAGCCATTAACACAAACTACGCTGATGATTATGATTCATGAATAGAAAAAAGAATGCCCTATGATTGTGATAAAACGTCTATCTACGTTTTTCACTAGTAGAACATGCTTGATTGATAGATCGGTTATGCCTAAAGCTTGGTAAAGACAAGTATCATCAAATCGCATTGTTCTTTTGTTTTATTGTATTTTCTCGTTCTCTCTTACCATTTCTAGCTATACCAGATAAAGAACATTAACAGGTGTTGTTTTGCCTTTCTAGATAAATCAAACAGCACATGGATCTAGATTAATATATTAACACTGCAGATTCAACGTAGTAGAACAAAATGGCTAAAGCCTATGATTATTTATTTAAATTGCTTCTCATTGGTACGTTTTAGATTTGTTTTTCGGGATTCTTATTTATTTATTTTTGTTTACGTTAGGTGATAGTGGCGTAGGAAAAGTAAAAGTTCATGGTGGAAAAGCAAAGCACGACTTTGATTTGTCTATGTAAATTTTAGACATGTGTGCTTTTGCGTTTCTGTGATTCGGCATTTAGCACGACTTTCATTTCAACTATCGGTGAGATATTTATTTTCAAAACGGTCGACTAGAACCTTTCATCTAGGAATTGACTTTAAAATTCGAACTATCGACCTCGATGGCCGTAAGATCAAATTACAAATATGGTAAATGACGATTTTCAAACTTTATCGTACAGTGATGATATTTTCTCTTTTAGGGATACTGCCGGTCAAGTAAGAATGATTGATGATGGTGATGATAAACACAGCCTTCCTTTAGGAACGATTCAAAACGATTACAACTGCCTATTATCGTGGTGCAATGGTAAATGAAAGGCAAAGTTTTCATTGATTTGAAGTTTGTGTGTTTATTTAGGGAATTATGTTAGTATATGATATAACTAGTGAAAAGAGTTTTGATAACATCAAAAACTGGATTCGTAATATTGAAGAAGTATGTTGATGTCATCTGATAGTTTGCAAAGGAAAATGTGACTTTGTTGTAGCACGCATCAGCGGAAGTAGAGCGAATGCTTATAGGAAATAAATGCGATATGCAGGATAAACGACAAGTCAGTCGAGAAAAGGGTGAACATGTACGTAGAGAATCTTTTTCAATTGAAACGAACTTTCATTGATTAACGTTGAACTTTAGTTGGCCACGGAATACGGAATTAAATTCATGGAAACTAGTGCCAAAGGAAATATCGTATGTGAAAGAAGAAGAAGAAGAAGAAGAAATCTCGAGATTTTATCTTTCTAATTCGTTTAGAATGTGGACGAAGCATTTCTTTCTCTTGCCAAAGATATCAAAGCCAAAATTGACAAAAAAGCGGTAATATTTCTCTCCTGAAGTTTCTCGAATGACATTTCGTTCATATTCTAGGGTACCGATCAAACTGGTAATCGAGTAGTGTCAGGTGGTATTAGGCCAAAAGCAGATACAAATAAGAAATCTGGTACATCGTTTTGGTCTCGTTGTTCCTTGTTCTAAACAAAAAGAATCAAAGAAACTTGTCATATTCGTGATGATCTGTTGTTGTTTTTATCGAGCGGCATGAACATCAATCATAAGTTTCCTTTCTCATCTTCTTTTTTTTTTATTCAATACCGAACAATCATCATCCACTCTGTACATCGTACTCTCTCGTTTTTCTTTTTCGTTATTTCGTTTGTTATTATTCTTGGGTATCTATCTCTTTTTTCTCTCTTCTATTTCTTTCGTTTCTCTCTTTTTTTTTGTCTACTTCTCATTGTGGAATCAAATAAAACAACCAGGCTTGTATTGATGAACATTGTTGACTTCGGCAGATGAACAAATATACAGATTAACTAGTTCACTCTCTTCCTAATCGCTTCAATATAACATCAGATGATTTCGTCGTCTTCGCTTTGTCGATGTCCGGATAAATATCTTCTTCCTCCCCCTCGTCCTCCTACACTTATTCCCTTCCGATTGACGACATCGAAACGAAATCTTTTGAATCAATATATGAATAAATGTGTCCTCATTCGAAATCTTGCGTGTGCGTTGCGTTCAATGTACACAAAAGAAAAGGCAAAGAAATAAGAAGGTCCGTACGATGAACTAGTTAATCACACGCAACAATCGTTTGTTGAATTTAGTCGTCGACGAGAACAAGAGAAATTTTTTATAACTAAAAAGATTTCGTACAGGAAGGACATTGTTATAACTCGAAACTAATGTATCAAGTGGAGAATCGTTCGTTCCTCTAATCACTCCCAAGTAGGTCATGTAAAGCAAATCGATCAATTAGTGAGATGATCTATTTCATTATCGCTGATAATTAACAATCGTCTCAGGGACGATTCATAGTTGATTGTTGAACTTTCGTCGAGATACTAGTCGTCTGAGTAAAACATTCATGTCTATTTTTAGTAATTTAACATGGTCCTCAAAGTAGGTTCAGGTGATATTGATGATTTATCGACGTTGAATGTGCTCGACGAAGAGAGTCTTCTACGTGAAATACGTGCGAGATATAAAAAAGGAATCATCTATGTAAGTCATTCAATTTTGAATTTCAACAGCTATTCTGATTTTCCTGTTAGACATATATTGGAGATGTGTTGATTGCAGTCAATCCATTCAAACAATTGAATATCTATGAGAAACAAGTTTGTGTCAAAAAAGAATTTCATGACAAGCATTCGTTTTGATCTGTTTAATAGCAAAGTGACCTTTACAAATATGTTCAAAATCGAAATCAACTGGCACCGCATATATTTTGGGTGGCGGATCAAGCTTATCGGAAATTGTGTTTATCGAAACAAGCACAATGTATTGCAGTTTCAGGAGAAAGTGGAGCCGGTACGATTCAAAGATTGTAATGGTTAAATTCTCAAAATATTCATTTCTAGGAAAAACGGAATCGACAAAACTTATGGTTTCGCATATTATTCATTGTTCAGGAGATGCAGGTGATCGTGAATTACAAAATCGAATTATTGAAGTTTGTTGACGACGCTTCTCGATACTCTTATGCATTTGTTTCTTGATAAACTTCAGACGTCGCCACTGTTAGAAGCGTTTGGTAATGCACAAACGTGTATGAACCAAAATTCCAGTCGATTTGGAAAGTATCTGCAGTTAAACTTTACGGAAGCGGGTCGAATTGTTGGCGGTAAGCCTTTCGACAAGAGACGTACTAGAAATGGAGTTCTGGAAATGATTTGTTTTAGCAAAAGTTTATGATTATTTACTGGAAAAATCTCGTATTGTTCAACATGGTCCTGGTGAACGTACATTTCATTTTTTCTACTATCTGTTTGCGGGTTTGGAAAAAGAAGCGCTAGAATATTTCTATTTGGGTGATCCAGAAACTTATCGGTAATGATTAGTTGAAGTTTTGAGCAATAATTCCACGATGTACATTTTTAGAATTATGAAAGATACGTGTGGAGGAAAGGTATTTCCCAGTCGATCAGATTTCAAACATTGCCGGCAAATGTTTAGCACGCATAAGGAAATCATGCGTAGAGTTGGTTTTACAGATGAAGTAAAATTTGCTTAGGTAGATGACGAGCTTAAATACATACTGTTGCTTATTGAGGATATCAATATGGTATTTACGATTCTATCAGCAATCCTTCATCTAACAAATATTCGATTTTCTCATGATGATGAAACGGATGGAGTCTATATCGAAGATGAATATCCATTGGAAGTCGGTATGTGGTTGGATTTATAAAAATACTGATCATCGATTAACTGTGATATAAACTCTTTTTGATTTCTCTTGCAGTTTGCACTCTTCTTGCGCTCGATCAAGAAATTCTTACTATGGCTCTTATTTCCACGTTCAGTATCACAAAAGGTATAGCAAGTTGTATTGTCTTGTACGTTACAAAAGCTATTGCTCTTCAGGCGAACGTGTGATCAGTCTAAAGAATTCTGATCAAGCGAACGATTGTCGTGATGCATTAGCTAAAGCTCTTTATGAACGATTATTTTCATGGATTGTCAAACAAATAAATACACTTCTACAACCGAATCGACGGTAAGGTTTCTCATTTCCTAAACTCTCCACCATCGATCTCATATTTTGTTAGACATAACCAAACTGACGATAACATCTATCGTACTTGCTCGATATTAGATATGTCAGGCTTTGAAAATTTTCAAGTGAATAGTTTCGAACAACTATGTATCAATGTGGCAAATGAACATCTACAGTATTATTTCAATGAACATATTTTTCTACAAGAAGAACAAGATTATCGAACAGAGGGCGTTTCATGTGAAAAAGTCGAATTTCAGAATAACGAAGATCTTATTGAATTGTTCATGGGTGTAAGTAGTCATTGTTTTAAATCCATATTACACATTGAGTATTTTAGACATTGGGCATCTTTGCACTACTTGATGAGGAAGCTCGCTTTCCTAAAGCGAATGACGAATCACTTGTGCAAAAGTTTCATATTCATTGCAAAAATCATCCGCGATATATCAAACCACGCGGCAACGAAACAGCGTTTGGCATTCATCATTATGCTGGAAAGGTAAGGCTTGATGAATTTGGTTTCGGGGGAGGACGTTCGACTTTATTTAGGTTGTTTACGATGCTCGTGGATTTCTGGAAAAAGATCGAGACAATCTCAGTGCGAATTTAATCGAATGCATGGAAAAGAGTGGAACAGAATTGATCAGTTATTTATTCAGTGCCAATGACGATGTCAACAGTCCACCAGATACATTTGCATCATCAGCGTAAGGAAATGACTAACTTCGAAGGAGTTCAGCGGCCAATGCAAACATTCTTCTCTTTTCTTTTCATTTTTCACATACACTTCATGAATGAGTAGCATACTGTACAGGATAAGAGTCAGAGAATCAACATACTATTTGTTTACCAAACAAATCTCTCTCTCTCCTCCTCCTCTCCATACATATTGTTAGCGAATGATATCACTGAAATTTACTAATTACCATTCTTCATTTTGGTATTCGAAAGCGATCTTGAATCCATCACCTTTCATGTATGGATGAATGTGTTTAGTTCACCATCTGCCGCAACGAATAAGTTGAAAACAGGGTCACTTCATCCAACGCGCCGTCCAAAATCGTATGATATTGAACGAGCTAAAGAAAATTTCAGTCAAAAAACAGCGAAATCACTTCGACAAGAATCGTAAGTTGTGCAGTGCCTTTTCTCGAAAGAAAAATCAAGAATTTTCTTTCACTTTAGACGACCGTTCAAAGCCAATACAATTCAAAAGGAACGCTTCAGTCAAAACACAGTTGCACTCCATTTCCGAGTAAGTTCGATACTTTCTTGGAATAACAGCAAAACAAATCATTCTTCCTGTAGAATTCTCTCGCTGAATTACTCGACAAAATGAAAGATGCTGAACCATCGTTTGTCAGGTATGTAAACTCGATTAACTGTTGGATGCGTGTGTAGTGCGTTTGTTCGTGACAATTTTGCATCTATTTTCGAGCGAAAAAAAGAACAGCATAGGTTTAACTCGATGTACATGTGCACTTAATTAACCCTATATCGCGTGCTAGGATAACGTTCAATTTGAACGTTTATTTGTTTTACTAACGGCAAAGACGCGAAAAGTTTGTTGTAATCATAGATCGATTAGTTTCGAATGAGCATGTCAGACGTAAATTTATTTTCATCGAAAACTGATTTTAAAAAACTACTCTCGAAAAACGAAAAATTCCCGTGTTCAACGGATTCATGGCAAGATCTATCTGCTATAACATCTACCATCACATTCGATAATACCAGTTGGCAAAGTGCTCATGATTACTTGACCCTACCCAAATCATTTGGTGTTCATGGTGAAACAGTAGGTTACTGCCGACTGGATCGGCAAGGTCATTGGCTTCTTCGATCGCCTCCACCCCTTCTCCATAGGCATGCAAGTAATGCCGTGACATACTATGATAGAAAACGCTTATCGAGAGATTCCAATACCAGACAAACATTTCCTGATTCATTCAAAAGTTCATCGATTTCGATGGATTTCAATGTACCTACTGATCAATTGTTGATCGATATGAATGATCGTCATGAATATACTTCAATTGTTCCCAGAAATAGATTGCGACACTATGAAAATATGTCATCTGACGACAGTTGTATATTATCGAGGTAGAGAAATCGCTAACCATAAGATTTACTCGAACGAGCAACAATTTCTATTTTAAACGGAATACACTTCTTTGAGTTTTTGTGAATAGATGTATCAAACCTAATCATGGAAAGGTAGCCAATCAATTTGATGAAGAATTAGTTCAAGAACAACTGCGTTACAATGGCATTTTGGAAATATCTTACATCCGAAATCAAGGATGGCCAGTTCGTTTTACCTTCGAAGAATTTTTTAAACGGTTTGTATCTATTTATTGCTTGAGAACTTAACTATTGTTATAACTTCTATTGTTAGATACAAATTTATCTCTTATCCGCAAAGTAGTCCAATACGAGTCAATGAAATTACATGTGAACGAATTCTAAAAGATCTTTCGTTAACTGAATATTTAATCGGAAGATCTAAGGTATCAATTCTGTTGATTTGATCGTATAGAAAACAAACTCATCTGTTTTAGGTGTTTTTGAAATTGGAACATTTGGAACGATTGAATCAACATTATGAAAAATATATCGCGAATATCATTAAGTGTCAAAAGGTAGCGAAAGGCTTTCTTGTACGACGAAGTCTTCTACGCAAAGCGAAACAATATGCAAACGAGCGGCACAGTCTATTAACACAAGTATATTCGAGTGGAAAACGAACTATAGAAAAGCTTGTCTCGTTACCAAAAGTAAAGAATCGTAACGAATGAGTTTTGTATCTGGGATCAATTATATGTTTGTTTAGATACCACCAAAGAATATTAAACAGATCCCATTGAAAACGAATGGTAAAACTGGAAGATCTGGCCATTTTATTAAGAAAAAATCGAAAGAACAGAAGAAAATCATAACAGATGAATCACATCGAACTGCTGAACAAGAGCACGACGAAATGTTGAAAGTCGCCAAAGTAATCATTTGTACAAAGAAAAAAAAACACTGATTTTCATAATGAATTTGACAGAAACTACGACTGTTAGAACGTGGTGAAATCGAGCAGTTGGATGATCTTGATCGTCAGAATTCTTCACCTCAAGAACGCGATTACGACATGAAAATATCCGATGATTTCAGATCATCGTTAGAAGGCTTGTCAGAACGTGAAGTTCGTATCCTTGTTCAAGATGAATTCACGCCGACGCTGAATAAACAAGGTCAACATAATCATCATTCTGCACTCCACGCAAATGTTCAATCGGGTTCGGGAGTAGCTGATACAGTCCCAGGTGGGCCATTGAAAGTTCATGATGGTGCACTTGCTATGATGGCTGCACAAATACCTATCGCGCCAACGATGAGTCTAACAACAGCAGAACAATTGATTCGAGAAACAAAAGTGGCTCGAACGAGTGGTGATCTATTTATGACTGGTAAAGAATTTTTCTTGGGAAAGAATATAGAAATTTACGAGTGACTAGTAGATTGGGCAGTTGGACAAGATGAAAAGAAACAACCGAAGCGACCACGTTCAAAATCAGAGCCGAGAAACATATTGACGGACTTACATGATGAAAATATGCTATCGGAACAAAAGCGTGGCATGATAAGGAAAATTCTCATGTTACAAAGACAAAAATTCAAAGATAATCAAGCACGAAAAACGCGAAAACCGAATGAATTGGAAAATTCAACGTACAGTTTTGGTTACTTGAATCAATCATCGAAAAACGACGATGTCGAACCTTTATTCGAAGAGTAAAATTGATTACCCTCATCAAAGATTGAAACACAACTCTTTTTTTGTTATAGAGATAATCTTGAATGTTGGGATGCGGCTAGAACAATGAATGTTCAGGAAGCATATGAAAAGACGATACATTGCTATCGTTTATCCATGCGTTTGTTAAAAATTGCTACCTACGTTGTACTGAGTATCGGTGTACTATTAGCAGCACTTGTTAGTAAAGGAGCTTTGTTGCTCATGACGAACTCGGTGGCGAAAGTGCAAGAGGTAAGACTCGAGAATATATTTCTATTTGAGCCGACGAGTGTTATGATGAATGATCTTTTACAGACACCTTATCAAGAACGATGGGTATGGATGTTACTGATCTCCGTATGTGCTCCGTATATTTTTACATTCGTCGACAGTTTTGGTAAATGTTTGTTCGGTAATAAACCTTGGCCAACTGTAAAGATCTTTACTGTCGTATGTGCTTGTGCAACTGATTTTTTTCTTTCTATCTACGAATGTTGAATTCTTAGGTATTCTTCATCGAAACGTTGCACAGCTTTGGTATAGCGATATTCGTATTTCATATTCTACCGAAATTAGATGCAGCACGGAGTTTATTGATTATGAATGCTGTTTGTCTTGTTCCAGCTTTTCTCAAGCTTTTCTTGACGAAATCAAATTCTTCTATTGTGCGACGCAGCCTACTGTTTCTAATGGATTTTTTTGCATTTGCTATGCAATGTTCATGTGTTGGAATTGCATTGGCATCAAAATTTCTCAAAAATGATGAACCAGCTTCAACAACGACTACAGTATCCTCTTTATTTTTCCCGACAACTACCATTCCGCTTCCGCTATTGAACCGACATCGACGACAGGATGAGTTCCTCGGTGGTAATGTCGATTTGATGGGTTCTGACATGATAGGAAACACTGAAAATGTTCTATTTACAACACCGATTAGTAACATGAGTTCCATTGATCAAAATCTACAAACAATCTTAGGTGGATTTCACATTGAATGGGAGTTACCAGTCGCTTTGATTCTTGTGTCGCTGACTTGGTGGGAAAATTTTGTTGATCGCGACATCAAGATTGGCGGTCGAACATTAGTACACATGAAACTGTTAAAAGAAAACATCATTGCAACACGATCGAAAACATCGATCATAATGACATGTTGGAAAATTCTCGTTACGGTTTTGTTTGCCTATATTTTTCACCATGGCATATTCAATACAACGGTTATCTTTCCAATAAGTAGCAACAGTGAACAACTGGAAGATCCATTACCGAAGTTATCATCCGGTCAGAATTCTTGGGCCGCGCTAGGCTTTGACCAGCAACCATCGCAAGCTATGTTTCCAATTGTACCACCACGTGAGCGTCGTTCAATTGAAAATATCTCTTCGTATGTAAAACGTTCTAAGCGACAGATGGATGGAGATTTACCTTCGAATTTTGCTTATGATGATGGAACACCGAACGATATGGCTGGTGGTAATGGAGGAAATATGCCAGGTTCGGAACCACCGAATCCGAAAGATCGCTGGATTATTTACTTAACTCCGATGATACTGAAAGTCATGTCAGATGCTTTATGTTTCTATATGGGTCGATTAGCATGCAAACTGTGCATGCAACGCTTATGTTTTGCACTACCGATTACATTAGTGACACCGCTGGCATTGACAATACTACTGGTGATGTGTTCGGTGGCACCGAAATCGACGGTCTTTATTGAAAACTTTCTTTTTTGGAGCTGTTACGCTGATTACGCGAAAGAATCATTCAAATGGCAAGTCATCTGTGGTCTTTTTCTTTGGTGGCTATCAGAATTATGGATTGGTCGACATATTTGGTTTGGTAAAAGTCAACGTCTCGCATTTACAGAACGGTAGAGTCATTCCTAATCTTGTTTCGTCAAAAAAAGAAAGATACATGCTGTGATGCTTTTCAGACTATTTGTATCACCGCGTTATTGTTCAACATTACTTGAACAATCGCTGATGATGAATCGACGACGAAACGAATGTGATGAATTAATAGGCACGGCATATGATGAGATGGGTACAACAACAAACGTAGAAACGGAATTCGACGAGCAAAGTATTGAAGAATTGTCTATCGAGAAGAAACTCAGTGCTGATGTTCATACCAAAATCTATTCCTGCGCAACAATGTGGCACGAAACAGAAACTGAAATGTTACAACTATTGAAGTCCATCATGAGGTAGAGTTGCATGATTGGACTACACACATGCTCAATGGGGCAACTTTTAGGTTGGATAGCGATCAATGTGCTCGTCGAACTGCTCGAAATTATTTACATTTGAAAGATTTAGACTATTATGAATACGAAGGACACATATTTTTCGACGATGCCATGGAAGAAGATGACAATAACGAACAAGTACCAAATAAATTTGTTCAACAACTACTCGGTGTTGTTGATCGAGCTGCTACGTATGTTTCTCAGTTTTGTTTCATTTGTTGAAGTTTATTCATACTATCGAACAGTGCTATTCACCAATGTCCAATGAAAATTCTACCACCACTCAAAACTCCGACGCCTTACGGCGGACGTCTGACATGGGTTTTACCTGGTGGAAATTTTCTCATTGCACACATAAAAGACAAAACAAAAATACGTCATAAAAAGCGTTGGAGTCAAGTAAGGATTCATTTTTTCTGTCATGAAATACTTTGGAAAAAGCATCTACTAGGTTATGTATATGTACTATTTGCTTGGCTATCGTCTATTCGGTGATTTGAATATTATCGAGAAGTTGTATAAGAAGAAATGGAAGAAGAATTCATCGAAAAACAAGTCAAAGTTATTCAAGGGTTTTGGAAATCTACTTAATAATATGGATAATAAAAAGAGAATTCAAGTAAAAGTCATTCTTTGAAAGCCAATACTCTATGCTTGAGTTTGAATAGATGGAAAATACCTATCTGTTAGCACTTGATGGCGACGTCGATTTCCATCCTGAAGCCGTTCGTTTGCTGGTCGATCGAATGAAGAAGAATAAAAAGGTCGGTGCCGCTTGCGGACGTATTCATCCAATCGGAAGTGGTATGATTTTGTTCGTCTTCGAATGTTCTTCTTCTCTTAATCGATAAAAGTTCAGGTCCCGTTGTGTGGTATCAAAAATTCGAATATGCTATTGGACATTGGCTTCAAAAAGCAACAGAACACATTTTAGGTTGTGTGGTAAGTCATTTAGATTTGACTTGCCAATGAATATATTCTCCTTGTTCGTGTTAGATGTGCAGTCCAGGTTGTTTCAGTCTCTTTCGTGGTTCAGCACTAATGGATGATCATGTTCTTCGAACCTATTGTACGAAATCACTTGAAGCTCGACATTATGTGCAATACGATCAAGGCGAAGATCGATGGTTATGTACACTTCTATTACAAGAAGGCTATCGAGTTGAATATTGTGCTGCATCCGATGCATTAACTTATGCACCTGAATCATTTCATGTTCGTGATATTTTGTTTTGAGCGATTGCAGTGTTGATGTTTGTTGAATCTTTAGGAATTCTTCAATCAACGTCGTCGATGGGTACCATCTACAATTGCTAATATCATTGATTTTCTTGCTGAATATAAACGAATTGTACTTGTGAATGAGAGCATTTCATATTTGTATATTGTCTATCAACTTTTCTTGATGGTATCTACAGTTCTCGGTCCAGCAACCGTACTTCTAATGATTATTGGTGCATTCAATGCTTGTTTCGGTAAGTTGCTCTTTTCCATCAGACAAGATTAAAATAAAATACGCAAATGTGACTGCACAGGCACAAGTCTTTGGCAGTCTATGTACATGTCGGTTTTACCTGCGTTCTTCTACCTTCTTCTATGCTTTCATACCACAACTGATTTTCAAATACGCGCAGCGGCATTCTTCTCTGCTGTCTATGCAATTATCATGATGGCTGTTATTGTTGGTACAACCATTCAAATCGCAGAAGATTCTTGGACGTCACCCAATGCTGTGTTCTTAATGCTGTTACTTTCTATCAATTTTATAGCTGCTTGTGTGCATCCACAGGAATTCTGGTGTGTGGTTCCAGGTTTACTCTATTTCTTGTGTATACCAAGTGGTTATCTATTTTTGATCATCTATTCGCTTTGTAATCTTAATATTGTCTCGTGGGGTACGAGAGAAGCTCCGAAAAAAGTGAAGAAAAATCAAAGTAAAGAAGAGATTGAACGTGCTCGTTTACAAGAACTATCGCAGGTGAAAAAGAAGTCGGCTGGATTTTTTAATCAAGTAAGACTATTTGATGATGGTCGAGAACGGTAATTTCTATGACTAAAATAGGTATTTGCGAATTTCAATTTCAAAAAATACGATGAACGAATACGTAATTATGCACGCAAATGGCTTGGACTTGAAAGATCAGGATTGAATAGTATTCTATTAAGGCAAATCTTAGGTGCAATGGAACAGATGGAAAAAGTAATTCATTCGTTGCTCTTTACATCTAAAAGATCGAAACAGATATAATCTTCTACTTTTAGCATAGATACGATGAAGAAATGGATGCTTTTGCGACACAAGGTATCTATCCACAAGCAAATAAAACACAGATGGGATCGGAGGCAGATGCAAAATATGGTTTACTTCAGCTGGCCGCTCGTGCAGCTACTCCTCAAACGACGTGTGGGCCAATGAACCGTGCTAGTTATCCACAAATAGATCCTCAACAACAACTAATCTATCGTGGCATTAATAACGCACGGAGTACACCGTATGGACAAATCATGTCCTATGCAGGCATTTCACGTCCAATTGAATCACCACAAGTTCTTAAACGTGATGAACTAGGTAAGAAATCTGAGATTGTTGTAGATTTTCATTCGTATGTATTTGATATGTTTAGTTAATCCTGCATGGATATTTCATGAATCATTGCAAGAATCTGAAGTTGTTATGCTTGATCCACGCGAAACCAAATTCTTCAAAGAATTAATCGAACGTTATTTGTATCCTTTGGTCGAAGATAAAGATCATCAGAAAAAGATGGTTAGCGATCTGAAATCACTTCGTAACAATTGTTGCTTCGTCTTCTTCATGATCAATACTCTGTGGATTGTCATTATATTTTCATTTCAACTTGTTTCGGAACGCATCCGTGATTACGTCTTCATACCAATCAAACGTTTACACAATGAGCCATTGCGTTTCGAACCGTTAGGTTTTGGATTCTTAGTCTTCTTTGCAAGTATTCTACTTGTACAATTCATTTCTATGTTATGGCATCGATACGGAACATTATTGCATTTATTGGCATCGACAGACTTGAAATTATTAGCGCAGGCAAATAATGGCAAAGGTGGACGTGGTCATCGACGCGGAGACTTTACGATGGATAATGTCGAAGATGCTGTTGAACAAGTGAAAGTGTTACAACAGTTGAAAGGCTTCAATGAAGAAGATCTACCCGCGCCTGATTACGATGTGGATCTTGATGATGACCGACAAGCAACCGAACCAGATCTATCCACAACAGGCCTTATTTATCGTGCACATGGACCACGATATATCAAGAATTCGACTTGTACATCACAACAATGGAGTGATATAGCTAAAGTTAATGATATGCAACGCAATTTAGACACGACTGATCATAGCGAGCTTAGTCAAATGTAAGATATTTCTTTCGTATTCGATTTTATCAAGAAGTATAAGGACTTTTTTTAAGGGCTGGTTACATCTCAGGTTCAGTTAAAACTTATGGCAGTAATTACGAAGCAATTAAACGGCGACAAATATCAAACAAACGCCATTTATACAACAAATCACTAGATCATGTGTTTAAATCTCGTTATCAAGCGTTAACACAACAACAACAACAACAACAACCGCAAAAAGCTCCACGAGTGAGACTATCTGATGTCTTTCAACAACAACAACAAACAGCTCTACCTCGAGCTAGACGTACATCGAGTGCATTAACCGTACGAGATAGCGTCAATGGTGGTAATCATAATCAACCAACGGCAATAACGAAAAAACATCGAAGGAAATCAAAAGATCGACATTTAGAACATCTCTAGTGTATCTGTATGAATATGTATCTTCCATTTTCTTTCTCCTTTCATTTGTTTTCAATAATATCATATTGGTAATTTACAAGAAAGCGGACTCTTCTGAATAACGTAACAACGAAATACATTTCAGCCATGTTGAGAGAAATTCAAACATCGGAAGTTTACAAAGAGATTAATGATGAAAATATAGAAGATATATAGATGAAAGTAGAACAAAAGGAAAATAATTTCATTGGAGAGGATTATTGGTGTTATGAATATTTAATCAATCGAAGTTGCTTCGTAGAAAATAGATCATTCTCGAATGCATCTATTCTCTCTTTCTTTGTCTACGACGTTGATGGATATTACTCAGCCTCACAAATGATATTGACAGAAAATGAGAGTGATATTTTACATCATCGTCCAATTTCATGGTAAATCAAACGTAGTATAAAATAAGTACAGGAAGTTAATTGTAACTAACACAAGATTTTGACAACCACATATCGACATCTATCGAATGCAAGAGCTTAGCTGGTTGTTTGAATACAACCAACAGTTATAGAAGAAATGATGAGTGACTGACTGACTTTTATACTTAATGATTCAAACGTTCGTCTGTTGGTTTAGTTTAGATTTAGAAAACGATGTTGTCGAATAAGTATCAGAAAGTTCTGTATGATGTTCCTGCTCATGATTTTCAAATTCTCGATGATGATCATGAATATACAATGACAAGTGAAATCAACCGTTCGATATCTTCATCCTGCTATCGTCATATTTACTGGTCAACTGTCGCTGAATCTGGTCTCATAACTCAACAAGCAAGTTTGTAAGTAAAGACATTTTTTTCACGAAAATTTCATTTGAAATAATTCTAGAATTGTGTTGTTTGCAATTCTATTTATTCATCTGGATGCAAATGATCTTCAACCGAAAAATATTCTATTTATCAATGCATTAATTGGTATTATTGGTTTGTTTCTTTATCGCAGACGGATCAGCATAAAATCATGTGAGAGAAAAAAATACATGAACTATATTTATCTCGTTTACAAGATAATTTGTATTTTAGTACAGGAAAATTTGAAAACTCTATCAATCTTTCTTTTGTTTGGATCTTTGGTTTCGCCTGTTGTGTTTACTCTAACTAAAACCATTAGTACAGATACTATCTATGCAATGAGTACATTAATGATGTTAACTCATTTGATATTTTATGATTATGGAGCTGAAACGGCAATGTAATGTTCTTCTCACTCTTACATTTGTATTCATTGTGAAAGTATTTAGGGTTCAAAAAGCATTATCATTCAGTGTAGCGTTATTTTCCTCTGTTTGTCTTGCATCACGTTTGTCAACGTCATTCCATACATTTTGTTTGGTTACATCGGCTGTATTAGTGTTTGCCCTTTGGCCAGAGTTACGAAAATATATCAAAGTAATGTCTGAAACATGTGAATCATCGTATCAATTATTTCTTTTCGTTTGTCAAGGAATCTAGTTTCGAAATCTTTTCAATTTTAACTGTTGTGCATATATTCGCTTGTGTGATACTTTTATCTCGTCTTTCAATCTTACATACGATACTTTACTCATTGGCGGTTCTTTGTCTGACATTCCTTTGTCCATTATGGCTGGTTTCGTTACAAAAATATAAAATGTATGACGGAATATTTTCAGCAGAAAAGTGAAATTTTTTTGTTTCTATTCATTCATTTAGATCTATTCGTGGTGCATGGGAAGAGGCTGTTGTTCCAGAGCAAGTTAAAGATAAATTTGCATGATTTTTCATACATTACTCGTTTGAATAAAAAAGAAACTTAGTCTTTCTTCTGTTTGACTCGTACACAATAGTTAAAAGGGTATAAATCTTCTTTTTTTCCTACCTACTCTTCGTTTCAATGAATAAATCGACTGTTAGTTGTTTCTTTGACAAATAGTAAGGTAATCATTTATTTTTTGCATATACAACGAATCAGAAGCAGAATGAATCGCTCTTCTATTCAATCACGCAATGCAGTGTTTTTCTCATAAATATATGCAAAATGATTACTCAGATGATTGATTCGTACAATATACGCGTGATTCACAAGAGGAATCAAATATATGACAAAAATATCCTATGGTCTTTTTCATCTGTCTCTCTAGATCATATCTGCAATTATTTATTTTTACATTATGTCACTTCGGCAACGGATTAACAATTGAATTGAGCAAGTAAGTTGCTTCCGCAAATCACGATTGACAATAGGTCAAATCATCATTCATCATAAACATATGTTATTCTTTTCTTGTTCATCTCCTCTAATTTATTTTCCCTTTCATTGAACATTGTATACATATTCTTTTACATTAAGTAAATGTAAAAAGAAGGAAACAATCAGCTAGCTATCGGCAAACATCAGTAAATGTGACAAGTTAACCCCCAGCAAACATCTCTCTACTTGATTACATCATACAAGGAAAGAAACGACCATCCTTGTCTGTATCATCAGAATAGATATCGATTAACGAATGATAAGATTTAACTCTCGTTTGACCTATGAGGAAAAATGAATCAAATACTACTTTTTTTTTACACCTATTCTTATCTTTAATGCTTATTTGAATGGTACAGATTACATTTCAATCTTATGTTTTTTAGTCTACGAATTAACATGAATGAAATCGATTTCGAAGAATGTCTCAAAGACTCGCCAGCTTATCGGTATGTTCTCTCGTTCTCTTTCTTTTTCCACAGAGAGGGAGAGAGAGAGAGAGTATATGGGATATATTTCTTTCAATATCACATCATTTATTCTTATTATGATGCCTTCGTATAGAAATCAACTTCGACAAGCTACGAGTCATATCGATATGCTGGAAGATCGTCTCGAACAGGTAAATTTTGTAATAAAAAGCACAGGAATTCAATGTGCACATTCTCTATTTCAATGCTAGATGTCCAAATCATGCAGTTCTGTCATTAATATTGGCAAGACGTTTATTCAAGAGTTTCAGTAAGGAATTTTTCCACATTTTTCTTGATAAAATTCCATCTTTTTAGAAAATTCCTCAAATGCATTTATGACGTTCGCGAATTGTTCTCTTCCGATGAAGTAACCTACAAGAGTTTAGCGAAATTTGGTGAATATCTGCGTGAGATACAAGCTCTCTTTTCCGTAAGTACCTACTGATACGTATCTGTATGGAACTAATCGATCTCAACTGTTCATAGGGTTTATTTGAACAAACATCCAATAGTGTTTTGAGAACTTTAACACGTATGTTAAAAGAAGATATCAAGAAAGTAAAAGATCAAGGCAAATTATTCGAACGGCTTAGTTCCGATTACGATATTGGTAAATCAAAAGAGAAAAACTCTCCCTTCATCGAAGTTGCTTCGTGTTTTTTAGCTTTACAAAAAAATGCCGACGCATCCAAGACGAAAAGTATGAGGAAATTGGACAATTTCGATCGTCAATTATATGTATTGAGAAGAAAGAGCCTTGACAAAAGGTCGATTGAGGCCATTCTTATTTGCAAACCTTGACTAAGAATAGAATTCAAGCTAATGAATAGATGAAAAGAACTGAGATAAAATGTTTATACATTTCTGCTTCGGTTGATAGAAGAAGAACGAATATAGAATTGTATTTCTATACATTTACAATAGCGGATTATGTTACTATTAGTCTTTCGACAGGTCGTGCTGGGATTTTGAAATGAATTCTGTTTTTTTAGCTCATGCGTGTGAAGATGCGAGTAAAATTTTAATCGCTACGCGGAGTTGTTTTGGTCATACATCGATTGATTATACTTATCAAATCAATATTCTTTACAATCAACATAAAGTCGAACTAGTGGAATTGTTGTTGTCATATATTAACATTCATAAAGCATTTTTTCATCAAGGACATGAGTTATTATCTGTAGATACTGAACGAGATTTTACTACAATCACTTCTCAAGTAAGTCGAAGAAGAAAGAGAAGTTTGTGATTGGAAGATTTTGTTTTAGTTGACCAGAATGCGACAGGAGAATGGTCAAAAACAGAAAATTCTCGAGAAGATCCACGATATCAATCAAAGACGAGTAAGTTGAGTAGATGACTCATATACTCGTTGATATTATACGGTTTTGTCACGCTTGATTTCTGTTCGTTGACGTCATTCCTGAGTTATTTTCTACTTTGTATTTCTAAGAAACGAATCAATCTAATGGAGGATCGAAAGGTGTAAATTTCCTCTCTAAAATAACTTCGTTTATAATCGTTTGATCTCTCTGATATAATCTTGTAGTCTCCACCATCACCAATCAAATCTACTCGGATTCCTTCATCGAAAGATAAAAGCAAACGTTCACTGCTCTTTTCATCGAACAGATCGACGATCAAAGTCAAATCATCAGAACTTCAGCAGCAGGTTATTCGACATTTGAGAGATTTCGTTTGGGATCGGATATAATCTAGTTCGCACTTCTAACTTCTGCTCTGCTCTGCTAGCATCCTCGTCTTGCTCTGATTTAAAATAGAAATTTTCTCGATTCTTTCTAGTGCAATCTCGATGAAAGTAGAAACGATGATATGCCATCGGAAAATACTCTCTCTGTGGTAAGTTGAACATGTTCTATTTGGTTTTGGGATGATACCTTTCACGAATAATTAGCCCAAACCAATTTTACCACGAAATTCTTCACAACAGAGTTTATCAAGTAGTCCAAGTGTACCTACACCTGGCGTCGAGCTGAGTAAAGAAGGTAAAATTAGAAAGCAAGCGATTGTGTTTTGATTTCGAATACATGTTGAAGGTTATCTTTTCAAACGATCGCATAATAAATTTAAAACATGGAGCAGGTATATGATTCATCAATGAGAAGACACACGATGGAACTTTCGCTCGTTTTAGACGATGGTTCACCATTCGTGATGGTCAGCTATTGTATATGAAACGTCACAATGGCAATTCATCGAATGATAGTTCATCTCAATCGCAAACGCCTCAATCTATTATGGTACCTGATTTACGTTTATGTACGGTTCGTCCTGTGAATGATAACGACCGTCGATTTGTTTTTGAAATACTTTCGCCGAATAGGTAGAGATATATGCTTAATCCCTCACAAAGAATATATGTTCTTTCCTAGTTCACATTTGCTTCAAGCGGATTCTCAGACTCAATGTGAACATTGGATCAATTCTTTACAACTGGCGATCTCCAATTCATTCAAATCATCAAATGGTGCAATGCAGAATTCAGTTTCATCTTCGCCAAAGACATTGTACGATGATAATTCGAATACTCTTTTAACTGAAAAGGTCAAATTGAAACAACAAATGTAAATAGTGTTCGATGTTTACTTTTTTCCACCATTGAAAAATCAAACATTTGTTATAGGATTAAGGATAAGATAGAATATGTGCGTTCTCTTCCGGGCAATGGAAAATGTTGTGATTGTGATGCAGATGTACCGGAATGGGCATCGATTAATTTAGGCATTCTACTTTGTTTGAATTGTGGCGGTGCTCATCGGTATGTGCTCAATCCGTCTCGCGCAAAGACGCCATTCTATGTCTTTATTTACATTTTCAGAGGTTTGGGCGTTAGTCTATCGAAAGTTCGTTCACTTCACATGGACACATGGGATTTGGAAACGTTATTAGTCATGTCAGAATTGGGTAATACAGTTGTAAATGAAATTTACGAAGTCAATCTCTCAAGTGAAATACCAAAACCTACGGCTGAAACTGATGCGTAAGTTTCCCAGAAGAACATTATTGAAATCCGTATGATTTACTTGCTTACTCTTCTCTTTAGTATTGCTCGTCGAGCATTTATTGAAGCCAAATATGTTCAGAAAGCATTTCTACGCCCTCTACCTACTGTCAATCAAGTACGCGCGTCGGATCGTAGCATCAAACGATGGACTGTTCGAAAGAGTTCATCATCGAACGAGATCGATCATGATGATGATGTCTCTAAAACACCCAATCAACAATTAACACCAAAGTTCGTTTTTTAATTTCCATGATTTGATCCAGTAACTTTTTCGTCACTCGTATAGGAGAACCGCGTCATCATCATCGGACAATGATACTGATTCATCATCAACACCTGCCTGGAATGTGGACATCTATTTGTACGAGGCTGCTCATCAACGAAATGTCATGATGATGCTTCATGCATTAGCATTAGGTGCGGATAAAAATTTCACGAATGAACACGAAAATGGACGAACTCCATTAATTCAAACGATATTGAGCGTATGTTGTTCTAATAACTGAAATGAAATAACATGCTTTTACTTTTTCTGTATAGCGATCGGTTGCGGCAGCCGAGTTTCTTTTAACTAACAATGCTAAAGTGAACCTAGCGGATCACGGTGGGAAAACGCCGCTTCATTACGCGACACAACTAGCCACGAAAGGGCGAGGGTAATGAAAAATACCAAAATTTAATATTTCTTGATTGTTCATTTGGATTCTTTTAGACCGATTATACTTTTGTTGAAACGCGGAGCCGATCCATTATTGAAAACAAATGATGGCGTCGATGCCTGTTCACTTTCGATGGACGTTGGAGATCCTGATGTGATTACCTGGTATCGACTGGTTGCATTGCATGAACAAATGAAGGAAGAAGATGCGGATGCAGAAAAAACCTATATATCAATACTTGATGATCCTGTTTACATGGAAGAAATCGCCAGAACGCCCTCGTTTTCATAATGAAAATATCTGTGATATTTATCGAGTTAGTTAGTCTTGTGTGTTGTTTGTACATTTGTTATTCTTATATCCTCACACCAAGTTTCGAATTCAAGAAAAAGAAAAAAAGCCACATTCATCTAGTCTTGCTTATTATCATCTATCCGGCAAGAGTCTGTTTCTCTCTCTCTCTTTCTCTTTATGTTCTTTTTTGCTGTACCATTTGTTTTTATCTCCAATAAAATTTGCTCATATGATATCGTCTGAAAAACGACATGAAAGCACGTTTAAACAAAGGAAAACAACCTTGACTACCTTAACGCACTTATTCAATGTGAATTAACGCTTTTGTCACTCAATCAGTTGGTGATTGTTTTGCTACTTGTCAATGTGATGTTAAGGAGAATGCAAAAAAAACACTGAATTCAATTTTTGTACCATTACAAACTACACATTTTCGGCTCGATGACGAGCTTAGTGTTGTTTAAATCGGATCGATCCGAAAATGATGAGCCGATTCAACCGACGAAACATTGGGGAACAGGCAAAGCACGCGTTCGAGGAAGTCAATCAGCTGCTCCTCGACTATCGGGAAATTTCTTGTACACGTAAGAGATGATCTATCGAAATCTGGCAGAACTAATCTACTTCGTATGTTTATCATTTTAGAGGAGAACCCATCACACAAACCTATCGAAATACAGATTTAGTATTAAGTAACTTACGGAACAATGATGAATTGTAAGTCATTTTTGAGAGACGCTTTTCTAGCATGCATTACGCACTGATAGTTCTTCGGTTCTTAACGGACATGCTGGCCTAGTATTTAGAATTTTTAACTGATATTTAACCGACATATGTTCTTGTTTAGAGTACCTGCTCCGCTCCATACAACTGACATAACGTCACATCAAATCTCTTTAGAGTTTCCATCGAATCATCCGTATACGTCTCATATTAGTGAAAAAGCTCTTTTCCCAACATCAACAGATGGCTTAAATGATCGTCCGTCAACATCCGTCGAGCCGTACATAGTCACACACAAAATTCGCGGTAAATATGAAATCTATCTGAAGAGTCATAGAGGAAGAAATGTGAAGTGCATACTTCTTTCTTTGTTCTTATGAAACTAATTGGAAACACGATCGAGACTTCTTTCTCCCTCTCCTTCTCTACCTATTATTTACTTTGGTCGTTATTGATTAAAAGAATTGCTATTTTTTTCTGACGACGACCATACAATCAGCCGTTTCTGTCAGTTGTTGCTATTGTAACTGGTTGTGCAGCAATGTCTATGTATGTTTATTTTTAAATAGGCAATCCATTTCGTCGTGAAGTACACTTTCATGGATTTCAAGCAGCAAACCATTGTCGAACTTCGAAATGGCCCGATAAGTCTTATATGCACGTAAGAATGTCAAAAAATGTTGTTTTTGTCAATGTTTTCAACCTGCATAGTTACCTCGATCACTAAGTGACGTCAATTCTTCGTCGATATATCCTTGGCCACGTAAAATGTTTGCTCCGAATAATGACAATTCAGCAGCGAATTCTGTTAAAAGTAAAAAGAAAGAGAACTCTTTCGATCAAATAACATATCAAGCAACAATAATTTAGAAGCAGGTTCACGCGTTGTACAAAATACAAAAACAACAACACCTTCATCAAACAAACAAGTAGCGTATTTTCGCTTTGCCAAAAGATAAAAAGAATAAATTGTTTTCGATTTTTAAATTCTAGAAATCCTATTTGAATAGGACGTCTCATTCTGTCGCACCCGGGGACAATATGCATGGTAATCAACAACAAACACGTGTATCTAGCAGGCAAAAAGCAACAACATATCATTCACCTATGCCAGCAACTAGGTAAATATACACAGAAATGTAAAACCCAACCATTGATGAATTCTGTTTGCTCTTCTCACTGTCATGTAGATTAATGAGTGAAAATGATAGACTTGATCATCAGCTACGTCAAGGTACCGATTATGTGAATCTTCCAGGACACCTTTTCCCGAATGAAAAAGCGCCAACATGGAACCGTAAATATGAAAACTTTACTTTTTGATTGTTAGTTAAGGAATTTGTCTAGCTCAACAACAACAACAACAATCAACGAATGAGAACCAAAATGGACCTCAAGAAATTCGTTTTCTTCAAACTGCTCGAGTATCCACTGCTAATGGCCAATTATACAATGATCATTACGCCAGTCACCAACAAATGGAAGCAGAAAATCGTCTTCAACAACTTGAAGTTATCCGTCCCAAAGAGAATCTGAATCTACTCAACGTTAAATATCGCCATTTACAAAACCCACGTCATCCTCGACCAATTCTACCTCAATACCGTGATGATTATGTCAATACATTTTACGATCAAGTCGGTAACTATGTTCAAGAGCGATCAGGTCTTTATCATACAGATAGCTACGATCCAACCGTTCTCGCTCAAGCCATACCTGAACTTGAAAATGAACAAAATGTGGTTTCATCATCCGTAGACGAAACTGATCTCGGTAATTTACTCAATCAGGGCGAGCAGAATCAAAATCGCACCAAACCCAAATTATTTCAATATCGAGCACTTGGTGATTACCAAAATATGCGAGTTCGTACACCGTTACTTCCGTCCCTTGGAAACCAATCTCTAATCTATTTAGAATCGTCTTCTCAACAAACTACATGTTCCACAAGATGCTGGTACTGTGGATAGTCGTACACAAGAAGGTGATAAACCATTCATTCAACGTGAATCAGTCTACGGCCAAGCATATAATACTCGAAAATTTCTCCAAGAAAATGCGTTACCACATCATGCACGTGTTGATCCAACAAATTTGATGAGTACGAAATACAATACTAATCTTGAGCGTACACGAAGTTTAAACAGTTATGCATTAAAAACCGCTCCGACTAAAGCGAAATCGAATGATCATCTTGTGAGCCCTGATCTTTATCCGCCACATACCAATGCTTTGTATACAACAAATCATATCACTGAACACACAGATGGTTATGTACGTCGTCCAACAGCACGTGTTTACGACTCACCATTTCAAAGTGAACAAAATCCATCGGTTCATCAAATCTATCAAAATCAAGTAGCGCAACCACAGCAAGCACGTTCATTTGATCCAGCTCTTCAAATGCCTTCTCAACTTGCAAATTCTGTTAAAGTTGATATACGTCTACCAGGTTCAGAGATGGTCGCTCGATTTGTTGAACCGAAATATGAAACACAGACGACATATCAACGTTCATTTAAAGATATCTCCTACCAGGAAGGACAACCGCAAGGTTATGCTCAACATACAGAGCAACTGCGTCCACAAACATCGGATGTTAGTTCGAGTCAACGAAAATTAACCGACATTCAAGATCGATGGTCAAAAACTCAAGCTCAACAACAATATCAGCAAGAAAATCCGAATGTTCCACCTTATTCTAGTGACACAATTATGCGAGCAAAGAAAGAAGTACTTTTAGCTGATTCAATTGCTAAATATCAAGCGATGGTAGTTCGATAAATTGAATTTGAATCTTTTTTCTTCTTTTGAATAAACTGAATGACTTTCTCTACTACTTTTCTGCTAACCCTAATTTTCTATGTGGAAGTGAAAACGTTCGTTCAGATGAAATTCGAACAAATCTATACCGAAACAATCGATTCTTATTCAAGAAGAACGATGTAAGTCGTGTCCTAGTGAATCGTTTATTTATAATTTCAATTTAGTTCGGCGGAAATGTCGGCGTTTTGAATTATACCGAATAGTATTTCCAGTTCGCATACGAATCTACATGAATACATATGATTTGTAATGAATTGATGCTCGAGTTGAATACTCACCCATTGTGGTACTGGACGGTTTTGTTTTTGTTTTCTCGCTAAAACTTTCTTGATTTTTAGCGTTTTATGTGAGGCCATGGTAAAAATATCTAGAAGAAGAAAAATGAAAGACAATCTTTCTTTGCTTGTGATATAATACAGAAAAAGACAAATATATGCAAAATAAGAAAGAGAAATTATTCTTCTTCGAATATAGAGGGTGTGGAAGGTTGCGCTCGGGTCGATTGGTTTTCCGTATCTTTGATCGCGCTTAAACGTTGCCATTCGCGATAAGCACGATAATGACGCGTTCTTGGATCCATCGTATATTGTGGATCAGACAACTGCATCACACTACATTTAAAAATAGAACTATTTTCGAAGAATTCTTCGTAAGAACATCCTTACCGCCATTGAAGTGCATGAATAAACACTCCAAACGAAATCACAATTAAGACAATTGAAACTGCGCCAAAATAGTTCTGTTGAACGTTGTTCGGATACGACTGATAAGAATGGGAATTGTAACGTTGTCGATACATTTCATAGAACGCCTTATCACTGTATGGTGCACCCCTACAAATCGAGAATTCAAATCGACAGACACAAACGATATTCGAGTCTACTTACCAGTTCGAATCATTTGTACTGGATCGACGTTCGTAGGTACTACGACTACCGAAGTTTCCATTTGACCAGTCGGATGATGCTTGACGAGGATACGAGTGATATGGCGAACGAGATATTGAACTCAAAGCTGAAAATAATCGTATTCGAGCATATCGCAAATTAGAAATGACGTCTTACATTGATCGTATGTCGTACGTGAGGATTGTTTGTTGAGTATGCTGAAAGCTTCGTTAATTTTTACGAATTTATCATGAAGCGACTTGTCAGTTGAATTCGAATCTGGATGATACTAAAATGCGGAGTCAAAATTTACGAAAAGATGCCTGTTTACAAAGCATGTACTTCTTTTGATAGCTTGAAAAAAGCTTGTTTAATTTCTTTTTGTGTTGCTGATTTTTCGACACCGAGTAAATCATAGTAATTTTTTGAGTTCAGATTTGCGCTTTTCCATCGACCTGACGTCAATCCAATTGACCTAAATCGATTACGTAAGAAACCAAATCTTTCGAATTTTCAGTGAGTGCAATTTACCGAAAAGGTTGAATTGACGGTGTAATGATGTTTCCATGAAGATGGAAACGATCACCACAACTAGTTTTAATCCAAAAATATGTTTGACGGGTTCTGAACATGCATATGAAGCAAAGAGATTTTGTATTAATGATCATCAACATTGAAAAACTCAAAAAAAAACAGCTGTTATGATAAACCAATGGTATCCCAAGCGAAGAAAAATCACATCTAACTGAAGATGTTTCGTTAGTTTCAACTTTTGTTTCATATTATCCTTGTTCAATTGAACGAGTTTGATTTTCAACAAAAAAGATAAACCAGATGTCGCCACTAGCAACGTCTTATCACTCGAACAAAGATAAGAAAATCACAAGTGAATAAACGTAAAGTTCTACCCAAAAACGGAATTCAATATCGAAATAAGTAAATTATTCGAATGTTGTTTTGTTTGTCTTTATGAATAAACTATGGATAAGATATACATGTCATTTTCTTTTGGTGTGTGCGTGTGTATGTGTTCTAAACAGAACGAAAAAACATATACAATACAGTCTAGATCAAGATTGATCTCTCTCGTCAATTTTTTTTGTAGCGAGGTCAAAAAGATTTCCTATCAATATTTAACATATTACGAAGAGAAATGATTTGCATTTTTCTATCATGTTCAATGTGTTGAATTGAATGGACAGAAAGAGAAAAAAAAAGTTGCTCAGCAGGTAAGACAGTGGCATAGTTTGTTAATGGTCGTTGTCGACGAGAAGAGAATGTATCAAGCAGATAGCCGGTCGGACACCCTCCCTCTCGCTCTTTTTCCTCCGTCTTCCGCTATTGTGTGTTCGATGTATTGTTCGTTCTCTAACATGCACTTCGTTTGGTATTTTTTTTTGCAATTCATAACATTGTCGTTGTTGAGAAGAGCAGATGCGTAAAAATACTGTTGTTAATGTGTGGGTGTACGCCGTCTCGATTGTTTTATAATATCCACATGCATTCGATTCATTTTAGATTTGATTTGTTCATTATTTGAAAAAGTGTTGATGAACTATCTCGATTTTACCAATGATATCATCGGACTAGATCAGCCGAATACGTTGAATCCGACAACAATGCAGCCATTACCACCACAAACACAGCCACAACCATCATCATCGGCAGCGTCAAATACATCTACACTTATTCGTCAACAACCATCACAGCAACAAACAAAAGATTTATCTGATTGGAGGAACATTCAACTTGGAACAACAGCCACATTTTTAGATCCTTTCTGGCTACCACAAACACCCGCAACGTCAATATCAAATCCTTGGGCAGCTCCAACTACTACGATCTATCCATCGTCATCTCACAATCCCTATCCATGGGGACATTCGAACACGAACGCACCATGGAAATTGCCGATCGGACCACCACAATCATTTACTCACTTTAATCAACACCATCCAATGAATAACAATGTAAATCCCAGAATAAATCCAATCAGGTACGATCATTTCGTAACTCTCAATCGTTTGGTTATTTAAGTTTTTTTTTCTAGACATTATGTGCCTGTTCCACCGATTCCGTATTCATATCCTACTTCAACTATTCCACCGAAAGCTCCGTCTCGTGAGGCCGAGCTTATGCTCATACCCGATGTTGATATCGATGAAGTTCTGGGAGAAGTTGAAACGGTTATTCCAGATATCGATCTTGATGCTGCACGTCGAACGATCAAATCAATGAATCGACTTCCGTCAACAAATGACATTGTCACATATTTTCTCGATAATGGCTACGTGAAAAAAGTGAAAAAACCTTTCTCAGCCAATGCTCAACATCAATCTTCATTAAAACGTACCATCTCAGATATAATCGATGATATTCCGAAGTTTTTATCTTCCTATCCTGATCCAGTTCATTACTTTTTCGATACTCAACGCAAACAATCCGAATCGTATATCAATCACGCGAAAGCGTACCTTCTACGTGCATTTCCAACGACAGACAAAACAGTTCTAGAGCAAGCTCTACAAGAAGAAAACTGGCATTTCTTACCAACTGTCAGAAAACTTGAAACACGAGCAGGAATTCGTACGAATACGTTTTTACAGCGAATGACAATCAAAAGATCGTTAGATATGATTGGTAAGACAAAACACCTTGTTTTTCAGGCTGAATCGATTCGAAAATCTTTTGCTCAATTTAGATTTATCTGTCGAAGGTGTGGGTCGAACGCCGTCAATAGCATGGATAATCAAAAATAATAAATTTGCTTATCCAATTCCACATACACCATGCGAGGAGTTTTACGATGAACTTCGATTTGCTAAAAACGAAATCAAAATTCGCCGATATCTCGGCAAAATCTCCAAAGAGCACGAGAAACGCGTGAAAAAAGCGAAGAAAGGCAATGAAACATTAGAATGTGAAATATGCTGCCAAGAAGATTTATTGATCGACGATATGGTCGAATGTACAGTTGGACATCTTTATTGTCGGTAAGTATCAGATTAATTCTGCATGAATTGTTGAAATTTCGATTGTATTTTTATTTTTAGAAATTGTGTTCGAACACATATCGATGTTTGTTTTAAAGAAGGAAAATGCCGATTTGCTTGTGTGGAAAGTTCATGTCCTGGTGAATATACAATGCGACTCGTTGGCGAATTATTACCGCCGAAAGATTTGAAGAGATTAAATCGAAGAATTCAAGAGGAAAACATTCGACAAGGTAACGCTGATTGATTTGGAAATCCCTCGATCAATTATTTCGATTATTTTTTAGCGGAAATCGATGGTCTCGAATGTTGTCCGTATTGTCCATATGCAGTCATCGTAGATAATCCAGATGATAAAGTCTTCCGCTGTCTAAATCCTGAATGTATGAAAGAAACATGCCGGTAAATATCAACTTGAATTTTCTTTTGAACTTTTGTCTAAATTCACTTTTATTTAGCTTATGCAAAGAGCCTAGTCATATTCCATTACGATGTGATGAAGTGGAAAAAGGTATGGAACTTGAAATGCGTAAGTTTATCGAAGAACATGTAACAGAAGCAATGATTCGCAAATGTCCTCGATGTACACAAGTATGCAATCGATCGATTCAATTACGAAAACTTTCAAACGTTCTCTTTTTCAGCGGTTTTACAAAGTTGAAGGTTGTAACAAAATGACCTGTTCATCATGTGGACTATTTATATGTTATGTTTGTCGTGAAACAATTAATGGTTACGATCATTTTACAAATAATGAAAAGTAATTTTCAAGACGAAATTCAATGAAATTTCATTTGAACTTTTCTAGATGTACTTTATCGAATCAAAGCGAAAAAATTCATTATGAAGAAACGATACAAGCGTATACGAATGCAAAAAATGAATATCTTCGATTACATCCGGAGGCTCAGGATATGATTCTTCGCTATGATCCCATTTCACATTTAACAAAACTATCAATGGGTGCTGTTTGATATCGGTCATCTTTCCAATAGTTTCAAACAATCTTCTTTTAGTCAACAACTCGAAAATCGCGTTCATCGTTTTGAACAAATTAACTACGAATCAATTTGTTCACATGTATTTTTGTTTTTCTTTTGATTATTGCAACAACAACAAAAAAAAAAAATCAAATCGGTCAGTTTTTGTTTCCTAATATTTTCTTATTTTGCTTTGTTATGCATGAATACAACAGAAAACAAACTGTTCTTGTTTTTTTTTTGTACTTATCAAACACGATCCTATGTCTTCTCCTATGGCTATCCAAACTTTATCAATAAATTGACAAATATAACAAGATGAGAACTGCTACTTGTTCTTCTCTTACAATGCAGTCACTGTTGAATGTGCGATCGTTTTGTGAGTAATGTCAAAAGTGACGTATGTCGGTCGTCTAATCACATTCATTGGTATTAAACTGCTTCTTCGACGTCCAGTTGATGCTCGTTTGTTATCACTTAGTCGACTAGCTGTTGATGTCGTATGTCCACTACTTGATGAACGTCGACGATCGAAGCAACATGGAAAAAATGGAATTTGAGTACGTCGATGACGCCGACTGAATTCGAATAATTTGTAATAAATAGTACGAGATAATAGTTTTGCCGAATTTCGAAACTTATTTCCAACGAGACAATAGAAGATAAATGATAAAGCATGATACGAACTTTGTAATAGTCGAAGATATTCATCGACGGTATGAAAATGTTTCATTGATATCGGTCGACTGAAAACACACTTGAGAGTCGATTCAATCATTAGAAAGATATTCGATGGTCCAGTCATAATTAAAAACAAAAGATTGACGGTGATCAATAATTTCGATAAATGATCTTTGGGGAAAAGAGCTGCTTGGTTCAGATAACATATATTTCCTATGATCATCGCTGAGCGACGTCGTTGTAAAACTTTGACTATAATGATGAAACTACAAATTAAAGTGATGATAAATGGCAGAATCGAATAGATTAACGTATCGACAGTATTCCATGCAACGCAAGTACTTCCTTTGGAATGTAATGTAGAGAAATTCGACATCCAACTCGAACGATAATGTGGGGTAAGATGAGGATGGATGCTGAACACTGGATAGCGAATTGCACGTCGAATTTGTCGAATGGTAGGATCGATTGGTTCATTACAAGTTTGATTATTTTTCAATAAACCGTAGTTAAAAAGTAATTGAGCGTCAAAAATAAACAGTGGAATTACAACACAAGTAATAAAGATAATCCAAGTGTTTACCTAATGAAAAAGTGACTTGTCAATTATGATATTAATTCATAGGCAAATGAAGGGGGACTCAGTTTGATCTCCATGCATGTTTCAAAAGTAATTATGATAAAAGGAATCAGGGAGAATGTGAATGGGTATAAAAATATTCAATCTTTCCTCCAACCTATGACAAAGAGTGGATTTTGAAGCCCTATTAAGTTTCGGCTTACTTGATGATAGGATCGAAACGCGTTATTTCTGTCATGTACCTTTTTAGATTTAGTTCTAGTCGGTGCTATGTACTCATGGCTTTTCGTGACAGTGTCAGTTCGAAAAAACAAATCGGTAATGTCAGTCATTAGGACATTGCTTTATATTTCATGACTGCCGTTGAAAAGATAATTTTCTTGACTTGTTATTCTTTTGAAAAGAAAAGAAAGACGCAAATATTAATGATTATCATTAGTTCTGTCTGCAAATGCATCGCAATTTATGCACTACTATTTCTTAATGACGAATGTGGTTCGACATCTCGCGTAGATTTAATCATGTTAGAATATCTTGATTAGTATTTAGTTTTAATCATCTCCATTGCGATGTGACACATCTTCGATAGATTTAGTTGTTTCCTTGAACCGTTCTTTTTTGCACGTTAGTAACCGTTGTTAAACATACCCAGGAAGTCGTCTGATGTGACTCGAGACTGAACAGAGCATGAACACGTTGAATACTTGTTGAAACTAGTTGCCATGAACAAAGATGGCCGATAAAAGCCACTAGAAATGTGTGGAAACGGCAAAATTCATTGGAAATTATCCGTAAATCATAACCATAGATATTCTTATAACGAATCAACACAATTGCCAAGTATAAAATATTCAAAAAGCAAAGAATGCTAAGATTCCGATAAACATTCAATCGACGAAGTTTAGTCGATAATAAAATGACAAAGGACACACCATTACCAAAGAGACCAATGAAAAACAGAAGTGCTGTTAAATAATTATAGACATTCGATACTGTCGGTTGAGGAAAAATATGCGTCGAGTTGATGCATTCAATTGTTTTTCGTATAATATGATAAACACAAAAATAGGAGGCATTCGAATACGAAGCCGCATTTCTTAATAGATATGTACATGATATTGGTGTCGTTGAATTCACCGTGCACCAACATGCTTGGAAATAATCAGCTCGACATAGAATTAAATTGTTTCGTGCAATGATGAAATCCTAAAGAAGATCTATTCTATTGATAATGTCATTCGTGGGATGAGGGAAAACAAAGTTTTAATATTCTCATCTCGGATTCGATCTCTGAGTGTGCAATTACCTTATTTACTGGGAGAGAATCTGCAGTTGCTGTTGTTGTCAATGCCATCGATTTTCAAAAGATCGATATTCTCATGTAGGAAAATGTCCAAATGAATATGTAAAATGTTTGAATTATGCTCGCTTTGCTTTTTCTTCTTCCGCTTTAGCTTCACATATTAGTTAATGGAGAATCTCTCTGGAAAATGTCAACAGAAAAACGAGAAAGATAGATAGAAGAGAAATGACAGTTATGTGGGCTGAAACGTCTTAGTAGTTACTTGCTATTTTTACATACTGTTTGAAGCATTGCACATATGATTGAAAAAAGCCGGATAAAATCATTTAGTTTCGACGTGCTTCAGAAAATCATAACACGTAAACGAGAAGTTTTGCATTTTATTGTCAACAGCTATGAGTGGGAAGGTTTAATAAATTTCCCAAGAGCTTCTCATGAACATAATTGCATAAAAGGTTTGCTTGTTTTGAATTTAAAAATGTCATTCGGCTGGTGAATGAGAGACGATCTTATAAACGAATGAGTGAGTATCATAACACGATTTGTCTTCGAACATAGAAAGAAATTGTCGTTTCACTCATCGGTAATTCAGTTATTTGAAAACATTTCTATGCGAAGTCACCGGATACCGTGTATTCCGTTCGCTGTAGGAGTTAATAAATGATTCTCTGAATTATCGAAGTAAGATAAACAGCAATTTGTTTTGACAAAGGAAAGAGATGTACTTTGGTGACCTAAGTAATCAACATCACACACTGTTTGTCTTTTATTAACTTAAAAATCATCAATCAATTTAAAAAAATCACGTCTTCACTGGCTTTATTTGATATGTTCAAATTCTTCCTTGTGGTATTTAAAATGATCTTCGATGAATGTCATAATAAAGTAGTAACTATGATCATAACCTTCATGTTCGCGGCATTCGATTGGAAACGAGACTTTCTTTGCAGCATCGATCAATCGCTCGGGAAATAGATATTTATTTCGAAAATTATCATCCGAACCTTGATCGATTAATATCGGAGCACGTGTTTTCGGGCCATGATAAGATGCGACAAGTTCAGTTGCATCATACTGCTTCCAAAGAAGTTCATCTTGACCAAAGAATTTTGTAAAAGCTTTGATTCCCCATTCAACTTTTGATGGATTTGTAATGGGCGCAAAGGCTGAAACGGATTTGTATTGACCAGGTCGTTTAAAATAACTGATTAAAGCACCATGACCACCCATACTATGTCTAAAGACGACAACGAAGCATTTCTATGGATTGGAACTTTTGAGATCATATTTACCCGAATATTCCAATGCGATTTACATCGACATTGAAATTTTTAATGATTAATTGATAAAATTCATCGTTTACATACGAGAACATGCGATAATTTTTCGACCAGGGATTCTCTGTGGCATCAACATAATATCCTGCACCTTCGCCGAAATCCCAATTCTCACTATCACCTTCGATTTTACAACCACCTATATACTCGAAAAGGAGATATATCATGATTGGTTCGTCATTTTCAGCTTACGAGGACTTGTATCAGGGTTCGCAACGATGAAACCATATTTCGAAGCAAGGCGTTGCACACCGGATTTTGTAATAAAGTTTTGTTCCGTACAGGTTAAACCTAAAGAAAACATTCACCTCCAGTTCAAATATGACACATTTCTCAGACAGACCAGAGAGAAAAATCAGTAAAGGTACTTTTTCTTTTTCAGCTTTCTGTGGAACATAAACGCCGAATTTCATTTTACAGCCAACCGTTTCACTACAACAAACATTGTTCATATCAACTGTATCGATGCTGTTCGCCATCTACCTTTCATGATTGTACACGTATTGATAACCATCAAAAGCTTTAAAGCTTTGTTCTCGTGTCAAACCTGTCGCTGCCATCTTGAAACGAAAAGAAAAAAAAACACAGGTAATCATTTACACCGAATGTCGGTAAGTTGTGTTTGGTTTTATTTTCTTTAACATGCAAAATACGATCATAAATAGAAAAGGAACAAAGAACATGAAATACAAAGACTTTTCACCTTTTTCCAGATGTTTGGGGGAGTGATATAATATACACAGACAAAAAAGAAGAAAGTATTGATTTATATGTATAAGTATTTATATTTTCATAGTATGCGGAATAAAAATGATTGAGTGATGTTAAACAACAAGCGTTGATGAAACAGATAACTCGAAAGAAGAAATAGAAGAATGACAACAGAAGTTGATTATATTATGACTAGAGACAAGAGAACAAAGGAAAAGGATTTATACAAATATTATGTTAAAGTTCTAACGAAGAAAATAATCGACGACACATGATAGCTGCCAATGGTGGACATCTGTCGAAATCATGGACAAATTGACGTTGTTTATCGTTCAGTTTTTCAAACACACTTGTATATTCACGATCAAACGCATCTATATGATAACAAAACATTCTTTTCAGCACGAAAGTATCTTTTGATATGACTTACCAGCGGAGAGTTTTTCTTGACCAAGTGCCACAATGGCCAAGAAAAGAATCTCACGATACATCGAACGTCGATGAACACGTCGTCGGATTAGTTTCGCTGATTCTCTGATGAATAGTTGAACTGGGTGTGATAGATCACTTTTCTCAATACAATCCACAATCGACCGTATGACTCTATGAACATACAAGAAAACACATGAATATTTCGTTAGTTTTGCATTTTTTCAATCAATAGTTCGTGAAAAATCAAAAACTATCATTTGTCATTTGTGTCTATTAAACTATTTACCCATAGGTATTACTATCCAATAAATCGCTAATGCATAAAGAAATTAGTTTAAAAGAAAAATGAACCGACAATAAATGTCGTGTTTTTCCGATATAATTCATTCTTACTTTCCAGTGATAGTACTATGTTCATCGGTGATCAGTGCATTGGCCACAGGCGTGTGAATTCCTTCTAGAAATCAATAATTTATTTTTAAGCGAAAAGCGAGTGTCGTCTCGTACCATAACCATCATGTTCCCATGTTTTATACATGGGCTCGGAAATGTCATTATGACTAACGATACTATCCCACATGCAGCGAATGCGTATGGAAGAGATTCCCTCGATGAATTCTTGTCCCAGGACACATTTGTTTTGTCGTAAACTTGTTCTCGAGTCAGTTTCACTTGGATGCAAAAGCGAGCGTAGAAGCATTTGAAATAAGTGACTGGATACATGGATACGACGGAAAAACCAAATCTATTCGATTTGTTCTACAGAATACTGAAAAATATGGAAATGCGCGAACTTACCAAATTCCAGAATAGAATTGGATGTTTATCTTTGAAATCAGTCTTGAAAAGATCACTATTTTCCGGATCGAGATTTTCAATAATATTCTCTAATTCTTTCCTAAGCACGAGTGGACTTAAATAATGTACCGTAATTGGAGGCGTCGATAGTTGAAGACGACTAAAGATCAATAGATTTCTAGAGAATGGCATGCATGATGATTTTATATTTACAGTGTTTGTTTCATTTTTTCGATCATTGACTGTTGAGCGGAAGTATTCGTCGGTGTCATTGGCATCGACTCATCTTTCCTATACAAGTAAATCAACAATAAGCAAGGTAGACTCTTTGTTTCACTTACGTTGAACTTTTATTCGTTGAGGTATTCTCCTAAAACATTCAAATCATGAGTTGTATTTTTTCATGACCAACGAATCTATCTATCCCTTACTCGAATACAGATGATTAAATTAGGAATAGTCTTTTCCTTACAATGAATGCATATTGTGTGCAGCTCCGAATCATCCGGCGACCATCCCTTCATGATTTCTTCATCGTAGAGAAATCGTGAGCACGATGAACATCGATTACAACTACTGATTTCAATGATTCGTATGGGAGATTTCGAATGATCATCAGTTGGAGTCACAGGGATGGCTACACTCGAAGGATCAAGACGTAGAGCTTTAATGTCGTCATGTATATTATTAATATCGAGTCCGTTGATGTTATTTGTATTCAGCGATGAACTATTGGAACTTTGTTGAGAAATTAAAGATGACATACTTCCACGCAATCGATTATTGTTATTGCTATCTTTGGTTAGGCCTCGTTCTTTAATCAGTGATGAATTTCTCACTGCGTAGAGACTCTTCGATTGTGATAAAGGTGTAGTCGTGGTTTTGACGGTAATGGATAGATCATTTAAACGATCGATTGCATATGATTTGATAGTGTGGAATTTTTTCGGACTGTAAAATGCAGAAATGCCACTTTGATTGAATTTCGCACGTAATTGTGTGATTGATGTTGGAAGATTTAACAACGAAGGAACTTCATCTTCTTTTTGAATAGTAGATTTAGTTGATGTTGGAATTGTTGGAGGTAAGTTTGCAAATGGTCGATTAATCATTGAAGATGTTCGATTAAGAACTAATGGGGTTGTTGAAGGAGGAGGAGGAGGAGGTGCAGAAGTTGGATTCAATAAACCCAAGGGATCATTAGCGAGAACCTGCGTTCGAGATGTTAATTCCCATTTAATAGGACTGCTTGATTCTTCTTGATTGTCAAGGCAAGAAAATGAACGCCGAGGTGGTTGGCACTGATTGTGTATTTGAGCAGATCGCGGTGCCACTGGTAAACGATATGACAACATGCCAAGATCTCCTATTTCTGTATCACTGGCTGTCATCAATATTCCAGCATCACATCGAGCTAAACAATAACAGCGTTAGGAAAAGAGATAACGAAGGAAAAGTACGAAAAACCTGTTTGATGAGCAATTGATTGAAGCGTGCTGAAGTCAAGTTTTGCAGGCATATCAAATAGGTTGGATATCGAACGTTTTTCTGCCGTTTCAACAACATTATTATTGTTGTTATTATTTGTATTGATAATACGTCCTAGTTTATAATCGGCATAGCCATCGACTAATAAACGCGAGTGAATGTGAAATAGGAAAAAGAGAAAGTTTATCTTTTACTTGATGGAATTTTCTTAAAAGACATCTTTGGAAAGTAGGAACTCTCTGTGAAATCTTTAAGTGTTCCAGCTAATGTTGTCAAGACGCTCGTGAATGTATCGTCCTGATTAGTTCCATATCCACGATTATCTACAGACATGCATGATCACCACTTCCGTAGAACAAAATATCAAGCGCACAAACCTTTTAAATTATCTGTTGAGCCAAGTATTTTATTCTGTTGAGCAGACGCGCTTGCCACTGGACCACTGAAATCAACACTCATCGCACCATCGCTATCATCATCCTCGAGAGATGAGATCGATGAACGACGTGCATTCTGTTTATGCCGATAACGATGAGCCGTTTTAAACGCATAGATAGCGCGTATGACAGAACGTAACGTTGCCCAACGATCTCGTCGTTCCCAAGTTCCTTCATAGACAGCCTATTCAATGACAAGATTATCGATGAATACATGTTCACCTTCACATCAACGAACTGACTTTATTATAAGCACCATAAGTGACAGCATTGCATACTACGTGTGTTCTTTTCATGAATGAATAGGTTTTGACTGCAAGAATCGGATAATTATAGAGGCCGCACAATTGAATGATAACACGAAAACAAATCTCATCAGGATTGGTTAAATGTTGTCGATTCATTTGTACGAGAATTTTGTAAGCATAGTTTAGTATATCTCGAGGATTTGTATAGCATTCGATCATCATCGGTAAGTGCATGAACCAAAGGGAATAAACGTTTGATAGTAAACAATAAGCCCATTGAGTAGGTTTCTCTTTGTCTTCCCGAGCAATCTATAAGAATACAAACGGTTTTCTAAGTAAAATTATTTCAAATTTCGATTTCAACCAATCATTTGCTTTGGACAAGTGAATGGAATTACCTTCTGACATTTGTCTCGTTCCAGTTTCGATCTTTTCACCATTGGGCTATTTGGAACATGTTTCATCGACGATGTTTGTGCATGTTCTTGAGGTATTTTCAAGTTATTTGCTTGTTGAGAATGTATTTTATTTCCATTATTTATCATCTTACTCTGTTTACTATCGGGTTCAGTACATCCATTTGTTGCTGAATGATTCATATCCACAAAGTCTGGCAAGATTAATGTCGTCTTTTCACTCAGAAAGTTCATTGTTGTATCATGTGTATCAACTAATGAAACGGTCTTTTGTTTGTTGTTTTTAATACTGGCTTGTATTCGGGCGCAGCAATCGTCAAAAAAGACTAAACTGTAATTGTGATGGATATTTTCATTCAATAGCGTCGCTTGATTCAAGGTGCTCGATGATAGAAACGACCGTTCTTCGATAAAACGACTAAACATTTGAGTATGTAGGATGTTCGAGAAGAATTCGGCACTTGATGAGCCACGCGAATGTAGAAAACTGGATGTTTCACGTGAATGTAGGAAATTCTCGAAATTGAATAGATGAGATGCATCCGTTGACGTTAGATTAGGTCGACCAACGATCGGACATAGATAGTCTTGATAACCGCAAAAGCATGTACACATGAAACGGAGAAATGCATCTCGTATTCGTGTTTCCATCCTACGTTCGAGTTGAATGATTTGAATGCGCAATTCGAAATCATTTCGATTTCGTCTTAGACGTGTACGAAGATCGTGTAAACGTTGTTGATAGGTGTTCACCACATCCGATTCGATTTCTTCGAGTGATTGTTTTAGAATTTTATACTAGAATTACACGAGAAATTCATTATAAATTCAAACGAATCAAAAGGAATCATTACTGGCTTGTCTGGAAACATCTTTACTGTCCAATGTTTTTGTTCTTTGGACCTAAACGAATAGCAAATTGTTTTGATTAATTCATCACAATCGAGAACTAATCCTTGTAAATCTTACCCTCCAATAATAATATTCGTATCGAGATCAACACAGACAACATCCGCAGGTGGTTCTCGGAAATCGAAGTAACGTGAATCTATGCCTACACACATCACACGTGAACGTTTTCAAAATGTAACAAATATTCTTTACCAATAACAAACGGACATGGGGCATTCAAGACATCGCTTAGAGCTAATGGGCATAGTGGTATATACGGGCATTGCCATTGGAATGGAAAGAGCATCTGAAAATGAAATCAATTCCAGCAAATGAACACACACGTTTTGATATACTTACACTATTCACAGCTTCGACTACACCAGTCAATACTGTCGATCTTAATGAATGTAGAAGTAATTTCGATTCTAATAGCGCATATAAAAATAAAGTTAAAGTATTATCTGTTCCTAAGTTTTTCAATACGTCGACAAAGGATGCGCCATTTTGCGGCAGGCCATTGTCTTCGGAGAGAACAATCAATAATGGTTCATCGTATTGTACAAAAATTCTCGGTTTTGATGGCGATGGAAATGGTATATTGAAGAAGAAATGCTTTAAATACTGTTCAATTAATGGTATGTCGTCGATTAGTTGATTACGAGTTGATGTTGTCATGCCTGACGAAACAATGAGTTGATAAATAGTAAATAGAAATCGTCGAAATGTATCAAAAAACGGAAATCGAGAGAAAAGCACGATACATGTCGAGACGTACAAATGATCATTCTCGACTTCTAAACGATTAGTCAAATCACTATTTGCTGCTGGTAATCGATCACCAGCAGTGAATAATTCATAGAAGGACATACAAGCACCATATTGTTTCGTATTCGATAAGAGAAAGGTTGAATAAGTTGGCGGAACGCTTTGCAAAGTTACTTTGGCTGGCCATCGTTCGATAAATGCGCCCATGGGAAAGCAGAAAAGAGACGTTTGCTCAGGAAATACTCGATTTGAACTGTCGTCGGTTGATGGAAATGTGTAGAGTACACGCGGACGATATTGAAAACGAGGAGGATATATAACCGACTTTTTATAGCAGAGAAAGACGTTTGAGCCAAGAATTGAGCGATTTAGATTCTTGTTAATTCGATTGAACGAGTGTGGAGGAGTTTCACCCTAAAAACAAGACAAATTTCGATGACGTCATCGAAAAATCATTAGTCGATCATCATACTCGGCTTTCAATAATAACACAAACATCTGTGACAGCCAATGTGTTACACAAAATTGTTGAAGCTGCTCGTCGATAAGTAATTAACGTTCGTTCTTTACTAAACGCTGAACTAAATATATTTGCTGGATATCCATGTGGTGTTGTTTCAATCACGGAAACATTCTCCATAACTTTTTCTTTTCCTTCAAACAAAATTCCAATATCTGTGATTGGTGGTTTGTCCCTTCCACGACGAATACATAGATACATTTCATGATTTCGTAAGCCACTATAATTCAAATTGGCAGAAAAGTCATTCGGAGTAGTCCATACTGCTTCGTAACCAGCTGGTGGATCTTCACCATGCATACGATCGATGATGGCCAAGTCCACAATGGGTTGTTGGTGTTGTGGCGTTAGATCATATGATCTCGAAGAGACAGACAAATGCGCATCAGTGATCGGTATCGATGTTTGAAGTAATTCATCGAGTTCGATTGGTCCAGTGCTTCCGACCCCAATCAACGCGAAATGATCCACTAGTCGTTTCTCATCCATTCATTCTGAATCTAAAATAATCAATGATTTGTCTTTGTTAGGTCTCACTTTCATTCAATACGATCGAACGAAAGAAAAAAAAATGAGAGTGTGAAAATCAATCCTGAATAAAATAAAATAGAGACGAAAACGAAAAAAGATAAAAAAATATGTAGCGGATCGAATAACATCACACAGTTTGTAAGTGTGCTCGTAAAACACATAGGAAAAGGAAGAGAGAACAAAAAGAATTGATTTCGTTATTTTTTCCGATTTTTCAACAGATATGTCGAGCAACGGTTAATCAATCGCGAAAGAAAAGAAAAGAAAAGATCGAGACAAAATAGAGAAAATACAGGACTATAAAAATGCTCTTTCGCCGTTGACAATCGCACTGTTTCACATCGTACAATCATTTGAAATTTTTCTGAAAAAAGACAATACGAAAAAAGATGATTTAGAAGAATCAACTCGTCTTTTACCTGTTTACATTAGGAAGGACTTTGTACACAGAACAAGTTGAATCGGTAATCATTACGACATTAAACAGCATCGTCATGATACCACCAACGAGTTTTTTTCGGATCACTCGATGCTGTACGGACATACCAATCGTTATCGGGTGGACAACTCTAAAACAGGTAATTTACGACTAACAAAACGTAATTATTGGTATAAACATTTAGTGAAGATAGTGTTTCAAGTGATTTAATATGTGGTAATCGTTATTGACACACTGGAAGAGTTTAGTTTAGTTTAGATATCGCAGACGTAACACAATGATAAACAAATGTGTTATCGAGTCAGAAGAAAAGAAAAGGGTGAGTCAATTCAGATATGGAAATTAACAGGGATCTCTTCGATACGTTCTGCTTTTTAATCGCGAAGAAAACGTGACATACCGATGAAAATATTTCTTGTGTCTAACAAATAGATGAAGAATAAGAAATAAACCCTTTCTCATTCTCTAATAAAGTAATCAACTCGAAAGATCGTAAGTATTAATTCCTTGGAGATTCATCCAATCTCATGAAATCATCTAGATTGATTGAATTTCTCATTGAAGATTATCCACTAATAGCTGATATCGAGTGAAAACGCACGCTTTTACCTTATCCTTACAACTTGAAAGCATCGACAGAATGCTCAGACAAACAGCATTGATACTCAATGCCGGCGACCAATCATCGGTCAATATCGACAAGCATATGTGGCCATTTGAATAAATATGTGGATGCAAAGGAATGTTAGAGCCAATAAACGTCACCTATGAATAATTTGAGGTATGTTGGTGCTACGCAAAGACTTTCTTTTACTTGGGGTGAATCAAACGGATATTGATCAGAGAATTTAAATAACAGTTGGAATTTTTCACCCTCATATAATGTTCCCGATGCGCCTTCGATGTCAATACGAATCCTGAAAGACGAATATAAAAGGAAATTGATCGTTGTGAATAGGATCTTACTTTCGCATATCCGTGAAATCATCGACGACTCGTCTGATAAACAATACAAAATAAGTGATGCAAGAAAATCAAGAGAAAACAAGATCATACATGCCCGGTGTAGGATTCTCTGTTAGCACCTTGAGCTCTTTCGTCAAACGTTTGCGAACAAGATCAAACTAAATGAAAATAAACGAAGAATACGCACAAATTTTGATACGATCATTATACGAACCGCCATGAATTCAATCTATAAAGTACAAAAATAATTGTTTTCTCTTAATTCTCTCGAGTTTGGCCTAGTGTGGTAGATGATTCATCTGAAATAGCAAATAATCTAATCATTTTTCGTTCGATGTCGATAGACAGGATTAGAACTTGAAGTATTATTATTTGCCAAAAAAAGCAGTTAGCTGTTTAAACAAAAATTTAAAAAAAAAACAATTAAAAAAGACTCATTCAGATAAAAACACATAGATTTTGAAATCATTCGAAGAACAGAAAAATTAACATGTCGCATTTAGAGATTCATTTACAAAATAAACAGAGAAAAAAACACACGGTGGATATTCCCTATCACAGCACGAACAACAGCGTTATGTACAACAACGTTTATAGTGCTTCTATAGCTAAGAGTTGTGTTTAGTGTTGGATCGACATGGATTTCAGTCGCGGTGCAATGTTATCCACATCAGAAGTAGAATTCGTAACACTAACTAGAAGAAATAACGCTAGCGCGAGAAAGATAAACGATGAAAGAGATTTACCTTGGGAAAGCTGATCACTGAAATCGCCCAGAGCATTTCGTCGACCTGTTCGCCGTGCGGCTTGGAACATCTTCATGTCATCCTCGGCCGACATTGAATTTGGTGATTGTTCAGCTGTATTATTGTCAGTTTTTGGTACTGCACTCATTTTACCGATTGTGGAATGAAATCTGATATCAGAGAATGTAATTGATACAAGAGAAAATAAGGCTAAAATGGAATATTGAAATTTGAATTAATCAAACAGTCGTCATCGAACGTCAGTCATCATTTCATGAGGAAATAAACAAGACGAATCACAACGGGATAGGAGCGAGGAGGAGGTTAACGAAACGCGTGAGAAAATTCGTAAACATTGGTGGGAATTCTATCGAGTCACATGTACTCTCATTGTTACAGATGTCACTAGTTAACAGCAGCCTGCCTTCAAGAAAAGAACTGCAAATTGGCTAATTAAAACATTATGCTATTCTTCAGTTTATCTCTATTCATCGATGGTACTCTTTCATTGAAGTATACCTGGAATCGTCCGTTGTATTCTCCAATATAATATATACTAGATTATTCGGTAATAACTCATCGATGCGAAGAAGTGTAACGTGCTTGATAGACTGTTTCTCTTCTAAAAATAAAAACAAGCGACTGCAGTGTACTTCTACACATAGCTAAAGTCCAACATCTTTTGTCGACGTTTAATTGACGTAGTGAAAAATGTCTTCTGGACTGTAGATTATATTCGTCCGGATACAGATATATAAAAAAGAAATGGAAACAAGTGAAGTGCATTCACACAGATGAAACGTCAAAAAAATAAAACAATCATAGCGAAAGTAACGAACACAACTGATATTTGTCGGATGTTTGTATATGAAAAAAGTTCATTGTTCGCAAGCTAAACTCTTTGACAAGAAAGATTTTGAACGCAATTATTGCACATCTGATGTTCTCTAGAAATTCCCAGGTAAGATAGAACGTAGAAATGCATTCCTATAAGATTTCATTGAAGTTTGACAGTGAGTAGAAAAAAAAAGTTAATGAAATCATAGTAAAAACAACGCTATTCTTGAGGATATTTTCTGTCACCTATGTTATACTCTTCCGATGCTCGGCAAGACTATCTTCCCAGTTCTGTCGGATTTCGTATCTATTCGAATAGACAAGCGTGATCTTCTCGAGGACAATCGCTGACGTCAACATAAAATAAAAATACGCTTCCGAATGACATTCTTACTCACAAATTGATCTCGATTCAACAATACTTGTTTTCTTGTGCAAATGAAATTATTTGCAGAAGTTGAAGTAGTTACTTGTTTTTATGACATCGATGTCTCCCTTCATCTTTCTCGTTACTTTTGTTTTTCTTCCTTTTTTTCTGTCTATAAAAGACAACTTTGTCTACTTATACACAGAACATAAAAAAGAAGTCGTCAGAATTCATTGCTTCTACAGAGTGCTTTCATAAAGACGCCTAGTTCCTTCCCGTGCACATTTGATTCAAATTGGATAATCTATGTCAATGGAAGGCTAGAGCACGTGGCATGAATAAACTAAATCGACGTTGAATCAATATTGATCGAGCAAGAATTATTTGATTATGTAAAACATAATTAATACAAAAGTATATAATCTCAGATATGAAAATATTTTGCCTGAAGTCGTTTTTTTATTAATGATATTGAGTGGGAAGATGAACATACTGATGTCGGATTCACTTTAATAGCAATTAAAAGAAAGAATTAAGTATTAATAGTCAGACGAAATCCGTGTCTTCTAACACGTTTGAATAACAAAATAGAACCGCAATAATTACGATGATTATTTCTATTTTGAAACTACCATAAATGAAAAAATAACATCTGTTTTTTGTACTTCTATTACATTTATGCTTTCAGAAAAAAGTATGAACTGAAGTTTATGTGCATCTTCATGATTCCCAGACACACTCTTAATAATAAGTTACTGAAGTTGATCTGACTACTTGCTTGACTATATATCAGCATGTTAATCAGTAATTTTTAACTAACAATAATGTAACGGTAAACATTCTCTACTATATTTCATTTGTTTTTTTTTATACACGAGATGGCAATGCTATTGCACCTGAGTGTATCTATTAATCTTCATTGAATATATTTTTCTTTGAAAATATCCACGAACTAGTGAACATACATCGTTATCTTGATCCTGAACAATAAGTGGATGAGATTTTAGTATTCAATACTTGATCTTTGTCGAGTCAACTCTTGCCCTACTGTCGATAAAAAAGAGTACATTCAAAAAAGACTTTTATTGCTTGTTAACATCTCTCAGCTGATTCGATTTTATAAATAATAAAAAAAGAAATTTCAGTTCTCTTTATGGTATTTATTCTATGTGCAACTCGTTCGTGTCACTCTTCAGTTCGATGTGCCGCTCGACAGATGTCAGCAGTTTACTTGAATATATTGACAAAACTTGAGCAACATTTTCATTTGCAGAGAAATAACTTTTTTCATGATAATATTTGAATAGAATTCGAAATTTCAAAGAAAAAATTTCATTGGCCAATCAAACAATTGCTCAACATAAATGGCAGCGCATAATTGTTTATTATATTTATTCTTTCATGCTGCTGCCTTTTTCTCGATGTTGTCAAATAATGATTGTTTTAGATTTTGTATTCATTGAAAGCATAGCTATTGAATGAAGCCACGTTATAATCTTCGCATTCAGTCAATTAAACCTTTTCTTTCGCCTACAAAGAAAAAATCATCTCGAATGTAAGTTATTCGATCATTGTAAACTCAATGTCCTTCTCTTTGTTTTCTTCTCTCAGAACTAAAGCACCGAAAGTTCAGCATGTGAATTCTTCGACAGCAAATCGTCGACACAGTTTACGACTAACGTCCGTCGTAAAAGAAACGAAATCAAAAGCAATTACACATGAGATTAGTAATAAAAAAACTGATAATAAACACTTATGTCAAACACCGAAATGGCGATCGATCGTTGATGATAATGAAAACGACACTGTAGATATTATTGATGATATGAACGATGATTATGATGATGAAGTGCTCATTCGACATCATCGACTGATGCTTGAAGAACAAAAAGATCGAAAGTAAGTCGAGTAAAAAGTTTATTTGCTTTTTTTTAAAGAAAAAATTTCTTTATCTTTCGTAGACTGTATGAACGATACATTCGTGGTCAACGAACACTTCGTCGTCTACAATGTCGTCGTACTCACACGGCACATTTAAAGGAAGCAACTCGAAATCGTTTATTACGTGAATTAGAACGTGAACGTCGATATACAATTCATGAAAAGATTTGTGCACATTGTAAGTTGATGGGAGATTTTACTTGGACTCAGACATCGATTTGAATTCTAGTGGCTAATCATGAGATCATCTATCGACATGGATGTAATATCGAATCGAAAGCAATGAATTGGGATTCTTTGGAAGAAGAAATACCTTGCAATCGCAATGTAGGAACAATTCGCGAGTTAGATGTCATGATCGATAATCTAAAGAAGGTGATTCATAATTCAAAAACTTCGATGTAAGAATTGCTATTTAAATGAAAATATATAAAAAATCGGATGTTTAGATCGAGACCTCGATTATCTGTACGTGAACGTCAAAATCAACGTTTGAAGACAAATGTTCCTAGACCAACCGAAACTCAATCAACATCGACAATGTCACATTCACCGTACGACGACGAATATTTATATTATCTAGTTTAACAAGAATGATTTTCTATTCAAGGTCGACCTCTCCAACCCAGATGTCTAGCCTATCTTATGCATCACGTGTATCAACTGTTCGCTTTGCTGATGATCAAACAAATAAACTACGAGCAAATAATTCTCAACGATTAATGTGTATACAGAACGTTCTGTCACATCAATCAAATACTAATCATCAAAATAAAAAGTAAGATAGCTTACCTAGACGATAACTTCATAGAATTTTTTTGTGATTTAGCATCACAAATGAGATTGTCTCACCGATGACTAGTAGAAAATCATTACTTCGTTCAAAGCCGACGAATTCAAAGTACGATTGACCAATTGCTTTGGAGAGAGTCTTTTCTGAACATAATCGCTTTTAGTGTGTTGGAGATGTCTCCAAGCAAACGACGACCATTAGAAAAAGAGAATTACAGTATTGTATCGAATCCTCCTTCGCATTCGAATATTGTCTTGCGTGCAACATCACCGTATGTAACAGCGGCTGATCCTACAAGATATCGATCATCGTTATTTTCTATAGAATGGTATCGATCAAACATACCGCGTCTTCTGCGTCGTCTCGTACCTATTCACATGCGAGAAAACAGTCAATAATTAATAATTCTTTAGCAACTCGTCGACATACGCGACTTTCGTAAGTGGAGTTTGAATGAGCATTCAAACGACAATCGACGTCACTTTGTTTTATTCTAGTGCGAATGGCTAAGAATCAATATGATTTGTATTTTGTGTTCTTTTTATTGTAAATAAAACGAAAGTCACATGTCATTACTTTTCTTTTCTTGTTCTTTTCGTCAAACGATCTTGATTGGCTTGTTCTGTTCTTTGCTCATTTATTTTCGTGTGTATTTCCCTTCTGATGAATTATATGTATGCACAATACTCTCTATTGATGTTTTGTTGTTTTTTTCCTTGTCCGTCGAATTTGTCACACGTATGATGACACGCCTTTTTTGTTTTTATTAACAAAAAAGTGTTTCTTTTTTTGTTTATCAAAAGAAAAACTATGAAGCAAGATAATCATCAAGTCTCTTCCTATATTCTGTTATATCTGAATTGATACAATCGAAATGAAATGAATGTAATCGTACTTATTGTCACATCGAAGACGTGTAAATATTTGAAAGTATTGGTTGTTTTTTAGATTTTGAAAATGATTGAACTACCTGATTTATTTAACGAAAATCGGTAGGAGATTTGTCAATTGAATTTCTTCGATTCATTCTCTGTCTCTAGAGTTCAAGAAATATCCTTATCTTTCATTCTTTATGCACCTATTGGCATTTGTCTTGTGGTACTTCGTTCAATAGCACTTCTTTTTCTCATTCTGATTTCGTTCATAATACCTGCAAGTTCATCACTGGAACAGTAAGTACGACTAATCCATGAATCAAGGTTGATTTTCATGTGCGTTTTTATTGATTAGACTGATAATTGAAGCAATTAGTTTAATATTAACATTTACTTTTGATAATGTAAGTCCAACGGATGGAAAAGATAATCGACAAACAGTGAAGATTATCGTTACGAATCGAGTGTCGCTATTCGATGGAGTGGCTCTACGAAGATTTTTCTACAATGCGAATTGTAAAGTGGTGAGTAGAAGGACAATTTTGATCGTTTGTTTGCTCATACAAGGCTCGATTTAGGTTCATCTTTGGAAAAATGATTCGTGGACGAATTGGTTCAAATTAAATGCAATAGACTATTCACAAAATCAAGAAGAATTGCTCAGTTCTTGTGTAAAAGATCTCGAATGTTCTGGTAAAATTGAAGTTTATCGGTGTAGAACGATTAAATTACTGTTGAGATTTCAGGTTCGAAACTTATTTTTCTTCCTGAATGTGAACCGACAACGGGCACTGATGGTTTATTAATATTCAAGTAGAGATATGATCAGTTGAAACATTATTTTTCTATAAATACCGTTCTATTTAGTCCTGTACCATTTACACTTGCCAATAAAGTTCAATTACCTGTTCTTCCAATATGTCTTCGAACTTCCCGTACCTTTCACATTCGAACTGTATGAGAAGTTCTCTAACTTTTACATTCGTTTAAATGCATTCAGTATTTTAGACTACATTCAACAGCCATCCATTAAGTGATCTTTTCTGGTTCTTGTTTAGTCCTTATACTAAATATCATTTGAAGTAAGATGCTCGAAATGGTTTCTAAGTGATCGGAATTGGATCGATTTTCTTATGTAGATTTTTGCCAAGTATTTCTCCAGACGCTTCGTCTTCAAATGAAAATTTTTGTGAACGTGTCCGAGAGACTATGGCACAAAACATGGGTATCCAATTGACACAATTCGATGAGAGAGATGTCATCGATTTGAAAAAACGACCAGATCTTTTCCAACGTCGTCAGGGTAAGTCTGAGATGGAACATCCGTGACAATTTCAGTATCAAATTAAATTCTAGCACAACGTCGAGAAGAATTTCAACAGATGATCAATCTGGTTCATCAAAAAGTACCTATTGCATCTCTCGAAGCAATTCGATATGATCTTGGTTAGTTTTTTTTTTGATAAAACTCGTTCTTCATGTAAGTTGATTTGATTAGAAATGACAAAGAATGTTCAAACAACAATTGATAATTTGAATGAACGAGCGACTGCTGCTGCTCGTGCGGCCAACCAATCGTCCACTACATCTTCGCATGCAATGTCGACTGCTTCGAAAAATAGCAGTACTAGTAGTCATCGTCAAACGTACGAACGGTTAAAGCAAGAATTAATCGAAAAAAACCGACAATTATTTTTAAATAAAAACTGTAATTAATATCAAACGGTGGAAATTCTCTTTTTTCTAATTACAAAATAATCTCGCTAGTTTTCCCCAACATTTTTGTAATATGAATAAAAAGAATTAACTAATAGTTGATTTCTCTGACGTCATTCTTACGTTATCGTGGTGAAATATTTGTTTTCTTCTCGTCTATGTTCTTGCGAAAGATTGGTGGGCATTAAAAGCCAGTTGTTTTCTTCGCTTTCTACCACATTTTGCAAACAAAACATGTCTTGCCTAAGTCATCATAAACGATTCCGCTCTTTATTTCACAATATTATCAATGAACTTCGACGCACAAATCGCATTCCGATATCCGTTTTGCATACAATGCCGTTTAAGTGTTGCACGTGCAGAGAAGAAGTTCACGAATCACCGAAACCTGTAATACTAGCAGACGCAGATGATTTACCTGAATTGAATAATCTAATCGAAAAAGTTAATCGAGAAAAAGACACAGATGTGAAATTATTGTTATCCTTGAACCGATTCCAAGATCTTATTGTTGAAGGACAATCAACAGTTCCATTAAGGACATCGGTCAATACTACAAGCGATGATGGTAATAGTTCTGAAAGCAAACCAAAAAGAATTGTTTTTAGTCCATCAGATGAGAGCGATTCGTCATTAGAGTCGGAAGACATGGTCTTAGAACCTCGGAGCAGCATTACAAAATCAAAACAACCTGCGAAATCTAGAAAGTCAAAAGCAGCAAAGCAAATTCAGTCTGGTGTATTCGTATATTTACCATATGAGTTTAAGAAAGCGAAGAGAAACGCAGATCTGCTGACTGAAATAGCAAAGTCAATGCAGAAAAAGCGATTCATCGGCAAAAACGGCCATTTTCCTATCTTGGAACGAGAGTATAACGCTTGTATTAGTATGATCACAAAGGGAACAAGTCAACAAGTCACCAATGCATTCGAAGTTGCCAAGATAGGATTGGAAAATTTGAAAATTCACAATCGTGATGCTTCGTTGCAAATGGCAGAAAATCACGACGGAGAGTGGGTGTTGATACGAGCAAAGAAGGCGTCAGATAGCACAAACGGAGATAGTATCGATCGATTGTTAGATGAAATCACATCTCGGTGGACGAGCAGTTTAAACATCGAAAAGCGGAAAACGAACGATGAACGAAGCTCTAAGCGAACGAAAAAGTGATTGTTAAAATGTTTTTTGAAGATGCATAGAGTAAAAATAAAACTAGACGAGAAGCATAAACATTGTTTTTTTTAAATGTCTTAAGCGATCGAAGATTTTCCTTCGACGTGTATATCAATGTTGTGCTATACGTATACATGCCTGGATTTTCTTAACGATATGTGGAATAGTTTGTAGTCACTGAGCTTAAAAAGCCATTATGTTGAAAAGAAATGGTTGTAAACCTTGATGAAAGGTGAATGAACAATTGACACTATTGTATTGTCAATTTTACTATGGTTTTATATCTGATGTAAATGAAATGTTAACAAAACTATTTCTAAAAAGACTATTTTCATGTATGCAAAGATCTCCAACGTCTCCTTGATTCGAACGCTTGTATTGTAACTGTACATGAGTATCTAGATGATAATTATTACTCCAACTATCACATATGCGCATCTTTCGTTGTGTTAATCAAATTGTATCTATTGGAATATTACCCATTGTCGCCTTTAACGAGCAAAGAACTATATGTCGAAGCTTCTGATTGCGAGGATCAAAAGAATTTCCTCCCATTCCCAAACTAAGAGGTCTTCATCTGTCTAATATTCATGTGCAGCATTGTGTTGACCTGGAGGCCCATCAAGTCAGTCTTCCTCGTAATATCATTCATACGTCACTCAAGCGTGATAACTCTTTTTATAGAACCTAGTTACATAGATGCGAGTTTGATTATGTTTTTAAACGGAAACATATTCGTAACATATATATCTATCGTTCGTTTTCTCGATGATATAGTATCTATCATATGCTAAAGATCGTGGTGAAAAAGTTCATATGATTGAATTGTCAGTCGGTAAAGAAAAACAATATTTATCGTTAGATATGAAAACGCCATCGACAGTTAATTATGTGACCATACACACACTACATGATGTTTATCAAAATAAATCCTACGATCTACTTGGTCATCGTATAATAATAATGAATCTAAATGTGTAGAATTAAACATTTTTTTAAGTGAATATGCAGCTGGAAATGTTTACAAAGGGGACAATGAATGTAAATTGACACTTATGGTTCATCGATAAATTTAGTGTCTCAATATTACACCAGGATTATATACGTGTTTAATGTATGTAAATATTCAGCGGAGAAGTGTTTTGAATCGAATTTCAGATTAGTTCATGGCTGTTTGGAGTAAAATATGGAAAAGTTCTTTTCTTCAAATAACAGAACAAGAAAAGACACTTATTCAGAGTAAATATATCTTCGCATAGTCAAGTTCAACTCATCTTCGCCGTTTCTTTTTCTCATCACACACACACACACACACACACTCTCTCTCTTTTCCTTTTTTTTTCTATCAACGAGCGTGCACTTACACGTTAACAGCATTATTTATCAGAGAAAAACCGGCAAAGAAGTTGTTGCATATCTTCTCTTAACGAGCATAAACATGTCGAACGAACTTCAAAACAACATGAGTCCTGTTATGGTTTGTCTGACGAAACTGATCAATTTCCTTCTATCTTATCTGTTTAGGCTGCTACACCTGAAATTCAACAAATTAGGTAAAAAGAAAAACCTAGTTAATTTTCGTCATTTGTCTTTCTCCATTCTCAGCGAACAATCAGAAATCAAATTTGCTGCTATCGATGCTTTATATCGAAAACATTATGAACACAAAATTCACGCATTTACAGAAGCACATCGAGAAAAACATGTCGCTTACTGGAAGTTAGTGTTGACATATATTTCAATGAAATCGTCTCTGTAAATCAATCTTTAGAGTGACACAGTATGCTGAAGAACAAGTTGCTTATGGAACCAATTATTTCTTGAAAGTCGCTATCGATGATGGTCTGTTTATTCACATAAGAATTCATCAGCATAAAAATCAGAATAAATTCAATTTCTACGCATTGCACGAAATCATTCGACATAATGCTGCTACTTGTGTTTTCACTGATGGTAAAATTAACAAAATTTACTGTAAACGAAATTGTATCACATGTTTTGTTTTTTAAGATGAACCATTGACGTATTTTAATTATTAAATATATTGATGGAAAAACAGACTGTACTTCTTCTTTCATATTCATTTTGTATTACCATATTCTCGGAATAAATATCTTTTCGTATTGAAGCATTTATCATAAGAAAGCATAGTTAATAGACTTCTATTACTCAGGAAATGTTCGTTTCCCTAATATAACTTCCAGGTAGCCGAACTAGTAACGTGGTATTAATACGTAGTGAGATTTCCAGGTATCTGCTTGAGACAGAATGTGTGAATAACATTGACTCGTGAAAGTGCGAGCATTTCTAATAACATGTTCTATTCGTCATTTACTTTGACAACGTTACAAGAGGAAACTCCTGTAAAGAGGCACTAAAACCATACCGTTACGCTAATTCTAATGAATTGACTGCTTTTTTTTCTTACACTGTTCTAGTTAGTAACTTTCTTTCCCATTCACTTTTTATTCTCTCGTACAGATTAATCTTGCATGGAACAAACACATGCATCAATATAATTTGCATGATGAAACACCTGCTATAATGGACGACGTAGCAATTATGAAATTGTATTTTTATCAAAAACTAATCTTCTAGTCTTCAGAAGTATTTTGGTGAACAATTTGCTGCGTCATATCAGATGACAAGAATGTTTTTCTTCTCCAGTGACTAGCGCCATCTACGATTTCACAACAAAACTTTCTTTGTGTAAAGAGAAAATATACTTTCTGTATATTTGTAAAATGATTTGCATATTGTTGTGAATAGACAATTCTTCAGCTTACACTTGCAATTGGTTTGTTATTGGTCTAACAGAAAGTACTTGAAGAGATCCAATCTAATCCAAATCTCTATTCTATTCAATACTTCTACTATCAAATACTTGCCAGTCTTCTCATACTATTTGCAGCTTGTTTCTAGATCTGTTTGTACATAAAATGGATGCTCTTGAAGTCGAACATTTATGTGGACAATTATACGGTGGTGGAGGAAATAGTGAACAATTGCGCACAGTATCTCAGCGTCTGGAATCATTTGTTAGTCAACCGAATTGTCTTTCTCAATGTCGAATATTACTTGATCGTGCTTTAACTCCCTACACTCAATTTTTTGGTGCTACAACATTAATTAAATATTTCAATCGTTCGTCCAATCAACCAATCGCGACATTTACTGAACGCTTGGAATTACGAACATATATTCTAGAATATCTCTATAAACATAATCGTTCACTCGCTCCATTTGTACTTGCTGAATTAGCAAAACTCTATGCACGATTGACGAAAAATTCTTGGTTCGATTTAAGTCCGAATGCAAATAATCTGAACAAAGAGACATACCCATTTCAAACCTTTACAGATGATTTACTTAAATTTCAAACTGATCCACCACATTTTTCGGTTGCGTTACAACTATTGATAGCTATTCTCTCGGAAATGAGTGTACCGAATGATGAAGAAACGTCCGCAAGAGCATTTAGTAAACATCGGAAGATTTGTATATCATTTCGAGACACAAAATTACTTGACATTTATCTCTTCGCTTGTCAATATCTACGTGATGTAATTGTGAATCAAAAGAAAGCCTTAGGTTTATCGACTGATTTCAATTCCTATCCGAAAACGGTTACCAGTGCTCAATTGCAAGCTGATTACTATTTAGTGGTCGAAAAGCTTCTTTCATTAGCATTGGCGTGTCTTACATATGATTTTCTCGGTAAATCTTACGGAATTTCAAGCTCATAATATCATTGTCTTCTTTTTGTCCTTTAGGAACCGGTTCGAGTGTTCATGATGTTGACATATCTGATGAAAATCAAACATTGCAAGTTCCACTCGCTTGGCATGATCATGTTGTTGATGGAAGCTTTTATCAATTATTCTTCTCCTATTATTTTCTTTTTTCCAACACATCACTTGTTCCATTAGCGATGTCGTGTTTAGTTCAATTAGCAAGTGTACGTCGATCCTTATTGAATACCAACGAACGTTTAACAGTTCTGAATTATATGACCTTCGGTACGAATAAAAAAAGATTCTTTTCGTTTAATTGAATTTTCTTCCACTAGGTATTCGATCCATTCTCGAACAAGCTGCTGGTCTTCTAGCTGATGAGAAATCTCTTCATGAATTTTGCCGTTTAATTGCTCGTTTGAAAGCCAATACCCAACTACATGAACTGATTCGTATCGATAACTATCCATTATTTATCGAAACATTATTTCGATTCACAACGGATCATCTATTGAATGTTCATCATCATCGATACCATCTTTCACCGAATACACTTCATTACATCTTGTCGTTCTGGTCAAAAATCGTCGCATTTCTTTCCCATAGTTCCAAACTATCTGAATCATCAGGCGATTCTTCCACCTCGCATTTATTAGATATATACGTTCCACAAATTGTTTGTTATTATATTCAATCACGTTTAGACGCATTGAATAATGACGAAACGCTTTATCTAGAATTATTTGATAATGATCAAACGATTTTACAGCAACAACTAGAAATGATAAGCGTTATGTCACGATTAGATTACAATAAAACATGTGCTTTACTATGTTCATGTTTCGATGATCTTGCTCAGCAATATCAACAAGTAAAGAATGATTTCGATCGGAGATTCGCTCTTGTTAAATCGCATTTTTCCTTAGGCAACAAATTCTGAAACAACAGAGAGACGTTTCACATTTTTAATTTATATTCTCGGCTGTGTCATTGGTGCACGTGGTATAACATTAACATCGTTATCCATACCTACAGATGATCAAGATTTATTCGATGGAGAATTAGTGGTACGTGTTCTACAATTAATGACTTACATCCAACAGAAAACGGCTGGTGAAACACAGAATAATAACAATAAAAATTCGATTAATACAGCGATAACAACAGCGACAGATAAGATTGGCTCGACACCATATTCCGAACGACTTGAACTTGCTGTGCTCTTCTTTTTCGAGCAATTCCGTCGACAATACATCGGCGATCATGGCCGATCGAATAAAATCTATCAAGTACTTTTCAAACATCTCGGTAAGATTTCCACCAACAAAATCTTTCTACTGATTATCCAACGCTGATTTCACATAGGTATTGCTGATGAAGAACAACTTCTGTCGATCTTCATCAAAAAGCTATTTACAAATTTACAGTATTCAATCATAACTGATAAACTCATTGAACGCACAGTCGGATGTTTCAGCGATCTTTCCCAAGGTTATCAAAGTGTTCGGAAACTAGTTAAACTCGATCCTATTCAGTATTTCATCAACAATCATACTCAAGATTTGTTTCCATTTCTTCATTATTCATCAGCAGCAAAACGTTCGAATAATAGTAATATTAGTACAAGTAGTTGGTCACGTCTTCGAACGACATTCTATGCGGCTATCGGACGAATGCTAATGCACGAATTTCGATATGATGAAGATGATGACGATCGTATTGATTTATTTATGAAACCGTTCACGAACCAATGCAATCGATTGGTGCAAATATTCAAAGAATTTCCGGATTTTTCAGCATTAAATGCAGCACAGTTTGCCACTATGGGCCAATTTACGTAAGTTTCCATCGTCGATAGAAACGAAAAGTTTGCTCGTTTGACTTTTCTAGGCCGACATTGGCATCTTTGGATGAAATTCAATTTCTCGTGGTTGGCATCGTTCGTGATCTTCGCGGTTTATGTAGTGCATTTGTTTCTAAACAAGCGTATACATCACTCTTCGATTGGCTCTATCCCGCATATCTGTCATTATTTCTCAAAGCTCTTTTTGTTTTCTACGATCGTTCGGATGTGTATAATCCCTTATTGAAATTCTTTCATGAATTGACATTGAATCGCCAAGAACGTCTTGCATTTGATTCGACGAAGCCAGGCGCATATTTGTTATTTCGTGAAACATCGAACCTGCTTTATATATTCCAAACGAAAACGATTACACATGTGAATACAACTATTCCTGAAACCGATGGAACACTATATTACAAATCGAAATTGAAACCAATTATCACGTGCTTAAGAATCATCCGAGCTTGTTTGATTGGTACGTTCAACAAAGCGAAAGATGCTATGATCATTATTCTTCTCTTCTAGGTAATTATATCAATTTTGGTGTATTTCATCTCTACTCCGATCCATGTTTTGATAATTGCTTACAAGTTTTCCTCTCGATTTTGACATCAGTCAAACAAAAAGATCTACTCTCATATCCGAAATTAACCATCGCTTACTTCACACTAATCGAAACGTTAGCACTTGTACAAATTGACTTTTTAGCGAATTTGAATATTCCATTGTTCGGTTATATATTAGAAACAGTTAGCGAAGGATTTTTATCAACAGAACAAACAATCCAGAATTCATGCTGCATTTTTCTCGATACTTTCCTTTCCTACGTCTTTCGATCGGTGAAGAAAAGTACGGCACCAGCTAGTCTAATGGCAAATGTTAATGAATACGGCACTGTATTTCGACAAATATTGGTCAATTTGCTCAATGGAATCATCTTTGCCGAATGCAAGTAAGAAGGAAAGAAGTTGATGAAGAGAATAAAGATCGACTAATATATTGTTTTCCTTAGAAACATCTATGCGGTTTCCAAACCACTTTTGGGCTTAATCCTATTGAATGAAAATCAATTCTTTACTGAAATCAAACAGCAATTATTGTACGGGCACACTCAAGCAAAACAAGCAGTATTATCGACGGCATTGGATAAACTAATGACCGGAATCGACCGTACATTAACCCAAGTTAATAAAGAACACTTTACACAAAATATAACCCAATTTCGAAATGATATTCAAGATTCTTTACGTGGTATGATGTCTAATAATCCTGAAATCTCATCATCCGCATCATCTATTCCACTTTCATCTTCATTTTTATCTTCAGCATCAACAATTGCTACTAACATACCAGTGACTATAGCTATTTCAACATTGATTCCATCATCGTCATCAACGACAGCACCTGTGGAAGAATTGATGACCCTGTGAGAACAGACAAAAAAAACCAGTCAACGATAAACAGTTCTTTCTTTTGTAATTTTGTTCATATAGTTATTTTTATAAAGTTCAAAACAAGAAAAGAAAGCAACAAACCAGAGCGCCATATTTTCTTTCATATATATTTTTTTCTCTTGTTACTGTTGAAGATGTATTCAGTTCGACGAGATCCCAATCATTCTTACTATTATTCACAATATTGGACGATATCGTGCCAACAACAACAACAACAACAACAACAGCAACAGTTCATTTTCAATAGTCGACAAACGATCAAAACGAAACATCAATATATTTGGTCAACGAAATTCCACAAAGATAATTCTAGTCTTCACTATTCATTGAATACTAATAGTTTGAGATCAATTGAATCCGCAAATAGTCAAGATCTATCTTTGCCTGTCTATCGAGCACCCTGCACATTTCAAAATTCTCTACTAACAAGCAATAAAGGTAAAGCTACCAATCATACGTAACCATTCAAGTTGAATATATGTGTGTAGATGGTTATCCGTGTGGAATATCCCATCGATCGCCACTTTCATCGACATCGTCGTCATGCGTACCGGATGTTTATTCACCGGGTTCGACATCAAGTGGTAACTGCTCTCCGCCTCCGCCAACATCTAATCTACCACCGCCGCCATCTGAATGGCTCGAATGAATGGCGAAATATTTCATTTCTAAGTCATTTATCAAACAAATCTGTCTGATATATCGTTGTTTTTTTTTCTTTCGTTTTTCGTCTTGTCAAATTTACTTCAACAACAAATACTCCCTCAGCGCAAGAATTACCATCGAAAGATTTTTCTTTCGTTTGTCTGACAAATGAAAAACAAGAACAGTTCGTATCTTTTCTCTACTCCTTTGTCTTCTTCTCCGTCGAATCCCTCATTGTATGTTATTATTATTATTATTATCATGATTGGATTTCTTTCTTTTGTGAGTTTCGAATGCTTTATATTTTCGTGTTTCGTTTCTCACCATTTTGTCTTTTTCTTAGTCTTCTCATTAACACTTCATTTTTGACATTTATCTCTGTTACCTACTTAACGTGATGTAATGCATCTGTGTATGTTTAAACTTGCTTGCATATGTTTATCTATTTTGAAAAACAGTTCTTTTTCGCTCTCAAACTCTTTCATTCTCGCCCAAGTCATGACCAAAGAGAATGCTATTCATGGTTAATCTGTTTATTTATTTATTTTCGTTTTTTTTTCAACAAAACAAATCAAACTTGAGATTGTCATTTAGAAAATATATATATATATATATCTTCGGATCTGGTTTTGTAGATAAACAAGTACTTGTGTCTGAGATAATGCAGATATGACTTGCATGCTACGTAAACTTCTACCTCAACGAACTTTGTCGACGACAATCACATGGTTTCGTGCGCTCTCACTAACACCAGTATCTCACGGTCGGCCGCCACCTGAAGTTTTCCGAGGTAGTAATTGGCAACCGCCAGATGTTATTCAAACGGACGACGATCCGAATCCACCTAGCATCCCTGATGATTGGGATAAGTACAATCGAGTTGTCTATCCACCAACAGCGCCAGGAGAAACACCGCGAGCAGGAGTAAATATTCGCGTAGATATATTCACGATAATCTTTGCATTTGCGATAGTATGTGCATCATTGTCGAACGTTTATTCGGGGAAATATTAAGAAATACTGGTTTCTTGCTCAAATGGTAAATATCGTTTGATAGAAGGGACATTTACGATGTCTTCAGTGTGTACTCATAGGTTCGTGGAATGAATATTGATGAAGCCATTCGACAATTATCTTTCCATAAACTACCAACAGCACTTCTTATGCGAGATGTAAGATTCTAGTTCTGCATGATGATTCTAAATTTCGATTTTCGTTCTGTATTTTCCGATAGACGTTGATCGAAGCACAGGAAATGGCTATAAAAGAACATAATATTGAATATAAATCCAATCTTTGGGTGTGTAAGTATCACAAAATCGATCGAATACATCTTGTTTATATTAATCTCATTTTCTTGTAGCTCAATCGTACACGAAACGCGCTTTGATTATCAAAGGCCTACGACGAAGGCCAAAATACAGTTACACGGCTATCCATTATCGTTATTTTCATTATATGGTCCGTTTAGAAGAAGGGCCAGCACCTGGCAAAGAAGGTCTCTATGGACCGAAATACCCTGAACTGAATGTTCGTATACAGAAACGATTAGAACAGTTGAATGACCGTAGACTTCTGGGCACTATTGCATAAAGCATTGTTCATGGTTTTTTGTTCTTGTTTTTGTTAATATATGAACAATGATTAGAAGAGATATCAATCAAACCATACTCATTTCAGTTTTTCCTAGATGAATCTTTGTTTTAAGAATGGTATTCCATCGTTTAACATTTCTCTCTGCATGTATTCAACGTTCGTCGAATCTATTCATTCGTTCTCATCAATGTCAAATATATAAATTTACACCTCGCCGCCAATTTTCGTTAACATTTCGTAATCAACGCGGCGATCGTCCACCGCCATCAGCTAAAAATGCCGAAAAACGACCTAAAGTTAAACTGTCATTCAATGAACTTGGAAGGCTGTTCCAACTAGCCCAACATGAAAAAGGTCGAATTGGCTGTGCTATTGCTCTTCTTTTTCTTTCCAGTGGTGTTACAATGTCTGTACCATATTTTCTCGGCAAAATTATCGATATGTTACAAACATATAAACACGATGAATTACGCACTCGTTTGAAACAAATGACATTAGTTTTAGTCGGCGTTTTCGCTGTTGGCGCAGTAGCTAATTTCGGACGGGTTTATCTAATCTTAACGACATCACAGCGAATCATTAAGCGTATACGTGAACAATTGTTCAATAGCATCCTTCGAAAAGAAATGGCGTTTTTTGATAAGCAAAAAACAGGTGAATTGGTTAACCGATTGTCATCCGATACGGAAGTGATGTCCAATGCAGTAACACAGAATATCTCTGATGGCCTTCGAGCGCTGACACAATCCGCAGCTGGTGTTGGTTTGATGTTTTATATTAGTCCGCAATTAGCATTAGTTGGCTTAACGACAGTGCCACCGTTAGCTGTTGGTGCCATTCTTTTCGGAAGGTATATTAAAAGACTATCGTCTAAAGTACAAGATGCACTGGCTCAAGCAACTGACGTTGTTGAAGAACGTTTTTCCAATATCAGAACAGGTTAATTTGTGTAGATTAAACAAAGGAACCGAACTGTTTTCTTTCTTTCTAGTAAAAGCTTTTTCTAAAGAAGAACAAGAAATACAATTATACAACCAACGGATTAGTGATGTGTTGAAATTGAAGTATAAAGAATCACTAGCTTACGGTGTGTTTTTTGGCATGACTGGCTTATCAGGAAATTTAATTGTGTTAAGTGTCTTCTACTTTGGCGGGGTATCGATGAGTCAAGAATCGTTAACTATTGGCGATTTATCAAGTTTTCTACTATATGCATTTTGGGTTTGTATTTGTTCGAAGCGTTGATTTCAACATGTATTCGGCTTTCGTAGGTTGGAATATCAATCTCCGGTATATTTTCTTTCCATTTGGAATTGATGAAAGGTGTTGGAGCTAGGTTAATAGATCAATACTTTCCAAATTGAAATTCTCATTCTTGTTCTTTTTCCAGTCAAGCAGTATGGTCGATCTTGAACGAAAATCACAATGAAAAACTACCTTTTGTTGGTGAAAATCAACGCACTATTCAGGGAGAAGGATTAACATCAGCATTGATGCTTCGTGATATCATATTTGATTCAGTATCATTTCGTTACCCAACTCGACCTGATGTACTCGTGCTCGATAATCTAACGCTTCGTGTACCTGGTGGTCAAGTTTTAGCTATTTGCGGTAGTTCAGGTTCAGGCAAATCAACACTAGCTCAATTACTATTGCGCTTTTACGAACCTCAATCAGGAAAAATCTCAATCGGTCAAATTCCTATTACTGACATGCCACTACAATGGTTACGTACAAACATTGGAACAGTACCGCAAGAACCAGTTCTATTTTCATCGTCAATATATGAGAATATCGCCTATGGATATCCTGGTCCATTAGAAAGTGCACAAGAGACGCTTCTCAAACCGAAAGTATTAGAAGCATCAAATACAGCAAATGCAAGTGGATTCATAGAACAATTACCAGAGAAGTACAATACAAAGGTTGGAGAACGAGGTGCCATGCTTTCAGGTAAATTCGAAAGAATATATTTTTAATTAGAACGAGAAAAACGAAATTTTTATACAGGTGGCCAAAAACAACGTGTTGCACTCAGTCGTGCTATTCTACGAGATCCAAGCATTCTCGTATTGGTATGTAAATAATCTTTCCAAATATGTATTCTTGATATTCGCATCTCCAGGACGAAGCCACATCAGCACTCGATGCACAATCGGAATATTTAGTTCAAGAAGCGCTAGAAAAGATCATGGTCAATCGAACGGTTATCATCATTGCACATCGTCTGTCAACAATAATCAAAGCTGATCAAATTGCTGTCCTTGACAAAGGTCGTATAGCTGAACAGGGCACCTATGCTCAACTAATGAACATCGAAAATGGTATATTTCGAAAACTAGTGGCTACACAAACCATGGTTGATGTAGATGTGGGAGCATAAAACTATCTCCGATGATATTCGTTGTTTTTTTCTCTAGAACATAAAATCTTCCTTTCCCTTTTCATCTTTTTTTCAGATTTTCGACTTTTGATAATTTCTTAAGTATGTCTGCTGCACTTTCCGAAGTATGTCAAAAGAAATTATTCTATTACCCGTGCTAATATAATCATGAATAGATCGGTGGTGATAAACAAACTGTTGAAAATGCGTTGAGTACGATACACAGTCGATTGAAATGTTATACAAATGATCAAATAACAATTCTTGACGATCTTATGTAAGTCAGTTTTAGTTTCTCAAAAATTTCTTCACCATCATTTGATTTAGGTCGACTATCGAAGCATTTTACAAAACAGAAAAGCACACACATGAGGTAATTTGATTTTCTATTGAGTTTAGCACGATTTATCTCGACATAACAATGCAATGGCATGCATGGTTCGCTTTTACATAACTCTTGATATTTTAGAAAATGCAAGGGAGTTTACAAAAGTCACTTGAACATGCTCAAAGTCTTTCCTATCTTGGATCGAGGTATTGCGATTGATGCAAATTCAGAAAATGGTTGCTAGACTTCTTCATTTTTCTTCAAATTTATTTGTTTGGGATTTCGCTAACTGCTTTCCTTCTTTTTCAATATTCTCTTCCACTTGAATTCATCGTTTTTGTTTGATTTCTTTTAAGCATCATCGGCTCTAGTTGGACGACGGCAGTTAAAGAACTAATGGAACATTATTCCCAACGAGAAGCTGTCTATCCTGTACTTAGACAAGTAATCTGTGAAAATCTGAAGAAAGTCAGAGCAGAGAAAGTCGACGAACACGGGAAGGTAAAGTTGAACAAGAAATTCTTCACTTCGCACAATTTCGTCACTTACATAGGTCTTATTGTACGATGAAGAAATCATCAAAGAAATGGGAGATGTCGAACGTCGAACATTGAAAAGTAAACGGGCGTACGATGAAGCATGTGAACGTGTTCGACAACATTTGAATCCTGTGAAGGAAAAAGAAAGCGGAATAAAAAAGTTGCAATCCAAATTATTACCTAAAGTAACCTAGGAAATATTCCACACTGAAATTTATCCACGAAAAACATATCTAATTTTAGAATGAATTAGAAAAACTAGAAAATGCGGTTATAGACACACGCAATATGTACATTCTACATGTTTGCGAAATGAACTACGCATTGAAATTTTACATCGAGCAATTTATTGTCGATCTTGATAGAGTATAAATTTCTCGACAAAATCTACTTTTTCTTAAGTTCGATCTTTAGTTACTCGTCTGCGATCTGTTTCAACAAATTGATAAAATTTTGCAAGATCTTGTTTATAGCGAATACGAACGTCTACGTGATACACTTCAACGTGCTGTTCGTGCTGCTGTCGGGGTAACACGATCAAAATTTCAAGATGAATCCATCTATTCTATATTTGTATGCTGAAGGATGGCGACGAACAGAAACGACGTTTATTACCTAAAACATTCCAAACTTATCCTTTAGTTCTTCAATCTGACCATGTAAGAATAAACATAGTTGCAATCATTTGTGTTAGATGATTTTCCATTCTTTTCATCCAGAACGATCAGATCAATACAGACGAAAAACATTTAACACCACTTTCGACAAGCTATGCCTCGGCTACGAATGATATTCGTGAAGCTGATCAACAAATACAACTTGCTTTAGAAAGCTCGGCTTTGAACGCTCAACAGTATAAAGTCGGTCAAAAGATAATCTACTTTTTTCATCGTCGTTGGTTCATTCTCTATTAGGACTCAAGAATGGATTCGAGTAAAATTCGACTTAAACGATTAGAGGTATTACTACGAGTAAATTCTATTTATTCATATTCACTTCGAATATAGATGCGAAAGTCAATTGCAATGTTCGTTGTTGAAACATTAGGTAGACGAGTCAACTTACCAAAATTGATCGAAAGTGCGAACTTTGTTTAGAAACTCTGGCGCCGAATATAAAATCCACACCGGTAGCAGTCCGTACTACAACGAAATTTATCAATGGTTTGAAACCTTTCATATCCAGTCGAAAAGTTAGTATTATAACCAAAACTAACGAATGGCTTTGAATAATTCTCGTGACACTTAGGAATCTAACATTACTAACCAATCGACTGACCCAGCACCTTCATCTCCAGTTTCGGCTGACGTAAATACCTTTCTATCAATATTTTGTTTTGTTTTTTATTTTCAAGTCTCTTCAGTCTGATACTTCACATCCACGATCGGGTTCGACATCGATGTTTCCATGTCAAGCAGTCGTTTTATACGATTTCGAAGGAACAAATAACGATGAAATGACTGTACGAAAAGATGAAAAGATATTCATTGAATCGAAACCCGACTATGAAGGTTGGCTAATTGCCAGGGGACGTGATCGATCTGGACTCGTACCGGAAGCATACGTTCAATTATTAACACCCATGGGTGTTCCTGCAGAACCAGGTTTATTCTCCTATACATTCTTCAACCATGTCATTTACTTTATTCGTTTAGTCACAATGAAAACCTCGGTAACAAATGTATCTATGACAGCAACACATTCCACTCGTGATGACGAAGCTGACTATTTTTCTGACGATTGAAGTTTATCTTTCTCTTTCGTTTATTTTATTTTTTTTTCTCGTGTGTTATCTTTAATTATACCCCCGTCCGTCAAGCACGCAGAGAATGTATGAGAAAAGAATCCAATAAAAATGATTTTCTTTTTTGTTCTTGATTATAGTCACGTATTGATATGCATCTCTGGATATAAATGAAGAGAAGATAAATGAATATCAAGCAGAGACTATCAAAAGAGGATAAATTCATACCGAAAATGCCAGCACATTCCGATGATCAGTCATTTCCGAAAGGTGTGCCTTTCGACGATTATCAACCACCGAATTGGGATGAGTTTTTCATGCTCAAAGTTTATCTAACAGGTAATGGGCAAATACAAGTGAATTGATGAGAAGTCCTGTCTGAATTTGTTCTAGCAAAAAAGTCCAAAGATCCGCGAACTAAAATTGGTGCTGTTCTCGTTCGAGATCGACGTGATCTGATATCAGGATACAATGGAATACCTGAAGGTAACGTTTGAAGTCAATTCGTTGACATCTATATCATTGATGGTTATTTCTAGGTGTGAAAGATCTACCGGATAGATTTGAACGGCCCATCAAGTATATGTATTTCGAACATGCCGAACGAAACGCCATTTTTACTGCTGCACGACATGGTATACGAACGGAAGGTGCCACAATTTATGTTCAAGCATTACCATGCGTTGACTGTGCTCGGTAACTGTTGTTTTTTCGGTTTTTAAATCTTTCAACCAACGTCTGATTGTATTTCAGTGCAATCATTCAGAGTGGAATCAAAAAGATTTATGTTCACAAACAGTTTTATGCATTAAGTACGAAAATCAATCGTGAGAAGTGGATTGGCCATGATGATATAACAATGCAAATGTTTGATGAAGTCAATGTGGAATTGGTGATGTTAGATCTACCTCATCTGCAAGTCGATGCTTATCTTGATGGACTGGTCTATCGTTTAGGTTGTTAATAATAGGTTTCTCTTTTTGTTTAATAAACACGGTTGATTCAATCTATTTGCTGAACCTTAGAGTATAGGAAATTGTGGGGTGGATCAAAGAGTAGAAGCGTTTCGGAGTGGAAGAATTTCTTGATCTTTGAAGGAAGGATTGGTACAAAGGCTGGTAGGAATGATTAAAGTGCAGTGACTTAAACTGTTTGAAAATAGTTCATAATGAATACGACTTTGATGAAAGTCTTACAATAGAAATGGATAGTTTGCGATAGTAGACTTGAAAATTATAAAAGGAAAGAAAACAGCTGGAAGTATGGAGGTAGAACAAACGACTAATTGTATTCTTGTCGAATTAGCGTGATCCCCGGTGATGTCAGAAGGTTAAGTATATTTTGATGCAGTCTTTTTGTGCAGACAATGTTGATTTCGGATGGATAAAGCAAGCATACAAAAAGTAGTTTATTCAGTTGATTATGTAGAACGGGTGTTTAAAGTAGACAGTGCGCAATTCTTATAGAGTTCATAGCTCAGGGGAAGATGCCTTTATGTCTCGAATTCCCGTCTAGGAAGCAGCAGTCAACATTGCTTCATCTTCTCGTAGAGCACGTTCTTGTATTTTAGCTAGAATAGGATTGTTTAAAGTTGCATTGAATGTACCACGAAGGACAGTATCTTGTAACAATGGCGATAACTAGATCGAAGAAAAAGAGAACCAGAAAATGCAATTATTCTGTTGAGTTGTTCTCTTTATCACTTACTTCGTAATCGGCTGGACCAGGCATTTTAGGAATCTCGTTACGAAAACGAGATGCACGGACAGGTGCGTATCCACGTGGTTGTAGTGGAGCAAGACTATCGTAGGTGCCAGGTCCAGGTATATCAACATCGGTATCACTTGCATATGTGCGTTTCGCAGCGCTCAAGAATTGACTCTGTCGTTGACGAGCAGCCTTCGTTCGGGGTGATTTTCGTGGTTGAGATACTAACGATTGATAAGCATGTGGAACATCATATGCAGCTGGACCAGGAATATCCTGTGCGGAAAATGAAAGTTACAAATTAAGACGACGTATCTATGAGACAGACTTCGATAACGAGATCTCTCGCTGTGTTAGACGCAAAATTTGCTGTTGGATGTTCACCAGTTGGTTTGAATGGTTCAGTTTTTACGTCATAAGTAGTTGGACCTTAGATATTCCCAAAAATAAAATGTTGTGTTTTTTTAATTGGCAAGAAAGTATTTTACCAGGTCGCTCAGTTTCGTCTTTAGGCGCCATATTAAATCTACGTACAGATGCAACGTTGAACGGCGGTTTCTTCCCATTTTTTTTTACCGCTTGCCGTAAATTTTCATCAGCAAATCCAGCAATACGATATTGAGCTGGACCGGGCAGACTTCTCGTTCTATAATTTGGGGAGACAAATCTAGAAGTTGTCTGATTGAATGGCACTTGTTTAATAGTCGTTGGTTTGACTTGACTACTATTGAATATCGATAAAAATTTATCATTGTAAGCACCTGGACCTGGCACATCTGTAGAGGAGTCAGCAAAGCGCTATTCCAAAAGAAAATAAAATATGATGTGTGCTTAGTTTTATTGAAAACTTAAAAGCAAGAAAAGTGTACTTGAGTTTGAGAGCCAAACGGTGGTCGATCAACTTCGATACCAATTATCTCAGGTTTTGATGGTTCTGGATCAAGTTCGCGTTTTATAGAGTATTGACCAGGTCCAGGGATACCCTAAATTTCAACTGGGCTTAATTAAAACATCTTCTGATTTTCTATTTACATCTTTTGTTGCTGTTTTCATCATACTTTCAGGATAACGTGGTAGTTTTAACTCAGATCGTTTATCAAGTAGCTTCGTATTTATATGATAGACTTCTAATTTGAGTGGACTTGATATATCATAATCACCTGGCCCAGGTCCCGGTTTAGCCGCAAAGTCTGTACGTTTACTAGAATATTTACCGAAATGAACGCCTTGATAAAGTTTAGACGGATCCTTTTCTACCTAAATTCACTTTTATTCATTAAGTCACTCGTTCAAATACATTATACGTAGCTTACATTTTCTTTTACATTCGAAACATCTTGACTTGTTCTCGTATCTGCAGTAATTTGATCGTGTGGAATGAGATTACCATCATCATCTTCTTCGAAACCATACGAATATTTCGGATCAGGAATCGAGGGTGGCAAACATTTACGAGTTATTCTTAGTACATTATGACGAGGAAACTGTTGCAAACAAAGATAAGTAAAAGATGCCGTTATTCTTCTGATCTTCAGCTAAATACTTGACACTTGCTTTAAGGGGATCATTGAGAATTGTGTGGGGAGATTGACTTGAATATACTTCATAATAACCAGGTCCTAGCAAAGCCCTGATATTTTGATTAAATTACTAGTAAATGAACCGTACCGGGAGTGCCCTTGGATGGGTTTTGACTGAACCGACTGGCTCTATTTGATAGTGTACATGCTCCCTAAATCAAAATTAGAACCAGTTTTCCATTGGATTTGAAAATTAGTTTGATGACGTTGACAAAGGTTGACTGTTTAACTTTTAATAATGACGTGCAAATCTTTTTAGAGTACGTCTGTTCTTCATGTCGTGATTTTTACTTCGGTTCTTTAGACCTGCATGGGTTCATTCTCATGCGTAATTCTAAGTTCGACACACAATAGCGTGTTTTCCAAGTAATTCAATAAGACTATCAATGACTTCAGTTTACGTTTTGCTTTGATGTTTTTGTCATTAATATTCTTAACATCAATAAAGTATTTGACCAAGTTTGAGCCATATACAAATAATTTTGTGAAAAGAATTAGCAATATAATGAGAAAATAATGATCAGGTTTTATGGTGATAGATATCTCATAAAAAATCGATTAGATTTGTTGTTTAGTCAATAATTCGATGTGACAAGAATTAGAAACGCTTTTCCTGTCTCTCGAAGAACACAAGCAAGAGATTCTCTATAAATCAAATCACACGGAAGATTATCAGCTATGTTTGACAACATAAGAGCTAAAAGTCTCTTTGCTCGCATACCTTAATCTTATACAGCAGATCAAAGAAAGAAACTTCAATACGGATGTGCTTGAAGATAACTGTCATCAGCTCTGCACTGTTTTATCTTGCTGATTAATTATAAACTGTCTTCTTCTTTCAATAGAGAAAGAGAAACAAGCGTATCATTCTTTTTTCTTTCTTTTACTTCTCTCTTTCTCCCCTCTCTGTATTCTCCTATAAGGCAGCAGTTTCAAGAAAGACTTAGCGTTCATTTTTTCTTTTAAGGGTTGTATACACACAAAAACAAGTATGCTAAAATCAATGATTCTCATTCAATTTCTCTTGACGAGTTTCGTTGTGTTAATCGATGGTAAACCAAGTATTCTCGATGATCAGGTCACTTCTTCAAATGCAATGTTTCTGAAACCTAAAGCGAGTATAATGCGTCATCTCAATCCGTTGAAACTTTTGTTTACAGTCGCTTATGTTCCTGACCGCAATCCACAATATTCAATCGAATGGAATCTACCTCTTTTGAAGACTATGCTGTTGGAAAGTTCATTTGTTACCGATGAAGATAAAGCTTTGTTCATCAATGACTTCAGTGAACAACTCTCGGATTATGCAAATTGGTCAGACGAAAAACACTACGACTTGGAGCGTTTTACTGAGAAATATTTTAATATCTACAAATCCCCTGATACATTCTTGCCATTGGTCGATTGTCCTGCTTTAACTCATGCTCTTACAGATGCAATGATCGACGATCTTCAACCAAACATTGAGCAATCAAAACGAGCAGCTATACGTGCACGAGCAGTCGAACGATTATGTAATGCTGCATAAAATGCCTATATCTGAACTAAAATAAAATCTAGATGCTTTGATTTTCACCTGGTATGTGAAATAAATATTTGAAAAACAAATGACAAATTATTCATTTCATATGAAATGCTTTAGACAAAAAAAAGAACTTTTTTAATTCAAAATAAACGCGAAAACTAACTATATGAAGCTTATTTCCGCTCGAAAAAGACTTCATCAGTCAATGTACGTATCGATGCAGAAACACAAACTGTTTTCTATTTGTCTTGAGTATTAAGAAGAAAAGAAAAGAACTTGTCACTCACTTTTACTTTTGGCGACGGAAGATCATAATAGCCAGGGCCAGGCTTCTCGTCACTATTTGAAACTTCACTGCGATTGGAAAGTGAAAGAAATGGCGCATAACCGTCTAATCAGAGTTATCTATCGATTACGAAATGTCTTAATGAGATACTAAACCTTCTTGTTGTTGTTTTTGCCGGTGATGATGGTAAGCACCTGGTCCAACATGAGCGGGTGTACAACCTACAGTTTGTCCCAATGTGCGCGGAGTACGATCGTACATCCTCAATGAAGCTTATCGATCTAAAGTGGTTGATGAGTACAGATTTGATTTGGACATGTCAGGTAGACGGTGGGCGTTAAGAAGATTAAATTCCATTACTTTAGAAATTTGAGGAAAGTCATGCCGATGAAATGTATTCTAAATTTTGAACTTTTACCCATTATTAAGACATTTCTGGTGAGAGGGCTTATTATCGTCAAGATGTCATTTATTAGAGTACTATTTTCGACATGACAGAACTAAATATGAGCGATATTTTTCCGATCTATTATTAATCGGCATGTTTAAGAGGAGGAAACACTTGATTCAGTTCGATGTGAGAAAAATTTTTCTCGGTATGCTTTGAATGTATGGGACCAGTCCTAATCGATTTAATACAACCAAGTAGGCAACGTCGACTTCAATCTGTTCCGATCACTTCAGATGATGTTCATTAGAATGGATTATATTTTTCTTTATTTTTGACTTTCACGAATTGATTTCTCGATCACTCAATGTTCCTATTATATATCCTTTATTGAGAATACGCGCTTTCCATTGATATGTCTATCGAACTCAAAAGAAAACGTGCGATCTCCGTACTCACCCTCAAGTTAAGACTTCATCCTGTCAAAAATGCTCGATCAGTGTTTTACACCTTCGAATCCAAATTTAAACTATAGCCTAGCATAATAATGTCGGAAAAAGCTTTTCTTCAGAAATAACTCATCTGTCCCTTTAACAGATAACGGAGTGACTAAGCATAAAACTGTTCTTGTTGTATACATACGCAGCGTATGGTTGGTACGAAATCGTGTGTGAGAAGTGAGCTGTTTATTAGAGATGTTCTTAAGACATTAATGCAAAAGTACTGTATTATTTTTGTGTTTCACACAGCAAAGGAATGAAAAATAACAGTAACTAATGCAATGTTAAGCCAGAATTCATCAAGTAAACAAACTGTTGAAGAATTTATTTTTGCTTTCGAATTTTTTTTTGGCTTATTGATAAACATATTCGCAGTTTAACATTTAATTTTTCAAATAAAAGATTAAAAAGAATATGCAGATCCTTTCAGCTGTCAAATGATTTGAATCAATCGATCGAGATGTGTTTTTGAAGTAACTATCGAAAATTGTGATATAATGAGTACAACTGCTGCAGCGTCATCTGCCAACTAGAGTATATGAGATGCCTACGATGCATATCAAAACAAAACTATAAACTCGTTGATGAAAGTAATTACAGTTATATGTCCTAATGTATCGTCAGATCATTCCAGCATTTCACGTCAGCCCAATAGGATCGTTTGAGATACTTGAAATCAACTACTGAATTCATACTAGATCACATATATGTGACTTTTTTAACTCTTGTTCAAATCCGAATAGAACTTCTACGTTGGTTGTCATAACGATGTATGATGTGCATAAACAACCCGCGAAACTTGACATCTACATTTTCATTGGAGGAAATTTGTACCAATGGAAACGTCTTTGATTATCTTTTTTCATTCGTTAAATCTTCCACCCTGTACTTAATACATTCTACTCTCTTTTTATTTTTGCATTGATATCTTTCATAACCATTCAGGTCATTTAGCATATTCTATGTTTCGTCATAATTATTATTCAGACGATGTTCTTTCAATTTTAGATAGAGAAACTAGACTATGCACTGAGAAAGAACACGTATCTTTGAATTGAATTGATCTCTATCTCGTTTTCGTTTCTCTGATACACAATCATGTCCGATCATCATCACGACGATGAACCACTATTCCCATTGGAAATGGGTGAACATCGATTCACTCTGGAAGATGCGAATCAAACATTAACGAATCATGATACATCGACTGTAATCGATAACGATGATGACAATCGATTTGTCGATAATGATACAGGTGTTGATCTCACACCAACAAAGTAATGTCGAGAATCGATGAAAGAAATATCAACCGATTGTTTTTAGTCAAATTGAAACAGTTCAAATAACGGAAAAGACTGTTAATCCACAAGGTGAACGAGTCTCTCCACATGATTTTCAATTATTAAAAGTGCTCGGTAAAGGTGGCTACGGGAAAGTAAGGAGAAGAAACACTTGTCTCAATAGAACCTTTTTCTTTTAGGTTTTTCAAGTCAGAAAAGTATTGGGTAGTCATCAAAATGAAATCTTCGCAATGAAAGTTCTCAAAAAAGCTACGTATGTTGTATTTCTCATCTTTTTCTCACTCACTTTCTTCGTTATGTAGAATTGTACGAAATGCGAAAGACACCGCTCATACAAAAGCCGAAAGAAATATTCTTGAATGTGTCAAAGTAACAGGAATAACTCTCATTAATAAATCAATCATTATCATTTTTATTTTTAGTGTCCATTTATCGTCGATCTTATGTATGCCTTTCAAACAGGTGGAAAATTATATTTAATATTAGAATACTTATCGGGTGGAGAGTTATTTATGCAATTAGAACGAGAAGGAATATTTATGGACGAGATGGCTTGGTGAGCGGAGTATATAAAATGACAGATTGACGAAATTGAACTTTGTTTTTCTAGTTTTTACTTATCGGAAATTTTGCTAGGCTTAGAGCATTTACATAAAGAAGGAATTATCTATAGAGGTAAGAAAGAAACGATGAAGAAGATTTACATTCGATCTTTCGTTCTAGATCTTAAACCAGAAAATATTTTACTAGATGCACAAGGTACATTCAATCGGCTGATTTTCATTTGTTTCATCGAATCAAGTTTCTCTTTAGGTCATGTTAAACTGACAGATTTCGGTTTATGTAAAGAATCTATATATGAAGGAGGACAGACGAATACATTTTGTGGTACTATTGAGTATATGGCACCGGAAATCTTAACAAGAAGTGGTCATGGTAAATCAGTAGATTGGTAAGATAATATTTCCAAGCGTCAATGATCTTAATCTCCAATCAACTGCTCTAGGTGGTCATTTGGTGCGTTGATGTATGATATGCTAACGGGTGCTGTATGTGTTGAAAGATGTTCTTTAGTGATTATAGGATTTTATTTCGAATTTGTTTTTATTAGCCACCATTTACAGCTGATGACCGGAAACGTACAATGGACAAGATTATTAAAGCAAAATTAGTTCTACCAGCTTATTTAACTCTAGATGCAAAGGAACTTATACGAAGTGTAAGTGATCAAGTGCATATTGAATATTCCTATTTCGAACAATATTGTATTCGTTCTAATCTTCTCCGGTCTGAAAGTACCTGCGCATTTGTATTTCGAAATTACAATCGTTTCTATAGTGAAATCACTCGAACGCTACTACTTCGTCAAGTAACTTCGACGCCGTTCTTTTGCTCTTTTGTTTATTCTGTTATTAATATAAAGATTGTATTTGTGATTCATTTTAGCTACTTCGCCGACAAGTTAGTCATCGACTCGGCAATGGTCCCGAAGATGCTGAAGCAATCAAAGTAAATGCCTAGCTTCGATGAAAGATTTTCTGAAAAACTTCTTTCTAGGCTCATTCTTTTTTCCGCCATCTCAACTGGGACGATGTCTACGCGAAACGATATGATCCACCACATAAACCAGTGCTCAAAGGAGATGATGACGTCAGTCAATTTGATACTAAATTTACTAAACAAACACCTGTAGATTCACCAGATGATAACATGTTAAGCGAAAGTGCGAATCAAGTCTTTCTTGTATGTTTTTCCTTTTCAGTATTGACTTATTTGTCAACGACAATAATACAAACATTCTCTTCTAGGGATTCACATATGTTGCTCCATCAATTATCGAAGATATGAGTCGTTCACACTTTGCGTTCAACAACGGACATCGATCACCAAGAAAAATTCTTTCGCCTGAAACAGCTATTCAAGCGTATGGAAATCGAACAAATCTTTTGTTGACATGAGCTCAACATCTTATTTCTCTGTCTAGATTCAACTTTAAAATGTCAGGATCAAATGGTATGATGGAACATCCAGGAGCAGCATCAATTGAAGCAATGGATACAGGTGATAGCGTAAATCCGATGTCATCATCTGCATCGCGATTTCCTGGAAAATCAACGATAACTACGAAACAAAACATAGGTAAACCAAGGCGTTCTCCTATGAGAAGATTTCTTCGAAATATTTCCTTTTTTTCTCTTGTTTCAGTTAATACCGGTCTTCCACAATAACCTTGCGGGGTAAGATAGCCGTGGATATTTGATAAAAGAAGTTATACTTTTCTCCGCTATGCTTTCGTAGGTGCGACACATCGATATCCGATTTAGTATTTTATTTTACTTTACTTTTTTTTCCGAGGAATAGAAAGATTGTTATCACTATTGTTGTTCCACACTGTTTTGTTACTCCATGTTTTGCTCTTCTCTTTCTACTCTATTTTACCTCTTGTTATCAATGGTTCGGTATATTGCTATCTCCACTCACTTTTATTTACTTTCTCTTCCGAATCGTATCATTTCTTGTTTTGTTATTATGATCACAATGAAGGAAAAGTTCTAGGTAATGAAACCAGTCTCTCCCTGATGCGAAATCATAGAATACCAATGCACACACGTCTCTAATTACCATTGTATGCATGCTCATTCGTTTATTTTCTGTTTCTTTTTCTTGTTTTTCAATAACAAGAATATCGCGATGACCGTATTCTATATCTATTTATTTTACTAAAGAATCATCTGACACAAAGAAAAAGAAATCGTCATAGATAAACTTTGGAAGAGCCGATAAACATGAAAGATATTGCAATGACAGCAAGAGATGGATAGATGTTTGACGAAGCGAGCTAGAAAGAAAAATGAGTAACAGATTTGAAAACGGATCAAGTCGAGGGTTATCTCAGGTCAACCATACACGTGACTAACTTTCTATCTCTCTACGGGAAAAGATACATACTACAACGTAACGATTGCATCGATCACCCTGACAACATTCGACGCATGCCCAGTCTTCATACCAATTTCGCGTACAGACAGTTGCAAGTCCGTAAAGAACTAGCAATATTCAAACAGCAATCTAGATTTTAATCTGTTTAAATTCTATTTTCATTACGTCGAGTGCATGCATCACGTGTATCGCATCCTTTAGAAATGTAATGTCGTCGTTCACCGCGTGGTGTCCTGAAATATTTCGTATTTATACTTTTCACCTGCAATCGATAAGCAACGTCACCATTCATGAGGTGTTGTCCAAAGTATAAGGGTCGCACACGTATCTTAATGCCGTTGACACATTCTCACCGTTTTAATACATTTATCGTCATTACCTTCTTGTTGCTCACAAACGTAACATTCCAGAGCATTCACCACTAATGAAATTTAAACTGTAGGGAAATAAAAGTCTATCGATCTACCTGTGTGACAGCAAATGATTATTATGAAAAGGAACCATAGGATAGGCATAGTGCTTTTGTCAGATAAGCAAAACGATGTCTCGAAATACTTAGTTGTATCAAATGAAACAAAAGATGAGTTGTTTTATGCCATCCGCTGATCTTTTCAATAGGTAAGATTTATTGACAAATAAAGGTTAGTCGTATATGTAGACAGGAAGGTACAGATTAAGCGACATCTGTACAGCTATTTAAAAGTCAGGTTCATCTGATAGCATACTACATGAGTACATTTCCACATGAATCTGTTCTTTTAGCCCGACCAACTTAGAATTTTTGGCTTATTAGATTTTCTCGGTTATTTTCCAGGGTAAAAGAAATAGATATAGAAAGAACGGAATGAAAGAAATAGCGTTTAATTTCTATCCGTTGGTTGATTCTCATTGGAAGTATATATTGTACACAGCAGACTCGAAAATTCCATTTAATTTCGTTTATTCCATTATAACAAGCACGAAATAGTATATTTCTGTGTAGCGGATAGTCTGTTGATTTACCCAAGTAGTATTTCTCATCATGTATTACCAAGAGATAAACATGAACGTCGGATATTTTTACATAAAAGCGATATAAATCAATATCAAGTAATGATATCATCAATCATATCATAAGAAATGAGAAGCGTTGAAAGTTTTACATTGAATGAATACTTTCTTGGTATCACAAACGAATGCAGACAGACGGATTCCTCGTTGGAAAACCCTGGAAATATTTGCTAACATTGCATTTCACATAGTCTTACCATTAATCCTAATTCTTGTTGATGATTATAACTCTCAAAGTGTCTAACATTCAACTAGACAATCACGAGAATTGCGTTCTTGAAAGTCATTTAATTCAGCACGATTTCCTACTGATGTAAATCTGAATATTCGAATATTTAAATAATCTGTCGTCCAACTAGTCTTATGATTGATTGTTCGAAAAAAAAATATTCCGTTCGTATATTTCATAAAATATCTCATCTACTAGACGAAATAATCAAGAAAACATAGTCACATTCCATTTCCTGAGAAGAATATTTCATGATAACATACATAAATTAGCTACCGAATCGCTCTCATATATCATCGAAAACAATTCCGCTTAGATTTTATGTCAATGTTTGCTCAGATTAATTTACAAAACGTAGACAGCTATTCTGTTTTGGTAAACGTTCGCATAAATAATTCATCATGTGAAAATAGCATCAATTAGATTGAATCGATGATTTAATTCGATTAAGTGGCAATGCGTTAAATGAGCAATTTGTTCAATCATAAATAATGGTGAAAAAAGAAAACGAGATTCATTGCCACTAGCATCTATATCGCCAGCAATGAAACATCTTCGATAATTAGATGGAATTCCAAGGACAACAGTGACAATTGTTAGCTTACACTTCATAGAAGATGGTTAATGTATCAATCGGAGTGACGCGAAAGAAACGAGAATCTTAGCCGATATTCATTCTTATGATCTAACATTAAGTATATGTCATTAAAATGACTAACAGATCTGTCGGTTAGAATGTAAATATAATATGTCAATTTATTCTACTGTTATTGCGTTTTAAAGCAAATAAAATATGTTTGCATTTGAATGAAAAATCGATCAGTACATCAAGGATACCGAAGTAACTATCGTCGAAGAGATAGATAACTAACCAGATTATATCTTTCATCTGAGAAAAACTTCGACGAATGAATGACAGACGTCAGCGCTGTCACATAGTACAGAACATATGTGTTCGGTAGACAATTGCACATCTACTATGTAATTTCTGTACACTAACAGATATAAACGGAATAAACTATTCATAGCTCAAGGTTCGCTTCGTCAGCATCCATTCATAGCCAGAAAATATATACGCAATGACTTTTCCCTTATCTCTTTCCTGAAACTTTTTCTTCTTCTTTCGAGTATAAACATACGTAACTCTATTACCCTCAGGAAAAAAAAAACGAGAGATTAGTTTCTCCACCACAAACATATCCAGTTAGTACAGAATTTATACATATCATATCAAGTACGCCATACTCGTCTGTTTAACATGCATTCATTGTCATTAATCATTTTTGCTGTGGTTTTAATCATTGCATTACAAACCTTACCTGCATCCGGTAAAGCTGTAAAATCAACAGCGGCGACAACCACAGTGGGAACGACAACGACGAAACTCGTTGTAGCTAAAGTTCCTGAAAAAGCAGGAGGTAAACCAGTTACCAAAGTTGTCAAGAAAAAGAAGAAATCAAACAAGAAAGCGTACGTATAAGGATGGCAATTTTATTTATGTTATATATTGAAATGTGTTAATTTGAAGTGAAAAGGTTTCTTGGCCTTTTTTATTTCTAGTAAAAAACCAAAGCAAAGTCCATGGAAAGTGCCGGATGCTGATCAAAAGAAGTTATTTAACGATGTGAATATGTCACAGTTATATATTATTTAGTAAGACTTTTTCTCCCCTTGTTTAGTACAAAGCCATTCTACGCACAAAACTAACTGCTCGTGTTCAAAACATTTCTGCAACATATCAGCTCGAACCAGCTAAATATGGTTTGCAAACAATTGAAAAGACAGTTCTACATCATTTCTTAGTAAGTCACAAAATGCATCATAGTGCACATGACACAAAAAGATCGCTTTTCGTTCTAGATAAAATTACCCGATTCGAAATACGCTCACGCTGTCATTTGGTCAGAAAAGGACGCAAAGAAGCCGCTTGCAGTAAATGAAAGTCATGCATCGATTAAACGTACAATTTATGATAATCTTCAAGCAGCTGAAGCCTAAAGGACTTCATATATTTGCTAAAATAAAAAACAGTGACATCGTTCTATTCTTCCCTATTTGCGCTTTTCCCCTTATTTCCACATCTACACACTATATTTTCTCTTTTCTTGCGTTTGACACACTCGAATTAGAATCGTCGTTGGTTCTTTTTTTTTGCGCTCTGGTTTATGTGTTCGGAAAAGAAAGAGAAAAAAAGAGAAATGAGCACAGTGCTGTTGTAAGTATAGAGAAGAGAACTTTTTTTTCTTCTATGGAGCAGTGCCGTAAGAAAAGAATCCTGATGTTGTTATATGAGAAGAAAAAAAAACGTTGCTAGCACAAAAATGGAATGAGTTGTTGGATGATCAAGGGAAAAGAGTAAGTCGTCGCTGAATAACAATCACATGATATTTCTCGAAAATACCTACAGGTAAGGTACAAACGCGTATGCCATCAAAGGCGACCAGTCTTCTTTTTCTGTTCGCTTGATCTCTTAACTTGACAGATCAACAAATAATGACTATCCGAGACAAATGGCAACGGAAATCACCAGGCAGGAAATGGATGGGAGGGCATCTGTAGATCGAGAAAACAAAAGAGAATGCACCGTTGATGATGAAGATACAAGAGCTCGAAGGCAAAGAAAAACGGCTTGAAAAGATGATTTAATGATTTTTTCCCCTCATCTCTACATAACTATTTCGACTTTCACGACGATCAATAACATCGAATACGAGGAAAAGGTCAATATAGTCTTGCCGTTCTTTTGCTCAGCGGTTATTTGAGTCGACAAAGGTAATTCCGAGCTCAATTGACACTTTTTTCACAACTGCCTGTCGAGGTGAAGAAATAAGAAGCGGTTTATTAGATTTTCAATTGTGTCAAAGAAAAGTTTTTAAAAAAACGAGGTGTTAAGTGTTTGCGCACAAATCACATCAGCACACACACTTGGGTATAAACGGCGATCTTTCGTTCATTTTTCTTCAGCTTATGCTCATCAGTTTGGAGTAAATCTTCGATGTTGTTAAACTATTTGTCGTCGATCTGATCGCTTCATCTATTTCAGCAATAGCACATAATCGGAACTACTTAGAACAAATTAACATTTTTTTCTCTATGTTCCTAGTCTCGTATTCGTCGTTTTCTCTTCTGTTCTCTATCGCGCTTTCTGGCCAAGTCGAATTCGATTAGGATCTGAACGTTGACTACATAGGCCCGTTTTTTTAATTTCAGCACGAACAGGCCATCCATCCTCGGAGAATAGCTCGCCGTCGCCCGTTGTCATCATTGTTGTTTCTCTTATGCTTGTCTCTTTCTTGCAGTCGCGCGCGCGCACGAGTGCGTTGCTTTCTTCTTTACTGACTGTAATAAAACGTAAAACCATAGAATGCCATTGTTTTGTTATACTTCTGTGTTCTTGCCCTAACTAGCTAACTGAATGGAACACATGCATGTGACAATTCTATTCAGACTTTGTTCGGTGTTGTAGTATTTCTGCGTTCTACTTCAACATCATTCATTAATTTTTTATTGATCATCTTCTCCTCCTGGTCTTCAACTTGTGTTCTACCCCTATTTTATTCTATCACTTCTTTTTTCCCTTCTCTTTTCGTTCAGCATTGTTATTCTTTCACTCTCTCGTTTTCCATCAATGAGAGTAGGGTAGTTGGGTATGCATTGCTCTTCATATGCACGTCCTGTCTGTGTATGTGTAGCCATTAGAATCTAATAATTGTATTCCGCTTTGAATTATAGATCTGCAGGAGTACAACGGACAGAAAAGAAATACTAATGTAAAACGCGATAAAAGAAACAAAACATAATCGTCTCTTGAATTTTTTTTTTCACATCGATGTTTAGATAGATTTACAGTTTGCTTTGTTGCGTTATTACATCGGATGGATCCATGTATATATGTGTGAGCATTCTTGTGTCGTTATTAGACAGAGATACCACTTGAAAGTCAATTTGTGAAGAAGAAAAGAGAAGATTGCGTGTCTATGATCATAAAGTGAAGGGAAGACTACGACGGAGGAGAGGAAGGGGAAAGAGGGAAGCTGCAGAGAGGGACAGATCGTTTTTTTTCTCTCTCGTTCATCTTCTTCTTCTGTCTTTCTTCTATTATCTATTCGATTCCGAGAGTGCGACAAAATGCAAATCAAGTCACGTTCTCCGAATATTCATAGCTGAATGTCGAAACAACTGAACTAATTGTTTTCACTAGAACTTTTCTCCAAATCCATCACAAGTATGATTTTAACTAGCCGATTCTTCCATTTCATTCGAGTAGTAACATGATCAGGAAATATTTGACAAGAAATAGTATACAATTTCTGCAAATAATAGATCACCATGACTTTCTCGTGCATTTGTTTTGTCGGCATCCATGCCGATCAAATAATTTCTAGTGAGATGATAGATTAATCTTCTCTGTCAGTTAGATCGAATTCATCTCGAAATATGAATATGACATACGTCGTTATTAAAATATATCGATCGATGAATTCTAATTGAGGATTGTCGAAATAAACTTCCGTCATCTTTTGTATTAGCAATTCATTCATATTGACAGTAAGCTCTCTCTCTCTCTTTTGCGCGTTGGGGAAGAAAAGTTTGTCACTCGACGAGATCAAAACTTGCTATTAACTTATTCAAATGTTAAGCAAATATTTAGTTCTTTAGTTACAAAACCATCNCGTCGTTATTAAAATATATCGATCGATGAATTCTAATTGAGGATTGTCGAAATAAACTTCCGTCATCTTTTGTATTAGCAATTCATTCATATTGACAGTAAGCTCTCTCTCTCTCTTTTGCGCGTTGGGGAAGAAAAGTTTGTCACTCGACGAGATCAAAACTTGCTATTAACTTATTCAAATGTTAAGCAAATATTTAGTTCTTTAGTTACAAAACCATCACAATCGAAGTATGACTTGAAGACGATGATCGTGGCAGATGTAGTGAGCTTTTCATCTGGAGAAATATATGACGAGATCTGAACCTGACATCGGTGCAGAGGATAAGGTTTTCCGAGAGCTTTTCTTACTTCATCTGAAATTATTCTCATTATAAACTGAGAACACCAACTGATACTTGATGATAAAAATTTGACCATGGACGATGCGAAGAAATAATTTTTCCTATTGAATGTCTTGAGAATCCGTTGGAAAGATCTTTATGTACTGATTGGTAGCGCCATCTAAAGGGATTTATTACAAATCCCAGGACGGAAATGTTTTTCTCTATTAATAAATTGTTGAGTCGAAAAGAACGTTTATTTTTTAAATCTTTCCGCAAAGAAGAGAATTAGTTTCTCTTTTCCTTGCTTGTTAATTACATATACACTGGTAGAAAAACAATCGATCGATTGAGCTGGTTTTTCACAATGTAAGAAGAGAAGTTCTCTCTCTATCTAACAGATTCGCGCAGTAGTTTTCTATGTCAATGTTCTCTAATCAATGAAAATAAATTAGCCACAAGTGTATTTCTCATTGTGTAAATTTTTTCTTTTTTGAACATTAATCGGAAATGGAAGGGATTATGTGCACGCATTCTCAATTCCCCTGTTCATACACTTCGTTATTAAGGTTTCTTCTTCTTCTTCTTCTTAGTTTTTTTCTCTCTTCGCTGTATTATCAACATTGTCCTTGCCAGCTGGAATTGTGAGAAGAAAGATAGATTCATTCATTGCGAGAATCGACGATCTGTGACATACATCAACACACATTAATCGAATAGCGAAGGATGTCGAACGAACGGAGAGCGTTACATCGTGTCATTGTCAATTGAGAGAATAATCGATTTGCAAGATAACAACAACAAGTAGGAAAGAAAAAAATGCTGTTGTTACTTGTTTATTGTTTCTTTCTTTTTTTTTCCATTAATATCTAAATATTGTTGATGGGTAGGAGGGAAAGAACGATCGTTCGCGCTCACTCAGTACCTTGTTGATGATGTGAAAAAGAAAGAAAGAAAGAAGGAAAGAAAGAGAAAACGGACAGAATGGATGGATAAATGTAAGAGAGCAAAGCGTTTGCTGTAACAACAAGCTGGCATACGCATTCATACATGCTCCTATAACAACAACAGCATCAGAAGCGACGACGACGAAGCAAAAACAAATGTAAAGAGAGAGAAAAAAGAATGTTTCCTACATTCCTTCGGTTTTTTCCTCTTTCTCTCTCTCTCTCTTAGACCCTTCGCATTTTTTTTTCTTTCTTCATCTAACAGTAGAGGAAAAAAAACGCTTGATGATAAATGAATTTCTTCGAGTCTATCCCGTCGACGTGCTGCACACACATAACATACCATACTATCCAAAAAAGAAAAGAAAAAGGAAAAGAACATCGTTTCGCGTCTTTGCAAAGAAGAGAAAGAAAGAAAGAAAGCAGGAAATCTATTTTCATGCCCCGATGGACGATATGTGGTTCTGTCTAACTCCCTTCCCTCACTTTCTAAACGCGTGTACGCAGGTGTCTTTATCGACAGTCTTGTTAAGGCGAAGAAGGACAAACAGTAATACAATCCGACATGTATAATCGATGACTATGATTTGTCTCTTGCGTTGATTCTTCTATGTTGTCGATATTTCTTTCTCCATTCTTCTAGATCTATTTTCTACCCAGAAGAAGTTTTTTTTGTCTTGTCATGCTACTATATCATCGGTCAATTATATTTGAAATCGAACAAAGAATATTAATCTTATTAAAAACAATGACATCATCTTTCTTTTCATCCTGATGGATAGATCATGATCATAATGGCAACGAGTCCAACAGTTTCTAATAATATTTCGAATTCCTCATCGTCCACAAAAACATCTTCGACACCTGCATCATCACCACCTGCAACAACATCATCAATAATGTCAACAACAGTAACAAACAATTCAACATCTCCATCAATTAATGATCGTGTGATGAAAAGTAAATACTTGACTAGGAGAAACACACACACACATCTCTATCCTGGATTATGATTTTTCTTCAATATTCTAGACATTCCATGTCCGCCAAATACACGTTTAACTGCATATGATGTATTCGATTCACGTGGAAAGCCTCGCGTTGATACTCTCAAAGCACATTTCATAGCTGAAGGACGTGTTACTGAAGATGTAGCTCTCAAAATAATTGAAGATGGTGCCAAATTATTACGACAAGAGAAAACTATGATTGATGTTGAAGCACCGATAACTGGTAAGAGAGAAAAAAAAATGCAATTTTCATACTATTGAACGAATCAACGTCAACAACGGGATTTTGTTTTAGTATGTGGTGATGTTCATGGACAATATTTTGATTTGATGAAACTATTTGAAGTTGGTGGTTCACCAGCAACAACGCGATATTTATTCCTTGGTGATTATGTTGATAGAGGTTATTTTAGTATTGAAGTAAATAGAATGCTTTTCAATAGCGATTAAACTTGCCTTTTTGATTACGATTTCTAGTGTGTTCTGTATTTATGGTCAATGAAAATTCTTTATCCAACAACATTTTTCCTTTTACGCGGTAATCATGAATGCCGACATTTAACTGAATATTTCACTTTCAAAACCGAATGTAAGAACTATTCCAATGAATCTAATCAAAATACTTTCTTCTTTTCATTTGCCTGTAGGTAAAATCAAATATACCGAACGAGTTTATAATGCATGTATGGAAGCATTTGATTGTTTGCCATTAGGTACGAAAAGAAAATATTGATCATTACTGAAATAAACATTCGATTTTCTAGCGGCACTGATGAATGGCCAGTTCCTGTGTGTACACGGCGGTCTTTCGCCTGAAATTCANCGTACTTATTTTAAGTCGTTGGTTATTGCCAAAAGGTGAAATGACTCGTGAAGAACTTTCGCAATTATTATTGGTAAAAACAAAAACAGATTTATTTTCAGATGGAAGTCGATACTTCTTTCTCTTAGGTTTATATTGGCATCGCTGCAGATATAATTGAATTCTTCGAAGTTTTCAGAGAGAAAGAAGTAGAATTTTGTGATGATATCGTTCGCTTTGATCTGCTGTTTGTTTTTCAGGTCCGAACGAATATTAAATTAAGCGTATTAGTTCTTCTTCTATGGACATTTAGTTTACTGCAATTCTGTTTGGCATTCACCATTTCGCGTGGTCGGAAAAGTCGTCTAGTCATCAAAGAAGAACTCGAGAGACGCTTCTTTTGTAGTCCATCGGACTTCTGGGGCATGTTAATGTCATTATTTCTTCAAGATATTCCATTTTTTTGTTTCCGTGCTGTACTCATATTTCATTATCATATTCTGTCTTATTCCACGGTGTTTTTCACTTCCAAAAATGGTTTAATCATTATTCTTCAATGGTATCGCATCACAGTCATATTAGCCACAACCATTTCACAAGGACGACGACATCAGGGAGGATTAGTTGAAGTTATACAGATGAACACGAACGACAAACGATCTGGGACAAATGAGAGTAATCGTCTGAGTGTAGAAATATGATTCGAAATAAAGACTATATTGATGTAAGGAAAATATAGTTAATATTTGTTGATTTCTGTATATTGATTAGATCAACAAACAGAAAATCTAATTGCCGTCTATTTAAACACAATTTCATCGAAATAAAGTTTGCATTGGAAATATTTGTCTAAGTCATTTCCAAAATAATCCGTCATTTGATTGATATAATGAGATTTGATTGAATCGATCTGACAAGTCATAAAATGTTAATCGATTGTTTTTCTTTTTTCTTGTCTGATATTATCTGTATAGACTGTTTTCCAACGAAGTGATTGATGAATCAATCAACAACATCTGTCTCAGTTGTAGAGGACAATTACTAGTAGAATAATCCAAAGTTAATCATCTAGAAATTGTTTTTGAAGTTTGTCAGTGAAAGAACCCATCGCGTTTATTCGAATGCCATTGAAATCACGTCTTCGTCTCCGCAGTCGATTGACAATTAAAACTAGGTCCGTTGCTATGCATATCGCTTATCGTGATAATCTTGACAGGGTCATACTTTTGCACCAATGGAGAAAGTCGTATCGATATGAAACTATCGAATAGCCTTTCGCTGCAAGACTTATTTGATTAAATTACCATTCCTGTTCGACATCGATATAAACTAATCTACTTTTATTTGTTCTCATCAATCAAATCTCGATTGCCCAAGTTAATTCAATTTTTCTTCAGTCTGAATATCTGTATCACATATTAATATAATTAATGATTAACCGAAGATCAATTCGATATCATATGTCAACATCTCGACAACTGCTACTATGAATTCGGTTCCGTTTTCCTGTACAGAGTTTGCTGACATTGACAATGGACATGAAGAGGTTACTGGTATATCCCAGCTGTCGACAATAATGAAATGTCTCTTGAATATCTTCATAGACCTTGAAACCCTTGAGACTACAAATTTGACATCAATCCGAATAAATGATTAAAAAAATTAATTATTATTTGTCATCGTGTTGTTTTCTTAACGAGAAGGAAAGAGACGAATCGAAGATCTCTCATGCGCAATTGATAGGAGAGAGGGAGAGAGAGGAAGGAAAAGAGTCCGACACGCATTACGGTATGTGTACGAGATGAAAATTTGTATAAATACTCTTCTTTTCTTTTTCGTACTCTCGAGACAATCAATTAATAAAATAACAAACATATCTTTGATCTTTCAGATAACATTGATAATTTCAAGTGCAAGAAAAATATTGATATTTGTTTCTTAATGAAATTTTTTTTCTTGACTGACATTTCCTTGAAATGAGAAACCGACAATGACTTATCAGAAATCAATTACTTAAACACATTGTAAAAATCAATTGATTTGATTTCTTTTGTTGCATCAGTCATCTTGTATGTGTGTGGCAAGATCTGTGTATTGATTATCAAATGTCGACTTCTTTTTCTAGATGCTTATCTCAAAGAGTTAGTCGAGCATTGCGATCAATCGATCGAAAGTAATAGCACTGAAGGAGGTCTCCGTCTGATGCTGTTGCTTATTACTTTGACTAGTAAAAGAGAAGAGCAGAAGAAAAAACGGAAAGAGTAGAAGAATACCAAGATGAAGCGAAAGAAAAAGTGCGAGAAAAGAATGACAATAATACTACTAGAAGCACACAAACAACGTTCGTGCACAGACAAGTGTAAAACAGAAGCGTTTGGAACAGTGGATTTGATTTCTATGTATCAAAATAGACGGTAAATATTGAATGAGATCTGAGAAGAAAACTTTTCGAAGAAAGCTTTAGTTGAGGAATCTAATAAGAGCGTGTTTTCTTCATAAATTATGGATGCATCATTGGCAAATCTGAACTATTCACTTTCTCTCGATAAGATGTCCTCGCTGCTCTTGAAAAACTCTTCTGATTAATGTATGTCTTTCTCTTTCGTACTCGTCATTGCTTATCAGTTCTTCTGACAAATTTCATGTCAGAATCCGAAGACGGATCGAACTGATTCGCTATAAATGACAATTGTTTGACTACGGATGTGTTAATTGATTTCTATCTTGTCGATTTCCTTTTCTTGCGTCCCCGACATGTCGAAGTCAAGTTGCAATCTATTCATTTCTTGATGAAAGACGTGCGTGTCCCTAACACTCTCACCACCACCATTATATAGTTGTGCAAACGCCTTTTGAAAGGAAATTGTCCCATCACCCGTACAATGACGGCCATAAACTATTGTTAGCCGATAGAGAGAGAGAGAGAGAGAGAGAGAAAGAAAGCAAGAACCTTTTGCGTTGCATTATTTTAAAAACCATCATCGTCACCAGTAGTAGTAAAAGACACGCAGCATGCGCGCACAACCAACAAATATTGATTGAAGACGACAATTTTCTTTTCGCATCGCTCCCGTTTTCTCTCTCTCTCTCTCTCTCCCGTTTCTGCCTTTCTAAAATCGAACTATCGCCTCCATTTCTTTCTCCCTTCAGCTTCATCATCATCTTCTCGCTCTGCTTGTCGATATCTACGGATAAGATCGTTTCTTATACTACTGCTATGCAATTCAGTCGATGCATTTGATGGTAGACTGGCATATAGATCATGCTCGTTATATGGCATGGCAATAAGATGTTCGTTTGGAATCCACCATCAGACAGAAGTAGAAACAGCAGGAAAAATTGTTCCCTTGTCGATTGATATTATTCCGACATTTAGAAAAAAATGCGACTATACTCCACCTCTGCTTTGCCTCTGGTCTCTGTCTCCAAAATATCTTGAAGATAAAAACGAGAGAGAGTGTGTCTTTTCCTTCTTCTTCTTCTTCTTCTCTCTGTCTCCTTCTTCGTCGAATCTTGTGCCTGTTACCATCATCATCATCATTATTATTATTATCATCAGCTATGTTGTTTTGTCTTGTTGTTGTTCTTATCAGCATCTTACAATTTTGCATTGCTAACCAATCTGGAAGATAACTGTTGTTCCTACTACTATAAGAACATCACATTTCTTGCTTTTGTTGTTTTCGATGACATTACACAGAATACATAAGCTTTATAAGATTAGTCTTGTATTTTATACTGATAAGTATATGTATATACAATTATTCAAAAACTTTTTTTTTCTGATTACTTAAATCGATTTCGCTAGCGAAAGTTATTTGTCAATTTCTGTCATCTTTCCTAATTTGCACACATTGTTGATAATCGATGAATATTTAGATGAATAAAAATAGTGCGAAAAGAAAGTGTAAGCATTAAGATAATCCCCAATGAACAGTAAATGAGTAAATAAATCGCGAAATGCGAATGGCTAAATGACAGCTAGACTCGATACAGGAAAAGTGAAGACGAAGAGGTAAGTGCTGTGCTTGTTTTGAGTTTTCAGCTAGATCTTGGAGTGTGTGAGTGCGCTTTCTAACTAAATCAATTGAGTGGCAATAGAGTGGCACTGTTGATGATGTTTGCTGATTGAATTCTCGATTTGTTACTCTCGCTACCGCACACTACCGTCTGATTTTCTTTTCTTTATGTTTTCTCGTTTCCTTTTCTCTTTCGCTCAGTTTTCACCGTCGACAATCTAGTTGTCATTGTTCCGGATGAAAATATATTTCCTCTTGTTGATGTTGTGGAATTCGAGAAGCACAACCAAATGACTTTGACTATTGAATTTTGTATTCTATTATTTCCAATTCATTATCGATATTAAAATCATACTTTTGCATATTTCTTTTTAAGGATGTGAGCCGAACATTCTTCTACTTTACTTCATTCATAATGCATTCGTATTGTCATATAGTATTCTTAGTAACTCTATTCGTCTTAGTCAATCTTGTGTACGGAGCATCGATATCTATTCAAGTGAATAGTTCATCGTCCGAAAATAAGTGCTCAAAGATTCAGACGAATTGTGCACGGGATGGTCTGATAATTCCTCTTTGGCATCCTCAAGTTGGAATATCTACTGGTGATCAAGTCTCTCGTGCTATTATATATCTGCTCGCACTTATTTATTTATTTATTGGCGTAGCTATTATATCAGATCGTTTCATGGCATCCATTGAAGTTATAACATCGCAGAAACGTGAAATTCGAAAGAAGAATCCCGATGGAACAGTGTCCGTAACAACAGTATCTATTTGGAACGAAACAGTATCAAATCTAACGTTAATGGCCTTGGGTTCATCGGCGCCAGAAATCCTTCTCTCCATTATTGAAGTCGTTGGTAGAAACTTTCAAAGTGGAGATCTCGGTCCCGGTACGATTGTTGGATCAGCAGCATTCAACTTATTTGTTATTATTGCTATATGTATTGTCTGTATACCTACCGGTGAAGTTCGTCGTATACGTCATCAACGCGTCTTCTTCGTCACGACTGCTTGGTCAATCTTTGCCTATATATGGTTATGGGCAATTGTCGCAAAGATTTCCCCAGGTCACATCGAAGTGTGGGAAGGCACACTGACATTCTTATTTTTTCCATTGACTGTTTTCTCAGCGTACATCGTAGATACCAAAGTCGGTCAATTCATTCGCATACGTATTACATCACAAAAACAAGTTTCACAATTAGAGAATCACTCGGCAACACCGTTACCTCTTACCTTAGATGCTTCACCTAATATGGATGATAATGAACAAAGGACGATGATTGACAATGGAATCAAATTATCGGCGCCTGCAATTTTCAACGATGTTCATGGTAGAAAATCATCTTCAACGCAAAAGTCTATCTCAGGTGGAGTATTCGATCAATTAGGTAGTACGACGACTGGCATTGATGACAATGCTATTGCTGATCATATTGAAGCACAGCGAAGACAAGAATTCATTGATATTTGGCGACAATTACGTAAACAGTATCCCAATCATGATATGCATACATTGAATGATATGGCTGCTCTTGAAATGATGAATCGTGTACCGAAATCTCGAGGTAACTGTCTTATTTCTTACGAAAAACAAACTCTCGTTCTCCTTCGTTTTCAGCATACTATCGTATACAAGCCACTAAGCGTTTAGGTGGCGGTGGTGGAAATTTGAAAAAGAAATTCTTAGAAAAACTAAATGAACCAGATGAGTTAGCCCCTACTGAGAAAGAACAATTGATACACGATCCGACGTCACATATCAGTAAAATACGATTCGAACCCAATCACTACACAGTGTTAGAAAATGCGGGCTATGTGACATTATACGTTCTACGTAGTGATGGAAATTTACGAAATACAGTCTATGTTGACTACTCAACAGAAGATGGAACAGCAACGCACGGAGCAGATTATGAACCTGCGGAAGGAACTATCATCTTTTATCCTCTAGAGACACATAAAGAAATTCAAATCAGAATTATTGACGATGACATCTTTGAAGAAGGTCAGTAGATCACATCAATCTAGTTTCTCTTTGTAACCAGATCTTCTCTCCTTTAGATGAGCATTTCTCTGTTAAACTGAGTAATCTGAGAATCAAAGACAATCAAGGTCGTTTAACTCCTGGTTCATTCGATAAAAGTGTTCAATTAGTCGAACCATCGTCAGCAGTGGTGATGATCATCGACGACGATCATGCTGGCATGTTTGTTTTCGAAGAAGATGAAAAAACTGTAATTGAATCTGATCGTCAAGTTGAAATCAAAGTCCTGCGGACATCTGGCGCCCGTGGTCGTGTCCGTATACCATTCAAAACTGAAGATGAAACAGCTGTCCATGAACGAGACTATATTGCCAATGCTGGTGAAGTGATATTCGAAAATAATGAAAATGAGTATGTATAAATAGATTGCTTTGAAGAGATGTGCAGTTGGTAATCCGATTTGCATGTCTGGTAAATATTATGTCAATAAAATCGGTGTTCCGCGAACGGCAATCAGCTAATTGCCTGATCGCCAGAGGACAAATCGAGTTTTGCTTTTCTTTTGAGTTTTTGCTCGTTAAGAAAATAAGCGTTTTTTGCCCTCCCCCCGGCCTCTCTCTCTCCCCCTCTTTCTCTTCATCGGTAAAAGATAAATGTATAAACATCCTTTTCTGCGTTGTTCTTTAGAAAAACAATAACAATTGAAATTATCGATCGTGATCAATATCAACGTAATGAAACATTTCTTATTTGGCTAGAAGAACCAATATTGATTACAGACCAATCAGAAAATGCGAAATCAGGCATGTGATTATTGTTTCGAATTCGACTTCGTAGACATCTTTCGATTTTTCATTTCGAATAGAAATGTCCGAAGAAGAGCGATTGATTGCTGAGTTAGGCAAACCAAAATTGGGTGATAAACATACTATACGTGTCCGTATCCGCGAAAGCAAAGAATTCAAAGTAGAAAAACGACGAGTTCGATTGCATTCGATTCTATTTCTTTTCTATTTTGCAAGAATGCTGTTGATAAAGCGTTATATAAAGCGAATACGGCTATTGTGGTTGGAACATCGAGTTGGATCGAGCAATTCAAACAAGCGTTCAATCCTAAAGGTATTGTCGAACCAAAGAGACAAGCAAATGAATGTAATGAATTCGATTTGTTCTAGAAGACGATGATGACGACGATGATGAGGACACCGGCAATTCGAAAAGTGATAAAGAAGAGCCTCCAACGTGCAAAGATTATATAATACATTTCATAACCTTTTTCTGGAAGTTTTTATTCGCTTTTGTTCCGCCAACTAGTGAGTAAACTCGGTTTTCTTTCTTCGAAAACACAGGGAAGAATAACAAATGAGAAATTCTTTTGGTAAATAGGTATTGCCGGTGGTTGGGTTTGTTTTTGTGTATCAATTTTGATTATCGGAGGGTTAACTGCTATTATTGGTGATTTAGCCGCACATGTAAAAAATTATAATTATTCTTTTTGTTATTATTCTCCTTCGACCTAACTTGTTATTGTTCTTTCTAGTTTGGATGTACGGTTGGACTGACAGATACAATGACAGCTATTGCTTTTGTTGCATTAGGAACATCGTTACCAGGTAAGAATTAGGAAAAAAGAATCGACTATGGAAAGGATTGAATTCAATTCTTTATTAGATACGTTTGCATCAAAAGTCGCTGCTGAACATGATAAATATGCTGATAGTTCGGTAGGAAATGTCAATGGTTCGAATGCGGTCAATGTTTTCTTGGGTATTGGTTTACCATGGGCTATGTCAGCATGGTATCATTATTTTAAACAGACGAGATTCGAAGTGAAAGAGGGCTCATTAGCATTCAGTGTGACTTTGTTTTGTTCGTTTGCGGTCATTGCTGTCATTATTCTAATGCTAAGACGTTTGAAAGTTTTCGGCGGTGGGGAATTAGGCGGCCCATTGAAATTTCGACTTATTTCTAGTTCTTTATTCATATTACTCTGGATTGTTTATCTGGTATTGAGTGGCCTTGAAAACTATTGTCATATTAATGTTTAAAAACATTCATGTCTTTCCGTCGAATGCACGCAAGTGTATGTGGGTGTTTTTCTTCGTCTTCTTTTTTCATATGTCGGTATATAATTTATTTTTCTCTCTCGCTTTCTCTTTTTGTTTATTGTCTTATTTTTACACATAAAATAATGAGAATAATAGAACAGAACGGTGCAAATTAGGTAAACGATTTTTATGAAACTTCTAATGGTTCAGAGTCAGCAGCCATCCCGGCTACTGATACTATAATGGATGGTTTTCGTTTTGGAGATGAAGTATCGACGATCTCGGATTCTTCTTCGCTTAACCGTCGAGTGGTTTTGCTGAGAGTATCGTCAGATACGTAGCGAACAGGTTTTTCCGGTTTCTGACATTTCCGATATATAAATCGACCGAGGAGAATCAGATAAAACGGTTGAGCTGATAGATAAGCAACGACAAGAGGAATAACAGACGCTTGGGTGTTTTCTGGTGCTGGAAATGAATAGAGTAAAACCATGAATGCAATGCCAACATTTTGAATACCTCACGATATGAAAAAGAAAGAATAGAAGATAAAAACGTGGAGTTTTCGGTAGTTTACCTGTTTCAATTCCAACTGTCTTTATTCGTGACCAGTCCTGTCGAAAAATCCAAGCGAATAGACCACCAAATATAAAACCTAACCAGGGTAAAAGAGGTGCTGACAGTGCTATCCGTAAACTGATGTATCGAAAAAGATAAAAGTTAACAAAAGCACCGAAAACAAAGAAATAAAGGATTAAGATCAACAACATCGGTTTGACAATACGTGTAACGATTGGCTTGATTTTCGGACAACAGTAAACTGCAAGCATTCCTATTCCAAGAGGACCAATAATTGTCAATAGCGATTGCGTTAGGTTTACAAATGGAATGCGAATTTTCAAATCACGCAGATAGACACGCTCACCAAGTGTATACAGCCAGAAAGGCATCATAAAAAATGAAGCCACCGTCGATGAAAAGGACATAAACACAGACAAATTCAAATCTCCATCAAATAGTACTGTCCATTGATTCGACGCCCAGCCACCTGGACAACATCCAACAACAAATAGGCCTAAACCATAGAGAGATTCGTAACGAAAGAGTTTAGTTATACTATAAGCTATCAATGGCATGAGACCGTATTGGCAACAAAAACCTATCAGAATTTGTATCGGTCGACGAATCAACTCTTTCAAGACTTCAAGATCTAATAAAATTCCCATTTGAATTGATATAAACATAATAACGAATGGAATAATTCCTTTGAATACCTTGTCAATTACACGACTGGGTCCAATAATCAATATTACATCGGAACAGTTAATACGGAAAATATGGTTTTCACCATCGATCATTCGTATAGAATAATGAATCAAAGTTCGGTTGATATAGTTCGCATGCACTTTCAAAGTATAAACTATGGTTGAGTCGTTCTTCGATGCTATCGATAGAATGTACATGTAAAAAAACGGAAGACAAATCAAATGTTAATGTTTATTTACTTTGTGTGTTATCTAATATATGAATTATGTTATCAATGTAATGACGATCTTTGTCAAATGTTGCTACTTTTCGATCATTGATCAATGTTGAGATATGAATGACACGGATGTTCAGTGCTCGTAAATGAGCTCGATCGAATGTTTTGTGTATGTCTTGTGTTGCAAACAATGGAATCTTCCGGGTATCATTGGTACACAGAGTTGATTTGAAGGAAGCAATCGATTCATGTTGACATTGTGATAGAAAAATAGAAGTAAGAAAAATGACGAGAACGATGGACCGAACCATTGTCACTATCCTTTCGTGTACGTTGTGTTCGAATAATCAATCTGATTGACTATATATATATATGTGTAAATTTCAGTGCGTTCTCCATGAATGCTCTCGATTTATTGATGGTTCTTACCGCTATTTATTTGATGTAATACATCAAATGCTCACCTTGATTCAAACGACGTATCACGATGAAGCCGTCGTATCGAATGTTGACAGTATAAACAAAAGACTATATAAATCAAATCAGGTGGCTTCTATTATTGCTTATGTTTTAGAAAATACTTATAAAACATTCGAGAGTTTTTTTTTTATAAAGAAAATTGTGGTGATTAATCAATTTTTCAATTTTGCAGTAATTCTGACAGGTCAAATAGGTACGATTAGTGATTAAACAGTAGTACTTTATCGACAAAGCCGGTGCATTTCTCTGATAAATCTTCAAAGAAAATTCGCTACTATACTCTTGTATTATCAGTATATTGTGAATGATCATGAATCACGCGATGATACGCTCTCATTACGAATGACTAATTGTGAAGGTAGTACTGCGACATTGCTTTGACTTAAGCCGGAATTCATAAAAATGATGAACTAAATAGCTAATCAAAAGGCTATTGTATATCAACGTCAGATCTTATTATATATCAATTGAATATGATGAAAAAAAAGCAAGATGAAACAATCTTTCCACAGTTGACACGAACAAAGAAAAATGCTCAAGTTCCCTACTTCGACCATTCAACAATCACATTCGATACGCTCAAATCAATATTCAAAATAACTCTATTGATTTGACAAATTCAAAGCTACAACTTTTATTTAAGAAATTCAACTAAACAATACAGAAATGAAAAATTCAAAACGAAAATTCAGACAAATTGACACAGTGGACTATTTTGTAGTCGATGGATATTGCATTAATATTTGACAATGATCATATTCTCGTCTTGTGCAGAGATCTTTACATTCCAAAACGATTGTTCTGGCTTTTCCAACACGTTTTCGTAGATTTTCCATACTTGTCCGACTTCCAGCATACGAACGACGAATATCATAACGCATGTCTCGAATGATTTGTAGCAAATAGAGATATTTCTCTGCAAGAATAGTCGATTGTGGCCTGACAAGAAAAGAAGTTTGAGGAGAAGAAGAAGAAGAAGAAGAGTTTGAATGAGTTTTGGATACTAAAGAGTAATGTAATCGTTTTATTGCTGGTATTGTCATGCTCATTGTTTGTGAATGATAGTGAAATCGCGCGCATTCAAAGTAATGAACACTGCTGTTTATCACGAAATGGATTGTCTTTCGGCGATTGAAAACCGACAACAAGAACATCATTCGATTGATGATCGGTTACATACCGAACGAGATCTTTGCAAACAACAGATACTTTCGTACGTTCACGTCTTGCCTCTTCACGTAAATGTTCGCACAAACGACGTTGAGTTGTGTAAACAGTTTGTACTTGATCTAAATGAAATCGAATGTCGATCTTCTCACCAGATCATATTCTTTCATTGACTTACATTCAGGCGCATAGGATCGAGATGAAGAAAACGTGTCCGTAACACGATGTGATGCTGCAACTTGGTTATTACCAGTAATGTTTGCTTGTTGAGCCGACATTGAAAATGATTTTTGTATGTGGTCAACGGATATTCACTTAGAAATCTAGCATGATGTTGTATCAGTAATACAATTTGATTCTCAATCTCAGTTAATCTGAATGAACATAATCAAATCGAGAAGAATGATGTGAAAGAATGACGAACTTTCTGGGAGTAGAAGTGTTTCTTAGTTAGATAAACTAAACAAGCCTTTGCACAAATATTAACTGAAAAGGAATCGCCAAAGAAAAGATGTCGAGAATTCTCCTCTTTTTTTATCTTAATCAAACTAGCTCCTTTGATGAGGCTTTAAGGGAAAGTTTCTGCTCCTATTATATCTTTTCTTTCATTCTTCTCTCCCTCTCTCCCTCTGTCTTTCTCCTTTTTTAGTCACTAACAAGAAAATGATGTTTCTTTTCAAGAAAATAAGTGCAAAGAACATCACAGTTTCTTGTTTTTTCTTCTCTGTGCTTCAACATAATTGTGTGTATTAGACAGACATCAGCGTGGCAAAGCTAGAATGAGAGAGAGAGAGAGAGAGAAAAAAAGAAAAATGAGAGAGATAGCACGCAAGAGAACCACTCGAAACTATTTACTTAGATGAAATATGAATAGAAAACTAATTATTCGACAAAGAATCTGATCTTGCCTGACGTGATATGCCCTCTTTAATTTTTAATTTAATTCCAAAAAAAGAAAGGATTTATATTTGATATTCACAACACATAAGAAATTGTATTTAATTTTGTGAAAGAAAATTCATTGATAAATGTTCTATATCTTCTTTTAATAAGATATTCATGCCCATGTAGAAATGTGAACCTATGTGGCAGTGTAATAACCATAAACCAGGGTTATCTGCGATAAAACGTAGTTTGATCCAACCACATGCTTTTAAATAATTCAATGCCGATCGATTCGGTGTCAAATAATCATACGACGATGCATAGAGTGTTAGCGAATCACGCAAGATTGGATTGGCACTATCTGGAGTTTGTTTGATCGATGAATTATACATTCCTCTACCTTGGGAATGTATCCAGAATTTGTGACCATGCAAATGAAATGGATGTGTTTCGCAAACACCGTTAGTAGCGACAGTATTTTGAAGAACAATGTCAACTAGTTGATTTTGTTTGATCGAATATGTGGCATCGTGTGGAAAATTGTCTTCAATGCCATTATAAGCATCATAAATCAATGGTTGTGTTAGATTTATTAAACGTAATTTATCTAATGTTGCATTATTGGTGAACCATCGCATGCCCAAGCCATTTTTAGTACGAGATTGATAGTTATACAGGAAAATTTCTTTATCAGCCGTTCGTTTTGGCATACGATCATTAATTAATAATGTTTTAAAAGGACTTTGAAAGGAAAATGAACGCAATTCTTCTTCATTAGCTAAGATTGGTAGTGGAAGAGTAGATGGGTTGCTTTTATCATTGATATGCGTGCTGTAACGCAGAATAGCGGAACAACTGAAAGTAGAAAGGTATGTCAATCCAAAAATTTTATGCATCGCTTGATTAACTGATGATTTACCTCGAGCCAGTTAGAAGTGTTCTCCATCGTATTGCTAATCGCATGGCAAAAACTCCTCTTGATCGATGATTTGTTTCGATAATCACTGCATACCTTTGTCCAGATGAAAGTTCAATCGATTTCACATTTTTTTTCGGTTCAATCAGCGTTCCGTCGACTTCAACAACTGTCATTGGATGTTCATCGATACCGAAGACAACTGTCGACAATGTAGTTGAACCAATTAATCGTAGAAGGTACTTTCTATTCGGATCCAACGTTAACGTAAGATCAGTTTTGCCATTGATTAACAAATACGTTGGTTCACCTTGCCAAATGAATGGTGATGCGAGAAGATTATGTTCTTGTGTTAACCGATCAGGTTTTTCCCAACAATCCGAGAAGAGTAACGGACCTAACGGAATTTCCGAAGCATTCCAAGGTCTTTGTCTATCATGTATAATTAGAGCACCGAATGCAGTAATCGATTGTAGACCAGCGTGCGAATGATAAAAATACGTACCAGCTGGATAAGCACGAAGAACATAAGTGAATGAGGATTGACTTTCGATCGGCATTTGAGTTATATAAGCGACTCCATCCATTTGTGGAGTTTGTCGAACAAACATACCATGAAAATGCATGGCCAGTCGTTCATGTACTGGTAAGTAATTGGTTACATGAACAATGATAATATCATTGAGTTCAGCTTGAATTAATGGACCAGGAATTTGATTGTTGATATAAACAACAGAAGAAGAATTTTGTGCATAAGAAACATTTAAATAATATTCAACTCGACGATCAGCAGCAGCAAATGAACTTGTTAAAGATAATAGGAATAAAGAAACATACATCAAAAACATTTTTGGATTTATACAAATTATAAAGATGATGGTTTAATGGTTCACGGCTATCACCAAGCTATAAATCAAGTATTGTCTCTTTTAAAGAGAAGATTATATCTAAAGATGAAATAAATCCTGGACAAAATCTATTTTTAAATGACTGATATTTGAAAATTAAGATTTGCATGTAGAATTTGCTCTCAATGAATACACAACTGAAAGAAAAGGCTTCAGCACAAGTTATTCACTTATAACAAACGACATTTTATCAGACAAGAGTCATCATGATTGGAAAGCTAGTCCAAATCTTAATGTTCAAATTCACGGCAAGATATGTTTCTATTCATTGTTCTATGTCGTCCGACATTATGTGAATCGAACAGATCGATTTCATTCATTTGTTCTACTAGACATGAATGATTCGTCAGTTTTGTGTTATGATTAAGTTGGACAAATCGACAAAATAGTCATATATTTGTTCTATAGATGTCTGTTGTTTATTCGTTTTCTTCAAACAGAAAATGTAAATTGTTGTAGTCATACACCTAAGTTCGAGAAAAATGAATTTTTTCTAAAGCACATCGGAGGATCTGAGTGCGATATCCCACGCAGTTGATGACGTTTTTCTTCATCCGTCAATCTATATGTGACAGAAAGAATAACAACGAGAAAAAAAAGAGAAAGACCTTCTCAGTCTGACTCGGTATGAGTGAAACACCGGTACGACATGAAGAAAAGACTTTCTTTTTTTTTTTATTCTCGTTTTCAACGTTAATTTTTCTTTTTCTGTCAACAAGTTATTTATTTGCGATTTTTTCTCTTTCCTCTATAAATACAGCCGACTGTGATTGATTCGAAAGTAAAAATTTTTCTGTTGAATATAAGCAACTATGACAACTCCTGGCGTAACGACAATTGAGCAATTGAGTATTCATAATCCATCGTACGTAGCGGATCCGAATGATCCCAGTGAACATATTATTGATGATGACATCCTTCCTCCGATGCAATTCGATCGGAAAGCAAGACCTCAATCAGCTCGAACAACTCGATCCACAACTAGTCGATCTTCAGTTAACAACCTCGATGGACGCATTTCATGTTTTGATTATCATGCATCAAGATTCTTCTCCTATCGAGTGAGTTTAATTACTTTAAAGATCATCTCAAGTTTCACTATACTTTTGTCGCGTTTAGGATCACGGATTTGAAAAAGCACTGATGAATATTCATCGGGGATTCTTTCCTCAAACGGATTTTACACCTGAGTATCGAGATGATTTGGTGAAAAGATCATGGTTATTAATTGAGTAAGTCATTTCCAATAAATCATCCGAGTCAATTCGATTGATTTTAGTATTGATCATTGGGATTTGCATCGCGAAGTGATTGTCATTCTCAACGACAATCATATTCTTATTGTTCGATACAATTTCATCAAAGAATTTATCATTTATAGTCAAACAATCCGTTTTGATGATATTCGTGCCGTTTCATACGGTCAATGTACTCATCCGGATAACTCTATGATGAGGTAAGCGAAATCCTTACTGTCGCTGCTTGGCCTAGCGAGATATGCTCTTCTTGTTATTATTTATTAGTGAATATGCGTACGGTGGAGTGAAAATTATTCATGGAGATGAGCCATCATTTTTTACACGATGGAATCCAGCTGCTCAAACGAATATGCATATCTTTGTATCTCATCATTTAGCTTACAATGACAATGAACGTGAAACAACGTATTACAATTGTGATGAATTTATTCAATCGTTTGATATGGGTAAGAAAAGAAGGAATTTATGGATTGAATAGGTATGGTTTTGTTTGGGTTTAGCTTTAACTGCTTATCGTCGAGCAAAGAACGAACCAAAAGTCGAATTTGTCGAGGAGAAACTCGTTATTTCAAGTTATGCAAGTCTTTGGTCCATCTTATACAATCAAAACTTTGTAGGCTTCAATCGTGATCGAAATGGAGCTAACTGGTAAAGATTTTCTCAATGAAACGAAGATGTTTTCTGATCAATGAAATAAACATGAGTTTTATGGAATTCTCGTTTCAGAGATTAGAAATGATGACTTCATTTTTCAATAAAATCTCACAGTAAATCTAAGCATCAACGTTCTACATGCTTTTATTGATGTTGAAAATAGAAATATGTACATTTATGTGAAATAGAAAACAACAATAGACCTGTATTACTGAGTAGTTCTTGTTGATGATTCATCCGTTGTTGAACTAAGCCAGACAATGTTTCGATGTAATCGTTTCATATAATCAAACAGATGGTCGTCATTACCATCATTCTGTAATTCTTTGATTGTTCGAATCAATGCTGCATTTTCTCGAAGTAACTAAAACAAAAAAAATGAAGCATTTCTCTCTCCAAATAATTATATACAACACTTTCAAGTACATGACTAATCAGATGGAAAGTAAAGTCTGCAAAAAACATCTCTCATCCAACAGGAAGTTTCTCTTACATTAGTTACAGTCTGTTCATCACCCGGATAAGTCTTGCCTGTTTGTGGATCAGTGAGAAAGATTTTCGACATTTTGGACAATCTAAAACCAGAGCCATATCAATTTCAATCATACTGATCACAACATTAATCGAAGCATTGTTATATCTGTAAGTGATACATGTATACAAAAAAGAACACCTCATGATCAATGATTTTTAAAAACAAAGGAGAACTATATTGAGAAAATGAAAAGAATGATGTTTATAAATTGGGATGTTCATTGGTGATAGTTGGATGTCTGCTGTTGGATAGGCATATGTGAAGTACTTTGCCATTGCTGTTGCATAAGATAATTCTGTTGTGGATGATAGCCTTGTTGGCGTTCATTGTAAGTACTGTATAAACCTTGCTGAGCATTTACCGACGGTTTTGATGACGATATAATGTCTAAAAGTCGATAATTCGTCATACGTATGAAAGAAAAAGCAGGAAAATGTTAGTCTACTTTGTTGTTGATACACTGGATACTGCCCATAATTGTGTTGCTGAGATATTGTCGGTTTGGTAGATAAGTGTGATGAGCTGTAAGCATTCACGTTTTCATTGGAAGACGAGGAAATGGTAGTTTGCGGTCGATAACCTAAAATTAAATTCCTCTCAGTTGCTATAAATGCTCGTTTTGAAGATGAACTATATGTTTATAGAGTAACAGTATCTTACTCTGTTCAGATGAGCTCTGTTGCATCGAACTTCCATTCTATAAAATAAATTTAAATGAAACTTTTTTATCTTGGAAGATTTCTACCATTATTGATGATTGCGTTTGACTGTACATATCTGGTGACTGAATGGAAAACGATCTCTAATGATGATTTGATACGAAAATAACGATACCAACCGGCAGATTATTGTGATAGTGAGATGTAGTTGGATCGAATTGGATCAAATAATTCAGATTCTGATAAAGTGTTCGTTGATATCTAAGATAAATAATGCAGATATATTTGTGCAATCATCAAAACATACTCCAAAGATTCCGTTTGTTTTCCTTTCGCTTGTAAATCAAGAATTCGAATAATCAATTGTGAATTATCATCTAATAACTATGAACAAGTATGTTATTTACATACTGGCTCAAGATCAATTTACTTTTTGTATTGCCGGTTTCGTTTGTACTACAGTCGGTGACGAATACTGTTGCTGAGAATACATGTTTAGCATTGATTTTCTGTGAAAATGTAACTCAACACACAAGAGTCGTCACAGCGCAGGCTAACTCAAAAAAAAAACGATGCACCAATCAAGAAAAATATAGATGACGCCTTGTCTACCGAGGTTATGTCATTGCCATTTGTAAAGTGTAAAAGAAAAAGTTATTATTTTGACCATGATGAGAAATTTCCTTCAACGAACGTCGCTCAATCTCCACTTAAATCGTTATACGCATAGCAAATCTCGTTTTGAAAACGGTCCCGATTTGAACCATTTTCTTCAAGAGAAAAAATCGGATAATTATCAAGGAAATTTAGTGTTACGTAAAGGTGAACAACGTTTGCGAATACCACCATGGTTGAAAACAGAGATCCCAATGGGTGAAAATTATAGCAAATTGAAGAAAAGCTTATCAAAATTAAATTTGAATACGGTTTGCGTCGAAGCCAAGTGCCCAAATATAGGTTAGTAATGTGCTTTGATTGAAGATTACATAATATTCTCAATCGATGCTAGGTGAGTGCTGGAATGGCGGCGAAGATCGTATAGCAACAGCTACAATCATGCTCTTAGGCGACGAATGCACTCGTGGTTGTCGGTTTTGCTCGGTGAAAACATCACGTAAGCCTGCAGCACCTGATCCGAATGAACCAGAAAATACAGCAAGTGAAATCTGTTCGTGGGATATTGATTATATTGTATTAACCTCTGTTGATCGAGATGATTTACCAGATCAAGGTTCATCTCACATAGCAGAAACAATTCGTTCTATAAAACACAAGAAGCCGAATTTATTGGTCGAATGTTTAACACCCGATTTCCGTGGTGATAAAAAATGCATCGAAACTATAGTCAAATCAAATTTAGATGTCTACGCTCATAATGTTGAAACTGTTCGAGAATTACAGTCGCATGTACGCGACTATCGAGCGAATTTTGAACAATCATTGAATGTTCTTATACATGCAAAAGAAGTCAATCCAAATCTTATTACCAAAACATCGATTATGCTGGGTTTAGGTGAAACTAATGAACAGATACGCGAAACAATGTTACAGATACGCACACGAGCGAACGTCGATTGCTTAACACTAGGACAGTACATGCAACCAACGCGACGACATTTGAAAGTCAAAGAATATATTCGACCGGAAGTATTTCAAGAACTGAAAGAGTATGGAGAATCAATTGGATTTCTGTATGTTGCAAGTGGACCACTTGTTCGTTCGTCGTACCGTGCTGGTGAATATTTCATTAAAAATATTCTCAAAGATAAGCACCAAAAGAAACAAGCAGCAGCTGTCGGCATTTCGGTGTAACTCAAATTTGATTTTCTAATCACGCTTTTGATTATGTAAATGTTCTACTCAGGCAATGTTCTATATCTATTGTTCTCAAATTGACTGTTGATCGAAGCAAAAAAAGCGAAATATCTTTTTTCTCTTTTTTTCAGATATATTGCACGAATGATGATTCGTTCTTTTTTTGTTAAAGATGATAACTGATACATTTGAATTATATACGTATGTCATACCCTTTCTCCGAATTATTCTGATTCACATAGTCATTCATTACTGCGATCGATTTTTTATGTTGCCATGGTGACACTCGGTAGAACATATGTTAAGTTCGTAGTCTAAAAGCATTCCGAGAACTTAGTTTTCATCATTAAAAATCGATTGTAAGGGAAAGCAATTGCTCAATGCTATTTTCTTCTCTAGACATTAATAACAAGTTATTTTATTGATCACGTATGAGTGCACATATCTGTTTTTCTTTTACTTTCCTTCAACGTATGATTCGTTAGAATATTATTTGTCATGAGTAGTGGTGACATGGACAAGGATTGAAAAATAACTAGAAATTTTCCTTTTTTTAAATTATTTTTAGATGCCGTCAGGTTCTCGATACTTCTATTGGTTTCTGTATCGTCGTCGAAATAGATTTACGACAATCCTCATCGTTGTTTTTCTTCTCTTATGTTTCATTTATCTAAATCCGAATTCGAAACCGTCTGATCAAGATAAACAAAATCAGAGACCGAGAAGAAATTTGAATGAAAGGAAAATACGAATTAATCGAGAAACTTATACAACACCTGAACCTTGCCATGGTTGTCCTGGTGAGAATGGTGCCGGCGTCTCTTTAACAGTAACTGGATACAAAACAATTCTTTCCGTGTTGAGTTTGGTTTCCTTTAGGCCAATGAATCCAAAGATTTACAACAAGTTTTAGCGAAAGAATTTTTTAATTTACGAGCAAGTGACAAAATTTCTTTGTGGAGATCGATACCAGATAGTCGGGATAGTGAATGCCGATCAGTTCAGTATCCAAAAGATCTGCCAAGTGCGTCCGTGGTAATTGTTTTCAAGAATGAACGTTGGTCCCCGGTACTTCGTACAGTCTACTCAGTTCTGAATCGTTCACCTAAAGAATTACTGAAAGAGGTCATCCTAGTTGATGATCAATCGGACATCGGTACGTAAAAATCGATTTCTTAAAGGAAAAGGTGATCGAAATATGTTTGCTTAGAGGAAATGGGTGCACCTCTGGATGAGTATTGTGAAGAACATTTTGGAGATCTGGTTCGAATTCTACGCGCACCAACTCGACTTGGTTTGATCAAAGCCAAAAATTATGGAGCAAAAAATGGTAAGTGTCTTTTTTTGCTTGAAAAGGTACTTTATTGACTTTCGATAGCTACGGGTGATGTGGTTGTTTTTCTTGATGCACATTGTGAAGCCAATACTGGATGGTAAATATTTACAAATGAACGACGAAACAATGGCAAGATGATTTTCGTTTTTCATGTAGGTTAGAGCCTCTTCTTGCTCGAATCAAAGAAAAACGTTCAGCGATTTTGTGTCCAAGCATTGATATGATCGGTGAACGTAATATGCAATACAGTGTATGTGATTGAGATAATTGAAATGTCATTTGTTTGTCTGAATTGATTGCTTTTATTTTAGGGCACAGGCTTTGGAAGTATTGGCGGCTTTTGGTGGTCATTGCATTTTAATTGGAAACCAATACCAAAAAGAACACTCGAAGCTCAAAAATCAAGAATTGATCCTTATCCGTAGGTGTTTTAGATATATTTTTGACCTGAGAAAAGAAAATGAATGAATTACCGCCTAGTTAGCTGAAAGAACAAACAAAAGTTGTGATAGAATTCTAATTTTCTGTTGCTTATTGATTAGATCGCCAACAATGGCCGGTGGCCTTTTAGCCTCACATAGAGAATATTTCTTTGAAATTGGTGGTTATGGTAAGATTTTTATATGCCATTTATAACCTTGTCTTAATCATTTACGGATTTCTTTAGATGAAGAAATGGAAGTAAGATCACAAACTGCTGATTTGTTTCTCTGACTGTATTCACGTAGGTTTGGGGAGGTGAAAATTTAGAATTATCATTCCGTGTTTGGATGTGTGGTGGTAGTCTCGAATTTGTACCGTGCTCTCGTGTTGGTCATATATTTCGTCCAGGACACCCATATAACATGACCGGTGTGAAAGGTAAATCTTTTCCGATGACTTTACCAAAGAAGATTTTCTCAAACTGTTCGTATAGGTAAAGGTGATGTTCATGGTCGAAACTCAATGCGTTTAGCAGAAGTATGGATGGATGATTATAAACGACTGTACTATATGCATCGACGAGAACTAATAGTAGACAATTTCTGATTAATGTTTTCGCAAAAGGAGATTATCATTTTGTTCTAGGGTAAAGATTTCGGTGATGTTGAAGATCGTCGAGCAATTCGTAAGCGTTTGAAGTGTCATTCGTTCAAATGGTATCTTGACAATGTCTTTCCGGAAAAATTTATTCTTGATGAGAATGTTCTCGCTTATGGAGAAGTAAGCGAACAATAAGAAATATATTCAACGGTTCACTGTTATTTTTAGGTGAGAAATCCGTACACTAGTTTGTGTTTAGACACTTTGGGTAAAGATGAAAAGGGAAGCATTCCATTAGCTGTTTATTCTTGTCAGAATGGTGCATCAGCTAATCAATATCTTTCTCTAACAAAAAATCATCAACTACGTCGAGAAGATGCATGTTCAGTTACATTAGATTCGTCATCGATTGTTCTATCGGGTTGCGATTTTGGCAATCAACAACAAACATGGACACACGAGAAAGTAATGAAAGACTATGGAATTGAACTCGAACGATTTCCTTTGCTTCTGATTTTTAGAATGGAACACTCGTTCATCATCCTAGTAAACTTTGTCTCGATGTGGAAGGTCTTTCGAATAATGATCAAGTTAAGCTGAAACCATGTGAAGCTGATAAGCAATCTCAAAAATGGCTATTTGAACACTATGCTGCCTAAATCTCTCTTAAGCATTCCTCTTCATTTCCTTCTCAAGAACGATTCTTCTAATCGATTGTGAAAAACCATACATTTGTTATCATTGTTTTCTTCGTATATTTCTGTGATATTGAATAGAATATTTCAAATAATAGAAATACATTGCACTTGTTTATTTCTACGTGATATTGAAAGGAAAATCATTGCAGATGTAATGTCACAATCATGCGTAGCTGTTGTGACATGACACATTACATATAAACCTCGAAGAAAAAAGTTGATTTTCGACAAAACTTTCAGAAATTATACGCAAAACACATTCTAGACAAATGGTAGGCACACGAAAACGAAAACTTCCGTCTAAGGAACCTGATGTCCAACAAAGTCCAAAGAAAACACGAACGACAAAAAAAACAGAAACAAATATTCAACAATCAAATCAACTTTCGACTGAAATTGCACCAACAACGAGTAATACTGACACACAACAATCATTGAGTACTTTAATTCACGAACCATCATGGTCTGAACATCTTCAAGACCTGTTTAACGACGACAATTTCAAGAATATTGAAAAATTTCTAAACGGTCAATGGTCAGCTGGTAAAGTCACATACCCACCAAAGCATTTGATTTTTGAAGCGTTCAATAAAACACCATTTGATCAAGTTAAAGTAGTTCTTCTCGGTCAAGATCCATATCATGACGATGGACAAGTGAGGAATGCTTTGAAGTAGGTCATCTCACAAACATATTCTCGTTTTTCGTCTATTAGGCGCACGGTTTAGCCTTTTCTGTACCTAAAACAATTACAATATTACCACCGTCCTTGAAAAACATTTATAAAGAATTAGCAAGTGACATTTCATCGTTCAAAACTCCCAACCATGGTTGTCTAGGTAAATTACTTAACACAATTACTTAAGCTACTCGTTTTTTTTTCAAATAGAAAAGTGGGCAAATTCGGGTGTTCTTCTGCTCAATGCTTCGTTAACTGTAGAGTAAGATTCATGTTATGTTTTTTATATTCAAGTTCGCAAAATAATATCTCTTTTCAGACCGCATCTGCCCAATTCTCATTCTCGAATCGGCTGGATTAAGTTTACTGACAGTGTTATCAAGCTTCTATCCGATCAGCGTCAAGGTGAAATCAACAGGCCTATTTATTTTCAATAATATTTTTCGTTTCTGTAGGGCTTGTTTTTCTTCTTTGGGGCGGTTTTGCTCATGCAAAAGAAAAACTCATTGATTCAAAGAAACACACAGTTATCAAAACTGCCCATCCATCTCCTCTATCGTTCAATAAATTTTCCAATTGTAAATGTTTTTCTCTCGTAAATTCAGCACTGCAAAAACACGGTCAGCAACCAATCGACTGGTCACTTTGAAAACCCATCGTCTTTTGTTTTGTCCAATATTATATATTTTATGTTTACAGCAGATAATAAAGAAAGGTCAAAGCGAAACAAATATGAACACGAAGATCGAATGATAAGACGGAAAAGCAAAAAACTTTCTGAGCAACATCACTGGCTGAGAGAAAAGAATAAATAATGTCACCGGATCGAGTTCGAAAAGAGAGAGAAAAAAAGCAGGTTTAATTGAGAAAATCAACACATATTCGTAATCGATGATGACGGCACTGAAGGATTCGATGAGTTGTCATCGTCGTTTGAATTGTTCTTAAACTCATCACCACCATCATCACCATCATCATCAGTTTCTTCATCGGTTATATTAGCTGATCGACTTTCTTCATCAATTGTTGACGCATGAGATGATTGCGATCTAAACATAGAAAAATATTCAAATGAAAATATCCGAATGAAGACGAAATTTGACAACAAAAAAAAAAGACACATGCAAGTAAGCAATTAACATCACACAAAACAATATTCAATACCATATCTCTCGTATTGATCGCATTATAGGAATATATGGTGACCTAGTTAGTAATGATGATGGTTATGTTAGGAAAAAGTTTTAAGTACAATGATGATTGAAACGTACTTGTTAGAAGGATTATGATGTTCTGGCGAAGAATTAGAACGACTACGGGATTCAATGGTTAGAGCAGCCGTATTCAAAAAATTGTTGCTTATTAGACTGCTAGACAGATTGTGAGTAGTGTTAATTGAAGTCATAATGGGAAGAAGAAATCGTATTTACTTGTCGGAAGGAAAAGGATTTGGTGGAATACCAGATGGAGTGGCTGGCTGCACAACGATACTTTGATATGTGAGAGAACTTGCTGGACGAGGAGGTGCAGTTGGAGCTTGATTGAGTTTCTAAGAATAAAAGAAAGAGTTTTATTACACAGATTAAGTGATAAGATGAGAATTGAATGAGTTTACCACGGAAGGTGCACGTTTAACAGGTTCTTTCGTACTGTGAGACATCATTCGACCTAATGCGGTTGAAGCATCGGATGTGGATGGTTGAGAATTAGCTGATGACGTATCGCTATTCGTATAATTCGAAGATGCTGATGTGACTGATCCAGATCGACCCGAAAACACGCCGAGTAGTTTCTTGGAAAAGCCTCTCTTCTTTGAAACGGGTGATGATCGACCAGATACTGTACTTGTGGTCTCATTTGTTCCAGTAGAAGAAGTACCAGCAAAGCTTTCACTGCGTGCATTAGGCCGTGCTTCGACCCAATGTTGATTATGATCGTATTCAGTGTGCATTTCTGGTATAGGACCGACACTGAACATCTGTGCTAGTTTTCTCAATTCTTCGCATTTTAGTCGTTGCCGTTGTTCGGATATTTGCCTTCGAAGACTAGGTGATTCGACAGCGACATTGATTGCATTGAGTAGTAACGTAAGGAAAAACGAGACAAATGACTGATCGAATTTATAAACTCCACCTGGTGGCCAGATTTGCGCTGTGATATCATTTCGGCGCCAGATGCAAATCTAAATCGAACTGACAGTGAAGGAGTGTCAAACGATTTTCGTTCTTACTTTATAGTAAAGTTGATTTTCGATAGTTATAGGTTGAACAGTGATATAAATCTGTGTCACTTTTCCTGATATACAGTCCGGCGAAAAGATCGCATCTGGTTCTTGGAAAACAATACAAACAAAAGCATTACCGATCAAGCCTTTTCTTTCGATATACTGTCCATTGGCTTTTGTACATGGGACAATCGGTGCGACATTAAACATGATTTCATGGTTTTCATGAACAGTGTAGTAAGAATATTCACCATGTAAGTCATCTTTGGTATCCAAATCACCACGATAGTTTGGAAATCCTTTCAAGGAAACTGGTTTGGAAATACTTTCGAGAAAAACGCGTAATTCATCGGTTAGTGAATCATTGCCAAGGATTTGTAGTTCATCAACTTGATCTGAGCTTTGATAAAGCACTCCAATCTTACAATTATATCTCTCATCATTGATTTTATCAAATGCGTAGACTTTTTCATTTGTCTGTTAAAAGAAAATTCAAAAACCAATGATGGATATTTCATTTCCCAATTCATCTCACCTACTCACTTTCGGATCACCAATAGCTCCATAAGTTCGAACAGATGAAAGGTTGATTTTATCAAATAACACTTGGAGAATGTGTTGTTCATTATTCTCATTCAGTGGTTCAGATATAACATAATTACGAACGGTCGTGCTAGAAAATATCACATTGCGATTATATTCTTTTCCACCTTTGAATGAATTCATACCGAACAATAGCTCGAGCTTCGGAGTTATCTGGTGCAGGTGCTTTCTGATGCATTACTCGAAGAGACGCTAGAAATGGTCCCTCGTGATCTAATTCACCACAATAATTAATATGAAACTAGGTAGATGAAATTACAAAGAAAACATTTTCTTTCTTCTTTTGACGTTTCATGCTACTTACATAGTCGTAAAAATGAGCACGATAGTTTTCCGCTACACAAGGTGAAGTATTCGAATCGTGTTTAAACAGTTCAGCTGTTCGTGGTTCAGATGTCCAGGCATCCATGGTGAACAATGATTGAGCCGGTACATCTTCTGGCTGGTTTGACAACAAACGATCATTACTTTGCGAGTTTGCTAATCGAAGCCCATTTGCAAGTGTCGGCGGCATTTTCTATATAAAACAAATATGTATACATGTGAAAAACTCATTCTACCTTTCGTCATTTGAACAAAGTACCTGTGATTCTTTGACATCGAGCCTATTTATCATAGTCAAACTTAATTCTGAATAAGAATATAAAATAACACAACAGACAGGTGTATATATGTATGTATATATATATATATGTAAATGATAAAAGACTAACTCTTAGTGTCTCTTTTTTTTTCTATTAAATCTGCCGGCCTTTTTTTTTATTAGCAATGTTCTTATATGGGATGAAGAACGACACTCGAAGAGTACAGAAAACGGAAAAAAATAAAATGGTAAAAGAGGCGTGCAAAAGAAAAAAAGAAGACGCATCACTAATAGCTTGTCGTTTCTATTCAAGCGGAACAAAAATAGATGAGGAGACGATTATTTCATTACTGTTAATGAATCATGTTTTGTTCAAATAACAAGGAAAAAGAGTTCCTCATTCGTCTTCTCGCCTCTCCTTCTATTTTTACACTCATTCGCGTTATCAAAATGAACGAAAAGCCAATTGATTCTTTCACTGAACTAATCTATCTAATCCTAATCTTGTTTAAATTAAAAATCATTGAAATAATTACTGATGATCTTCAGATAGGATGATATTAATGCCGTTAAGCTTAACAGCTAACGTTTCATTCCTAAGAGCGCTTAACATATCTTGTTTATATCCTTCAACTATGCCTCGTACTCTCGTTGGTGTCTAATCATCATCTCACACATTCCCGTTCGTTCGAATGTCATGTAGTAAACGATAGGTAAACTCTCTTTTAAACATGACAACATGCCTACATAAAGACATTTGACTCACCGATGTAGAGAATGCGTCTGTTTTAATTGTCGTCACATCGTTAACATACGTCGAAGGAGCAGTATTTGAAGCATTTACATTGTTGCTTGTCATTTGATTGTTATTTCCTTCTTCTCTGGAACAAAAATTAACACAATGTTATACATGACAACAATGGGCAATGGGTGCAATGTGCACGTAAGATACAAGAGCATAATTATAAATGGTAACTAACTCACTCTCGATGATAAGAAGTAAAAAGAAAACAATCATCAGCTTCTCTCTTTTTTTTTATCAATAGGTAGGTTTCTTCTGTCGTCAAACAGCACCGTATCGTTATCGTAATCATCATCTGTTTCTCGTCTCCATGACTTACTTTGTACTAGGTTTGTGATGATGTTTTGCATTTCGAAAGCCATGAGAAAAAAGTGCATTCAAGTAAACTTGAGGAGAGGAATTACGTCGATCAACAGCGGAGGTGTCATTATGTTCATTTGCACCTTTCATTTCACTACTACGCCTATCGCGTTTATGTAAATGCCTATTCGAATACGACGATACTGCTGTTAATTCGCCAATGGTATCAGCAGACGCTTCTTCCGACGCCGACATTGTTCGGGATCGCGAACCATTCTGCTGTTGTTGTTGTTGTTGTTGCTGCTGCTGCTGATTATGCTGATGTTCTCTTGTTGTAATGTTTATAGAATGTCTTGCAGGAGGCAAATGATCATGTTGAGATAGACTTGCTTGCAGTGGTTTTGATGGTTGAAGATATACATCGAGACGATTTTTAAATGTCGGTATTTGCGACGTTGAGGAAGTTGCTGTCGATTCCACAGACATGATTATAAAATATTAATAGAACGTATCTTTCTACAAGTAAAGCAAAACTCGACTACGGTATGCTGTTTTGAAAGACAGAAATAGACATGTTGTTGGAGAAATCATTAGTTTTTTTTTAGTTGATCAAAGCCACCGGAAGGAGCTCTATACATCGACATCTTTCAAACTGACTTCACATGACGTGACCATTATAGATTAAACCTATTTTAGAAAAGTCCTTATAGAAAAGATATTTCGGTACTTACTTTGTCATATGAAATACATGTTAATAATTATTGTATTAACCTATACATCATATTCTTTTACGTTGTTGCTATTTCTGTATGTATTCAAATGAAATTAATCATGAATAATTCTTCCCTATTCCGAGTGGAACCTACGAAACACGTTCAAATCGGCTCGAGATTGCAAAGTAAGAGAATCGTTAATGAATAAAACAATGAAAGGAAATCTTGCTATCGAGTAGCCGACCTTTCGTGGCATATACATAGTGATGTGCATACCCATTGCGTTCCACTTGAGTAATTTTGTTTGATTTTTTTCGCCTGCCCACTCAATAGAAATACGAGTAGATTGATTAGAAAGAATTTTGTTGCATAGTCTGAGTCATATGTGTTCGATGAAGCGTGTTTTGATGAAAATAAACAGGATTATACAAAGGTAAACGATAGTAGAAGATGAGTTCGACGATTGTACTTTTTAGTATATGTTGATTTTCTCTACTCTGTGTTACGTCTATCCAACTAAAATAGTTCGTCTCATGCTATTTATACTCATCTGTTAGAATTGAGTTCTGACTAGTGTTAAACGGTATTTAAATTTCGCGTGTATCGATCGATAGTGATAATATTATCGATGAAATAAATTTGTATGCCGCCAAAAATACGAATTAATATTAATGAATATATACACCTGTATATTTGTCTTAGGGGCAAGTTTATACTTGATTCATTGAAGTCAATCAAGAGATTGTCGAATAACATGAAGAGTTTGCGGAATGAGATGCGCCTGCAACATGAGTTCCTTATTGACTAACTGAACATCTTATTAAGTTGATCGAGGGTACTTACGATGAAATGATTCGAGCGTGTTTGACATGAATGTATATATATATAGATATATCGTAGGAGATCAATGCATAGTGAGAAAGAGAGAAGAAAGAAAAGCATAATGCGCAATAAAATTAATTCAAGTAAGAGTATGGGATGAAAAAGACGAGAAGAAGAAGAACAGGAAAAAAAACGAGATTTGGCATTTTTCCTTTACAGTCGAATGATGTTATTACTTTCTTTCTTTCTTCTCATCCGTAATAGAACCGAAGAAAGAGAAATGTTGTGAGCATGTTCAGAATTCGAGGGATGTGTCAATTTCTTGCAAATATTCAGGAAATCATTTCTTTTCTTACCAAACAACAACTAAAATCAACAGTAACAAAATTGCAAACAAGTTAAAGAACGACAAAAAAGTATAATCGCAATTTGGAATGTGATGCTTGAATAGAATTGTAGACCTTCGCTTTGTTGTTTTACCCTGTGAATATTTAACCTTTGATCAATCCAATGAATTCCGAGTTGATTATCACATAGACTGAATCAAGAGAAATACATTCAAATAATTATATACGCTGTTCTTTATGATGAAGATTTTCATTATCCATGCGAGCAATCGGTATCGAATAACAAACTTTCAAATATGAACAGAACGATTATATAAACATCATTCTCGACAAGAGATGTGTTCGAAGCAAATGGAATTATTCAGATCGATTACATACAAATTCTTTTAAGAATAACACAATCATGGTTATTTGATATACTCAAGCTGTTCAGTAATCTGCAAGTAAAATGTTTGTCAATGTTATCAAAATGTTGATACATATCTCTAGATTGAACTAAAACAAACGCGTTAGAACACTTTGTAATTGATACATCTGTCGAGTTTTTCGTTGCGAAGAAGAAAATAAAAACCGATCGAAGAAGGTATATATAATTATCGTATGCATGAAAGAAAAAGTGTCAACTTTTGTTTTCGAGCTTTGGTCGATCGTTGATTCTTCCTTTTCATCACTGAAACAAAACATCAAGATATAACGTGTACTGAATGACCATTTTGCTTCAAAACATCAATTGCTATTTCTAAATTGTTTTCTTTCACTAAAACATAATCCGTATCGAATGTTGATACGGCGAGGATACCGACGTCAGCTTTGCCCAATGGATTCAAAACAGATGTTAAAATACCGGTCATATCAAATGAAAACGGACCTTGTAGTTTGAAACATTTCCAATGTCGTTCGCATTGAATATCTTTTGGTAAACGGCGATCATCTATGGTTATAATTGATAGTTCATCATCGGTTTTGGTGATCGAAACGAATGGACCATCAAAGGCCCATGATGGTAATGGTGATGATGGGGAGAAACGACAAATAACGAACGCTTCCGGTAAAAGATTTATCATTAATTTAGCCATCGAGAAACGTTAATATGAATTCATCTATTTCATCTCTATCGCGTCAACTATCCAATCCAGTTTGCCATACGATGAGTAATATCTAATTGTAACGACACCCACTAGAAGAGGGCGTGCTTTGACGGTATTTGAATATATCTTGAAAAAACCATCGATTACAATATTAGATCTGATCGTAGATAAAAAAGTCACATCAACTATGAATATTTGTCGTAATCACATATTTCTACAGTTAGTAACATTCTTACACTAAAAGTAACTATCAAGATCTCTTGTGTTTGAAAGTTGCCATCGTTTCAATCGCATAGAACGTTGTATTTCACGATAAATTTCTCTTGCTTGTTATCAATTTGTGCGTCAAGAAATTCAATTCATCAGTAATTCAATATCAAATCACTATATTTATTCTCTTTATCTTACATACCACACAATGCGTGTATGAGTGCTATACTTAACTTCTAATAAGTTTATCTTAAGATGATAAACATATACTGTGCTGTATTTTGTGTAAAAACTGCATACAATTTTCTTTCATCTAACATATTCAAAGAAGAGTGTGCTAAATCATGCAGGCCATTTATACTGATCCCAAACTCATTCGATATCAACGCTGGCGACAAGTTTGGCCAACGCCAATTGTTGCTATAATAGCAACCGCTCAATTGATATTAACATTTCTTATCATTGGCTTCGAAACATGGAGTATGGTATTGAACGTTAAGTATTCATTCTTTTTCATTGGTGATATAACTTCGTTTTTCTTTACGATCACTTGGATATCGACATTCACTGTTGGTAAGTCTCATGCTGAACAGAAAATTATATGTCATTAAGCATTGTTTGTCTCTAGTTTGTTGCAATCGTGGATCTCAAGGTTGTGCCATGCATGCGTTAGTTGAAAACATTCTTTCGATCATTGCCTCATGTATTCTTCTTGGCTACGATGCGAAATTCATTAATCAACCGTATACATGTCTTTGGCCAGCTTATGCATGCCACGATGGAATATGGGCTGGCATTTCGGAAACTTTATGGAACTCTCTTGGTACAGATACTATGAAAGCAAAACTTGTTGCACTTAAACTACAACTAGCGTGTGCGGTTTTAATGTTATTTGTCTCTCTACTGTTCGTGGCCATTTATATTTATACAACTTTGAAAGTTCGCAAAGAAGCGGTGATGGTTCAACCACAGGCAACTATTCAGCTTGTTTCGCCACCGCCGATTTCAGTACAAACAACAACATTGCCACCTATTTAATTTTTAATAACAGATAATTTGCTGAGCTTTGGATTGCTTGTCTATGAAATCTACTAACCAAGAGAATTTTAAACATAACCGAATTCTGTTTTCTTTGCACACGTCTGAACACATGATTGCGCTTTTAATGAAACTTAGCACTAACTCAATACTTTATTGGAGAAAATAAATGATCAAAAATAATCGATAAGAGAAGTGTTTATTGTTGAATTTATTCAATAAGAGACCGATTTTTTTCTATTTTTCTGCTGCGACCTCTCGTATAGCAGTGCCAACACCGTTGGGAAACAAGAGTTCTAGACGTCTTTTACGCAATTTCTCTTCTTTGTCAACTATTTCCTCAATTTGCTTAATCTTTTCTTCGTCGATGATCATTTTCTTGGCTTGTGCATAGATTGCTGTTGTTTTTTCCGGCGATAATTCTTCGCCACCTATTGCAGCACGAAAACCATCATAAAATAGCCACAGTTGTCCATATCTCGCATGATCAAGACCACTTTTCGAATGGAACGGGACTGTTCCATCTTCGACTAATGGTTTGTATTTCTCCGTCAAATCTAATACTTCTTCCGGTGCACCTAAACATCAGAAAAAAAGATAGCTTTCTTTCTTTAATAGAGAAAATCTCATATGCTGAAGGTACAAACCCATAGCCGCTGAATAACCGATAACCCATTGTCGTGTTTGCTCAGATACTTTTGAATCAGCAGCAGCTACTTTAATTACGGCTTTTGCATGACATAAATCTGCATAGAATTTTCGTTTTGTTTCGCCTACATGATTGTACTTGACTTGGTGCAACCATTCGCTAATCATTCGACGCGTATTATCAGTCATACTTAAGAGAAAATAATACTTCACTGAAATCAGTCAGGGAAATCCGATTATACGTACTCGTTGTGCAAAAAAAGAATTAAATCAGTTAATCAAAAGTCGATTGATACGTACAATGAAACGAAACCTAATACGTCTTTCTCCATTTATTTTGTAACGCAGAAAAAGCAAAATCAGTCATGCAAAACCGTTTATTTTCCTTGATATTATTGGCGAGCGAATCATCTCCTCGCCTTCACTAATAAAAACAGTTTTATTATGATATTATCGATAAATTTCATTTTAAAATGCAAACATATTGTTACACTCAATGAATATCTTTCAAGTTGAAAAAATCAAATTTTTCAGGTGATCTAGTTGGAAAAGTACAGTGGAAGCTTAATTGTTACGTCCCAACGTTGGATACGGTCCGGGTGGCCTGTAATTTTGTTGCATTGGACCTCTTACACTAGGTCCCATCATTGCAGCTTGTGGTGCACCCATCATCTGACCAGGTGGTCTGGCCATTCCTCGCGGCTGTTGACCTGCGAATCGAGGATTGAAATATTGTGATGGTGGCGGCGGTGGCCTTGGTTTTGTGTTAGGTGCCATTGGCATACGATTATACGGTGGTCCACCAGGATTAAAATTCGCTGGAGCATATCCTCGATGGATATTATCGAAACGTGCTTTGCCACCCACACCGTATTTAATAAAAAGAACAATATACACGGCCACTAAAAACAAATTAAAAACGAGCTCTGAACAAAACACTAAAATTTCGCATAACGAACCTGTTGCAATAAAGGCTATTCCAAGAATAATTTCACCTATGTAAAAGGAGGTTCCTTTCGAGTATGTATACGATAAATAATTGCAACCACTGGGAATTATACAATTGTACGGGTTCGACGCGAACATAATGTTAAAAATAACCGATATAGCTGCGGCTATTGCACCCAAAACATTCAGTGCCACAGCAACTTGAAGTTTAATCCATGTTACTTTTCGAGCTGTGCAAAGAAAACGAAAAAGTACGAATATTTTTCCTAAGCTTTGTCTCACTTGAATGCAATGTGCTTATACATGCTATAAGACCAAATATAAACATCCAAACCCCACAAAGAACTTGCCAACGTGGTGCATACATAAGAATAACGGGTAGATCGACGCCAAATGAAGCTAAACTGATCGCTAATTGCAGTATACCCAGTATAGCAACGATACGTTTTGGCCATGCACGATGGAAGTATTTTCGTAGAAAATGTTCTTGTCTTTCTGAAATTTCCTCTTTTTGATGAACATATTCTGCCACATCGACAGAATCCGGGCTGTCTCTCTTCATTCTCGATCGTAAATGTTTGCTTATATTTTTCTGGTGAAAATTTTCGAAAACGTTTGATTTAATGTTGTTGCTTGATTGTTTATGCGTGGGTCGTTCGATCACAAAATAATCAACCTTTTAATGCTGCAGTTTGAATTGTGTGCAGATTGAATCGATTGAAGGCAAAACAACAGCAGAAGTTTTTCTTTCGACTACGCCATTTAAAAAAATAATAAAGAACGAAAAAAAAGAAAAAATGAACAGGCGAAAACATTTTTGCGACGATGTGATGTCAGTTTTTGTAATTCGTCAAGCGAATTATCCAAAGAATTGAAAATAGAAATACACCCATAAATTGCCCTTTTTCTCGATGTCAGGCGCTTTGAGAGTTCTCAAATTTGAAACTCATTTTCATACTATCCTACCGCCCTAATAACTTGAAGACGATCATCTGCTGACCTTGGGTCGATATTTCACGATTGAAACTAGAATCATATTTCAAATTGAACTGTATCCACTTATATCAGATTAATATCGTAAAAAGAAAAGTATTTGATTTTGTGTTTCAACACAATTCTGATTGAATTTTGCCACTGTTGATTTGTCAAATCATCACTCAGTGAGACCATTCCAATTGCATGTTCAATCAATCTAATGAATGTATAATTTTTTCCAACAAGAATCGTTTGTTCTCTAATGAAGACACATGTTTTTTTCGTTTTCATCATCTGTCTATTCGAAATCACGTTTGAGTTGCTTTTCAATGAAGAAAACAAATGAAATGAAATGCATGATGATACATGATCGTCACGGCAGACAAGCAAATCAACATGATGATAATAAATGAACCAAACCGATGTTTACTATTGAACAAAGAGTGAAAGACGAGTAAGTTTTGTATTATCTTTTTCAATTTCATGCGTATCAAAATAATTATTCAATGAAGACAACACATCGCTGCTCGAACAAGTTCAATTCTTATTGGAATTCTCGTTTTCTTTTTTTCTATTTCCCAAGCAAATCACAGAAGTCATAACGGACTTTTCACAAAAGAAAACTAATTACAAAACAAATTTCCTACCGGATATCACAGTCAAACCTGCGCTGTTAAATCTAGAATATCATAAAGATAACAAAATATTTTTTTATATAACAAACATCCCTTCTGCACTTAAACATGTCTAACAAGTACGACGAGAGCTTAATGTTTTACGTAGTAAAATGATCCGTCAAGATTTAATAGACAAAATTAGATTGCAAGAACATAACATTTATTTATTAGTTTAGTTATGAAATATATGTGTGCGTGTGCGTCTGAACATCAGTGTTATGATACGAGGAAAAGTAACTTTTTTTTCTGCGTATTAATTTTGTTGAGATAAAAGAAAGAAATGTCTCGAAGTTTAGGATTAAAATCGAGAGAACATTATCCATTTTCTCTGTTCTAGATCTTTTTATAGACAGACAGATTGACTGACTGACTGACTGAAGATCATCGCATATCTTGACGCGTGTATACACATTTGTCATTGTTGATTCTTTTCTTTTTTCTTGTTTTGATGGATCGATCTGATTTTCATTTTCGGCAATGTCAGATGTCTATATACAATCTTGGACTCGTACTGATATTTGTCCACATATTGATTTCATTGCAATGAAGTCAAACTCGAGGACGAGAGAGAGAGAAAATTACATCAAATGTGTTCACTAAGCCATGCTCTTTCTAGTCTGGCTCAATGCCAGGACACATTCATTTTCTCATTATATGCTAAGCATGTGTCTATCGTTCTCGTTTCATCTTATTGCTAGTAATTTCTTTCGTCATGTTCACTGATAATAATTCAATTTGTTCATGAAAAGATTGTATGAGATCAAGACTTGTGAGAGAACGTCATCGGGTTAACGCGGCCTTCAGATGTTTAAGTACAGACTACGCATCGATAACATGTTCCAATAATAGCTCGGCCACCATGTCTATTAGATAGTTGTTATGATTATTTCAGTTGATTTTTTTTTCATTCTTTCTCTTTCGCATATGTATCAATCGAAGGGGACAGAACGATATAAGAAAAATCTGCGTGTACTTTTATTTCGTTGTTTGTCGTCGTCGACAAGAACAGAATGCATATGTAAAGCGCGTTCGTGAACAACAGCTAACCCAGTAACTGCTGTTGGCTTTAAGCCAACTGCGTGCCGAGCAGCGTGATGTCTATGACGAGCATCATGTGATTCGAATATAGAAAGAGGGAAAGAAAGAAGAAGGAAAAAAAACTATTGTTCGTTCGTTGTTCTCTTCCGTTCTCTTTTCCTCAGCCAATGCTTTTTTTCTATTGGTTGGCTCGCGTACTACTTCACAACCTAGCATGGATGGATAGAGAGAGCAGCTGTTTCTTCGTTTCTTCAGTGTGTGTGTATCGTGCAGCTGATTCGCCGTTAATGAAAAAATAAAACATTCTGTTTTTTTTCCTTCTCTGCTTCTACTTGGTCGCCGACTTCGTCGTCCGTACATACTGCATTCTTTTTCTATTCTTTTCTCGCGCTCTCTTTTTCTGGTTTCTATTATTACCCTACACATACATACACACTCGTCGTCATCATCGGGTTTGTTCGCGTCGCTATCGTTGGTTGTATACGTATTTTTTACTACTATCAGTACTTCCGACAGATATTTCTCAAAACCACATCACAAATAGATACAATTGAAGATTTCATTCCTTTTTGCCAATCGTACGTATTCAATGAATTTTGTCTTTTCTCCTCTTCCTCCCACTACTATTACTATTACTACTATTACTATTATTTATTTTCTTTTTTTCCTTCTTCTTCTGTTGTTCCTTTTTATATTTCGCCATTACGTAAACGTGACGAATTTTCTTTTTCCTTTTCTAATATAGAAAGAAAAAATCATTACAAACATACACATTTCGTGAATGTCATATTGCTACTCAGATGATGATACGTCGGATCCAGCGTCTATACCATCGCAGCATTATCATCATTTAATGCCCGAATCGCCATTGCAACACAAGTTGTCAACAAATACCATTAACGCAAATAGTCACGTTAGGTAAGTGCGCATAAGCATGATAGCAGAATTCATATGGTCGAGTATTTCATGAATGATGTTTGGCTTGTTGCCAAAAGAGAAGAGAATGTTTTTCTTATTCGCTATGAACTGGATTGGAAGACGATACGTGAAGAGGCGCGCGCATACAAAAGGTGTTTGTTCTGTTCTTTTTCCTGCGCATCTGCTCGTTCATTTGTGTATGTGTGTGTACACATATGTGTGTCGATCGATTGGATACAGTTCAGTTCAGTAGCGAATATGAATCAAATGAGAAAAGTTGTGTATGTGTGAATGAAAACGGCGAAAGATAAAATGATTCGGTTTTACAAATATTTGAAATATTCGATATATCTGTCTTGTGTGTGATAGCAAAAGCAGAGAAAAACAGAAAACTTCATTCCATTCTTGGCAAATATTTCATTTAAATATTTTCCTTGCTTTTAGTCGTGTTAGCTCCAATATGTCGCCGAATTCGCAGCTGGAACATGAAAAACGCGTCCGACGTGAAATAGCTAATTCAAATGAACGTCGTCGTATGCAATCAATTAACACTGGTTTTCAAAGTTTAAAAATACTCATTCCTCATTCATGTGGTGAAAAACTTAGTAAAGTACGTTATGTCTGTGTCATAACTATGGTTTCTACAAAGAGAATAAAAGAAAAGCGAGCCTAGAGGAGAACAGAACAAGTCAAGGCCAAGGTGCGAAAATATATCGTGCAAATAGTAGGAAAAGAGAGAAAAGAAAAGCTATGTTCACTTTGATGAGAATATAAATAGAAGTTTTGTAATGTAGGCGTGCATTCTTCAACGTGCTGCTGATCATATTAAAAGTCTTGAAACGGAAAAACTAAAATTACAATCTCAAAATGAACAATTTCGGATATTAATTAAAAGTTTCCAAATTGATTCAACCAGTGTACTACAAGCTCAACGACGTTTATCAACTAATGGTAATACGAACATTTCCATTCGAGAATTTTTCATTTATTTTTATGATTTACACTTTTTCAGATCCAGATGATTCGATTTTGTTACTTAATAATGAAACGAAGCCTATTATCAGTTCAGATGATAACAATGATGAACAATTAAGATTATATCAAGACGCGAAAAACCGTCACACATACATACATAACTGGCATGACGCTTCCCAATATGTTCAATCACACAAAGAGGAACAACAACAACAACAACAGCAGCAGCATTATTATCATCCTCCCTCATCGTCCTCTTCTTCGTTGTATCGAACGAATCCGAAACAATCGTCAACATCAGATACAACATACATGATTGTTAAACAGAATCAGCCTAGTCAACGTTGTTATAAAACGAATTCACTTGATCAAAATAATGATAATGGAATTGTTATTGTTGAACGATGTCAACTCAGGGCCCAAAGTGTTGATACAAATAATAATAATAATTCCTCTTCGTCATCATCCCACGTAGTCGATCATACCATTTCTCGTCGGAATCTACAAACAATTGTGGAAGCGATACGTCATTTAGAAGGTGATGATGCATTAGCAAATATGAATCCTCAACAATCATCGTCGAGTCAAGAAGATTTACCCGCACAACTTAAAGCGATGATTAGCGAAAAATTTCAACAGCAACAAATAAATAAAAGTCCATCGTCCTCGTCCGTACCAACAAATACGATTTATCAGCAAACAATAAATGTTTATGATCAACAACATACAACATCAACATTGCATGATGTCGATTTGCATCAAAAGCCACCGAAAAAACGTAAAATAACTTACAATGAAGATGATGATACCATCGAACAGCAAACGATGATACAAAAGCATGGTAAAATTCCTTTTCTGTCCTAATCAAAACCTTTCTTTTTCTCGTATTCAGAATTACTTCCTATATGCAGTCCAGATGTTCACCATCACGAGCAAATTTCAAGTGAATCCCCACCACCACCACCTCCTCCTCCTCCTTCTTCTTCTTCACAAACACTTATCTCCAATCTGGTTGTACGTTCACCACCAACAGTAGCTCAATTATTCCAAGAACATTTAATACAACGTTCAGCACGTTATCCTCCGCCTCCGTTATTATCAACGAATATCCATCGACATCAGCAACCTTAAAAGAAATTCGAAAACAGGTGAAATATGATTCATATTCTTGTTCTCGTTTCCTACCCCGGTTTGTACTTTTCTTTTTTTTGTAAATATATACATATACATATTTTCTTTGCGTGTGTGTTGTGTATCCTATTGAAGAAAACAAAACTAAGACCAAAAATGTTCATGATGTTTTGCTTTTGTTGTTGTTGTTTCCGTGTGTATGTGTGTTTTTGGCTCAAGTATTTGAAAAGGACAGTGATACGCATTATTAATATGCTGTCTCTTTCTTCTTTCGTTTTTCTCTTTCTTTCTGTGTGTTTTATGCGAACAAGCTGTCCCTTTCGAAAAACAAATAGTACGATTCAACACATCACACGTTCATTTTGTTGTTTTTTTTAGCGTTTTGTTTCATTGTTCACACCGGTCTGTTTCTCTTTGTCGCATTTTATTCGCGAAAAGCTATGCATCTTCTTTTTTTTTTCTTTATTCTTCTCTTTATTGTCATATTTCTTTCTGTTGCTTCTGTTTTGGTTTGATGGCGATGATGATTATGTGTATGGTATGCATTCTTTAATTTGTTTCTCACTCATGTGCGATCGATGAGTGTATGTTTTTGTGTGTGTTTGCCCGTTCGTTTTGATGAAGCTTGTACATTTGTACAGACAAAGAAAACAAACAAACATTAAGAAAAAAAAAACGAAGAATTCCACTTTTTATGCTTATCGCAGTCTATCAACTGATATTGACAGCTGTTCACAGATGCTATCAATCAGCAAGACAAGAATGTCTATAGGCAACCGTATCATCTGATTCATGCGCGCTTCTTTTGGGAGAATTCGGAACAGGAAGGAAAAACAAGATGTTTTGTTCTTTTGGACGAGTTTTATTCAGTATTAGTGTTGACACTCAATTGATCATCGGAAAGTATATCTGATTGTTGAATAGTTCTCTTTAGTTTACTGCTCATCATATGTAAAGATGGAATACAAGTTTTCGTTGGAATGTTTGTTAGATTTCGATTTAGACGATGAGTTTTCTTCGAGCCGGGAAAGGATGAAAGAATAATTTGAATTTGATAATATGTGTAGGTCAACCATCGTTGCGTATCACTCAAAATCGGATACAAAAAGGATGTTTTCATAGCGGTAAGACCACCGGAACGGATTGTTACATATAATGTTAACAGATCATATTTAACTGTAGTTAGAGCAGCTGAAATTGCGTGATAACGAAGAATTTCTCCTTTTAGATTAGCCTTGACAACATGATCTTCAATGTCATGGATTTTGTTCACTAAATGACGTAGATTACATGCAAATATTCGTAAACTTCGTTTGAAATCTAATCGACACGTGTCATTTCCTTGTTTGTTTCAATCGTATTTTCGTAAAGCCTACTTGGAGAGAATCGGACAATCCAAGTTGGGTGCGCTAATCGAGCTGCTTTCATGTCATACAATGTCGATTTCGTCAGCGCACTAGGCAAAAGAAAAGAAGACTAAATTGAGCGACTTGGGGCAATCGTTGTATTTACTCAAGCACTGCTTATGATTTTACTCTTGCATAAATAGCAACCCACGAGAACGTAATATGAACATCATGCGTTTTTCTTTCACATCATCAATTAAACATGACTCTCATTAAATTAAACTTTTTTTTCCTCTGTCAAATGAGCCTAGTGACATACTTTCATAGACGAAGAAACTGCTTACCAAATTCGACGCATTCTTTCGCCATAAGTGAGAAAATCAGTGTCGAGATTGATATTATACAAAGATATACAGACTGGATTGTTCGCTGGCGATTTTTGTATTAAACTTTGATAATTTCTTATTGAAACTTGAACAACATAATCCAACACCAAAGAATTCAAAACAAATTCACATAAACTATTGGCATATTCTGTATATTCATTGAGAATAACTAGATCTAAATATCCATATGGATTGTATCGATTCGGATGACAACCAGTCATGATCGAAGCAGACAGAAAAAAACACAATCAAATCGATGTCACGTTTGGAAAAGAAAATTATTTGAAATGATTGAAGAAAATACTATGGCAACATATCGAGAGAGAAAAATATGCAATTGTTAAATCTTGCGTCAAGGAAATCGAGTTCGAAATAGAACTTGGTCACGTGTCATACTCAGCCAGCATGCAATAGAGAAATTTATTTATAACTATCTGATGTTATCATTGTTGATGTTTCTTGATGTGTTACACGGAACGATCAAGATCGATGAACTTGATGATTGAAACATTTATTATTAGTATAGGAAATGGAGAAAAATTGTTGTGTCGTTTGAGCTTTTATATAAAAGTTTACCAGATGGAATCATGACATGACCTTGAATGATTGTGTGGAAAGTGATCTAAATGTTATGTCATTTTTATCATATCAGCTTCGAATTCGTTGGTCTTCTTTGTTTAACCAGAAAAAAAATCATTTCATAGTTGATTATTCAATGAAAACATTATTATAGTGTCAATCAAGCAGAAGATTATCATGTATTTCTTTCCTGAAGATTAGCAAATGATTTATTTATACGGCAATGTACCCAGAATGATTATCGGATGTTGTACCACATTCAATTACTTAAACACACCCAGACAGACCTGAAACTACAAATCAGAAACATTCGTTCATGTCGCTCTTCGTATTAACAACGTTTGTACCTGATTTTCAACTCAAATTTGTATGACGCAGTGGAAATTAAATTGAATTTTGAATGAATTCTTCAGCATTAGAACTCTTCTGCTGAAAATTGTCAAGATGTCTCAATAGTTTTATCCTTTAATTATTTTCAACAAGCAACAAATGACTAAAATTGAATATTAATTATCTGTTAATGTTTAATTCAGCGAGAAAAGCAGACCACACGTTTGTGATTGTCTGGAAAACGTCATCAAACAAAGCTATTCCATTGACATCAGCATTCAAGCAACTATAGGCGAGGATTGTTCTTTCTGACAATGAATTAATCATACCTAAGCAAATATACTTCACTGACAAATATCCTAATAGTTTTCTGACAGGCCGTCGGAAAATTTGTTGATGTATAATTCAGATGATTGCGATTGACGTTGTACAACAATGTAGGAAAGTACCGAACGCAACCTTTGAGCGTGTAACAATAAGACTTGGATGCTTGCTGTTTTTCTGCTGATATTCGACAAAGAATTGTTGATATGAGAACGAAAAGAAAGAAAACATTTTTATTTACAAAGCATTTTAAATTAACATCTGATTTTTTTGACAAACTAAAAATAAGCCCTGAGAAAAAGAGAAACTACTTAGTATTAAACGATTGAGAAACAAAGAAAAACAATAAAAACCATTGTATTGTTATTCCGATGCGACGATTGATAGTGATTTGATCGTAGCAAGTTTAGCATTGATTTCATCTAGTGTACTCGTACTATCCGTTGCAACGTCCATTTGACCAATTAAATTTCGATAGGCAGTTTCCAGTTGATCACAATAATGTGCCTGAAAGCAAACGAAATGGAAAATTTTTGATTCTTATTGCATGAACAAATATACTTGAGCTTCGATAAATGCTTCTAAACATGGATAAACGAAAGCTGCACGTTGTTCGTGTAGAATAGGTAGTTCATTGTTCAAAACTTGATTTTTCAATTCATATTGTTGTTTAGCTTCATTCAATTGCTTTTGTATCTGTTCTAATTTTGTGTTATTGGTTGCATTCATTGTCGCACCTAGAGATGTTGTTGACGAACCCAATTTTTCATTGAATTTGTCCAATTTATTTTGAACTTTAATATATTCATTTAAACTTTGTTCACGCTTCTTAATCGCATTTGTCACATTTGCTAAAGCTAATGTCAAACGTTTAGAAGAATCGATAATCGTCTTCGAAGTGATCTCATTCAATAGACTCGTTTGTTCGGATATATGTTGTGCAGTTAGTTTCCAGTCGTTAATCAACTGGGAGATGTTCGTAGATAGATTTGTTGATGTTTGTTGCTGATCGTAATGATTGATGAATGAACTACCTGATAGATCATGTAATAGTTTCAATTGACCACGAGCGAAGTCATCGAAAGATTTGTCTTGTTTGATTAGATCACGTGTTAAAGATTTGGCATTGTCTTCAAGAGATTCCAAACGGCGAGTTTCACGATCAAAATCTCGAGTTGTCTAGAAAGAGACGATTGATGACAGCGAAAGTAAAGTTTAGAAACATACTATCAAGCCTATACTCTTCCGTGAGGTTGTATTTCGAGTAAATGGATTCCTAAAAGTATTTGAAATAGACCAGTCAAGTCATTACAAAAGTTAATTCTTACCAACTACTCATTGGCAATGGAATGTGTGATAAATCTGCAATAAAAAGTGAAGGTAAGACGTTTGTTTTTCGTTTAGGTTTTTCTCTTTTATGTATCAAAATAAATATAAGAAACATCCACAGGCACATACACACAAACATATACATTATAAATAGAAGGAATAGTGACAAATATGAACAGTTCGTTTTTCGAAAATCGAACCGGACAAATAAATAATCGAGATCAGAAACTAAAATTGACATACAAGAACAACAACAACAATAATAATCTCTCGGTTGACAGACGAGGAAAAACGGAAAAAAAGAAATGTGCATATATTAGAATTGAGTATGGAATGATAAATAAGATGAAAAAGAATTGAAATCGCTTTTTTTTCTATTGCTCAATTATTAAAGATTAGAATCAATTTAAAGAAATGAAAATCAACAGAAAAGGTTTGGCCTTTAGTTACTGTATGTGTGTTTTTTTCTAATCGAATTGGGTTATTTGTCGAACACTTATCGTTCCATCAGCACCGGATGAAAATAAATGACGACTAGCTGTTAAATGCAAATGATTGACACCACTGATTTGCGAATGAAGAAATCCGCGACGAAAATGTTCACCATAAAAACAATGAATCATTTCGCAACCATGCAAACGCCAAATCTAAACAGTGCATCTTTTGATGAACATTTCGGGAAAAGACGAATTTTTTACTTTGATATTTCCCTTGGTCGATCCAGTAACATAAAATTTCTCTAGTGGATCTAAACAAAGGGTTTTCATGTGTGAATCGTGCGCTTGACTGGTTGCTAAACGTTTTCTTTGCCGTAAATCGAATATGCATATATCTCCTTGTTTACCACCTGAAAGCAATAATTGATGGGATTGAGAATAAGCTAAACATTGTGCGCCGTTGGCTTCGTGACATGTGAATGCTATAAAAAGTGAAAATGAATGAAAGAATTCGAAATATTTCGTTTCGCACAAGTTATATTTGCACGTGCTGGAGGCATCAATGTATCCCAAAGAGCAACATTTTGCTGATCATTCGATGATCCACAAGTTGCAAGTAATGTCGATGAATCGAGAAAAACAAAATCGTTGGTTGTTTTCGAATGTGTTAACAAACGCTAAGTAAACGAAAGCAGTAGTTCACAATGATCAAATATAAAGAGATTATTTACTGTATATGCTGTCGAACGATTACTCGAGAGAACATGTAGTGATAAATTACCGTCAATATCGGCGACACCAAACTGAAATTTTTCAAAGATAGAATTTTGTTGTAAAGATATGGTGAACAATACCTTGTTGCCTTCGCTACTTAATTCAATTTTAGTAACACGTTTACTGGCTTCGCGAACTTGCCGAGGTGGCGTATCTTGAGACCAGTTGAGTAGATAAACACTGCCATCCGAACATCCGGTTAGATCTTAACGAAAAATAAGAATTATTTATGTGAATGAAAAGAAAGAAGTTACTTACAATGAGGTAACACTGGATGATTCGCAAACTTTCGACTTTCTTTTATCGCATGACGATTGATCTGGAAAACAACGCAATGAATGAGTGTTGTTACAAACGAAAAGAAATTTTCATACAAGAACGTGTTGATTATCAGTATTTGTCGTGTTTCCATTTATAGTTGTAGTAGTTGTTTGAGTTAGATACATATTTGGAGCGTAAACACCCATTGTTGGCATTCGCAGTGATGAGGGTATTCGATTTGCTCCAGCGTCACGATTGAGTATTCTGAAATTGTAACTTGAAATAAAATCTCAATGAAATAAACAATAACTTACGCTGATGTTTGTCGAGGTAATGATGGAGATAATTCGTTTTCATCGTCTGATAATTCATAAGGTTCGTTAGGTAATGTTATACTTGAAATATCTAATTCGATTATTTCACGAGATAAACCAGCTGCTAACAATGTTGGATTCATCTATTGAAAGAAAGAAAACATCAATCGACAATGATCATTTCCATATCGAACTTACACTATTAAGACAGAAAGAATAGATTGATTCGGGATCTCGATAGATAATCTTCGAATTGGTTGCAGTCGTCATTGATGCTGTTGAATCGGCCAGATTTTCCATCGTTGCTCGACTATCGGACTGAAATAATAGAGAGAGAAATATTATTTAACAATACGAGGAATGATATGAGCGTTTCAAATGAGCAGCAATTTATCGACCGATTCAACTCACAATAATCGGTTGTAACGATTGTGAACGTTTCAGTCGGCTAGTTTTTACATGCTTAGGCGAGGAAGACTTGAAAAATAAAGTTAGTGAGAATATAGCAAGTCTCTGACCTTTTGTTTACTCCATGTCGAAAGCAAAAAAAGAATTCCACTTACTTTTTCCATAAATCTAGGCGCTGGTGGAGGCGTTGGCGAAACGGGTTTTCGTTTGAATATATACTTGATGAATATTCCTTGGGATTGTTCATCGTTAACTAAATACTTCCAAAGTCGTTTTGCTGGTAATGCTGATGGCGATTTTCTGAAGAAAAAGTAACATGTGATACTTTGTCGAACAGGTATGGTATATCTTACGAAAATGGGGTATTATTGGGATCGAGTATTGTACGATAGCGATGAATGGGTAGACCTGTTGTCTGTTCGTCAACGGTACTCACACCACTCAATGGTAGATAATTATCGGGTGGAACATTGAAACTTTCTAAAGTTCGTCGAAGAGAATCTTGCCAAATATTAAGATTTTGTAAGAATTGTTGAATTAATGGTGAAACACTCGGAATTTCTAAGCAAAAACTTGATATAGAACGAGATATATTCGAATACTGTATCATTACCTTGTTTCTCGATACCAATATGGGGAAAAAACGACCAGAGACGTTTGTTGACCAGTCGAACGATGGCATAACGCATCAGAACCCAAGAATACGACATCGAATCCGTATGTTCACGTTCTTGCATTTTACTAAAGTATGAAACAACCTGCCATCCAGTGACTGATTCTCTTTACGATGTTCAAACCGTAGTTTCTGTTTTGATGTTAGCTCATCATCAGATTTCGTTGAAATGAATATATCCTCATCTTCGTCGTCTTCATTTTCCTCATCATCCGCATCGCTGATCTGTCCATCATTGTCATCGGAGTTAAATCCTTTATTGGACGATATCTAAAAACACACACTGCCTTTCAGACTCTACTGTTAAATCAGTCATTTACTTTGGCCATAAAATAATTAACGATACTAGCACGTGGCGGGATGAAAACTTCGACATATGACAGTGGTTGTTGTTGTTGTTGTTGATTGTTTGGCATGATGATTTTTTGTGCAAATTTCGTTACCGATTGATGTCGAATTGTTGGTGGTGCCATAGTTGATGCTGTCGGTGAGACAGACATTTCCATATTTGGATCCGCTAAATGGAGTAATAAGAAGTAAAGTATATATTTTTTCCGAAATGTTGTGAAGAAATTTACGTGATGATGATAATGAAGCCGTCTGTGGATTTGGTCTTGGTTTTTTTGCTCCTCCACCAAAAATACCGTACCATAGTTTGACGGCTAATTCTGGTGTCGACCATTTGCGCACCAATAATCGATACAACGTATTACAATCATCAGTTGATAAAGCGTAGATCAGTAGTGACATGTAAACGGCAATGAGAATTTCGACGAGAAGAATTTTTAGTTTGGTTAGATTATTCTCTTGATCCTTGATTAGGCTCGTGAAGATTTTGATTCCTAATGAAGAAAATTGAGAAATAGTCATCGAAGAGAAACAGAATCGAGTGATGATAAAATTACCTGGCCAATCTTTCGGTGCTGTTGTTGGTGCTTCTCGTTCAATCAATTCTGTAACACTCTTGCGTCTATGCAATCGAACTGATTCTCTTCGATATAGATACGACCTAAAATCGAATTCATTTCACCAATAGACTTGATCTTTTACGTAACAAAATTCTTTACTTTAGAAATGATTCCACTGCGATACGTTCACTCGTTTGATTTTCATTCGTATGACATAGTGATTGATAAACACAACTGGCCAATGCAATCGATAAGTCTCTAACCGCAACAATCTGCATACTCTGTTCCGTTATTTTCGGTAATTTTAACCACGTTGTCATTGTGCGTAGGAGATCTTGACTTAAGTCGCGTAGATAACTTATAGCATTATTACTAACACTCAACGTTCCAGATAGATTGGCAATCAATAATGGTACTTGTGTTGGTAGTGGAATTGGATATTTCAATTGCGTACGACGGTCACGATATAATTCATGCATTAATAATAACAATTCCATGCGTACGGACGCTAAACCACCGCCATGCATACCGTGAAGGCTTGTAAATGAAACTAGTGTGCGTAGAAGATGTTCATTGGCTTTTAACCAACGACGACGTCGTAGTAAACGCTTCATTCTTGTTTCAAAGGTACTTGTACGAACGTAGGATACAGATGGAGATTCGGCACTGGAAAATGTGCCTGTTGGCAGTATTGGATCATCATTTATGTCCGATAAGATAGGAGCATCTAAATCTTAGGAACACGAGATTTCTTCAGAGACTGTCTCGAATTCAACATACTTTCATGCGAATCTTCAGCATCGGCATCCGCAGATGTATTCAGATTGCACAAATGACGAATGACACCTATTTCTTGTTCGAGCCAACACGCTAAATGATGTCTAAAAGATAAATTACCGTTTGTCATTCTTTCGTGGAAATTTTTATGAACATTTTTACCTGAGTTGTCCACCTGCAACTTCAAATCCAGTTGCCAATGTCGCCATTTCTTCGACGATGATTTTCAAGCAACAGATTAGTTTCATGTACTGTCCAATTGTATCAAATTGTTGTTTTACAGATTTATCGTCCACTGAAGCTGTTGCTTTTTGTACTGGCTCTTCGACCTTGGGTGGTTCCTCTTCCTTTTCCTTTTCGTCATCGCTCCATTCAAGTTGTAACTCATCATCTTCGACTTTGTTCGTGACCGGTTGACCCCAATCGAAACTGTCGACATTCTGAGGTTTAACTTCAGT